GAGGGTGATGGAGGTCGACAGCGAAGGTGGTTGGAGATTTTGCCTGGCTCCCGTAAATTCGAAGGGGGACGTGCGTTCCGTTAAAAAAGACGCGCGCACCAAGAAGTAAACTCGTCCACCAACTGCTTGTGATGCTGCGAAATGCGCCGATGAGATTCACGCTATCTTGGTCGAACGCGATCAAGACTCTCTATCGACAAGAGATCTGTGACTGACGGACAGCTATTAAGACGGAAAAGTGACTGTCTCGATGACTGCGTTTGTCTGTTCGGGTTGGGGAAAGCCGCACTAGATTTTCGCACACGACACTACTTATCGAAAAGCTGTCGTTTGATGCTGATGACCACAAGAAGAGGGCAGTGATGCGTCTTCTTCTAAGGGGTTCAATTATCGAGTATGGTGTGAAGCGTTGTCTCGAGTGAAGATGAGACTCTGAGAACAAAGAAATGCTTTGGCTATCTATATGCCTCGCTCCTTCTCCCTACAGCAGCTCAAAATCGACTCCGCAAACTCACTCGACTCACTATTTTCTTTTCGACCACTCAGCATGCTCCTTGGCCTTGCTCTGAGTCTTCACTCCCATCCCGGACTCATGGCAATTGGTCTCACTTAGACATGACTCTTTCCTATTCGCCAGTTCTGCCGGCCTTGACATTTTCAGATCGGTGGAAGGGAAAATACGTCTTGAGCTGCACACTGCCGTCATTGACGGCATCTTTTCAGATGTCCATCGCATATCTTCACAGCGAATCAGCTTCGCGCACAGAAATCTTGTAGGCGTTGAGAACGGTGTGTTTAACGTGGCAACTGGAAAACATCTCTCAAGGAGGACTTGGTTTTGTCCTTCAGCATTATGAAGATGTCCTCTGCGAACTCGATACAATTGTTGAATGTTGCCTCCCAGCTCACACGAAGTTTATTCAGTCGTTTTCTTGCGATCGTTCACTGAATTGGCATCATCAGCATACAAGCAGAATTCGGCATGTTGATTTCGACTGTTGGTTTTCATGTGATCGGCCAAGATGGAAGCTTCACTGAAACGTTCTTTCCGTGCCAAATTTGTCGTGACTGTTTTTCAGCACAACTCTGTCAGTAAACAGCATATCGTATCAACTTGAATCATAGGAATTTGACCATGTTCAAGCGCTTCTCCTAACGGCAAATGCCACGGTTCCAGTGGGCTTCTGTTTGTTGCCATCAGTCGCTCTCGTCCGATGCAAGCATGTCCGCGGAAGCTTGCATGTCAAACAGATGTTCATCAAACGGTCGTCCGGTGTGACCCTGCCGCCCCAAGCGCATTCGGCAATACTGGTTCCTTTCTCTAGTTGTACATGCCGTTGACGAATGCGTCAAGGTAGACAGCCCGGCATTCGAGAGTTGAATCGGGCGGTGCAAAGATATCCAAACTCTTCTATGCGTACTGAACTGAGGATGGGCCACGATCCTGAAACGCTGACTGGCCACAAGTTCGTCTTAGAAAAGCCAGCTCTTGAGATGATAAATACCATAGCCAGAAGGCCGACTTGCTATCAAGCAAGGAAATGCAGTCGAACAATCTCAGAGCATGATCAGAGGCTACAAGATCCATATACTGAGGTTTACCTACTTAGGCAGCCTATTTTAAGATCAAAACAACGACCGTAAAAAGCACAAAGCACGTGCAATCATTCCCGTCTTTTCGCCCTAACATCCATGCTNCTACAGAACAATATCAATCTTGCAGCCAGCCTCCTGCCGCCTTCCGAACAAATTTACCAAAACACTNNTGCAACTTTGGGACAGTCATGAAGAAGGATCAACAAGAATTCAAACAAGCAGAAAGAACGAAAGCGACGCTGCCACCTGTTTTCGCCCACAGACCGCCCGTTTNNAGACAAAAAGCGCAACGACAAAAACACACAACGGGTCATTCAAACGCACAGATGTTTAGGCCTACAATTCTGAAGAATCGCAATCATTCACGGACGGACGCTCGAGCGCTGTTGTTGACTAGCTGGTGTTCGCCTCGTNCCAGATCGCTACTGTCAACATCGCTTGGACGTGGTAGACGGCGAGTCAGAGGAACGCCTGGAGCAGCTCTTGGGTCCGGTGTAAGTTGGCNNCCTGCCGCCGTTGNNTTGTCTGAGCGTATCCCGACGACAAGTCGTTCTTCGGTGACACCGCAAATATTCTCCTCATCCTCCGTGCGGTATACACTTTTTCCTATGTTTATACTACTTCCGAGCGTAGAAGAGCAACACACCCGCGATACAGTGTTCAGCTTAGGGCTTCCAGGCAGCCAGCAGAACCTTTTCCCTCNNACTTTCCGTCCTACGAGTCACGCAAGCAACAAGATATGGTAACCCTGAAGTCAAGTCTCCCGTCTTGATCTCCCGATATACAACAACAAAAGACCCGGGCGTGAATGATTTCCGTTCTTTCATTCTCGGGAGATCTTGCGTGTGCTCTTGCCTATCTTGCAGACCTGTGTCTAGCCAAGCAAGTTTAACGATGTTCAACATAGCAACAGCGCGGAGTCGAAAGGTAGGTTATGGAAAGATTACCAACCCTTGCCGTTTAATCCGCTACGACTGTAGGTATCTCTGGATGATAGCAATCCCGGGATTCGGTACTTCCTCAGAGTGCAAAGTCGGGAAGGATCTGTGAGAAGAAGCAAGTGCAAGAGAAGCTTGAATCGTGCATTCACTTACCCAACACCACCAACTCGATCCAAGAGATATGCTCAAAGAGTGTTGAAGCACGTGTTGCCTGCCTTCTTCTCAACAGTCAAGGTTGTACTACTCGAGCATCGGCTGAGTTTACCGTGTTGTTCAAAGAAACCACACGTGCTTCGACAGTTTGCCTCAGGCCTCCTACACCCGCCAGCCGTCCCGATGACTCCGTCTGCCCTGACCGGTGCTTGCACAGCTGAGTTGTATTCGCGCTTCCTGCAGAACCTTAATCGCCCATCATGTCATGCACACACAGCAGGATCGCAAAGGCATCCTAGCATCGCAGTCGCCCATAGAGCATCCTCATCCAAGCATTTTCATCAAATCACATCTCCCTTATTGCTGTCCTCGGCATCATGTCCACTTCATTGCCGCCGGCCGAAGATGGGCGCGTGCGTGTAAGTAAGCACACACGAGTCAAGAGTGAGCAAAGGTAAGAAAAAGCACTCCCTCGGCAGCTGCCAGCATGCCCACATCCCGAACCAGATGATCAAGCAACACGCGAGCCACGAGCGCGTTCCAACAAAAGACCCCACCGGGGCACAGCGGACGAGTCGGTGCTTGCCTTTGCTCCCCGTCGGCGGCCCTGTCCCCCTTGCCATGCCCGCTCAATCCTTGTCTGCCAAATGTCTCAAAGTTCTCGCCTCCGGAGGAGTGGTTCGCGGTGTGGCAGAGAGGCAGGCAGCCCCACGCCTCTTGAACGCAAGTAGAAAAGAAGACCTGGGTTTGTGGTAGATCATTGCACGTGTCTCAGTGCTCTTACCTCCACACATGCTTTTCTTTTTGATTTTCGTTCTCGGTAAACTGTTATTGTGAGCGACAGCAGTCGAATGTCTATGCTCACAAAGCAGATATCAAACACGTGTTCTCTGACTTGCAAGATATTTCCGGCAGAGCAAAGGAAGATTATCGGTATGTAGCCAGCCAGTTCTAAGCGCTGCTAGCTACCTGCAAAGATTCTGCAATGCAACTCCAAGACCCACATCTCCTTCTCATCGCCTGCTTTGTCTTTTTTGCCCTGCAACCTGCTCGCTATTCCAGGTTTTGATGCTCATTGCTTACTCCGTCATCCCCATTCGCACATAATCGACCGAAATACTTGCATCACCAACCACTCACATCACTCCAAAATTGTCAAAATCGATTCCTACTGCATAGACAAGCATATGCACACTCGCTAAACACCCACAACTTAAGAAAGGCACGATGTAGATCCAATAAGTTGCACTCCCAGATTGGATGTGCATTGTGCAATAACCTTGCAATCTGAGCTTCCGAGAAACACAAAAACAGACTGGCTAGCAATTGTGGTGCATGAACACATCCAATTTCGGAGATATTGATGCATTGCAATGTGATCAAGAAATGCAGAAGGAGGCGGTGGTCTCTCCGGTAGTTGGAGCTGTTGCCAGGTTCGAAGTCCATGCATGTCCATTTGATATGAGTAAGATGCGAGAGTTGGAAAATGGAATGATGGTGAGTTTGGTGATGACACTTTGTGCGAAGATGTGATGCCTTCAAGTTGATACGATGAGGATGAATGACGAAGAGTAAAGCGGGAAGGGGCGAGTAAGAGATACAGATGCACATTCTCGATAGACAAAGCCTCGAGCCTCGAGAGAACTACAACAGCAGGGAAGCAACATTCTGCAAGTCGTGAGATCGGAAAGACATGCCTCTTCCATACTGCAGAAAAAACATACATTCCTATATACGTCGAGAACTATATCTCCATCTCAAAAACACAAAAGCCTACAATATAATCCAATCTGTTATCCAACACCCCAACACTCCTTCCGTACAGCCATATTGATGCTTGTTATCCACACAAAAAAAGCCCTAGATCCACATAGTAACAGGGTACAAAACACTATACACACGAAGGGAAAATGCAAATCATTGATGTGATGATAATAAACATTGGAGTTGCGCTTCTGCCTCTACCCGCTCTGCTATGTAAAGGAGAAAGCTGCAGAGAGAAAAAATATACAAAAGACCTCTTCATCCCTTCATCTCTTACTCTACTTAGAGAAGGTGGTGTTTGAAGAGATGCGAGAAAGAATTGAAGAAAAATGTTGCGCACACAAAAACGCGTATTGGGGGGAGTATCCGCTAAAGGAACAAGAAAATTTGACAAAAAGAGATGATGGTATGGCGGGCAGAGGTTCAAGATGTTCCTTTTGTGGATAATCGTGCATCGCCCTCCCCAAGCTTTGTGGCTTGTTGTGGTAACTTTTGGACAGTGCCGCCAGAAGGCTTCCGAGACCAGATTACGGTGGTAGTTTCCTAGTAGGAAGCGCCGATGGCAACACCGCTGTCACTGTGGCTTGCTTCAGATTCGTTGCTGCGCTGTCCATGGTACGGAGATCGCTGGGCGGCGCTAGGAGCTAAGGTAGTAGGAAGATGTTGCGGTTGTTGAGGTTGTGCCTGTTGCTGTTCTGAGCGCTGCATATAGGGACCAGAGTATGAAGAGGAAGGAGCGAACTGGTTGCTGAAGTTGGCGTAGTGAGGCATTTGAGGTGTGGAGTAAGGGGTTGGGTTGTGGTATTGTTGGTATTCGGGGAAGGAGGAAGGGTGCTGGCTGAGCAGTTGTTGGCTGTCTCTGTGATAGGCATTGATCATGTCGATGCTTGGAGGGCCACTAGTCGGCGCCTGTGCAGGACGAACACTAGATTGGTAGCTGGGAAGCCATCTAGGATCAATGTTAGTGATGTTACGCGAGGTCAAAACATATACAATACTTACANNAGGCGGAAGGCCCAAACCATATGGCCCGCTGGGAGGAGGCATGTTCCTCTGCGCATCCTGTTGGGAGATGTATCCCTGGCCCTCTGACGATTGCAGTCCTGGGGTTCTGGCCTCTGAGGGGTGTTGAGAGCTCTCGCCACTCAGACTGCCATAAGACATGCTAGATCTCAGAGGAGACGATGTGGCAGTCTCTCCACTTGCGCGTCTGAATCGATCGTGTACAGGAAGTCGTGGAGCCTGGGAGTACTGGCTGGCGTATGACGGAGGAGGTCCTGGGAACATGGCTCTCTGGGGACTATCCAAAGTTGAACGGGGAGTGTAACCATAAGTAGCACCTTCAGGTGGTCTCGAGACTGGAGACATGGTATCTGTTGCAGAATGCGGGGGTGTGTATGCCATTGTTGTCATTCCGGGAGGAATTCCAGTCGGGCTAATGTAGCTGGGTCCCAATTCTCCGCGGCGGAGTGTGTCGAGAGTCAAGGGACGAATGTGCCCAGGTTGGTGGATAACTGTTCCATAGCTAGCAGGAGATGCGCCAGGTGTGATGCCACCAGGCGCTGAGCCATAGTTGCTGTGGAGACTGGGTGTCATGTCAAAGTTATCCGGCAGAGCTCTTGACTTCATCATCCTCTCACGATCCTCGGCTGTCAAACGCTTCAGCTTTGCACGTCTANNCTCCATGGTCAGTTTACACGTCATGTTGGCCAGCTTTCTACAAACATACCTGTTTTGGAACCAGACTTGCACCTGCCTTGGGCTCAAGCCAGGAATCTCCCTCGAAAGTCTTTCGCGGTGCGCAGCATCGGGGTGGGCTTAGCGACTGAACTCGCTCATCAGGAATCTCGTTTGGTTGTGGGTAAGTCTANNTTGCTGGTTAGCATTGTGTCTTGTGCTCGTCCCATCGACGAAAGCATACCTGAATCGCTTCATCTTGCGCTTTTGGTTTCTCAGCTCGGCTGCTGTCATCGGAGGCTTGTTCTCGCCATCTTCAGCATCCCCGCTTGCATCTTGATCATCATCATCCGCGATCTCATCGTCGGGGTCGACTCCTTGCGAGTGCGGACTCAGATGAGACGATGGGCTGCCGGGTAACGACTCGGCCGACGTCTGCTGTCCTAGCCCAGCATTGGACTGGGAAGTTGTATGGGATTTAGGATCCGATGAAGAATGTTGCGAGTACGGACTCGGAGCAGTGCTACCCGCCGAGTACTGGGCATTGAGAGGGTACGGCGAAGTCTTGTACGACCTCAATGAAGGACCTTGAGGCACGCTCAGGACATGGCTGCTCGGAACAGGCTCTTGAGGAGCCTGGTACTGGCCTGCTGCATGAGGATACCCCTGTCCAAAAGGCGACTTGTGGTCTTGATGCGCTTGCCAACCAGGTAGTGCTGGCTTGTAGTCTTGACCAGACATGCGAGGAGAGCTCGGGGGTGACAGGGGCACAATGATCTTTCCTGGAAGCATTTGATTGCAGGTCTCTGTATAAGGCAATCAGGTTGCGACGCCTTTGTTGATGCCGCGTAAATTGGTCAGTGAGAACCGTGGGGACAGACCGGGAAGCTGCCGTGATTTGCAGAGCTTGGTAGAAATGCTGAAAGGATTCTTGGACTGCAAAAGATGTCCGCAATGATCTCCAGCAGGCCACAGTGAGACCCTTGAAAGGTTGACAAATTAATTAGTCGTGAAGCTCTGGGGGCAGATGGTAAAGACGCAAGGTTGATGGAGCAATAAAGGTACCGCGGGTATGGCCCACTGTAAGCTTGAAGCTGCCACGAAGTCGGTTGTGGGGATGACAAGAGTCGACAGAAGGATCGATCACTCAATATCAGAACAATATCGAGCAGATGCGCGCGCTTTGTTGGATCTGAGCGCAAGAATGACGCGCAAGTCTTGAGTAAAGAGTGTTGTATAGAGTGTAGCAATACACTGACCAGCCAACGACTGAGGAGGAGGTACGGTACTGTAGGACAGAGAAAGTTGCGGCAAGACCGAGAAGATCAAGGCAGTGGGCCGGTTGGTCTGGTCGACAGTTCGGCGGAGCTACGCTCACCGCAGTGGAAGGTGTCAAGAAGGTTTAAACGAAGAGAGATGAGGCTAATAGATTAGCAGTTGCGCAAGCACAGGACTTGACTCGTGCAAGAGGATGAGGATCTTGAAAGGACGAGACAATCAGATGATGAGTGACTTCGAAGCTCTGAACGTGGGGTGTCAGCAGGTGTTGCAAGACCGATTTGATAGTCGATGGTGTAAAAGAAGGTGGTATCCGGCCTCTTGATCCTCGGGAGTCCCAAGCACCATAAGGGTGGCTGCAGGGTGAGAAAGATGGCCGAGTCAGGACGAGAAGTTCACACGGTAAACTTCGTCAAGAGGATCGCACGGGGAAAAGGGCAGCGATGACCATGTCAACATCGACATGTCAAGGATTCAAGCTCACCTGCTTGCTTCTGCACGGTGCTTCTCGGCAGCCAATGCTCGTCTTAGTGCCTGTGGGTTCGACTAAGGGTCCACACAGCCAATGATAGGGATACGGATTGGTGTGTACCTCGGATGAAAGCCTCAGGTGGGAATATCCAGCATGTAAATAGCCTTGCAAATGGTGAAGCGTGCGGAGATTTATTCCACCTGTTGCATTTGGCCAAAAGCTCAGGACGTGCACTAGTAAGATGCCCGGGAAACTTTATGCGCTGTGCAGAGCAGTTTCCGAGATGGCTGGAACACAGATGGTAACTGCCGATGGGGGGTGATTCGAGGTTATGGTAGTGGGACCGGACCCTGTCAGGATATTCCCACGTTCACCGCTAATGGTTGGCTGCATTACCACTCGCGGATGAGGCGCTTGATGGCGCATGGTTGCGGGGGTGGTGGGACTAGTCGTCAAGTGACATGCGTGCTTGTCCTGCCGCCAAAAGGCGCACCGAGGTGAACGTCGCATGCTCTCTGTCCTTTCGATAGTTTCCTGCAGCCACGATGGTTCGCAGAAGTCATTTGGACGACCGTGAATATTTTTGCCAGACACTTACAGAATATCACAATGTCTACTGTGATGCGGCCAAAACACTCGGCTAGGGTAGAAGCCTAAACGCGCGTATCTGTCCAGAGGACATTGCTTCTGCTTGACACCCACCTTTTTGATAGCGTTCATCTCGTCTAATGGGACTCCCCGCCGTGGTCTGACGCTGTCTGAAGCTTGGACTTGGCTTGTTCGGCTCTTCCCTGAACGGTGCATGAGGGCGGATTTAGTCCTGGCTTGACCAATCCGACGCGAAGATTATGAAGCATTTCCAGAAGATCGATCAACCGTTTTTCATTCGACTTCTGCTTGCGGGCCGCTCCGGGGCATGGCAGGTTTGGCACTTTCCGTTTCTCACAGCTGTCAAGCCAGGATTCTGAGACAAGATTGTCCAAGGCCTGCGATCTGGTTTCCTTCTTGGCCCGTGATATCTGTTGCTTGCCACTCTTTCTTTTTGCTGAGAGCGTGCAATTCCGCGCTTCTCCGCTGTTGCTTTTCTTAGTCATTTTAACCGAAGAGGCAGGTTGAAGCCACAGCCAGATCACAGAAGGCAGGCACTTTCTGGCGGTACTACGAGAACATCTCCCTAATGATCAGCAACCAGGGGCAGCAATGGGTACTGAGCCGGTTTGAGAAGAGGGTTGTCAGGATTGCAGGAGTCAGGTCTGAGCCGAGAAGGTTGTTGTCCATCACCGGTGAACACGGTTCGTCCACGACCGCGCCGGCTACCCACACAACCGGCGCCACGTGCAGGCGATTCACCATTGCAATCGTCAGGCAGCCCCTCGAATAACATTGTCGCCAAGGGAGCCTCCAGGACGTGTTGTGTGTTTCGAGTCGGACGGCATCACGCTTGCGAGCGTGGTTACCGTCGGAACGCAGGGCGGCTGGAGATTTGCTGCTCGAGCTCCTGGGGCCTGTTATCCGAGTTGCTCGTGCTTGAAGCTTTCACGACCCAGGGAGTAGGACCTGATGCTGCGGCGTGCCTGCGGAATTTGATCTGCTCGGGCCCGACACGCGTAGAGAGAGACGGCGGTTTGATCTGCGCAGGGTGCGCTTTAAGCGAGCCGCCATGCGAATCGAGCGCGTTCACCGTTCGCCAAGCCATCAAAAAGTCCCCCTCGTTCACCGGTGGCTCTTGCGCGATGGCTAATCTCGTCGATGGGTGGCAGAGAGGCTCTGTGCAATCGGGCAGCCATTTCTAGCAAATGAGACAACAACAATCGCCACGATTGGGCAGCTGTTGGCTGCATTGCGATTGCCAAACGCCAGCAGTGCCAGCACGACGTGAAGTCGCCGGAAGGATCAAGGTTGTGCGGGTGGGAAACCGTCAAGATTCAAGGGGCGCACAGGGCAAGATTGCAACGGCGCCCATCGCCGTCTCGGAACATTAAAACCAAACAACCGCCTCCATCTCTGACCCTAGGTGCATGCAGATCAAAGGAACGTGAGCATCTTGCATACCAACAACGTGTCTGCAGTGCTTTGTGCCATTGAAGATACATCAATAATAGACACCAAGAAGGCGTATTGCATGGATACTTAGCTATCCAGTGGCCATGTGCTCTTCTGCCTTGCCATACGTGGCCACGGCGACTTCTCCACTGTCGTTCTCGGGTGCAGATGTCGGGTCGTGAGCAGCAGTCTCTCCCTGGTTCTCCTCCTGCTTAAACAAGGCAGGTAAGCGTGTGGAGGGATCCACCTTGTCTAACAGCGCCAGTGATGTTCTGGATGCAGCCCGCAGCGCGCGCCAGGTCTTGCTCTGCTTGGCAGCCTCCAAAGAGTTCTTCTCTTCGTCTGTCATGGCCATTTCCAGATCAAGGTCGTCTCCCTCAATCCCCTTGACGAGCTTCTCGGGTGATGGAGCCGTGAACCTGNNTTGCAACATGATCAGCATCTATCTTTGGAAATGACAATCCCGCGTCTGCACAAACCTTGAAGCGTCTTTCAGAGCCTCGAGACCCTTCGCGTTGTCCACTTCTGCGAGGAAAGTCACATCGATGGCACCCATTGGTTTCGCCTTGAGGCGCCTATTGACGGTTGCTTGCCGAGCACCAGACTTCGCTTCTGTGTTCTCTTCTGGAGTAACAGCATCTCTGACGATTGGTGGACAGCTCTCCAATTTCCATCTCACCCAATTCTTATCGCGGGAAAGCACAGTATCGACCATACGATAGTAGAACTTCCCNTCGGGTCCTTCCTGCAGATAACCGGCAATCTTGGAACGTGTTGAGATTACCCATTTCTCNCTGCTGTGTGTCAGTACGTGACTAGAATCGCTTGCAGTGCTGGTACCTACATTCTCTTCATTCAATGTGAAGCTGTACAGGAGACCCTTGTTGGCTGACTTGGGATTGGCTTTCTCAACATCTGTCCACTTCTTCTTTGCTTTGTCGGTGAGAGAGAGCAGAAAGTCGATGAGAATGAGTCCTTGAACCAGAATGTGACGTTGGAATGCCAAGTCGCTCAGNCTTTTCTCTGTTAGATTTGGGCCTCACCATCGCATCAAAGACTGTAAACATACCTCGAGTTCGAAGAGCTCGCGACTGGTCAAGTACTTCGGGTTGTAATTGCTTGCGTATTGATCACCTGTCTCGTCACCAAGCTTGCGTTTGATACCACGTTGAGCATCTCCAGCACTCTTGGTTTGTGCAACTACTGGCGTCTTCTTGAACTTTGCCAACGTCTTCTCGATGCCGTCCTTGAAGGGAGTGAAGTTTTCGTCTTCGAAGAGTCGCGTCGGATTCGAGAAGTCGTGCTGTAACCTCCAGAAAACGGGATAAAATTCTGAGTCTTCAGCTTTGATTTCGTCGCCTTTCTTCTCGGTAGTGGAACCTATCGTTTGATCCTTGCTCGAAAGAGTGTTTTCGGTGCCATCAGCGTCTTTTGACTGTGACTCGGTTTCGCCTTCCATAACGATATCCATGGGTTCCGTCGCCGCGGCATCAGCTGGGGGATCCTTTTCGAAGACAGTAACGTTCTCTGTGTGATATTCACCGCGCAGATTGACGGAACTTTTGTCGCCAAGAGGGAAGGTCTGGAAGAGGAAAAAGAATACTCGTCCACAAAAGACAGCATCCTCGGCTCTAGAAAGTCGGCGTAGCAGTTCGTTGCATGAGCGCAGGAGAGCAAGATGAGTCTTGTGAAAGTCCTTCTGGATGAGTCTTTCACGTCTAGACTCGAGATAGTCAAAGACTATCCTACAGCCTTCGGTAGTCTGACTGTCGAGAAGCTCTTCGACGAGCCAGAAAGCAAGAATGGGTTCGCACTGTCCAAGTTCGCCGCAGAGTAGCAGAAGGTCCAAGAAGTCCCACATACGAACAAAGCCAGGAGTTCTGATGTCAGTGGATTGCNNTATTGGTGCATTAGTTTGAGAAGGTCCAGACAAAGCGACAAGCGCGGAGCGGCGTACAATGGTTTCGTAGAAGATCTTCTTCGCGGCCGTCTCGACAACAGAGAACTTGTGCGCATCAGGTTGCGATCCAAAAACATCCTTTCCGAGCGAAGAGATTTCCTGTGCTACTTCTGAGACGGGCAAAGGAGGATCAATGGTTTCGACTAATTTGACTTCTCTGGCGCGTTGCAGCAGGCTCCGTAGCCGCTCTGAGATGACGCCGACTGATGGCGGATCACTCATTGCGTCCGCGGCCATGATGTTGCTGAGATAGCGAAGCGACTAATGGCAGTCGTTCAGGCCGTTCTGATGATAATTGATGGTCGGCGGAGATAGTCGATGGTGAGTGATTATGATGTTGGTCGCAAAGATGATGTCGTAAGGTGTGGTTTCTCAGACTCGAGCGCTCTTCCAAGGTGAGTCCAGAGATGTGAGCAATCCTATCCTGGTGCTTTTGTTGAGAAACTTATTGCTATTGTCGCAACAATCAATAGCCTTGCGAGCAGCGGAAGTTTGCTGGCGCGTTACTGGCCACGACTTTTGACCGCACGGCGTGGAATCGCCAATTTGGCGCGAAAGCGCGTTCAGTCACGTCTTCCAGAATCCGTCTTGACATCGAATATCCCATCCAGTTTTGATGTACACAAGACCAAAAGATATCCAATATGCCGGCTGCAGTATCATCAGGCGTGCGTCCCACTGTTGAGCGCGACGGTCTGGACGACATCTTCAACTACGATGCTGGTATCAGCTCAACCTCATATCAACAGGATCAGGATCGGAGTGCGCAGGATGATACGAACAACAACAACAATACCAACCAGCAACATGATGTGCCAGTAGACATCGATGAGGAAGTCAAAGTCACCAAGAAGCGCAAGCCAGTCGCAAAACTTGACGAAGATCGGTACGCAGCCATCCAACACATCCACACCCAACACTAACACTTCTACAGCCTTCTCTCACAACAAGGCATCCCAAAACTTCGCAAAATCGCCAAAGACCGCATCCAAATCAAAGGCAAAGGCCACGAGTTCTCAGACATCGCACGTCTCCTCAACACCTACCAACTATGGCTCGACGACCTCTTCCCCAAAGCAAAGTTCATGGACGGTGTTTCCATGATTGAGAAACTCGGCCACAAGAAACGCATGCAGATGATGCGAAGAGAATGGATCCAAGAAGGCAAACCCAAACCGCCACGAGACGACGAAGAAGAGGACTTTGTCATTCCAAATGAAGCTGCAGTGGCAGAGGGCAATAGTGCCCGAGATACCGAGGAACGGCCCGGCAATGTTGAGTCAAGACCGGAAGCACAATCGGATGGTGGAGCACCGGCAAGAGACAATCACAATCCGTTTGGCGAGGAAGAGCCTGACGAGGATGAATTGAATGCGCTGTTGGCTGAGAGCGAGGCTGCACCAGCACCAGACACTTCCAAACAGAACAAGACACAACCCGCGGAAGACCAAGAGCCAGACGAGGACGAGCTAGATGCTCTCATGGCCGAGGATGCAATGAACGACAGTGTGCCGAAGAGCCTGTTCGGTGGACCGGTCTCATCGACTGCCACTACAAACACTGCTCCACGACCGCAAGACGAATTCGATGATGACGAGGAAGCAATGGCTGGTATGGATTGGTAGTTTTGACAATGATGATATCCTTCATTCTCACCTTCAAGTGTATTTCCGCTTCAGAAATTCACTCCAACATTACTTATGGGGTCGACTGATGACCGACAGGTGCGTTGTCAACTCTGATACGACCATCATAAATCGGGCTTCCGGACAGGGTGGCAGGCTCAACTACCACTTTGATCAAATAATCTACGATATCACGTCCACCACTTGCGTATATATACAATTCTTGGGTACTTATAGACATGCCATAATACCCTCCAACAGACCTGCTGTATCTTGTAGGCAGTCAATAAACAGGGGCGGAGATATATCGATTTTTGGTCCTAACAATGCTTGCTTTTGGAAACCCCATGCAGATACGTGCAATTCCTACACGCAATTATATTCTCATGTAATTGTTTGTAAGTTGCTCGGCGAGACAGTATCTGATCTATGGTGTGCTACTGAAGGTGAATTTGACTCTTCTACGTGAGCGTTGTCCAGGAAGATGAGCCTGATGCCCCCAGTAGTAAACCTACAGTTCATGATACACGGCGTTATAATCGTGTTTGATGGCACAGCCATATCACGTGAACTCGTTTATCAGTCGCAGTGGTTTAGTGGTAAAATTCGTGCTTGCCATGCACGAGCCCCGTGTTCGATTCACGGCTGCGACATCACTTTTGCAAATTCTACTCTTTTTGCTACACAGCAAGTTCGATCGAAGTCAACAAGGCATGCACTTTGGTCATTGACGAGCAGAACGTGTCTCAAAACGAGCCAACACCCCCTGACCAATTTCATCCAACTGTCGTATCACCATTTCCTTGCCCGCTTCATGAGCTCGAAGCTGATGCTTCCTGGCCCCACTTCTGCAATGCCCCTTCGACAGAATTTACAATAGCGGCTGCACGACCTATACTATCCTCTTTGAAGTCAAGTGCGTCAGTCCTCCACCAAAGCCAGCTTTGTGCCAACGAGCCCTCGTCTGCATCAAGTAATCCCACAGCCACGTTTGCGATACCATGTCTTTCATCTCTGATATAGAAGACGGTCGCACCACACTCACCACAGAAACATCTAGTTGCGTGGTCAGAAGAGCGGTAGCTCTTGAGCGTACCAAAGTCGCGGGAGAAAGGCACGCTTCCATCAGCGGCCAAAGAGACGTCTGTGGTTGGAACATAGGTCCATGGAATGAAGTCGCAGCCACTCGATAGACGGCAGGAGTTGCATTGGCATACTTCGGCGAAGAATTTGGTGCGGTTCTCGCAAAGCCACCAGGGGTCCTCAACTTCGTAATCTCCACGGTCAGGGTTGTGCTGGTATGTGTCAGACTTTGGGTTGTCGGGGTTGGCGGATGATGTCAGTGGACGAGAGATCCAGAAGTTGATACCATTGCATAGACAGTGGGCGTGCAGTCGATCTGATACTTTGTCTGCTGGTCGCTTGCTTGGTTGGGGCCAGTCTGCAGGCAGACTGTCATTCAGAGTAGCGTGTGTCTCGATTGGCAAGTCTTTGAGCCAGTGGCTGAAGCCACCATCTTTGGTATCCTTGACGAATATTTGGCGTTCAAACTGCACTGTGTCGTCCAACTGGTCGAGAGCTCCTGTGTGGATGCAAAGTAGGCCATCGATTTTCTCGGCGATGGTACTGCCGCATGTAGAGCACATGTATGCTGTTCTGCGACTTGACCATTGACTAGCCTTTAGTTTGGAAAGCGACTCTTCTACAGCCTCGACACAATTGTCGGGTACAAAGGCTGCTCCGTTGCATAGCGAGCCTGAGCCGTGACGACAACTATCGCAATGGCATATCGAAGCTGTGAGAGGAAGTTGATGGTTAGGCACGGTAATAGAGAGTTGATATTTGCCGCAAAGGCATCTAGCTCTGATCTCTTGCGTGGTGCTCATATTGCTGAAACACGGAGATGGTGTAGGAATTACTTCGGTTGGGTCATGGAAGATTGTGATATGTGTTGTATCAAGTCTTAGTCAAACCTGAGTGAATGGGAAGACGGAAGAAGTTGGGAGGCAGCAATGCTGACTGCCGGAGAAGCAAGCAGGAGCTGGTATCAAACCCGTACAGTGACAATCTTGATCTTTCACGTGTAACAGAGCCTCATGAAGCTGTGAGATAAAGCTACATGTGATGCGCCTCCAAGACGAGGGTTCTTCAAATTGGTTGATCTTTGTCAAAGAACATCACTTTGAGTCGAAAAGAATGGCTGACGTTTCGATGCGGGCGTCCGGCAAAGGGGGCTTCCACATCACTCAGGGTCTCGGCAAACGGCCCAATGACGTTGGGCGCATGATTCGAGGAAAGAGCGCCCCTCGAATTCGCGCAAAGTCCGAAAGCAGGCGCATCAACTTTGACAAAACCCCTTCATTGCGCTTTCTTCATTCAACGTCCCAGACAGCCATCACTGTCCGGCACGCAAAGATGGATCATTACGAGCCATCATCCAGAAACTCACGGACGTATCCTCAACGCGATCGTCCACCTCNNCTCCGTCTTACCACGACGCGCCTCCCCCCACCATCGGGCCCTCGCAGCGACATGTTCCAATTCCGTGGTGCCGCTGCCCGTCCTCCTGCCGACAACTATCGTCCCGGTCCCAGAAGAGACGACTTCAATTTCTCGGCCGGCAACAACGGCCCGTCGTTTGCACCTTCAAACAACTACCCAGGCGCCAGAAGAGCCCCTCCCAGAGACTCACGTCGCAACGGTCAGCGCAACGCTCGTGGCCGCGGTGGTCCTCGTAGATTCGGACCCAAGCCTGCTCACGAACGTGATTTGATGCGACACCAGCGCGAACCCACTCCTGACCAACTGGAAGGCATGAATGAAAGCAGGGAGTCTCGCTTCAAGGTGCTCGACGATCTCTCTGATAGCGACAGTGAGGACGACGACAGCGTCATGGATCTTGAGGCCGATGTCCACCATCCCACCGACGCTTCCGCCCAGCCTTCATTCTCCAATCATGCCAGCCACTCCGACGACTCCGAGGATGAGCATCCCAGAGCCAAACGTGCTCGAGTCAAGAGTAAGAGTCCCGAGTCCGAACAAGTGAAGCCCAAGTGGTCCAACCCCGACCCCTACACTGTGCTGCCTCCGCCTGGCGAGTCCGACGCCAAGAAGAAGGATGTTGTCAAGCTCATTCGCAAGGCAAAGGTCGAGGCTGCAAAGCCCGCCGCCGCTGCTGCCGAAGGCGAGGACTTCATCTCGCTCAACTTTGACGACGACTTTGCCCAAAACAACAGCGATGATGATGGTGGTATCTCACTCGCTGGCTCTGTCAAAGGCGAGCCTTCTCTTCCACACAAACCCTCCTTCAGCCACCTAGATCACCTTCATCCTGATCGCAACCTTGCTCCACCCCTTGCTGTCGAAGAGCCCAAGGGTGCCAACATGTCAGCACCTGTACCTTTACCCCGCCTTGATGTCTGGCCTCCACCAGCAGACGTACACGGTGACCCTTCGGGCCGCAGCCAGTACCACACCGGAGTGCAGAGACAAGAAGCCAAGGATGCAGTGGCTCCAGTCCGTAAGGAGAACAACAAGAAGCGCAAGCGTAAGGACGACGTAACACTTGGTGATACCATTGAGGAATGGAAGGCCCCTGAAGGTACTGATCCTGCTCCTTGGTTTGCCAACAAGCTTCAAGGACCTCGTGCTGAACAATGGCTTCACAACGAGATCCTTGACTTTTACGACTACGTCAAGCCTCGCGATTTTGAGAATCAAGTCCGCGAGGATCTGGTCAAGCGTATCGAAAGCGCAGTCAGAAAGACTTTCCCTGACTTGAACGTTCGTGCCTTTGGATCCTTTGCTTCCGGACTCTATCTGCCCACTGCTGATATGGATCTTGTTGCCTGCTCAACTCGTTTCCTGAACGGCGGCTTTGCCAACCCACAGCCAACGAGAAATTGGATGTATAAGTTCGCCAATTGTCTCAAAAGAGCTGGGATCGCCATTGAGTCGTCAGTGACCGTCATCGCAAACTCCAGAGTGCCTCTGGTAAAGTTTGTTGAGAAAGTAACTGGTCTGAGGGTTGATGTTTCGTTCGAGAATGATAGTGGACTTCTCGCCAACAAAACCTTCCAAGTCTGGACAGAGCGATACCCTGCCATGCCTATCATTGTATCCCTGATCAAGCAGTTCCTCGTCATGAGAGACTTCTCTGAGGTCTTCAGTGGTGGTCTTGGTGGTTACTCGGTTATCTGCCTGACCATCACCGTACTCCGCGTCCTCGAGGAGCGTAACGGCCCGGACTGGGACCCCATGCAGGCCCTGGACGCGGTTCTGATGAATTTCTTTGTGTACTATGGTAGAGACTTTGATGTTCACAAGCACGGCATTCAGATGGAACCCTGGAACATCGTCACTAAGGTAAGTGCTTAGACTTATGCGACTTATCACGTAAGGCAGCGAGTTTGGTTTGCTTGGGTATATCTGCTCCAAGTATTACCATCGAGTGCATTGATCGCTGCTGCTGATCAAGTTTCGCACCTTTTATCCTTTCACTATGTGATAATTTCATCAGAACTCAAGCTAACTTTGTCAGNNAAATCGTGGAGAAACGCCAAAGGCCAGCCATCCAAACAGGATAGGCTCCTCATCATTGACCCCAACAACTACAACAACGACATCTCTGGAGGATCTAGTTCCGTCGTCAAGATCTTCGAGAGGTTCGCCGATGCCTTCAGAGAGCTCAACATCTGCATGTCCGATGCCGAGGACACACACAAGGAGAGCGGTGATATCATCAGCATTCTTGAACGTGTTTGGGGTGGCAACTATGCGCTCTTCGAAGCCCAGCGTTCCCGTCTGAGAGCTGTATGGCAGCAGAATATGGCAAGGTATGCTGCTATGCACTCAAGAAACAGAACACATCAATAACGGTAACGTCAGCGGCAGCAACTTCCCGCGTGGCATTAACAACAACAACCAGGGTGGAAAGGGTCACGGCGGATATCAAGGTAATCCAGGAAACCCTCCTGCTGGAAACCAAGGAAACCAGAATAATCAGCCACAACAGGGCAAAAGGCCCGCAGACGGTGATTTCAAACCGAGCAAGAAGCAGAAGACGAACAACGACAACGAGAAGAAGTGGGCATAATCGACGTACGAAACTTCCGACAGCAGCTGACTGATTTCAGGCGTGCACCTTTGCACATGGAGTATGACGACCCTACGGGTGAAGTGACAGCAGAAGTATCAGGTCCAGCAGGGGCCGTTGGCAAGAGGAAGAAGTCATCTGATGCAACAGCTGGTGCTCCTCGACCCAAGAAACAGAAAAGCGACGATAAGAACGAAACGCAGACGACCGACGACAAGAGCGAGAAGCAGAAGATACACGAGGAGAAAGACCGTGCGAAGACTTTCAAGAAGAACCATCCTGGCGTGACCGGCATACCGGACAGAATGGACAAGATCCTGTTCAAGCAACTCACCAAGAAACACGGCAAAGACACCAATCCGAAGCCGAAATCCAGGAAGAAGCACAACTAGCTGCTGATTGACGAACAACACATTCTGGGATGGTTCCCTATTGATACGACCTTCTGATCGGTATGATTGCTTTGTCATTCTATCCTCGAGGCTGCAGTATTTTTCGTTGCCGGCATTTTCACGTACACATTACTTTCTGCAGGGATTTTACATATGGAGTGGCGCACCGTCGGACTTGCTGATACCCCGTCACTCACGGCCTTGTAACGATAGCTTTTCATTTTACACATTCACAGCGACAGTTGTCGAGCATTCCCTCTGTACTTTACTTGTTTTGCGGTGCCTGGTGGACTAATCCAAGAACAGAGTTGCCAGGATGGCTCTAGAGATGCTGACAAGAATGCAGGTATTCACAGTGGGACAGTGGGCTTGAATAGATGTCTCTCTTTGGGACACGGACAAGAATCCAGAAATGCTATCAATCAGATGTCTGCGGACTGTGATTCGATTAGCAGGGTTGCTGATCCTCCCTTCTGTGCCGCGCAAGCGGTGCAGAGGGTCTTTTCTCATTGGATGGCCTGCTTTATGCAGGCGCCTGAAGAGGATAGAAACGTGGAAATGTACAACAAGAGGATGTTTCCGTCTAAAGTAGTTCTCAAGCGAGGAGCAATGTACTTGTAGCATGAACGGGTCAAAGGCGGTCCTTGAACAAGAGTCATGTCATTCCATTCAGAATTGGTCTTGTGCTCAGTGATTGGAGGGGCAGCCCCGCCCTCCGTCACCGCCCGCCTTCTTGGCGCTCAACATCAACAATCTATTCCAGGAGAGAGGGCCCTTGTCGGTCACAAACCATTCAATAATTTCATCTGCAAAATCTCCACGGCCCACGCGCAACCCACTCCGACCCCTCCAACCTTCCTATACACATCTTCACAACCGCAACAATGTCGTGGCAAGGTAAGCTCTTTCCGCCCTTACCGCATGCCCATGGCGAGCTTGTCGGCTGACTTTTGAATCTCCAGCATACGTCGACCAGAGGTACACACCGCCATCGCCACTACCCGCTGAACCATCACTGACATCCGACCTTCCAGCCTGATTGGCACCGGCAACATCGACAAGGCCGCCATCTTCAACAGCGAAGGCAACAGCGTCTGGGCCACTTCCGCTGGCTTCACTGTGCGTTACTCCACCACCCACCGCTGAACATGATCCGAGAAAGAGCTGGGTTGCGCATATCTGCGGATGGGCTGAGTCAAAGCAAGAGCATGGACTGAACGTGTGATTCTCCAGGTTTCCCCTCAAGAAATGGCCGAGGTCGTCTCTGCATTCAAGGACACCTCCGACGTCAAGAAGGTCCAGAGCACTGGCCTCCACATTGCTGGTGAGAAGTTCATCGTCCTCAAGGCCGATGACAGAAGCCTGTACGGCAAGAAGGTACGTCTCGACGAGTATCCCTCTCTTTGTCCGTCACAAAACTGACAAGCAACCAGGNGCAAGGAAGGCATCGTCATCGTCAAGACCAAGCAGGCTCTCCTCGTCACCCACTACCCCGAGCACGTCCAACCGGGTGTTGCCGCCAACACCGTCGAGCAACTCGCCGACTACCTGATCAGCGTCAACTACTAGATGTCCGTCTTTACCGACATGTCCACATCTTCTCTGTCGAATTTCTTTGACGTTGAGATTTGAGGCTCGACTCCCTTTTTCGTTTCCTTGATTGTGCCGGGTGCAGAGAGGAAAAGACTGGGGCTCTCGATCCAAACAAAAATACCAAAACAGCAATGCTGTGAAACCGATTCAAGACTTGTGCATAGCGAATACATCTATCCTTTTGTTTATCTCCTCTTTTTGCCTCTGATGATGTTTTGCGTGTAGACGAAACATAAATTTTCATGGTCGTGGTTCGCTTTAAGAGTATCTGCCACACTGATTAGAGTACTGTTGTTCACGGCATACCACAATCGATCTTGTGAAACTCATTGAGCAGGTATTGTGTTGCTTCTATCCCATCTGAATCATGATCTGCCTGATGGGTTCTGCATGAAACAAGGTTGAGAAGAACATCAATGTCCCTTCGAGAGTTCTGCCGGCGGTGGTGACGCTCACCGCCTTCGGGCAACAGCAGCTGCTGTTTCCGCACAACGAGCCTTGCTGCATGAACACTCATCATTTGTATCAGACTTGTAAAAATCGGTGGATGAATCGAGCGTCTTGTTGAGTTTCCCAGACTGTGTATGATCCACAGAACTATGGCTGTTCTACTGCCTTACCGCTACAATTGATGACCGGATCATGGACAATCATGTCAAGACACGCAGGTACCTGGTTCAATATGCCAGCAACTGATGCAAACGAGTGAGCACGGGTATAATTTCTATCATGTCCGAGTCCTGCAGGAAGTATGGGTTACAGCAAGTCATTCTCCGGTGATACACTACTGGTTCTGGAAAGCACTGTGCTTGTCGACAGCCGAAGGTGAGTGTTCTGGAAGCAAGGAGTGTTGGTGTGAAAGAGTTGGTCGACGGAAAGCTGCAGAACTCGGTGGATGGGTGTCTTTCACTTTCCGTTGTCTGGAAACACGGAGGGATTGTTGCGATGATTGTGAGTTTCGTCGGCTTTTCTTCTTGTGTTTGCGCTTTCCCATTTTCATCCACCCGCAACTCCTCGACTTCTTCCCCATCATCGTTTTACTGTCATAATCAATTCAATCACACACGCCACGCGCCTGGCGATCACATCATGCGGCGCAAAGGTCCATCAGGCGTCTGCTTTGATTTCCAANAGGGCAAATGCAGTCGCGGTGCAGGATGTCCTTTCTCGCATGACCTCACAGCACGCAACACACATCAACGTCAAGGCTCTAGAAGAGACAAGGATACGACTTCGCCAGTACTCGACAGTTGGAAAGACATGGCCTTTCAAAAGTCTTCGCTGGGATTTGGTCTGAGCAAGTTCCTTGATCAGGCATTGCACTTGATCCAACTCGATAATGCTTACCGTCAAGAAGTCATCAAGAGTCTCGCAACCGACAAAGGCTTGACCAAGGTCCTCGAACTTGTGAGCCAGAAATTTGAAGGCATGTCAGAGAAGACCCTCGTACACATCTTCGTCTCCCAGATCAGTCCTTTCTTCCGCATCCTCTCCGAACAGCACGTCCTGTCTTCACCTCTTCTCGAACGTTATCTCGGGGATATTTGCCAATTTCTCTATGGAGTGGGAGGTAGCAGAGGCGAAAAATTGTTTGCTGCCGTCGTCCGAGCCCTGAGTGCACTGTTGCAGAAATCTGACATCGACTTCTTCACCTCGCTAGAAGCATCTCTTGCGGTACTCGCTAAGCTTTTTGAGTTCAACAGTACAGCCAAAGTCACCNCCTGTCTCTCAACATATGCAACTGTTCTGGCCGCCATGTTGGCACCCCAATCTGATCCGGCTGCAGACACTTTGCGCTATCAAGCAGCAAAGCATCTGGAAGATATCAACAAGCGTTTAGGCATCGGCACTGCAATTCGCAGTATCGACTCCTCTCACACTCAGAATGCCGGCACGGCTTCAAAGTCAACATTCTCCCTGAATCGCAGTCTCNCTGGAAGACTCCCTAATGGACGGCCTCGACACAACAACGACTTCGACTCGATCGAGAAGATTCAGATTATGCCGACGTCAGAAGAAATCCAGAGCACTCATGCAGAATATCTTCCTTTGCAGGATCCATCTACCTGGCACAAGGGAGGTGTTGCTGGCCTTCTCGACCGTCACTTCAGGTTGCTACGCGAGGATACTATCGGCCAGCTGCGTGACAGTGCTCGCGTCGAACTCGAAGCTCTCCAAGGCTTGGAGCCTCAGCATGGCAAGTCGACCCTCCGAAAGCATACTTACAGAAACGTCCTCGTGGAACTGCCCAAGTTCGACTCCCTCCGAGGCTTGGAGTTTGTCATCAGCTTCGATCAGCCACCAGAGCTCAGATCGAAATCGAAGAAGCAACGTCAGGACTGGTGGGCTCATTCGAAGAGATTGGATGGTGATGCTCTCATCTGTCTCATCAGCTCAACCCGTGCGTTTGTCTTCTGCAGTGTCTGCTTCCCGCATGATCTGTCAAGAAGACCTGCAAAGGATAAGGATGAGGGTCCTGATCCACACCGAAACATCGTCTCGCACTCGGACAATCGCGTTCGTGTGATCGCCCGACCTAGTGAGATGAACGCAGAGAGCATTGCTCACATCCTTGGTATCTNNTCCTGAAACTTGTCTTGACTCTAGTTGGCAGTGCTAATCCAGTCTCTTAATCTAGGTATCTTCTCTCAAAAGGACTTTCAAGGCGGTCGTTCGTTAGTCGAATTTCCCGGAGTGCTCCTCCCCGCATTCTTGCCCACACTCACTGCTCTAAAGGCTATCTCCAGAAGCGGAAACATGCCCTTCTCCGACTTCCTTGCTCCCTCCCAACGTAGCGGAGAAGGTACTGTTATCGTTCCACCACCCGCCTACTCTCAGAGAGCCGGATTCAGTTTCGAGCTTGACTCTGTCATTCAAGACGGGAGTTCATCGTTCAATCCCACAAAACTCAAGCAATCGGACATCGATGCCCTTCAGAAGGCATCAACCTTGGACAACACACAAGCCTCTGCGTTGCTGAGCTCACTTTCTCGATCGTTTGTTCTCATCCAGGGCCCTCCTGGAACCGGCAAAAGCTACACCGGTGTCGCATTGATGAAGACCTCGGTCAGCAACAAACAGACATCAGCACTTGGCCCCATTTTGGTCGTCACTTTTACCAACCATGCTCTGGACCAGTCTCTTGAACATCTTCTTGACCAAGGCATAATGCAGATCATCAGATTAGGCTCAAACTCCAAGTCTGAGCGGTTGGCCGGCCTCAACATCAGAAAAGTTGCCGCCAAGGTTGAACGGACGAGAGCCGAGAACTCCGAATACGGAAAGACTAGAGGACAGATGAATGATGAGACAGAAGCCATCAAACGACATCTGAGAAGTCTCGCTCGCGTCACGCAAGATATCAGAGACTATCTGGCCCGAAAACATCCTGAATACCACGTACAGATCTTTGGAGCTGGTCGTGACGAAGAGGGCTGGGAGGAAGAGCGACATGGAAACATGGGCCAACGCTTCAAAAAGTGGTTGCATGGAGGCAAGCATCTCCAAAGTGATCGTACTCTTGAGGCAATCACCAGGACCGACAATGTGCACAATCTTTCCAATAATGAGCGTCGCTTGTTGCACGACTACTGGCTTCGCCTGGCACAGAAGCGAACTCTAAATACTCTCGTCAATCGGGCTCAAGGATTCAACGCACTCAAACTGAGACTAGACACCATCAAGAACGAAACCGACCTTCGGGTGTCCAACGAAGCCAACGTCATTGGTGTCACTACTTCAGGTCTTGCTTGTAACCTGGAACTTCTGCGCAAGCTACCTTCCAAGATCCTACTGTGCGAGGAAGCCGGTGAGGTTCTCGAATCCCATCTTCTGACAGCTTTGCTACCGTCTGTTGAACACGCCATCCTCATTGGTGATCATCTGCAGCTGCGTCCGCATGTTCAATGCTACAATCTTTCACAAGAAAGCGCTAGAGGTCAGCAACACGCCTTGGACACCTCTCTCTTCGAGAGATTGGTCACCGCGACCGATGGTGGTGCTCGTCTTCCGTTTAGTCGTCTCGACACGCAGAGACGTATGCATCCCGACATTGCTGAGCTAGTACGCAGCACACTCTACCCTACACTTTCCGATGCGCCATCGACCTCGGAGCACCCTCAGGTGGCCGGCTTGAAGAAGCGATTGTTCTGGCTCGATCATCAGCATCCCGAAACACAAAGCGAATTGCAGTCCACATAGCACACAAATGATTACGAAGTGGAGATGACAACTGCCCTGGTGTCCCACCTCATTAAGCAAGGTGTACACAAGCCTGGGGCTATCGCTGTCCTCACTCCATATGTTGGTCAACTTAAGAAGCTGCAGCTCCGTATGCAGAGCGCCTTTGAAGTTGTCCTAGACGATCGCGATATCAAGGTCTTGGAAGACGCGGGTCTAGATGATGCCGCGCAGTCAAGAGCTCCACCCGCGCCCGGTATCCAGAAAGGCTCAATGGCTTCAGCTGTTCGTATCGCCACTGTCGACAACTTTCAGNGGGAAGAAGCTGATGTCGTCGTGATCTCCCTCGTGAGAAGCAACGACCAGCAAAAGTGTGGATTCTTGCGTACCTCCAATCGCATAAACGTTCTCCTCTCACGCGCCAAGAATGGCATGTACATCATTGGCAACTCGGCTACCACGCAACATATTCCAATGTGGACAGAAGTTCTTCAGCTTCTCCAGATGAACGGCAATGTCGGCGACGTTCTCGAGCTGTCGTGTGCAAGACACCCAGAAGATGTCATGGGAGTCAGTGTGCCTGATGACTTTGTTCGACTTGCATCTGACGGTGGCTGCAACCTTCCATGTAGCCAACGTCTACTATGCGGCCATGTCTGCGACAGCGCTTGTCACTCACAAGTCCTTCACGATGCCGTCAAATGTCTCGAGCCGTGTCCTAGACAGCCAGGCACCAACTCTTGCGCACATGCGTGTCCCAACAAGTGCGGCGAGATCTGCCCGGACAAATGTGTGGCAATCGCCAAAGACATCACGGTTGAGCTCCCTTGCGGTCACATCAAGACTTCTCTGCCATGCTGGCAGTACTATGAGCAAGAGCAGATTGTTTGTCATGAAACCGTCACGCGTGTGGTTCCTGGATGTGGACATGAAGTCCAAGTCAAGTGCTGCGTGGACGTGAACAGCGACGAATTTTTATGCCGAGCAAAGTGTGGCGATACACTAGCATGTGGTCATGTCTGCAAGAACTCTTGTAAGAACTGCAAGAAGAGAGTCGAATGTCGCATCATCGAAACCAAACATGGCTCCTGCCGTCAACCATGTGGTCGCGACTTCCTGAACTGCTCTCACACTTGCGACAAGCCTTGTCATGATGGTACCGATTGCGGTCTTTGTGACCAGCCGTGCGAAGTCAAGTGCGAGCATTCTCACTGTGGTCAGCTGTGCTCTCAGCCTTGTGCTCCACGTGCCAATGAGAAGTGTTCGTCCTGCTGCCCTCACAGTAAGTGCAGCATGCCCTGTGGAGCACCCTGTGATTGGATCCCTTGCTCTCAGCGTTGTACGAGCACCCTCAGCTGCGGTCACCAATGTCCGAGTGTCTGCGGTGCGCCTTGTCCTGATGTTCGGTTTTGTCAAGAATGCGCTAGCGAGGACACCAAGTCTCGCGTAGTAGACTTGATAATGATGAGCCAGTACGAAGACATCGACCTAGACGAAGACCCCTGCATCTTTCCTACATGTGGTCACTTCTACACTACCGCCACCATGGATGGCCACCTCAGTCTTGTTGAGCATTATGATTTGGATGCAGATGGGCTACCGATCGCGTTGAAGGTTCCTGACGATGGTCTCGATGTGGACAAGACTCGTATCGTCTGTCCTGATTGTCGTCGTTCTCTGCGCGAGCTCCCAAGATACGGCAGAGTCGTTCGTCGCGCCCTTCTCATCCAGAGTACACTGAACTTCATCACTTGGTCCAACAACGACTATGTCAAGTATTACGAGTCTTTCTCCGGTGCACAGAAGGCCTTGAAGGAGACACTGGAACAAGCAAGACCAGCAGAAACAAACCTCCGCTTGGACGGGTCTCGAGACCAACAAATGCATACCATCAAGACTGCCATGTCCAAGCTCAGATACGAGAAAGTGCTCAAACTGAGGTGGAAGATCCATGACTTCAAGGGTCAAGTCGGTAGCCACGAGCAGCCATTCAAGCGTGTCCAGACATTGGTTCGCCATGCCCGTCTGAACAAGCGTACTGAAGGAGACTTCACCTTTGACGAAAGTGTCATCTTGCAGACTAGATCGTACTCGCTGGCAACATCGTTGCTGATTGGTTGCGACCTTGTCATTCTATCGGATGTGCTTGCTGTGCGTTCATCCAAGGCTCTTCCAGTCAACTTGGCCACGACACTGGACTTCAGCAAGAATCGCAAAGACTGCGAGACTTTGTTCAAGATTGCCAACGAAGGAAATCATCACCTTCAACAGGTCGAAGCTCTCATCTTCTGGGCATAATTTGCTGCCCTAGAAGTCTCCTGGCGCTCGTCACACGGCGAAGAAAGGCATGCGACAAACTTTGACAAGAAAAATGCAAAGAATACTGACAATCAAAACAGTGACAAAAATGCGACCGACACACTCCGCACCCAAGCCCGAGAACGCCTTGAGCAAGCCCGCATCTTCTGCGCCCAACACTCCCAAGCCCGCATGGTAGCCTCCGAGATCGAAGAAATCGAGAAGATGCTACGCGAGAGCACTTTCTTCCAGCCTATCACCAATGAAGAGATGGACAATGTGGTCAAGGCCATGGCTCGTGAGTTTAGGGGAACCGGACACTGGTATCGTTGCCGTAATGGCCATCCTTTCACGGTCGGCGAATGCGGTGGTCTTGTTACAGAGTCTGTGTGTCCTCAATGTGGCGAGCCTGTTGGAGGACGCAACTATCATGCCGCTGAAGGTGTTACCCGTGCTGTTGATCTGGAGACGGGAATTGGCAACATGAGACTGTGAACGATTTGGCTGTAGGCCATAATGGAAAGAGAGTGTACAACTGTATTGCTCAAGATCGCTATGTAAAGGCAGCCACTCACCTGTGGTTTACAGATCAGTACATAGACTTACTCCACCAACAATACTGTTCCTAACAACAACTTTGATCTCTACTTCTTTGCGCCAGCTGGTTCAGTCCAAGATCAACCAAGACAAGGAAATCCCGAGTATTGATTTTGCTAATTTTCAAAACTGTTGTTTCTGTATCCAGAGAGATACCCACAGAGAGCTAACAATCAAGAGCATGAAGTGTAGTAGCAGTAAGCAATGGTTTTCGACTCGGTTCAATCCTAAGCTCAAGATTACTTCATTTCCAACACTATATTTTGACCTCGGACGCTTCTTTCTTTGCGGACGCAATAAGTTTTCCAGCACAAGCCATGGACATTGAAGGCGAGCCCGAGACCGCCAAGGGACGCCGTAACATCGATCAATTGCTGAAGGATCCCGAGGAGGATCAGGACGACGACGATAAATGATTAGTCGATTTGTCCATTCCGCTATTCACTGAGGAGGAGATTGAAGGAGGTATCGATGAGGGGTGGGAGGAGGTCTCCGAAGGCGATAAGGATCCCGAAGCATCTGCAGCCATAGACGTCGACATTGAGCAATGATGTTGCTTCTTTTGAATTCCATCAGCAGGACTAACTTTCTTCTGTTCGCCAAATGTTGATTATCTGATATTGAGAAGCAGCCTTTCATTGGCTTAAGCAAAAGAGACAGATAACATAAACTGTTAAGGAGTATGGCATTGCATCTCAGAAAGCACGCAGAAGATCGTTGAGAACTTCGCAACGATTCTTATGCATAGCAGACGAAGAGGAAGTCAAGAAGATTAAAACACCACCACCTCCTTTCCCTCCTCCCGCAAAGAATGTAAAAAGACCACCCGCTAAACGAAGGAATTATCTATTAATATCACGAATAACGTAGTTGAAAAGTACGAGAGGTTGAATGAGATGAACCCGAAAAGACAACTATGCCTTTGAATAGAACACCATTGTTTTCGGCTTAGATAGAGAATAAAGATGGTTAATTACGTATAAGATTGTACAATGATCGATGAGATATGACAGGAAGATACAAAGTGAGGTGAAGAGCAAGGGTAGCGCAAGGTCAAGTATTTGCCACGCAATATTAGAGCGTAGAGCAAATATACAGCTATAGAACAAACCACTCTGTAGAGCAATGGGCGACCGCGGCTTCGTTCGCATACCTCATACAGCCGAGTAGACCATCAGCTCCTCGTATGTAGAGAGGAAAAAGAAAGGGAGGATTGACAAAGGAAGAGAAAGTAGTTTGAAATGGGAAGAGGAAATCAGAAGAGAAAAAGCTTACCTCTTAACCGATCACGGTAGATATGCGAGCTCAGACGCAGCAAGCAAAATGAGATCTATTTTGACAAGAACTGTGAATAGCCTGGATTAGTATGAAAGAAGTCAGTGAGTCTGGAAGTGGACGCGGTTTTAGACGTATATCTGTGATATCGCCCTGAGCATTAGTGATCAGTCATTTGTGTAATGGGACAATTTTGAAGATCTGCCAATGATCTGATTGACGTAAGATTCATGCTGCTCCTGGGACCGATGCGCGCGTTCTATCATTGGTGATGAACAATTGCGGGTGTGAATGAGGCTGTAGAGAAATGGAGCGAAGCGGAGTCCAGAAGTTGTGCTGATAGCCGTCAAAAAATAAAGATATATATGGGTAGAAAGTGCTTCAAGCTTTAACAAACCAGCTCTGCTGGCGCAATGGTAGCGCGCAAGACTTCTAATCGTCTTCTCGATGAACTGAGATCTTGAGGCTGTGGGTTCGAGCCCCACGTGGAGCTTTTTCTTTTGCCCTGTTCGAGCACCATAGATCTTTCTTCTGCTCCCAAACATGTGTATATAGGGTCAGAAATGTGATTGAAGCTGTGGTTGTGATTTTGCACGGATTTTGGTGATGTGGTGGGAGAGCTTTCAGGGTCCGATGCGAAATCTTGGCACTGAAACTCGACTCGTGCACGAGCCCGCGGTCGGCATCCTGAATCGCTAACTCCGTGGCCGATGCAAACCTCCGAGAAGCTCGACAATGTTATTCGGACAAGTCTTCTAAGAACATGAGAGATGAGCAAGGCTTTGCAACGACTGCAGCAATGTCTTGAGCGACAGGCGCAGTTCTGCGGGTTGAATGCGTTCGTCACCCGCGCCAATGCCACACAACTCCAGGACGCAGCTGGTGCCATAGTCGACAACCAGTCTGAAGGTATGGNNCTTCCATCTTCACTACCTAGCAAGACACTGACGAGGACAGGTTCAGCACTCACCGGAAGGATAATCGCCATAAAAGACAATATCGTCACGAAAGACTACCCGACCACGGCATCTTCANAAATCCTCGACGCATACAACTCACCATACAATGCGACTGTTGTCGACAAACTTGCATCAGCTGGCGCCCTGATATGCGGAAAGACCAACTTGGACGAGTTCGGAATGGGATCACACACCCGACCAGTGTTCACATCAACCACACAAAGTCCATACAAGCGCAATGGACAAGCTCTTTCGGCAGGTGGAAGCAGTGGAGGAAGTGCAGTAGCAGTCGCGACAGGTCAGGCTTGGGCTGCGCTTGGAACAGATACTGGAGGTTCGGTTAGATTGCCGGCTGCATATACTGGTACTGTTGGCTTTAAGCCCAGCTACGGTCGGCTTAGTCGATGGGGCGTCATCGCATATGCCAATTCACTGGATACTGTTGGCACTTTGACTCAGACTGTTGGGCACGCTCGGGACATCTTCAATGCGCTGGATGGCTTTGATCATATGGATCCTACGAGCTTGTCCAAGACGGTTCGTGACAGGATTGCAGGTCAAACCACCGCCTGGTCTGAGAAAAGGAAATTGCGTATCGGCATTCCGCTAGACTACAACACTGCTTCACTATCTCCCGAGGTCTGTCAAACCTGGTCTCAGCTATTGTCAACACTGCAGNATGCTGGACACTGGCTTCATCCAGTGTCCCTACGTTCAACGCATCAAGCACTTTCGGCATACTACGTCTTGGCTCCAGCAGAGGCATCCTCCAACCTCGCCAAGTACGATGGTGTACGCTATGGTAACCGTACCTCAGGTCCTGATGCCAACCCGAAAGAGAACCTTCCATTATTTGCCGCCACCAGAGGTGAAGGATTTGGTCCCGAGGTTCAACGCCGTATCCTTTTGGGAGCTTACACGCTGAGTTCGGAAGCCATGGACAATTACTTTGTGCAAGCGCAACGAGTGCGCAGACTGGTGCAAATGGACTTTGATAATGTGTTTACCCTGCAGAATCCATTGTTGGATACACGAACCGAGAAGTCGAGCGATGCAACCACTGTTGACGTTTTGATTGCACCGACCGCTCCGACATTGCCACCAACGTTGGCCGAGGTGGAAAAGCTGAGCCCGGTCGAGATGTACATGAATGATGTGTTGACAGTACCTGCGAGTCTGGCAGGGTTGCCTGCTCTGAGTGTACCCGTCAAGCTACAAGGTGGTGCCAAAGAAACAGGAGATGTTGATTCTGTTGGCATGCAGGTGATTGGACAATTTGGCGATGATGCGCTAGTCCTCCAAGTGGGTCAAATCATCGAGAGCCTACAAGCCAAAAGTGCTTGAGAGGTCACATAAAACAAGAAAGAGCAGTACTCTGCTACACAGAATAGTGGGTAGTGTGTAGAACTTCGCCTCTCATTCACAGCTTGTTATCTCTACATTTCAAAAATCAAGTCTCGGCAACTCACGCATGTATCAAGCTCTTGACTCTAAACTTTGGCGGAGTTGTTTTCTTGTTCGAGTAGCTTTGACGAATCTTGCTCAGAAGCGAGCTTGATGAGTGGTTGGTTTTAGGATTCACCATGTGGCTACCACGAGTGAGATGTGTCATTCTGACGACTCAGCCGAATCGAAATTGGAGCATTTGACCTTATTGGCATTCAAGCAGGTCCTTGGGGTGTGAGGGGGAGGCGTAACGGGATACGGCTCGTTCTCGCTCTTTGCGAGGTCTTTGTGTATATCTTGCGTCTGTTCTTGCTCTTGTCTCGGTGTTTTCTCGAGACACGTCTACACAGCTGTTCAGACCTCGAAACTCAGCATTAAGCTCCATTGCAAGCAATCGTCAACCAAACCTTCCACAACCCCACCCCATCAGACCCCATCACGACCTCAAGATTCGCCACAAAAGACACACACACACACACACACACACACACACACACACACACACACAACTGCTGGACATGGCCCATAGTAACCCCTTTCAAACATACCAGCCACCAGCATCTCCAAACAATGTCACCGACAGACTATGCCAGATGACCAACACCCTCCACATCAAAAACCCCTACCGCAAATATCATCCTTGTGGTGTACCTTGCCCCGAGGGCCCTAATACCTTCCAACTCAATCTCAGACGCGAGAAATGGTGGCAGATGCTGCAGGAACACGCTTGGAAGGAGCAGGTCATGATGCAGAAATTTCGTGTTGAGGAAGAGAGAAAGGAGATTGGGAAGCAAGAGCAACAAGGGAAAGAGAAAGAAGTGGTGGCTTCAGAGCAGAATAGGCATAGGAAAGATAGTCTGGTTGTTGGGGAGAAGGGTGTTGCGTCTGCAGATACCGGTACGGGTGAAGNNGGGTTGGAGATGGAGGAGACGCTGCTGCTGCATCGGCAATCTGTGATTCCTCTGACGAGGGAGAAGAAGACAAGCAAGGCCAGTCTGAGCAGGTAAAAGACGTCAAGACGAGAAAGACAACTGTGGGAAAGGACAAGGAAAAAGGACATAAGCATGAGCACAAGGNTACGGAGGGTGAGGCCTTTGGGTTGTATACTGACTCATGCTAGGCAAGGGTCGGGAGCAAGTGGGACTTCTTCTAGGACTTCTGCTTCTCATTCAGAGGTGGATGTCAAGGAGGTCTGCCATGAAGAGTGATGGTTCGAATAGTAGGCACAAATCGAAAGACACACATAAGAGCTTGCTGTGCTTGTGTTTGTTACCCTAGCTTGAGATGATTCACTATGTTCAGACTTGATCGAGGTTCGCCACAAATTAGAGACGGCCAGATATGATTGAATACACTTGTCCGAGATGAGAAGAAGTCCAGAGCAGGTTAATATAATGATCGGAGGTCGGTAGGAGCCGAGGGCTGGGATGCAATGATGATGCAGGTCTGAGCTTTTGATGGTCGTTGGCGTCTGGAGTCGACGCGACACATGCAAGATCGGTTTGCAACCAACACGAGTAGCTTTTAGATTCTTACACCACTTCACTTTTACCTTTACTTCTCCTCTTCAGCGTCTCCTTTTCCTTCTCCAACGCAATCATGGCAAAGAACAAGCAGCAGCAGGAAAAGCCGAGCCTCTCGTTCGATGACATGATCAAAGCAGGCATGTAGCGCGCAACACCATCAACGGAATTCGCAATTGACGTCGCATCCACAGATCGTCAGAAGCGCAAGGCAGAGAACCTGGCTCAAGAAATCTTTGGCAAGAACCGTCGTCAGAGCGCCCCTCAGAACAACCCCAATAACAAGAAGTCGCAAACGCCCTTGGGCGGAAGTCTGGCCAGTCGAGTCGGCATCACAAAGGCGCGTGGACCGACATGGAAGCGACAGAAAGCACATCTAACACCCAGCAGCGCTCATCCTCGGCCGCGTCTATCCCTACACTCGGCAAACAGCAACAGAACCGTGGCCAAAAGAATCGCAACAACCGTCAACCAGNCCGGAGGTGCAGACACCAGAAGAGATGCAGCATATCAAACGGCAGCACAACAGGCCCCGCCTGCCTCATTCAACATCCAGCAACGATCCTTTGCGACTGTCGGCAGCGAAATCTCAATCCGAGGAGCCGCTGGTCCCTATTGTGTCGTCGCTAGCAACTTTGCGCCAGGAACAACAGCTGCCGACATTGAGAGTGTTATGGCTCCGGTTGGTGGTGAAATGTCTGCCTGCANNAAGTTGGTCTCTGCCTCGCCCACTGTCATTGCAGAGATGCTTTTCCTGGACAAGGCCGGTGCTGACAATGTTATCAACATGTTCAACGGCAAGAAGGTTGGTCTGCAATTTGCGCTTGCTCACTCCACACACTGACCCAGCGCAGNNGCCGATGGAAGGATCCTGTACGTCTACCTTAAGGAGGGAGGTCCATCACAATCCATCCACTCTGCCACACCGCGCATCGCTTCTCCTGTCGTCATAGCCCAACCCGAGCCTGTTCAAGAACAAGGAGCCGAAGACACGATGGAGATTGAACAACCATACCCCGCCGAGCCCAGCCCTCTTCCACCTCACGAGCCTTCTCCCCGTCCTGCATACAACAACTCACGGTCTCGCGATGGTAGAGCCTCGTACCGTGAAGACTACGACCGTGGTAACCGTCATGCGGAACCAGACTATCAAGATGGAAGATATGGCTTCAAAGAGCAACGCTATAACGAGCCGCGCTATGATGATCGCCGTCCCAGATATCGTGATGAGGGTCGCATGTACTCGGATGACGTGATGCGCGGAGGTTCGCGTAGAGGTGGAGGAGGTCGCGGTGGTGGTCGCTACCGCGGATAGGAGCCAGACTGTGATGCTTGCAAGTTAATTGAGCGCTTGCATGAACTCGCAGACGAATACTCGCGAGATTGATATCTCAGAGCTTTGGGCTAGGGAGGTGCGTTTCGCCTTCTTGCTCTCTACCTAAGTATTACTTATTCTCATGATTCGAAAGTGAAAGAATGCGGCTCTGGTCTATTGCATTTCTGCGTTCGTGCTTGGTTCTTGCCATGAGCAGATCCTCTTTGCAGCGTTTCTTTTCTAGATTGTATCATCATGTAGAGGAATCAGACTCCAGTAGTATCAAAACCTGACAATCGCTCTTTCCAATCTGCACCTTCCGTGAATGCTCTCCAGACGATTGCACCTGCCTGTCAAAGAAAGCTTGACATGTGAAAGCAGCGCTTGGACCACGAGTTCATGACTTTGAAGGCAGCCAACCCGCAACCCTTCATCGGTTGACTCTCCACCAAACACACCTCACTGTCGCATACCCCGAATTCGATCGCATGGACCAGCAGTCGAACAAAATGGAGGAACATTGGACAGAAGCACAATACGAAGCAGCCCTTGCCCAACTGGAAGCCCTCACCGACAAGGTAGCCATCCCGGTCCACTCGCCCATCATAAACAAGACACTCACTAACAGCCCAACGCAGTTGACTGCACTACGAACCACCATCCCAGCCATAACATCCCCGCTCACACGACCCGCTATCACGAAACCTGCCGCCTTTGCTGGATTAAAGAAAGCGGCTATCGGTGCCGTTACTGGAGTTCAAGATTTGAGAAGAGAATGGGAGAGTGATGGCATGCAGGCTTTGTTGAAGAGGACGAAAGAGAGTTATGAGAAAGATGGTGATTTGAAACTTGCGAAGGAGGTTCCGGCGTGGGGGTGGTTGAAGGAGAGGGATGGGGAAGATGGTGAGGAAGTGAAGGGACAACAACAGGAGGTTAAGAAGGAGGATGGGGTTGGTGGATGAGATGGTTGGTTCCTCTGACTTTCCTTACGGATGCGTCAAGCTGCCGTCTTCCACTTCTACGACCGTCGCTGTCTTCCGGACTGGGTTCGCTCTTCTAGACGGAACGCAATTGCTGCTGATTCCCGCTCAGCCGAGGCTCTTACCATCGACTTGTGTTCAGCCAGCTTCAACATTTCTCGTCGACGCGTTGAGTCTGCTCTGGATCTCTACCTCGGCTCTAGCTCCACAGTGCTCTTCACCACATCTCGAGATCAGTCACGACACGAGCAATCGAGGCTTCTTGCTAGGTCAACCTAGTCGTCAATCGACTTTGCTGCTTATCGACTCTGAATGCGGTCTTGAGGATACGATCATTCAGGATTGTGGCAGTCTCATCTCAGCGAGTAACGTCTGTCTCGCTACGCCTTTGCAAGCGCATGTCCACTTCTACTCAATCTGGCGAACGACGTTGCAGAAATGATCATGTTCTGAACATCGGAACACGTATAACATCTGGACCTCGGGACAATCAAGGCCCAGCGGCTGATAGAGTCTTGCTAAACTCAACCACAAAGCCCTGGAGCATGGACAACGAAGTCCTGTCCAGGGAAGGATATCGAGACTCCACAATAGAGAGACGCGGTGCTTAGAGAGATAACGCGGTGTTAAGGTCATCAATGCGATCCTCGAATGATGCAATCTTTTCTAGGGGGATAAACAACCAGGTACCTTTGGCTCGCAGAGAAAGCGTCTCTATTCTCGTATCGCAAGCGCTTCTTGTTTTCCAAGGTTGAGTCTAATGGATATGTGAATTTATATTTAGTTTTACCGAAGCATATCTTATCAAGCCCCTTTAGCTCAGTTGGTAGAGCGCGGCACTAGTAATGCCGAGGTCGCCGGTTCGACTCCGTCAGGGGGCATTAGTTTTGCCAATCTTTTTCTTCTTATCTCAAAATGGTTTGGCATCGAATAGCTCTTTTGTTCGTTGTTGTTCTGACAAGAAACGATTTCTGGTGTGGATTTTTGCGAGGCTGCGGGTAAGCTCGCAAGCCGGGCATAAAAGCTTGGCGGGAAGTTCGCATCACTTTTGCGCCGACGAATCTCGCTTCCCTCCTCCTCCTCACCCTCTTCAGATCGAATATCCAAATCCATGCGTGATATACGGCGATCATGACACGACCATTTTCGACCGCTTAATCCAGAGAACGCCATCTGCACGCAGCGACCGATTCCATAATAAAGCTCCGACTTGAAGCACGAGAACCCTGCAGACTACTCTGCGGAGGAATTCGATGCCGGCTCAGCTGCAAGCGCCCGGAGTATACCCATACCATTGTGTTTATGTCCGGATACTTTGTCAAAATGTACCATCATCACTTGAGTTGATTTATCAATTCCAGAGGAGTGGCCACACGCGTATACAGATTCTAATGTCCGGAGTGGACCAGCTTTCGTGATGGCGCTCATCATACCGGACGCAAGTTCATCCATGGTATCATGATAAATAGAGGCAAGTCACCTGTACAAATACAACAACAACAAAGCCATCAGTCTTCAATCCTCTCTTGTGCCAAATCCTTCTTCAATTCATCATCCCAAGTCACCAAGCGCTATGGCTGCTTCTATCGCCCCTTACCAACCCTATGCCGACAGATATCTCGGTGGCCCAGCTTCTGGCCCGACTGCTGGAGAAATCGTCAACGATCTCGGTCTTGTTGGCAAGCTCCAAGACAAGGTCATCCTGATCACAGGTGCTTCGGCTGGAATCGGTCAGGAGACTGCTCGTGTCCTTCACACCACTGGAGCAAAGCTCTATCTCACGTTCCGTGACAAGGTCAGAGGACAAGCAGTCGTCGAAGACTTAGTATCACAATATCCCAACGGGCAGAAGCCTGTGCTCATCGAGATGGAACTTGCAAACCTCGAAAGTGTCAGAAACGCAGCCAAAGAATTTCTCAATCAAGAAAAGCAACTTGATGTCCTGATCACTAACGCTGGTATCATGGCTGTTCCAGAAGGTCGCACCGTCGACGGTTTTGAGATGCAACTTGGCACCAACCACTTTGGACACTTTTTGTTCTTCCAGCTTCTCAAATCCACATTGATCGCTAGTGGAACAGTTTATTCTCCTAGCCGCGTGGTTACTATCTCGAGCGCTGGACACAAAGCAAGCGGCATCTTCTTTGACGACCTCGATTTGACCAAGCAAGGCTACCACCCCATGACGGCCTACGGTCAAAGCAAAACCGCCAACATCTACATGGCCAACTCAATTGATCGCCACTATGCCGCATCTGGTCTGCGTGCTGTATCCGTCCACCCAGGCTTGATCTTTGACACCCAGCTCGGACGTTACATGTCTCCAGAACAGCTTGCGGGATTTGCTCCGATGGCACCGTTCGCAAGATCTGTGGAGCAGGGTGCAGCGACTACTGTCTGGGGCGCACTTTCTCCGCACTTTAATAAGCAAGGTGGTGTGTATCTTGTGGATGCTGGTGTGTCGAGTGTTGCTGCTGAGGATGAGCCTCTTGGTGGTAGTGGTCATGCTCCTCACGCATTCAATGAGGAGGCTGAAGAGAAGTTGTGGAAGCTCAGTTATGCTGCTGTCGGTTTGGAGGAAGATAGCCAATAGGTATTCTTTGGTGGAATTCACGGAGAGTCGCTCAGGAGCAGCTTTCGGATTGTGCGCGCCTTGAGGAATGTTCAATTTACGCACGGTATTAATACGCTTAATTTCAGTTTCATTTTATCTTACATCATTACCGAGTTCTTGCCACTACACACATCTGAGACCGTGTTATATTCACCGCTCTGGTCGAGATGGCGGATTTTGAGTCTGGCATCCCGCCAGTCGTCTAGAGAGCGGACAAGAAGGCAAACAGGTTCATGAAGTCGATTTCTCTCCATCTCTCCTGGAAAATCCCTTGATTCCCATCAAAGGCTCTCTGACCGGACACCGAGCCTATAAAGGAGTTGATCTTCATCCTCGAGAGTCACAGGCCTGACCACCTCCCTTTTCTGACAACGTTAAGCTTCAACGATGATTCTTGTGTCTGACTGACATGCAAGCTTATGTGGACCATCGCGAGATGCAACCGTTGGCTTCATGCCATGCTGTTTGATGTATAGATAATCGTAATCAAGGGAAACATGATTGATGATTCATGGCGGCCACTGAATCCTTACAATGTACGAGTCAAGACCTAGTGCCTGCAAGCTTGAATTCAAGGAACATAGAAGTTGCGGGAAAATCATATGCAACGACGATATCTACAAAGAAACCGGCTTATGCGCATATACAATCGTATCACTACCTATGGATCTGTCTCATCAGCTCCAAGATTCGATACGTACAATCTACGATTTCAAATCATTGTGGTTCTGAGTTCATGATTTGGGAGGGGCTCTTAGAAGGATCGGAGAAGAGGAAGAGCAGAAAATCGACACCAGTACACAGAAGCCAAAGCTCACAACTGCGACACTTTGCTGCAATAACAGCGCCCACAATGAGCGCCACAGGGAGCTTGCTTTGCTCCTCCACGGCTCATTCGATCGAGGACTCGGACATTGAGAATTAAAGGGGATGTCGATGAACGATACAGGGACAACAAAACAGGCAGGTCCATGAACTGGTTCTCTTCTTTCTGATCTCAGAACACGCTTTGCCTATCTGATCGCAAGAAACGCAGTTATAAGTCATCTTGCAAAGGAGCTCTATAAGGGTTCACAAATTCATGGACCTGGCTACCTCCTTTCTTTGCCTTTGCAATCGCGCCTTGGATAACGGTTCTCTTATGCCACCTGCAGAATGCAGGGAATATTGGACCCGTGGTGTAGCTCTCTTGCATACACGCGAATGCTCAAGGAGTTTGTTTCTTTTAGATATTCCAGCTCGTTGATCAATTACTGGAATCCATGAATACTCTGCTGTTATTCTTCCTCATCAAGGCTTGTGGTCTCCGTATCTTCAAGCTAGACGTTGGTAAGATCGACTATGACTTTCATTTGTTTTTACAAGTTGTTGTAATGCAAATGAGCCTGATGATGTAAAGAAGATCGCACCTCACCGTCTCACAAGACATGAACAACACGAATCTCGGGAAACAGAGTGTGAATCTATGTATCTCAGTGATATCGTGATATCGTGATATTTGGTTGGCAAGTGTTCATTGAGGTGAAAACAAATAGAGAGGGAGTACCAATTAAGGAATGCTGACCTCTTGGCTTCGAGCTCTGATCATGTTGGGAGTACAGAACGACAGGAGATACAAGATACAGCCTACAAGGAAGGTAGTAGAAGACTTTTGGGGTTAAGATTGAAAGGTTACCATCGGCGCTTCTTCAAACTCTAGCCTAGATAAACAACACAAGCACCAGCACCAGCACGGGTAACCGTCACCTATAACTCCTTGCAGTTGAATCATAATGGGACCTCAACAAAGATATAAGGTCAACGTAGCCAATATCTGGTCTATCATCTCCCTCACATCATCTTGCTGCAATTCTCCTGCTCAATCTTGGCCAGAGATTTTTGGAGCTGTTTGGGTAAGGCAGGCCTGTCGAAATGTCTTTCTTGTTCTTTGTCTGGCATATGATGGAATCAGTGGAGAGTACGTCAGGCTGTGAAGTCCCGGAAATCTCATCAAGGGGGTAACGAGGTCTGTAACCCCTACACAAGCCCTCTTCTTTCTTTCGCCGAGATTACTCGAAGATATCTAAGTATCACAGACCTGACTGCTTATCCTTCCAACGACTTGCTATTCCAGCTTCCTGACATGTCAAGTATTCGACTTCTGCCATGTTGTATCTCGGCTCACCGAGTGTTGATGACAGCATGGACTCAATCTGATACCATCTGTCTGCTAGATAGTTCCTCTCGAGTGATCTTGATTCATAACATAAATCATCGAATTTGGTGTAATATATGATAGAGGTCCTCGATCAGAAAAATCACTGCGTATCTCGCTCGTACCATCATTACAGAACAGCATTAACTGTTTCTGTAAGTCTCACGATGATGATCTGTAGTTCTGAGGGATGATGATGTTCTAATCATGTTTCGATTGCTGCAGATATCTGCAGTGCATGTTGATAGAGTCAAGAAGAAAGATCGACCGACCTTGGACTCCATGTCCATCTTTTAACGCCCTGCTAATAACAATTTCCCGTTTCCACTGACACAACCGAATAGACACCGACCTTCAGAAATGCTTAATCCAATAATCTCCTCTTTTCTTTGCAAGGCTCCGTGCCAGACGGAACCCCTCAAGAGTACCACCTGTGCCACTTGACTTTGGGCTCAAACTCCTACTTCAAGCCCAAGCCCACATTTGCAGCACTCTCGCCCACGCGAATGGAGTCTTCTCTTTCTAGACCTTCAGGTCTTCTGCTTGCCGTAGTGCTCTGACTTTCGCTCCTTTCTCTGGGCCCAGCGACACTGGTCATGCCAGCCATGTTTGCAGCCCAAGCACTCACACTAGGACGAGAGACGGTTGCTTCGATGCGAGGATTGGGGTTGTTTGTGTTGGCGCTTGCGTCGGAAGTGACGCTGTTTCTGCGGCTGCGGAGGGCGCGTTCGAGAGCCTTGACGCGTTGGCGCAGGGCCTCGTTTTCTTGCTTGACTAGGTCGAGTTCTGCACGCGAGGAAGCGATTTCGGCGGCACTGGATGTGGATGTGTAAGGCGAGACTGGACCAGGTGTGAAGGAGCCGGCTGTGGAGATTGCGCTGGCGGCTTGCGACACGGATGGGCGGTGGGGGAGGGATGTAGCAGATGCTGGATTGAGGGCTGGTGTGGAATGGCCAGAAGTGCTGCGGATCGAGGGGTTGCGGCTGATGGATGAAGTCGTTGTGGTAGAGCCTGCTGCTGCAGCGGCGCGGTCGAAGGAGGCTTGTGAGATACCGGCGAGTGGAGCGGTTGGTTGGGGGTGGTGAATGTTGACGTGACTCGAAGTGGCCGAGGGATTGCTAAGACTACGGTTCGAAGCGGTCGACGAAGAGCGGTGTTGACGGGTGGGGGTTGGATGTGAGAGACCAGTGTCCAAGGCCTGGTTTGAGCTGGTCTGCGAAGCGTTGCTGGCGACAGAGGCAGAGTGTTGGGCGCGAAGTGCTGAGAGCTCGCGTGTGAGGCGGTTGACNCTGAGGGGAAGTGTTAGATCTTGGGTATGCGAGACATGGAGGATATAACATACGACAGCTTCCTGCTCCTTCTCGAGTTCGAGGTGCAGCTCAGCAGCGGTCAAGGGACGAGAGTGTCGAACGGGCATGTTTGCGTCGGCTGTGTTCATCATCTCGGCTCCGTGAGAAGGACGGCGCGACGACATGTTGGACGAGCCTCGTCTTAGTGACGGACTCAGGTTGCCGTTGGTCGCCATGTTGTGTGTTTATGGTAAACTTCTCCTGACGATCACAGCTAGAACAAAAGTTGACTTGACCCGACCGAGTGGAGCCCAACTTGCGTATACAAAGCGCCAAGACTCGAATGACTGTTTTGACATGTGATAATTGTAGATATTCGTTGCCGCTATGCATCAACGTTCCTATGGTGCACCTCTTCTCATCAAACATTGCAAAAACATGCTTTTGTTCTCGCTCGCTGAGAGCCCACCATATCCATCAAGTCCGCCCGTCCTTTCGTAATCCGCAACGCCGTAGCTCATAAGAGCAACACTTTCCCAATACATTGCCTTCCTGCTTCGACTTCGAACGGGCGTTGCTGCTTCTTCTCGTCTTGAATGCAGCCTCCTTTTGGAGCCATCTGCGACTCTATACTTCGAGTAAAATCCTTGTCTTTACCATCGCATCCTTTGTTTAGTAGGTTCTCGACAGGTTGCGGAGGTACCAGTCCACCAGTCTGCGGCCAACCTTGGCTTCCGAAACGTGGATCAAGTCCTGGCAATTCATGTTAGCATTTATTTCATCACAACCTCTCTTCATATAACTCACTCCTTGCATGGCGTAGTCAAGGTCGTTGGTAGTAACAACATCACCGTCAAGCAGACCACCCTCGGTGTGTCTAACCTGCTTGCTTCTCTGCTTGTTGACCAACAACCATCCTCTCAGGGTGTCGGCGTCAATCTCGAGGAATCCAGCCAACTTCTTAATGTCCATTGTGGTGTAGAGCTTCAGGTAAGAACGGACAGTAGGGCTCCACATGTTGTTCTTGACCTCCTCCATAAAGATGGAAAGGTGGTGCTCGATGGGGTCAACGTTGACCGAAGGGTTGTCAAAGTCCGGAGGGGTAGGCGAGATGAATCTGGGGCAGGCCTGGCGGAAGAGATCCTCGAAGATGGGGAGCGAATCGGGACCACCGAGCTGCATGCGGGCGAACTGCTCACCGTACTTCTCACGAAGAGCCGAGTGGACGGTGTCATCGAGACGGGTGGGGTTGAGGGCGACGCAAATGGCGACAAGAGCGTACATCTGGTCGCTCTTCTTTGCGATGCTATCGTATTGAGCGTTCTTCTGGAAGTTCTTTGTGCGCGAAATGTAGATGAGGATGTGGGTGAACATGCGGATGGCGTCGGTGTAGCGGTGCATCATCATGTACGAGAAACCGACGTAGTAGTAGGTGCTGAACTGGGCGGCCATGACACGGGCGAACATGGACTTCTTGTTGAGCTCAATGTTGTCCAGAGTCTTGAGGGCCATGCTAAAGTCACCGAGCAGGCAGTGGACGCGGAGGAGACCGATGAGCGAGAAGTATCCGAGCATCTGGTAGAGGGGGCGGTTGCCGTACTCGCCGGCGTAGGCGGCGGGGTCCTCACCACGCTTGCGAGCCTCGAGTTGCTCCTGGATCTGACTGCGCTGGATAAGCGAGTACAGAACGTTGAGGACCGAGTAGCATCCCCAGGTATTGGGGTTTTCGCGGAGGATCTGAGCATCCTCGTCGTTGTCCTGCTTGAGGGCAACCTTTTGGCGGTAGGCGCAGAAGCTGTTAAATTGGTAGATGAACTCGTCAATGACTTCCCAGGCCCAGTAGTACNNTGTGTGTGGTCAGTCTTCTCTTCTTGTTGGACATGCATTTGTACGGCGTTGACACACGTTGGGGACCTCGAGGTCGACGGGGCCGTCGGAGTTGAGGATGAAGTGGAACAGGTTGCAGTAGCTGTCGTAGCTGGCAATCTTGGTCTCGAGGGTGGCGCCGTATTCGAGGGGCTGGGCAGCGGCGGCGAGCTGAGCTTGGAGGTCTTGAGGACCGCTGGAAGCAACTCTCTCGAGTTCGTCGTCGTCGCCGTATTGGACCTGCTCCTTGTAGTCGCTGGCCAGAACCTCCTCCTCGACGTCCGAGTCGTCGTCGACCTGGCGCGCGGGCGCTCCCTGCTGGTATGTTGCTTCGATGTTGCGCACGCTCATCTTGACGGTGTGCTGTGTGCTGCGGTGCTGTATCTACCGACAATTCGTCTTGCACGCGACGACGACAAGTTCTGGCTTCGTGCAACTTTTGCTCGCTAACGACGAGTCGAGCTAGCCGGTTGTGGTGATGAGAGTCGTAATTTACAGCTGCAAACTCACTAATTCTGGCGGGGCTGCATCCACTTTCATGCCATTCCATCATCGTCAGTCATTGCTTGTCGACACATCTTTCTGCTCACACGAGTACAAGTTTTGCTATTCTTTTTGGATCGAACGAAGACCTTTGACCCCTTATTCCAACATTGTTCGCAGATCCGTGTTCCCGTCAAGCTATCTATCTCAAACGTCATATCTGGACAACCATGACTCCCACCCATAAGATCGCAGTGATTCAGCTGCATCCTAAGGTACAAACACTTTCAATCGTGGCAAACTTATCATACTAACTCGATAAGCCGCTTCACGTCGAACAAAACTTCCAGAAGGCGGCCAACTTCATCAGATCAGCAGCTCAACAAGGTGCTCAGTTGGCAGTCCTACCTGAATACCATCTGACAAACTGGCTTCCGCACGATCCGAACTTCAAGTCTTCATGTGCAAGCTGGAAGGAATATCTCNAAAAGTATCAGGCTCTGGCTAAAGAGTGCAATATATGCATCGTCCCTGGGACCATTGTAGAATTGCACACCGATGCCGAGCATGACAGCACTGGCATCCTCACCGAAGACGATACCAACAGTGAGCGTCTCCTCAATGTTGCCTACTTCATCTCATCCACTGGAGAGATCCTCGGAAAATACGTCAAGAAGAATCTCTGGGGTGACATTGAACGCCTGCACCTCACGAGCTCATCGCGTGACCCTCATCCAGTCTTCGACACCNCCTTTGGAAAGGTCGGCATGCTGGTCTGTTGGGATCTTGCCTTCCCAGAAGCCTTCCGCGAGATGATCGCCCAAGGAGCGAAACTCTTCGTTATCCCAACCTTCTGGACATTGAACGACTGCTCGCCTGCTGGACTGGCCAGAAACCCCACTGCTGAAGCCACCTTTTTGGATTCAATGCTTACAGCTCGTTGCTTCGAGAACACATGTGCAATTGTATTTGCAAACGCTGGAGGTCCACCAGGCAAAGGCTATGCAGGCTTGTCGCAAGTATGTGCACCATATGTAGGACCAATAGTCCGCTTGGGTAGTTGTGCGGAAGGTATGGCTGTCGTGGATCTCGACATGCAGATTGTCGAGGATGCGGAGGAAAACTATCAAGTCAGAGCCGATTTGGCAAGGGGAGATTGGCATTACGATTACCGCCACAATAAGGACAACGATTCGAAGCTCTGATGTAGATAGGTATGTGTCTGAGGAACTACTCGCATTCTGTGAACGTCTCTCATCGTAAACAACTCAGGATCTAGCTATCATTGCCTTGATCGAGTCACGTACAGTTGTTCATTGTGATACTCTGTTTTTGGTCTGCTTTGAGGACCAGAACATCTTTAGATGTGCTCTTGCAGAAGAAGCATTGTTGGGGAGGAGAAGGACTTCCCCAAAGCCCCTTGTTTCCCTCATTGACGTTTGAGCTGGATTCTGCTCGGCCGGGGATTTGCCCTGACCCCTAGCGTCACTACCTCATGGCTCATTCCTTGCTCTTGCCTTATTCTTCATAAGAGTCGACGCAACCACATTCAAACATCAGCAGCTTCGTCTTCTGTCTTTCAACCTTCCATCGCAACACACCATTGATTCTCCATCGCTATCGGCTCCATTCATAAACTCACTTCGACCACGGTGCACAGCAAGCCACCTAACAAATCCACAATCTAGAGCACCTCCTCTCCCTCAGAATTCGGGGACAACCAGATAATGAGCCCGCGTCTAAAGGCACGGGGTTGGATCAACGGCACTCCTCAATGGAGCTCTCCAACACATCTCGCACTGCGCTCAGCCAATCCATCTTTCTCGCCGGCATGGACAAAAGCGAGCAAAACCTTGTCTGCATCCTGTTTCTATGCACAGCACTCGGGCGCCGTTGTGACTGGTGATGACCTCGACAAATCGATCTCTACAACACTAAAAATCAAGGCCAACAAGAAACAACTACACAAGCTGAGGCATGTCATATCGCATCCAGTACAACCACCTTACCTTCGGGAAGTCATCTTTGACTGCAGCGCCATTAAGACCCTGCAGGATGTCGATAACTTGAAGCATTGCCGTCCCTTACTTGTTGAGATTCTCGAATTGCTATATGACCAAACCGAGGACGCCGTCCACCCAATCAGAGATGCCTTGATAATCCTTCTGGAAGCGTTCCTATGCGCGCTGGACACCAAGCAACAAGTGTAGTGCGCTTGGAACACCGGTGATCCAAAATTCGTGGAACAGTCGAATGGGATGGAAGCTGGGTGTTTCTTAACATATACAGGTATAGGCATTGGCCCTGCAACGAAAAACGTGCCTATGTTCGAAGTCTACTTCGATCATGGCCGGTCACTTGGTAATTTGACTGTCACGGATTCAGGTGAGAAGACGGTTCAAGAGACCTGGCTGTGCATCGACGAGGATAATCAGGGGTTCGCGCACCTGATGATCAATGACTGGCCTGGATTGGTCCGAGATGGACTCAAATACAACCTGACTGTTTTCGAAGCCATGTTCATGACGACTGATCTGAGAGTCATCGAACTTGGAAACACAAAACTCTTTCTTGGTGGTTTGCTCTCACTCCTTGACCGCAACAAGGAGACATTGGATGTCCTCAAACTCATCAACGTCGATACCGATGCGGATGGCAATTCGTAGTTCGATTTTATGCTATGGATCAGCGAAACTCTCGTACTGGATCACCTGAAGATTCAGGGGTGCAAGTCCCACGGTACCGCTATCGAGATGCTTAATGTCAGGCTTGGCGATGAGTTGGCGTACATGATGAGACGGAGCGAAAGACAAAAGAACTTTGAGAGCGTTATGAATGGCCTTTTGACCCGGTTAACCGTGCCTCCTGAGGCTCTAGAAGGACTTTCGAGGTGGTCTATCGTCGAGTCTCCGAAGGCTCCACTTTGTCTGTGGCCACCCCGTTGCGACGAAGAGCCTGAGACGAGTTCCCCTCATTCACACTCCAGGGAGTCATGATATCGAAATTGCGCCGACTATATGATTTGATTCGTACGCTTGTAGACGCTCATTTGGTACTCCAATACAATCACGTCAATCTCTTGTTGAAGGTTCTTCGACGACACTTCGACTCTTCTGCGTTGCTTGATCATCTAACATTCCGATCCTAGGGAATCAATAGTGCCATGTGCTAATCGGGGGAGATAGCTGACGCTGCTTGTGACTGCCTAGATCAACCTCCTGATTGAGATAACGGCAGTGTGTGACAAAAGTAGGCAAATAGATACAGGAGTTGACGTTTCAAGTCAGGGCCCAGCCGTTGCCGAAAGACATGTTTGAAAGTACGCGGAGAGACTGAAAACTACGCAGCGAAGGATTCAAACGCCTCAGACAAAGCGTTTGGACGGTTGTCAATTTTGAACAACGTCGTCGGGCCTCCACATGCCTCGTTTGTTCGCAATAGTCACCACTGTTGACTCGCGATCCCTGACGCAGGGCTGACCGAAATGTGGTTGGTAGTAAACGATGGGACTCGCCCATGTAACCGCGACCACATGGCCGCGCGCGCCGCTGTGAGAAGCCGAATGTTTGCGTATACGGTATAGCTGAGATGATAGTGTGGCCGTTGAGCCTCTTTGCTGGAGTATTGCTTATTCTTTCCTTTCCTCATCATGACAGTTTACTTCGCTCTGGCTATAACTCTTGAGACTTCAGCAGTTTTGAACTTTGTCTACCTCTATTTGAAATTTTTCTTCTCCGCTTTCTTTACTCGTCACTTGTGTCGCATCTACATTCATTGCCTTAGGGCCGATTTTTCTGGAGAGGTTTTGATTCTGCCTGCTGACATACAACACTCGTCGACGAGATTGTTTTTGCTTAATATATACCTGGAGAAAGAGCAAAGATGGCGACTTCTGCATATCACCTCAGGACGGATTACCTGAGCGAAGCCTTTGGAATCGACAACCCACGCCCGGAGTTTTCTTGGAGACTGGAAGCTACCGATCCGTCCGACAAACACGCTGTTGTGTTCCAAAATGCATACCGTGTGCAGGTTGCCCTGCTCGACAACTTCAAACACACGAGTATTGTTTGGGACAGCGATATCGTGCGCTCGCAGGATCAGTCTGGTATCATATACGCTGGAGGCTTGCTGCAGTCGATCACAAAGTATTATTGGCGGGTGCAGTTGTTTGATATGCATGATATGTGCAATGGATGGAGCAAGACTGCGAGCTTTGAGACTGGCATTATGGATGCGAGGTTATGGAAGGCCAACTGGATTACTGGACCTATTGAGGACACAGAGCATGCGATGTATTTCCGTGGTTGCTTGACTGTACCTACCGGTGTACTCAAGGGCAGGGCGTTTGTCTCTGCTTTGGGTTGGTATAGATTGCTCGTCAATGGCACCGATTTGACTGGAAACTGCTGTGTGCCGCGCTGGACGCCTGTGAATTCTGCAGTCGAGTACCAGGACTACGATATCACGGAGCATTTGAAGCCTGGACTGAACCACTTCAGTGTTGTGGTTGGAGATGGTCGCTGGAGAGGCAGTCTGGGACTCAGAGATACCAGAGCTAAGCATCACGATCCTGTTGCTGCGTTTGTGCAAGTCAATATCAACTTCAAGGATGGCAACAGGATTGCATACGGCAGTAGTGAAGAATGGCTTGCCGGCACAGGAGTCATCATCCGCTCAGACCCAAAACTAGGCGAGGAACACGATCTCCGCATCAGCAACGACGAGTGGCTTGGAATAGTAGCACCCACACCACCCACCGTCAAAAACTCCCGCTGGACACACGCCCGTCTACTCCCAACACCACAATCCCGCAAACTGATCGCCGAAGAAACACCACGCACAAAAGGAATCGCACGAATACGACCANAAGGCATCCTGCGCTCCCCTACCGGCAAGCAAATCTTCGACTTTGGCGAAAACATTGCTGGCTTTGTGGTTGCGAAGCTTAGGGGTAAGAGAGGCACTAAAGTAACCATCACGTACTCGGAATCGGTGGGTCCGGATGGGGAACTGGATCTGGATTACGCATTACCTATTGATGGACAAGCCCAACGGGATTCGTGCATCTTGAGTGGAAAGGATACTTGGTTTCAGCCTTGGTTCACTCGCCATGGCTTCCGATATGCCGAGATTGAGGGTTGTGAGGATGTGGGCTTTAATGATATCAAGGCATTGGTTGTGTCTGCAGACTTGCCCGAGACTGGAATGTTCACATGCTCGGATTGGAGACTGGAGAGATGGAGAGGGAATGCTTTGCGTTCCATGCGAGCCAATTTCGCAGACGTGATTACTGACTGTCCGACCAGAGAGCGTCTTTGTTGGATGGGTGATTTACAGGCCATCTCGCCTACATCAACCATGTTCTTGGATACCCAGACGTACTTGAGGAGAACGTTGAGGAATATCTCTCTCGAGCAGTTGCCCGACGGTACGGTGCCGCCGTTCTTACCTGGCGAGTGTGCTCAAGTTTACAAGGGGCTTTGGTGGCCAATGTCTCTGATCACGAAGTCTGTGGGTTGGGGTGACGCTTGTGTGTTGGTGCCTTGGACACTATATCAATACTACGGCGACAAGGCAGTATTGAAACGGCAATACGCAAGCATGAAGAAGAAGATCGAGCAACAAGGTAAGCCAGAAAAGAAACTCATGTTCTAACCTCAATGCATACAACTAACGTTCTCATCAGTTCGCGACGCACGTAACGGCCGCGGAGGCTATGGCAAGTACTTCAAGGGCGAGCGCAACGAACACGAGCCCTACATCCTCGACAGCGACAAGATGTGGGGAGAGTGGTTGGAGCCCGGCAGCGGCATGTGGGGACTCTTCAAATCACTCATGATCCCCAGTCCAAACACCGCAACGGCATACTTTGCACACAATGCCTCTGTGCTTGCCAAAGCTGCCGAAGCTCTGGGATACACCCAAGATGCTGATCATTACCTGCAGCTGTCTGAGCGTGTGCGCGTGGCCTGGCGTGCTGCTTTTGTATACTCTGATGGCCGCATTGGCGACGACAAGCAAGATGACTATGTGCGTGCCCTCGCTTTCAATCTCATACCCGCCTCCTCGCGCCCAAGTACTATTGCTCGCTTGGTTGAGATCGTCCACGACAGCAACTACCACTTTGGCACTACACTGCTCAACACCGCCATGCTGTTGACTGTACTCAGCGACAATGGCCGCGCAGACATTGCCTACAAACTCCTCCTCAACAACCAACCCCACACCTTCCTCAACCAAATCGAAGCCGGCGCAACCACAATCTGGGAAACCTGGACCGGTTACGATGAAACCGGCAGAGCAAAGGGATCCCACAATCACGTCGCTACAGGGGCTTGCACGCGCTGGCTGCAAGAAGGCATTGTAGGAATCACACCTCTCGAACCCGGGTACCGCAAAATCAAGATTCGGCCTTTGGTAGGCGGAGGCTTGGATCATGCCTCGGGTGGTATAGAAACGCCGTTTGGGCTTTGCAAAGCTACGTGGAGAGTTCTGGTAGCGACCGGCATAGTGCAACTCTGCGTTACTATCCCCGCAGGCGCGTCTGGAGAGATTCATCTTGGAAACGGGCAAGTTCACGACGTACCCACCGGAACCCATTTCTTCGAGTGGCAGGGCTCGAGTACAGAGCCACCTGCATCTTCTGCATCTTCTATCATGTCTGTGGAGACGGTGGTATTGGATAGAGCGTCAGTGGCTAGTCCGCCACAAAGCCCTGGCGGCACATTGATGCCTCCCTCGAGGTTACCGAGTATGGTGTGGAGTGGAGGACGACTGCTGCCACCGTCTGCGCACCAAGGACCTACAAAATTGCGCGTCGATAGTGTAAACTCGATAGCCAATGTGGCCAAGCCGACCAGGAGAAGCTTCCAGTTGCCGCGAAACGGGGGTGTGATGTCTTGGCCGCCCTCGACTGCTACTTGAGATGTTTGCTTCTCTTTTCTTTTCTTTCCCTTTCCCCTTTCTTTTTTTTTTTTCTTCTTTTTTTCCTTTTGGATTTTCCGGGAGTCTTGTATGGTTTGGAGTTTTTGGATGGGCTAGAAGGAGTATGATTTGTTTTAATATAGAAGAAAAAGGCAGCTGGAATCTGTTACTCATAGCTTTTGTTTCATATATTGCTGCAAGTATGCATACACTGATTTTGTTCTATCCTACCTTCTGCATCATTCGGCGTCTTTTTTCTTAGACTGAGATCAAGACTCTTAGCACAAATTAAGCAAAACATTGATACACTTGCATCACGACACTTCTGGTGCTTTCATCCTCTCAGCTCTCAAAGACGAGTAACTCCATGCCCTCTACGACACAGATCACACCTCCTCAACCTTCAACAACTCATGCCCNCCATACTCCCCCAACGCCCCAAAGCCCTCCAAAACCGGCACTTTCTTACCCTCAACCTCAATCCAACCTTCCACACCCGCAGCATCGCCTTCATAAGCTGTATCCACCTCACCGCCTCTATCCAACAACACAGCATCCCAACCCGCATTTACAGCACCCTTGGCATCTTTACCAACTTCATCGCCTACATAGATCAACGCCCAGTCCTCTTTGTTGTAAGTGTTGCCCTCGGAAGCAAGTAAAGAAGCCAATGTCTCGACCGCAGCGGAAAAGATTTGAGGCGACGGTTTCTCGACACCGACATCGTAGGACATGATGCAGAAATCTATGTCCTGTGTTTCTTGTCCCCTGCCGTCTTTTGTGTTGTCGCTGATGGTAGAGTTATACCGTAAACCATTTACCCGTAAACCCAATGAAGTTAATACGTCAGGCACTCTGTCGTCGGAGTTTGTGATGACGCCGATGACCAGCCTTAGTGACGCATCCTTCTGGCGTTGGGGTGATAGGGCGAGTTTGCGGAGGTAGGAGGTGTCTGGGAAGAGGGTGTAACCGTCTTTGCACCAGAAGCGGTTTATTAGTGTCGATGTCAGGGTAGGGGGNAGAGGACCTGGGTGGTGGGGTGTGAAGGTTTTGTTGATGACCTGGAGGGATGAACGTTAGTATGGATACCTCCGGAAAACACCGAGGAGACGGGCAATTTGAGGTCGTGGACCAAATTGGAAGGCACATGCAGGAGAGAAAAGGAAACAAAGGAGCAAAGGACGAGAGCCATCAGAGACTGAAAGAACGTAAGAAGGAAAAGTTCAACATACCTCAGTCCACCACTGTCTCGCCCCCATATCCGTCTTCTTTCCATAATTAGGATATACCTTCGAAGTCTCCTTGAATGCTATGTGCATCAACCATCAGCACTTGTTCCATGTCTTTCCATCTCTACCAATGTTCTCACTACTCTGCTATACCACTTTTCACCTGACAAATCGGAACTCACCAGTCTTGAAACTCTTTGCAACCTCGTCATCAGAAATCTTGACGCCCATGCCTCTAGCCACACTACCATATTGTTCGGCGATAGGGCTGCGAGGACGGAACAAGGTTCCAAAGGCATCAACACAAAGTAGCAAATTGCGTTTCATTTCTACAGAATCTTGTAGAGATACTTCTTCCATCCAAGCTGAATGACTTTTATATGATAGAAGTGGTAGCTTGAGGGCAGAAATGTTTGCTGTAGCAAGCTGGAAGGAAGGAAGTGGTTGGTGGTTAGCCGTGCCAAGACCTGCCGCTTTTGGATTGGATTTTGCCCGTGAGTTTTGCTTCTTTCTTGCTTGTGTTCTACCGACACGACAGCTCTTCTTCGCTGGCTGTTGTGATAAAGAGAATCCTTGTAACAAGACTTGGCGATGTCTCAAGGCATTGACTCTTTCGTGCCCGGATACAGTATTCCAAGATCGGCAAGATGTTGCGACAATTCCGCGTGCGATGCCCGAGGATACGATATCGGATGCGAAGGATTGATAGGCCAGCACTAGTACAAAGCTAGGGCAAGCACAACTACCAAAACCCTCCATATATTTCGTGGTAGTCAAAGAGACAGAGGCAAGCTATAAAGTTCAGTCATTATTGTGCTTCTCCCCTTCCCCTTCGATACACCAAGAAAAAGCATAATTCACGTCACACGTCCATCACAAGAACCAACAAATAACAGCTCGTTATCCATACTTGAAGGCAACCCATCAACCATGAGACTCGACAAATTCTCAAAAGAACAACTCACTTTCGGCACACCCACGCCAATCCAACACCTCCCCCGACTCTCCGCAGCCCTAGGCAACAAAGTCCAAATCTACGCAAAACGCGAAGACTGCAATTCCGGCCTCGCCTTCGGCGGCAACAAGACCAGAAAACTCGAATATGTGATTCCCGAAGCCATTTCGGGAGGGTACGACACTTTGGTCTCTATCGGTGGCGTGCAATCAAATCAGACACGTCAGGTTGCTGCTGTGGCTGCAAAGCTGGGCATGAAATGTGTGCTTGTGCAGGAGAACTGGGTCAATTATAATGACTCTGTGTATGACAGAGTTGGCAACATTGAGTTGAGTAGGATTTTGGGTGCGGATGTGCGACTCAATGAGGCTGGGTTTGATATCGGCATCAGACCTTCGTTCGAAGAAGCAATGCAGGAGATCAAGGCACAGGGCGGAAAGCCATACCCTATTCCTGCAGGATGTTCGGAGCACAAGTATGGAGGTCTTGGATTTGTGGCATTTGCACAGGAAGTCATGGAGCAGGAGAAACAGCTGGGGTTCAAGTTCGACTACATTGTTGTTTGTGCAGTCACCGGATCCACTCAGGCTGGCATGGTAGTTGGCTTTGCTTCCGATGGCAGAGCCAACAAGGTCATCGGCATCGACGCCTCTGCAAAACCAGAAAAGACCCACGCACAGATCTTGCGCATCGCCCAAAACACTGCCGAGCTTGTCGAACTGGGTCGAGAAATCACGGCTGAAGATGTTATCCTAGACACCAGATTCGGAGGACCTGAGTATGGGTTGCCCAACGAGGGAACAATGGAAGCAATCAGACTGACTGCTAGGACTGAAGGTATGCTGACGGATCCAGTGTATGAAGGCAAGAGTATGGACGGCTTGATCCAGATGGTCAAGAAGGGCGAATTCCCAGAAGGTAGCAAGGTCTTGTATGCGCATCTTGGTGGCGCACCTGCACTGAGTGCATATGCTGGTATCTTCAAGCAGGGATAGGCTTATTCAAAGTATGGTACTTCTTTTCAAAAGAGCACAACTCATTTTTCCCTGCATGGACATCGCTGCTCTTGAATCTGATTGGGTGAAGCATTCATTTCGGTCGCCTTAGATCCAGAATGTCCTTGAGCTTGAGCTGACCTTTTGCTCCCCACCCAGCTCGACCAGCTTCAACTTGCGGCCGCACCTTGACATACCAGTTCCAAGCACGCTTGTCCAGATCATCTGGGCTGAGAACAACAGACCAGGATTCGAACAACGAATCTAAGGCCTTGACCAGGTGTCCCAGGTTCGTCTCACGCTCTGCAGCAATCTCAGCCGCTGGTCTCTTCTTTTTNGTCTCAGGTTCATCGTCGTAGACAGAATCAAATGCTTTCAGGATGTAGTTGCGAGCAGAATCTGCATGGTATACCGGAAGACCAGCTGTGCTTGCAGACGCCGAGACGATTGGCGGGCTATCCAAACGCTTGAGTTGTTCGAGATCTAGTGCTAATAACGCAGGCAAACCCTCTGATGACGATGGGTCGTTGTGACTGATGCTGGAAGGTTTCTGATCGGGATCTTCTGGTTTGATGTCTTTGGTGGTGTTTTTCGGATCTGCTTTCCATTCATAGCCCCACCTTCTTAAGACGCGGACGTCTCTGGTCATGACTTTGACTAGAGACTGTCCCTGGCCCCAGCCCTCCTTTTCGGCAGATGCAGTACTTCCAAGGCCGATGTTGGCAGCTTTAGCTTGTGCATTGAGAGACGTGACAGCTTGTGCAAGGCTGAGGCACGAGGATGGAGGTTGTTCGGGCATTGTATGCTTGACTAGGGTGGTAGCGAAGGCCAGTAGTAGCGGAGCACGGTTTGTCGTAAGCACAATGCCTTCAAGATCTTCTTCTGTGAGGTTAGACGTAGGAAGGAGAAGGGCAGCTTCAACATCAGCAGGAGATTGGATCTCGGCGGGGTCGATTCTGGAACGTTTCGATGAAACTGGATTAGAAGTCTCAGGAAGACCTCTCTTACGCTTAATCGAAACGCGTTTCGCAGCAGCCAGGGTAGCCTTTGCAGCTTTTTCGGTGGCGGAGGCTGCTTTTAGAGTATCAAAGTCGGTTTTGGCAAGATCCTCGATGCTGTTGAAGCGTCAGGATTGTACTTGCAAGACTCGTTCAGCGGTTTGTGCCCATGATGATTCTCTGAGATGAATCAAGATACGGGTAGACAAGATGATGGATTGGTGACAGAAGGAAATGGTTAGGACCTACGTTACTAGATTCGCCTTCTGAAGGCCAGTAGCTTGTGCGATGGCAGCAGCCAAGGGCAGTTTTGCCTCGGCCGTCAGGAAGCGTAACAAGTTGTTGGTGTCTGCCATGATGCCTTGTTGTACGTGTTGATGACAGGGTTAAGGCAAAGGTGAGCAATGGTATAGAAAGGGAATCCGCTACCCCACAATCGAGGCTTGACGCTTGGATCAAGGGTTCAATGAGGGATCAAGAAGTTGAAAGAAGCAGCAGTGCGCCAACTCCATCAACATACACACACACCATGTCAGACAAGGGCGTCCCGGACCTGTCATCCAAACTCAACGCGCCCAAGAAAGTATCCGTCTTCGAAAAACAGCGACAAGAAGCCGAAGCCAAACGCATACGAGAAGAAGCCGAGAACAGAGCTGCCCTACGAGAGTTTGAGGATTCGTTCGCCGACGAGGATGAAGACGACTTTGTCGCACAAGTAGCCGCTGGTCGTAGCGCATACGGTGGCTCAAGAGTCGCAGATGNNGAGGAGGCTATACCAGGAGCTCCCATGAGGAGCAGCGGACCAGGCACTCTCGGCCCACCACCAGGACCTGCCCCGCTATCCTTGAAGCGCAAGAGGGAGCTAGAACAAGAGCGGGAAAGAGAAAGGAGACAACGAGACAGCAGGGCGAGTCCAGAGACGGTGGTCAAGCGTCCCACCATGCTGTTGTCATCACTACCGCGCAACACGACCGAAGCGACGATACGCAGCTGCCTACCCAAGAACCTGAAACTCGACGACATGGCCTTTGCTCCCTCGTCCACCGGCCGCTCCTTGACTGCTGTCGTTGCCCTCACGCCTGACACAGCCTCCAGCGACATCGACAGCGCCGTCAACAATCTCCAGCAGAGATACCTGGGCTTCGGCTGCTACCTCAACATCTCCAAACACATCACCATCTCTTCGTCCGTCAATTCCGTCCTCCATACTGCCACCCCGGCCATCCCAATACAACCCTTTGGCGCCAAACAGATGCCTCGCGACCCTCCTCCCTCACACGGCTTCCGCAATGCCCCACCGCCAGAGTCTCTCCCACCACAACTACGCCATCAAGGTCCTGCTCCTCTGGTCGTCAATGTGACGCCGCCATCGGATCTCAAGCAGCTCGCCATCATCAACAAGACTGTCGAGAAAATCATCACATACGGTCCCGAGTGGGAGTGTCTGCTCATGGCTCAGCCAGACGTCCAGCATGGAGAACACTGGGCTTGGTTATTCGACAACACTAGTCAAGGTCATGTCTGGTACCGCTGGCTAGTCTATCAGTACTATGCCTCTCAACCACCTGCGAAGACTGGTCAAGACTCACATCAATGGTCTATGATGGACGAGCTTGCTCGCATGAATAACCATATTCGTCCGTTCGATGACGGTCCCTTCTGGATACCTCCACCAGAGAAACCCAAATACGAACACGCCCAGAATCTGGCTGATCTTATGTCGGATTCTGGTTATGTTTCTTCAGACCTCGACACAGATGACGAAGACGATCACATTGTCCAAAATCAAGGTGTCGCTCCCGAGGATCTGAACATTTCACGATCGCGCTACCTGAACCCTTACCGTAAGGCCAAGCTGACCTTCTTCCTTAACCACCTGCCGGATAGCACTGGATATCTATGTGAAGGAGATGTGCAGGCTGTCACCGATTTGGTTATCAAATTCTCTGGTCAAGGTGCCGAAGAAGTCGTCGACATGCTTGTTTCCAACCTTGAGAACCCTTTCCGTTTCTCTGTCAACTACAAGATCGACCAGCCTAAAGCTGAGAACGAAGATGGAGAGAACGACGATGACGATATCTACGATCCCGAGGTCGATGGACCCAGAGCTTCCTTCGGCATGCTGGGTGGTAATGAAGACGTAGATGTTGAAGAGCCTGTACCGAAGGACACATCTGCAATGCAAGTCGACCAGGATAACGACACCAAGCAAGAACCTTCATCCGGAAAAGACATCTCCGGTGCGCAGCTGGTCGGTCTGTATGTCATAAGCGACGCTCTGGCAGCTACATCAGTTTCTGGTGTACGTGACGCATGGAAGTATCGATCATTATTCGAATCAGCTCTCACAAGTCGACAAGTCTTCGAGAAGCTGGGTCGCATGCCCAAACAATATGGATGGGGCCGTGTGCGTGGTGAGCAATGGAAGAGCCGCATCACAGTGGTTCTGGACTGCTGGGAGCGTGAAAGCATTTTCGCGCCAGAAAGTCACAGGAGATTCAAAGAAGTGTTCTTGACTCCACCGTTGACGGATGCAGAGCAGAAGAGCAAAGATGAGCAAGAGAAGCAAGATAGAGAAGAGGAGCTGAAGAAGCGCTGGAAAAATGGCGACGTCGAGAGTGCTGGTGCTACGCCAGAAGTTGTGGCTCAGAAAACAATGCCACAACCAATGCAAGCTACACAGGTCCAAGAGGCGGTTAAGCGCCAGCCGTCACGACCCTCAGCGGCAGATCTCATCCTCGCTACTGCAGATGGTGAGGCACCACCACCGAAACCAGCGCCCAAGCTGTCGAACTTCTCCATGTCGCTCAATGCAGCGCCTACTGCTTCACCACCTGTCGAAGACACAAGGAAAGGTTCGCCTGCGATGGGCTTTTCGCTCGGTGGAAGCAATGCATCTTCGAGTAAGTTCTCGTTGGGTGCGAAGCCTTCAAGCGAGCCTGTGAAGGAGAAGAAGAGAGAGAGCTTGGCCGTATTCGACGACTCGGACTCAGAATAGAGCCTATAAAAAATGACATTCTCACAATCTTCCACAAGCATTCTCATTGCGTCAGACTCTACTACAAGGTGTATAGCATGAAAGAGTCAAGACGCGCCTTGCAAGGAGAGGATCGGAGAAAAGGCGCCTTGCCCGATGGGGAGACACCTCGGCAAGACAGCCGATGACATATGCGGGGAGGAGCTTCACTGCCGTCCACCTTGATCTGTAACCACAACATTTTCCACCTCCTTCCATTCTACAACCAATTGATCTCTAGACAGTCACAATGCAGAGTCTACGAGTAGCCAGACCCTTTTCCTCTCGCTTTGTCAAGACGGTGGCTCCCCGGGTCCAACGCCCATACTCTACACCCTCGGCCGAACACAGCTATGAGCACATTCAACTCAGCACTCCCCGTCCCGGTGTTGCTCTGAGTACATCTTTCCTCTCATATGCCTCCGTTGAACGTAACAGCTGACAACCCGCACCAGTCACCCTCAACAGACCCAAAGCCCTCAATGCCCTCTTCTCCCCTCTGATCAACGAACTCAACACCTGCACCTCGGCCCTCGACAAAGACCCCTCCATCGCCGCCATCGTCCTCACCGGCTCCNCCAAAGCCTTTGCCGCCGGCGCCGACATCAAAGAAATGGCTCCAAAGACCTTCGCCGACGCCTATGGAGAAGACTTTATCGAGTCCTGGTCCAATCTCACACATATCAAGAAACCTGTTATTGGTGCTGTGAATGGGTATGCGCTTGGCGGTGGCTGTGAGTTGGCCATGATGTGCGATATTTTGTACGCATCCAAGTCTGCAACTTTTGGCCAGCCGGAAATCAAATTGGGGATTATTCCTGGTGCGGGAGGGACACAGCGACTTACTCGCGCGGTCGGCAAAGCAAAAGCCATGGAAGTTATCCTCACGGGCGAAAACTTTTCGGGCGAGAAGGCTGAGCAGTGGGGGTTGGTTGCAAAATGCTTTGACAGTGCAGATGCTTGTGTGGAAGGTGCGCTTGACACGGCGGCAAAGATTGCTGGATATTCAAAGATCGCGGTCAAGGCTTGCAAGGAGGCCGTCAACAAGAGTCAAGATTTGGGTGTCAGGGAGGGTGTGGAGTATGAGAGGAGGCTGTTCCATGGGCTTTTTGGCAGCCAGGATCAGAAGATTGGTATGAATGCGTTTGCGAATAAGAAGAAGGCTGAGTGGACGCATTCGTAGATGAGGTAATTATGGAAGCCTTTGTCGAATATGAAATACTCCTCCGGTTTCCAGTTTCCTGAGCTCAACACGTCATCCTTCTATTATCATTGGCACATGACAGTCGAATCATTTATCCTCGTAACAGCGGAAACTTGCAAGGGAATCTACATCTCTACGATAGAACGACGTGAGCAATAGTACAGGCAAGTCACATACAAAGCAATATTCTATCACATTCACCTCCTTAGTTTGCGCTTTCCTTTGATCCCGTTCCTTTTCTTTTTCTCTTTCCTCGGTTGCTGCTTCCCTTGATATTGGGTGTTTCGTTGAGCATGAGTGATGGTCAAGTATTGCATGGTCAACGGCACTTGTAAATATCCACACAGTTGTGCATGGCTATAGTTGTTGGTCTTGTTGGGTTTCTCCCGAATTTAGTTTCTTGTTACATTCACTGAACAGCCCGTGATCATTCTATGACATAGGTAAAGGTGCGTTTTGTGTTTGATAAGTAGACGACTCCTTTTCCTTTTCCTTTTCCTGTTCAGCTAAGGATTCCTCTGACTCACATCTTCCACACTCGTACACCTGCTCCCTCGATATCTGTGCTGTTTCCTCCCAACACTACTGTCCCATTGAGCTTCGGAGCTTGTACATCGTCAGCTCCATAGTTGAACGCCCACACCAGTCCACCTCGCTCAAGCACTCTCAGATTATCTCCTAGATCGTTCTCCTTGCTTGCAATCCTGCCAAACACATCTTTGACACCCGCAGCTTTCGCCGCATCGCCGATATAAGCGACAAGCAGATCGACTGGCGGGTTGAAGGCCAAGTAGTGGAAGTCGTTCTTCGCGCAAGCAGCAGGTTTACCCTTTCTATGCTGAGAAGTAGAAGTAATGGTAACGTTACTAGTCTTGTTATCTCTGCTGCAAACGATGGTTTCCTCCCACAAAGAAATATTGTAGGTGGTTCCTCCGTAGGAGACGCCACTGTTGGCATAAGAAGGTGGTGTTTCTACTCTTGTCACCTTCATGGGTACTTTGTCGCGGAGTGTACCAGCTGAAGGGTTAAGGCCTGGTGGGTAAGCAAACTCGGGGGTTCGAGAGCCAGTGTGTGGACCAAAAATCACGGTGCCATTGTAGCTTGCGAGTGCGGTATTGAAGGCAGTAGGGATGATAGGTAGACTAGGTACAACCACCATCTTGTACTTGCTCAAGTCTTGCTCGGGAGATATGATGTCGATATCGAGCCCTAGGCGGCGTAAGGAGGTGTAAAAGGACGAAATCACATCCAAGTAGGCCAGTCCGATGTTCTCAAATCCTGAATCGTGTGGCGAGTAGGATCCGGAATATGGCTCGATGTTCCAAACCCAGACAGAGGTGTAGTCGAAGATCAAAGCTACGCTTGCTTGTGTCTCTTTTGCATCCATGGCTGCCCGGAGTGCAGGCAGGTCCTCCGAAGCCACAATCTGAGTCTCACCAAATCCTTCGTCAGGGGTGTTGTCAGACACGAAGAGTCCAGAAAGCGTCTGTTCCTGAGCATAAGGCACCTGTCTCCAGCGGAAATAGTTCACCAAATCACCTCTGGAAGCAAATGTCTCGAGCGTCCAGAGACGCACCATACCTTCCAATGGAGAAACACGGTACGTGTTCCAGTTCAGTACACCAGGCTGCATCTCCATGACACCGAACGGTCCGTTGTTAGTACCATAAGCAGAGCCAGCGATGCCTCGGTAACGCGCGTGTTGCAAAGCTTGCAAATCAGGCAGTCCAGTACGCAGNTACTCAGCACCTTCAACCACACCAGCAAGAGGATAGTTGTCGAAAGTGGCAAAATCAAGCCCAACTTCGCGGTTAAATTTGAAATGGTCAAAATCGGTGAACTGAACCATAAAGTTGGTGGTTATGGCATGGTTTGGAGCATGTTGTCTAATGATGGCTGTTTGTTCTTTGGCGAAATCGATGACCATGTCTGAGCTGAATGTATACCAGTCTAGCAGTTGGGCTTGATTGGGCATGTAAACATTCAAGAATGGAGGCTGAACAGTATCGAAACTGACGTATTGAGAACTCCAGAAGACACGACCTTGAGCCTCGTTCATGTTTTCGATGGTGCCGTATTTTTCCTTCAGCCAGGTTCTGAATCTTATGATAGCGTTGTGATCATACGAGCGAACTGTATCGTGGCAGCCAAATTCATTATCAAGTTGCCAGGCGACGATGTTCGAGTTGTTGCCATATCTTTCAGCGAGCTTTTGTGTGATGCCTTGACTCAGCTTCCTGTAGTCAAACGAAGAGAAGCTGTAATGTCTCCGAGAACCAAAGATGAGGGTCTGGTTTGTGCGATCCACAAAGTTGACATCGTACTTCTCGGTCAACCAGTTGGGAGGAGCTGCAGTGGGAGTGCCCACGATAGCCTTGAGGCCGTATTTGCCTAACAAGTCCAGGGTCGTGTCCAGCAAAGTCCAGTTGTAGACACCCTCCGAAGGCTCCAGGACTTCCCAATCAAACTCGCTGACACGGACGTAGCTGATGTTGGTATCTCTCATGGCGGCCATATCTGACTCCCACATGTAATCCGGCCATTGCGAAGGATAGTAGTCGACAGCGAGGTGGAGTCCGCTTGGCCATCGACTTTGATCAGGAGCAAATGAGATATTGTATGCCCTTGGAACGAATCGAGTTGTAGCGCTCAGGGCCACCTGGGCCAGCAATGGGACCAGAGCAGTAGATGTGTGCATGGTGATTTTCCTGGCTGGTAGGGTTCGAACAGTGCTCTGTTCTGCGGCTTCATGATGTATTTATACCTGTTCCTGCACCCCCGATCATGAACTTAGTGCGTTTTCGCTTGGCTTAGTGATGATCGTTCCTCGATGGTATCGGCGGAGGTCCTCCGAGGGTGGGGATGGCGGGGTCTGTATGAGAGAGTGTGTGGAGTGCGTCGGCTGATTGTAGATCTCGGGTTATAACCATGCGAGGTCGACCTCGTGATAGAATGCAGGAGGTTGGGTTTGTAGTTGATGGAGTACTCAGAAGTCCGAACTGGTATGTTATTAGAATGCCAAATTATCTGGTCGAATGTTGGTTTTGTAGTCGGATTCCATCGCTCCTTCCATCAATGGTCGTGTTGTCAAGATCAATTGGGAGAAAGGATGCCGAAACTTGTGGAAGAGCAGTGCTGAACATCGAGCTTTCCTTCAACAATTTGAATTCGAAAATGCGATTGAATGGGTTAATATCGTGATTCGTGTACGCTGAAATTACAACCATCTATGCTATCGTCACATCTCGACCTCTCAAGTATCATTATGCACCCGCCTCCGCTCTTGTTGGTGCCCAATTACCAAGCCAATCCCTCGCTTTATCGGCCTGTCCATTCTCTGCCTCCAAGGCTCCTATGCACCATGGCAGTGCATACATCTCACCCTTCATACCATGCTCTTCCTTCATCAACTCGGCTAGAGTCCTTCTAGTCTGACTAGCTTCGTCGACACAAAAATGCAATGGCTTGGCTTCAGCAGGCAGGATACTAGCATCCACGAATGGCTTGACCATTGGCAAAGCATCCTTCGTGCTCATCGCGCCGCCTTCGCCAGTGTTTGTTCGTCCGGTCTTGCAGAATGTGTTGCGACACCAAGACTTGCCACAACCGGTCAAAAGCTGAGTCAAATATCGTCGCTCGATCCTTCGCTTCAAAGCTTTGTTCTCTGGGTCGTAGTTACTGACGTATAATGGTCCGAAGCACGCTGCGCATAAGCCAATGTCATTGCCCGTGTCTCTGACGGCTGCTCTGGTGTTGCCATCATGAGACGTTCCGTCTATTGTGCGGCCACAGACTGCATTCCGACACATACGAGGCTGAGAGCGTGACTTGCGGGTCAGATCGTGATGCTTGAGGTGCGTATCCATATCTCGCAGACGCACGATCCTTGAGCAGAGGTGGCATTCTGTTGTCCTGCTGCCATCGGCCAATTCGTGAGGGNNTGTAAGACCCGAAAGCAAAGCTTCGGGATTTGGCACATCAGGGTCACCTTCCTGTGGTACCGACAAGTGACAGAAGCGACACAAAATTGGTTTCGAGGGGCATACAGAGGTCTTGTGATACGCGAGCTGAGGGAGAGAAGAGAATGTGGTGGTTGTGCTACATGACAGGCATGCGAATGATGATGAGGGATGGTAGAGATGATTGTGTTTATGCTGGGAGACAGTGCTGTTGCCATAGAAGGTGTCGTGTGGGCAATGCCAGTGCTTCTCGTACGCTGGAGAACGCTTCGGGAAGACTTGACCACAGCCCTGAGGACAGAGGATGTTGTTACGGAGACAAAAGTTTTCATGGAGCATGAGTGTTCGTTGAGGCACCCATTGATCGCAGTTCTTGCAACGAACGTCTTCAGGATTTGGTGGCTGCTCCGAATTCCCATTTGATTCGGAAGACTGTGAGTCTCCTACCTTCACACGCAGGGTGAACTGGCGAGGCTCTGCAGAGCTCTGGTCATGTTCGCCGCGGAAAGCATGAACAGCTATCCACAAAGCCTCTGCGTCTTCGAGCTCAACATTTGAAGGTTCTATACGAATTCTCTTTGACTGACGCCCACTAAGATCACCAAAGACGTGTTCGTCGATACGAGGTCTGTTCCTTTGACGTGCAGAAAAGGGTGACACCAAGATGTCGACATCGTCGTCCAGATCTGCGCCTTCGACCTCAATCTCGAGTGGCTGGGCCCTTGGCCATGATGGCAGCTGATAGTCAATGTAGTCTCCTGGCGCGATCTGACCCTGCTGAGCATTGAAGACGTCCAGGTCTCCTCCAGCGGAACTGCCTTCTCCGCCTCGCTGATTCTTTTGTATCTTTTGAGCAATCTTGGCCAGTGTCTCTCTTGCTTGTTCTTCATTCAAGGCTTCAATGTCGACCTCGAGATCAGTGTCTACGACACATACGGCATCTGACTCTGGTTGGAACGAGTCAACGAGGAAGCGAAACTCTTCTCGGGCGGGACCAGGCACAACGAGAACTTCACCACGAGTCAAGGTGGTATAATTTGAGCGCAGGTGTTGTTCTAGCAAGGCTTTCCAGTCGTCAGGATCGTAGCCAGCCTCGAGTGGCCGTAGCTTGACAAAGGTGCCCTTTGGTATCTGGCGGGCGTGTATCGTGACTTGTGCTCCATCTTCTTTCAGGTCCAGCGCTTGGCTGAGAAAAGTACTGAGCGTAGCGCATCCTTCTTCGGCCGAGAACTCGCGGATGCCTGCATAGACGACTCGGCCATTGGTTGCGTTGACCAGGCGGAAGGTGAGAGGATGTGGTAGTTGATTCTTGGGTTCATCGGAGTGGTTTTGCGATGGTCGCGAGCCGGCGTAGTACGAGGAGTAGGTGTGAAAGTCGTTCTCGGGTTGTTCTGTGGCGGCGGCAGCTGTTGAGGCAGCCGAGAGTAATTGCTCAAGGGCAGATTGAGGCAATACGATCTTGTCTCCGGCCAAGTTGCTCGCAGAAGACGCCGCGAACTGTCCTGACCATTGCAATTCGTTACTCATGATTCAAAGTGACCGACTCTAAGAAGGCGACGCGCGAGGACATAATCAACTCCGAACAATGACTGTTCTAGAAGTTGCTATCGCGTGCATATGTCATCAACAACTTGCGGCGATTCTCGGGGAAGATATAAGATCATCTCGAGTTACTTCATTCGGCTTGCAAGATGTAACACCCTGACTTGCACATGCCACGTCTTCTTTCTTATCACTTCGTCACTTTCTGACCATCACACTGGCCGAACGTTCACTGGAGATATGAATGGGCATTCTAAACTGTGTTTCGAGTCACTCCTTTCCATCAGGGGTCTGTAGATGCGGGACAACCACCTCGGTATCTCTTCGCTGTTTACGACGCTTGCGAAACACAGTAGACCAGGAAGAATCGATTGCTTAATTCCCCCTCAACAGACAGTTTCTGTGGCGGAACTCATGAAGCATTGACCAAATCGATTGTACACAAGAAGTAATCGTCATTGCACTCGACTTTCAGCTGAATATAGTAGAAGCGCTCCAGCACCCAAACAGTCGCGGCGTCCGCAATTCGCGGCCAGAAAAGCATCCACTTTTTGAACATGAGACGCACGTAACGAGATTACGAATCCCTCAGCATGTAAAGCTTGTCCTGCCTCATTTGCTTGTCTCGAAGCTTGGTTACCTATGTCCTGTTGGTAGGTCCTCCTGTTGCCTCGCTCGAAGACATCATGCATTCATTATATCGAGTTGTCGTTGTCGCTCTAGCATTGATGACCATTGCCTGCTTCTACTATCAGATTTCGGATCTTCCACACCTCAACAGCATACTACACCACACATCACAAGAAGAGAGCCATGCCTCGACACTACTTGATTCTGGGGACGATTCGTCCAGTCGATCGGCGCCTGGATTTCACGTCCCTTACACAGATGATGTGATGAAAAACGCTCATCCTACTGTAGACGACACCTCAACTACTGAGGACAGCCCTCCAAAACCACCAAACGACAAGGCAGTGGTGATGGGCGCTCTCTCCACCGATGATGTAGCATGGGCGACGACGAAACTGCACGGATGGGACGCTTACGTGTATACCGTCGACGACAATACCACTATGCCATTCCACACAGATCGCAACAAAGGCAAAGAAGCAAATGCTTACTTGACTTACGTCATTCAAAGTTACAACTCGCTTCCTTCGACAGTCGCATTCGTACATTCACATGAGTTTGGTTGGCCGAAGGCGTGGTAAGTAAGGCAAAGGTACAAATAGCACACACCAGAACCCATCAGATGGGGTTGGACTGCTAGTTGCTCCATACTCAAACGTAAGAAACATGCTAATCGTACCTTCACCTTCAGGCATACAGATGCCAACCATCACTCCAATGTGGAGAGTCTAAACTCATTGAACGTCAAATTCGTTCAGAGGAATGGTTATGCAAACTTGAGATGCTTGCCCAATCCTGGCTGTCCTGATGAAGTACATCCACTCCGAGAGCCTGTGGACGAGAGCAAGACAACCGAAACAGTATTTGCTGCTGCTTGGAGGGAGATTTTCGACAATGACGATGTTCCAGAAATCGTTGGTGTAGCTTGCTGTGCCCAATTTGCCGTGTCAAGGCAACAAATACTCAAAAGGACCAGAGAAGAATATCTTCGCATGCACAACTGGCTGATGGGAACCGATTTGGACGACGAGACCTCAGGGCGGGTATTCGAGTATCTGTGGCATATCATTTTCGGCCGGGAGTCTGTCNTAGTGAGTGATTTGAATCGGCGAATGTGATTCGCGAGCTGACAGAATGATAGTTGTCCCAGCTTAGAACAATGTTATCGAGACGTGTACGGTTCTGAATGATTGTGATCTGCTGTTCCTGATCGCATAGGAAAACGGGTCTCGACCAGTCAAGCTGATACAAAGTAGCCAAGGCGTAAGCAGCTGAAGAAGGACAAGCCATGGCGCTCTGCAGCATCGCACCAGCTACACCAGTATGGTGGGGTGCATGGTGGTGCAGACTAGAATTGACATCGCATGTGGTAATGGTTTCAACCAGCTCGCTACCGCCGGTCTCGGTGTCATGAGTTTTGTTCAGTCAAGCCATTGTGCACCGCCGCGGCGAGTTTTTTTTTTGGTGAAAATGTCACTTCAGAGCATCGTTCTCGAAAATAGATAGAGGTCGTCAGGTTGCCAAAGGATCGTGTATCGGCTGCCTCGGGTGCCTGCCAAGCTGCGCTTCGCGACTCGCGCTTTCTTGCATCCTTCTCGCTCGTGTCGCGTGTTTCTATCTTAGGTACCGTCTCTATTCTTGCAATTCTCGTGACCATCACTCGTAGAAAGTCGCCTCTAAGAACACTATTCTGACGGCGGTGGCAATGGCAATGGCAGTGCGCAGAGGTGAGAGAGAAAGATGCGTCATCATCAACACGGTTGGTTGCAACAGACAACCGGCGCGAACGCTGTTGTCAGAGGAGCGAACCCCACACGCAAAGGAGAAAACCAGCGTGCCAAGCTCCTTGCTGACTGTTTGTTGTGTCTTTGCTATTTCCCTGCACCGTTTTTTCCCACACACAACGGTGCGATGCGTTGAGAAAACGGATTCGCAATCTGTGCCGGAGACACGAACGTCCACCGCAGAACCGCCAGCAGAGTTCCATCAAAAAGTGGTCACAATATTGGAAAATCGAGGAAAAGCAGAACTGAGGCTGTCGGGAGCAATGACTCGAGTGTTGCTGTCAGCGGAAAAAACACGCAAGCCCTAGCGAAAGAACCTGGGGCATGAGGCTGGGAAACCCACTCCTGAGCTAGCGATAGCATGTCCTGAGACTAGCTTGAGCGCCTTGCATGTCTACATGCAAGGCACAGAAGTCTGTTTTCGCTGCTCATCTCCTGGAAACTCGCAAGATTTGGTCGCAGAATACGAAACAACGAGACAAGAGCTCATTTGCAAACGGTCCATCTTTGAGGTCATGTTGTTGGTGAAGAAGCACGACTCCAAGGTCCGTTATCGATCTTATACGAGAAAAATCCCCCAAGGACGAATCCTCCGTCCGTGCGATGTTCTATTTCGAAACTCAAGCATCCATATTTTTACCTGATCTATCCAACAATTCCAAGCTCGTCTAGCGCTGGTACTAAATGGATACTGTAAAGTTGGGAATAACCGGGGCCTTGGTGTGCATGGCGTGCAGCTGGATGAGGCTTCCGTGGTTCCTCCCATGCACATAATCAGTCATTGGTGGCAGGGAATAATATAGCTATCCCTATATCCCCCGCCATCGTTTTCCTTGTTACTTTCTGCTGCATCCCCCATATTAGAAGACTTTGATACCCCTGTGTTTTCTTCTCTTGCATCCTTCTCTTGCATCTCGCGTTCTACCACATCCAACCCCTATACCACAACATACCGCAAACATGAGATATACTACTGCTCTTCTCTCTCTGGCTGCCATTGCCGTTGCTCAGGACTGTGTCTCGAGCTACGAGTCGTGCCTTCTCACCAAGGACGAGCCCACCTGCAACTCCGAACTTGCTTCGTGCAAGGATGTCTGCGGCAAGGACTTGGACCAGTGCAACCAGAGCGACGCCGGGTCTGCCACCTGCCAGAAGAACTACAACTCATGTTTGAACACCTTCCCCATCATTCCCGGTGGTTCGGACTGTGTTGCCAAGTTCATCAAGTGTGGTGAATCTGGTCAATCCTCCGAGAGCTGCAATGCTCAGAATGCTGTTTGCAAGTAAGTCAAACTTGAAAATGGTCCTGACATATGAACCACGTACTAACAACATGAACAGGNNGACTCTTGCACTAACATCAACTCCGCCTGCCTTTCTTCCGGCTCCGCTGATGTTGCCGCCTGCACTAAGCAGTACAACGCCTGCTACTACTCCTCCTCGGACGCCATCACCCTCGACACCGTCGCCAAGTACCAAAACTGCCTCAACGCCGGCACCAACGTGACCGCCTGCAATGCCGAACTCACCAACTTCAAGGACGCCTGCACAACCATCCAGGCCACCTGCCTCGTTTCCGGATCCGCCGATGCTACCTTCTGCTCCTCGCTCACCGCCGCCTGCTACTACAACGGCAGCAAGTGGACCCGCGAGTCCTGCTCTGACGCCTTCACCGCCTGCACTGCCAGCGACTCTGAGTGCCGTGCCGAGTTGACCATGTGCAAGGACACCTGCACAAACGCCGAGGCCTCGTGCCGTACTGCCCAAAACGCTGATGCTTCTGCTTGTGCTGCTGTTCGCAGCTCGTGCCAGGGTTCTGCTAACGACCCCATCACCGACCCTAACGTCCTTGCCGCTGCCTCTGCCTCTGCTTCCAAGACTTTGAGCTCTGTTGTTGCTGCCAGCACTGGTGGTTACACTTACAGCAATGGCACTGTTGGTGGTAAGAATGCTACTTCGACTTACACTCCTCTTGCCTACACTGGTGCTGCCTCCAAGGCTGGTGTTTCGGCTGCTCTTGCCGGTGTTTTCGGTGTTGCTGCTTACCTTCTGTAAGTCTTCGTCTAGAAGATGCATGAGAGTATGATGTATTTGTATGAAATTATTATAGACGAGGAAGGATGTTTTGCATGTATGGAGTATGGGAATGATAGAATGAGGCGACGGTCATGAATGAGCAAAGACCGATTAATGTATATTTACGCTCTGGAACAGAAACCAAAAACAAAAACTATTCTACATCGAAGTTATCTTGTATTCCTATTGCTTGATTGTGGAAAGATGCTCGCCCTTTCTTCGTGCGCGGCACTCGTTGAGCATGAATCAGGTCTTTGAGGAAAGCTGATAAGCAAGCAACCAAGATCGCTGACCTTCCAATCTCTTTAACAGAAGCTAAAAGGGTTGTCTCTTCTCGGGCCCCTGACTCAAGAACTCTCTGTTCGACGTCTTCGCCCTTCACTATCCAGTGACCCAGCAAGGCCTTCTCCGGCAGAGGGTCTTCAAGAAAGTCGGCCGCGAAGGGCTTCGTCGTCGACCTTACGAACTTCTCTGCCAGCCCAGTAATCGTGTTTACGCTCTTTCTGTAGAGGCCAGACGACGAATTTCTGCAGGCTCTATAAAGGAGCGCGTTTCTGCTGGTGGAGCGGCCTACATATCCTGCTGGAGACTGACAATGATGTGTAGAAGCTGTTGTACGTCAAGACAGCCGTCGTCAGCCAGAAGACTTGGTACAGTCTTATCGTCGTTCCATAGGCTTTGTGTGCACATCAAGGAACCGGCTGGGCTTGTTTGACCACGCGAATGTTGATCATGACGTCCGCCATGGACAGGATAGTAATAGCATCACAAAGCGTCTTAAAGAGTCGATACACTGACGATATGCTGTTTCAGATCGGCCTCGTAAAGCTGTTTGCACATCTTTGATCAACCTTCTTCGGCATCGCCTTTGTCGTGATAATCCTTGTTCTCATCCATCTGTTGCGGTCCGAAAGCTTTCTCGATGAACAAGTCGTAACTCTGTGCCGATCCGTTGACAGCCTGGAGGTACCTCTTGCTGTGCCGATACAAACAGGCTTTGCTGACATCCTTTGCTGTAGGCTCGTGACCGTATATAGCTCTGAAACGCTCGTATCGCTCAGCGTAGTCGCATTGTATCTCAACATGATCTCGTTCAGCCTGGGCAAGATTTCTGAGAGCATCCTCGATCATGTTGTTGCGTGTTTCGATCTGCGCATCGCTAAGAAGATGGTCCCCAGTAGATTTGCCGTCTGGATAGAAAAGCTGATCGTACAGGTTCATGGCTTGTTCAGCATGCCAGCTATGTCGCTAGTCAGTACGAATCGGTTCATTCGTCAAGTTGACTTACAGAAAGTCTGTGTCGCCGAGCGAAAGAATACGATGGCATCCTGCCTTGTGGAAGATGCTAAGGTCAGTATAGCTCAAAAGCAGACGGCACAGACGCTCGCTCTCTTCGTACTCCTCCGCGTCGAAGCTGTCGCTAGCTTTCTTGAACAGGCCCCTGAATACATACTCGCGAGCGTTCGTCTCGTAACCAGCTAACATCATGAGGGGATCTTGCAAACTCGAGTCTTTCGAATCAGCGTAAGAACATGAAACCACGATTCGNCAGCAGCGTGAAAGGAAACGCGAGGTAAACATGTCAATCTCCGCAATCCAATGACGGAGCTTGAGATAATCGAGGGTATGACATTTTGCAGCAATTCTGAGAAAGGGAATAAGAAACCGCTTTAGGTAGGAAATCGCAGGCTTCGACACCACATAAAGACACACCTTTCGTCCAGTCCTTTGACTCATGGCCCTACCTTGTGGTATAACAAATACATGTTGCATACTCTGAGACCTCTTAAAGCGGCACTTTACTTCTTGGACGAAGGTCGTTGAGATCATTGTGATAAGGCTGAACGGCCAATCGCCTTTTGAGTCGTGTCAAACAATGTTCAGCCAGAACATCCGACGATCGTCAGATAGCGTACAAAGCTGTCGGACAGTCATCCGTACATGTTCCAATGTATTGGGCATATTCACAGAACCAGTTGTCATGGAGGGAAATGCAGCAAGTGGACAGCAGGAAGGTCTCGACAGGCTGGCACTTTCGAAAAGAGCAACTCGACGCGACCGAAGCCAAGTCGGCCGACTTTACCCGGCGTACACCTCCAAGACTCCAACCATCTGATGATTCCGCTTGCAGCAATACATCAACATAAGTTGAGCAAGTTTCATGTTCCAGCCTCCTAAGCGATGTGAACAGATCATCTCACCGCCGAGATGTTCGTGAGATTGGAGACGGGGAGACCTCAAGCGATTTGTGCGGTCTCGAGAGGTTTGTGCTGTTCTTGCCCAGCTTTTAGGGTTTTGAGATATTTGTGCCTGTAGAGAAATTGACTTTCCGCACGACTTGTGCTTGTACTCGAGGAAAGCTCTTCTCGCCAGCTTATAGGCCAGAGTGAATGGTGTAGGTCAGCTCGGCACAGCAGAGTCGAGTTCTCGATCTTGACAAAAGATCATTCGCTGGCTTTCGTTGCCTCTTGTCAGCCTCAGCACAATTGACGCAGGGTCCTTCCTTTCAAGCTTCACTGCCCCTCCAGTCACAAGCCAAAGACCCCACCACGCACAAGTCTCTCAGCTCAGCGACTGGTATATATATCACTTCATCCACCACCTCTACTTCCTCTCCACTACAACAACACACTCAACTATCCTAAAGCTTCTTCGACTTACAGTCTTCCGTCATCCACCAACACCATCTTCAATCACCAACTTATCAACTCAACATCAACAAAAATGGGTGGCTGTGGTAACGCCTCTTGCTCTTGCGCCAGCTGCGGCTGTGCTGCTGGTAGCTGCACTTGCGGCGTGAGTATCTCCTCTCTGGAATCGATGTCTTCACTGCTATCACTTCGAACACTTACTATCACTCAACATCTCGGTCCACATCTGCTGCCACTATCACCCTCTATGTGCACGATAAAGCTAACAACCATTACAGAAATAAGCTGCTTCACCTGCGACATCATAATCTCGGCATGATGGGTCGAAGTTCATGATCTCGTCACCTCAAGGCCTTGCTAGCCTGACTTGATCACATATCACAACCATCACGAGTTTGGATCATCAATCACACCAGACCTCCATCAAAAAGATAAAAAAAAAAGTGAACAAAAGAAGAAACGACAGAAAAATCTCTGATGTACTTGGAAGACGCTCAGCAGACATGGAACGAGAGCGAGCAGCAGAAAAGGAGAAGTTTGGACGGGAAAGAATGCACATATCCCGGAGGAAACATAATGTCATCTGGGACTTTATGGAGGATGCTTTTCTTTCTTGTCCCGATATGCAGAAGGATATTGGCTTTGCACAAACCATGTAATTGTATCCTTGGAATAACAGAAGCCCAAACTTCCATCTTCAACATTATCAATTGTGTGTGGTTTTGGGGGTTTTTGATAAAATGGACATATCACTGGCTACGAACGAGTAGGGAGAGGTTACCTTTTGAGTATCCAGTCTATGCAGTCAAGTCCAGATAGTCTCGCCAGCAATTTTTCCTAGCAGTGCAAAATCATCATAGACATTTGTTACAGCATTGATAGCTTCCATGTCTATTGATAGTACCTCGCGGCTTGCTTTAGCGTTACCATTAGATGTTGATATATTATGTACATGTTCCGTTCGCCACATCACATGATCTCGCTCGTATGGTCTAGTGGTATGACATCTCTCTCACACAGAGAAGATCCTGGGTTCGATCCCCAGTGTGAGCATTGTTTTGCTCTATCCGAAGTCAATAGCCATTGCTCCATTGCTACCGCTCGCGGTGACAGTCGACAATTGTGAAACGCTGTTTTTGTGGCTTCATGGATGAAAGAGTCACCAACACGCGCATGCCTCGGACAAAGCTCAGAACGATTACAGTTTGCTTGGCATTCACATGCAATGACGGCAAGGGTCACCCATCGTCCGGGTCTCGTGCAGCATGTTGAAAGTCGAGCGGAACGAATTCTCCTCTTGCAAGTCCCAGGACTGTGAGGCGGCATGCCCCCATTTTGTGGCAATAGACCAATGACTAGAACCATTTCATGGCAGCCCTTGGTGCGTGTAATCTCCGGATTAAGTTTCATGATTTTTGTGGTTTGGTTTCCCGCAGAGATGCAGAGGATGACATCGGTGACATGTTCTGGATGGTACAAGCGTTCTGGGCAGCAACCGGACAAACAACAAGAGAAATGCACTGACACGCCTTGCAAACAACAGATACACCTTGGATGACCTCCATGTCGGATACTTCGTCCACGTCCGCGAATGCCGGACAGTCGGCGCCTGAGAGGAGAGAGTCCAACAACACAACCAAGCCGCCGACGGTAGCCGCCTTTTCACCCACCTCGCACGAGTTTCCTTCAACTCGGCAGCGCTCGACTATTCTCGTACACCAAAAGTCGCCGCTACTGCTGGCAACTCCGCCGCAGGTCACAAGAGCTTTGGCATATTCACATCCGTTCATTGTCCCCTTGAACAAGCTCGTCGGGCTGCTGTCATGGACGACTGGAGATGCTTGGGAGAGCTTCCTGTTTGTGGCCGCCTTCTGGTTCACAGTCCTGTATGGCGGCTATATCCTGCGATACATGGGACCTTTGATACTGGTCACTTTCCTCATAGTGGGCATGTACCTTCGAAGGTACTCTCCACTATCGTCGACGGGCTGGACTGGCGAGAAAAAGAAGGGACACAGAAGAGATCCTTCAGACGGCATCAAGCATCGCAAGTCTTTGGATGAGATCCTGTCGACCCTGCAGACTTTCACGACAAGATGCAACATCCTGCTTGACCCATTACTTCGCTTGACCGACTTCTTGTCTACCCAGCAGACAGCAACCTCTGCCACCACACAACCCGCCCTTACCACGCTATTCATTCGCATCATGCTCACATCACCTCTGTGGTGGGCTCTTACCCTCCCTCCGCTCCGCATCATCACCACGAAACGAATCGTCCTAGTTGCCGGTACCATCTTCTTGTCCTGGCACTCACGTCCAGCACGTATCAGCCGCACCATCCTCTGGCGCTCAAAGACTGTACGTGAGATATGCACCATTATTACCGGGCTCGATCTCGGCGTGCCTTCAGCCTCAGCACCACCGTTACCTCCACGGCCAGGAACAAAGGGTGCCGTAAATGTCAACGCGAAACCAAACACGGACTCGGGCGAAGGCATTCGCTTCACCTTTACTTTGTACGAGAATCAGCGAAGATGGCTAGGCATAGGCTGGACGGCAAGTATGTTAGCTTACGAACGCAACTCTTGGACCGACGAACACCTAAACCCGACAGCCGACCCCGTACACTTCGAGTTGCCAGAGGTAGAAGGTGGAATGGCAAAATGGCAATGGGTGGACGACAGCGAATGGCACGTCGAACTGCCTTCGTCCAAGAGGAACAAGTCCAAGGATGCCGCTATCGATGACGAAGATGCATGGATATACTACGACAATAAATGGCGGGATGGACGAAGGGGACAAGATGGCTGGGGCCGCTACACTCGCCGCAGGAAATGGCTCCGTGATGCCGAACTCGTAGACGTGATACCAGAAGAAGAGAAACCGACGAAACCTACACTGGCGCCTCCTCTTCCACTGANNCCACGGAAAAGCAAAACCACCACCCACGCCTCCTCGCCCAACACCCTCCCGCACACCCAGCAGTGCACTCACACAAGCGCTCAAGAATGCTCCACAGCATGCTCAAACACCATCTATGACTACCGCCTCAACCATCACCACAAGCNNAGTGATGTTGGAAGTCCGTCTAGTAGCTACAAGCGCAAATCGTGGATACCAGGATCCGCGGGAAGTAGGAACAGAGCCACTAGTAGTGCATCTGGTAGTACCGAAGGAAGGATGAGTAGAGCGGCCATGGGAAATGATGATGTGGTGCCGCCGGTGGCGAGGTTGAAGAATGAAACGGCGGATTGGGGGCTGGGTGATGATGTTAGTATGGGGTTGGGATGAGCTTTTAGGATATGAAGAGTGTCGCAGGCGATGAAGATGACTCGTATGGATTCAAATGAATGATTATTGAAGATACGAAATGCTATCTGTTTATGACAAGTTCTTTTGCTTCCTATGCTTGTACTCGACACTGTCGCTTGCCTTTCGATCTTAATTGTGTACATTGATATCGGTATCATGGTTCTCAGATAAGTGCTCATGAATTGGGAAGGAAATGTGTATGCTCAAGCTTGCATGTTGCTTGCAGAGGCCGGGTCGCGCAAAGCCGCTGAGAGCAAGCAACGCCCAGCCCACCACAACCCATTTCGTCCTCCACCCAACCTAAACAATTTCATCCTCAAAAAGACAATCTCTTAACCAAACAGAGCAATCACCTTTCATCACAAACGGAGTTTGCATGTGTCTGTAAATATCGTTAGTAGTTTGTTGCAGAACATGAGGTAAAACGTACGACGTGTTAGGCACTTCGTCGACGTCGATGGCGATGTCGACAAACAAGGTGAGACGAATGCTCCGTCCGCCACAGCGATACAGTTGTACTCTCTCACAGTCACTAAGAACCACATCTCATGGTCAGATCACCTGCAAGCCCAAAGTAATCTTTGGAACTGAACCTAACAGAAGATTGGTGGCGACCACAACTCGTTTTCAACATACTGATGCTTTGCCAGTCTCGACAACTCTCAATCACTGGCTATACAATCAATTATTCTCAAGAAGTATGCCGGCACCTTATAAGTCCTGACTAGTTAACAGACAGAGACTTGTTACGCAGACGCTTCCATCCAATCATCATCGACGAGTGATTTTAGATGACCAATGTGTGCTCTCTGGGTTTCCCCTGGAAGGCCGGTCGGTCGCCATGTGACGCAGTATATCGTTCCTTTGGAACCCAAATTTCCTTTATTTCTGCCAACTAATTGCTATCGAAAAGTGTTTGATCGAGCCTTCCGTCTGAAAAGTGTTTCACATGGTTCTCTTTCCTTTTATGATCGATCGTTCTTTCTCTGAGTGTTAGTCGTGGCTTCCTCATATCTCCGTTTGTTCCTTCCTTCTTTGCTTGATCGATCCTTCGTATCACACTTGATGGTTCCCTCCTCTTATGCACGGTCTTTCTTTCCTCTCACATGTGATAATCCCTTCTTCATATGGTGACTGTGTACTCCGATTACTTCTTTCCTTATCTTCGATCGCACCTTCCTCTCATGCTTGGTCTTCGCTGTTCATACTACTCTCGATCGGTTTCCCTTATGCTCATCTCTCTATCTATTAGCAGCCTCACTCGTCAAATATCGCCAGCGCTCTTCTAAAGGAGTGTTCTTTCCTAAAATGTCCTATTGGCTTCGAATCCTGGTCAGGTTGAGTAGTCAGAAGCTTTTTTTTTTTGGTGTAGCGTCTCTTGCATTGAAGCCATTTCCGTTTCTGGACTTATGACTGACGGGTAGCTGTGATGTTAGGAAACGTGGTCTCTATGTTTCTAGGTCTCTTGTCCAATCTTGTACATTGTGTTTCTGATCTTGAGCCTTGACTACTGTGATTGAAGATGTGAATCAGCATTGAAGTCTCATATTTGCTGCGGGTCGACGTACCTCTTCCGCGTGCGCCTTCCACCATCACTTCATACTAAGCATTTGGCAACGCAAGTTACAGTCTCCTCCACTGTCCTCAACTGAACAATGCTACAGATTTAAGTTATGTATCTACACAAATACCGCCAAGCCTTACTTTGCAGCCCGGCTTCGCACACAAAAACAGGGTCCACAAATCTCATGTCCGAATTTTCAAAAAGACTGTTCTCGACCCGTTTCACCACCTTCTTTCTTTCTCCCGGGCACACCCCTCGCGAGCAAAAGGAATATTGACGAGAGTGGGATTTGAACCCACGCCCTTTCGGACCAGCGTATTGGAAGAACCTTAAGCTGGCGCCTTAGACCGCTCGGCCATCTCGCCTTTGTATGATAGTGCCTCACCTGGTCTCAATATGATCTGGAATTTATTATGCTGCCGGACGGTGTGACTTGTACATGAACACAGAACGCAAGTCAACTCTTGACTCTTGATGGCCGAGGATGGCGATATAACTGTCCATTATCAGACCCTGGTCGCGGTAGAAGTTGTCTTTCACGTTCATATCTTGGTTTATGCTGCGCAATTGAGGGCTATAAGTAATCTAGGAGGAAGAGTGTTGCTTAATAAGGAGATATCGAGTCAACTTGATACTCCGGGATGGCGATGGCAAGTTGTCTATTTGATGCGGATTGTTGAAAATGGTTGCTTCCCCTACGTTGTGCTTCAAGCTTTAGTTCACAAGTGTGAGGTCGAGCGGAGAACAAAGGCTATTGATTGGTTGGTCGGTCGGGTGGTTGCATGGCGAGGGATAACCACAGCCGAAGTTCCGGGATGTTGTTTTGATAGATTCCTCGATCGGCGACCGCGACAGTAAGTCGGACAGGAAGGCAAGAAGTACGAGGGACTATGCGGCAAGTCAGCCAGTACAGGTATCAAGACAAGTCCCGCTTGAATCCTCGAAAGAACTCCAGACAAGATGAAGCGTTCCACTGGCACATTCTTCTTCTTCGTCTGGTGCATTGGCGGCGTTGTTGTGCTGCTGCTCGATGGGAGTCTTTGAAGATCTTCGGTAGCGTTGACACGATCCAAGCTCTTTCTATTCTGAGTCTCATCGTCTTCGAAGACGTCTCCTGTCCCATAGTCGAAGGCACAGGGGCCGCAGCGTGGACCAGGATTTACGCAAAAACAGTCTTTCCATCTGTAGTTCTCTGCCTCTCGACAGTGAGCCTCTGATAATCGTCGGAGACGTGACCCAGAGCCCATTTGCGATCGGCATAAGCAAACGTGACTGCTTCGTTGTAGATTTGTCTACAGACGCGGAGGATGTTGACGCCTAGACGAGGCTTGTACATAGGTTTGTCACAAGTGATCATTCCCACATCTCCCTCAACTTCGTAGCAGACTTTGTCTGGTCTCGAAAGGTGCATGGAGTATATGAGGTTGCGCAACTCGAGTGGTAGTCTCAAGAAGTCGAAGACACCTGATGGTATGATGGCGGGCAGCGTAGCCATATGAGTGTCTTTAAGCGCGGATGCGAAGCGGAATATAATCGAGAAAAGCGGACGTGATGAAGTGAAGATGGAATTGGCTGGAGGCAATGAAGATGGCTTTTAGTCTGTTGCGGTGTGATTGGAAGGAAGCTGCGAGTTGAAGCATCGTCGTGCCGACGTGTCTATGCGACTACCTATTTCTGCGAACCTCTTGGCCGTGGATACTCATCCCTCCTCGGGGACGCAATGCACTTTGCAGAATTCTAACAAACCATGAATATTGTGTTGGCCAGTTTTCACACCAAGTAAGTCCTCGCTCTCTCGAGCTTGGCTATATATGCGAGTCAAGTTGAAACTGCTTCACCCTGGGTTCGGTCTCAGAAGGTGCAGTGAGCAAAGCCGCTCCGTGGCGTCCTTCGTTACAAGGCTAGCCATCGAGTGAGCCTCCTCTCGAGTGGTCAATACCTACCTCCTCTTTCCGGTGCGCATCTAGCAGCGAAGTTTGTTAGTGTCGTATTAGTTGCCGTATCTTAGACATACGCATGAGTGCTGACTTGCACACTAGAATACGATGAGCTCTCGCTCGCACGAAAACGCGCAAGGCGAGACGAAAAACGCTTGCGAGCCAGGCACGTAATCATGTATCAAGCACAGCACCAACCTTTGTCTCTCTCTTGCTCGTAGCGCGTCCATCATCGCTCTCTCCGCGGCCAACGACGACGTACACTTTCCAAAGCATCTTGTGGTATTTGAGCATCGCCGTCCGACCCATGTCCGCCTTCGGCTTCAAGACTCGATCCTCACGCGAAACGGTCGGCACTACCAGATTGGCTTCTTGTTTCCTCTCGAGGGTATGCTGCTCGATTAGGCTTATGTGGCAAGTGGTCTATCTGCTGAAGTCATGATGCGAAGGTGGACCCTCTGCGAATATTTCCCGATGTTGTCGTCGTTGTTGTCGAATCATTGGGCGTCAATGATTTGCGGCTACGTATCCGAGTAGGTTGCGTACTCCATCGGCAGTGGCCCATCTCACTTGGAGTGAGTTTTCGGGAAAATGAGATGTGGCTGAGAGACAGCTTATGTTGATCCATCTATCAGCTCGTTTGATTACATGTTGCTCATTCGACACGAAGACAAGTCCAAAAGTCGGATATGAGATCTGAGACGTCTATCAGTGTTTGAGGACTGAAGTCAGCTCCAACGGATCACATTGCCGAGCGCTTTCCCAGCGGACTGTGCGAGTTATCAACGCACGTCGCACGCCCTCAGCTGCATGAACTCGGGACTTTTGCCGTCGTCTTACTATCTGCTCTTGCACGTAACCTTTTACCACAGCTTGTCAAGATTTACCCGAACCAGAGGGCGAAACACGAGACTGTTCTTTCGTACGCAGGTCTCATGCACAGGAGAAGACGTTGGAGCAAAGTTCACCAGTGACGAATCGCATGCTGTCAGGACGCGCCATGATTGGTCACCCCAGCTCTACTTGGCATGCCTCTCCATGACTTTTCCACGACACATGCCTCGAGTCCTTGCCGTCAATAGGTCCATGACAACAAACGTTCTTTCACGCCGCCGTGTCAGGTACTGAACTCCAACTTCCACCGGACCCTTGATCTTCACGCTGCACCTGCAGCTTGTTCTCGGCATGTGCCTGGATCTATAGGCTGACAATGCATCCCCTGTGTTTTCCGAATGAGATACACCGAGGAGGGGTAGCGGGGTGTAGGCCGCATGCGGAGGACAAGATTCGCGACAATGTGCCATGATGCTGTTGAAAATTGTTGTAGCTTACGTTGAGCACGAGTCGTATCTTCGAATGCTTTATGATACTAGGTTGGTCCTGACCCTTGCCTCTGCATCTCTTTTTGTCTATCTGCATACCTTTGTACCTTTTTTTTCTTGCACCTCTACTTGTGTTTGTAACAATGTTCGTTCAAGGAGCGCTTCAAGCGCTCACAGAGCCCTTGAACCAGATCAGCATTGCTACTGTCTTGTTGGTGCTTCTTCTCGTCACCTACTTCACTCTCTCGTTCACAGAACTCGAGACCGTCGGCAAGCTGTTCAATGCCGCCGCTACGTCCGCAAAGTTCGCATACTCCTGCTTCTTGAAGCCTCACACTGGCGACAACACTGGCAACCAACAAGATGCTCTCGAAAGCTTCTACAAGACTCAAGCCGGTATATACGATGTCACACGTTCGAGGCTCCTCCGTGGAAGAGAAGACATGCTGGCAATGGCTGCCGCTCAACTCCGCCATCAACTTGAGCAGGGCCAATATCTCCGCAAGCCAATCTGGGTCGTAAGTTTTGTTTGTGATGCTTTCGAGGACTGTGCTGATTCTCTTTCTGCTTGAAGGNACGTCGGCGGAGGTACTGGCTGGAATATTGAACAGATGGAAAAATACTTGCCAGTTTCCAGCTTCTTCCACGCCGTCTATCTTGTCGATTTCTCGCCCTCTCTGTGCCAAGTTGCCCGAACCAGATTCGCTCGCCTCGGATGGAAGAATGTCAAGGTCGTCTGCCAGGACGCTCGCACCTTTAAGCTCAGCGACTACGAAGAGAGTCTCAACGACGAAAGCGCAGTTTTCAGCATTGGCAAGAGTGCACTCGACGAGAGCAGTGCCGCCGACAATGTCGGTGCAGATCTTTTGACTATGAGCTACAGTCTCTCCATGATCCCCGAGTTCCACCCCGTCGTCGACTCCCTCGCCAACCTGCTTGCATCCAATGGTATCATGGGTGTTGTAGATTTCTACGTCCAGAACCAGATCCAGTTTCAGTCTCGCAACTATGTTGGTGGTGTCATCGATCGTCACTGCATGTGGATCTCCCGTGTCTTCTGGGCTGCATGGTTCGAGATGGACAGAGTATTCTTGGACTCTTCTCGTCGTGTAAGTGTTCATTGCCAAGATTGGAACTCGCAGACTGACTCTTGCAGGNATTACTTGGAGTATAAGTTTGGCACAATCTTGACTGCCAACGCTCGTAACCACTTCTTCGGCTTCAGAATTCCATACTACATCTGGATCGGCTGTGCCAAACAGACCAAGTCGTCCATGAACAAACTTGCCGCTCTCGATGCCGCCGTAACAGAATCTCCCTTTATCAGCGCTTTGGACCTCCAGCGCAAGACAGTCGGAGGTGTACGTAGAGCTTCCTCCTCCGAGCGTCGCTCAAAGGCATACGAGTCGGCCATTGTCAACCTGTCAGCAAGCCTACCTCTGCCCGCAGCATGGTACCAGCAACATCACTGGCGCATCTACTACGACGAGCAATTACAAAAGCATAGACAGTTCGGTGACGAGTACATCTATGCCTTCACCTGGGAAGACGCCCGAGTTGATGCACGTCTCCTCAAAATCACATCCGAAGATGTCATCCTCGCCATCACCAGTGCAGGCGACAACATTCTTGCGTATGCCCTCGAACAACCCAAGCGTATCCACGCCGTCGACCTCAACCCAAACCAAAACCACCTTCTCGAACTCAAGGTCGCCGCTTTCACCGCCCTCGGCTACACAGAGGTGTGGAAGCTGTTCGGTCAAGGCAAACACGACGAATTCCGCTCCCTCCTTATCAACCACCTGAGTCCCCATCTCTCATCCCAAGCCTTCGACTACTGGCTCCACAAGGGCGAGGCCACTTTCGGCACCAAGAGCCGCGGTCTGTATTACACCGGAGGCTCTCGCCATGCCCTGCAACTAGTCCAATGGCTAGGCCGCCTCCTCGGCATCCGCGCCGACCTCGAAAACATGTGCAAAGCCGCCACCCTAAACGAACAGCGCGAGATCTGGAGTAAACGCGTGCGCAGAGTGCTACTCTCCCAATTCCTCAACTACACCGTCATCGGCACCGAAAAGTTTCTCTGGAAAGCACTGGGTGTACCTGCCAATCAACGCGCAATGATCGATAACGATTATCTACGTCAAACCGACCGCGCAGACGCAAAAACACTCACGGGTGTCAAGTCCGGGCAAGCGATTTGGGAGTATGCGGTTAATACTTTGGACCCTGTTGTCAACAATACTCTGGTGTCGGAGGAAAACCCATACTACTTGATTTGTCTGCAAGGACAGTACACCCAGCGCTGTCACCCAGAATACCTGGCCCCTAGAGCACACGTCAAACTCTCCAAACCCAACGCCTTTGACGGTTTACGCATCCACACTGACGAGCTGTGTGAAGTAATGGCACGCATGGCGCCCGAAACCCTCACCATCGCCGTCTTGATGGATAGTATGGATTGGTTCGACCCCAACGGCCCTGAAGCAGACCACCAAGTCAAGATCGTCAATCGCGCACTCAAATTTGGCGGTAGAGTGTTGTTGAGATCTGCGGGCTTGAGGCCTTGGTATGTGGATACGTTTGAGAGCAGAGGGTTTGTTGCCAAGAGGGTTGGTGCGAGGATTCCTCCTGGCTCTTGCATTGATAGGTATGTTTTGTGTCCCCTGTGCCTGCGACTTTGATGAGTGCTTTTGCTGACACGGGACCAAACANGAGTAAACATGTATGCTTCGACTTGGATCTTGACCAAGGTTGAGGCTGTCGTTAGTGATGAGAAGTGAGAGTATCACGTTTCGCCTGCGATTTAATGAGTGGATGAAAGAAGCCTTTTTTGTATAATCGAAAACCTGTCGATATGATGATGTACGGAAAGTCAGTAGAAGATAGCATTACGAGAGTCAGAAGAATACAACATTGTAAAGTTAGTAGACACAAGTCCGAGAATCAGAAGCTTCATGTGCAACTCGTCAGACGAAAGTCAAAGAGCACAAAAAGCTTCATATGCACTCTGCTCAACAAAAATGGTCTGAAGGTATATCATTTACCGATGCGTATGCGCCTTGAAAAAGTAGAATGTCTGCAAAAGAACAAGAAAAGGAGACAGAAGGGAGGGCGTATTCATGGGGATATCAAGTTTTTCTTCGCTCCTCCACCTCTTCATGCCTTTTCAGCCTCGAGTTCCCGCTCGGCCTGCTGGTAGTACTTTGCCGTGTCGACGCCGTGCTGATTGTGGTTGACAAAGTTGAACCAGGGCATCATGTGGATCCAGATTCCGCTGTAGCGCGACTGGCGCGAGGCGACACCTTGCATGTACTCGGTCAACTGGCTCTTGCCGTAGAGCTCCTCGCCGCGCTTGACCTTGTCGACCATTTCGCGCATGTCCATGTCGATTTCGCGGCGGTTCTCGGTGAAGCCGTAGAAGCGGTCNTGTTTTTGACGCCGTGTTAGCAAATCTTGCTTCCTTCATGTCCTTGTATGGTGCTTTCCAAGCTCTTTCTGAAGGGAGATTTCGGGGTGGGTGGACGCACTGATGGATCTCGAGTAGCAGAGGTAGAAACCGGCAAAGAGGCCGATGCCACCGGAAAGACGCATCACGCTGGCAAAGACGCTGCGGGAGACACCGGTNGGAGAGACGCGCTCCATGAGGGTCATGGTAGCGGGGATTGAGGCGCCGAAAGCAACACCGTACATGTAGTCGCCGGGACGGGCATAGCCGAGGACGCGCTTGAAGTGANNCTGAGAGGACAATATGTTAGACCGGAGGGTGTTCGAGGCTGGCGGACGAGCTGGGCGAGCTTACGGGTCACTGTCAATGAGCTGTGAGGCTTGTCAGTCGTCTTGGTTTGGTGAGCGATTGCTATGGGTGTCGTACAGGGTAGGGGTGTTCAGGGCCTTTGCAGGAACCTGCTGCCTCTCTCTCATTGGCACATCGGTAATGCTCGGCATGGCGGCGGTATGTGTGTTTATATGGTCAAGTACGAGGTCGTCGATGGTTGCTTGAATGTCGCATCCGCTGCCCGTCGACGATTCTTGGCATTCGTCGCGCTTGGGCCTCTGTCTCCCCGCCCTCGACCGACGACTTTGAAAGGCTCTTTCCTGTCTCACGCCTATCCTGTCTGGCATGTCCATTGAGTTCTGCTTCTTATGAAGCGCTCCTTCTGTGGCTGTCTTCTGAAGCACAAGACACACGAATAATGCATAATTTTGATGTAATGTTCTAGTTGTGCTTATCTATCTGACATGACAGCTCAATCATCGCTATGCTAAAACCACCTTTCCAAATCAAGACTGTCCTTTGGCAGCATTGATGATATCCTGCACCAGCTTTTCCGCATGGGCATAAGTAGTACCCTGCGTATGACCCGGAGGAGTAAACGGCAGACTCGACGAGTCAATAACTCTCAATCCACTCACACCATACACTCTCGCCTTTNNGGAGTCCACAACAGCCATCGTGTTGTTCGATCTGCCCATCGCGCAAAGCGCACTGCAGTGGTGAATGGCACCGACACCCGTCTCTTGGATCCACTTCAAAATGTCTGCGTCGCTGGTGACGTTCAAGCCAGGCAGAATTTCGCCTTGGTAGTTGCCTAGTGCTTGAGCAATTTGGCGTCCGCGCTTGAAACCAGCGACAGCCATCTCTTGGTCTTCGGGGTCGAGGAGCCAATTGGGCGAGATGACAGGAGCGACGTCGTTGCTGGTGCTCTTGATGGTCATGTTTCCGCGACTGGTCGATGCAACCATCAATACACCAATAGCGCCGAGGTCATTTTTACTCGACGATGTAGAGGACAGCGATCTGCCCGTGTTAGACAGGACAAACTCGAATTCAGGCCAGTCTTCAGGGAATGCTGCGAACGCATCCTTGGTCGACTGAGAAAAGTTTGTGCGAAGCTCAGAGGGAATGTTCTCCCATGCCCAAAAGTCCTCGCCGATGTTGGACAGAGGACCTGATCCGTTGGCGAGGAGTTGTGCTGTCGCCTCGTCCAGTGCGGGTCCTTGGTAACCCAGACGTGATGCCGAGACGGTCGAGATGTTGAACGAGGGACCACCGACGTTGGCAGTGTCCCAGCCGTTTTGGCCAACACCTTCAAGAGCCGAGACGACCGGAATGTTGTACTGCTGAAGAGTTGCTTGAGGTCCGACACCCGAAACCATCAAAAGCTGAGGCGAGTGGTATGCACCAGCCGAGAGAATGACCTCCTTGCGAGCATTCAGAATGAAAGGCTTGATACCTTCAACTGTCACATTGACTCCAGTAGCACGCTTCTGGCCATCGAACAAGATGTTTCTTGCCATACATGACTGATAGACGGTAAGCAGAGGAGCCTTGGAGAGTGCAGGAGACAAGAGTCCGCTCTCCGCAGAGCTTCTCAAGCCAGTCACAGGGTCGATTGTGCTCGGGAAGTAGCCGTAGCCACGTAGATCACCAGAGTTGAAGTCTGGGTTTGGCTTGACACCGAGGGAAGCGAAAGCGGCCGGTCCGTACGAAGAAATTGCATTGGCGTAATTGTTGTACGACAGCTCAACACCAGTTCCAGGGATATCGTACCCCTCGAGTGTGTAATTGACACTGGCGTTTGACGACCTGACTTCCTCGTTGGGGATGTTGAAGTGGAAGGTTCGCTTGAAGAAGGGTTCCATGTTCTCAAATAGATACGCATCATCGCCTACGTGGTCGGCGAACACTTGGTAGGCACCTGCGCTGGATCTATGNCCGGTTTGTTAGCAGGACATCTTGAGTTCGAATACTAGAGTCACGTACCTATGATAGATCATCTGGTTGCGCTCTGAACTGCCACCAAGACATTTTCCTTGAGCATAATGGTATACTCTGTCGTTCGCTCCACCCTGGGGCTCCGTCGCCAAACCCCAGTCGATCAGAGGTTGCCATTCGTCGACATCAGCGCTGGCAAACTGCTCAGAGTAATACGGGATTTGACTCCAGTTCGTGTTCGATATTTCTGCAAAAGAACCGGCCTCGATGATTGCGATAGTCTGATTGGGTAGTTGCTCGGAAAGACGGGTTGCGATCACTGAGCCGGCAAGACCACCACCAACAATCACGTAGTCATATGTGGCATTTGCACCTGGCAAGCCAAATGAGCTACCAGTAAGTCTGCCATTGGTAAGAACCTGGGTGAAGAGGGGAGCGGCGGACACCAAGGAAGATGCGACCAAAGACAGGGAAGCAAGCGAAAGAGCGACCATGATGAATATTGGTCTGAAGAGAAGCTGCCACACGACTACGGGCAACAAGGCTTCTTTATACCTTGTACTCTCTCCGGCTTGTCAAAGCTTTTAACGAATATCAAATCGCAGGTCAACTCAAAGAGGCAGATCCAGCTTATGCTCTGACCCGATGCAGCATGGTCATTGCTGATTTGCACAGATATGGAGCCAATGGACTTACTTTTGATGGTATACATCATAGCATAGCAGCGGAATCCTTGTGAAGTTGTGAGTTTGTCAATCCCCGTTTGCGGAGTGTTGCAAAAGGCACATGTTGAACGCCAATCTCAATCTACATTGAGCAAAAGCTACGATGTACTTGATGGTCGATCGCTCATCTTCTCCGGATGTGAGCAGGGATATCAGTCAGTGTTGACTGAGTTTTGGGTTTCTTGCGCCCGACGATAGTGACGTGCGGTTCTGGTGCTTAAACCCAAGAAGGGAAGATGCGCTGATAGCTAGCGGATCGACCCTAGATGATATTTGATCCTGGTGATTTTGTTGTTGACATAAATCAATTCACTGAGCACTCCGCTGTCTTGATGGAAAACGTATGGAGATGAAGCAAGCACGGCGCTTGATAAGGTGGGATGGAAGAGTAGTTGAGGGGGCTCGGGCCTCCTCCCCCACACTTGAGGTGCCTTGACCACAGTCCTCTCTTGTATGAACTTGACAATCCTCTTCATCAAGCGATTTTCTACTCTTGACGATCTACGTAATACAAAACAGCATAAGAGCAAAGACGGACCACCTCGGGGTGTTCCTGTTGCTCAACATGGAAAGCGTTTCAAATCAAAAATCTAGCCTCACGACCTCTGATAATCATATTGAACCTCCGGAGTATGGTCGATAATCCGGGCTAGAGGCATCGTCTGTAAGTATGTCTCTCAAGGCCTCTACTTTGAGATTCCCATGGAAAGATGTCCCCGATCGTGCTATAACTTGCTCGCGAAAGTCTCACACCACTGCTTGGCTGGAAGACAGAGATACCCTGTGACTCGCTTACCTTATAAAAAGTAGCAGTCTTGAGAGGTGGCCATGTCCTGCTGCCTCTTTTCATCTACCACCGGATGCCCAGCACCCAGAAAGAAAGACTTGACCATCCTACCCAGTATTGATACACAGCCATCGAGACGAAGAACACGACCAAAATCATTGCGAGAAGTCCGCCTTGAGATGCAGTCAATCAAGCGATCTTCCCCGTCAGGGCTGCAACTGCCAACAGGTCCGCAGATGCGGATCAGCCACGAGACTTACCTCCAGAGCTTCGCAACAAGATCTATGAGATACATCTAGAAAAGGGAGGGGACGTCTGGATGACTCGAGGTGTTGCGCCTCTCACGACATTCGGCGTGAATCTGCTGCAAGCAAATTTCTATGGAAGCCGCTCTTTATGTTAACCACAATCGTTGGTGGGTAGTCAAAGGACGTGAACCGATAACGTACGACGCCTAGCTACAACGGAAGGTTCGTGGCATCATACTCGATTATACCGATTACTTTCCACACACATCAGAGCCTGTCTTGGCGAAGATTGTAAAGCTTGCATTGAGCATCGTCGTCTTGTCTCCAGATGTCTCAAATACTATGCGGCCACGCATGTTGTTGAAGCTCGATAAGATGAACAGCGTCAAGGAACTGGACATATGTTTCCAACTCTGGGGCTGTTCTGATTGTCTTTCCGAGGGATCGGGACTCGAGGCTAGACTTCACAAGTGGCTCAATGACTCACATGTGCAACGCGTTGCTCAGGTCAGAGTATTTGTACACCATCAACATCTCCGCAGACCGGGCTTGGATCATCGAGTCGCTTGCGTACTTCCCGTCACTCATAACGATTAAAATGGCATGCAGCAAGAGATAGATCTTGAGCAAATTTGAAATGAATAAACTAGTTATGACTGGTGTCTCTCACTAGTGATTGAGTCATTAAAAGTGTGAAGTGACAAGTGAATGCTTGCGGTCGAGTCGTCGTGAGAACCAGATGGCCAGGGTGACTCTGCGACTTGGTCGATACGATTCCCCACAAACCTTGGCACCGACTTCCAACACCTTCACCTGCGCGCATTCATCTTGTCGCAAAGCATACACCAGTCCATCACTACATCCAACCTTGAACTCTCGACTGCAGTCCCACTCTCTACCTCACACTTTCCATCTCACACGAACTATCATGGCCTCGCCAGCCACCGAAACCGCACAAAAGAGCGCCTCCAACCCACCACAATCACAACCAGCACCATCAACCACACCTGCACCCACCACGGCGCAAACGACCCAACAACCCAATGACCAACAACCAACCAGCACCACCGACGACGGCCTCTCCCGGCGCCCACGCGACGCTCGCCTCATCCATCTCATCCTCTCCGCCCAAGGCGTACACAGCTACCAAGAACGTGTGCCCCTCCAACTCCTCGATTTCGCCTATCGCTACACCTCTTCCGTGCTCGCCGACGCCTTCCGTTTGTCATCAGAAGGCTATGCTTCTGCCNCCGGCGCACCCACAAACTCCAAACGTAGTGAGGCAACCGATGGCAGTAATATTACTGTGAATGCGCTTCGTCAGGCCATTGCTTCGCGCCAGGATTACCAGTTCCAGGGCGCGTTGCCTAAAGAGTTCATGATGGAGCAGGCGGTGGAAAGGAATAGGGTTGCGCTGCCCAAGGTGCAGAAGAGTTGGGGTGTGCAGTTGCCGCCGGAAAAGTACTGTCTCACTGGCACGGGCTGGACTTTGAGGGATTTGTGGGAGCAGGATGAGGTTGTGGAGGACGAGGAGACAACANAAAGAGAAAACAATGGGGATGTGAGGATGGAGNGGGTGGGTGATGTCAAGGTTGACGGTGCCGAGGAAAAGGATGCGATGGATAGTTTTGAGGATGTGTTTGGAGGTGGTGCTCAGGGCGACGGAGATGGAGACCAGGAGATGGCTGAGGCTTGAGCACAGGGACAGCACTCGAACAATTGCACAGAGGAACGAATCATGCATCTTCAGAAAAAGGCGTTTTGAGGAAGGAGGATCGGCGCATGGTCACAGAAGATATTATACCCTGCACAAATGGACATGCGAACTTGACACTCTTGCAAAAGTACAGAAGCACGTAGCTCATGGTATTTCCGATCCACATGAAGCACGATTCCGAGGCAGAAGTTGACCAACATCTTCCGAGAAAATGCCATCATAAGACTGAGCAGCGTGCCCAGGCTGACGGATAGTGTCCATTGGAAGCAAACCCCTGAAGCCCTCTCGACTCCCCAAGAACGGCCAAACCCTTGCAATACACATCACGACTAAGTCTCGTCAGAACTTGTCTGTCGAGGATGAAGTCCTCTGAAGGTCTGGTGTCTCCTGAGGGCCCGATGTGTCTTGATCAGCTTTCTTCCGCAAGTACCTCTCCCTAGCACGTTGTTTCACATTCTCTCGATAAACAGGATCATTGGCGTAGCGATCTTTTGAACGCCGTACACTAGCCTCCCGATATGCAGGATCGGCATGTCGTTTGTATATAGCCTCGCGATACTCGGGATCGTTGGCGTAGCGCTCTTTTCTTTTGGTCAGAAGAGCTTCTCGGAACATGGGATCACTCGCATAGCGCTCTTTCAGACGCCGGAGAGCAGCCTCACGATACTCAGGGTCGCTGGCGTAGCGCTCTCTATTACGCTGGAGAGCAGCCTCTCGGTACTCAAGGTCGTTGGCATAGCGCTCGATAAACCTTTGCTTCATAGACTCTCGATACTCAGAATCGTGGGCGTAGCGCTCTTTGCGACGCTGGTCTCGGGCTGCCTGTTGTTCAGGATGAGCTGAGTTCCAGTCTGTCCATATCTTTATCTTCCTCTCACGCCAGACGGCGTCGCTGTAGTATCGCTTCTTGCTGTACTTGCAAAAGGCTTCTATGGCCTTCTGACGGTATACGGCATCTGTAGCATATCGCCATCGTCGGTAGGCATTGTATTCATCTCGGGTCCAGGATGCTATGGGTCCAGGAGGGCGGATGAAATCAGGGGTAGAGGACGAGCATCTGACCCAAGCTTTTGAGATGATGGAAAATGATGAGGTGATGGAGCGAGAAGGCAGCAAAAGAAGGCCATGACTTGGGCCAGTTGGTTTGGTTAGAGCAAGGTGTGTTGTCGTCTATCAAAGGGTGGCTGTTAGTTGTCAAAATGGTACCAACCTGTGTATGGGGAACAGACTATGCTTGTTGCGTTACACATTTGCACGAGTGGATTCGCTTACTCTAGATGCGAGGCATTGATACTGTATGTACTCTTTGCAGACGAGAGGATGGTGGATGATGGTGACAGGAGAAGGTGGTGGTTGGCCAAGACTTGCAACAACGACTTTTGGCCGCAGCTTCTGGCCGGGCAGCTCTCTCTGTGACGGCTTCGGCGATTGCGCGCTGGTATAGCGATTCGAATACCACACACCTCTCCACTCACAACCTCACCGTCGCCATGTTTGTCCGTCGCGTAGCATCTGGCCTGGCCAAGCGTGCCGCCTTCCGCCCTGTCGCCGCCCGTCCCTTCTCGTCGTCCTTTGCCCGCTGTAAGCCGCTCCACGCAGCGCATACCCACTGAACACACAACTAAGAAGCCACCANNGTCGACGCCCACAGCGACCCCAAGCCCGGCCAACAGTCCAACAAAGTCAAGCCCTTCGAGGGTGCGTCCACCTGCCTCCCATCTGTTCACTCTCGCCCAATTGACTGACGCGGTCCCGTTGCGCAAAATTAGNAGATCCAGAACGAGCATGACCTGATGCCCTCCGGTGCCGAGCCCGGTACTGTGCCCACCGACATTGACCAGGCCACCGGTCTCGAGCGTCTCGAAATCCTCGGAAAGATGCAGGGCATCGACGTCTTCGACATGAAGCCCCTCGACGCAAGCAGAAAGGGTGCGTAGCATGCCTACCTTCAATATCACACCACCCGCCAAGACATTGACACCAAATCCANNGGCACCTTGAAGGAGCCAATTGTCGTCCGCTCCTTTGGCGACGAGCAGTACGTCGGTTGCACCGGCTGCCCCGCCGACTCGCACGTCGTCAACTGGTTGACCATGTCGCGCGATCGCCCCATCGAGCGCTGCCCCGAGTGCGGCTCCGTCTACAAGATGGACTACGTCGGTCCCCAAGAGAGTCACGACGCTCACGGCCACCACGGTGAGCACGTCGGCCGTACGATCATCCCTTCTTCCTTTGCTTTCCCAAGCCTCCACTGACTCTCCACCACAGACGCCGACACTGACGGCTCGCACAACTTCGACGGCGAGCCCAAGACCCTCGCCGACTTTGTCCGTCCCGAGTACAGATAGACTTTTGCTTTGTTTCCCACCACAACCGCTCGGAGACTGGGAGGAATTGCGATAAAACTGTATCATAGCGTGCAATCTCATCCCGGCTTTTGGCTCTGTTTTTTCCCCTTATAAACAAAAATAATCTTACCACTGTAAAACTTCTTACGAGAGGAAGATGGTCAATGAAGTATCGTGAGGTACATTGAAATCTGCATTGAGACATAACAGAAGTATGCTGAATATAGTAGGAATGATATACTCCTGTGTACCATGGGGAAAGCAACAATGCCTCGCTGTCTAGCAGAGCACATATACTCTTCCACCCATCTTCACCATCGCAACAAGTATCCCAAACCTCAAATCACAAAGCACTCTTGACAAACCACCTCGGTCCCCAACTCAACGCTCTACACTCATCATTTGCAGCCCCCTTGCGTGTTTTGGCCTTGATATCAATCCATCCCAATCCTCGAGATACTCGAGATACTTGAGAAGCGTGTGCAGGAGAAATACACGGCTGCTATATATAGATATATATACACTGCCTTCTACACCTTCCTACTTCCTCGCCATCCAAGCTGTCTTCAGAATCAACTTGTACATAGTCTCAGAGTATCCTATTTGGTCATCGATGCTGGGTAAGTGATGTGCAGTAGATCTACATCGCTTTACAAGTCGCTTGCAGTGACGGTTTTTGTATCGTGTCATCAGCGCTGGTGCAAGGAGTGTTGGCAGGATATAAGTGACTTTATACCATGATGTGCTATAACCGTAAAGACCAAGAGTCAAAGATCAAGTCAAGATTGCATGCACATGCAGCTATACTATAGAGATGAACATCAGTCGGTATGCAGAGTTTTTCATGCACAGGGGACGCAAGACCGAAAGATATGGATACAAGGCCAAAAATGGATGAGAAAGTCACAAACACGAGAATGGAATTTTAAAGGTTCAATTAATCATACACAGTAGTCACACCATTCACAAGAAAGAGAAAGAGGGGGACAGAGTTCATCAGAAAAGCATTTATCATATTCGTTATACCCTCCCACTCATCAAGAGCAGAAGAAGAAGAAGAAGAAGAAGAAGAAGAAGAAGAAGAAGAAGAAGAAGAAGAAGAAGAAGAAGAAGAAGAAAAAGCACCATCTCGCTTCCATCATAGTAAAAACTCGACAACATTCCGAGTGAAAAGCAGAAGAAAAGCAGAAACAAAACTACCATCCCATCGTTGTCATCGTCATTGCACATCAAAACTCCACATCCCTTAAGCAACAAAGCGCCTACCAATCAACCCAGCATTACCAGCTTGATCAGGAACCTGCACAATACTCGGCAACGCAGCCTGAGTAACACCAGCACCAGCAAAAGTCTGCGGCACAACAACAGTGCTAGCAACAGCAGTAACATAGTTCGTCACAATCTGCGTTGCAGTCTTTGTGAAAGCAGGTCCTTGGGCCTTGTTTGCAACATCAGACATGGTGATGTAGTCGGTGACAGTAACAAAACTAGGGAGTTGAGCAGGAGGTGAAAAGAAAGGTAGAGAAGGGTTGCCTGAGGCGTGGCTGGGGAAAGGGTTTGAGGGGTTGTTGGTGGATCCTGAGGTTGGAGAAGAAGAGTTAGCAAAAGGAAAGGTAGGAAGAGAGATGATGGGGAGGTCGGTGAACTCACTGGTGTAGGCTGTGGAGGTGATTGAGGAAGCAACAGAGGAAGAGACCGATAATGGAGCGGTAGACGAAGAAGTTGAAGACGTGGTGGCGGCTGAGGGTGAAGTCGAAGCAGCAGCAGAACCAGATGCACCAGCAAGAGTGTAGAGGGGACTCGTAGTGAGAGCAGCTCTAGAATTGAAGTCAGAGACAGCCTCAGCTTGAGCGTCCTGCTGAGCAATAGTGTGAACTGGAGGAGCATTGCTGACAGAGTCAACAATGTCAATCTCGGCGCAAGAAGTGTAGTATTCATCCTTGCCATCAGGGTAGACGCCAACACCAGCCGCAGTGGGCCACTGCCAAATCCAATAGACAGTGACAGTGTCACCAGTCTTGTAGGTCGAAGGAATGTGAACATCTGTTTCGCACCACTGCTCAACATTGGAGTCAGACTGGCCGAAGACATGATCGGGGAACTCTTTTTGACGTTGAAGAGAGATGGTGCCAGAGTTGATTTGGTGGCAACGTCCATCATCAAAGTTCTGAGCAGCAATTTGAGTACCGCGTGAATCACCACCATTACCCGCAGTGTTCCACTTGAGGACGTCGGCAATCTTCTCAGTGTTGGAAGGCTTTGTGGTGGCGTAGACGAAAACAGTACCGCCAGACTTGGGCTTGCCAGGTTGGTTCTGAGGCAGAGTGACGTGACCATTCTCAAGGTACTTCATGGCGACGTAGGAGCCAGCAGCAGCCTGAAGGCGAGGGTACTTGGCATTGGCGTAGTTTGAAGTACGTTGATTAGGGTGGCAGAGAAGATCAGTATTGTCAATACGCGTGCGGCCCGAGCTAAGGGCTGGCAGCAGGTAGTCCATCGAGTCGCCGTTGAAGCCAGGATCAGTGCGAGCAACATAACCACGAGGATAGCCATAGTCGCCAGTGTAGTTGCCAGTAGTCGAGTCGATAACTTGCATCTCCTCGACCCAAGAGTGGGCAGATGCATGACCGAGGACGGCAGCAATAACGGAAGCAGTAATAAAGAACTTCATTTTGGTAGATGTCGTCTTTTTGATGTGTTTTGAGAGATGTGTTGTTGGGAAACAGACGTGTTGTGTTGGAAGAAAAGAGATTTTGTGACAAAAGATCCTCGAACCTGCGAAGGAATATCTTTGTAGAGTTGGTGTTAGAGAGAGAAGATTGTCGATTCTTTTTTTCTGCTTCAAAAACTTGATGTCTTTGACGAGAGGTTGGATTGTCTTGGACTTTGATCGTTGGACGCGTCAAGTTCTTTCTTTTGTTATGTCTGAGATGCGATTTTCGAGAACCTTCAAGGTTGGTCGAGGGCGTGGTTATGTAGACAGATGATGCCAGAAGAGACACAAGAACCTGAAAGAAGACAACAAGGGCGTCCGGCGCAGGATCAATGAACGGGACTAATGCCTGCACAAAGGAAGTCGAATGTGGCACAATGGCAACAATGACCTTATAGCACGGAACCGGGGGAAATGATTGTGGGCGTTAAGCGAGCGGCAATAACCAGTATTGTTGAATGAATAAGAGTGAGGAACAGTTGAACAAAGATCGTCAATGGTGAGGGAAAATTTGGTGGTGAGCGTTGTGGAAGTGAAGGTTGTTGGCGTGCGATGTTGTTGTTTGCGCTTTGGTTACGGCGACGCGCTAAGTCCAGCTAGCGATGCAAACGAGCAAGACTTGACAGCCACCGGTGACCGTGAGATTATTCTAAAGAAGAAGAAACTGGTTGCTTGTAGACACCTTAACACCACCAATGCAAGCAATGATCACAGAAAAGGATTAAACTGCCTGCAGCTGTGTGACCGGGGAATGAGAAGGGGAAAGATATCAAAGGACAGCGACAGCCAGGTAACCTCGAACCGGAAACGTGGAATGTTGTATGTGACACTCAAGGATAGCTTGTGTGTGTATGGAGGCTCACGAGGTCCTACTGAAGGTATCGTTCGAGCAGGTCGAGACTTCGAAGCAAACAATCAATATGTTTCATCGACCATCAAGTCCGGGCGCCAGTTTTGGCATATCGCGCGCGTGTCCAATGGCTCGTGAACTTGCACTTGTTTCTGGATTTCCGAGACACATGCAGCCGCCACGTGTATACCGGCGTTCTCAGCAAGATGCTATACCTAACTGTCCTTGAGAGGCGTTGAGCCATGTGAATGTCGCAAGCCCATAAGAACTATCAACGAGCCTCAGACGTCACTTCAGGACTCTTCGACAAAGGACTGAAAGAGCCATCCCTTTGTCTTGCCATACAATCTCACATGCACTCGACCTCAACGAGTCCACAATGGTTCAAGGTTTCATGCAAGACATTTCATCTTTGAACCTCCCAAAGACCCATCTTTTCACATCACGGTTTTACAAAGCGCTGTGTTCGACTCAACAGTCCATCGCTTTGGGGAAGGAGCAAAGAATGATGAGAAGGAAAGGACGAAGTGAGGTTTCACGCACGTCCAAAGCCGCGCTTGCGACGCCATCCTGATTGGCCACCTTTAACTTCAACCTATGCATTTCGCGCCCGAGTATCGCCCTTCCGACAATAGACATGCCTTGTAGGCGCTCGCTGTAGAGCGCGATAACTCGGTTTGAGATCTGATGTGTGATGCATGCATGTATGGTATGCATTCGTTCTCACGGTCATCGAGATGATAATGTCGAGACCGGACATCCCCCTCGATTGCTTCTTTTGTGCAGCTGCCCTCGGAGTCAGTGGATACTCGCGTGCAAATGCCTCTTACAGATCAGGTAGTCCTGCGGGGTGCCAGATGATGGTGCGATCGATGACAATACTTTCATCGAAAGTATTTCTCCGCTGTCGGCACTCATAGGCTATGGAAGAGGTAGAGGTGGGCACCTCCGCTCCGCCCATCAGAAATTGCGGAACTGCCTCCTCGACGGAGAACCTGCCGCGTTCGACCAAAAGAAACAACACGGCATGTTGTATGTACGAAGCTCATACTTGAGCCTGGAAAAAGCAAACCCATGCACAGATCGACACCGAAGAACGCTCAAAGGGTGCATTGTGTAGAAGATCGGGAGATGAGGCTTATAGGTGCTAAGCGGCATATCCAAACTTCATTAAATGACTATCTTATAGGCCTGTTTACGCAGTGCTTTTGCCTAGCCCTTCTTTATATCGCGCAAGGCATCGGTCTCTGCATACCTTGTGGTCGACCATTGGTCGTGGATATCCCGCTTTTTCTGCTTCCTTTGCCGCGCCTCTGCCATAAGGATCGTGTATTGCTTTGCCCTTGATGCCTGCTAATTCAGGCAACCATTTTCGAATATACTCGCCTTGTTCGTCGAATTTCTCGCTCTGTAGCAGTGGGTTGAAGACACGGAAATAGGGTTGTGGGTCTACGCCTGTAGATGCAGCAAAGCCCCACCCACCATTGTTGGATGCAAAATCTCCATCTATGAGGTGTTCCATGAAATATCGCTCGCCCATGCGCCAGTCAAGTAAAAGATCTTTGGCCAGGAAGCTGGCAACAATCATTCTGCACCTGTTATGCATATCTAGTCATCTTCAGCCCAGTTCTAGTCACATTGACAGAAATGAAGAAATACTTACANNGGCCATAGAGTGCATCTGCCGGATCGCGGCATCGACTATTGGGAAGCCCGTCCTGCCTTCACACCAGCGAGTGAAGTGCTCATTGTTGTATTCCCACCTGACTTTAGTATATTCGTATTTGAAAGGTTTGGACATGCACACATAAGGCCAGTGAGCTAGTACGTGTTTGTAAAAGTCTCGCCAGGCGACCTCAGAGATCCAAGTCTTGATGCCTTCGTTGCCAGCATCCAGTTTTGTAGATGTGTTGATGCTGCGAGCGCTCCTGATGGCTGTCCTTGCGGCAAGAGTGCCGGTGGAAAGATGCACCGAGATAACGCCAGTGCTATTTGCGGCAGGAATGTTTCGAGCGTCTTTGTAGTTGTTGATCTTCTTCTCCAAGAACTTGGTGAGGCGGTCGAGGGCCTCGTGTTCACCAGGCGGCCATAGCGACTTGAATCGTGCTCTTTCTTCTTCACTGAGCTTCTTGTTCTCGGGAGCCCGAGGAATAGCGGTCTTGAACAAGTCTGCGTACTTTTCGCGTGCCGAAGCAGGATTCTGGTGCGGTGCAGCGAATTCGTCCAAAAGGGTAGGGTTTTCGTGGAGATGTCGGATCCAAGCTTTGTACCACGGGGTGTAGACCGAGTATTGCTTGCCTTGACCTGTTGTGAGGTCGCCCGGTGGTACTACAACGTCGTCGTGGACTGCGTGGAAGTCAATGCCCTTTTCAAGACATGAAGTCGTCAGTCCTGCCTCCCTCCTCAGCTCGTCCACCTCGTACTCGATATTCGCGAAGATGTGCTTAGCTCCCCAACTCTGACACAGCTCGATGATCCGTGCGGGCGCATTCTTCCGTATCTCAACAGTCTCCACATACAGAGGAATATCCTTCTTGGCCAAATCTTCCTTGAGTACTTGCAACGTCCTGAGCTCAAAATCAACACGTACGGGTGCAGTCAAATGAGCTTGGTAGTCCTGCGGACTGACGATGAAAAGACAAATCAAAGGCACACCCTTTGACTTTGCCTTTTCACTCGCCAGATGTAGAGCACGATTATCTGTCGTGCGCAAATCGCGTTTGAACCAATGTACCACAGCATCCCCTACGTCGATCTTGTTGCGCGCAAAGGCCGTCTTTTGTACGGCTTGAGTAAGCACCTCGATGGGACGAGGGATCTCGTTGGCGTTGTACCGAGCACATCGTTCGTTTGACATCTCGACAGGATAAAACTCGCGCTGTATGACTCCGTATCTTTCTTCCAGTATCTCGCGATCGGGGTCTTGGTAGTCGGGTGCCTCGGACTTGACCTTGGTGTCTGGTTCAGTCTTGACGTACGACTTGACAGAGGGTTGCAAGGCATCAAAGGCCGTCTTCTTGAGTGCAGGGGCCTCGGAGGGTGTGCTGGAGGTTGCTTTGCGCTTGGGAGGCATCGTGTAAGGTCTCGGATGAGCAAAGATGGTTCGTAGGGGCGTGGTTGTTCTGAGGACGGCGTTCAGGTTGTTGATCCGGCGACAGGCTTGGACGGCGGCGTGTCGCATGTACAATGTGGCCGGTAGTGAAGGAGATGATGCGAAGACATGGCGATGGGCATTGTTCAGAATAGGTACTAAGTGCTTCTTTGTCGCAACGGCCGATCAATGGGTTGACGCGTAGAGCGTGTAGATCGATCGCCAAGTGACGTCGACGATGTCGCCCTGAGACCCTCGAACTCAAAGCTTCAGAACTCTACCACACAGCCACATGTTGAGGACATGCTTCTGAACTATCCATACAAACTCATGCCATACACATGGTCTAGACTACATGTCAACCCTCCATTCGTTCCTTATCCGCCACTACCCTATCCATGAGGACTGAGCTCTCAGCTGATCACACCAGCTGCTCTCCACACAACACCCTCGATGATACCAGCCCATCTGTAAAGTGCCTTCTTATCACCTGCCTGAATCGCCTCAACAAGTCCTGGATACGTGTCTCCAGCATATCCGGTCCATTTGCCAGGTGCGAACACGACATGCTTGAACCAGCTTCGTCCGTCAAGCCCCTTCGGGAATAAGAAGGCACGCTCCAGCATCTTGTACTGTGTGTTGACAGCTCGAATCTCGGCAAAGAGTCTATTGGTGGCAGCAGGATTGTGCTTGCCCTCTGCTACAGTGGCTTGCGCAGCCAGACCTGCCGCGTGCGCGTCAAAGCTGTGTGCTGTACGCTGAAGGTACTCGATGGCCAGATCAAGGTCCACGAACATGGATACATCCTGTTCCTCCTTATCCCTGTAAGACATGCCCGACGAGTTGGCCATGTGCTTGACGCTGTCAAGATATCTTTCGAGGCTGGAAGCGTAGTCGGTGGCATTGAATGGTACCACAGCTTTCTCGCTCAGTGACGCTGCAAGGAGAGACCAAACCTTGGCCGCCGTGACATGGTATTGGAAGGTCGGGTCACCGTATTTGACCATCCAGGCATAACTGTCGTAGTTGCTGTGATAGTGATAGATAGGATCCAGAGGTCCAGTCTTGCCAAATCCAAAGTCAGCACTGGGGATACCAGCAAAGTCTTGGAAGGCTGTAAAATCGGAACCAGACCCCATGGTTCCAATGTGCTTGTCCCACAGATCATATACGGTCGATCCTTCGACCGTCTGGTTTGGCGATTTGATGGACTTGGTCACCTCGTAGATGGCTTGGTTAAGCAGAGGCGCAGCATTGGCGTTGAATCTAGTGCCACGAGTACCGACATCAACGTTGAGGTAAGCAACAGCAGAATCCTTGAGCCACGGCAGGTAATCTTCGACCCATTCAGTTGAGCCGACCAGACCATATTCTTCGCCATCCCAGCTGGCAAACACAATAGTTCTCTGTGGCTTCCAACCCTTTGACAGAGCAACGCCAAACGAGCGGATGACCTCGTTGAGAGCTGCAGATCCCGAGTTAGGATCACCAGCACCGCCAGCAATCCAGGCGTCTCTGTGGTTGCCGAGAACGATGACTTCATCTGACAGGGATCCATTGATGATACCGATGGTGTTCCAAATCGGCGTAATAGTGTAGTTCTGCAGGTTCATCAAGTTGATGGTGACAGACGGTGGGGAAGGGCCGATGTTATAAGAAACATTCTTGTGTTCAAGACCACCCTTGTGCCAACGAGCAGGGAAGGATGAAGCATTCGGTCCATGGCCGTTCAGCGCCTGGAGTAGGGGAATAGCCTCGGCGTAAGAGATGGGCAACGACGGGATCGAGGGTGTGGACGCGTTTGCAGGTTTACGAGGCACGCCAGGCTTTGAGGCATATCCGGGAGTAGTGGGGTCACCGGGGAATTGACTCAGGTATTGCACACTGCCTCTTTGTACAGAGCTGGGGTTTCTGGCAGGACCTTCGGGGTATGGCTTGTAACCATTGACTTCGGTGACGAGACCGTCATCACCAGGGTCGCTGTAGATAATGGTTCCTACCATCCCAAGTTCCTGCGCTCTCTTGACCTTGAGACCTCTGAACACGCTTCCATATCTGACAAGAGCGATCTTACCCTTCAGTTCGATACCTGCGGCAACCAGATTCTCAAAGTCGGTATAAGTGCCGAAGTTGCAGTAGACGTATTGCGCAGTGACGTTTCCGCTGGCCGAGTAGCCGTGGAAGGTAGGCACGCGATCTTTCAGACCGGATGTGGGATCCTCTTCCAAGACGTCTTCCTCGAGAGTGGCCTCGAACGAGACTTCCCCATCCTTCAGCAGAGCAAGTCTGTGGTCCAGAGGATAGTTGATGTAGACTTCGTATGGCACGACCTCGCTCTTGACACCAAACTCTTCCCATCTGTCCCTAGTCCAGACAGCCTGACTCAAGTTCTGTCCAGCAAGATGTGGGCCAGCCGTGTAGAATTGAGACCACTCTTTGGCCTTGTCCGGGTTGGGTGTGGTGGAGAGGATGTCTTTGAGGTCTGAGTAGCTCAAGCCATCTCCAGCAGGCCACTGCGAATGTGGTGGGTTCACAGGGCCGGTCAGGCTGTCCCAAGGCACGATTTTGTCCAGCTTGTCGTCACCGAACAGGTCGCTCTGACCAAAGGCGGAGGATAGAAGGGCGAGTGCAAGCGTGGTAAGCGGTAGGACGACCATGGCTATGGTGCAGAAACGACGGAGCNNTGTGCTGTTTCAGCAGCCCGTCTTTGCTTGTATCCATCCTCAACGGAACCATAAACTCGCAAACAAACTCACAGTATGGTTTCCATATCGATCACGATGGGGTCGCACACCAACGACTTGGATGAGTGGGGTTTGCTCGTCGTTGGAGGACATGTTTCGCGCAGTCTTCTTCTCTCTCATCTCCTTCATCATGAGCACTCCGTGTCTGGAAGAGAAGCGGGTCGCGAGGGAGTGACAAGCCCAAGCAGTAGTCTGGTCATTGATATGTGACAGCCATCCTCTCTCGTACTCCACTTCTGCTCACAGATAGGGCGTTTGCGTGACCGACGACCTTCCAACTTGAGCTTGGGTTCGCCGATTCGGTGATGTCATCGGTCTTGGCAGTTCCTCAGGCGTTCCCTCAATGTGCCTGTGGACCATCCTCCGGACTTTGCTGCGGTTCGTCTCTGCTGTAACAGATGTCGTGGTTACGCCAAGCATATCTGTTGATGTGGCTGTGAGTGTTTTGACCCTGTCAAACAAATTCCCATAACCTCCATCGCTTGTTGAGATAATTGAGTTCCTCCTGAAATGGCTGCTCCTCCCTCCACAATCATGCTAGACGGCGAGAATCACGTTGAGAGAATCAAAAGTCTGAGTAACGTCTCACAACTGACAGGCGTCGCGAAAAGATGGCTCTTGGGTACACGATTGAGGTCGAATCCTTTCTTGGCTTTGAATCGGCATACCTAGCTGCAATCCGTCAAAAGAATACTCCGCTAATATCCAAAAGTTGTGGTCTTCATGGAATCGACCACGGATTCTCTGCGGCACGTCCGGGTGGTCGCTGAGGTTGGGATTTAGCTTGATTTTGCAGGTTTGGGAGCATAGGTCTCCATACTTGCATGGCAACCAAATGCTGGGCCCTGGACAAGAGGTCGTCTGATACGCCATGAGTGTGAATCTCTTTGGCCATCTGTTGCGCCATATCCCGGTCATCAATTGAATTGAGTAACGAGATCAGCGTCCTGAGTGTGCGGTTCTCGTCCTGGAGTTTGCGCATCTCAATCTCGAGGTTGCGTTGATAGCGCAAAAGCTCGGCTTCCCTTTCGACCATTTGTAAGGTCGGAAGTGAGACTGGGTTGTACGGGCCAAGCGTGTCTAACGAACTAGGGCCAGAAGAGGTTCCACTTGGCTCTGGAGCAGGATTCAGCAGGAGTCGCATTGGAACTCCGCCTGAAGGATTGTTATGTGATGACTGAGTTGGCTCTGTNAGCCCGAGTCCCCCTCCAATATGAAGAGGAGACTTTTTCAATACCTCGATTTCCTCTTCCAGCTTCTTGATGGAGGTAATCTGCTGCTCAATCTTCTGTTTGTATGCAGCAACGCGGGACTGGTTGGGCTCGAGGTCATATGTGCACGCCGGCACGCCCCGTTTGGTACAATTGCTGCAGGCAGGCTTTTGCCATCGCACTACCAGATTAGGTCAATAACAGCCCATGTCAAAGAACTCGGTGAACAGGAAGCAGACCTTTGTTTTCCGTCTTCTGCAGTCCTGGCAAGCAACACTCGCTAAAGGCGCTCGCTTCTTTGGAGGTGGATTGGAAGGCCCAGTTGATCGTGACGGACTAGAAGTCGATTCCCCCATGGGGTCACCAATCTGAATAAGGGCTGCATTCGGATGATAGGAGTCCGAAGAGGAAGTAACGGACGGCTCTTCCTGATTCATGGCTGCTCATGAACATGCCAGATCAGGGTAGAAATGCTTCACTGGCTACGCGGCAAAGCGGTAGAAAAGTAGGTGAGCGAAAAGCCTATAGGGCTGATGGGAAGAAATCGACGGCACAAGGACGATATATAAAGACAGAAGACGAACGGTTTCTCGCGGAACGCAGAGCGCGAGGCAGCTCTTGAGCGTTGGTGCAAATCAAAGTAAAAAGAATACAGACTTTGTGGCTCAGGATATGGTGAGAGAGGAGTGGAAGCGTGAAGAATCATGATTTGCCTCCTAGGATTTGCAGAGACAAGAGCTTTTAAAAGATGCTATCTTTTCGGAAGGTGGATCGGCGGGCTACTGTAGGGCAATATTAGGCGTCTGTGGGGTCAAGAGGTGGCAACAACAGATGATCGGTGAGCGGTGGCGCACCTACTTGTACAGTACCTGGCAAAACGCATAGGCAGGAAGCGTGGAGGCCGCTCCGGAAGCGGACTCTTCGCCGATGGAAGAGTCAACTTCGATTCAGGGTCGAGACGCGGCCGGTTACACGTACACACGCGCGAAGTCTTTCTGCCCAGGCATGGGAAACGTGTGAGAGGACGGCATTCTACGCAAACACGACATGGTATACAACGGCGCTTTGAACGCGCTGCATGTCGAGTAGCGAATCGAAGATTGCTAGCATCATCAGACATGTAGGCGTCTTGCGGCGACCTGCGACAACCACAGTGTTCATCCGTCGCGCTTGTGACCACCTGATCAAGATGAGCTCGCCATCATTGCCATCGTTGTCGTCTCTACAGCCGGGGCCACGTCCGCAAGGGTTCCTCACGGCCAGGTCCGTCCTCGCCGACCTCGAATCACGACACAGTCGCAATCCAGACGTGGTTGCCCTTCCCGAGAAGCCCAAGAGAGGACGACCGAAAAAGGCCGTCAATACAGATGATGTTCCGGCCAGACCACGGACCCGTAGGAAGACGACAGCCACCAACGACAATCCTGATCTCGGCGACGTAGACAAAGCTCCTGNNCAAAACCTGAGGCGCGTAAGAGACAGGCTGCGACTACAGACGAGCAGGAAGGAGCGATTGACGCAGCCCCTGCACGCAAGAGAGGTCGTCCGAAGAAGGCAGTTGCCATTGAGGNATGCTGCGACTGCCACAACAGACACGGTCGAAGTCACGAAGCCTGTAGTAAAGCGAGGAAGGAAAAAGGCCATCGAGTCCGCAGACACTCTTGACAGCGATGTTGCTGCTGGAAAGCTCAAGCCGCCATCCAACCCTCGCAAGACAAAATCCACGACCAACTCCAAGTCAATCGACAATGGTACGACAGCAGCCTCAGTGGTGCTTGCTGTCGACGTTGCGGAAGCAGTAGATTCTGATGTGCAGCCTATTCCCCAAGTCGAAGCCCCGGTAGAGGTGCTTGGTCTTGATCTTGATCCGGCTCCAAGACGCAGACGAGACTGGACTCCGCCGACAGAATCGGCTCTCCCTCCGTCCTTCCAGCAGAGTAGCGACACCTCGCCCAACCCTGAACCCGCTGCCACCCATGACCCTGTGGACGACGACCATGTTGGTGATGCCCCAGCAGCATTGGATTTCACCAAGCTGATAGGCGACTTTGGCTATCAAGAGAACAACCCTAAACCTCCTCCATCTCTATCCCGAACTCCGAGCGACGGTCCTACCACCAAGCGAAAACGCTTGGATCCTGTCGATGTGGCTGCGCCTGAAGAGCCAAAGAAGCGGAAGAGGAAAGCTGCAGAGCCGAAAGAGCCAAAGGAACCAAAGCCGAAAGCGCCCAAGAAGCCGAAAGCGCCCAAGAAGAAACCGCTCACTATTACTGCTCTTGCTACCGCAGCTTATCTCCCACAACCTGCCATCAACGAAGGTGATCAGACCAAATTGATCTCGGACTTTTTCCCACAGCCACAGTCCGATACCGCCGCTCTTCCTACTAACGAAGCCGATGTTGTCAAGCCAACAGGATCCACGAAGCGTCGCGCTCTTGAGGACAAGCCCGCACCAAAACGCAAAAGAGCCACANAAAAAGTACAAATTACAGTGCCTGAGGTTCACATCAAGTTGGACTCTCCAGAAGCTGCTCGCGAGAATGCCAAAAGACAACAATGGTTGTTCGGAAGCTCAAGCCAGTTGGCTGCAGCAGAATCTCCTACCGAGCTTCGCGATCTACAGCAAGCATTGAAGGAATCTGAGGATATGATCTCTTCGCAGCACTTGGACATCTCACGTGCTACGAGTTATGCGCATGTACCATCTGCCCCGCATGGAACCAGTCTTTCTGTTGGACAAGCTGACAGAGCTCTGTGGATGTCTGCTGCGCGAGACTTTGAAGACTCAACCTTTGCATCTGATGAAAGTCGCGATCGTGATGACCGGGTCGTAGCAAGCGATGATATGCCACAACCGCAATACCCTCCTAGCAGTACGAAATCTGCTCCAGTTTCTCGTCTCCCAGAACCACACGTTGGGGTGTTGACGATATCGTCGTCGGCTCCCAAGGAGCTCGAGTCGCCAGATTTCGGATATGTGGATGTTGACCAAGTATGTGGCGATTTATCCCCGACCACTTGCGTGCCCGGGAGACCTGCCCCGTCGGATGTACCACATGCCGGCCTAGAGACCGGAGGGGCGACGAGTGTGGCCTGCAAGCCCCACGAGATCATTTCTCTGGACACTACGCCTGAAACGGAAGTCGTACATCGTTGCGCTCTTGGTGCTCGCGACCCAAATACCAACATCACGAGGCAGACTGTTGATCCTGAGNAGAAAAAGTTGAACATCTTCCCGAGGAGAATCGGCGGCAAACCACGAGTGGTCTGTGTGGAATCTCCGGAGAGACCAGCGTCGCAAAACGCGACAGGCAATGCAGCACAAGTGTCACCGGTTGTCATCAGATGGGTAGTGAAAGGTTCGCAAACTCTCTCGGCACGAGAAGATGCTAGGCAAAAGTACCTTGTTTCTCCCAATTCATCCGCACGAGAACATGCCAAGCAAAGGTTTCTTGCTTCCAGCTCAACTCGAATCTCTATCCAACCTTCGCAGGAAAGGTTGCCCGACATACCACCCAGTGCCACCTTGATCTTGCCTTCTAAGCCAAGAGGCAGGCCTCCGAAATTCGGACCTGCTCCCAATCCTGCGTCGCCAACGCGATCAAGAGGTCGACCTCGGAAGTCCATCAGCCCTGATAGTCTACCCTTATCGTCGCAACTTCATAAACTGCCTTCCCTTCCTGCCGCTTCGCAGCGAGCCGCAATTGCAGAGCCGTCATCCGACTATCTCGACATCGACGCCATCTCGGATTTAGACATCCCATCTCACGCTCCTTCGCCACCACGACGTCTGCCCACATCACCACCCAAGGCATCATTAGACTTTGACAGACCGCCTCCACCACCGCTGCCAGCCATTGCAGCCTCGACCGCTCGAAGTACCGCCAAACAAATTCTAGCGGAATGGTCTAGTATTGCCACGATATTGTTCCCCATGATCACGAAAACTGTACGTTCCAAGCCACCTAGCCAAGATCACAAAGCACCCACCTGGCATGAGAAGATGCTACTCTACGACCCTATTGTACTTGAAGACTTGACTTTGTGGCTCAACAGCCAGGGTGTCCGAATTGAGATTTTGGTGCCAAAGATAGTCAAAGGGAAGGGAAAGAAGAAAGTCGATGATGTTGAGACTGTAGGAGACGCTACAGAGATAGTCAAAGAAGAGTTGCAACCTTGGATGGTACAGAAATGGTGTGAGGAGCATAGTATTTGTTGTTTGTGGAAAGAGGGACTGAGAGGTGGAGTTAGGCAGAAATATTGATATGTATTCTTGTCACGAGGCTTCTTGTACATATTTTTGCATGAGAGAGGACAGGGAAATCGGGAGAATAGGANNCTGTATGACAAGGACACAACGTCATTGAATCAATTGTTAGAAGAGACATTCTTAAAACACAATTCTCTGAGTAGTCACTGTGAGAACAGCTCTGGTTCCTCAAGAGCAATTACGGCTAGACGAATTTCTGTCAACAATGATCTTTCAGCATTCCTACCGTAGACCAACCGGTGTGAGTAGAAGATAAGACCTCCCATTAGTGCATTGTCAGTACAATGGNACCAAATGCACTGCTATGGCAGAAGGAGAAGAGAATGATTATGGCCATAGCAGTTAAACTCGTATATAAAGATAACCGATCATCATAGTCTCGACTCATCTCCCAAGCCAGGAGACATACAAGAGAAGCTCAAGAAGAGCCTGAAGATACAGACTGAGGTCAAAATCACTGCTGCAGAGCTGCCACGCAGACCCAAGTTGACGATACAGATTCCGAGCGGCATACCGACTTACTATTCCAAGCATGGACCAAACGACTACTCTAGCTGCAGACCTCATATCACGAGCGAAGAGCGTGCCGAGTGGAGAAAGAACATGTTTTGAAAAGTAATCGGTTCAAAACGTGGTAGGAAGGTCGAGGATGTCAGAAGAACGAGGTTAGCCATTAGAAGTTGGCTGAAGAAACACAGAATTTGTTTGATGATCCCGTAGATATTTGGAGATGGAGGCGCAGTACTCGGAGGAGCAACTGTCCTCGGAGGTAATATGGATGACTAAGTCCACTTTGATGGACGATGATCCCCAGCCTCCAGGCGCCGGAACGCATGGAGAAGGTGCGAACCGCGTCTGTTTCCCAGTTGTTGACCGTAGATGCGATTGTTCCTCTAGGACCGTCGTCGTAGCACAACTTACAACCAATATTAATCAAGACACGTGTCGCATTGTGACAAGAACAACAGCAGTCAGCGGAGGTCAGCGGAGGTCAGCGGTAGAATAGACTGAAGGTCTTCTCGAGAGTTCGGTGGAGAACAGCAACCGGAGCGGGGCAGGCGAAGCTTGGCTACCCCTTCGGGCCTAGTTTGGTGGTTGGTTCAAACGTGTCCTTGTGCTCGGCGATAGTGCTTCGCTGTTGCTTTAAGGACAGTTTGTCTTCGCACGATTGCTCCTGTTCGTCTTTCTTTGCTTGACTTGAGTTGATCGATTGATTCAAGATGAAGTTCCAAAACTACCTTGCCGTCGGTCTCTGCGCCGCCGTCTCTCGCGCCGATGTGCTCGAGGACCTTGAGGACTCCGCCGTCGAGGCCTCGTCATCCGTCGCTTCGGTCGTCGAGTCTGTGACCTCGTCGGCTGTCAGCAAACCCACCTTCACCCCTACCACTCTCAATGCTCCCTTCCTCGAGCAGTTCACCGACGACTGGGAGTCCAGGTGGCAGAAGTCCGAGGCCAAGAAGGAAGGCACTGAGGAGGAATGGGCCTATGTTGGTACCTGGAAGGTCGAGGAGCCTTCAGTCCTTCGCGGCATGCACGGCGACAAGGGCCTGGTGCTCAAGGACAAGGCCGCTCACCACGCCATCTCGGCCAAGTTCCCCAAGGCCATCGACAACACCGACAAGACTCTGGTTGTCCAGTACGAGGCCAAGTTCCAAGGTAAGCTTGAAACACCGCTCTACAGCACGCAGCACATCTGACATGTTCAACAGNCCGGCCTCGAGTGTGGAGGTGCCTACATGAAGCTCCTCCAGGATAACAGCGCCCTCCATGCCGAAGAGTTCTCCAACGCCTCGCCCTACATCATCATGTTCGGCCCCGACAAGTGCGGCTCCACCAACAAGGTCCACTTCATCTTCCGCCACAAGAACCCCAAGACTGGCGAGTACGAGGAGAAGCACCTCAAGAACCCTCCCATGGCCCGCATCAGCAAGCAGACCTCCCTCTACACCCTCATCGTCCGCCCCGACCAGACCTTCGAGCTCAAGGTCGACGGCGCTTCTCTCAAGACCGGTTCCCTCCTCGAGGACTTCACTCCCGCTGTCAACCCTCCCACCGAGATTGACGACCCCTCAGACAAGAAGCCCGCCGACTGGGTTGAAGAGGCTCAGATCGCTGATCCCGAGGCCAAGAAGCCCGCCGACTGGGACGAGGAGGCTCCTNTCGAGGTTGAGGACACCGAGGCCGAGAAGCCCGCCGACTGGCTCGAGAACGAGCCTCTCCAGATCCCCGACCCCGAGGCCGAGAAGCCCGAGGACTGGGACGACGAGGAGGACGGTGACTGGATGCCTCCTATGGTCCAGAACTCCAAGTGTGACGAAGTTTCTGGCTGTGGGCCCTGGAAGGCTCCCATGAAGAGAAACCCTGAGTACAAGGGCAAGTGGTCCGCTCCTATGATCGAGAACCCTGCCTACAAGGGCGTCTGGGCTCCCCAGAAGATCGCTAACCCCGACTACTTCGAGGAGAAGACTCCTTCCAAGTTCGAGCCCATGGGTGCCGTAAGTGTGATCCGTACAACAGCTCTACATACATGACGCTAACTCCTGCACAGANTCGGTTTCGAGCTTTGGACCATGCAGAACGACATCCTCTTCGACAACATCTACATTGGTCACTCCGAGAAGGATGCCGCCGCTCTCGCCAAGGAGACCTTCGAGGTCAAGAACGCTGCCGAGAAGGCCGAGGAGGAGGCCACCAGGCCCAAGGAGGAAGAGACCAAGAAGGACCCCAAGTCTCCCATGGACCTGAAGTTCACCGATGACCCTGCCCTCTACGTCCGTGAGAAGCTCGACCTGTTCATCACCATCTTCAAGCGTGACCCCGTTCAGGCTATCCAGTTCGTTCCCGAGGTTGCTGGCGGTCTCGGTGTTCTCATTGTCACCATCATTGCCCTTCTTCTCGGTGCTCTCGGCGGCGGTGCCGCTGCTGCCCCCAGCAAGGAGCAGATCAAGGCCAAGGCTGAGCAGGCCAAGAAGGCTGCTGTCGACACCAAGAACCAGGCCGCCGAGGCTGTCACCTCTGGCGCAAAGGCTGCCAAGTCTGAGGCTCAGCAGAGAAGTGGTGCCACCAAGTCGTCTTAGGTTGAGGCTTGGTCACCCATGCCCCACTGAGCTACGACAAGAAGAAAAGAACGAGAGCAGTTTGAGAAGGAAGAGTTGAAACATCAGTACTATTACCCCAGCCAAAAGAGGCTACGTTTTTTGTTAGTTGCAAAAGTTGAGAGACTTGAGCTTATATGTCATGTTATCCATACTGCTGATCATTCAGTTCTGGCCAGTGATGTATCCGTACTCTGTCTCTGCATATGTGTTTCTTTGTTCCGGTAGGCTCTCAATAATGTAAGAGGATATATCATGGCCTATGTTTTACGATATACGTCGCGCAAGGATCGTCCCCACTGTTATGCACCGGTTGGGCGGCAGTTGAAGATTTTCAGCCTTGCGTAAATTAATTGCATATTCCGAGAAGAGCGACAACCTTGATGAAACTTCGTACCCTTCATACAACCACGATTGCCATCTCCGAGAGCTCCTTTGTACAAATATTGACGCCTGTATCGCAGTTGCTGGCATTGGGACATGGTAGGGATAGATGCCACCTGGTACAGCTGAATAAGGTGTGTCTAGAACGGTGTGTGGCTACTCGTACGTACGTGCGGAAGCAACAAGATAGGAAAGAACGTCCCTCTCGCTGACTCGTTGTACCTTTTGGCAAGAAGAGCACAAGTCGCCCAACATGTCTAGCGTAAGAGCTCAGCAGAGCGTTACGGGTAAAAGGCAAGAGATGCGCTGAGCACTCGGTCAGGCTATCGTTCGAAAGGCAAGCGGTCTATGGCTACTTACTCGTTGTAGATGGCACTGGCCTGGTAAGAATAGTTGCCGGACTGGCTGATCGTCCGGACCGTCGGAAGCACTGACTGATCAGCCTCATTATCGCGACGTTCCTATGCTTGACGAGCAGTTGGATCTAGACAACAACTTTGCTCCTCGAGTATCTACCCACAGCAAGGAAGAGCTAGGCACTAGTATGTATAACTGTTCAACAGCAAACTGTTTCCCCGACAGATCTAGAGAGGCTCTTGCCATGTGCCAGATCCAACCGGCATTTGTCACATCCACCGTCGTCCATTGGCCGAAAGTGCAATAGCCTTCGACGGCTGCAACGCCTGCTAACGTTTCACCGTCGATGCTACCAGCTTTCACCATGTTCTACCTTTCTTTGCAAGACACGCTGAGACAGTTTCGGGACATGACTCTTTTTGCTGGCTCGTGGGCTTTCCTTCCTACTCCTCATTGTCCATGCTCCTTCCATTCTTCAGAGGCCTCTCTGGCAGAGCGTCGACCATCCACAACTTTCGTCGCTCAGTATGCTTTCACTGAGTGTGCCCAGCGAGTCTATCACCATAGTCGCGGCAGTATGCCTTTCACTGGCGACTGCTTCGGTGATATTGAGGATCTGGGTGCGATCGCACTTTCTGACTAGTGGTCTCCAAGCAGTAAGTTATAGAACCCTTAGGGCTGCCTGCCTCATCCATGCAATCCGCAACATCACAGCAGCCCTTGATACGACTTCGACTAACTTGTACCCTTCTTAGGACGACTGGACAATTCTCATCGCCGGTATAGGCTTCGTTGGTTTCTGCATCATCGCCTTTGTCCTTGCTAACGAGGAAGCCGCAAACCCTGTCTTCTCTCCCGAGACTGGAGAAGGTGTCATAACCATCCTTCTTTGTGGCGAAGTCGTCTTCCAAGCCACCTGCCTGGTCTTCAAGCTCTCGCTCACAATCTTCTTCCGAAAGTTCCTCGTCGTCGAATGGCAACGATGGCTGGCTCTAGGCTGCGGCTTCTTCTACTGTTCCACCTGCGTGGTCGGTATATTCCTCGCCCTCTTTCAATGTGGTCTGCCTACCAACCTCATGCAAAAGCACTTGACAGGCCAATGCGTTAAGTTGCAAGCCTTCACTGCGCTGCTGTACGTTCACGGCATCCTGTCGGCAGTAACAGATTGGATCTTCGCTTTGTTGCCAATCGTAACACTATACCGTTCCAACCTCAGTCGCGCGGCAAAGATCTCCTCGTCTTGTCTTATGCTGCTCGCTTGTGGAGGCTCCGTAGCCGCTATCGCACGAACCGCCACCACGGGCGACTACCTACTTCGCCCGGCATACTTTGACCCCAATCGCCGTCCTAACTACTACGCCGTCTCTGCGCCTATGATCAATCTCACCGTCATCGAGGTAGGATTGGGTATCACCGCCGTCTCACTCGCATGTTTGCGACCACTAGTGAGACGGGTAAAAGTTATTGGACAGCACTTCACCTCTCGGCTCATGGGCACAGACATGTCCAAAACCGAAATCACAGACGAAGAAGCAACTGTAAATCTGGTCCATGTCGACACGAAACAAATGCAAGGTCCCATACCTACCGGATCCTGCTGGAACAGAACTCCAGCTCTGGGAGAAGCAACGAATGCCCCGGTGGATCTTGAAGCTAGCTGGAACAAGACTCCAGCACTCGGAGGTGCAGCTAACCCCTCGAAGCTAGTTGGAACAAAACACCAGCTTTGACAGCTGCAGCCAGTGCATCGTCTTTAGGAGCTAGTTGGAGCAAGACTCCGCCCCTGGGAGGTGTAGCAAACCCGCCGTCTTCTCTGGGTGCTAGCTGGAGCAAGACGCCATCTCTAGGAGGAAGTGCAACAATCCTGGCACCTCTAGGTGCTAGCTTCAACACCACTCCAGCAGTTGGCGATATGTCTCCGCCAGATCTTGGGGCTAGCTTCAATAGAACTCCAGCCATAGGAGGTTCGATAGATGAGGTGCCGAAAGGATCTAGCTGGAAACGGATCCGAGGACGATCAAAATAGACTCAAGTCAAAGATGATAATGAATATACGAGAACTTTACCCACCCCAGCTGAACTGGACCACGCCTATTCAAACGTCGAGTGACCGCTCAATAATGCAGTAAGCAAAAGTATGCCTGGATCTCATAACAGCAAAGCGATAAGCGAGATAAGGAGTAGAGCAAAAGATACAAAACGTACAGCAGCAGGGATTCCCACGTGGTCACCCACCGTAGTACTAATCTGCCGTTCAACTGCTTATGTATGGCAGAGCGGACGGGACGCCCAGTTTTCAGCTGACTGTGGCCGTACGTATTGTAATCATTATTTTGATTCTAAATGACCCTCCACGGCCGGGTCCAGGTGCTCATCTTTTGAACTCCGTAATAAGGCTACCATACATCACACTTACAGTTGCTCGTAACAGGAACAGACATAGCTATGGAATACAGATGTATAGAGTCTCCATCTATGGTTGTGTGGGAGACTTGTCTTGGCGAGCCGGCAAAGACGGCGCAATCGCTGTCGGTCGAATCCTGCCATGAACAGGAAATCGCGCTCAAGAAAGCGCCTGGGGAAAGGATCATTGTTCTTTGAGCACTGCCGGGTTTAATTCATTAATATATGCCTCATTGGCGATAAAGGCCTCAATGGTCAGACATCGCGTCTGAACCAGTTGATCGGAGAGTGCTCAGCCTGGGCTGTCACGAGACGGTAATGATGCATACAAATACTAGAGTAGATCCTTTGGCCACCACAGGCCGCATCAACTTCCTATCTCTTTCTACGACAGGATAAATATAACAGTTCACAATGGAGAAGACTGCAGCCGTCGCCAGCTCTTCAGCGGTCAGACGCGACAGCCACAGTCAACGCGACCCCGAGCTCCCAGCATATTCTCAAGCCGACTCAAACATCACAGTCGACGCTGCAGCTGTGTCACGCATGCCCTCTCACCCTCAAGCCACCTCAGACATCCCAACCTACTCAGACGCCGCATTAGACACAACCACACGCCCAATCTACAATTTCGTCCGCGCCTCACTCCTCAGCTCAAAACTCCTCGTCCGCAGCAACGATATAGACAAATATTGCTTCGTCACCGACCACACCTCAAACTCAAAAGTCTGGATCCATGCTGGAGCGTCCAAGTCGAATAAAGCGCTAGGTTGTCTGTCGTTCCCAGAAGCACATAACACATTTCGAATCCATTGTGCCATTGTCAATCAAGCGGGCAGTGCAGATGAATCGATCATTGGCCTTGACGATAAAAACTTTCTGAATGCTCCGCTGGTCGATGTGGTTGCTGGGATTGGATATCCACATCCAAAGACGTTTACCTTGAAGGTGCCGAAGGGATTGGATTTTCGCTCGAAAGAACTCGTTTGGACGTATCGAGGTGGCGATATCACTGGCTCGACTCCAGCACGATACGACCTGCGCGATCACAGTACCGGGNGTGCTCTGATCGCTAGCCTGACAACAACAAAGGAGGGAAAGAAGCGAACAGCAGTGCAGTGGATGATCAATGCAGAAAGTGAATTGGAGCAGGCAGTGTTGATCATGTCTTGCATTGGAATCGTCACCAGGTTGTCGAGGAAGGCAAAGTATTATGACGACAAGGGCATGTATTCGAAATGGAGGTTCCTTTGGTGGATGTCGACATTGTCTGCAGTGGCAGTTGCTTAGCGGCATCTTTGGAGATTATGTGGTCAACTTTACGACTTTCTATGATTACGAGTATTGTAGTCTCATGATTGATTGCTCTTTCACGCCCATACATAGTGCTATGGTATACTACGAAAATGCGCAATCGCTTATTAGATCTGACTTGTCTCCATCGAAACACGACTTTTTCTTGAAAGTATTGTGTATTCTTATAGCTACATGATGACCGCAAGCAGAACGCAGAGAGCGACGACAGAGGTGGTTGTCAAAGGGGCAGAATTCAGGAGTTGAACACACGTTCTCTCCGTTGCTTAGCTTCCTACTAAACATCTCACAGCCTCTCTTTTACTATGAATCACAGAATCCTGTGTTGCTGCAATGCCATCAGGCTTTGACCTTGGCCTCAGGTTATGTCTGCCTTGCTCTTCATGCGTATCTTCGTCAATTGCATCAGCATCGTCATTTTCCCCATCACTCGCGTCTTCCCAAGAACCAAGCTCAGAACCTGACATGTCAGACCGTTCATCCTCTCTGCCACTTTGAGGACGGTTTCTGACATCAAACATCGGGTGTGGGACCACGACTCTGTCGTCTTCATCAGATACAATACTCATCTTGATACCCAACGTAGCAAAAATTCCCGCCGTCATGGACAACTGAACGATTTGATCCTTCTCGTCCTCGTTAGCTGGCTCGAGGGTGTCGAAACTGAGTTCCAAGTTTCTGAATGCACTCCAAACACAAGCTATCGTTCACGTCTCGACTGGTGTCAGCTAAGCCCTCCCGCAAGCACTGGTAACAAGACACCTGGGGTAGACTTGAGGCCCTGTCGAGAATTCATGTCAATCACATTATAATTAATCTCGTCTGCCAGATTCTCCTGGTATCAAATTCGATGCCAATGGCTAGGCATCACTACATACGCTGCTCAGTACACCAATTTGAGCGTCATGTCACCCTGCCATGCTCCACTTGTCGTCACACCCTCGAGTCCTGTTATGTAAGTCACATTGCCTCCTGCCTTGACTTCAAGAACAGAGGTCTCGCAAGCCGCACCATTGATGTGGAGGTTGATGTCTTTCGGCAAAGCCGACGCACCAGCGATGGTAATGTTCGCCAGTGGAATGCCATCTTCGAAAGCACCAGTCACCTTGGTAGACAACATACCGTCTGCGAAAGAGATNCTGGAAAGATGATTAGTAGATTGGAGAGATGAAAGAACAAGTCGACGTACCTCAACGTTCTTGGTCGAGTCTTGAACGATGTTAATGCCATCGTCAAGGAAGAGCTGACCGCTTGCCTTGCCGTCCTTGTCAAGGGCAATGAGCAAGCTCCAAGGGCTCTTTCTCGACGTGGAAGTAGTGTTTCCAGCTTTCTGGATTGGGATGATGTATCCGCCTCTTACAAAGATGGGTTGATGTTCAATCGGTGCACTCAACGTCTTGTTCTCTCCAGCAGCGACTTCGACTTTTTGCAGAGAGTACCAGTCATACCAGATCGTTCCAGTCGCTACTCCAGGGAACACGCCTTGCACTGAGGTGGCAAGTGGTGCGAGTACTGGCATCACTAAGAGTGCTGGACCGCTCATGAATTGGTTGTCGATGGCCTTGAGCGAAGCGTCCTCAGGNAACTCCCAAGCCAGAGCTCTCAACACCGTCTCGCCGGCCTTGTTTGCCTTGTGGAAGAGCGTGTATGTGTATGGAAGCAAAGAGTAGCGAATATTCATGATGCGTCTGGTTGACTCGGCAGTTGTTGCCCATCGATAGGCTTCTTGAGCAATAGTGTTGCGATTGTTGTGGTTGCGATANCCTGAACTTGAGCGTTAGTGTTGGGTCTTGAGTCTATGTTTCCTGATCACTCACATCGGGAACCATGCACTCAGCTGCATCCATCGTGTACACAGTTCCATGTCTGCATTACCGTTGAAGCCGCAAGTTTCGACACCGAAGTATGGGATACCAGCGATGGAGAACTGCAACGCCTGCGAAATGCCGAAGTACATGTCGCCCCAGTCAGAGTTTGCGTCACCACCNTGTTGCAAGTTAGCATATGAACTTGGATGTGGCTCCCAGTCTTGCCTACCCCAGTGGCCAGCGAAGGCACCACTTCCGGCGAAAGTGCTTCTAGCGATGAACCATGGTCTCTTGCCTTCGTACACGGCGACGAGAGCATTATATGTTGCGTTGCCACTAAGATGACCATAAAGGTTATGCAGCTCATACTCAGTGCTGTTGTAAGGTCCATCCAAATGGGTAGCGTTCGGTGCAATAACCTGCTTCAACAGACTGTGACCAGGCAAGAAGTTGTTGATCGCATACGGCGGGAAGTTGAGATTGCGAACGCCAGGGGTTGCAAGTGTACGTCCTAAAACAGGNGAAGGAGCAAGTGTTATCGACGGGTAAGCTAACATCTGCGACGCTCTTGCCGCACTAGCTGAAGCTGCCTCAGTCGCGTTTGTGACATTGAACATTTCCGGGTAGCGGTAGTCCACAGCAATACTCGTGTTTGGGTCTCCAGGCAATGCGAAGGGTACATGTACAGGATTCAGACTTCGCTGGTATTGACCACAGCTTCCAGTGCACCAAGAAGTCGGATCACTGACATCGAGCCAGAAGCCGTCGAATGCCAAAGTCTTGCGGAACTCGGCAAATTGCTCTGTCCAGAATTGCTGAGCCTGTGGGACCGAAAAGTCGGGCCAGACGCTGAATCCGTTCCACTCCATGCCATAATACAAACTATCATTTCCGTTTCTGATGAACACATCTAGCTCATTACCGCGATCAAAAGGTGGATAGGCATCGCTGGCGTTGGTTGGGTCTGGAGCATAGATGTTTGGGTCTAGGATGGGCAAGTAGTATTGACCACGCGCGTGCAGCCAGTCCAAAAATTCTTTACCCTCGTCCGCTGGATAATTGGCGTTGTGAGTAAAGTCTCTGTTCAGATTGAGGTAATCGAGGTCGTTCATGATGCCTTCGAGCTGGATACCCTGCTCGGCATACAACTCGACTACATCTCGCAGGTTGGTCCAGTTCAAGTATCCCCAGCGGCATTGATGGAAACCAAGCGACCAGTAGCTTTGCATGACAGGTGTGTTAACAATGCCGACCTGATATTGGCTGATGACTTCTTTAGGTGTCGGGCCACTGAGGAAGTAGAACTCGAAGCTACCACCGATCGTGCGGTACGTGATGGTATCCTCTCTGAGAAGCCACTCTTGGCCATGGGCATTGCGAGCATATACACCGTGAGAAGCAGATGTGCCGTTACCATAGCGAGTTTCAAGATAGACCGGATGCGTGCTATGCCCATTGACATCGGGTAACTGATCGTTGTCGAGGTTGTACGCGTTCCAGAAGGTTTGTGTATAGTTATTGCCAAGTCTAAACGAGTGGAAGGCCTCAGCAAAACCATACACGTTGTAGTCCGGAACCATCGAGGTGACAAGCTCGAGAAACTGGTCTTCGAACACAATCTTCTTGCCATATGTACTGAATATAGTCTCGCCAGACCCGACTCGGATGACTTCGAATTGAAAACTGGGATCGTTGCTCCACGAGAAGGCTAGATCACTAGTGGTGTTGCTAGATCCATCTTCTACTCCAGGTCGTGGGGTGAATCGCTCGTCAAGGATGTAAAGAGATTCATTGTGTGGGGCCAGGTATTTGGGAGTGATGCTGACAGCAAGTCTGGTTTGATTCTGATACTGAACAGACAGAACAAGGTCCTGAATATCGTTGCCGTATACGTTGCATGGTGTACCAGCCAAGGTCAAATCGGCCTGGAGACCTGAATTGCTCTGTTGCACGTTGGAAGCCTTGTAGCCCGGACACACATCCTGTGCATTGGGAGCACTGGCATCAAGTATGTTGGGAAGAACACTTGGTGCATTGTTATAGGAAGATGCTAGAGAAGGTTGCAATGGGAACGCAGGAGGGTATTGCGGCTGCTGAGCTATAGCGTAGAGTGTCAAGAAAGGTTACAACTATGTTGGACACTACGTACCATTAACTAGCGCTGTCAGCAGCGCTATGGGTACAAAAGACGAGATCATCTTGCCGACCGTGCAGTGTATACAGCTTAGGGGAACATCCAAGGCAGGTGGGAAATGCTAAGGATATATAAACATGTCTGATGGCTGTGTAAGACGTCATTAGATAGCTTGTCGCGCGGCTGGTATTGTATGCTTGATAGACATTTCCATGAAGCTTCCCACCACAGATCGCGATCTTGCTGACTATTGGCAAGAGTAAAAGCGCTTTGTAGGGGCAGATTTTGGAACCGCATGCAAGTTGACTTTCTTCCCGCGCCATGCCATCATGGTGCCTGGAGATCTGCATGGCAGCACCCTCGGGAACATGCGGGGCAATCCGATGGCAGAACCGTTAGCAAGCATGTTCCTTTCGACCTTATTCGCAAGATCTCTGATCACTGGCCGGGCCAACAATGGTTAATGGTAGAGCAAAGGGCCGTGAATCGATACCTAGTCGTCGGTCTCTCGAATATCAAACTTCAGCATCTGGTTCGACTCTACAGAAGACTCGTCTACCAGCTTTCGGGCAGTCTCCACACCAGCCGCTGGCACTCTGTACTCGAAGTGCTTGCCTGATGCTGCAGTCTTCCCCTCGATCGAATACGAGAAGGGCAGATACTCTGGAAGCAGACCAAGCTGAACAAGAGCAGTAGCTTGATCCCATGCGATATGCTCATGGTACAGTCTATCGCCTCGGATGTTGACAATACTGGTGAAAGGNAGACGACATTTCTTTCCTGTCGGCGGTATACCAGGCAGNCCTGCCACGAAGTTAGCATGCGACCAGCTAAACAGTCGTGATAGAACTCACAGCCAGTCAATCTCCCTATCATGAGTGAAGCTGAAGATGAACTCGTCAATGACTCGATCAATGCCTACAGTTCGACTGACCAACTCCAGAGCAGTATCTTCTGGATTGCTGAAGACGAAATGGTCGCGGTAGAAATCTGTCAACCTTGCTCTTCCGATACCGCCGGTCAGAGTAGGAATATGGTTGACATACGGTTCTTGAACCATAGTAGACATGGTCTTCTCGACCGCTCTTTCGCCAAACTCGTACAAGCAATGCTCTTCCCAAATCTCCTCAAGATCAAACCACGGACCTCCGATCAGTGGCTTCAGGAAGCTGAGTGTACGGGTATGCGACACTGATGCTGAAGAAGCGTGGAAAGACTTGTGAGCTGGGAGCACAAAGAACGGCTCAACCTTTGGATAGTAGTAAGTTTTGTTCTGCTTGGATGCATCCTTCTTGATCGGAATGGGCGGGTTGCCAGGTCTGTGAAAAAGTGTCGGTTTGGTAGATTCAATCTCTGACGACCCATAGACGACTATCGAAGCTATGTCTCGGGATGCTTCAAGTACGTTGGCAACCCCAACTGGCCATGAAGAGAGATATGCTGGTTATTATCAGTACCTATGTATAAGCACTGCGATCCAAGATGACTGACCAATAACTCCGAATTTCTCGGTTCCATCAAAAGTAGGATGACCCTTGATAAACTGGAGTGTATCGGATAGGGTCTCCTCAAAGCTTTGNTGTAGCCTGCCCAGATCCACTTGGGCAACNAAAAAACTCTCCTCAGCCCATTTTTGCAACGGGGAGGGNTCGATACCCTCTATCGAGGCTTTTGTTGCACACTCTTGATCAATCAATATGATCAGTGCTGGACCCCTGCCTGCTCTCGATAATGGTGGCTGAATCGTCACCGAAGGCGAGACATTGATGGCAGGCGCTGATGGCAATAGAAGCGACTTCTCACTTTCGCTTGTTGAGGCCATGACAGACGTTGGCTTCTACAAGTCAGGAAAGTACAAAGATGAGTTATGGGACACTTCTCATCGGAGAGGATGCGGGTGTGGCGACTCGACGCCGATCATTGCCCAGATCAGAAGCATCCTCACGATACGCAGTATATTGAATTTACTTGCGCAAGCATTAGCTTTCTCTTGGTGAGCAAGGGTATGTAGTGTGTACTACTATGGAAACGCACGATAGTGTCAAGGAGTAGGGCAGTGTCCATTGAAGAGTGACATCTCATCGACTGTCCTCGGCCGTATCCCTGAGTTTGTAACGGATCGTGCATTTTCATAGTTTACATATCGCTCTGTGATACTTAAGGAGGATGGCGGGATTCACAGAGTTCTGCAAATGGGGAGGTTACAGAACAAAATATATGATAGGTAATATGATTGAAAAAGATCAATATTGTCTTAGATCTACATACAAAGATATCGAAGAACGTGAGGACAATCAACAGATCATTCGAAATTATGCCACAGCGCCACTTTTTGGAGAAATTTGTGAATCAAACCTGAGCATAGACAGGTCAGAACAAGATGTACTTTTCTCACAGTTCATGTTGAACGGAGCGACGACGCACCTTGCTGCCGGTACTGCTTCCCTCGTCAGGGCCAAGACCCTTGGCGGCACCCGAACTAGGCACTTCGGTGACAGACTCCTGCTCGCTGTTCGCGTGATCCACCATCTCGTATGGCTTCCAAAAGTCTCTCTTTCCCTTTGCGGCGCGAACAACCCATGGAGGGAAGAGTCCACCGTCAAGTCTCCAGGTCCACGGCTCCTTGAATTGCTTGTCTTGGGGAACGATCTTGCCACCAGAAGCCTTCTCGATCATGTAGACGGTGGTGTTGATAAGAATGTAGGACATGATGCCTGCAATCAGGCCGTAGGCGATTGAGTATGTGAAAGGCATGGTGGCGATGGTGAGGAAAGCTGGGATAGCATCACCCATGTAGCGCCAGTTGATGTCGGCAGCAGACTTGGCCATCAAAGAACCGATAATGATGAGAGTGCCGCCGGTAGCCCACGGAGGGATAGAAGCGAAGATAGGGGCGAAGAAAACGGAGATGAAGAAGCAAACACCTGTGACCATGGCTGCGATACCAGTCTTGCCGCCCTCGGAGATACCAGCACCGGACTCGATGAATGCAGTGACAGGGGAGGTGCCGAAAAGAGAGCCGATTGAGATACCGACGGCATCGACCAAGTAGGCAGTAGCACTGCCCTCGAAGTCCTGGGTCTTCTCATCCATGACACCAGCAAAGCGAGCCATGGCGTAAAGAGTACCAGTGCAGTCCAGGATATCGACGTAGAGAAAGGTGATCAGAGCGAGACCGAACTGGCCGCCGTGGGAGCTGACGTCCCACTCCTGAGCAGCAAGGATGTTCTTGATAGGTCTGAAAGTGACGACATTCTTGAAGAAGTCGAAGCTGCTGTCACCCAACTCGGTGTGAGGGAAGTAGGTGACATCGGTACCACGAGGCCATGAGATAATGGAAACGAGTAAGATACCAGCGATTATTGCACCCTTGACGCGGAACATCATAAGGAAGACGGTCAAGAAGCCACCGAGGAAGATGCCAATCCACATGGTAGGTGATCTCATCTTGTGGCTGGGATCGCACATTAAGCCATCGTTCACGGTGAGGTATTGCTGGGAGCAGCCAGCAATTTCAAGAGGTGTGCTAGATGCGCCAGTGATAAGACCAACACCCGCGCTGTATGAGAAGCCAATGATGGTAAGGTAAAGACCAATACCGACACCAGTGGCCAACTTAATCGAAGTCGGAATGGCACGAGCAAGCCATTGACGGATTCCGAGAAGTGTAAGAGCGACGAAAAGAAGACCCTCGACAAAGACGGCGGTAAGGGCAATTCTGTAAGGAACAAGACCGGTGCCGTTGAAGCCAACAACGGTATAGGTGAAGTACGCGTTGATGCCCATACCAGGTGCCAGACCCAAAGGCAGGTTGGCGAACAAGCCCATGCAGAAGGAAGTCAAAGCAGAGATGGCGGCAGTTGCGGTGACAAGGTCACGACGGATCTCTTGCTTGCAGAGGTTGTATGTAATATCGGTAGCGCAGGCGTCGAGGCTGGTGGGAGGGCAGACACAGGTACCGCCAGTGTCTGAAACAACGGACGAGTTGACGGCAATGATGTATGCCATGGCGAAGAAGGTAGCGAGACCGGCACGGATCTCAGTGAAGAAGAAAGATCCATCACGCGAACGGTGNCTGCAAGAAAGCTATCAGCTTGAGAGTGTTTAAGCACAACCAAGAGCAATGCTAACATGACCAGATCCCTCCAACCTGAAATACCTGCCAAATGCCGACTTCGCAATGGACTGGTTAGTCTTGTGAACCCAGCTCATTTTGACTGAGAGGTATGAAGCTGAGGATCAAGCTTGCGAGGGTGAGCGCGTGCTCGAAGGAAAATGCACGAATGGTACTGGAGAAAAAAAAATGTCTACACCACCAAGGTTGGGCTCGGGTTTATTTTCTATCACTCGGCGAGCCATGGCCAAGAGATGACTCTGCCTCAGCCTCGCACCACGCGAGCGGTTCACGATAAGGGCCTGCGAAAAAGGGTTCAGAAGGATGCTAAAGGCGGTTATGGTATGCAAAGGCGTCGCCAAGGTCTTGGTAACGATTTCTTTTGCAGCACCGGCAGCAGGAGTGCTCGCCTATTGACTCATAGGTTTGGTCATGTTAGATAGGCGTCGCGAAGGATTGCCAGCGAAACACATCTGTGACCCTTGAACTGGCAGGTGCGACTCGTCTTTGCAAATGGTCCTTGTCGAAATGCTTTTCGTCTTGCTCAATGTTGCTTGTGCGCAGGTGTGCCAAGGAAGGATGGGGTCCACTGACTCGCTCCGTTGCTGGGTGGTTGGGGAGCGGCGGCCAGAGGGGAACAACACCTCGAGCATCGACCTGCAGTGGTATATACCATCTTATAGGAAGTATAGGTGTTTCCAGGAAGTGACTGACGTCTGAGGGACCCCGCAATTGACTAGTAGTAGCCATCATGGTACTGGGTTCATCGACATCTCCGTGCGAGGTGGAGCCCCAAGGTGTGTCGGCGGCCTCCGATGATGCTTATCACAACCTCAAGCCTCTATAGGATCGCCACGAGGTGCTCTATCTCTCTTGGAAGGCTGTACTATCATTATGGAGTATATCTGACTTTAACGAGGTTCTTGGCTACCCTTGCCTTATCTATGCGTGTTGTGGTTGCTGTTCGGAGGTGGCCGGCTGCTTGAGAGTTGCTGACACCGCAATCTGATCGAGCCAGATGAATGCATAGGTATCAGAGCAATATGTGTAAGGCAATTTCGTGCACGAATTCAAAGTAGTTGAAAGCCGAGCTAGAACAAGACCAAGAGGCTGACGTTTAGGGAATGTAACCATGGAGTCAGATGAATTTCGATGACACTCATTGATATGGAAAAGGATGCCAAGACTCAGCAACTCCCTCCCTGTATGCTCAAGAGAATCACAATGTAGTTATATGAATGCACAACTGTTTCCGAACAAGAGATGGGAATCAAGGAGATCTGATGGGCTTACGACTCTCAATGGATGCTACTCTTTTCTGTAAAGTATTATGCGTCTCTATAACTTACAATATTACTATGCATCACCGTGAGAGAGGGTTGACTGCGAGAGTGGTGATATTAGGCGAGACTGGTTTGTTGGTACATTGATGTGAGGACGACAATTGACAGTAGAAACTGAATGCCGGTCGATGGTCCCGTCATGCAGAATTCTTCTTCTCTGGAATCACTCGTCGAATGACCTAGTGAACAGTTGCAAACTGATCTCATTGCAGAATGAACACAGTATGTTTGCATCGAACAGTTCAAAAGGGGTAATCATTTGTTCACACTGGAATTTGAGGGGATAGATGAAGGATAATGATCAATGTTATTATTTTGGTGTTTATGAATATAGAGCTGAGATGCAGCCATGTGTTTTGTAAGCTTTGGACCTACTGAGCATGATGTTAGCAGATGACCTCAAACATGCTGTGTCTCGGGTTGTGCAAGATGTGTACTCCAAAAAGGATCAGAGAGCAAAAGGGCAGAATATGTTTGTCGACATGAATACATTCCGTAAGACTAATCGTAAAACATTCGTTCATCAGGAAGGAGAAGGGCGTTGGTGGCAGTGATTGGAGGGTTGCGCAAAAGCTTACCTGGATATTTGAAGCCTGTCTCTTACATTCTCTATGCATGGACAGGCAGGGCGCGAAGCTACACGCAGAAGCCGAAGCTAAAACTCATGTTGTTGTGATGCAAAAGAAGGACGGAGGAAAAAGTCGAAATTTTGTAGGTCTGAGTGCACGGTGCGGCTTGCGCAACATGTCGTGGCAGCTCTCGCGACACACGTGACGAAAGCTCGGCTCCGACGGAGTGAACCTGGGAAGCGCGATCAGCCACCTGTTTGGTGAGAGCAATCCTCCAAATCAACCCCTTCCTTTGCGGCGGCAAACAAATAATAATATATCCGTTACCCGCAAGTCGCGCCGCATACGATGGCCTCATCTAATGGCCCGATGAACTCCCCCCTTTGAACTGATTCCGAAGGTCGTCAATAAGAAGAATTACTACACGTTCGTCTCACCTCTCTTCCTATGCCCAAACACTACATCTATCTGCCTACTTTGCGCCCGCTGAATAGCCATCACGTCTGATTTCTACACTTCTTTCTTGTCGTCGTTTGTTGTCTGTTTCGAATAACATGACCCAATGCCCAAAGGCATTTATGAACGGCAGGAGCGGTCGCACGGGTACAATAGTCTGCTCTCTTGACACGCGGTATCGCTGACTCTTGTTTTTGCAATAGTGACTTCTTGAAGCGCGATGAGCAGTTTCTCGCATTCCGCCTACAGGGCGAGGAGAACCGCAATCGTATGATCAAAGCCGCGCGCGACAAGGACCGCGCAATGGCTCAGGCTGCTTCTAATGGAGTATCAGCTGATGCCGCACAAGCCGAGATGGACGAAGATGCCGCTGAGGATGAAGCTGCTGAAGCCGAATCTTTTGGCTCAAAGACGATTGTCATTCACCCGGGTAGTCGCAATCTACGTATCGGTCTTGCAACGGACGCTCTTCCCAAGACTATCCCGATGGTGATTGCACGTAAGGCTTCGCATGCGGAAGATGAGGAGCCCGGTGCTGAACCACGACCAAAGCGAGTCAAGCTGCAGGATGGGTCGGCAGAGCCTGCTGGTGAGAGTGCATTCGGTGAAGATGTGCGTAACACGCAGCCTTGAATGTCAGACAAAGACTGACTTAAAATAGNNTTTGCAAAGGAATACGGCAACATGGCGGCTGACTTCAAGATCTACCGCCGTAACAATAAGCGCAGAGTCTTGCCCAACTCGCGCGAACTTGTCGTGAACTGGAACTCGCGCAATGCTCCGGAAACCATTTCTGAACACAACGATCCTCAACGTGTTGACTGGACAGAAATCGAGTCCCCTGCACCGGAATATTTCACTGGACATGCGGCTATGCGGATACCACAACACTCGAAACCGAGGTACAGGCTTTACTGGCCGCTCAAACATGGCTGGCTCAACGAACAGGACTACTCGAGCAAGTCTGTCTTACTCCGCGACTTTTTCCGCATCATCGAAATGGCTATCAAGAACGAGCTTCACCTGAATCGCAAGAAAGACTGGGCACAGTACTCCTGCGTTTTTGTCATCCCTGATTTGTACGAANAAGTGTTTGTGACGTCCATCCTTGAAGAGATGTTCCGGGATTTTGGCTTCCAGCGAGTATGCTTCATCCAAGAGAGTCTGGCAGCAACCTTCGGAGCTGGATACTCGAGCAGCTGTATTGTCGATGTTGGTGCGCAGAAGACGTCTATCTGCTGTGTTGAGGAAGGCATGTGTGTCGAAAACTCTCGCATGAACCTGAAATTTGGTGGAGAAGATGTCACAGAGGCTTTTATCAAAATGATGCTGTTTGACCACTTCAATTACGCCAACATGGATCTCTTGAAGAGACATGACTATCTGCTGGCGGAGGAGCTGAAGCAGAAGTTTTGCACGCTAGAGGATGCACACATCAGCGTACAGCTCTACGAGTTCCATCTGCGTGCGTTCGGTCAAGACACTCGCAAATATCAGTTCAAGACTTACGACGAGGTCATGCTGGCACCAATGGTATGTCATGATGCATATTTGATCCTGGTTCTCTGACTAACATGTATTGCAGNNGGCTTCTTCAGGCCAACAATCTTTGACCACGCAGACAAGCTCGCAGGCCGACGCAAGCTCATCGGTCGATCGACGGACACGTACGATGACAAGCCCAACGATCCCATATCGCTTGCTCAGCTACAGGTCTACAAACACTCATCCGATAACGTCCCTTCAGCTGTGACAGAATCGACGAATACACCAGCCCCCGGCGGTGTGCCCGCGACACCCAGCAAACCACTAAATCTGGACCGCCTGACACATCTTGCCGATATAGCAGAAAGTACACCTCGCTCATCTCCAGCCGGGTCACCTGCTCCTGAAGATACGGCCACTCCGGCACCAGGAGCTGGAGATGCAACGCCAGCCGTGGCAGCGGCTGGAATCGAAGGTACACAGCCAGAGACTGAAGCAGTTTTGCCTGTCATGCCACTGGATCAAGCGATCGTTACATGCATCACCGAAGGCGCCAGGGGTGACGAGAAAAAGACGCGTGACTTCTTCGGCGGTATCATGGTGATCGGTGGTGGCAGCAAGACCTACAACTTCAACGTCTATCTCGAGCAGAGACTTCGCGCACTACAGCCGAACTTCCAGAGGNAGATCTTGGTTGGACCTCCACCCAGAGAGCTAGATCCTCAGGTTCTGGTATGGAAGGGTGGCAGTGTGTTTGGCAAGATGAGAGGCACGAATGATAGCTGGATTGGGCAGTTGGAGTTTGACAGACTCGGTGCCAGAATCCTTAACCAGAAGTGCATGTGGGCATATTAAGAGACGAATGATGATCTGACAGCAGACGTATGGAAACAAGAGTAGAGGCAAGAAAAGAAACAGCATTACATGTCTGACTGTCTGCAATTCCTACGGCACGGAAATGAGGTCAATACACAATATCATTACACGGCATGGAGGCATTCCTGTTGCTGGGCATACTTCGCGTGATTCTATAGCGCTTTGATGTCTGATTTGGCTGAAGCTTAGCAACAGGGCATTCGTCGACCAAGGCTCCCGACAGCCACATTAACAACAACACTAGACATTATTCTGTCCTTTGGCCACGCCCAAGTTGTTATCTGCCAGTTTTGGGCGAGGAGTCATGGTTGAATATATTGTTTTATTTTCAAGCAGGGTTGCACCGTCGGCGAATGGAAATGGCCGTCTAAGCGCTTAGCGCCAAATGCAGCTCTTGCTTCTTCGACCCGCGTTTTGGTCGCTTGGGTTTGCAAGCAATCGTGAGCGGGATCTACGCGCGTAAGCCGTCCTCGGGCTGTGCACAGAAGATAGAATCATCCAACACAGGCAGTTGCTGGCTACTCGTACAGTCGACGTGATATCTGAGTGGCAGCAAGCAGAAAGGTTAGTGTTTTGTGGTGACATAACTCAAGCGGGCAGCAACCCGCGACCGCGGCAGGCTTCGTTGTCGAGTCCACTTTGGCAGACGAATGACGACGGTGTCGGAGATCTAGACCAAAGCCAAAGGCATCTGGACTGGCCCGAGCTCTACGATCGTGTTTGACGGGCGCACGATGGGACGAGTGGTGTTGGACATGGGATTTTGGCATCTCTAACAAGAATGCGCAGCGGAGACAGCGTGTAGCAACAGTCAATCGCACCTGGAACGTCGTCTTGAGCGCCATCGACCGTCAAGCGCAAGTGCAAGCGCAAGTGCAAGCGCCTCGCTCAGCTTCGGCGCACCCCTTCCCCCCGCCGCCGCCGTCATGGCGCCAACTCCTCCCACGGCCTTTGCGGCCAAGTACGGTGGTGAAATCGAAGGCGTGAGGGCGCGCGAGTTCTACAAGCAGGTTGACACACATGTAACCCCAGCCATCGCCTACTAACTCTACACGTCCAGATACTATGAGCCCTTTGACAACCTCATGAAGACGAGCGATGAGAAGATCAACTCTGGCTCCCACGGCCGCTCGGCCTCGTTCGACGATGCCCTCGCTGCCTACGCCCAGTTCATCTGCCTGCGACTGCGCGTCAGCCGCTGCCTCGTCTCCTGTTTCGACCGCAACCATCAATACATCCTGGCCGAAGCCACCCCAACCCTCTCCCTGAAGACACACAAGGCCGACGACCCCAATGACGACTTGTGGCTGGGCTCAGGAGTCCAAGACCGCCACTCACACCTGTGCGAGCGCACCCTCGAACTGGCCGACAAGAAGGTAGACAACGATCACGATGCCGTTGTTGTGGTCCCCAACATTGCAGAAGACGACTGGTACAAGAGCTGTCAATCGCACATAAACGTGCCCGAAAAAGTCTGTTTCTACGCCGGAACCGCCATTCGAAGTCCCTATGGCCCTGTCATTGGTGTCATCTCGGTTCTAGACTGCGAACACAGACACGACCTCCCAGACTCCGACAAAGTCTTCCTCCAACACATGTCAGACACCATCATGTCTCATCTCGACATGGTCAGATCAAAAGAAGAGCACCGTCGTACATCCCAGATGGTCGTCGGTTTGGGCTCCTTTGTAGAGGGCAAGGGCCAGGTTGACATGGACTTGCATTCAAAGACGGTCCCTAAAAGCAACAAGATCGAACATCAGGGCAACCCGCCCAGAACCCCCGGAGCTTCTACTTCCCGCGCGCCGGAAATGCTCCATATCCAGAACGAGAACCCTCCCCAACATTCTGACGACACCAAAACCGCAGAGGATGCTCTCAATTTTGAGAATCTCCAGGCTCAAATGCTCTCGACCGACGTCAAATCCACTTTCCAACGCGCTGCTCACATCATCAAGGACGCAATCGACGTCGAAGGAGTAGTATTTCTCGATGCCTCTGTGGGAAGTTTCGGCGCTCTAGTACAGTCGGTCCCTGCTGCCTCGGACGACGACTCTGCTTCTTACTTTACTCGCAATTCTGCCTCTAACAAGGAGTGTCATGTCTTGGCAAGCGCAGGTGAATCTAGCCCTGGCTTCTCCATCACAGAAGGCTTCTTGCATTCCTTCTTGACTCGCTACGGACAAGGGAGAATCTTCAACATCGACCCCAAAGAGACCGAGCTGCACATGACAAATCCCAAAACACCCGAAGAATCCGAGGATTTCGGCCAAAAGGTCGAGCCCGAGGAGGAACAACACTCAGACGATGAGAAGCGGGAGGAAGTGCGTCGACAAAGACAAACCGACCTTGCCGATCTGAAGCGCTTGTTCCCTGATGCCCGCTCTCTAGCGTTTGTTCCCATGTGGGACGACCACCGCATGCGATGGTTCTGCGGTGGCATCATCTGGTCTAACAGAGCGATACGCTTATTGCACAAGGATTCTGAGCTGAGTTTCCTACGAGCCTTCGGCATGGCCATCATGTCCGAGGTTGCTAAACTTGACACTGCCATGGCAGACAAAGCCAAGTCTGATCTACTCAACAGCATCAGTCACGAGCTGCGTAGTCCATTGCATGGCATTTTGGGCAGTATAGAATGTTTGGAGGCATCGGACCTCGACCCAATGCAACATGGGCTGGTCGAGACGGTTGACACCTGTGGACGTACACTCCTGGACACCATCAACCACCTTCTCGACTTCAGCAAGATCAACAACTTTACCCGCAACAAGTCCAAGCGTCAGAAGAACTCGGAAACAAGACAGGCCGATATGTTGAGTCTTGATTCTACAGTACATCTTCCTACAATCACCGAAGAAGCTTTGGAAACTGTCTTCGCTGGCTACTCTTCCACTGCAGGTTCTCGTGACGAGTCAAATGACAGTCAGGCATCTAAGCGTACCGACAGGACACCCAAATGTGACGTAAAAGTCATTGTTGATATCGAGGCCAAGAATCACGAGAATTGGCTACTATGTACCGAAGGAGGAGCATGGAAGCGCTTGGTCATGAATTTGGTAAGCAGTCTGTCATGTTCGTGTGTCAACAAAAGATATTGACCATGTTCGCAGACCGGTAACAGCTTGAAGTACACGACCGACGGGTTCATCTACATTCAACTCGCTTCTCAGGAGTTGCCGAGAGATGGCGAAGGATCCAGGAGAAGCCGTATTACACTAACCATCAAAGACACAGGAAGAGGCATGTCCAAGGAATACCTGCAGAACCACTTGTTTAGACCTTTTGCGCAAGAAGACCCACTCAACCCTGGAGCGGGACTTGGTCTCTCCATGGTGCGACATATCGTCAGCAATCTTGGTGGCGAGATTTTCGTAGAGTCCGAGTTGAACAAGGGCACCGAAATCCGCGTCGAAGTCATTATGATGGATCCAGCTCCGAGCCCAGAAGCCAACGACGAAGCATTCGTCATGACTGAAGCGGCACAAAAGCTCCACGGCCTGAAAGCAGCATTCATCGATCCGCCGAACTCGAGTGATGGGGAAACTTCTTCCCAACGATCGCTTCGCAAAGCGCTTGACAAGCAATGCTGGGGTTGGTTCAGGATGGAATTCAACACTGTCAGTGGTATAGACGCATTAGGGGATACGGCGGTGGTGCTCATAACGTGCTACAATCTACCGGGCGTCAAGGAACATTTGATCAAGCTTAACAAGCCAGTCATTGTACTCTGCGAAAGCAACACGCGACTGCGTCAAGTGTACGCCGAGAGTGAAGCACTTCGAAAAACAGTCACGACCGAGTTTATTGCGCAACCCTATGGACCTCGCAAACTGGCGCGCGCGTTTGTATCGTGCAAAGAGCAGAGACCGCCGCAGTTGGAAGATGTCATATTATACCGAGACACGAAGCTTGCGACGCTGCCGAGTATGCCTGCTTCCAACACACAAGAACAAAACCACAAGCAGTCGTCAGCCTCGCGCGAAGTCACACCATCACGAGTAACAAGAAGTCAGAGCAAAGCAGCCGAAGAACCCCAAGGGCCGGCAAAACAAGAAGATGGACCTAAAGCGCTGCGCCTCCTCCTCGTCGACGACAACAAGATCAATCTTCAGTTGCTGGTTCGCTACTGCAAGTCGAAGAAGCACGACTACGTGACGGCAGAAGATGGCGTCGAAGCAGTGGAAGCCTTTTGCTCACATCAACAAGATGCGGCAACGAAGTTTGATTTTGTCTGCATGGACATCTCCATGCCGAGGATGGATGGGTTGGAAGCTACGAGGAGAATACGCTCGTTCGAACAGAGCAATGGAATAGAAGCGAGCAAGGTTATCGCCTTGACGGGATTGGCGAGTGCAGAGGCACAGCAAGAGGCATTTTCGTCGGGAGTTGATCAGTTTATGACGAAACCTGTCCGTCTAAAAGAGCTGGGCGAGGTGTTGGCTGGTCGGAGATGATTGTTCACAGCGGGCATCTGCTGTATACGAAAATAAGATCATGTGGCATGACGGACGGTAAGGCTTACGATGCAACACGGGATGGACAAAAACGGCCCAGTCATTTTTCTCATTTTCCTTTAGTTGAACATAACAAACGACGATACCCTTTTTGATGGAAAACGGCTGTGGTTTAGGAGTGAGAGTGAGGGTGTACAGACGGGTTCGGATGTAGACTTGGCAGCCCTATGGTTGTCTCTCATCATGTCATCGGCTGGAGCGAGACGAGGTAATATACATGAAGAGGCTGCGAAATACGAGCGAGATTGTACGATGCGTGTGACTGTCTTTAAATCGGCATCGTAGAAGAGAGATCACAGATATCGATTTACGAGAGAAAGGCGTTCCTCTGGTTGAGTTGCGGGAGCAGCCGCCTTGTTGGAAGCAACAGACGAAGAATCTCGCTCTCGGGAACTTGTTTGTCGGAAGGAACGACGTGCTTCAGCTGTGGTTGTTTGGGAAGTTGGACGGGAAATCAGTATTGATTGAGGCTTGGCGACGGGCTGTGGAAATTGCTTGACGGAAGCCAATGGGAGCGTCACTTTTTAGGTTTGCTGTGTGTTTCAGTTGGATTTGATCGGGTAGGTTGTAGCAGAGGTTGGCACATTTGCAGCCGGTGTTTTGATCGTCTGTGAACGTGTGTTGGATGTGCTTGTTGTGTTGCAGGGGTGCAAGAGCTTTTGACGTTTTGCACGCTTCTTTCTTTCCTCTCCAGCTTTCAAACACAACAAGACAGGCCAACGGCCAAAAACAAGACGGGAAAAACACTGGATGCTGCCAGCTCGGAGCTTTGGTCGACAGCGCTTATACGAAACACAACCATGAGTCGACGTGCCCTCCTGAAATCCGTATAGACATCTTCTTGGAAGCATGAGCCGAACCATGGCGCCCACGGCTTCCATCAATGCCGTCCTCGCCAACCAGCACTATCATCAACAGCGAGAGGACAGACCCGACTCGCCCGTCTCGCCCTCACAGCCCACGACGCCGCAGTTTTCATGGCCACGCAGAGTCCGCAGCCCTGAACCCCATCTCCCGCTGCGCAAGGCCTCGCCTGAGCGGCTGAGACAGAGGATGCCCAGTCTGCCTACCATAAAGACGAGACAGAAGCCCGCTCCTCTGTTCATCACCACCAACGCTGGCCAGGAGGCCTTGGGCCCTGTTACCTCTGGCAGCATAGCTCCGCCGCACAGCTCCCGGGTCAACGTCAAGAGCAACAAGTGGTGGGAGGATACCGACGATGAGAAGAGTCCTGGCCGCCGACGCAACTTTTCGGCCGTCGAGCCTCGTTCTCGCCCTCGTGAACTGTCCGTGGCCGACGCTACTCTCTCGCGACAGGGCAGCTGGCCTCTGGAAGACAGCCCGACGTCCATGGCTGTGCCCGACTCGGACCGCAACGAAACCCGTACCAGCTATCGCTCGCAAATGACATCGACTAGCAGCCACATGGACTCGACGACAGGCACGGCACGTAGCAGTGTTGCAACCGCCGACAGCTCCGTCTCAGACTGTGTCAAGATCGACTATGCCGACGACGACGAGGATGCACAAGACAACATGACCGATTATGAAGATGATCTGCTGGACATGTACATTGCTGGATTCGGCACGCCTGTCAACCTCAGCGTCGACCTGCGCGAACAGATGCGGAAGTCGATGCGCTTGAGCATGGCCAACTCTCGCACAAACAGCTTCCTGCATGCTCCCAAAAGCTCCGTCGATACGCTCGGCGTGCGGCCTGGCACATCGCCGTCGTCTACCAACGAGACTGGTGGCTCGCACAGACGCAGTCATTCTGCCAGCATGGTTGACCGCAAGAGTATCCTCGCTGATGCCAATCTCACTCCTTTCGACAGGAACAACAAGCCCACGTTATCCTTGTCGCACAACAGAACCTCGACCCAAATCTTGTCTGGCCGCGTTTTGCCCGACCCACCTCTTTCTGCTCCGCCGCCTACCGTCGATCCTTCTCCTGTCCTTTCTCCTATCACCGACTCGCCCGTCAGCAACAGCATTCCCCTACCTCCGTCGAAACCTGTACCTCGCGATCGTTACGGCTTCAAANAATCATCTCTACACATCTCGGTCCAAGATTATGACGCTTGGGAGAAAGAATATAATCTTCATCTCGATAGAAGACGGGGCAAGTGGAATATCTTGATGAAACAATTCGGCTACACCACCGAGAATCCTACACGCTTCCCTACAAAATCCGAGAAGATCAAGAGATATGTGCGTAAGGGTATCCCACCGGATTGGCGAGGCGCTGCTTGGTTCTGGTATGCTGGCGGCCCCAAGAAATTGGCTGAAGACCCTGGGCTATACTGGAATCTGCTCAAGCAGGTCAATCAAGGTGCTCTGAGCGATGATGATCGCGAGCATATCGAACGCGATCTCAACCGCACATTTCCCGACAACGACCGCTTCAAACCCGACGACCGACCCACAACATCTGAACAAAGCCGCGGTATCGGCGAGACCGAGAATGAGACTCCAATGATCAAGGCACTGCGTCGAGTCTTGCAGGCCTTTGCCGTCCACAACCCAAATATAGGATACTGCCAGAGTCTAAATTTCATCGCCGGCCTACTGCTCTTGTTCCTCAACGAAGACGAAGAAAAGGCTTTCATCCTCTTGAATGTCGTAACCACCGAACATCTGCCCGGTACCCACGGCGTAGCACTCGAAGGCGCAAATATCGACATTGCCGTCCTCATGACCTCGATAAAGGAATCACTTCCTTCCATCTGGGCAAAACTAGACGACAAACCTACTACACCAGCTGCAGGCGGCGTGCCCCGTTTACCCACCGTCAGTCTGGCAACAACAGCATGGTTCATGTCCCTCTTCGTCGGCACTCTCCCTATTGAATGTGTCCTCCGCGTCTGGGACTGCCTCTTCTTCGAAGGCAGCAAGACACTCTTTCGCGTCGCCCTGGCCATCTTCAAGTCTTCGGAACAAACCATAAAAGCCGTCTCTGACCCCATGGAAATCTTCCAACTTGTGCAGAGTTTGCCTAGGGGTATGTTGGATGCGAATGCGCTTATGGAGACTTGTTTTCGCAAACGAGGCGGCTTTGGAGGCTTAAGTCAGGATGTTGTAGAAAAGAGAAGGGAGGAAGGANGGGTGGCTACTAGGAGCGGCAGGACGTTGACTGTCTCGTCTGGAGATGTTCGGGGTAGAGGCGAGGGGGATGCACTCGGGCGAAGGAGCTTTATGAGGGCGAAGAGCAAGACTCGATTCTCGAGGCGGCAGACCAAAGGCGCGTAGAGGACTGTGCCTCGTCTTTTACTTTGTTTGGAGCGTAGTTTCTTCTCCTGTTGGACACAGTTCTCCCCCTTTTCGTTTTCTTTTGCTTCATCATCTTCTTCTTCTTGTCACTCTTTCATGGCAACATTGTGGATATACGTATGTTTTGCATGGTATTTTGGGAGTTTATCATGTCAGCGGTCGTTTCTTTTCCCGCCTTGAAGACATCACTACATCAAGAAATTTCTTATCTTTCATGGTTTCCTTTCTTCTTATCGTTTGTCATGCCATGTACCGTCGCTGACCTGGTCCTTTGTACTCGAAAGTAATGTCTTGTTTTTATTGGAGTCTGAGTGTTGAAAACAATGTCTAGTTTTGTCTCTCTTTTTTCCCCTCTAGTCCTGATATGCAAAAGTGTATGTGCTCTGTCTGCATGGATGGAGATTCAATGTGACTGACACTAAGTACAGCAGGTACTAGAGTGAGAATCATACACAGAGTCGATAGCAATAAGTACTTTCAAACATCTTCACCATCGTAATATAGGTCGTTGACAAGGAGAGCATCCTTGTGTGTTTAAGATAGTCATCATGATACAACTACCCCTCTTCCATGGACACGTGTATCCATTATTATATCCTGCAAAAATACAGAATGCAGTTTACAAAGGGGCGATGTCCAAAGAGACAACACTCTCCAAGGTATCTCCATGGCCATGCTTCTGGTTTGAAATGTATTCTGCATTTCTACAGCTACAATACAAACATTGTCAGCAATGATGGAATCAATTAGAAAGCGGTGGCTTACCTAGTTGACAAAGCTAGCATGCAAGATTATACATACTAGATATAACGCAAACAAGCAAAATAGTATAGCTAAGAAAAGGCTACAAAAGCATCTAGAATGTTAAACTAGACTTCAGAAACCATAGTTACCTACAGTAAAAACAGCAATATTTGGAAGAAAAAAAAATTTCTATAGAGTTTTAACTTTGGGTAATAGATATATACATTTCTAGATAACCACAGTTACAAATATAATCCTTTTCAAATGTGTAAGAGCCGGGCACGGTAGCACTAGCAATAGTGACGCGACCTTAAGTGATGATAGGGCCTAAGCTATGAGTTTTCATGGCCTGCCACCGAAAGAAGTGTTCAAAGTTCGAAGATAGGCTTAATCTAGTCACTGCTGCGATGTCAGTAGAACTTCGAACGGATTAGGTACTAGACGACGCTTAATATCCATTGCCTTCTCCCCTCCTCTCTCGCAAAAGCTGCTTGCACTGCTGCAATGGCTAGAATGTAGGCTTGTCGTATTGGCATCTCTCCATTACAACAGTTCCTCCAACGCCTTGTGCATATCACTCATCGACCTCGTCTTCCTCACCGGTGCCTTGACAGCACTCTTGTCCCTACTCAAGCTCTCAAGAAACCTTTCTCTATTCCCTCCACTCAAATTCAAATGCTCAGCTACAGTGGTAGCAGGCGTCTGCGCCAACCACTGCTCAGTACTGAAATCCTCAAACTTGTCTGCGCGAAACATCTCCAACATCTCTACTGGCTCAGTGCCGATGTTTTCGACATAGTGGGCGTTGTTCTTGGGGACTATGCCTACGTCGCCGGCTGTGTAGTTGAATGTTCGTGCGTTGCCTGAGGCGGCGAAGATGGTTATGCGGGCGTGGCCGCGTAGGAAAAAAGACCATTCGTCTGCGTTGGGGTGCCAGTGCATTTCTCGTAGGCAGCCTGGGTTGATGATTACATGTGCTGCGGCGGTGGTCTTGGAGATGGGGAAGTTGGAAGTGTCTGTTATGCGTACCTCACCGCCTGGAAACTTCTTGGGTGTTTGGGCGAGCATGCGGTGGGTAAAGCGGTGCTTGGATGGTGTACCGACCTTNTTACGGTCGTCTGCTAGAGAGCCGGGGATTGTGCCTTGGAAGATGTACTTCTCCTTTTCGGACAGCGAGTCGAAGACTGCTTCGTCCACTCGGAAGTTTTTAGCTAAAATCGACTTGGGAGTTCGGGCAATGTAGTCTGTTAGCAAGAACGTGCTGTCCTCGGAGAAGTTGCCATCGTCGAAGATGAGAAGGAACTCTACGCCTTCTTTGCCGGTGCCTTGGATACCGTGAGGGAAGCCGGTGGGGAAGTACCAGAGATCGCCTTCTTCCAAGTCGTCGATGTAGGAGCCGCCTTCGAGATCGAGGACGCTGATACGGCATTGACCCTTGATGATATATGCCCACTCTGATTCGTTGTGCCAGTGCAATTCGCGGTAGACGCCAGGGCCAAGGCGCATGTTTACGCCTGCTAGCTCTTTGGAGGTCGGCAATTCTCGGACGGTTGTTTCTCTAGCCCATCCTCCTTCTTCGAGACGTACGTGTGAGTCTGTGAAGGACNNCTTGTCGAGGTTAGCTAGACGACGGACCAGGTACCAGAATGTCACGAACCACTTCATGTTGGGCATCTTGCCATGGTCGGTCTCTGGAGGACACACAGTATCGGGCTCTTGACGCATGCGGTCTGGGTTCTGAGGTCCAAGGATATCATTGCCTTTCTTTCCGCGTCGAGGTACAGGNACTGTTATCTCCTGTTAACGATGCACTTCGAATCATGTCACTTCTACTGACACTGAGTCCTCCCCATGTTCGACCTTCTCATAGGCGTCAAGTGCTTCAAGCAGTTTCAAGCTAGCAGCTCGCCTTTCTTCGAGGACGCTTTTCGGGAACTTGGTCATTGTCAATGTGTGATCCGATTGTTGAGATACAAGCCCAGGTGTCAGGCTTCAGCAGGCAATGCGATGTCGATGTTCTTATGGAATCTCCAGACTGATGACTTGATAATGCTGTCAACAACCTCGTTCTGGTTGATCCGGCGGCTATTGGTCTGTTTGGGGTACGTCATGAAACCTGCGGGGAAGCCGCGAATGCATGCTCGGGGTCGAGTGCCGGTCCTTGACTCTTCCCTCCTTACTTAAGAGCGAAATATACACTATAAAGAGGCACAATTTACTCCGAAGCAGATCAGTAGCCAAAGAGAGCCGCTAGGACGTTGGCTCCCAGAGGATACTGCCTTTCTTCTTGACAGCACTATGCAATTCTATAGTGTATACGTGGTATACTTTGGCACACGAGATGTCGGGTTGAGTGCTGGTCCTTGACACCTTCCCTCCGTGTCAACATGAACCTCGAAGATATCAAACCCATCAAAAGCCTTACTATGCTGAGTCCTACCGAGCTTTTTTCGTTTTGTGTACGACAGTCTGCTCCATATGCTATCCGAAGCTGTTCCTCAATTCTAGACGCCATCAAGGTGGGCAAAGCTGGGGAAGACAGGATATGTAGCTCGAGCGTCTTTTAGCACAACATCTCTGTTGGATCAATTGGTGGTGCAAATCTGTCTCAAGGATACTTACTGCCGCTTCTTTGATTCGTGTATCTCTGTGAGAGGGTGCGTGTTTGTTCGCATATATTCCATCCAAGGAACAATTAGCCGGCACCCGAGGCTTGATTTTTGCAACGTTGATGACGATGGCGCACGGACGCCAAAATGTCTCTGGCAAAATCAATGACCAGCGTCAGAAGTCCCTTGCAGTTTCTGTGAATATAGCAACCATGCCGGACGTCGAAGATAACCAGGAGCAAGCAACGAGCCGTATGAGCTCGTTGCGGGATCACTTTGACGCAGAACTTACCGAATCATGGGCCGACTCGGTCCTTATTGTCAGCAGCTTCATCACCGGTCTCTTGGACTCGGCGGTATTCAATGTGTGGTCTTGCTTCGTGTCGATGCAGACAGGTGAGATATGGTCATTGACATCAAACAACTCTCATGACTAACATTGANCAGGTAACACGCTATACCTCGGTCTTGGTGTCTCTGGTCAACCCAAATCATCACCATGGCGCTGGGCAAAGTCAGGAATGTCCATCATCTCCTTCGTGATGGGCGCTTTCATCTTCAGCCGATTCATGAGATACCTTGGACCTCTGCGACGAAGCACTATGGTATACTCTTGGTTGGTCCAGGCTGTGTTGATATTCGTTTGCGCCGCTCTTGAAGATACTGGTGTGGTTCCGAACAATGCAGGCGACGTCTTGCCCGACAGCTTCATCGTTCTTCTGCCTCTAGGACTATTGTCGGTCCAATCAGCCGGACAGATGGCCATGTCAAGAATCCTTGGTTACGGAGAAGTAACCAGTGTTGTCCTGACGAGCTCTTACTTTGACTTTGCTTTTGACGACAAAGTCTTTGATGGACCGACCAGAAATGTCAAGCGCAACCGCCGAGTGGGAGGCATGCTCATGGTGGTACTAGGTGCAATTGCCGGCGGTTTTCTGACCCAGGACGAAGACATTTCCAAAGTCTTGTGGTTCGCCGGATCGCTCAAAGTGGCAATCGCAGTCTTATGGGTCTTCTGGAAGTCGAAGGGATCCGTCAGGTTGGATTAGCTGGATGCAGAAAGGAAGTCCACGTGTGGGAAGAGGACTTGATAGATGCCATCAGACCGAGATTGGCCATGACGCTTGTCAATATGCGGCCCGACATGATTTTGATTTCGAAGGTTAAATAGCGACACGAAGATGTGAGCCCTGATCGTGGACCATATGATATCTCCTCATCTCATCTTCAATTAATGTCCACAGAATGACACCTGCTTACGTGGTGTGAGTCTTTGCGTCTCTATGTGCAAATGAGTCTGTGAAGCTGCTTCGGTGCTTGGTTTGGTTCAGCAGATTAGAAGTCTGTCAAAGAATTGTCAGCGTGGTGTCAATGAATCGTGTATGCCCGAGTACCATGCACGCCATATCGAAGGTCGTGGAGGCAGATCATCACTCTATCTCCAGTTCATCCGCAATAGCTGCGTGGATCTCTCGCTACGAGATAGTTTATCAACTGCCGATTGCCCAATCACGAAGCATATTCCAGTACGACATGTTCAGTCATCACGAATCGCTCATTCTGTCGCTCATGAGCGAGACTTGCTTTTGCTTATGCTACTCGAGTAGTGTCGAGGCGAATACCCACCGCCAGTTTTCAGGATTTGACTTTGGCAGAAGATTTGATCATTTCGGAATCCATCACAAGGTTGTGCATGTGCAAATTTGACTCGTGTGGTTCACGAAGAGACACAACTCCACCCCAGTCCGAAGGATTCTGTGTATTCTTCCGTCTTGACATACCTCATGTGCTTCGGACCTAGAAGGGCTTATCACGCCCCCATCCTGCAAACTCTGTGCATTTATCCACCTCGATGTCTGGCCAAGAACGGAGAGTAGAGTGTGAGACAGGGTTGCTCGGACAGTACGGCAAGAGAAGCTTTGGTTTGGCAAAAGCCACCGACGCCACGGCCCACCCAAACGCTTCTGTCTCTGTAGACGCTCTCTATGCTTCGCTTGTGGGAATGCGTGACAAGTTCGCGTTCAGTTGCCTATGTATGGACATCTTGTTGGGCACTTGTATGCAAGAGTATCTCCACTGCTTGGTGGCCTTGTGATGTTGTCTCGACAGCCCGGGCGCCAATCTATTCATAGTCCGAGCAGGCCGAGATGATCTACCAGGGGGATCTACGCGGCTAAACTTTGTAACCTTCAAATGGAGAAGATGCATACCAGATATACCATTGTTGTCGTCTCAGACACACCGACTTGCAAAGTCCGAGTATCAGAGTTGGTGAGGAAGACTCGAATAGATACGGAGTTCGAATGGACTCCGCAACGAGTATCGGCAGTTGATGGACAACGAGCAGGTTCCACGTTGTTTGCAACGTTCCTGCATGGCTAACAGATGCTCAACGATGGCACGTGTTAGCAACGAGGACCGTGTGCTTGGCGCTGCATTGATCAAGCAGCCCGAGCGCTTGCCGCACGCACTTTAAATCAACTCCTCTGTGGAGAGGACGAAAACGAATTCTTCCGCTCGCGCCGTGCTCAGAGTTCGGAGCCGACGGGCTCGTAGACGAACAGGTAGATGCGAGCTTTGCCAGAACGATCCCGATGTGCTTTCTCGAGAGGGCAAGCGATGTTCTAGTTTGGGTGTTGATCATTTCTCTTATGCGAGCATCATGCAAAGCTATTGCTCCAATACCGACAAAACCTGCCGTAATGCTTGTGTAGCACCTGCTTACACGAGGTCACCATGCATAGACCCATCATCTTGCAGGCGAGCTTCTTCACCTACCAACGGGCGTAGAACGGTCTTCGCAGTTGAATCGTAGAAGCGTTGCTCAAGTCTCACTCCAATTCAACCCTCTAGCAGTCCCGTGGCTTCTATGAAGAGGTCTCAGTTCGAAACACAAGTTGGCTTGGAAAACGTTTGTTCTTTGACTGAACTCATTCGGTCAAAACTAACGGGTTCCAGCCACGGTCGAGTCATTCGTATAACTCGGGGCTTTCTTGCCGCCGTACCTGAACGCCATCTTTCTGGGACGGCACGGGCAGGTCCTGCGAAAGGTTAGGTCCCGTCCGTAGAGGTTACAGGTCTTTGACTTTGCTTGCCAAAATAGTGCTCCATCTGCACGTCGTGCACTGTCTAAGCTCGAAACATCATCGGAATCCATCATTACCACGCCAAGTTCGTCTACATACGGCCCATACGGCAGGTGCAGGCTGGAGACTATTGTCTCACCTTACGATTTGAGATCTCAAGCACCTGCCAAGAAAGTCTGTGAGTACACTGTCAGTGGCATGAGGTCCGTCCGTGATGAGCCCACGCTGTGGTGAGTATGGTACACAGCCCCGAGGTGGACTTCGATCAGATCACAATATTGTTGCATCACTCGGATCGAGACTCAGAGACATCCACCGAGCTGTAAGTAGAGCCTCTAGAGGTAGATCAGGTATAAGAGCCACCATCCCCCACCACCGAAGAATACCTCTCCATCAATCTCATCGGCCTTCATTTCTTCTCATCTACCTGTTCCTTCGTTCAATCAGGTATTCCAAGATGCGTTCTACCGCCTTCGCTTTGGCTGCCGTCGCTGGCCTGGCTGCTGCCGCTCCCAAGCCCCAGGACCTCGACTTCTCTCTTCTGGACGCCGCTCCTGAGGTCGCCACTGGCCCTACCGGTGTCGTTGTTGTTGACGAGGCCTCCATTGCCAGCACCGTCGCTGTCAGCACTGTTGCTACCGCCAGCTCTACTGCCACCAGCGCTGCTAAGCGTGACCTCGAGAAGCGTACCTTCGGCGCCTACAGCCCTTTCTACTTCTACAAGGGCCTCGAATGTGAGATCTTCCACAACTGCGGCAATCAGGGAAGCTCCAAGAAGGGCAGCTCTCAGCAGGGCTGGGGCTGCGGCAAGCCTACCGAGACCAAGGCTACCTGGTCCCTGATCACCACTCAGACTCCTCCTACCAGCCTCCCTGCATACAGCTACTCAACTACCTCTGCCCAGAGCTCCACCACCGTTGATGCCGTCACTGGATCCTCGTCTGCTGCTGTTTCGACCTCCAGCTCGGTTGCTGCCACTACCACTCAGGTTCCCAGCACTACCAACGATGCCAGCGCCCCCTGCCCCACCACACCCGAGGAGGGCACTTATTGCGGGTTTATCAACCCAGAAGACGCATGTGCCCCTCAGCCTGTCGGTTTTCTCCATTCTGATCTCTTTAGAAACAATGCTAACTATGTTACAGNNGGAGGTTACGGTCCTCAGGTCCAGCCCGACACTGTTGACGCTTTCATGTCTTACTCTGCTTTCCACTCTATGGCATCTGCTGCCCCTACTGTTGTCCCCAGCTCGGACAAGACTCAGTACACTCAGGTCTTCAAGGACCTTGACGCTGCCGTCTCTGCTAACTCTTACATTGGCCTTTACACCTTGACCTCTTACAACGCTCAGGACTGCGCCGCCAAGTGCGACGACACCGACCTCTGCACTTCGTTCAACATCTACATTGAGCGTGATCCCAGCCTTGCACCCGCCAACAACGACAACACCACCTACACTCCCTGGGAAACTTACTGCCCCAACCCCTCGTCCATTACCAACTACAAGTGCACTCTGTGGGGATCTANNCTCTCTGCCGATGTTGCTACCAACAAGGGCGACTACCGTGAGCAGTTCCAGACCGTCATCACTGGTTCCAACGCATACGACAAGACCAACGTCACCACTCCTTCATGTGCTGTCCCTGATGTTCCTGCCACCACTTCTTCGGCTGTCTCAACCGCCAACGCTGTTTCGCCCACCAAGCCCGCTGGTCCTCCCGCTCCTCCCACCAAGAAGCCCACTTTGAAGCCCGGCCAGAACTGCGGCCCCAAGGCTATCTCCGCCCCCAAGTACCACATGGGCAGCAAGTTCATCCCCGGTCCCTTTAACGCCCAGGTCTGCGCCAACTACGCCATTGAGCAGAACAACTTTAACCGCAACGCCGCCGTCAAGGCCGGCAAGCGCAGCTTCACCCCTTGCGCCATGTTCAACTCTTACTTCTTGCACAAGGACAACAAGCCCTACGGTACTTACTGCTCGCTTTACGGTGCTGCTCTTGACCACAAGAAGTATGCTACTTTCGGTGGTAGCGGTTCTTACAAGACCCACCAGTCTTGGACTTTCGAGTTCGAGTACGATGCCAACTACTCCAAGTGTTAAATCACTTGAGTGGCTTCCTGTTATCCTGAAATATGGATACAAAATGGTTTCTGAAGCTTGAAGACACGGACGAAGATGAGGAGAAGATAATTTACTATCATTAATATTCACAAAGCATGTCCTTGATGGAGTGTCCGAGAAGAGAGAGAAAGAGGAGGGAGAGCAACAGACTATCATTCATTTCACGGCCCCCTGTAACAAAATTCTTAGCATACTATTACCCGGATTTACGATCTAATTCATTCTTTACCACTACATACTTTGCCTCCATCTTCATCACAATGTGACAATAAGAGCTTGGAAACCAAATAGATGGTTACTTTCCTGATGCACATGGCATCGACGTCACAAGATGCTCATGAACAGCCAGGTCGGTGTACAAACCAGCTCTCGTCAGATGTTGTATCGTTCTTGACAGTATTGCACGTCTTTACTGCTCCCAGAATTCCAAACTGAGCGAGAGGAGATGCAATCCTTCCACAGAGACAGATAACCCGCCCATATCCCATGCCACAGCAACATATCTACGAGAAAGCAAGGTACTCTACAGAAAAGAGTCAGCGTTCACGGTGGGCGCGATGGAAGAGGCGCTTTCTCCTTGGGTATACCCGTAATCTGAGCACGGGAGTGGGCTTTCAGCTACACGGTTTGGAAAGTCTTTCAGAGAGAATACATGCTAACGGCTCAACAAAAGGAGATGTAGTGCCCCAGCAGTGACATACGGGCAACACGTCGTCTATAAGATTACACAAGGTATACCCTCTATGGACAATCGTCGACCGCTGAGAGTCAAGGATGGTTTCTACGCTTTCGGATAACGGACAGACCACAATCGACTCGGGTTCCTATCATGTCAGACATGATGGCGCTCCAGATCTCGAAGCTTTGGCAAATCGCGACCGGGATAGTGCTTGCTCACGACCCGATGTGAGCACAATAATGTGTTCGATATGTTGACACTCTTTTCCTTTGGCTCGAAATCTCGTCTTCTGGGTGCAACTGTAAGAGAGGTATGCTTGGTGTCGTTTTGACGCTCCTCTCAAAACATGCTGGTGGATGAACCAAATGCAGGGTATATGTTGAAAACTGCACATCGATTGACACCAGTAACCATCACAATAATATCTCAATTCGAACCACGAGTCTTTCATTAGCGGGCCCCTCCGAGTGCATACCTGACTTTGAGGATGATATCTGAGATCATTGGTGGACGACGAACTTGTGGCGGTTTTGAATGGAAATGAAAATAGCTGAAATGTTTATGGTCGCCCATAGCAAGCACGGTGATGTCAGAACTATAATAAGTTCGCTAGGAACAGTGAAGCTTCAACAGTGTGATTATTTGTTCTGCCTCCGCGAGTCGAATGCGTGCTTCAGCGATCCGAGCTTTCTCCCGCTCATCCTCAGTTGGGGTGCTGCAACGTGCAAGCTCATCCGCAAGGTGATTCTTAGCCATACGCCGTATCCTTCTAGCGCGGTCGGGCGCGCACAAGTCTCGCTTGTCTCTTGCTGTAGGATCCGATCTCGCATCCAGCAACAGTGTTCTAACCACAATGACGGAGCCTCTCTTGGCAGCGATAAGCAGGGGACTTTTTCCCGTCCTTGCCCTTCATACAGACGTCTGTTCTGGAGTCACTAAGAAGGAACATGATCGTGGAGGGATCAGTGGCAGGGGAAGATGCTAATTGTCCGCGAAGCGTCCGCCCACCTTTGTTTTTTTTGCAATTCGGGTCGGCCCCGGGCAGTGCTAGTAATACTTTCAACGTCCGAGGATCTGGTTGCTCTCCAAGATATGACAACCAAGTGCAACCATACTGGTCTGGAGCGTTAGGGTCGAGACCTTTAGCAAGAAGCCCTTGCGCGAATGCAAAACTTCTGCCACTTTGCAATCTTATCTCCAAAGGATGTTGATGTTGGAGTAATTTCTCTATCAAGTAAATATCCTGACTGGCCTGGGGGAATAGAGAGTAGTAAATAATAGAAATTTCTTCTGCCTCGATTCTATCAGTATTGTATATGGCACGAAATAACGCCATGGACAGAGGAGTGCGTCGCGAGCTAGTTCTGGTCCGGATATTTGCTCCATAATGAATCGAGACTTTGGCTGCACCGACGTGCCCCCAGAAAAGCGCCAAATATAGGGGTGTGTTCCTATCTCTTCGAGATTTTATGTTTATGTCTGCTTTTCCGGTCTGAGCGAGTCGCTTCACAGCACTGCTGTGACCTTTTCGCGCGGCTTGCATCAGAGGTGTATATCCGTCAGTCTTGTCACGAGCATTTAGATCCAGGGTCCTCGATCCACGTTTCCACCAGGTTAGTGGGGATCTTGATGAGGAGGCGTGCTCGGTATCCAAGAGTCTGTCTATGACGTTGCAACTATCATTCTCCGCAGCGACGTACAACGCGATTCTGCCTGGAAAATAGCAATAGTTGATGCTCAACTCGGGTGCCAGAGAAAGGATACTGCTGACAAGATTGGGGTTGTCAAAGCTGCCGCAAAGTGGACGAGATGTTCTCCTGGATCCAAATATGGGTAAGCTTGGTCGTAATGCCATGCTCCTCTCAACCTTGTTACGAAATTCTCTTGTGGCCAGTTCATCATGCGAACAAGATCATCCTGCACGGGGTGCCCTTCTTCAGCGGATCTAGCATGCTTGAACATGTGATCAACAGCGTATTCGGACAGTGGGTGTTGGTGATCATCTGAACATGATTGCGCTTGGATGACAGACCGGTGGCAGGCTCTCACCAGATCAAGTTCTGCCGCACGCATGGCTGTTACGGCTTCAGAAACCTGGAGATGTCCGATACCTTGGCCACTAGCAAAATAGTCCTGAACTGAATGATGCAAAACTGAACTATATGATCAGGAGGACGGAAGTAATTAGACCACTGCGTCCTTTCAGTGTAAACCACGCTCATGAGTCCGTTAGACAGATGTTCGATGTCTAGATTCTCGTCATCTTCGCGAAAACCACCGCAGGCCAGACTTGGTGGCGGATTGTGTTGCTTGAAAGTTCGATCAATAGTGCAGATCTGACTTCAAGCAGTAAAAGTGGTCGTTTTGCAAGAGACACCCATTGGAAAAGACTACGAAACTGTTTCTTGTCCTAAGCCTGGACGTTATTGTTCTCCATATGTGACCGTACAATATGATGATACAGCTCAAACAGCTCTGGAGGAGTTGCTTTGATATCTTCTAGGATGAGTTCCACAGGCTTTTCTCTTTCGAGGGATTGGACCACCCCTACGACGACCAAAATGCTCCATTGGAAGATATCTCCAGCCTTTGAGGTTATAGCCAACAGCAGCTCGTGGTGAGTGAAATGATTCCACATGTACTTCATGATCGTAGACTTTCCAGCACCGGGCTTGCCTTTTATCCAAAGTAGCTCACGCTGGGTCTTTCGCCATATCTTGAGAGTGGGATTCTTGAGGATCCATGAACATGTACCAGGGCATACATCCGGAACTTCGTGCAGTCGATTGTACATCTCTCGGAAGAACAAGGCTTGCTGTGCACTCCGTTGTTCATGAAAAGTCTGCGAGCTAAAGATGCCAATACGAACGGTCGAATGATTGCCCACATTCACATCTCCGATCGATTGCTCTTTGGGGTGAAGATGGCGGTCCATTATGTGCAGTACCGGCGGAGATCATGCGGCGGCCTCTAGAGGGTGTTCTGCAGATACGCGCGCGATTGAACTTGATTATGTCGTAATGATAGGGGCTTGGGAAACAGCTTGGAGGAGTTCACGTTCTTTTAGAAGCGCGTGACGGATCAGCAACCTGCATAAATGCCACAAGCGCTTACAATATACCTCAGCTCGCTCGCCATCCAACCTCAGCTTCACGTAGCCAGAATTTCGAAACGTTCGAGCATCGAGTGCGCCATCTCGTCAACAAAAGTTGCATTCATCGTTCAGATGGCCGATCCATTCAGCATTACTGCTGGTGTTGTCGGCGTCGTTGCCGCCACTGTCCATGCTATACACGCAGCCATCGATTTGATTGACAGAATCGAAGACGCACCGTCAGCAGTCTGCCAGATAAGGACCGAGCTGAAAGACACCCAGTTTGTCATGCAATCTCTAGAGAGAACTCTGGAAAGCAGTGAGAACACTACAACTTGGACAAAGCTGTTGGATGAATCCAGACTATCTCAAGCATTGAAAACGCTGAAAACTGTTTGCGAGGGCTTCGTGGCTACCCTGAAGAAATGGACAAAACACTCGAAGTCCAGCGAAAAACNNTCTCTTCGGGACAGCTTCATTATAGCCACGCACAGTCACAAAATCTCGCAGCTATCGACACAGCTTAACAAGTGCAAGCAGACTGTAACGATGGTTCTGGGTAGTTGCACTTTGTAAGTAATCTGTGTCTGGGTAACAGCACTTGACCCCAACTAATAGCAAAAAGACNATGGTCAGATCCAAAATGCGCATGCCATAGAGCATGTCGTCGAACTGTCAACGCAAGGAATAGAGGCTACCAGACTTCTTGCTGCACAAAGAGCCGTGATCGATGGCTTGCGTTCAGAGGAACAACAACTTCACATTGCCAGAACGCAATCAGAAGACACTGGCGATATCGACGATATAGAACGCGTAGAAGAGGATATCCGCGACANNATCAGCCGATCCGCGACCGTGAGCGAGTATGTCGCGAAGTCATCGGCTGCGACTCGCACACATCAGGACGTCGGCAAGGTCGTGATTGCAGATTTGGTATACGGTGCCATCAGTATTAGCAATGTCGATGAGGTATCGAATGTGAAGCAGAAAATTGGTGATGTGAGTGTTGGTCGTGGAGGCACAGGCTTCGTTGACATCCACAACAAAAGCCATAGGACAAGCTTCAAGTCAACGAGAAAGACAAGTTGATGAGCGTGTCATTGGACGGGAAGTTTGTTGCTCGAGTTGTTCTGGGAGTCTTCGTGTCATTCGCCAAGCCCGCAGCTCCGGCCGCGATCTTTGTCCCACCTCGCTCCTGCCTCTTTCTTTCTCTTTGCATCAAACCTGGGTAACCAACCAACGAACAAGTGAGGTGTACAAGCGGTTCAATATGCTGTCATTGAGATAGGAGACTGTAAGCAACACGCGTATATGCAGTGTCGATGTGCAATAGTTATGGAAGAGGAACATACGTCACGATGCGTGACAGGACAAAAAGTCTTCAATACGTGGTAGAGCTACGAAGCCACGTCTGGAGCTTCAAGACTCATGGACAACATGAAGTTATCTGATTTGCAAGTTTGCGAATGATCTTCAACGACAGATCTCTGCACCTTCACCAGACGATCAAGTCTGGGAACCATAGACACGTCTCTCCAGGTTGCTGGTGAGCACGCGAAGCATTGCTTCCTGTAGCTTGGTGAAGAACTTGTTGCATGATTCCGAGTTCAAGCAAGGATGACTCATCCATCCCTTGTCCATGGGTCGAGGAACGAACTTGACCTTGGGNAGTACATCGTCTTCTGTCGAGGAGCTGTTGGAAGACAAGGTGATCTTGACGAGAGCCATACTTGTCTCAAGCTTAACCTCGGGGTCGTTGTTGGCTTCGGGCTCAAGGTCAGAGCTGGGAGCGACGTTCTCCTTCTTCTTGGTCTTCTCTGCTGCTCTCTTGCGCTGGTTACGCTTTTTGTTCTTGGCTCTCTTTCGCTCGACCTCCTCTGATGACAGGATCTTGGGCTCGGGTACGACAATCGGAGTCTCTGGTCTGGAGAAAGTGGCAACNGGAGCCTCGTCAATGTTGGGATCGAAGTCGTTGAGAGCTTCCATCTTGTGATGCTTCAGGAGCGATTCGAAGTAGCCGTCGAAGAGGAAGTCTAGAAGATGAGCGTTTTCGACTTCCACAAAGCCGTTGAATTTCTGNCAATCATGTCAGGCGGTGTAGCAAAACGCGTGCTCTTCTTGACTTACCTGTTCCATAGCTCTTCCCTCAAGCACTTGCATCGACGCCGAGTGATCAAAGGCACGCTCTGGGAACATCTTCAAGGTGGGATACTTGAAACCCAAGCCAAGCTCCTGCAGGTTCTCCTTTGCTTCGCGCTCGTTGCGGACCTTGATGCTCTTCATGACTGAAGCATGAGGCGTGTATCTCTTCTGTTTGCTGTTGAGCTCTTCGAGCAGCAAGTGGCGCACCTCCTCGTCGACACGGGCAATGGCGTTCTTGCAGCAGAGAGCTGCCTTGGCGCGTACGTTAAGGTATGCCTGAGCTGCCTCAAGGCGAAGATCCNNTACTCAGGCTGTTAATGCTGTCAATGTTTGCAATCGTCGCGGACGGCGTACTTCAGCTTCGTTCCAGTCTGTAACCAGAAGACCGAGGATGGCCGTCAGAGAGGCGCGGTGTTCGCCATCCAGACAACTGTCGTCGGCACACATCAAAACCAGACGGATCTTGCGAGCAGCGCGGCGGAGTCTGACTTTGTCGCCAGCTGAAACAGCTTCCAGAATTTCGTACACATTTCTGAATCCTTCAATGCCAGGCAGCGTCATGTTGATTTGGGTGGTGGAAGATGTGCTGAGATTGGGAACTCTGGTGGGATGAGTGCGAGATATAAGAGAGATTTGAGAAGTGGAAGTAAGTTGGTGGTGCAAACGACCACGGAAGGCAGCGTGCAAACGCCGGGCAAGAATGACCCGGAACTTGCTTGAACATACATGACCAGCACTTTCCGCACGGAATGGACCGACACCAAAAGACGAAGAGACTGCAAGATGGGAACAGCGAGCTAAGGAGAAAGGGGACGACTGGAGGATCACGTTGTTTACAATACTTCAAATCCATCTTGTGAAATCTTGCTCGCGAACTCTCTCCATTCGTATGACTTTGTATCTCATAATCTCATAAAGTTCATAGACTCCATCTAGTCTTTCATAGAAAGCCTGGCAAGATCAAAATCCAGCTTGCCGTTTCGAACTCCCNTCGGGATAGGGATCTGTTGCTTGACTCTTCGTCAATGTCAAGTCTGGGTCTTCAGTCTTCCAACCACCTTCATCACGATCTTCTTGTTTTTGTGGCCATAGGATATCTTTGAGGATAACAGCGCGGATCATCATGCCGAACACGAAGAACCAACCGGCGACAAGGAGACAGGTGAATACGCAGCCGAGGATGCGGATGGGGCGGCAATGGTCTAGAGCGCGTGCTACTGCGAAGGTGGCAGTCNNTATGAAGAGTGGTCAGCTTTAAGCTCAGATGGAACAAGCAGAAGGAGTTTTGGAGAAGCTTACAGTCAGACCTGTATTCGGGAAAATGAACGAGTACCAGGTCAGAGCAAATTGGAGTCGTCCATGTCTGACGCAGGACCAATGCGCACCACAGGACACGATGAAGAAGAAGATGGCGAGACCCCACAGCCATATACCCATCCAGTTCGCCATGACCAGTGAGATGGTGCCTGCCATCTGCCCCACGCCCATAAAGTTCTCTGGTATACATCCTGGAAGATTTTGACCCATGGTAATAACGCCTGCAATGGTGAAGCCAGAGGGACCGACAGAGATGAACATGCCAGGACGAAGCGACTCTTTCGGTAGCTTTTGCGTCATGAGTCGATACAAGAAAGCGGCGTAGACCATTAGAGACATCATAAAGCCAATGCCTTGGAGACAGAAACCTCCAACAATGATTGGTAGTGCTGACTCTGGCGCCACTCGTGAGGACAACTTTCCAGCATGTGGTCCAATGATGAGTAACGGGTATGCCGGGAAGATCCATACTNNGTTGGAAATTAGCAAAAGCTCTCATAGTAAAGAAGCATACTTCGACGTACCTGGTGTCATCCTAGAAATAGTATATGTCTGAGTCGACCACATGATAAGATAAATGCCACAGGTAAAGGCCATTGCCAATCCACAGTAAACCCAGAACAGGATGATCATGGTCCGCTCCAGCCAAAACCCAGACTTTCCATTTCCAACAGCATATTCAGTGATATTCGTTAAGACTGTGCCGAGTGAGACGACCGAGGCGGGTACAAANAGAGATTCAGTAGGATGCGTCAGTGACGCCTTGAAGGTTGACGGGTACCAGTAGAAGCGAAGAGAGATCATAGTAACATTGAAGGTGAAGAGGACAAGGTTGAAGATGAAAAAGCAACTGCCAATTGCGTATTGACCATGGAACTCGTAAGGTACTACGTTGCAAAGTCAATTTCTTGACTATCAAATAAAGTCGTGAACACACATACCAGTCAAGATGACATTCGCTAGTTGTCCAGTGGCCATCGTCATTGTGAACCAGGTCCAGACGAAATGTCGAACACGTTCTTTCAGCGTCAGGAGAAGTTTGTTGCCACTGTGGTCATCTCCGCTGCTATTTGCAGAGTCGTCTAGGCTCCTGTGTCGCTCCGGGCTTCCAGGTGATGGTGTACCTGTTGCATAGGGTCTTTGCCAGGGTATATGCAGGTGCGAGTTTCCAGTCGACCAGATATCACCGCGCTCGACGTCCTCATCTTGGTGATGCATGGTAGGCAGTGGCGTCTTGCTCTGCTGCGTCATCGCTCGCAATCCATAATCCAGCGTGGTGTGTGTGCAAGGCCAAAGTCACGTTGGATACCGGTGCAAGGATTGAGAGAGAAGAGGAAGGAGCAGGTCGTGTGCTGATGATCAGATTTCGGAAGAGTGGCACCGTTCCTTTCTCTAGTACCGCGGGGACCCTTGGAGAAATCCTTGGTGACGAACGAATAGCCTTCCATAAACGGTCGGCAGGTGGGCGTCCAAGTCTCTTCCGTGACGTTGAGAAGCCCTGAGTTATGAATTCGAACAGCAATAATGGGGCATATACGGGTCATGGCACTACCGATTGCGCGGCCATGCCGTATACCCAGACATGTCCATGTTTCTCCTACCTGGTTTCTCGTGGAACTGACTAAATTCGGTGCCTGTGTCTGTCGGCCGCGACCGAGGAGTCGCTAAGTGGAGATAGAGTTACAGCGACTCCAACCTCCTTGTTATTTCCAGATACGGAGCGAAACTTATTTCCGGATGTGTCCACAAGCTGACTCGTGGGGATGAGGATTTGGTGCCCCACCACAGAGACTCTGCTCTTTGCTGAGTCGTCTTTCGGAAGTTATTCGCGGCATTCGTAGGGTCGTTGAGATGCGATTCAGTCACTAGAGAGTGTCGCGGATGACTGACACTTGAGAGTTGGACAGTTTGTGAACTGTTTGAGAAGGTGTTTGCCGATCGCGACATCTATGTGCGACTTGGAGTGTCTGTGCGTTCTACGCAGTACTTTTGTTGTTTCCCAGTAGTTAGGCAGGATCGTCTTGTTCGTTCAACGTCTTCCCTCGATCGATCTCCGAAGCATGGAACAAGAGGATCTCTATATGGCCGCATCAGTTGAGTGTCTATGTCATATGCTGTATAGCTGTAGTCACGAAGTCGAGGATAGGAAGACAGAGCGAAGATCGGTGATCAGAACAATGACTAATTTAGCAAGAGCTTGTCAAATGATTTCTTGCAGGTAGCTCAAGGGTTGAGAGGAGAGAAGGATGAGGGAGTGTTGTCTGGTCTGTGTGCAACGAGCGCCTCGGCAGTCTTTTGATTCTCTGCAGTCGCTCTGCTTCTATGTACTCAATGCCACCATGGACATTATAAGTTTGTTGTTTTGTAATAACAAGCCATGGGAGTGCTTTGAGTTGCACTTCCACCTTCCAGCCATCTTGCCGTTCAATCAGAATAGAGAAGAGGATGAATCAAAAAAGAAAACAAGGGCTGATAAAACACCCATAAGCCCGTCAACTCCAAAAGCGCCTTCGCAAATCAGGAAAAAGAAAGAAAGAACGTTGCAATCCTCCATCCCTCCTCTGCCTCCCATGTTGTTGTTTTTTGATCCTTTGAAAATGCTTGAATTCCGGGAAAGAAAAGAAAAGAGAAACTCCGTTGTGAAATGCATGTGTTGGGTCGATGAGGTAGCGACCACGAGCAATGTGTTCTTGCCTTCAATCGTTGTCGACTTCCAAGGTCGACACCGGACCATAATGCTCCGCCTCATCCATAATTGATGAATCTTCCTAAGCAGCCTGAACAAATGCATCGGCAGGCAGATTGGCTCTGACGGCAGTAAAGGCCTGCAAGGCGCGGTCAAAGTCCCACTGCACCTGCTCGAGGCAGTCCTTGGCATATTGAACAGTCATGGAGGTCTGCTTCTGGAGCTCGAGGACCATTTGTTCGGCGATTTCGGGTGTGAGTCCTGGTGGGAGCACGGGCACGCCGGCCTCGGCTGGGACTTGTGGTTCGTTGTGGTCGGGCTCGAAGGCGGCGAAACCTCCATAAGCGCGAATAGTCAGCATGTCGTTAACAACGCGGACACCGGTAGGACCGCCGGGACCAAGGATAAAGGTGCGGTCGAAGGAGCGGGCTTTCTTGACTTGACCGCTAGCATCGATCTCGTCAAACTCGCCGTGGACGGTGATGAGGAAGCCGTCGACACCAACAGGTGATGCGCCAGTAGGATCAGGGACGCCGGGTTGTGATTGACATTCGATGAGCCACTTCTGAGGTTGGGTAGCAAGATCGGGGTGGCGGGTGACAGGAAGGGTAGACCAGCTCTGGTGGATGGCTTGAGCGCCACGGCAGAGGCGGCTCTGTCTGGCGGGAAGGTGGGTGATCTTCTTAAGGTTGCGACTGCCCTTGATGTAGGCGTCCCATTCCTGAGGGGCGGTGTCGTGGGATTTTGTGGGGTCTCGAGGAGCGGCAGTGTTGACGGCGAACGAAAAGTCGGACTGCTCGTCGTAGTACTGCTGTGCCAGGGTTGCGCGATCTGTGTCGTAGCCTGCGAAGAAGGTACGCAAGAAATTTTCGGCAATCTGGCCTTCGTCCTGGAAGTTGGGACCCTTGATGGGATAGGGGATGTCGGCGACTTGACGACCACTCTCGGCATCCTGATCGGAGCGGACTTGAACAGTGTTGAGGAGACGGAGTTTAGGATACCAGGCCATGAGCTTTGCGGCATAGTCGGGCTCGGCCTGTTCCAGAGGGTTGCCAGACACGATGAGGTGGTCAAGCTTGGGGAACTTGCGTCTCCATGCTTCGAGACCAGTCAGATCCTTGAAGGCGTTGTTTGACAGATCCAGGTTCTTGAGCTGTGGTAGGGTTTGAGCGAGTGTTGTGACGGGGCTGACGCTTGAGAGTTCGTTGTTGGCGAGAGTGACGCTGATGATAGCGTCATTCTTCTCGGCAGCTGATTTGAACTGTTGGTCTAGGACCTTCATCAGGGCAGGGAAGAATTTGCCTGTGGTTGAGCTGCTGTCAAAAATTTGAGCGGCTTTGAGATCGGGATCTGCGCCGAGGGCGCTAAGATCGAGCAGTTTTGCATCGACATTGTATCTTCTGACGAGGACGCCCTTGAGCATAGCGATGGTGGTCTCCTTAGAGACACCAGTGTCGAGGTCCTGGGCAGAGGCTCGTTCGATCTTCATGTTTGCTCCAGCAAAGACGTAGCCGTCGACCCGCAGGACATGGGCAGCGTCTTCGCCAGGAACAGATATCAGCAAGTCATCTCCTTCAGTTCGGGANCTATATATGACGTTAGTACAACATTAATAAAAAGGTCTGGAAGCGCATCGGGAATAGAGCAACAGTGTCGAGGTTCCTGGTCGTCGTTCTGAAATTGGCTGCAAACGAAAGCGGACCGAACCTGGCGACTGAGAGAGGGTGGGATACGCGAATGTCGATGAGTGTACCTTCTTGACTTTGACTGCTCTCTTGGCTTTCAACGAGGCCCTCTTCTCGATCCAGGCGATGAGCGAACTCAGGCCGCCGTCTGTGTTGGAGGCTGCCTTGCTGTTCTTCTGGCCCGTGACTCGGAGTTCTTCTAGTCCTCTGCTCGGTCGTGTGCGGACTGCAGCTGAATCACCTCCGACATGGCTGGCGAGCTTCTTTTCGAATCCGGGACCACGAGCACCAGGCTTTGCGCCGCGCGTCTTGGGTGCGCTTGTCTTGCCGCCCTTGTTGATACCACCACCTGGACGAGCGCGTGCAGTGGGATCCATGACAAGGTCACCATCGCGATCGGTTCTGCCCTTTCTCTTTGCGATGCCACCGCCGCGGGGNTTGCGCGCAGGCTTCTTTGGTTCACCATGGCGGCGGTCGGAGGGGGTATGTTGGATAGAGTGAGGTCGTTAGGGTAATAGGTGTATGGAAGGTTGGCGTTCAAGGCGAGGGAGGAAGTTGCCAAAGACGGCGGACAAAAGTGAATGGCCTTTGTTCAGTCGGTCGTGGGTCGCCGCAAAGTTGCGCAATGCCAGTGAAAGTCGGTGATTTCTCTCTCCGGATTCGCTAAAGAACGTGCGCTGCTGTGGAAGAGAAAGAATGGGGCTGGCGTAGAGACTCGACGTCTATGGTGGGAAGGCGCAGAGTCGAGTGTTGGCAGGTGAGTAGGTTTGCTGTGACTGACGGAAAGTACAAGGCAGCGATCGTCATTTATGCCAAGCCAACTTTTTCGAGGGTTCACGCACGACCCCTCCATCCATGTCTCTCACTCATTCCGAGACTCGGCTGACAGTCATTGTCTCTTTCATCCTGCTATTGTCTCGGTCCTTTGTTTTCTATTTGATGAGACAAGAATTGGAGTCCTCACTTGTCGACAACAACTATTCACTACATCAATCACGTCGACAATAATACAATTGCTTCCGCTTCAATGACATTAATGTATTCATACTAGAGCGATACAATATTCATATGATAAATTCATCCTTGTTTGATATCTCCCTATTGCGCCAGGCACCTTCGCTAAAAGTGATTGTATCCCAAAACAGAAAATCTCAACACGCTCCATCTCATTGGTCTTCGCAGCCTTCACTTCCTTCTCCAGTGTTAAATAATAGCATGCGCACTTCACAGTCTTCACTCCCAGAGACAAGTCGACTATCACTGAGTCCGATGCATGTCACAGGGCCGGCATGACCTGTCCACGTTCTCTCGCACTTGCCACTGCGAGGATCCCAGATCTTGACTGTACGGTCTTCTGATCCAGACACCATGCGCAAATGGTCTGCTGCAAGTGCCCAGATGCCTTCGACGTGTCCAAAGTAGGTACGTAAGCATGCGTTGGTAGTAGGTGGCTTTTGTACCGGATTTGCTGCATCTACAGCTGGCGACACTGCAGGAGCGTGCACGTCCCACAGACGGATAGTGCTGTCCAAAGCACCGGTAAGCATGTATCGAGGAGGTGCTGGACGGTCAGGCTCATCAGGCCAGAATGGCACGATTGTCTCGGCAGATGTAGTGGCTGGGTGATGCGAGTGTTTATGAGCAGGCGAAGGCCCAGAAGAAGTAGACGACGTGTCGTCTTCGTTCTCTCCAGAGAGCAAATCAGCTTCGTCAAGCTCGAACTCTGGAGGAAGAGTCACGAGCTGCTGTACTTGGCCGACATGTCCTTCAAAGACCTTGATACACCTGCGCGTGTCCAGATCCCACAAACGAACTGTACAATCATCTGAAGCAGAGATCAATGTGCGAGAAACCACATCGAGCTTCACCGCATTAACCCAGTCCGTATGACCCTTGAGCAGATAAGACGCCTTGTTTCGAATCTCGTAAACTCTGATAGTGTGGTCCATTGAGCCTGAAGCAATATAGCCAGCATCAAAGTTGACGCATATCACGCCACCTGTATGAGCTTGGAAAGTCCGCAAGCATTTTCCGGTACGCCAGTCCCAGACTTTTGTCGTGTTGTCCATGGAACCGGTAATGAGCTTCTGGTCGTCAAATTGTAGCGTGCGAATGCCGGATGTGTGACCCTCGAGCGTTCTCAGCTCTTTTCCTGTCTTGATGTCCCATACCTTCACTGTGCAGTCGTAGGAGCCGGTGATCAGGACGTTTTCATCAAACTGTAAGCACATAACACCATTGGTATGACCTCTAAAGATTTTTGTCGAGCATCGTCCGTACTTCCAATTCGTGCCGACCTTGAAACGATCTTTGTACACGTCTTTCCATGGCCTTCGTGTCTGTGGTTGAAAGTATGAGTTGACCTCCTCTTCACCCGGTGCTGGAGTGCACAACTTCTTTTGCGGCGGAGCTTGCTCATCATCAAGCTTGCGCTTCTCGCCTACGATGGCAAGGACCTGGCTGTTTGGTGCAGTTGCGGTGTTGGCATTGGATACTGGGTGTTCGGCGAGCGGGGTAATTGCAGGCGACCACTCGTTGTTGCCTCTTGAGATGGCGCGCAATTGTATTTGTCTCTTCTCTATTCTCAATCGCTTACGTTCGAGCAGAGGCAGACCCCAGCCACACTTTGTGCATTTTCGGTCAATGTGTTGCTCGCACATTCTGTGCCAGACGACGTCATCGTCGGCCAGGCTTCTCCAGCGTCGACTGACTTGAGCGGCCTTGCACAGCGAGGTGGTGTCGAGGAAGCAAAGGATCCTGAAGCCAAGCTCTGGCGGTAGAGCAGAGAGAAAGTCGATCTTGATCAGGTCGCGAACGGAGGCGGAGATGTAGGAGAGCTGAGGGAAGCAGCATTGGGAGAGGATGCCCTGAAGCATGAGATTGCGGTGTTTGGATGGAGCGGCGGAGAAGAGGGACCAGACATGGGAGATGGCCTGCTGGTCTGATTGGGAAACGGTGCCGAGTTCNCTGTTGAGAAGTCAGTACACTGTGAGTCATCGCTGGGATGGAGTATTGCTTGATACATTCTGGAGTTGCTCCATGGAAGGCTCGTTGGCTTGACGCCTGCACTTGAGATCGGGACGGTGGCGGTAGCAGAACTTTGTGCTTGAAGTGTCCTGGTGGTGGTCGCGGTTGATGTCGGTAGAGGTCGACTGTGGCATCAAATGGCCGACAGGGTTGTATTGGGTTGGAATGTGCTTGGCCAGGAAGGGGGCGATGGCCTGCTCGGCATGTTTGGAGTTTGAAGGAATTGAGATGTTTTCTTCATTGGGGTTGTCGTGATGGCGGAACTTGTGGCCCTCATGTTCGTGATCGTGATGGCACAGGCCTTCCATTTCATGACGAAGACCGGACCGGCTCTCGGACGGGGCGTTGAGTTGCGACTTTGGATCCAGATCTGACACCATCCTGGAGGAGAGATAATCTCATACAGGAGGGCTTGCGCGGTGAGAGTTGAAAACAAACAAGACCCCGAAAACCAAGTGCGAACAGAAGGACGTGTTCGCGTGATGGTAATGGCAGTGCGACAGAGTTTGTGGCGAGTGTTGAACGTCGCCCGGGTTGTCGGAGAACGAGTGTATGTAGGTATCGATGGTGCGACAGCAGCTGCAAGGGGCGAGATGAACGAAGGCGCTTGTGCTGCTGATGGTCTTGGGCGCTCGATTCGCGATATGGCGTGCTATTCCAGGCTTCGGAGACAGGCAAAGAAGGGTTCAAGGCACCACCCGGCACCCAAATCCAAACAGGCCGTTTCCGTAACCACTATCGCTGCAATCACGCCGCAAAGATGTTATTCTGCCGCTATCACGAATCCAATCTTGCTAGAAAGACTGCCGTCCAAGTCCTGCCCTAGTTGTTCAATGCAGAAAGACTCATTCCATATACTAGAAGATATCTAGTACTTAATGCGACACTTGTCCTCCATGATGTTGTCTTACGGGGACTTGCTGTTCTGGTGGCGTCGCTACTCAGAACCCGAACTCGCTCGGCGGGCGAATCCATTGGTCAGCCTTACGTACCAATTGGTCATGCAACAAAGAAAAGTGGATGTTTTCGCAAACTTTGACTCAGAAGACAGGATTGCGACATTACGAGCAGACTGATGGCCTTCTGCACCATGTTCGCGGAGAATGCGGAAGATCATTCATGACCTCGTGCGAGAACTGCTAGGCCTCGTCTGGCAGAAATATAGATAGCATGGCCACCAGGGTTACGGATCGCGATATCAAACTAAGGTACCCCGGACCCGACGAATGCGGAAGGAGGGACAACTCCCGCCGCTCCCCGCAGCGCCATGGACAAGCTTCAACTTGCAGCTCGACCAAGTTGCTGTCTCAAGCCGCCAACGATCGGATGTCGAGTTAAATTCCGCGCATAAAAACATCAGTCGCGCCATCCAGGTATTTCTTGCGTGACTTTTGCATCGCCAAGAGTAGAGTCTTGCTATCCGAGCAGATGATGCTCGAGCCAGCAGCTCTGAATGAGTGAACAGTCCGAGCAAGCGTCGCCTTCGCGCAGCATCGATGAGCTGGAACGCCTGGTACAGCATTTTGTGGCAGCCAAGCGCTCTCTCTCCTCGACCGCGCTGGTGTCGCGAGCCCATGATGTCGTGACGACGGCCAGGCGCCTCGTTGAGGAGACGGCTGTGCTATCGGCCAAGAATGCCTTTGTTAGGCAAGGAGTGCTGGAAGAAGCGAACGTCTTGGTAGCCGTGAGAGATGGTCTGGACAGCATCGGCCGCGAAACCGATGTTGACTTCAAGGTATGACGGGCTTGCTTGCCGCAGAACCACTTACTCACAGTGTCAGNNGCAGTGATACACCAGCTCGATCTCGCCGACAACCGCCTCCAAGCCACTTTGGTACAACTGACCAACACCCAAGTAGACACGTCGGAACTGCACTCTCGAGGTGCCACCNCCGATAAACAAAAGACACTGCACGATTTCATCGACGAAGACACACATCTCAACCTCATCGAATCTCTCCGCAGTACTATCGACTCGCACAAGGCAGCAGAAGCCGACTTCCAACACTCTCAAGACTTATTCGACGATCACATCCACTTACTCGACACTGCTGTGAACGATGCTGATCAAGCTACCGAGAACCAGGATAACCTCTCCNCTATACCGCCACTGTTCCATACTCTTACAACACATGCCACCGAGATGGCTTCACTGCTAAGCTCTCTGGTCGCACACTATGATCTTTGCACATCAGCTCTCAAACACACAGAAGGAGGAGGTGAGGCCGCTCGACAAGCCAACCCGTCCTCTGCCTATGACGCTCTCGAAGACAGTCTATACAAAAACCTACCTTTGGGTCCTCTGAATGAACAAGAACGTCAAGAGATGCTTGCCGTCGTAGACAATGACGCTCAAGAGGTCGAAGATGTTGTACTTGAGATTGGCGAACGTCTTTCGGAAATGGAAACGACACTCGATCAACTGCAGTCACATTCGCAGGCCGTACGCCTACGCCACAAACTTCTCAATCGTGTGCTCGAGCTGCTTCGTACGCTTGGGTGTAACCTCCCCACGTTCATTGCTGCCGCCAAGCTATATGGCAACAACTGGAATACGCTCAAGGAAACCTTATGTGCAAAAGCGGAAGAACTAGCTTCATTGACTGACTTTTACGAGTCGTTCATCACATCCTATGCCTCATTGCTTGAGGAGGTCAACCGTCGGCATGCTCTCGAAAGTCGAGTGCAGCGTATTGCCGACAAGGCTCGCCGTGAGCTTGAGGCACTATACAAAGAGGATGTTGCTATGCGCGAAGACTTTGTCCGCGGGACTGGCGAATTCCTGCCACGTGATATCTGGCCTGGTTTGATCGATGCTCCAAGGCGCTGGGAGATTAGAGCCGTGTCCCCTGAATTACAACAGGAACCACTTCAAGACAATGGAGAGCAATGATGATCCTTTGGTATGAACGACACTGCATCATGGACACGATGGCGTTACAAGCGGAGCTGGCTATGTTCATCCTCTTTCCAGTGGCATTCTCTCCATATCTATATATACAGCACGGCACGAGCATGCTACAGATGGGCTGAGACGTTTTGACAACATATGACATGAATCACAATTTCCTTTCTGGACCAAGTTCCGAAGCCAGATCACAAGAGTTTCCAGCTAAAATCAATCCATCAAAGTGCCTTGTCGTGGATTGTCTCTATTAGCTGTAACACTGAATCCGGCCATGGTACGGAGACGATTTCTTTGTGTGAATCACATTCATCACGAGGGCACGTCTGAGCTGCACTTCCTTTGTCACTGTCGACGCGGCATATATGTCTCCAGCATCTACCAATATGTCTTCATCACTCCATTTGCTGACTTCATTGTCGAGAAAGAATGCATCCACCAAGATCATCACTGCAGCACGACTTGCCCGAGGGCGGTCCGCTAGGCTCAAGCTCATGGATCAAGTCATGTCTGAATTGGATACTACGACCAGCATTCGGCACCAAGCAAGTCGGCTTCTTCGGCAACAATCGGTAGTCACAAATCGGGTTATGAATCTGTATTCCGAGTCTACGACCATGCTTCTCGAACAACTATCGGCGTCATGCGTACCTTGATGGCGGACTCGAAGGTGTGCACGGTCCAGCACCGGCAAGATTTCGGCAAACACGAACGCGGCGCGCTTCGATTCTGACGCTTCTCGTCTTCTTTCCTACGACATCATCTTCCTCGCATACATGCTTTACGCTTCCGCATCACCTCTAGTTTTGCCGTCCTCGTCACTTGTCTTGCCATCCCTGTGTATTCATAGGGCTCTCCAGATCACTTGTTGACTCTGGATTGGGTGCGCACTTGTGACCAGGCTGCCGAGCTTAGAACGTGTTCTGCAGCGTAAAGTCGCCTTTATCCCATTAATATCATCATTCATACCTCTCGTTGTACGAGTCAGGGCTGCTCGTTGTCGACATCAAGCCCGGGTGGGAGGGTTACTCGTTACGATTCGAGGGCCTTCGTCTTATCCTGACCTAGTCGACCTATGCTGGCTACTGACAGAATGACTGCAAGATCAGCAACACCAGAGCCTCTCTGGGTGTTTGAGAAAGCAGTCCTCGCACATACACCCGAATTCGATGTGGCATGCGTTGCTCGACTGCGTATAGCTCATGATCAAACTGGCGACCGAGGATCTATATCGATACGATTCAACGCAGCTCTCACTGAGTTTGGGAAGCAGACTCTCATGCTGAATATCCGTCCTGAGGGGGTTGACACGTGTACAGTAGTCGCTAAAAGCAATAATCAGCTTATACCAGATCGCATGTTTTCCATGGTGCCCGTTTCCGTGACCAACCCAGCCGCTGTTTCAACGCTCATACTATGCCTCAATACCACAGGTGTCGTCCTTGTACCACCATCAGCTGACGGCACGACTCTGAGTCCAGCCGTCCCAACCGACGCCCATTTTCAAGCCTTTGCAAAGGTCTGCCAGAGCAAAACCATACATCTGCATCTATCCAAGCAACAGTTCAAGGATGGTGATCTACAACAACTCCGCACCTTCTCCGGCGCGGTGCGTGCTCGCATGCTCAAAGCACAGCCTCTTGACTACAAACGCCTCAACGCAGGACATGGCGCGATAGAAAAGATTGGCAGGTTTTCGAGCAGACGATCAACCCTCCGCCTTACTGCGAACCCCCCTCAACACAAAGTGTGCTTGGAAAACATCCTCGAGGTACGCTCGTCTTAAACAAGTGATCTATCTCGTACATGAAGTATCTCCGAAGCACCCGCTGTTCGTGTTTAGCCGTCGTGGTGCATTCAATTCCTGATGTGCACTGAGAAATTGTTGTGCCGAAAGGCATGAGCACTCTCGGGGGCCAATCTCTGGTTCATGATAGATTTGTGCATCTCGATGGCTTCGCCGATCCGCGGCGTGCATGAGGATATCGCTTTCCCTCACTTAGGATCGATTGTTTCACGCCCTTCTCGGCCCCTTGTATTGACCAGTACTTAGATGACTCGCCTTCTGAAGCACACTGGGTATCACCCACCTTATGCTCTCCCCCACCGCCCCCTTGGTCTCCCACCGAGGTCAACACCCCAACCACTCGCTCGCCATCACCCGCACATATTTCACCCACGAAATTTACGACCGATACGAAACAAAGCCACAGAGAGCGTGTCAACATGGTGGAATTACAACGGCAGCTGAGTGCTCTGCCTGACGACTTGGTGCGCGAAGCTCTAGCGGGATCAGGACATCAACATCTGCTTGCTCCCGTAACACGAAGAAGCCCCAAGAAGTTGTCTGAAGACACGAAATTGGTCCATGATCGAGATGTTCTTCCGACGGCCTCTACAGACGCTAAAGAGGCTGCCATAGTAGCCCGGGTTGACAAAATCATCGAAGAGCGCTTGGGCAAACTAACCAAGGACGCCTTTAAATCACATACTCAAAGGCGTCTGCACGCTCTCGTAGAGTCACAATTGCCAATCGCTGCTGAACTGTTCCTCAATGGTGCAGTAGCAGACCATCGCGACCAATTCTACGAAGAATGCAAGACAAATGAAGTCAATCTGCGTGAGCACGTCGACGAAGGCATCACCGAGGTGCGTGATGTGACCAACGAATGCACGAGAGAGATTTCGGAGCTGGCTCAGCAATGTATGGATAGTTTAGATGAGCATAGCAAGAGTCTCGATGCTTCAGCGGAGCAGGAGTTGTCAAAGCTGAAGCGTTGGTTCGCCGAGCTGGCTCAGTCTTTCTTTGACAAAAAGACTGGTGTCGAATCTACGCCGCTGACCACGGCGAGACGCATCTCTATGTAGCTAGTTGTATACAAATTCACTTCCATATAATCCGTTACAATTCGATTGACTTATTACAACACGCGCGAACAGTTGGCGGACTCACACTAGGATATTGATGCGCTGTGAGACCAAACGAGATAGAAATTGATCTGTAGATGGAATCGCCTCCCATAACCTGCAAACTAATATGCGTATGCTGCATAGCGCTTATAGTGCCTCTGTAAGCGTATTTACTAGTTAATCTATCGAAAAGCCGTATGCCTCTTGCATGATAGATAGATTAACGTGGAGAGCAGGGTTGCCCTGTCTGCTTCACACGTGCTGCGATCAGGAAGGCAACATGCTTCCAGCGGAGGTAAGGTTGAGAACAGAGGCAAAATGATGTCTCCATCATCGGAAAGATCATGATCTCCCGCTAGAAATGCGACACTGAACTTCTCAGGTCTCGCGTCCTTACTCGTGGACATCATCCCGTCTATTCCCGCCAGTCAATCTGCAACATCAGACAAAGACATCCTTGCCCACTAACTCCCGCAAGGTGACAAATGATGGCTTTCCACAAGTCCGGTGAACCAATGCATTGATCCTCCCCGACACTGACGGTCCTTTGATTCTCGCGAGTCGCGGAGCCAGGATACTTGGAGGCAGATGTAGCCCTGTGCACCTCCAAGACTTGCTATGGATGGTGACCGTTTTTCGCAGAGCTTGGCTGTCATGTCCTGCAATGATTAGAAGGTCTCGGGTGACCTTTCCTGCCCTGCTCGCACACAAAAGATTGATACAGCCATGCATGAAACGTCTGACTCGATAGACAAGGACAGCATTTCTGGATGTCCCCACAGCTCAGCCACGAAGGCCTGAAAGGCACAAAATAGAATGGTATACGATTGCATACGATCGTGTACAGTGGTTAGAGTCGTTGGAGAAACATGAAACTCGGAGGATTGATCAGGGAAGTCGGGACCAGCCGGTCGAGCAGCCATTAGCCGGACGACCGATTAATTATTCTTGCACATCACCTTGATCCAGACCCAGGATTTACGAGGTTCAGAGAGGATTGCATTGTTTCGCATCTAGCTTACCGCAGTCGGTCGATCACCAGACGCATACTGTCATTCACACTGACACGTCGTTCTAGTCAAGTTCGTAGCTCGAATGCAAAGAGCGGTGGTGGCTGCCAAGACAATTGTCCTAAAGCCCTGACGATGGTCGACGCTCTCATCCGGCATGTCCGCTTCTCTTTCTGGACATGAAACACAATCAATCTCACCCTTCCGTCAAGCAGCTCATTTTCCGATAGGTCAACAATCCAAATCCATCACCACACAGCACCTTCTAGTTTGGCACAGTCGGGTCCATGTTGCCAAAATCGAGCATAGTAGCGCGGCTAGAGATGTGTCCAAGGTTTCATGCCTAGACATTTCTCTCGACATCTCCTCTAGAACAGCTCGAAGTCTGAAAATGACCCATCTCCAAGCCTCGATGACTAGCAAGTCCGGCATGAGAGAGCGAAGAAGTCCAGAAATAGTGACCCGTCATCGCTTGTCGGTGCGGTAGTGTACGAACAAGAGGCAAGAACGAAGGTATAAGAAGATGTGAGTGCCTCTTTCCAAGTTCTAATCCATCAACACTTTCATTCTCTTTTCTGCTTTTGCTTCTATCTTCACTTGCATTCTTGTTCTACAACTACATTCTTTTACTCTATCTACTGTACCATCCCTATACACACACACACACATCAACATGCGCGTTTCCACAGTGGCTACTGCTGCCCTGGTCGCAGGTTCGACTCAGGTGCAAGCTGCTCCCACTTTCGGCCTGGCCTTCGGTCTTCTCAAGGGTCTCACCACTGCCGTCCACACCGATATCAACCTCCTTCTGGGCTCTCTCGGTGTCGGCTTCCAAAGTAACGCCAACATTCACGGTCAAGCTCTTGGCTACGGCGGTGTTGGCTGCNCCTTCTCTCTCGGCAGCCAAGCTGGTGTCTCTGTGAACGCTGGTCTTCACGGCGGTCTCTCGCACAACATCGGCTTCTCTGCCGGTGTTAACGGCGGTGCTTTTATCAACTGGAGAAACTTCAAGGCCAACGGTGTCACGCTCAGCGGATGGCTCGTCCAGGACAAGTCTCTCGACCTCGACTGGTGGAACAAGTACGGTTCTGACTGCGACGACGAGTGGTCTTTGACTGCTAAGCTCGGTGCTAAGGCCGGTTCTGTCCTCGAGGCTCGCTATGCTTCATACATCACTACTGGCTACATCGATTCGCTCGCTGCTGCTGGTATCAACCTTCTGAGAATCCCTACCCACTACTCTGCCTGGGTATCTGTCCCTGGATCCGGTCTTTACCACGGTAACCAGCAGGCTTACCTCAAGACCATCTGCCAGTACGCCATCCAGCGTCACGGTATGCACATCGTCATTGGTCTTGACTCTCTTCCCGGCGGTGTCAACGGTCTTGCCTCTGGCGAGCGTATCGGTGCCACTGGTTGGTTCAACTCTGCCGAGAACCTGTCCTACTCCTTCAAGGCCATTGATGCCATCCTCGGCTTCATCTCTGCCACTGGCCACCTCAACGCCTTCACCGTCTCTCCCATCAACGAGCCTTGCGATGTTACTGCCAACTTTGCCGCAGCCGGTGGTCNNTCTCTCGGCGCTACCAACTTCATCAACACCTACGTTCAGGGTGTCATGAAGAAGATCGGTCAGCTCGATGCTCGCATTCCCTGCATGATTCAGGACGGTTTCCTTGGCCACGACTACTGGGCTCCCTTCTTCTCTGCTGGTGCCAACATTGTCATTGACTCTCACATTTCTTTCTCGGGTGCCATTGGCAGTGGAATCTCTGCCGGGATTGGTGCGAGTTTGAATGCAGGAGCAAATGTCAATGCAGGAGCAAATGTCAATGCAGGAGCAAATGTCAATGCAGGAGCAAATGTCAATGCTGGAGCAAATGTCAACGCCGGAGCAAATGTTGGAGCAGGAGTTTCTGCCGATGCCTCTCTCAAGGACTCCAAGCTCTCCGCCCACCTGATCGCCCCCAGCGTCTGCAAGCAAGCCTCTCTCCTCAAGGGTTCCGGCAAATTCCCCGTCTTCGTCGGCAGCTACGGTATCCAAGCCCAAGAAGGCAACACCCTCTCTGGCCGCAAGACCATCTACAACACCCAGAAGTACGCCTATGCACAGAACCTGTCCGGTGGCTGCTTCAACCACGCAAAGGCAAACTCGAACAGCCTTTCCGTCTCTGGCGAGGGCTGTGCCTCTGACTACAACTCTTTCCAGAGCTTGATGTCTGCCAATGTGGCTACCAAGAACACTGAGTCTTGCTACTGCTAGATTTTCTCGTCGAAGAAAGAAAGAAGTGCGATCTGCTATTAATGTTACTGTTTAATGTCCGAAAGAAGGAGAAGAAACAGCTCGATGAAAGGAGGAACCCAGCAAGATAACCAAACACCAGCGCATTATTACTGCCTGGTTACTTTACGCTCACTAATCTTTATTACAACCAACTAATGTCTATGTACATAACAATCTCTAGTATTTTCATTTATTACTTCAATCAAAAGAGTTCTTCATTGTCTACTGTGCCTTTTTTCTTTCCTCGAAAAGTACAATCTTTCCAGCTGGTACATCCATCAATACTTGATCGTTCTTCAGACGTACGCATGTCAGAATTCAGTACTTATTAGCTTTATTGGTTCTTAGGAGGGCATTTTCACTTTTGAGCTATGAACTGCACGTCCATCAAACCCACAAGGAGAATCTAGGTATACCTACTGGACGACTCACCAGACACTCACCAAGAATATGCCACTGCATTCAATGAAGACGGATGTGTTCCATGGACTCTGGCTCTCCACTCTGGCCATTTCATCAATGTCTCTTTCATGATAGAAGTTCCCCACAGCCACTGTTGCAAATTCTTGTCTGCCCACAGATCAGGATTGTCACCCTTACGCTGACCAGCCAAGCGTATTTTAGCATCACGCTCTCTGCTCAAGACCATCTGGAAGATGCAAAGCTGTGCGTACTTCGGAGGCTGTGGCTTGTACGGCTTCACCGCGCGCTTTGCGAACTTGTTCTTAGATCTTGATGGCCAGACCAATATCTGTAGATGACTTGTTGAGAACGATTTGGAGACCGCCAGCGTCTTCAATTGCTTGTGTAGCGCCTTGTGCCAGATAAGGGAGTATGGGATGACAGGCATCACCTACTAGGACGACTTTGTTCTGATGCCAATATGGCAAGGGGTGATGTGAGTTGAGAGTCCATTCCATGACCTCGCTTTCGGACACGTAGGACAAGAGTCTTTGGACAGTAGGATTATAATCTCTGTGTATGGCGGTCATAACGATAGGAAAGGTATTGAAGACAATAGAGATCAGAAAATGGAAGAATGCGATGGATTTTGGAACGAACGTCGAGATTGTCTAAACTCGGGAGTTGTAGGTCAGTAGCATTCATAGGAAAGAGCGATGCTTGGGCATCTACTCTCCCGAGCCACTACTTATTCCACTCCCGGTGATCGATATCGTAAAGGCTTTCACGGCGTATCTTCCCATATGTTACTTGCTGTACATTGTCACGATCGCTTGCCCATTCCGTGTTGTGCCTGAGCACTTGCTGACAGAAGATCAGCTTGTCAAGACCGTCAATCGTTACCTCAACCATGTCCTCTAATTTTCGAACAACCCCACAGGAGATACAACGTCAAGCTTTGTACGTTTGTATGCTTGATCTGCGCAACTTGTTGCTGACGGAAGGTATAGCATGTCGAGGCGCGCCATACAGGTTCCTTCTGTTTGTTACTACTGTTCAAGGTGAAGCCCGGGGATCGAGCGGAGATAACGATTCGGAGTGCCAAGGCAGACGATCTATGCCGCTTTTGGCTCCGGTTGGTCGCAAAAAGTGGCAGCAAGTTAACAAGGGCAGGCACGACGAAACTCACAAAGTGTTCGAGCAGTTGCATGCTCAATGACCATACGAGTGTCCCGGTTCATCCACAACATACGCGCCGTTCCCCAAAGACGCCTTTTCAGCACCACACTGGCAAAGATGAGCGCGACGATAGATTCACAACCAGCTGTCGATCAGTTGATCGAGCACGACGGAAAGTCATACAGCACCATCAAGGAAGGTCTGGCATATATCTTGGTCCCACCGAACGCACGTACCGAGCAGGACCCAAAGTCGAAAGGAAAGAAGCACAAGGACGACGACAGCGAACAACAAGCACAAAGCGTCTTCTACAATCCCATCCAACAGTTCAATCGCGATCTGTCTGTCCTCGCAATCAAGGCCTTCGGCGAGCACATGTGCGCGATTAGGAAGCAAGCACACGATAAGAAGCTTGAACAAAGCGCCAAGAAGAGAGAACGAAAGAGACAGGCCGAGGACGACGCTGGAGAAGACAAGAGGAGGAAGNGAAATGACGGCGCTGCGGTAGCTCCTGAAGTCCAGAGGGATGCCGACGCAGAGACCACGACAACGGCAGGAGCTCAAGAAGCAGGTACAGAGGTCGAGAACGGCACCGACAATGTCAAGTCGGACGAGGCACCCAAGGAATACAAGTACAAGCCCAAGTTCCGCGTTCTGGATGCTCTCTCGGCTTCTGGCCTGCGTGCTCTGCGCTATGCTCAGGAGATACCCTTTGCGACAACCGTCGTCGCCAACGACATGTCACCAGCTGCTGTCGAAGCCATTCGTCTCAATGTCCAACACAATAAGCTAACAGACAAGATCACTCCATCTACTGGCAACGCCATCGGTCACATGTACAACGCTGCCTACTATACACCAACCNCCGAAGACGGCCCTTCTGCACACACCCAACTCAAGTACGATGTCATTGATCTGGACCCCTACGGCACCGCTGCACCCTTCCTCGATGCTGCCGTTCAAGCGCTGAACGACGGCGGTCTACTTTGCGTTACCTGCACCGATGCTGGTGTCTTTGCTTCTTGTGGCTACGTAGAGAAGACCTACTCACTCTACGGTGGCACACCTCTCAAAGGGCCTCACTCGCACGAAGCCGGCCTTCGTCTAATTTTGAACTCGATTGCCAAGGCCGCTGCTGTGCAAGGTATTGCTATTGAACCTCTTCTGTCCCTCAGCATCGACTTTTACGCTAGAGTTTGGGTGCGTGTCAAGAAGTCTCCCGCAGACGTCAAGTTCCTGGCTGGAAAGACCATGCTTGTACACCAATGCGATACTGGCTGTGGTAGCTTCCAGATCCAGCCTCTTGCAAGACACACCNCTCAGAAGAACTTCCTCAACTACAAACACACCGCTTCTTTGTCTACAGGCGACAGCAGATGCCCTCAATGTGGCTTCAAGACTCACGTTGCCGGTCCTATGTGGGCTGGTCCCCTGCATAACCCTTACTTCATCCGTCGTATTTTGGACATGCTTCCTGCCCTGGACAAGTCTACTTACGGAACCACCACTCGCATTGAAGGCATGCTTACCTCCGCCCTAGACGAGCTTGATACCTTGGAGAACAGCCTCCAAACATTCAAGGGCGAGACTGAGGCTCCTTTCATCCCCTCCATCCCTGGCCATGTCACCGATCCTCACCCTTTCTTCTTCATTCCTAGCTATTTGTGTAAGGTTTTGCACTGCCAATCCCCATCAGAAGCTGCCATCAAGGGTGCGCTCCGTCACGCTGGATACATCGCCACTCGCTCGCATACCAAGCCTGGCACCATCAAGTCTAACGCTAGCTATGATGCCATCTGGGAGATTATGAGAGAGTGGAGTCGCCAAAAAGCACCCGTGAAGGAGGGCAAGGTTGGTGAGACTCAAGCTGGTTACAAGATCCTACAGAAGATGAGAAAGGTAGATCCAGCCGAGGAGAAGGCTGACGGCAAGGAGAACGAAGAGAATGAGGAGGAAGAGCCTGCAACGCAACCTCCTGCCGATATTTTCAAGTTCAAGATCAAGTTTGACGAGAGTCTCGGCAAGGACTATCACAGCAAAAAGCTCATGCGTTATCAAACCAACCCGCGGGCAAACTGGGGTCCTATGAGCCGTGCCAAAGGTGCCAGCTAGGTACTGAATATACTTCTTCGCTTCCACTAATCAAATTGCCTGTGCTGCCCAGCTTACTGTTTGACATTATCGAAGCGTTGAGATTGGGTTATCATATGTGTGAACTCCAGTCACAGCGCTAAATACAATCCCGAGGTATCTTGAAGATCATCAATGTTGGAGTGCCTCCTACTTCTGATCGGGCAGACTCGAAACAATGTAAAAGAAGCTCAGCAAAACTAACAGCAACGATTAGAGTGAAGGACCTAGCCCTTACTGAAGGTCGAGTGCTAGGAAGGGACAATGATTATATTGGAAGAAGCAATAGGCCTCAAGGTACTGTCCAAACCTTTGTCTTTGAACGCTAGCACAGTAGACTTAGAATCAAAAGTTATATGTCTTGTATGTAACTCAACCACAACCGGGCCACCTTGTGACAGAGCTGTTTTCCTGCCGACCAATATTGCTATGCCGATCTCCTTGAGCTTGTTTGCTCCCAGACTTGAAGTACATCTTGCTTGTTTGATTTGTAGACATGACTGTTTTGTTTGTCTTAGGCAAGTGCGGCAGGTCATTCGAGCTTTCCACGAGCGCTGTCACATGCAACTTCAACAAGACTCGACGTGTCCACAACGCAAAGCAAGTCCACCATCTTCAACACCACTTCTCTATCCCCTTCTGATCTCGTCCTCTTCTCTTTACAATATGAGATTCCAGAAATCCGAATTTCATCATGATCGAGAGAAGACAAAGCACTCCAATTGGGTAATCTGACCGTCGGGCCGTCACCATACCATCTTGATTTCGCCTCTCTCAGCTCTGGCTTCCTGCCACTGAAACACCTTAGCACAACACCTCCGGCCCATTGATGTTGTCCTTATACAACGATACGGACATCGGGGACATGGGAAACTCAACATGAAGAGCGGCCTCCGGTGACCATCGGGGATCATGACGACAAGGACCTATTACATCCGCTCACCTTCAACGTGAATCGACGTAATCACGAACACCTCGTCGCACGATACCCAATAAACAGGACAACAACAAGCATACGCCGCAGCGCCACCTATGTTACTCGTACACACAAGGCAACAGGCCGGAGGCACGCCATGTGTATTCTGGAAGGCCCTCTCATGTATCAGAATACATATACTCATCCATTGCGTGTGCTTTCATCGTNCAACAGCCAGTTCACACAGTGAACTAGATCATCAGACCTGCCGGGGTAGCTCAATCGGTAGAGCGTGTGGCTCTTATCTTCTCAGATATTCCAAACCTCAAGGTCGCGGGTTCGAGCCCCGCCTTCGGCTATTCCTAAACCATCAGTTGACATTCCCTTTTGCATCTTTCTTTCCTGAGTTGGCAAAGAGGTGGTGGAAAATTTGGGGCTTCGAGAATTTTTTCTTGGTTGAGGATTTTGGCTTGGCAGGCAGGGTCGCGGTTTGACTCGGGCGCGGCACTTGTGAATTTTCTCCCTATCACCTATTACCCCGTTCCTCATCTGATCCTGTATCAGGTCTTATGAGCAACCCAAGATTCCGTTCATGTGGGAAGCATTTAGCAATGCCAACATGTAAACATTGCTTGCGTCTTCTTTAGAGGCCAGCCAAAGGCGCGGCTTCGACCCGGTTTGGTGAAGTCGCGGATTCAAGACCCGCCATCGGATCCATTTCTTAGCGACCAGATAAATGTATCGGGCTTCGATGGATATCAGCTGATAAGACATTTGAATAGACGACGACCTCTTCACCGAGATATGATAAAAAATGACAGACATGAGATTGGTAGACTGGTCAAATTGTCAGAGACGGACAAAAGAAGGTGAAATTGCCATAATGATGCGAGTCTGTTCATCTCTCATCACTCTGCTTGATGCTTCTAGTCATCATGATCCCCATATTCATCTGCCTCTCCTCATAGTCGCCCTCTTCACCAGCAACAGGCGTGACAGAAACCCTATACTCTCCATCAGCCCCCTTGACACCTAGTCCTGCCTCTACGTTGCCATTGTTCTGACTGGTCTTGCGGTCTAGATTTGTCAAGCGCACTACACTCTCTGTGCGATGCAGGCTTCCAGACGCGAGCGAGTCTCTGGTACTGCGGCGACCGAGACAGGTAGAGACGATAAACCGGGCCCAGCGAGCATAGTCCCTGCGGAAGGGACCTGTTGTGCCGAAAACAATGAAGATCAACAGCCCCAATGTTACTCCAGGAATGAACATCACAATGGAAATTGTGGCGGCTCCTGCGGACAAGTCCAGTTTTGCGGTTTTGGCGTCTGCAGTCGAGCCGAAATAGCGTGCGATGGAGTAGTAGATGAGGTAGGTTTGCATGATGCTGTTGATTGAAGAAGATATGGTTAGTCAAAGAACGATTTTGAAGCATGAGACCGGGATATCTTACCATAGCAGGACGAAACAGATACAGAAACGAATCAAAAGCCATTTGTCGTACATCGAGTCGTTCTTGCGTGGCGCAGTTTTCGGTTGGCGAGCGGGAAGTTGGGATTCTGTTTGATCGTTGACGCTGCGATTGAAGTTGCCACTCTGCAGTTGACTATGCATGCCACTTTGAACTTGACTCGCCATAGCTCTGCTCCTCTGACTTTGTGTCTTCGAAGAGCTCGGCAAGGAGAACTTGATGCGCCATCCGAAGCGTGCGAAGAAGCCATTCTTCGCCGAATTTGAATCGCTGAGATACTTCTGGATGGAAATGTATTTGTAGAAGACGAGTGCCAGGAGAATCAGTCCAACTGCGACACTGCCAGCCACTNNGTTACGATCATCAGTGAATTGCCAACGGCGTTTCCAGGATAGGTGTAACTTACACATAAGATTGCAGAGAATCAGAGAAACTCCAGGTGTACGGTCCACAGAAGAGGCATTAGCAATACCGATCAGTATTGCTGGCACGACCATACAGGAGACCTTGACAACTGTGGAAACAACATGACCACCTCTGTCCAACAACTCGAAACGAAGACGCCAAACATGACGCCAGAGTCCAGCAATCCAGGACAAGAAGAGCAGTGACTCAACATTGTAGCAATACAGCTGGATCTCATAAAGCGTAGTATCCAGAGATGTATGCGTTCCAGTAAAAGCTGGCTTTCCAGTATAGTGTCCACTGATCTGATAGTTGTAGCCAGCGGTTTGAATTTTCTCGAAGCTAGTGAAGAAGTGTATCTGCTGGATGAAGGAGGCAAGGATGCTGACAACCATGAAGCACGCACACACTGGGACATCTATAGACATGTGTTAGTATATGCGAACATATTCGCTTCAACCGAGCAAGGGACCTTACAGNCCAAATGAATCGCCATGACGCATGTGCATCAGGACCACCAGCGCAGCAATGAAAGCATTGCCGAATGTGTATAACAAGACGACGACTGCCAAACCCTGGGCGTCCGCAGGGATCATGCCNCCATCAGACATGACTTCAAGCAATCAATTCGTAGCGAATCGATCTGCTGACAGAGAACAGAACGACTGGGAAGGGGAGAAGAGGAGGCCTCGTTTCGAATATGGGGGCAGAGCGCCATATAGACCGACTGAATCGAATGTACAGTTGCTGTACCACATGTCATGGACTTGGACTTTAGCTTAAAGCTTCCACAAAAGGGCCCTATGGTGAGCTGGATCGGTTACTGTCAGACGAGGTCGTGTCAGTTTCTGTTCGCACTGAAAAATGTGGCCCTGGCTGATCTAGTTGATTTGAGGGTAGTCGTTAAGGTTCCAGGCTGAACGCTGCTTGCGGACGGTATCGTAAGGGCTGTTCGATTCAACGTGGGTCATTGGATACGAGATAGGTCCCGAATCGACCCTGAATCAAGCTCACAAAAGTATATATCACTTAAGTGATAACGAACATCCATGACAGACGCCAGATAGTCAGTATATGTTGCTTTGTACCGACTCAAAGTAGACGGTCGTATGTAGGAAAATCAGCATGCTGGTGCCCCTACTCGTTATGGCTGACTGTGGTCCGGCAGTTGCAACCCATTGAACCCTTGGCAAAACGTTCCACATCTTCTGGAAGGCGAAGTGGAGGAAAGCGAAGTGGGAAGATGAGGAAGGCGGCTCCGACCAAATTGGGAGCACTATATTTCATCTCCCGGGCCGCTCGCGCGCTTGCAGATCGCCGAAGCCCTTGCAGATCATCCCTAGCAAGACTCCAATCCTATCTGCCCAACATCTGTCCCTATTAGGAGCCTCGATGAGTGGTGTTCGAAGCAATAACTGACAGTAATCAGCACAGTTGGTAGCACCGTTTGCTGCAACACCGGAGCGAAGTATCAGAGTTTGTCTGTCTAGCGTTCCACAAACCGTTGAAAGGCTCAACTCTGGCTAAACCTGGAGGGCAGGATTTCCACGTGCTGGCGGCTTTCCTCTCCGACGCTAGACGCCTCTAATCTCACTTGGCTCAAAGAAGCGACAGAGGTTTTTTGAACATGTTCAATGCAATCATGTGCTACATCGCATTCGCATCGGGTGTGAATCTCTGCTGTTATGAGTCAGATCGACGGAGACAGATGTCCCAGTTCTATGCTCAATTTTCCAGCTCGAGATCTTCTTTTTGTATACTTATACCACGCCGACGCTACAAGAGGACTCACGGTAGTTGCAATCGGACTCTGTGGAGACACTTCTTGAAGCTTTTGCGATGCAGAATGTTTCTCAGTTGTGCGAGTTGGCCAACCAATCATACTCCGTGGAGAGGTTTCATGAAGAGACCATAGGTATCTTGTGTAGGTTTGTTCAATCCTTCTCGGCCGAGTCGAATGTGATTGGACCCAAAAGTCCAAGTCGTTTCTTCAGCTGGGTTTCTCACTGGTTGGACATTCTGAACTCTGATAAGTTGGCATTATTCTCATAGCCCAGATGCCCCTGATCAACCTATTTATGTCCATGTCCCAATTCGTTCTTGCCGACAAGATTCCAACACACTTTCGAAGGATTATTCCAAAGATTCACTGATCTCATCCAGTTCAACTGCGCATTATCCTGTCAAGAGACCGGAGCTTCATGCGCCCATCCAAGTCATAGGTGTTGTTTCCATGGCTCGAGTCTGTGTTTCTTGTTTTCGCTTTTCGTGAAGAGTGTTCCATGAGCATCCAAGGCTTTCAACAAGCGCAAGTATTGAAGGAAGGGTATAAGACTCGAACAGAGTATCCGAATAAGCTAATCCGTATCACAAAAGTTGTCGGACCGGCAGACGAAGGAGGATGCAACCCATCACAACTGGCCAGCGTCAGGGACGGAATATGCATTAGAGGCTTGGTACGATATCGACAAAATTGGTTAGAAAGAATGCCGATGGGCTGATGATGCTTGTAGGACGAATCGAAGCATGATCAACAATAAAGCTTCTCTATTGAGACAGCCGCCATTATCAAAGGGTCCGAGATTCAATGCCAATGGTGGCGATGAAGACCAGATGAAGACGCATCGTGAAATGAAAAATCGACCGGGGATGGCAAAGAAGTGGGACAAATCCAAATCTAGACATTGATTATTGTCAAAGCGGGTTGTGTCTGTGAAAGTTCCAGGAATGCCAAGCAGGAGCGATGGTTGACACCTTCCTCAAAAGCAAAATCGAAAAGCAAATCCGTAACACAGAAAACGTCAGCGGGGACCCAAATAGGACAGAGCAAGTGAGAAGTACTTACATCGCATTCACGAAAACTGACTCGAGCTGAAGAATGTGCATGTACCTTTTGAAAGTGCATCGTTGACGAAAAGATCAACAAAATCAGAATCGAGAACAGCGAACAGGAATGAACAATGTGAGAAATCCAGATAATGCTTCTTTGGGCAGAGGCAGAGTCCGAGATGAATCAGATGATGCTACAACCCACCAAAAACACATGTAGATCAGGAATGCTTATCAGTATACTTTTATTCTCTTGTATCTTCGAGCTCACACTCTTCCAACCCAGTTAAGTTTGAGAAAGGCATCGCAAAGCTGCTATGCCTTCTAGCACTTTGATATCATTCCATCAGACCTCGCCATCATGCTTGTTCTCTCTAACGACCTCTCCACTGACAAGCGATCGATCATCAGCAGTCGCACCACGTCTATCAAGCAACAGCTTCAATCCAGGCACCGAGACAGCAGCAATGGCCGTAGCCATCTCAGCCATACTCAAAATGTAGACCAAATTAGGCTCGTTAGAATCAGTGTTCAGCGTGACAAAGCGGATCGACGTCGTCAATGCAGGCACGATACCCAAGGAAAAGGTAAAGTAGATGGCGGCTTTGTGTTCCTTACTCATTCCTTTAAGCAAGAAAAGAGGAAGACCATAGACTNNGTACCTTATCAGCAACTTTCGTTTCCAAATCGTGTAAGAGGAGGTTAGCGGGATAAACTCACTGAAGATGTAGGAAGAAAGGTTGACAGAAAAGTTAAAGTAGACTGGTGTTTCCGCGTAAAATACACTGCAGGCACCTTCTTCCTGGCTCCATTGGACAGACACTGGGGTCTCGCAGTAGAAAGTGTCTGTCCAGAGAACGGTCATGTAGGCAGAGCACACGTAGGCAGTGATCACGTACATGGCCTTTCGCAGCATAGGTCTGTCGGCGGGAAACACGCTCCAGTAGAAAGCTAGCATGCTCAACTTGGGGAATCCCNNTGCAATCAAATGTCAGTAACTTCAATTCTATACCCTTGACGTTTTGTATGGACTCACCATGCCAAAGTCATAGAAGTAGTTGGAGGCGAACGAGATTTTCGACAATGTGACCGATGACTCCCAATCATCCATGACTCCGAGTTGATAAGTCAATGTGCTGTTTAATCAAACATCAGCNAAAATTGTTCGTCAAAAGTTGTGTCAGAGAGGCAAAGAAGGACTGACTCGCAAATGATGTCCCAGACCAATTAAAGCAGAGAACAAAAGAATGTATTCAGACAATCTCAACTTCTGCCTCTGCACTAGCAGACGAGTGTACATCCTCAAGCCCACAAGGACATATGCAGCAATCAACAGAATCCATTCCGAGATCTGTTGTCAGACCGAAAGTCAGTGATGTCCAAAGAACACACGGCCGAGAAGCAGAAAACTAACCATGCAATCCTTTCCAGTAATCGAGTTCGCCATCTTCGCAAGTCCTAAAGCAAGAACAACTCAAATCTTTCTTGTCAACACACAGAGAAGGAAAAGAGAAGACGAATCTCAGCAAGGTAAGAAAGTTGTCGCTACATATACAGGCTTGCCATCCATTTACCCATTCACCGGTACACCTGCAGCACCGCCCAGCAATTTTCGTTCTGCATCCTTGTTCCACCCAGATCCTATAGACCACGTTGGTTGAGCGATGGAACCAATCTATTCATCTATATGGAGTGTTTTTCATGAGACAGAATCTAGAATTCGCTGATCATTGATGGAGAAACGAAGTTCAGTTTCTAGTGTCTCCAGGGCGGATTGAATGGATGACCATAGACTCATTGTGTGTCTGGGTCTAATGGATTGGCGGTGTTTTGTGTGAAACGTACTGCCCTGGGTATTTACTTACTTGGTTATGGATTGGTGCTCGAAGAACTAACCATGCAGATGTGTTCCTGAATGTCGGACAGTGTATCAAGCACCACTCTTACCAGCACCACCATCATACCCATTGTTTGTCCAAGCTAGAGCCACTGGCCCTCCATCATCATTCTCCTAAATCGGCCTCGAATCCACACTGACCTCCTTGGTCTTGTAGATAACATCCTTCTTGCCGACATGATTGAGCTCCACATCACTGCCGCTATCATCCAGTGCATCTCCCCTCCCAAACACAGACTTTCGGTGCGAAGCCGTGACCACATAATGATGACCATTAGAATACGAATTTGAGCTTGTGGAAGTCTTGTTCTTGCGGCGTAGTAGTGTCTTGAGTGCGGGAAGTGAGACGACGACAATTGCGACGGCCATCTCGGCCATAGACCAAATGGACACGGCATTCTGGTTGTTGCCGGTTTGGATTGTGATGAAGCGAGCGAGGTTGACGGCGATGGTGGTGAGACCGAGTGCGAACGTCACCAGTAGTCCATATATCTGATTGCGATTGAGATAGAGTTGGCGCAGAAGAGGAAATGGAAGGACAAAGACTNNAGAGTATGGGAGATCAGCGAGCTAGACTTGCAAAGTTGATGTATTTTGGCAATGCTTACTCGCAGTGTCAGAAAAGAGATTCATCGCCCAGTCGATCTGCAAGACCAGGAGCGAGTTGAAGGTGGAGCATGCACCTTCCTCCAGTGATCAGTTGCTCGAGATATTTGGCGCACACCAAAGAGTGTCGAGCAAGAAGGTGTATACAGCGCACGCGACCACAAGTCCAGTGACAATATACAACGACATCCGTAGTCGTGGCATGGTGCTTGGGATGATCTTGAAGTAAAGAGCAATCAACGCAGCTTTAAGCCAGTACATCCCCGCGTTGTAGAAGTAGTTCGAGGCGAAGGATATNCTACGATGATCGATCAGTACAAGCTTTGTGAGAAGCAACAAAGAAATCACCTTGTCCAGAATGACTTCGTTCTTTGCATCGGCCGCTGATAATGTTTCGCCCTGTGGTATGTATCGCATGCCACCCAGAGCATATGTCCAAGTATCNGCCTATGAGCTTTTCATCAACCATGTCATGCGTATTTTCACAGCAACAAGACACAACTTACATATGATCAGACCCAAACAACCAAGTGTAGATGCTACCAGCAAGCAGTCCGAGATTATGACATGTTTCTGCTGCCTCCGCGCAACTCGCACGCCGATTCGTAATCCTACGAAAGTGTATGCGAACGCAAAAAGAGTCCATTCGATGGCCTTCCAGGAGTTAGTACACAGCGCGAGTATTGCAGGACACGGAAACTCACCATAACGGCCTCGCCGGAGATATTATATCCCATCCTGACACGACCAAGGGAGTATCAAAGGTCTGCGAGGGATAACCCAAAGAGTAGTAGACATGGTTCAATGTCCATCACCGCGAGATTGAAAGGATAGCAGCTCACAACTTCGCTTACCTACCTGATCGAACATCGGCTTTCGAGGCAAAGTGGCTGATTTCATGAGACGTACTACTATCCTCTCGTTCTTTCACTAGTATGTTAACACGGTCGAAGAGTTGGGTCTTTAGAGTATGATGGCGGCTCATAAATGGACTTTATTGAGTCTCGCTTCCGGCAGAGGACTGGTTGAGCACTCGCATAACGGCAACAAAGTCTAGTTTGTATATAAGCGAAGACCCTTTGGAACTAATATTGCGCCACGGTACTCATAGAGCATGATTGTGTTTAGGCATCTGCGTGATTGTTGCGCTATGTCGATCAGGATGCCGAGAATTTGCCGTCTTTGATATTACAACTTACCAAGTGCTTGGGATCACGCCATGTTCGTTCTTATTCTGGAGTCGAGGGTGCATCAAAGTGGAGGTGATATGAGTCATGAAGTGGTGGGTGCTAATCGGCCTCTTGAGTAAAATTGTTGCCACAATTTGTGTGTTCTCAATCATCTCATGACTTTGGCCTTGCAACCTTCACACGAAGACCNCCTTTGATTCTTCTGATGATGCCGCCAGTCACATCTGCTTTCATATCTGGATCAACCAGTGTCGTCTCGAAACCAAGTACCCAAGCGGCAAGCAAGCAGGCGAATTCAGCTTTGGCAAANACCTGGAAGAATCAATCAACATGGTGTTCAAGACTTTTGTGACCTCAGTCCCACTTACTGGCTCCAATACACCCTCTTGGTCCATGAGAGAAGGACATGTTCGAATAGTTGCTTTCGGCACCGCCAGTGTTGGCTCTACCAGGCCCCATCCATCTGTCTGGGTTGAACACCTTAGGATCTTCGCTCCACATCGACGAGTTATGGTTGGCGGCAATCAGAGGCGTAATGACAGTGGTGCCTTCAGGTATCAGCTGGCCAGAGAGAACAACGTCTTTCGCCGCGACACGAATAGTCATCGGTACAGGACAGTAGTAACGCAAAACTTCGTTGGTCACGGCATGGAGGTATGGGAGTTGTTCGATTTGCTCGGCAATAACTTGCGCACTGGCGTCGCGAATGTCCGGAAGATCTGATGCACGCAACTCTTCGTGCAACTTCTGTTGTACTTCGGGATACTTGCCGAGAACATAGACTGCCCAAGTCATCGCTGTGGCGGTCNNTGTAACGAGGTGAGCTGGGACCCAGAAACAAGGAAGAGCAGAACGTACAGTCTCATGTCCAGCAGCAAGGAAGGTAAGCAATTGATCAACAATCTGCTGGTCAGTAAAACCTCCACTCTGCATTGCAACACTCAGGATGTCGACTCCACCTGCCGTCTCGTCCGATTTATCCTTCTCTTGAGCAGTACTGATATTTGACCTCTTTTCTGCGAGCATGTCAAAACAGATCTTGCTAAGATACAGTCTCGCCCTTTCGACCTTGATGTTACGCGGTATCGGCAGTGCTCTAAGGAACCAGAAAGGTAGGAAGACATTCAAAAGTCCAACAAGACGTGTTTGCCAGTCCTGTTTGAATATCGTCTGATAGGTTTGGTATAGCTTGCTGTTGGGGTCTTCTATAGCGTTGAACGACTTTCCGATCGTGGCTACACCAATGATGTCGAGCGTGGCACGTGAGGTCCAGCCATCAACATTGACTTCGTTGCTGGTTTTCTTTACATCCTCGGCATTCTTCTCGTTTGTCTTGCTTGCAATGTCCTTATCGATGCCCAAGATCATGTCGCGAGCTTGATCCCAGAAAACAGGATACAAATCTTTGATGTGGCGATAACTGAACGCCGGCGTCAGGTTCTTGCGCTGAGCCTTGTGTTCCTGGCCCTCTGTTAGGAGAACACCATATCCAAGGATGCGAGCCAGGCCTTTGATCAAAGTTGGTGGTTTGATCAAGTCATAGCTCTTCAAGGTTACTGCTTCGCTGAGCGCCTTGGACGTGGTCACCATAACTCTCTCTGTATTGAAGAGACTCCTGTAGTAGATCAATCCGTCGTTCTCGATCTCTTCCATCCAATCTCGTTGGGGGTAACCGGTGGGCTCCTTGAGGATCCTGGCGAACTGTCCAAACAGAAGCGATGTCTGTTTAGGGTGTGGAAGATGACGCAAAGGGCTAAAGAAGAAAGGATAGATAAAACTGGCCCAGAAGAATCGAACGGCGAGTATACCAAAGAAGATCGCTGCTGTTGTTTGCCATATTGATTCGTGTAAGAGTCGTTCGGGGGCGAATGATTTGACCGAGAAGGATACAGCTGCTGCTGCAAGCAGAATCGCGCGTTTCATGACCACAACCATATTTTCGATGTGTTTGTGAGGAAGGCACCGCCTGAACTGCAAAATTGACAAGTTCGAAGAAAGAGCAAGAGATTGGTGTCACACTCTCGACCTCGCTGCCGTCCTTCAGGTCTTGGCATCAACGCGTCATGTATACGCAGATCGGCCACTCTTTGCTCCGAGTACAATTGGCACACTGCAACCTTTTTGCTCTGTCACAGACATCCAAAAACATGGACAGCCTTCGATCTAGGAAAATACCACTGGTCACATCAGACAGTGCACATTGCTAGGCGCCGCTATTTTCAGGTCTCGCGTCATATCTTACGACAAGACAACAAGGCCAGAAAGCTAGGTGGGTTGGAAGAAAGCTCTCATTCATAAGACAGACTTGTATGATCTATGATAACGGCCCTCCGATGCAGGGTATAGATTCATCACATGCTTTGACTGTTTTGCTCTTCCTCCTTCTACCTCTCTGCTCCAACCCCGCCACAGTCCAACTTCAACAATCCTCGAAGCCCTTGTAGTCGACCATGCTACCCCTGATGGTAGTGTGCATCTCCTCAGCCAATGCTCTAGCGGTCTTTCCAATAGGCTTCATACCTGCCATGGTGTAGAAGTGTTCGATGTACTGCATGGCGAGCACGGCCTTCACACTGAGTACACAATTGGTGCGATCGAGGGTGATGCCCTTGACTTTGTCCATGGTAACCTTGTAGCCATGATCCATCAATAGAAAAGTCGCGTAGTCGAGGGCGCGTGGAATTTGACGATAGTGAGCGAACATGAGCCACTCGTGAATGCTGGCCATGCCCATGGTTGGGAGCAATCCAAGGATTCTCCTGGTCTTCGGAATGTAGATCGCGAACAACTTCAGAGGGTAAGACTTTTTAAGGAGCTTTTCGAAGTGCTTGACCTTTTCGACAAGATTAGCAGGGACGGCATCCTTGGCCATCAATGCCGTGATTTCTTTAAGCGGGTGAGTCTTGAGGAATGACTTGACCTCGAACATGAGGCTTGAGCGACTTTCCTCACACTTGTTCTCCGCCTTACACAACTTGCAGTCGCAAGTGAAACCCCAATTTTCCAGATTATGTTTGAGCTGGCCAAAGTCGCCGTTGGCAGGGCAATACCTGGTGGTGATCTCCTCTCCTTGGCCGATGCTCTTGTTGGCGCGGACGACGATGAAGTTAACAACAAAACCACGGTTGGAGTTGGAGAGACAAGAATGGTTCATGGAAGCAGCGTGAGTCCAGACACCAGTAGAATCAGCCCTGACAGCTTTCTGTACGTCAACGCGAGCCCTGTCCTTGTCGGCTTCAAAGCAAAAGCTGTTGTGCTCAATGATGTTCTGGAGACGGAAAACATCAACTACTGGCATGCCATCGACTATCAGAGGGCTGGAAACCGAGGCTGATTCAGCGGAACGAGGTGTACCGTCATGCAAGTCCGTAAGGTCGCGACTCCAAGATGGGTTGTGAAAAGACTTGCGTACAGCATCGATCCAGATAGCGGCGTGACTGCCATGCAGCCCACGATTGTTGGTGGGGTTAATGATGGCGCTCAAGGCAGGCGTGTTGTCAGGGGTGTTTGAGGCGACGAAGGCCTTCTCACGCAGGATGACCTCTCCGGCAGCAATGGCCTCCGTAGCAAACAGACCCTTGGAGCTGCGACCAGCGTTGCGAATGCTGGTACGACGGACGTAGCTGGCTTGCTCGGCGTGATAGTCTGCTGTCTCCGAGATCTTCTTGAGCATAGCGGTAAAGTCGAAGACGCCCTTCGCAGCCTCTTGGATGCGCAATGTGGTGCGCTGGAGCTCCCTCAGACCGTCCAGGTCAGACGGGAGGTTGCTCAGTAGTTGCTGGTACATGCCCTGGGCATATTCATAATCATGAAGCTCGTATGCAGCGCGCCCGGCACGATAAAGAGCCTTCCTGTGCTTCGGATCGTGACGATCGTCGATACCCCGACAGAAGCAATAGCATCCGCCCTTGCCGTCTCGTAACAGCCGAGTGAGAGTCCAGCTTGGGCTTTGTTGCGAAGCAGATCGGATTTGAGGTCGCTGTCGGTAGGAGCTAGAGCAGCAAGACCCTTTNGTGTAGCAGTGATTGGCCTTGATGTAGTCCTTGTTCTTCAGAGCATTGTTGCCATCGAGCTTCCACTCAGAAGCGGTCTTGCGTGGAGCTGATGACTTCCAGTCAGGGGGGCTGAGNGANTGATCTTCGTCAAGAAACACGATGTCGGAAGGATGATGGACACACAATGCCATGCCGAAATCCTCTGAGGCAGAACTGTAGAATGGCTCCTTGATGGCAAAGACGGTACCAGGTGGTAGCTTCTGTGCAGGCCAGGATGCAAGACCGAAGTTGAGGATGGCAATTCTGTCCACGTCGCCCATCTCATCTTCGACTGGCATGAATGTCTGGATATCAGAGACGTTGATCGAGCGGCCGAATGTACGGAGGAAGAGAACGTTGCCGTAGTGATGAGTTTCCACATGAAGGTCCACCAGGTTGATCTTGGTGAGCGTCTGCAGCGGAGCCACGCTGGGCTTGTAGGGCTCCGAGAAGACGGTCAACTTGATCTTCGCGGTTGTATGGTTTGAGATGGCGCCATAGTGCTCGAGCTCTCCACGTATCTGATTGTCTTGAGAAGAGCGCTTCTTGCCCTTGCGTGAATCGACGCGCTCAGTCAATTGCCACTTGACATCAAGAGCCTCGCCTACAGCAGCGTGCATCTCCATGGTGGATGTGATGATGGAAGTCTATCGCAGGAAGCAAGATGCTGATGTGGGAAGGCAGTATCAGAGAGAAGAGAGGAGATGGCTCAGAAAACCAGCTGGGCTCAGATGAGTGAGCCTCCGAGACAACACGCAAGCTTTCAAAAGTTGGTTGTCGTGTGTTGTTATAGTTCCTTTGACAACGCTCGGCTGCTTGCATACAAACGTAAATGTGCAAACAAGCTACCTTGCAAGCCTCCACCCCTTGCTGAAAGCCGAGCTAGATTCACTCGGAGGATTTATCAGCAACCAGCAATGTGAACTGAATGTTGCTTCGGTTCATTGACCTCTGTTGGTTGGTCAGCAGAGTTGTGCGGATGATTGCTCCATGTTTGAGTGCTTCTTGCACCACAAGAGACAAGGAAACTGCGATGCAGAGATCTAGATTTCTCAATACCTACAAACTCAACTATTGGATATCATAGCCAAATGTTCCTGCCCCGATGAGACGCCACAAACTCCATACCTTTAAACGAGATGCAAAGACAGGCATGCTGATACGAAGAAAGATGCAATGGAAGGTGGAGAGACCTACTCCATGTCCTCGTCCTCTTCAGACTCATCCTCATCGCCTTCATCGTCATCGTCTCCACCAGCATCAGCGTCGTCGTGCCAGACATCGTCATCAAAGTCGTCGTCGTCGAGCATCTCATCATCTTCATCGTCGACCTCCTCGCCCTTGGCCTTCTTCTCTTTCTTCTTTCTCTCGACGTTCTCTTTTTGAATGCGTCTTCTCTCAGCCTTCTCCTTGTTCTTGATCTCCCATGCCTTGTCTTGTTTCTTCTGCTCTTCCTTGCTCTTGCTAATGTACTCGTGCCACAAGATCTTGCCGGCACAAAGACCCTCCTCAACCTTTGTCAGACGAAGAGTCATACGGGGACCCAACTCTTGCAGCTTGATGGCTTTCTTTTGTGTCTTTGACTTGCGAGGCTGGGGAGCTGGGCGTGCGGCACCTTCGGGGTTGACGCCTTCAGCATTGGCTCCAGTGACCTTTGCACGCTGGGCGTCACGAATGCGTTGACGCTCATCTTTTGACATGGCCTTGCGGTTCTCGACGGCCAGGACCTCAATCTCGGCGTCAGTGTCTGCTTCAGTATCCGAGGCGGTGGTGAAACCAGAAGCAGTGGGGTCCAAAAGGTAGTCTGCGACATCGTCCAGGGCTCCTAGGTTGGGCAGGCGAGCGCTGTCACCGCGCTTGAGGTGGTCGGCCTGCTCGAGTTTGCGCAAGGCTTTTGGTAGGGCGGACTTGGGCGTGACGGCGTTGATGGCGTAGTGGCGCAATTGTAGGACAAAAGCATGAGGGTCGTTGGGATCGTTGGAAGGCTTGCGGTCAAGCAGCATAACGCGCTTGATGGTCTTGAGGGAGGTGGTGTGAGGAGAGATGGGAGCGAAGAGAGATTGGAAGATTGTCGTCGTCAGGGATTCGAGGTTCTTTGGAATAGGGTTCGACTCGGACTTTGTGTCTTTTGANTCATCTTGCTGCTTGTCGGATTGCATGAAGTTGTTCATGACGAGGAGGGGCGAGGTCAGGTATTCGGCACCGTTCTGGCCCTTGGGACGGCGCATGCTTTTCTGGACATCCTTGCAGAGCGAGTATTTCTCAACGCGGAAATGTAACGTGGGACCTCTAGGGGTAGTGCAGATGCGCAGGTTTGTGTTTCCAGCGTCGGAGCGAGAGAAGAGCATGAGGTGGGAGACACCGAGAGGACCGGCCATGGTGATGAAGTCGCGCAGCTTGTTGGACTTGCGCTCCTTCAGACGACTTGCAGTACCGGGCTCCATCATCAAACGGGTATCTCTGACAAGCTGCGATATGCTTGGGCCGACTTCTCCAGCGTTGATTCGGATAACCATGCTCTTGGGAGCCCTCGTCTCGCTAGCCAGGGCGGCAGCGGTGTGGGCGCCGGCCATTCCAGGGGCGGCGGGCTTTGCGCCAGCATGGGTACGCTTCTTGACTCTTCTCTTGGCCATTGTGATTGTTGTGAAATGTGAATGTCTTGTCGAGTCTTGTGGCTCCAAAATTTCTTTGCAGTCGCTGCTAGGCAGGTCTGTGCTTCGGCGATAAAAATGCTCTGACGTGGGTTAACGCCGAGGCTTGCCCGAACTGGCGCCTGCCTTTGACAACTTTTTATTTTCTTAGCATTCGATATTCACGCGCCAACCATGTCAGCCCTGAAGAAGAGAAAAGTGCAGCATGAGCGCTCCAGCTTCAGCGAGGAGGCCCCGCGCCAGCCCAAGCCCTCCAAAAAGACCATGGACCGCATAGATGACACCAAAGAACCTGCAGAGAACCTAGCCAAGAAGGCTGTAAAGAAGGCCGCCACCGACGACGTCAAGGAGAAGAAGGAGAGGAAGGAAAAGAAAGACAGGAAGCGAAAGGCACAAGAAGAGGAAGAAGAGCTATCTGAGGAAGTCTCTGCGCCGGTCGATGAGGAGGACGAGGAGGAGGAGACAACCACACCCAAGTCGTTCCGCGAACTGGGAATCATCGATGCCTTGGCCGAGTCCTGCGAAGCCTTGAATTACACAAAGCCCACGCCCATTCAAACAGAGTCTATCNCTCTTGCGCTCCAAGGAAGGGACATCATCGGTCTGGCCGAGACTGGTTCAGGAAAGACGGCCGCATTCGCATTGCCCATTCTACAAGCGCTAATGGAGACTCCCTCGTCCCTGTTTGGTCTGGTTTTGGCCCCCACAAGAGAGCTCGCCTATCAGATCAGTCAACAGTTCGAAGCCTTGGGCTCTTTGATCGGTGTGAAATGCGCCGTCATTGTTGGTGGTATGGACATGGTACCTCAAGCCATTGCTCTCGGAAAGAAGCCGCATATTATTGTCGCAACTCCCGGTCGTCTGCTCGATCATTTGGAAAACACAAAGGGCTTCTCTCTACGTACACTGAAGTATTTGGTCATGGACGAAGCCGACAGACTGCTGGATCTAGACTTCGGTCCCATCCTTGACAAAATCTTGAAGGTCATCCCCAAAGAGAGACGCACCTACCTCTTCTCCGCCACCATGTCTTCCAAGGTCGAGTCTCTGCAACGCGCCTCGCTTTCCAACCCCATGAAAGTCAGCATTTCCTCGTCCAGCTACCAGACTGTCAGCACCTTGATCCAGTCCTACCTCTTCATCCCCCACAAATTCAAGGACATCTACCTCGTCTACATCCTCAACGAGTTTGCCGGCCAAAGCACCGTCTTGTTCACCCGCACTGTCAACGAAACACAACGATTGGCATACCTACTCCGCGCTCTCGGCTTCGGCGCCATCNCCCTCCACGGCCAACTCTCCCAATCAGCACGTCTAGGCGCGCTCTCAAAATTCAGAGCCGGCAGCCGCGATATCTTGGTGGCCACCGATGTCGCAGCCCGTGGTCTCGATATCCCCTCTGTCGATCTGGTGCTCAACTTTGACCTTCCCCCAGACAGCAAGACCTATGTCCATAGAGTGGGTCGTACAGCCCGTGCCGGTAAAGCAGGCAGAGCTGTTTCGTTTGTCACACAATATGATGTTGAAGTTTTCCAGAGGATAGAAAAGGCGCTGGCGAAGAAGTTGCCTGAACATGATGCTCCTAGGGATCAAGTCATGGTGTTTGCTGAAAAGGTGTCTGAAGCTCAGCGTGTGGCTGTTAGGGAAATGAAGGATCTGCACGAAAAGGCGAAGAATGGTGGTAGAGGTGGACCCAGAGGAAAGGGCAAGAGAGATGCCATGGACAGAGACGAGGGTTGATTTGCTGCATAAAATTTTTCATATTCCTTTTTATGATATCCAAAAACCGAGCATGTGTTTCGAACGATCCTGACTTGAATTTATTTTGAGATTTGCTATTGATGTGATCTTCGTTCCAAGATCTTGCTGACCCTTCCACGAAACCCCATGACGAAGGACAGGAGGAAGCAATCAATCAATTCCCCGTTATCATTTCTTCTACTGAATCAAGAATAAGTTCCTACCTCGGCGTAACGTCTCCAGCACCTCCCTCATCCTCTCTCCTCCTCCTAGCGATAGCTTTAAAGTACTGCGCCATCTGGTCAAATTTTGTGACGAAAAACATGCCCTTGGAGTCGTTCTGCCACGTCAAGACTCCGATCGTGTCGGCATGTTGCACGGCTCTGAGATATTCTTCTTGTGTGCCCACATCTCTGATCAAATATCCTGGTGTGGCTTTCATGCGCTCGTTTTCCAACTGCCAGAGTCTGATTTGATCCACTACTGTTGGCGGCAGGATTGGCGTTGATTTGCGGAGAATGGGGTGAGCGTGTGTAGTCAGATATGTGATGATTTGATCAGCGGTGATGCCTGCAGCGATGGCCTGTTGGATGGAAGATTTTGTGAGGGTTGCGGTGAACATGTTTGGAAAACGGGTTTTGAGGTTTGCGAAGAGGGAGAGGATGGATATGTTTAGTGGGGAGGATGTGTAGGCGTAGATGCGGTAGTTTGTTTCGACGATGATGTAGCCTTTTTCTGTTTCTTGCGGGGCGATTGTGTTTCCGCCTGTTGGTGTGACTCCGAGGGAGGTGGCTGAGACGGAAGTGTTTAGCAAGGCGGGCGAGTCGGATGTCAGAGTGGTGGCCAGTCGTGTTGGGTAGTAGCGCGAGGTGTCAGACGCACGACGGTAGATGACGCCAAAGTCGGATAGGTCATCCAACATATGGGCTTGTGTTGGAGTCAGATTCTCAGTCGTGTAGGAAACGCCGAGTTCGAGCGAGCCCAGAGTGAAGAGGAAACTCAAGACGTCGACAGCATCCATCTGAAGCCTTTCTGACAGCTTGAGATACTCGATGAGCAGCGTCCAAATTTGAGCATTGGTTTCTTGCAGCAGAAAAGAAAAGCCATCGCGAGTGATGTATGCATTCCGACCCTTGCTCATGACAAAGCCTCCACTCTCCAGCAACTCTTTTGTTCCAGCTGTGATGTTGACGGCACCACCCAAGCCCTGGCCTGCACTTCCGACGACGTAGTACAAGATGCCCTCCCATTGTTGACGGGCGTAAGTGTCGAGAAAGTCGATGGTGACTTCGTTCTTGTCTGGGGTGCTTGATGGAACACCGAAGGAGCGATGATCTCCTCCACCAGTCAGAGCCAGACGCAGAGACTTTCGGAAGGCCTTGTTGAGCTGGTATGCGGGTCTGTTCTGGTCGTTGCGAGTTTCTTCGAGGATCTTGAGTCGATTGAGGATGTTGTTTGAGTAGCCGCTTGCGCGCACACTGTCGACGTCCGGCTTGACCCACGTTTCGAGATCGGATACTGCTAACGGAGCAGGCATGAACAGCATAGCCATGACCAGATTCTTTGCTNNGTTCCGTGTCAGCTTCACTGTTCTCCAAGTGCTGCCTTGTGACCATGACTGACCCAGATGCGGCAACATGCGACGGAAGATGGCCAAGGCAGTCGAGGGCTGCTGGTACAGTCTGTTGAAGATGATGCCCGGCTGGCCCTCGAGGTATTCGAGCGCCCGCTTCGACGCGACCGACATGATGACTATCCTGCCTCGTAGAGCATTGTGAGCATGTGCAAGACAGTGATAAGTTTCCCACAACGACACAAACCCTCTCACATCAGACGTCATCACTGCCGATGTTTTTCCATACCATCCTTTCACTCTTTGAGCCTTACTCACCTCTTCACCCTCTCTTCCTAGTCCTCTCGACCTGCACGCCACAGAGGACCCCATGAGTCGTCCTTCACCGCGTGATTGTCCTCTAGAAACTCAGGTAATCCCGTAGGCTTTTGCTGCTTCATCAATCACTTTCGTCAACTGCTTCATAAAGAAACTCGGCTCCCGGAAGCTCCGCAGGCTGCTGCTTTCTTTTATCAACGTCCTCCTCATCCCTTTGCTTCTAATCATCTAACCTTGTATCATCGCCCTTGCTTCGTCTTGTTCCCTCACCAACATGGTCCGGATTGTCAACCTGGGAAGCTCCTTCTCCGCCGGCCCTGGAATTCCTCCTCAGGTCAACACCGCAGCAGGTCGTTCCGGCGCCAATTTTGCACACCTACTGGCCAGACGCCTCAATGCGGATCTGACAGACTTGAGCGTATCTGCCGCCACACTCCTGAACATAATAGACACACCACAAGTCGCCGGCGGTCAAACATTTCAACCTCAAATTCAAGGTGTTCCCGAGGATGCCGATATTGTGCTCGTCCTCGGTGGAGGCAACGATATGTCGTATGTGGGAGGTCTATTCATGGAACACACGTGGATGATGACAGCTTTTTCTTTGATGAACCGTCTCAAGGGTGTTTCATCACCAGAAATGCCATCTCCAGCCGACGAAGACGAAGTCATCAGACGCTATGGCAAAGTTCTGGATGCCATCCACGCCAAAGCGCCCAGAGTAAGAGTCATGGTTGTCGAGTACCTGACACTATTGGGACCAGACACGAAGCCCGGGATTGACGTTCCCTTCGATGCTGAGAGATTGAAGCACCATCAAGCAGTTGCAAAGAAGCTCCAGGGCGCCACTAGCAAAGTCGTCGAGTCCCGATCAGAGTGGTGTGAGCTTATACCCATGGCCGAGCCGAGTAAATACCATGCAATCGGTAGCGCAGAGCCATGGGTGTTTGGATGCACAGCAATGGAACAGCTGACGGGAAAGACCTGGTATCATCCCAACGGCGAAGGAATGAAGGCAGTTGCAGATGTCCTCTACGAACACATCAACAAGGACTAAATCGGCCTGTATGGAATCGCGATGATGTAGATGATGTCGTTCATTGCTATATACCCCTTCCTCAAACCCCAAACATGCCCAAACTCCACGCTATGAAATCATTATGTGACGATGTACAAGTTCCGACGGCGATCTAGTCACTGTCACTGTCATCCAAGAACGGCAGTCTCGCTGTTGCTCTTGCTCGCGCAGGTCTAGCTTGCACGACATCTTCCTCGTCCTCGTCTGCATCCATTGCAGCTGCAGCACTGTTCTTAAGCGGTGACACGGTGTCCATGGGTGTGTCTTCAGGTGTCTCATCCACTTCACTGATCACGTCGACAGCATCGATATCCTCCATCTCCTCATCTTCGGCAATCGCACTGTCCTGATCACTATCGCTGTCAATCGTGATAGTCTTCCTCTTCTTGCCCTTGGCCGTCTTCTCTTTCGTAACCTTGGCCTTACGCTTGTTCTTCACTCCAGCCGACTCGTCGACCTCGTTCAGTAATGCATTTCTTATGATACCACTAATCTTCTTTCTTCTCTGTTCCTCCAAAGCAAAGAAAGCCGCATCCTTCTCATCATCATCTTCATTATCCGAATCCGTGATGCGTAATGCAGACTTGATCTTTGCGTTCTTGTCTCTCTCTTTGGCATCTCTTTCCTTCTGCCGCAGTAACCTCTCTGCTTCAGTGAGATCGGGAGCTTTACGCTGCAACAATCTCTTTCTAGATTTAGGCTTCTCATAGTCGGCGGATCGAGATGTGGGACCGCCAGGTTCGAACAATGCAGCTGCTTGAGCATCGAGATCGGAGAGTGTGTCTCCTTCTTCGTCGCTGTTGACTGCGCTGGCTGCAGCACTTCTGTCTGCTCGGGCGTGTAGACCGGATGCACTCTTGCTCCTAAGAAGAGATTCAGGNGCTACGCCGCCTTCGAATGTTGGGAGATCGAATTCGAATCTTTTGATCAGTGCAAGGTTGGAGAACAGGAGGGAGGAGGGAAGGGAGGAAGGAACGATCCAGGAAGCGTCTGGGTCGTCGTTTTCGCCGAGGCGGTCGAAAGAAAGAAGCTTGAGGAGCAAACGCAGGAACTTGTCCTTGAAGAGGCTGAGCTTACGGTCGTCGGTGTCGGGTTTGAGGGTTATGAAGGGGGCTTTGGGTTTGTCTTCTTGGTTTGCAGGTTCAGCCGACTCCACTGGTGCTTCAAGGTCTTGGTTGTCTGCGCCGTTGGTGTTTTCAGACTCGCCATTTGCGGCGTTTTCAATGCTTGCTTGCGCATCATGTAGATCTTCCCAAGCCATTCTCTCTTCCGCAGCAGAATTGAGAACGTCCTTGACCCAAGCCAAAGCATCTAATTTGCCTTGGTTGACGAGCACACTGACAGCAACAGCAATCTGCTCCTCTTGGCTCAATCCAGGCTTCACTACCAACTCAGCCGGGGGTCTGGGTCTGGCCTTTGTGGTTTCCATGTCATATCCGTTCTCGAGGTAGAAGATCGTGTTCGGCATCTTTGTGAAGAGCATCTCAACCATGAGCTCTCTGCGTTGGTCCAAGTTCTTCAAACAGCGTCTGAAGACTTGCTTGACCAGTTCTTCCCACTCCTTGAACAGAGGCATTTCCTTGGGCAACCCTTCCGGGCCCTTGATCATACGGTTGAACAAGTGCAGGATATCAACTCTGTACAAGAAGATCGATCGCTCCATCTTGAAAGCGCAACGATAGAAGAAACGGTGACATCGTTTGAGCTGCTCAAGGTCAAGATCCTTGTAGTAGCCTGTGAATGTGACAAATGTATTGACGGCACTTTCAGTCATGAACTTGCTGGCAAATCTGTTGAAGTCGAACTTGCGTTCGCTCACTGCACGTTGAGCATCAGCTTGATCTTCAGCCTCAGATGCCGCACCTTCATCTTCAGCACCATTGGCTTGAGCCTCGACTCTGCGCTTTTTCCTGGCACGTCGTTTCGAGCGAACTTGCATATCGACATTCTGTTTGCTGTAACGTTCTAGCATGCGCAAGAAAGTGTGGGCCATATCTGTGCATGCGTCCAAGAATGCGAATCCTTGACCGTTGTATCCTCTGAGCACAGCAATGACTTGGTCATGTGTTGTTTCCTCGTAAAAGATTCTGTTCTGGATGTTCTCGGCAATCTCCTGGTCGTCTTCGGAAGCAGAGTCTGCCATAGCAGCAACAGTCAATAGAATCTGGGTAAAAGCTCGCATACAAGCGTGCAAATCAGACCATTCTTTGTCGTCCAAACTCTGCTGGATCTTTCGTCCGAGCAAGATGAAGTTTTCCTGGGTCATGACAGCAGCGATGTAGGCAAAAGGCGAGTCATCGACGGCAGCATTGTGCACCTTGCCATTGCGCTTGAGCAAGTCTTGTCTAGCGCGTTCGGCTTGCAAGAACCAGCCCATCAGGTAATAGTATTGACGAGTGTGGTATTTCTGAGCTCGTTCGGCTTCTGAGGTTAGAGCACGGCGGAGACTGTTGAACAAGGGGTTGAATGAAGAGTCCAGGAAATCTTCGACAAAGTGGCGGACAAGTTTGCGAGTGGGTTCGTCCAAGTTGACATTGTTGTCAAAATCGTTGTTCTCATCTTGGACTTCTGTATTCTTCTTTCGGCCCTTTGGCTTGTTCCAGAGCTTTGACTGGTCCATCTGGTGCATGGTCTTTTGCTCATCAAAGATGACATTTTGGCCGCTGAGAGTCGACACCTTCTCGTCAGGCCGCTTCACCCAAATCATGGTACCAAAGCGGTGGTGACGACTGGGAGCGTTCCTTGCATATGAGGCATTCATGGCTTTTTCTTTGTCCAAGAGAGCCTTGAACTCATCATTCCTGGCATCTTCCAGTTGTTTCTCATTCTTGAACAAATCTTTGGGGTCGATGCCCTTGAGCAGCTGGAAGAGGATGTCTAAGAGGACGATGTCGTGCATGGGATACTCGTCGGTGACACTCGAGGCGATTGTGAGCAGGAGCTGCAGGACGTTTTGTTGGTGAAATGCGTGGATGGTCTCCAGTCTGTTGATGTCGTTGTCATCGGCTGCACTCGGCAGGTCTGCTGGTTGAGCAATGATGGCGACGTTACGAAGGAAGTAAAGAACGACACCGAGGATGGATTCATCTCTTTGACTGCGATCGGCTCGTGGTTGTGTGATACTCGGAATGGCGACACTGATTGCGGTACGGAGGATTTGGGCGGTTTCCCAGTGCAGAATGGAGCGCTTGTATTCGACCTGAGCGAGTCTGATGTATGGGAGATGTCGGTGGATGTTGACGGTCATGGTCTCTTCTTTTCGCTCAATTGGCCATGTCAGGGTGTTGAGCAAGTCGAGACAGCTGAGGGCGACTTTTGTTGCGAGGGCGCTGCGTTCTGTCTTGTCTCCTTGCTGGGCCAGGATGGGTAGTAGATCTCCTCTGATCAAGTTCGCTTCGGCCATACATCGCTTGACATCGTGTCTGTTCATCCGGTCATCGTATGATCGAATCCATCGCGACAAGTCCTTCAAGCACGCCAGGGCGTCGTCTCCGAGAACATATTGGCCTTCTTTGACAGTACTACTGCCACCGATGGCCGAGATGAGCGAGTAGATGTGCGCTCTGACCTCGGGGTCGACCGTCTGGCTCTTTTCAAACACCTCCATGGCGGTCGTGATAGTAGTGATGCAACCAAAATCGACCCTGATGATAATATTCGATGGACCCGCGTCGAGCAACGCGTAGCGCGTCTAATTGAAACAAACAGAGCAAACACAGCTCCTTGTCACTCTCCCCACGTTGACGCACGACCTCGGCAGGTCGGCCCCGGACTGCCGCATGTGATTGAGCCGTATCATCTTCCAATTCATTGTCCTGCTTCTGTTCTGCCACCAACCATCAACCTCTAAAAATGGCCTCTCTTTCATACCGTTTCTGCTTGAGGCAGCTACCCAGAAACGTCACATTAGCAGCCAAGCGACAATTTAGTGCGACCAGTCAATCCAATGCCGAAATCAAGAAGCTCGGTGTCATTGGTGCTGGCCAGATGGTAAGGATGAAGCCTGCCATATTCAGAAAAAAATGACTTATCCGTGACAGGNGCTTAGGTATTGCTCTGGTTGCTGCTCTGAGGGCCAAGGTACCAGTGACGTTGGTCGACAACTCTCAGGCTTCAATCGAAAAGGGACTCAAATTTGCGGACAAGCTGTTAGCAAAGGACGTCTCCAAGCAAAGAATCACTCAGGACGATGCAGATGCTGCTAGACAACGTCTGACGCCTGCAAATGACATGGGTGCTTTGTCAGACGTCGACATGGTTATTGAAGCTGTACCCGAGATCATCGACCTCAAGACCTCCATCTTCTCACAATTGGCAAAACTGGCTCCATCCCATGCCATCCTCGCTACCAACACTTCTTCCATTAGCATCACCAAGATCGCTGCTGCCACCACAGCCGATCCCACAGATCTATCTGCCGCATCCAGGGTCGTTTCAACCCACTTCATGAATCCTGTGCCCGTCCAGAAGGGTGTCGAGATCATCACTGGCCTTCAAACTTCTCAGGAAACTCTTGCCACAGCTGTCAACTTCTGCAAACGTATGGGCAAGATTCCCTCTGTCAGCCAAGACAGCCCGGGTTTCCTTGCCAACCGCATTCTCATGCCGTACATCAACGAGGCTGTCATCTGTCTTGAGACAGGAGTCGGTTCCAAGGAGGACATTGACGCCATCATGAAGAACGGCACAAACGTGCCCATGGGCCCTCTGCAGCTTGCAGACTTTATTGGACTCGACACATGTCTGGCCATCATGCGCGTCTTGCATGAGGAGCTTGGCGACTCGAAATACAGACCTTCTGTTCTATTGACCAAGATGGTCGATGCTGGCTGGCTAGGCAAGAAATCTGGAAAGGGTTTCTATGACTATTAGACTCCAGTCCCCTAGTATTGGATAGCTGATCAAAAACTCGATTCACCCCTAGTTGTATATCCCGTTATCTAGCGAAACCGATTTTCACATATGGGCATTTTCCAGTCGACGCAGATTCTATGTCCAATTGGAAATGGTAACTTTTCAGGTCGTGATTCACTCAGCAAAGTTGTGATGATGCGCACTGGGAGCTACGCGGATTACAAGAGAGCTGGTCTTGTCGGCGTTAGGTAAACAACCTCGTGGCAACCACGACGGTCCCGCATCGCGCTTACTTCAACATCGCTTTTACAAACGAACGAAACACACTACACTCCTTGCTTGTTTCTCGCTCTATTGAGCATCACTGTCTTTATCCGCCATCATCACAATCATTGAAAATAACAACAGACCTGGTCAGCACTTTGCTCATGGTCAAGATGCCTGCTCGTCAACATCCATCCAATACCTCGGCAGTCCCTTTGTCAACCAGTCCAACTTCGCCTAATCCCAGATCTTCTCTACGCCGCCTAAGCTCTCTCGCCAACCTCCATCAAATCAATCCGTTCAATTCCTTCAACCGCAGACGCTCGAGTCATAGCACTCAGAACTCTGACGATGATCCCTATCTTCTCAACACCTATCAACAAAGACCGCAAAACCAGCAACGCCGGCAGACCTACATGTCCCTGTCTGAGGAGCCATTGCCTGCGTTACCCAAAAGTAGCACTTTCAGCAACCTGCCCATGACACGAAACCGCAACAACTCCAAGCCGCCCTTGTCTATGAAGCCGCCATCACGCATTCCAACGCCTTCGATGGGTTCCAATACAAAAACTAGACTGGCCAGTGCAACCAAAAGCATTCTCAAGGTCGGTAATCGACGTGGTCTTGTCCGATCAGATACCGAGACACTGCTGGAACCTCATCACTCGCACGACTTTTCCTACTCGGCCCACGTTCTTAAGGAGAACACTTCAATTAGTAGGAACAGAGCGGATACGAAGCCAATGAGACTGCCGCAAGTTCCGCTGGATCCACTTGACATCAACGTCCGCTCTCTCAATTCGTTCCAACGACCACGGACCCCAGCTGGTCAACTACCCAAGCCTTTGCCGAGGAGGGACTCATTGCAGCCACCTACACCTCGAACTCCACTATCCAAGGTACCCTCAGACCAACTTGCACAAACTCCAATCACCGTGACAGCCAAACTAAGAAGACGGACGATGCTTCCTCCCGAAGTTGTTCCTCTACACTCCCTCTGCGACAAGGTCAAGCAGCGGCCTTCTCTTAGCTCGGACTTGCAGTCCCGTCAACTTCTCACACCCCGCGCCGCACCCACACTTTCACCATCTTCCTGCCCACGTCCCTCGGCTTCCTACCTCCGACCCGACGACTCTACCAGCAACGTCAGCATCGCCAGTGGCTTTGTCACTTCAGCCCAGTCTACTGCTTACTGGAGCGGCCGCTTAATGTCACAGTTTGACAGGCGACGCAACCAGGAACTCCAGGCACTCGTGGGACGCACCGAGCTAGGACTGTCGTATCCAGAGAACGACCTGAACGCCTGTCTGAGAGAGCTGCAGAAGAAGTGTGTGACGGAAGCTGCGAGGCTTAGCTTTGCGATGTTCAAGGCCAGAGTGCACGTCAAGGCAGGAACATTGGGTAGCACTACGGGCATGGCGGAGGGCGGAGTTGAGAGGAGAGGTAAAGACATGGTTGAAGCGTAGACTGCTGCTGGACCACGAGTCTCGTCTGCGATTGTTGTTGAGGGAAAGATGAACAACATCCTCAAGACCAGAAGATCATCATTGATGGAGAAGCTGAAAGGAAGGCATTGAAGGTGTGTATACTGGTTCGAGGGACTGGTTGTGTAAGGTTGCATGACTCATTGACACCACAAGTAATGACTTTAGTGCCTGTATGATGGCAGCTTAATCGTAATGACAGAAGGACATTAATGTTTTCTTATGACCACTTAGTGAGACAACATTCTTCTTACACGTTTTGTCTATATGATAGCATCTTTTTAATTCGATATTTCAGCAGTCAAAATCGACAGCATGCATGACAAATGCTCCATTCAGCACACAGCCATCATCTCACGCATTCTGATCAACCAGACTTCTCTGGCTTCGGCGACAGCTCTTCGACGATGTTGTTTGGGTCTTTCCAAGCCAAAGTGACGTATNNCTGTAGATGATCGTCAGTGCCTGATGTCAAAAGTAGAGGGAGTATGACCGACTTTGTATGACTTCCTCTAGCGACCAATTCTTGCTTTTCGTTGTGGAAGTTTATGGATGTGTAGGCGAGGGTTTTGCCGACTGTTGTTGCAGCTGAAGTTAGCTGTATGACTCCAACAGAGAAGGGCGATGAATGCTTACATTTATCACAGGTAACTTCCTGTATAGCGAATAGATGGTGTTAGCCATGAACAGGCAGGTAAGAAGATGGGATGCATACCGCACGAATCAAGTCTCCGATCTTACCGCCAGAGTTCAGGTATGTGACNTATAGTTGCGTTCGTCAGCATTTTGTGAAATCCACCCAGACACATGATCTCGTGATTGTATGCATACCATTGAGATCGGTCGAAACGCCTGTAGCGAAGAGTCCACGAGAAGCTACGGCCAATGAACCGCCTAGATCAACCATACTGGCTATGGTGCCGCCGTGGAGGATATTGAGACGGTTNCTGTAAGTCTTGTTCAGTATTATGGCGAGTTGAGAGGAAAGGCTGGATAGACTGACGGTGTGGTGTTTTTCGATGGGAAGCTCAAAGTTCACGACGCCGGGGCGAGCTGCTGTCACACGCAGCTGGGTGATGAGAACGTATTAGCTGGGGAACTTCTTAGTTCTAAAGAGCAAAGAGCGATTGTCTTCCAAGTATAAGCTTGGCCGCACTAGTCTGCTGGAATTGAGCAGATGGATCGACAGCAGAAGGTGGTGAGAAGATCCGATGATAGCGAAAGGCTTCAATGGAAATCGCCCAAACGTGATCATCAAAGATATCGCATCGCATATCACTTACACCATTGAGAAGCCTTGAACAACAATATTAGTCCATTACTCTTAACGCCTCATGCTCAACAACATCTCACCTTGGTTCCAATCCAGAGTTGGCCTGAAAAGACTCGCTAAAGGTATCGTCTTAGCTTACACCAAGATTGGAAAGACCACGGAACCTACAAGACACTTTGGACAAATTTCAGACACCTTTGTGATGACATTGTTGTTGCTGGATTGGGAGTGTTGATATGTGGATGCTTTGATCCAGATGATGGAGCGATGGAATGAGTTTACCCGAATGCCGAGGCTTGCCGCTGAGGTAGGGTAACCCTGTCAACAATTATCATTCCCCATTGTCGATGAGAAGAATGTCTAGGAGATAAGACTTTCATTGCAGGTTCTGAGTTGGCTGGGCTGTAGTCATTCCACATACTACTGGGTCTCAGTTGCACTCACTATTGTGTATAGAAGTATCTCTGACTATCTTCAAAAATTCGCTCAATGGTCTCAACTCAACTTAGATGTTTTGCAAAAACCAAAGCAAAATGAGATGACAAAGCATTCGAAAAATGAGAAAATGTGTTCCCAGTCGCTTGTGCGTATCAGTTTCAAAGAGGAGGTTGGTCTATTCCATCGTGACATGCTCGAAAGTTGCAAAAGAAAGGCCTCAACCCGAGATCGAATCGGGGACCTCCTGCAATTTAGATAAACCCAAAGCAGGAATCATACCACTAGACCATTGAGGCGACTTGAAGCAATATTCTTTTGATGATGTATAATTCCATTAGTTTATCACAGGCCCCACACAGACGACCGTTCGCCCCACGTCTCCCATCCAACACTTCTCTGTTGTCGCATGCCAGTCATAGAGGAGTTCTTCTGAACTTTGCTGTCAGTGCATGCGGCGGTAAAGAAAGCCATAAGCATTGACTGCTTCCAGGAATAGAATTCATCGAAATTGGACCATGGAAGCTCCCCAAACGTAACGAAATCATCCATCCCGGAGCATCTATCTTGCACCCATTCACTGTTGGTCTTCGCGCTCCACACCTTGATGGGCAATATATCTTGTAGAGACTATCGGCGATGGCTTTATGCTGCGCCTCAAACAAGAAATGTCCTGCCAGATATCCTGACTCATCAACAGGAGCAGTTCTGCGATACAAGCCTTCAATCGGGACAGCAAAGCATGGTATCAAAGGTCCATGGCATGGTATTTGACGGTCTCAGGAGTTCGGATTTCTGGCCAATGAACAGGACCCCACTTCAAGCATTCCGCGGTATCCCACGGCAACGAGCAACCGTTCCGGCTTGCGCTGTTTTCGGGGCGCGAACATGACAAAGCAGTCGTCGCATTACTCGTAAGCTGGCTGGACCTAACACGAATGAAAATACAGCTATAGGTGGCTATGTATGGTGTCGATGAAACATAGTTACGACCATCCAAGCATGGCCGATCATACCTATCTTGTGTTGCATGGGAAGAACGATAGGATGAATAAGCATTCGAAGCCGAAAGGCGCGAGTTGACAATCATCGTTAAGAACCATCAACTTGTTCCGCAGAGAGGTCCAGAAGAAAGCCACACAGCCGGAACGAAATAGCTGTTCCATCACATCATGGCCTCCACGTCGACGTTTCTGAGAGCCCTGACCAGACGTGCCCCACAACTGTATACTGCTTTAACTGCGCGGACTTCCTCTTCTTCAAACCCTCTTGTCTCATCTTCTTGCCTTCTCTCATTTAAATCACTCTCGCCTTTCCGTACTTCATCAAAACAATTCAGCAGTACTTCTAGAATAGCAACAATGGCCTCCACCATGGACTTCCTTAGCGCTTGCGAGAACCGCAGAACCATCTACCAGCTGACCGACAAGATCCCCATCTCGGATGCTCGTGTCGAAGAGATTGCCAGACACAACATTCTTCACGTCCCTAGCAGTTTCAACTCGCAGTCCACTCGTATCGTTGTCTTGCTCAACGACGAGCACAAGCAATTCTGGGAGTTTGTCAAGGAGGTCTTGAAGCCCCAGGTCCCCGAGGACCAGTTCCCCCAGACCGAGAAGAAGCTCGATGGCTTCAAGGCTGGTCACGGCACTGTATGTGTTTCTGATTCTCACATCGGGATTTCGAATCTAAGGAATCAACGACTGACGTGGTCAATCAGANTTCTTTTCCTCAACGACCCCAACCCTGTCAAGAAGCTCCAGTCTCAGTTCGCTCTCTACGCTCAACACTTCCCCGGCTGGGCTACTCAGTCCAACGCCATGTCCCAGTACCACCTCTGGACCGCCCTTGAGGCCGAAGGCTGTGCTTGCAACCTCCAGCACTACAACCCTATCGTAAGTCGACCCCTGTCTTGCTCAAATGCCTGGGTTCGTAAGGAGAAATACTAATCATGATTTCCCACAGNNATTGACCAGAAAGCACAAGGTCACTGGAACATCCCCCAGGAGTGGGAGCTCCAGGCCCAACTTGTGTTCGGTGGCTACGCAGAGGGTGCTCGTGAGGCCGTCGACAAGGGCGGCAAGCAGCAGCAGCCCATCGAGGAGAGACTCTGGATCCATGGCGCCCAGAAGTAGATGTATGACGAACACAGCATATAGAGCAGTAGGAGTTAATCGCTTGTATGACGGCCTCATGAATTCGAACATTCACAGTTTGCCCTTTTCCTCTCCACTCAGCTCAACATTGGCAGCCGCTTGCATGACATCTCTCGTCAAAATCTCCCCNTTCTCCCTCTTCGGTTGTAGTCTCCCNATCTTCATTAATCGAACAATCATATCCTCATCCCCAAAGTGACTGTTGTGTTCAAAGTCGGGCTCCCTGCCATAAGCCACCCTTGCAGCATCCACCAAGATCCTTGCCGTCATGCCAAAAACCCTATACCTAGGCATGTCCAACGCATCTTTTCGTGCCAAGCTCTTGTCCACTGTTTGCGTCTTACTCGAGCCAGGGACGTGTTTTCCATAGGCTTGTGCAGCTCGGTCGGCGATTAGTACTGGCGCTTTTGACGCAGGTGAACACGGCGCCGTCGCTGCATCCAAGCGAGTATTTTCCACCTCAATACTCCTGAATACCGTCCTCTGACTCACAGGCACATGAAACATGTGCATGCGCCAAGGTTCATGGTACCAACTATGCCATGCNCCTCTATACCACTCCCCTTCTACTACACCATCATCCTTCTCTTTCAAAAATTGCTCAAACGGTGCTGTAAACACAGCAGCAACTTCTCTCGCATCAAGCTTCGGCAACAAATCCTTCGCGATATCTGACGTTGCGTTCGAGCTCCTTAACCACGCAACACAAGGCCTCACCCCCAACTCTGTCATTGCAAGATTCATCGGCAGCTCGGTCAGATTCTCCACTGTATAGCCCTTGGGCAGATTCTCGTCGTTGCTCGGCAACCCTATCTCTTCCTCTGCTTCCCGTCTGGCAGTCTGCCACGCGCTTTCGGCTTCAAAATCTGCTTTTCCGCCGGGAAGAGCGGCTTGCCCGGTATAGTTGCGCAGTTTGGCACTGCGGATTGTGAGGATGACGCGGAGGTCGCCGCGACGGTCGGCGAAGAGAAGAATGAGGACGGCGGCGCGGCGTGAAAGAGGCAGTTTGGTGTACTGCGATGATGGGGGTTTGAAGGCGCGGAGGCGGGCTAGGGCGGCCTGGAACGAGGTCAATGGATCTGGTAAATGGTGAGACGTTGGGGGTCGAGTGATGTACTTACTGTTGAGGCTTGTGACAATGCTGCCATGGTTGTATACAGTGGTGTGTCTCCATATCGCGGAGTTGTCAAGGTCAAGGGCAATGAGATCACAAGTCGAGGGGCTTTGCTGAGCCGAGGTAGATTTACTCTCGGTCTTAACCCAAACTCCGTATACAGATATGGCACAAGAGAGATGAGTACATTTTCCAATTTGATTGTCGGCGTCGACATCGTTTCTATACACAGAGATTAGGGAACATACTTTTCCTTTCCGTCTTCCAAAATCGATGTTCTGCCATACAATTTTTCGTATGTGTGTGTGTGCGCTCAGAGGGTACAAAAGGAAGGAACCAGAGGTCGGTGGGCTAAACAAGAACAACAACGCCGCGAGTATGCAACCATTTAAGAAGGGAATGTGGAAGACCCAAGCAAACGTGAATCCGGATGTACCGTTTTATTACCCGTCCATGCAATTAAGGAAAGAAAAACAAGAAAAGGAAGGAAAAGTCATACTCAAGGATGCCCGTGTGGTGTTTTGCTTCGTTCTTGCTGTCGGGCAATCTCTGTGGGAGCCTCGCCAGCGTCTACAGGAGCCTGCATGTTCTGAGACTTCTGTGCGCTTCTCTGTCGCTCTCTTTCGTCCTCACTGCTGCCAGCCGAAGCATCGCCTTGTTTTGGTACTTCACCACTTCGGCTCTCTCTTCGCAGTCTCTCAGCCTTGTCCTTCAGGACCTTTGCTTCTTCGGCTGCCCGTTGTGCGCGAACCTGCTTGCGCCACATTGAGTAGTACTTGCCCTTCATGTCAAGTAGCTCCTGGTGTGTACCTCGCTCAGCGACGCGGCCCTCGTGGAGAACACAGATCTGGTCAGCCATGGTGATAGTCGAAAGACGGTGGGCAATCACAAGCATGGTTCTGCCCTGGGCAAGAGTCATGAGAGCCTCCTGGATATGCTCTTCTGTCTCGGTGTCCAAAGCAGCAGTGGCTTCATCGAGCAGGATGATGCGAGGATCTTTGATGATGGTACGAGCGATGGCGACACGCTGCTTCTCACCACCAGAGAGACGAAGACCACGCTCACCAACCTTAGTATTGTAGCCGTCAGGGAAGGAGAGAATCTTGTCGTGAATCGAGGCGGCTTTGCAGGCTTCATACACATCTTCGTCGCTTGCCGAGGGATTGGCATACTTGAGGTTGTACATCAATGATTCGTTGAAAAGAACAGTATCCTGGGGGACGACACCAATATGTCTGCGTACGCTGTCGATAGAGACGTCCGCAACATCATGTCCATCAATCTGGATTGTGCCAGACTCGGTGTTGTAGAAGCGGAAGAGCAGACGGAAGACTGTGGACTTGCCACCTCCAGATTCTCCAACCAGAGCAGTTGTGGTACCAGGCTTGCAGCGGAAGTCGAGTCCCTTGAGAGCAGGCTTGCGGGCATCATAAGCAAAGTGAACATCATTGAAGCGGACGTCGCCTTCACAGCTGGGCAAAGTCGTGACCCCTGGGGCGTCAACGACAGTGGGCTCCTCTTTGAACAGCTCAAGCATTCGCTCAGAGTTGATCATGGCGCTCTGAATCATGCGGTAGAAGGTGCCGAAGAAGTTCAGAGGTCCCTGCAACTGAGCCATGTAGGTCAACAGAACAACGAATTTACCAACACTGCGTTGACCAGTAGTGACTTGGTAAGCAGCAACAAAACAAGCGACCATCAAACCAACCATGAAGACCATATTTTGCGTGACGTTCATAAAGTTGAGTGAGATGACGACCGAGTACTCTGCCTTTTGGTACTTCTCAACTGCCTCGCGGTATCTGTTAAACTCGTACGCTTCGGCGTTGAAGTACTTGACAGTCTCGTACGAGACCATAGAGTCATTCTTCACAGCGTCAACCTCTCTGTCCGAGTTAACCATCTGTCTGCGGATCTCGGCACGCCATTGAGCCATGCGAATGGTCAGGTAGATATACCAGAAGGTAACAACGGCGACAATCAGGGCGTAGTAGACATCAAACTCGATCAGGAAGTATCCGATAGCGACAAACAAGTCAACCAGCATGGGAATGACTTGGAATGTGACAGATTCGAGGAAGTTGTTGATGGCATTGCCCTTGCCCAGAGCGGACAGGACCTCGCCAGTCTTCTTGCCCAAATGGAAGTCCAAGCTCAAACTATGAACATGTTCGAAAGAGGCAATCGAAAGCTCGCGGAACGAGTACTGGCTCACAGGGAGCCAGATGATGGACCGAGTCGCACCAAGTAGACCGTTATTTCCCTGAAGAAGGCGATAGAAGATATACAGGCAGATGGCCTTCCAGGGCATCCCGGTCTTCTTCTCATCAGCAAGCTCGTCGGTAATTCTACCGGCCTGAATGGGCACCAAAATCTGAATACCACGTTGTACAAGCATGATCAAGAAACAGACAACAACAACGATTTGCAGTCTGCGGTCCTTGGAGGGCCAGAGGTATGGGAAGAACATGGAGTAGCCCCTAATGTATTCCCACCAGCTTCTAGAAGGTGTCGTTGTTGGCTTTTCCCAACCAGCAGGAGCATCTGCCGCCTTTTTCGGCTTGTTGTGGCCATTCGGCTGGGTAGCACCATATCCATTGGCGCCATTTGTAGAGCCATTAGCAGAGCCGTTGGCGGCACCAGCTTCGGCACGATCTTCAGCAAGTAGTCCAGTGGTCTCACTTGCAGAAGCCTGGCTAGCATCTTGCTTTCTCTGACTCCTAGCGTGCAGCGTGACGAACAGAATGTAGAAGGCGACGAGAGCGAGAAGCAGGATGATGCGGACCAGATCCAATGTGACACCAGTAATCTCCCATTCGGTCATTTCTCTTTCTAGGTGACCACCTGATGGATCGCCGGCTTTGGGTTCGTGATGGGCGTGGGTATATAGGGCGAAGGAGGAGGCGAGCAGGACGATTTCCATTGCGGCGGCGAGAGCCCATGATGTGGCATGGACCCAGGTAGGGGAGGGTTGCGTATCAAAGATGGAAATGAGGATCAGAGTGTAGACCATGAATGCACCCACAATGTAGACCTATAGAGTGCGCATACTTAGTACAGAAAGAGGATGAGTTTCATTGACGATGTAGCTTACAACAGTGGCTTGTCCGCACCACCACTCTTCCTTGCGCGCATACAGGGCGTGAACTATTATAGTGACGGCATTGCCGGCGAGAGTGAGGGTAGCTGCTAGAGCCAGCCACTCGAACAGCAACTTGCGCGGTCTGCTGAAATCAAGGAAAGTATTCTTGGATTCATCTGCTGGTGCTTTCTTCTTTGGCAGAGGCTTGCCACCAGGGCCTAGTTGTGGTTCGGACTTGGTGTCGTCGGGTTCATCACTGCTGGCAGACAGAATGCTGCGGATGGTAAAGGTGGTGAGGAAGAAGACGAGCAGTAGGATCGGATATGCGAAGTGTACAATGGAGAGGAGACGCTGGGCTTTGTGTTCGGCAACCCAATGGCCATGTCGATGGTGTTTCATGTAGACTGTCGCTGCGGCAGTGTCGAGCGGCGCTGGATCCATGATGATGATGACCAGGGTGTGAAAGCCCTCGGGTGGGGGTGTCGAGGGGCGGAACAAGAGGCGGAATGGAAAAAAAGCAACAGAAGAACAAAAAGCGTAGGGACGAGAGTGATGGACGACTTGAACAGGTACTACGATTGCCACCGCTTGAGGACTAGGTAGTCAGCATCTTCTACTGCCGTCTATGGCAGCTCTGGGAGTGTAGCAAGTCACGACGAGCAGGCGTGCGCCCTCTTCAGGTACGCCATGGCCTGCAGACAGCGCCGGCGCCGATTGCAAGTGGCGATACTCGATCCGGCAGCCGGACGCCCAAGCCGAACCAATCTCGCGCGCGTGCCTGCTCTACCGCACGCTTTCGGACCAGGTTTATGGGCACAGATGACCCTATCCAGTGCACTAATCTATCTTGCAAATCAGCTGCACGCGACCAGTCACTTTTGCTACCTGCTGCAAAACAACTCCTCAGCTTGCTGACCCATTACTCCACATGCGATGCATGCATACCACATCCAGAACGACAAACTCTAATCAGGCCTGCTGTCCTTCATCCCCACTGAAAAGGGCTGTGAGACGGTCAGCTGTCAGTCCGATTTGACGCGTCCTGGCGGATTTGTAACCACCATCGAAGCACATCTACCGTCTTCTTTGCATCTGTCTTCAACGTCAAACTATTGTGACCAAAACAGCGAATAAACTGTCCGTCTTGCATTCTCGTCACGAGGCTCGACATGTCGTGGCTGCAGCCTTCATGCACACCCTCCGCATTCTAACGCGCTTGTGGCTGTCAATTCAAACCATTTTCCACTTCCGCGCGTGTCTCCATTCATCAAATACCAGACGTCCGGAATCGTTGTGCTGACCTTCTGCCCAATCACTTTCCAGCGACACAGTGACGGCTCATCTCGCCACATCCCGCATACACCTTTGCGTCCGCTTCATTCTCTGCAAATGAAGGCTAACCAACCTTAACAATTCTTGCTGCAATTTCTCGCCGCTGTACAACTGATCCTCTGCACTACCTCGTCAACCTACTTGCCTCTACACAACCGATGGCTTCTTTTGAAACGACACCTCACCCAGCGTGGTACAGATTCAACGAGCCTTGACGGCTTCCTGCAGAAGCTGACAGGCCTTCAACTTGTCAATGGCCCCCGGATACTAATGTTCATGTTGACCACGACTAATGAAGCACCTGAAAGTGCTACAGCATACACCCGCAGCCACATTCCTGTAAGACGCGGACGACACGTCAAGGGCTCCTATCAAAATAGAGCCCTAGTGTGAGTTATCACATTGCTTCTTCAACGACAGCCAATGACACGTTCGGCAAAAGCACTGAACAATCATGAACTTGGAACGTCATGCCTGATAATTATTGAGTCGAAGTCTAACAAGATGGTCAGCTCAGTCTCGGTGTAATTAATGCATACAACCACGTCAAAGCTCATCTCTGAGGAGATGCTTGTCTGCTTTGCTGTCATTGCTAACTGCTAGCCCTCTCTTCACCATACTCGTCACAACCTCGTAAACGATCTGTGCAGCCGCGACAGACGTGGGTTCTCCAGCACCATCATAAGCTGGTGCAACTTCGACAATGTCCGCACCAACGACATTTAATCCTTCAATGCCTCTCAATATCCTGATTAGCTCTCTGGTAGACCAGCCACCTGCCTCAGGCGTGCCTGTTGCTGGTGCAAACGCCACGTCCAGAACGTCAATGTCGATGCTGAGATATACCGGGATCTCTGTACCGACCCTGGCAATGATTCTCTCAGCAATGCCTTCCACACCCCATCGATCAATGTCGTCAACCTCGATCTGCATGAAACCCTGCTGTACGTCGTTCTCAAAATCTTGGAAACCAGTCCCTGTCAAGCGACTTCTGAGTCCTGCGTTGGTCCGCCAACGCTGATACCCAGAAGAGTGGCAACAAAACAACAGAAACGAACATTATCGTAACCTCTTCTCCGTGGTTGTGGTGAAACCAAAGGTGAAGAAGGAGGAAGAGAACTAGATATAAACCTAGAGCATCGCAAACTGAAAGGAGCTATTAATGTTTCGAGTCTGGCTCTTGCTTTTTTCCTCTCAAGCCACGGCCGTTGAGGCCCTGCCGAGGCTAATTTTAGAGTATTTGGGCTAGAGTGGTGGTTGTCTTGCGAATGCAACATCAGCTCTGTCGTATACTGAAGATTTTCACAATATCACGATTGGCCTCTATTTGTCTCTTGATTTGTCATTGCTGGGGTGACTCGACTCGATCCCAAAAACATCCAATTCGAAAAATACCGAAACTTCAAAGTCGATATAGATGAAGGATTTACGATATCTTGAATATCACATTACATTTACATTATGCTAGAACAAATAGGTATAGGCGTTGCCAGAATTTTCCATCCTCTACCTCTGCCTACCTTCGCCGCAGCCATTGCCTTGAGCATCGAAGCAATCATAATCGAACAATGTAGCGTAAGAATCATCGTCGTAGAAGTTCCACTCCTTGTGGTCGTACTCGTTGATGATGTCAGCCACGCGCTGTGTGTAGGACTGGCAGTGGCCTTGCTTGACGGGGATGTTCTCGTTGTACTGCCACGACAACTTGTTGTCATTTGTGGACCAAGCAAGACAATCAGGGTTGGCTAGACAATCCAATGCGCAGGTTGTGACATCGCCAGATGTGGCAAAGATGGATGAGATGGCAGTGACAGATGCAAAGAGCAGAGAGTATCTTCCGCACGACTTGTGGGCTTCCGAGCGCCCTTGGGGGCAGTAGACTCCGGCAGGGATCTCGGGACGAGTGACGACTGAATATGCGTAGCTGTTGCTGACGGTGTATCTCACGGAACCGCGGTATTAGCCNCTGTATGATATAGTCAGTACGTAATGCATCCGTCGTTCGGCTGAATCAACACTCACATAATTGGTGGCGTAGGAAGCAGCCCAGATCTGGCTGTACATGGAGCAGTAAAGACCCTGAGGAACACCAGCTCTGGACAAGACATAACCGTTCACGAAAGCGCAGGTCTTGAAGCTACCATCCTTGTTAGGATGTGCTTTGTTGTAAGCCGTCTGTGCTGTGCAAGCGCTGGTACAAGACTCGAGGGTAAAGCCCTGGTCCTGCGAAAAAGGGAAGAACTTGCTGCCCATGAAGGTGTCCTTGTGATTCGAGTCCAGTGGGGCGTTAATGGCACCGCCTAGGCCGACTGGGTCGGTGAAACCAGCGACAGAAGGCGGTGGGGCATCCTTGTTGTATGCATTCGATGCTGCAATAACTACGTTGAATGAAGCACGCCATTGACCGAAGTTGTTTGCCTGTTCGACAGAGACAGGTGCCCCCAGATAGTGCACTAAGCATGTTAGTCTAATTCGTCTCAGATCACGGNNGATGTTACATACCTTGTAGTTGGTTGTGCTGGCTGGATTAGGACACTTGGTCGAGTTTGGTTCCAGAGTAGGGTCACGCTCTGCGTACATGTTGAATGCAACACATCCAGGGTTCTGATCACAGATGGACTGGCATCCAGGAACATCGTAGCTGTCCAAGGTGTGCAGGCCCATGTATACACTAGCGCTGAGAGAAGCCTTCTGGTTGGCGAACACTTGAGAGTAGCCATAAGGAGTAGCCACGGTTGTACTCAGAATCTTCTCTGGGGTCAGCAACGCCTAAGCCGATATAGAACAAGTACAACTCACGGACAAGTGATCAAGCACCAAAAAGGCCTCTGGCGTATCAGGGCTGGCGACAGGTCCTCTTCCTGCTTTCTGCTTTGCGCAAGTCGAGTCTCTCGCGACGAGATCGCGCTCAGTGACAGGAGAAGCACTGTTGATAGCAGGCTCTGCCGAGACCGCACCAGATGCTGCGGCAGCCTGCTCAGTGACAGCGGCTACTGTAGCCACTTGCGTAGCAACATCGAGCGCAGGAGTGATGAGAACAGGATCTGCGGCCTGTTCGACCAGATCAAAGTCGATATCTTGGGGTCTGGGAGCAGCCGCAACGACTGCAGCTAGGACGTGCAAGGTGAAGAAGGAACGCATCTTGGAGGAGATATGATGTTTGAGATGTGGTCGACATCTGGAAGGTTATCAACAGAGCTTTATACCACCTACCTAAGTATCTTTGGATTCGCCTAGCATGAGAGACCCGGATATGACCGTCTTGTGATTCTTCGCCTGCTCGGGTCGCGAGCACAGTCATGACAATGGACCATCGTAGCTTGTTGGTGAGCATTGTCATAGCGTACTATAGCCCTTAGCTACACGAGACCATTTCTTCTTCCAGGAAGTGACAATTGTCCAAGATCTTGCGGTCGAGGTTTGAATGGATATGTGGAAAGTGGTAGACTTGTCGTGGCGTTCCTAGAGGTCTAGTGTTCAGCTGAAGACCCATCGAGCCGAACGCACAGAGCGACCAACGACTCATGTCCACATAACAGTCTGCCAAACACGAACTCACTGCGACTCGTTGGAGAGATCAATATCATCCTCATGCTGTCTACCTGAGTGCAGAGAGATGAAGGTTTCATGGACTGGTAGGCGGCCGTGGTGTAGACCGAGATACCCATTTGGATGGGGCGCGACCATGCTTTCAAAGACAAATACAGGAGTGTTGTGTTTGACAGCTTTTGACGACTATGCTTATACAATATTCCGGAATCACCGAAACAAGAAGCAAGTGAGACAATATCATGGAAGGGAGCAAGGACGTCGACTGCAGAATGGCTCGCCAAAAAAAAAAAATAGCCTGGAAGGAAGCTACCATTCAGGGTCGTCCCTGATACGTTCTCGAATTGAGATCGAAAAGATACAGGAGGGCAAGAGAGACAGTTACCACCACCTTCCAACAAGCGCTCTTGTATTGATCTGCTGTTGATAAAATAGATTGGACACTAACATGCAATAACAGAATCTCAGTGAAAGTTGGTTCTAGACATTTCATCATTATGCTATGTGACATGAACTTACATCATTTGACATTATCATCACCAATCCTCAAACTCTGTAACTCTCAGGAGGACCCAAATAACTCTTTCTTACACCACCAAGATCAACGACAACTTTTTGAAGCACAACATCAGGCTCAAGCTCCCAGATCTTCAGCTTGTGCGCTCCAGGGCCTGAGTAGTTGAAAGTGGTTGTGTTGGACCAATTGACATCTGCAACGGCAGCCAACCAGCCGGTCGGGTTAGCACCCTGTGGCTGATCGAAAACATACTGGCGGGTTTGCGGCTCTTGGCTATCGAGCTGTACAGCGAAGCGGAGAGGGCGGTTGGGATTGGTGTTGAGAGAAGTGCCGAGATAGAGTGTGACGTTAACAGTATTGGGAGTGTACCCTGAACTTGTGCCCATGTTCTGGTCCATCAAAACTCCGGAGCTCAAGTTGGTGAAGGTATAGAAATCATACTCAAGGGCAGGGGCAGTTGATGTGGTTAGAGAGCCTGCAGTAACAGGGAACAGAGTGACACCCGAGAGCGTGCGCGATAGGCCAGGAATGACCTCGTACGAGACCGAAGAATTGCCACCGTTCGAGATAGATGAGTAGTGCTCCGCTTCCATAGACACAGTGCGGTCAGACTCAACGTGGCCGTTGGTGAAGTTTGACGGAACAGCAGTGTTGTTGTAGGAAATCACAACCTGTGGAACGCTGTACTGAGTGCCGTAATCAGAAGAGCTTGTGATATTAATCTTGGTCGAGTTGATTGCGCCAGGAGTGACCTTGGACCAGTCGACTGAAACCCAGATGCGAGTGTCTGTGGTACCGTTGGGAGATAGAGAGCCGGTCTTTTGTGTGAAGTTCAGGTAGGGCACGCTAGACTGGACATTCCAGGTGATCTGCTGAGTACCGGTATGGAAGACATCAATCCATCGAGCAGGTCCGTAAGGATCAAGTGTTGGAAGGTACAGTATCATGGATGACAGTGAATGGAATCTGTCGTCACCAGGGACGGTGGCATTAGAACCTTCAACAGCAACACCCAGATCGCCAATCAAGGCTCGTTCGGCCATTTGAACGTATTGCAGAGGAGGCAAAGCTTGTCTCATAGGTTGCTGCCAGTACATGTAGCCAATGTGTGTCTGGTCCATCATGTGGTTCCACTTCCCATTGAGCAGTCCGTTGTAAGACTTTGAGAGCTGATGATCATACGAGAACTGGTTCTGCACATGTTGTGCGATAGCGTTCGTGGAAGTACGTCCCTGTTGAGCATAGACATTGTTCTTGGCAGCCGAGATCATGATGTCGTAGTAAGTGCGAGCAGCGGTGACAGGGTGGTAGACCATCTCGAAGAAAGCGGGCTGCGTAGCCACAGGCAGTCCGTCGAGGATGCTTTGAGCTGTCTTTTGGATTGCGGTCCATTCGGCCAGAACTTTGTTAGCCTCATCGTAGTTGATCAAACTGTAAGTGTTCGGGTCCACCTCTTCGAACTTCCTGCGACCAGCCAGGATTGAGTATGTGTTCATAAGAGCTCCTGTCTGAGCTGCGACCTCAGGACCAAACTCACGAGAGGCCCAGAGTTCGAGCCATTCAGGAGTGCTGTCTTTGTCCCAGCGGTTGATGTCGTACGCGAGATCGAAGAAATGCGAGATGGGCAGCTCAAGAGGCTTAAGGTCTCCAACGTTGACAACCCAGATTTGTCTGGCTTGTCTTTCGTAGGCGAGATGCATCTGCTCCCAGGTCTTCTGATTGAGAACCGTGTTGATCCACNNCTAGTCGGCTCTGTCAGTATACTCAAGTCAATGGCTCATGATATCTTCAGTCTCTTACTTGTAATCTCTTGGATCACCAACATAATCGAAGTGATAGTAGACACCAGCGCCTCCGCTTCTCGATGTCTCATTACCAACAGGCAGCCGCCTAATATTTCCGAAGTTGTCATCTGTCCAGAGTAGGGTGATATCTTCAGGGACAGTCATGCCGGCTTCGTAGTAACCTTGCACTTCTTTGTATNNCTAAAGCGCCAGTATGATTAGCATGAGTCTCACGATAGCAAGAATGCAAGAAGGAACAACTCACAAACACCATAGCTGTGGTACAGCGTCGGGGTTCATAACACTAGCGTTGCCGAAGACTTGAGCAAGTATGTCGCGCTGAGTAGAGACAACATTTTCCAGGAGTGCAGTCTCGATGCCGGCTCCGAGAGCAGTATCACCTGAACCACGCATACCCATGGTGATAACACCCTCATACGGACGCAGTCTCTCAGCGCCCTCGACGAAGAAAGGGTAGATGGATTGATTGTTCGTACCTAAAGGTACGGTTAGTAAGATTTTGAACACTTGGATGGAAGAACACCTTNNACTCCATGACCATGTTCCGTTGCCGAAAACATTCCACTCCTTGGTGGATCTCATCATCGGTTCAGTGTGCGAAGTGCCCATCACGATACCGTAAGCATCCGCCATGGCCTGACTTCTTGGGTCGTCAACGTTGAACATTGAATTCCATTGAGCGGGCCATAGATAATTTGCTCTCAGACGAAGCAACAGCTCGAAGACGCTGTGATAGAACTCGGAACCGAAGTTCGAGCCGTACTTGTTGAATCCGAACTTTTCGTTAACATATCCGGTCAAGGCAGGTGCCTCGTCATTGAGGAAGAAGCCTCTGTACTTGACGGAGGGAGAAGGCTGGACTTTGGTGGCGTTCATAGCATAGATGCAATCGTGCTTTTGAGGAGGGGAGTCGGCCCAAAAATACCATGGCGAAACACCGATTTGCTCGGACACGTCGTACAGACCGTATACAGTTCCTCGTCTGTCGCTGCCAGCAATGACCAAAGCCTCATCCACGCCATCCATTGGGTTCGAGACCACAGTGGAAGTGAAAGCCTCCCAAGTACCGTTGATGGCAGAGATGTCAATCTTGCCGCCCTTGATCAACGCATCGATGAGCGAAGAGTTTCCAATCGTTCCTGCAATGATGACTCCTCCTTTTGCTCCGGGAGAAGTGGTGCTGAACGTGGTCAGGCCAGTAATGTTGAAGATCATAGAGGCATTGTGTGGGTTGCTGCTGAAGTACGAGCCGGCATTGTAAGCAGGTACATCAGAGGTGTCGGAGGTATTGGAGAGAACGACGGATCCATTGGTGCCGGTGACTCTGCCAAAGTCTTGTGACAAGTCGTGAGCGGCCTTCAGTACAGCAGGCCAGTCATTGGTGTCTGCCAAGATCTGAACGGAAGAGCCTCCCGAAGCCAACTCGTGCGAGCCGGCCGATGCATTGAAAGCAACTGTTGCATTCTGGCCGATGGCCAACGCCGTACTGGCGAGGGACAATAACGATAGTAATGGTCGTAGTGGTATCATGGTCGCCCTGTCATCGGCAAAGATATACAAGAGTGACCAACTTAGCTGCTACATGGTCACCGCCAACTACTTATACTGGTATCGTCATCCGTGAACCCCTCTTGACAGCATTCAGGCAGTGCCATACTCTCGTATCGATCTCGAGTGGCATGGATAGACGATGGGGTGTACCGGGTATTCTGGTTAAAGTGAATAAGTTCGTGATCTACAGAGGGACATGAAGTGGTTTAGGCATGGGATCAACATGCAGGCCGTGATGGACAGGAACCAAGGCCAGATCTTGGCTGCGGTTGCCGGATGTGGAGCAACCTTCTTGGAAGATGGAGGTGGCAGGATATCCGGGTAAAAGATGAGGCGAGGGTGGACATCAAAGGCCGACAAAGACCGAGGATGCCAGCACAAGATCATGAGTATAAGCTATCGTCTACAGCATGGTCTCAATCGGTGAGTACGCTTTGGATCATCAAGTGTGCTCTCCGAGAATCAATTCTCAGGTAGCCAAGGGGTTGGAGAGCAGCAGGAAGATGAAAAGACCCTCCCAGTGTTAAGGAAGGCGCAATGGCCAAGGCGTTCCTTCCCCACACGGAGAAATTGTGAAGATGCGGGGTGACAAAAACATGCATGGGCTTGCAGCAAAGCGTGAGGCGGCGAGCAAACAAACCAAGCCATCTCGACTTTATCCAAACAAATTCCTCCTCTCACAATAAAGCCATGGCCCAAGGAACCGTCAAGCAGGNNAAGGTCAAGACTGAGCCCAAGAAGTATGGTTACCAAGAAACTCTTGCTGGCAGAAGAGCTTGCGACTGATACTTTTCGCGTCTAGGGNGCGCAAGACCTACTGGTCCTCAAACTGGAAACAGAGTCATCAAGCCCAAGAAGGCTGCTATGCTGAAGCAGGCCAACATGAAGAAGGTTCGTACAAGCCGTGGACCCATGCGGAAGACTAACAGAAGAGCTGACTCCCGACTAGNNAAGCATTCCGCCGGTCTGATCACCTTGACTGAGCGCTCCNTCGCCGAAAAAGCCGGTCATCTCGAGATGCTCAAGGGTGGCAAGAAGGACAGACTCGAGAAGGCCAAGAACAAGGCTTTCAACAAGAAGTAGATGCATAAGAGAAAGAGTGGGACGATAATTTGAGTTATGCATAGCGTTGGCGTTCAGGTCAGAGACAGAGGAAGCATACAGGGCGGCGCATTATGGGACAATACCACAAAGGTGCACATCGAGAGACATGGGCGGGTGGACAATCTGGAAAAAAGATGACAGACCAGTATGCAGTATGGCAAACTAAGATGCGTTTGCTCTTATGAAGAACATCCTTTCATTCTGATCTCAACTCCCCTAGCACCATGCTAAATATCTATATGGAAAATCACAACCAACGCCAATTGACCCAGAATCCACGAACTGTCAACCAAAGAATGGAGACGTCTCAAGCATTGTTGGCAGCCTCGACTGCTCGCAGACCATCAGTGCCGTAGGGACTAACGTACGAGTTAGCACCGATAGCGCTCTCTCTTCTGATCTCGACAACATCATCATCGTCGCCTGCGTGAGAGTCACGATCAGGCACACCGCCTTGCTGGCCACCACCAGTCGAGCTCCGTGGTCTCATGCCATTGCTATTGAAACGCTCTGCACTTGCGCTCTCATTCTCTTCGCCCATTCCATCGACCGACGGCCAAGTGCGTTCCCAAAGCCAGAGGACTTGGTTGAAAGCACTGAGACAGCGAGACATCTGCTCACGACCATTGGGAGAAGTTTCGGCATTGGCAAGCTCGTCGACAACAGCCTTACATGCATCGACAAACTTTGCAAAGGCAGCTGATGTCCAGTTGGGGATCAAAGACTGATGCAGAGCAGCGTTGTGCGAATCGCCATTGGAAGAGTATGGCAGAATCGGTTGGTTGAGACTTGAAGAGAAGCTAGCAGCGTATGCCCATGATGCACGATAACAGTGTTCGATGGCCCAAAGCACGACAGCGCCTTCGAGTAAACTTGCAGCGGGCGAACTTGCTGACACGAACAAGTCGAGGAAACTTCTGGTGATTGGGTTGGGCTCCTCTTTCGGAACCTGCAGATTGTATTTGGTTGCGGTTATCTCGAAGAAGCTCATCTCTCTGCGAACGTTGTTCAAAGCACTAATCAGCAAGTCCATAGCTCGATAAAGAGGGTGCGATTGCGAGTTCGCGACGATAGGCAGGCGGATCTTGCCAATGAGCTGACCGACAAAGGCGATATAACCACGCGAGATGTGTGAGTCTTGTGCTAGCCATTGGCTCATTGCGCCAGCGCTAAGGGTGCCGCAACCAGCGTGGGAGAGGAACGAGGTTTGAGTGGCAGCTGTAAAAGGGGCAGCGTTCTGGGCCAAGAGGTAGGCGGCCAGACTTGGGCTCTGGGCGGGTGGATTGGGAGCAATGGGAAGAGGCATAGCGCGCTGGCCATTCTTGATCTGACCATCGCGCGTACGCTTGTTGGGCCCACGGCGGTTGACCTGAAGGTTTGGGTTGGGTCTATTGCCCATCAAGAACTGGTTTCTCTGGGCCGAGTTTGGCGTAGCTTGGAGTGGTGAATTGGCGATTCCGGACATGATGCTGGTATTGCCCTCGTCCTGCTGTGAAGCGTCGATGTCGTTGAGTGACTCGACGTAGTCAGGGGAGCTCAGGTACTGTTGGCACTCTTGCAGATGCTCGACCTGGCGGGTCGTGTTCTTTGCGCGAACGAAACCGCAGTAGGTGCAGCGAACCTTGTTGCACTGTATGGCATCGCGTCAGCCATCGGGCAGCGACGCGTCCTGATGGCAGCGGTACGCTACCTTTGTGGGATTGTCATCCTCTTGAAATTCGACGAAGGCTCTCTGGATGATCGCATTTGCGTTCCTGCCCTGTGGTACGAGTCAGATGTGTCGGGAGGTTGAGTGTCGCTGTCGTGAACAAGCCTACCATGATGGATCGAGCTTGTGCAATCGGAAGCCGGGGGCTTGATTACACGATATGTACTGTATTCGAGTGTAAAGAAAGACGAAAGAGAGTGATCGGGCGCGCCAATTACCTCCAATTGACTCGCTGCGCCGCGCTTACGCTAGCAGTGAAATGCCAAGATGACCGTCTGTAATCAATACTAAGCCGACCCGAAACTCAATCAATCACTATCACGTTCGACAGTATTCATCGACTTGACCATCACTCGGGTGTGAGCAATCCTTATTCTAAGAGAGATCGTCATCACAAGTATATAGTGAAATCTGTCCGGTAGCAAGTAGCCTGGCCAACAGAACTCCAGACTCAGGCTTCTCTAAAGTACGCTTGACAGCGAGACTTGAGCATCAAGACTTCAAACTCGATAACCAGGGCCCAACTCGAAACATACAATCAGCCTCGTGTGGCCTTCGGATCTGGAGGACTGCTTCGCGGCAGCTGAGTTTTTCAGTAAATATCCCACCTATATTGCCTAAGTACACCAAGTGAAAGTGAATTGAAAGCGTTGCGAACGGCATCGGACAGATAGAGACTTTCCGCTCTGTGAAAATCACTGGGTGTTCTGTATCACTATTGCACTCTCGTCTTGCCTAACGAAACCACGCAACTCACCACCACCGTGTCGACTGCTATACAGCTAAATCACTACTCACTAATCAGGAAAAGCGGACCATCAAGATGTCTGCATCACAGCCTCAAGACCAGCCGGAGGCGAGCAGCTCATCCAGCGCCCAATCCATATCAGGTAAGTAACAGAAAAATCTCGAACCCCAGGCACAACCACCACCACCACCACACAACCATCAGAACTTCTCCTAATCACACACAGAATCACAACAACCGGCGGTAAAACCTGTGCCCAGTGCAAGAAGCTAGAAGAAGACCCCGAAGACAAACCACTCAAGGCCTGCACCACCTGCAAATCGGTCTACTACTGCTCACGAGAGTGCACAAAAGCACACTACAAAGTCCACAAGAAGGAATGTGCAAAGCTGGCCCAGGAGTATTCCAAGACTGCTGTCTTCAAGCCTGCCGTGAGAAGTTCGGCACCCAAGGAGGGTCACAAGGGTGGTTTGCAGAAGTGGCAGTTTGACACTTAAGGTGTGGGATGGCTGATATGGTTGCTTGACTCTCATGAGAATCACCCGTCTCACGAACCTTTGAGCGTGCAATTGAGAGATTTGGTATAAAAACTTCGACATCCGTTCGGGAGTGTATCTTGGAGTTTGGTGGGACCTGGTTGATAGATAACTGAAATCTACTCCCCAACCGACAATTGTACTTCTGTCCTGCCCTGCTGCGCGACAGTTGTAATTACCGTTCAGACATACATAACCAGAATAATCAAAGTCTGTAAGACTGGCCGAACAATATGAAGTTGATGAAGCGAGCCAACACCTTCGCAAGCAAAATTCCCCACCTTTGACGCAAATACCATGACGTACTCAGCTACTCGCCCTCGTATCTCCAACTGCCAGTATCACAACTTCTCAGTACCATCAAAGTCAAACCATGTTGACGAGTGCAAAGACAAGAGTCAGTCAAGTCCTAAACCACTTTACCAACCCAACAAGGAGCTTCACATTGTCAAAATCCAGTATGGCAAAGCTAGACATCAACTCGACCGTTCGCATGAACTCAGGTTACGAGATCCCACTCCTCGGCTACGGAGTCTACCAAACACCCATGGACATTGCTGAAGAAGTCACTGCCCATGCTGTCAAGTGCGGCTATCGTCATGCCGACTCAGCAGCTGCGTACCGCAACGAGGCGCCTACAGCGGCCGGTCTACTCAAGGCTCAAGTCCCTCGCTCAGAGCTCTTCTTTACATCTAAAGTGCCTCCCAAAGCCGTCAACTATGATGCGGCCAAAGCTGTCGTTGACGAGTCGCTACGACTGACCGGGTTGGACTACATTGATCTTTACCTCCTGCATGCGCCGTATGGCGGTAAAGAAAATAGATTGGGTGCTTGGAAGGCGTTGGTTGAGGCGGTAGAGGCCGGAAAGGTAAGAAGTATTGGTGTGAGCAACTATGGCGTACACCATCTCGATGAGCTTGAGGAGTGGATCAAGCAGACTGAGGAGAAGGAGGGCAAGGGGAAGGGCGGTTTGTTGAGTGTCAATCAGGTAGAGTTGCATCCTTGGTTGGCTAGAGACGACATTGTGGAATGGTGCAAGAAGAGAGGTGTCGTTCTGGAAGTATGCCGCTTGTTATACCCGTTTTCTACTTGGGATACTTGACTGACATCTACAGNNGCATACTGTCCTCTGGTCCGGGCAACCAAGATCGATGACCCTCTTCTTACACCCCTGGCAAAGAAGTACACCAAGACGACCTCCCAGATTTTACTCCGCTGGGGCCTGCAAAAGGTATTTGATCCTTGATGTGCTATGTTTCATGCGGTCATCTGCTAATGAGACATGACAGNNAACTTCGTTATCCTGCCAAAATCGGTTACACCTGCTCGTATCGAGGAGAACAAAAACATTTACAACTTCGAGCTTTCTGAAGAAGACATGCAGGTGTTAGATATAGGGTCGTACGAACCATGTGCTTGGGACCCCACTACCAGCAGAGACTAAGAGATCAAGATGGCAGAAAGGACGTCTAAATATAGGATGTTGTACCGAGCTTGAGAATGCAGACGGATCAACGAGAGGGGCATTAGTTTGCCGACGTCTCTTACGGCGACTGATAGTCTTCTGAAGATTGCGAACATCACCTTCATGACATACGTATGCTTGAAGGCCAAAACCAGCCTTGAGCTTAACATACTGTGACATACAATCATGCTTCTGGCACGACCTTGTCGCTTTTGCACTTTCGCTCGGGCAACAACGGTCGGCTCCCAGCAATGGTGAAGCTTTGCGATCGGTTGATATGGGCAAGCGTCCCTAGCGATCACTCATCTGCAGATCATAAGGCTGTAAACCTGGATGGGCGAGGTAAGACAGAGCCATGAGTTTTCTTCCGGCAATTCTCACCCGGTCGGCACTCTTGGGGCTTGCTCTTACTCTCAGCTTATGAACAAGAGACATCAGCTGCCTCCTTTCCTTCTAGCTGCACCATAAGCCTTCTAGAAGGCGACCGAGTGACTAGCAGCTGGATAGGGTGAGGTGAATTGTCTCGGTGAGCAGAAGAACAGGGTCCAGATTCGGGAATGCCGACAGGACTTGGTGGGGAAGGTGAACGTCCTTCTTCGCATCATCTCGCACTTCATCCTCCATCATCTCCTCGTCAGCAGCAAATAAACAATCATTTTCGAACGTGTCTCACCTTGGGCAAACCACTTTTGGCATGGCTTCTAGTGTCGCATGTACGGATTGAGGACGAGAGGCCAGTCAAAGATCAACGCCACGCGAGAGTAGTTGCAAACGGCGATAACGGTTGTCTATCGATATTCGTCCACTGCTGTTCAAGGTTTGCTGGTTGGCAGCAAAGAATACTCGCAGACATCTCAACGGGCGAACAGTTTCTCGTATACTGATTGACTCCTCGTCGTGAGCTGCTCAAGGGATGTCTTTCACTATCCGGATTTCGGACAACTTGGAACGCTTCAGATACTGTAGCGAAAGTGTCTGTATCCTCTCAGGAAACCACATTCCCCACCCGGTATAACGTCGCGGGCAAGACCGAGTCGGTCACAACTGCCTTCATGCCTCTCTCAGGCAAGAATCGTCCAGAAGCCCCACAATCTTTCCAAATCCTCGATGACAAGACCAGTACATGTTGGATCTCAACATCCATGATCGTCATACATTTCGCATGTTCTCGTCTTACCACAGAGGAGCGGATATCGCACACATGGCAGTCAACGTAGTGACTCCTCGCTCACATGTCCATAGTTGCCATATTGGGGTTTTGATTCGACTATCTTAACGACCGCTAGAAAAGGCTTGCCAACCGTCGTGGAACCTTTGGCCGAACGCCACAACGACTGAGGACGAACCTACATCACACATTCTCTCAGCTGCTTGGTCCGGCTCATCTGAAACAATTTCGTAGTGCCCAGACGGCCAGGTGGGACAATTGTGGAAGACCGTTGACATCTTCGTTTTCCTGCTTTTATACTTGTACACGTTGATCCTCCTCCACTTGGTACTTTTTCTGGTCTTTTGATTTCAACTTTCATTCGAGTCTGCCTGGATAGCATTAAGACGATTCGACACTACAGCACACCAGACCATCCTGTCTAATTTTTCAGCATCTAGACCCAACATTTGAGTCAAATTCCGAGCGCTCATAACATCAGGATCCGGCGCATCTGACATTGAATCTGCTCTTTGGAGGGAAAAGCGTATACATTTTGATCACACCAGGGGAGCTGCGACCTAAGGTCGAAACACAAAATGCCAGCCATAACTTCAACGACACTATCCCGAAGGGATCTCATGGACGATATGCACTCACATGACAACAATGCCTGGTCAATACTTGCTATCACAGGATCCTGGTGTTTCCTGGCGGTCATCATCGTGGCCACGCGAGTATACACACGACTAGTCATGGTCAAGTACCTAGGCTGGGATGATATCTTCGCGGTCATAACAACGATACTCGGTGTCGCCATCTGGGGCTGCTTCGTTGGAGAAGCACGGTGGGCACTCGGAAAGCACTGGCAGGCGATCACTCCGGAGATGCTGGTGATGTACAGCAAGTGGCAGTTTGCACATGGTATGCTCATGGTGTGGGCCCTGCACGGAATGAAGATTGCCTTTGCGATCTTCCTACTCCGACTCAGCAACGGCAGACTCTTCAGAAGAGCACTTTTCGCTGTCATGTGTAAGTCTCGAGCAAGCCTAGCAGATTTCAAGAGACAAATTCGCTGACCATGCTTAGGCTTCATGACCATCTACACTACTGTTTCTTGGTTCACCATCCTGTTCAGCTGTGCCCCGATCTCGGCTGCTTGGACTGGCAGGAATGGAAAATGCATCTCTCTAACAACCTACAGGGCCCTGGGCATGACTTATAGCAGTGAGTAAATCCCATCAATCTACGCTACTCAAACTAATTCACTACAGNTTTTCGGCATGCTCGCAGACGCTTTCCTGGCTTTGATCCCAATCTCGATCATCTCCGGCATGCAACTGAACATTCGCACCAAGATCTGCCTGCTTCTTGCGTTTGGGGCGGGCTGTGCTGCAACAATTTGTGGTGCTGTGAAATCCTATCATCTCTGGCATTACCTTGAAGACCGCGATCGTCTTTACAACAACAGCTATTTTGTCTGGGGAGCACTCGAACTCTACGTCGGAATCATTGCAACTTGCCTGATCAGCTTGAAGCCTCTCATCGCCTCTTTTCTCGACAAGGCAAAGTCAACACTGTTGACTTCTGCAGCGATCGCAAAGTCATTGCACCCCGGTTCGCCTGGACTACACTCTCCTCGCGAACATTCGCCCAAGTTCGATGAGAAGACCGGACAGCAGTTCAATACCTACAACACTCAAAACTTCCCTCGAATCGAAATATGCAGTGTCAGCAAGTACGAGATGCCGGATATTCCGGTCACTTTTGAGCAGCCGAAGGTGTTCAGGTTTGAGACGCAGAACATTGAAATTCCATCACCGCTTTCTTCGAAGCCAGCCATCGCCCCGCCTCAAAAGTCGAAGAGAAAGCATAGACCGGCACCTCTAAACACAGCAGCTCTGAGTCGAAGAACTTCTCTCGAATTGACCTGTGCGAGAGGAGTTCTCACTTCACCTTCACCAACCTATCTACCATCAGCGATCGAACTCGGCTTCCTGAACCTGGTCAAGGGAAGAGATCCGGAGACTTTGTCTCAAGAACAGCGAAATGATGTTCAACCGTCAAACAGTAGATTTTCTGCGTCAACAACCAGCGTCGATTCTCCCGCTACAACGACAACAGCCAATACGCCTCGCACCTCTCTATCAGTGCCTAATCACTGCGGTCTTCTCACATCTCCTACTCCGACTTTTCTTCCTTCAGCAACAGGAACCGATTTCGACTTCTTCAGCCTGATTCGTTGTCGCGACCCCGAAGTCCTCGCCGCCAGTAAATTCCCATCCTCGCGTCGCGGTACTGTAGTTTCTATTCCAGAGGATGAAAGCATCAACTTCCCAGTCTCTCGCCGTGCAACTCTGGCACACGCCCGCTATCAATCCATAGACTTTAGCGAGACTACCACAGCGACGACACAAACAGTGCAACGCGTTGGTGCTGGCGAAGTACGACGAAGACCTAGCATGGCTCCCTCAGCCAACTCTACAAGCTCTGCTTTCCTCTGTCCTCCGATTCATCCAGAAGAGTTCCGCGACAACCAAATGTTCTTCCACGTCATGAGCTCTGGCCAATTCAGAAACACTGCTGAGACAGCCGCGAAGCATCTAGAGGTCGAAGAAACGCCTGTGAGCCCACTGTCCTTGGAGCCGGCACAGAAGTTGGTTCTCAGAGAACAGCATGGGTATGGATTCAGTCCCCTCTTTGATGGCGGATTTGCGGATCTAGCATCTCGGGAGAGAATTGACTCTTCGCATGCGGCTTCGAAGAAGGACGAATAGGGTTGTTTCTGTCTTGCTACTTTCTTCCCTTTGTGTATTTTCTCTATTGCTTCCCCTTTCTGCATAGCCATGGCGTCTCACGATAGCATTAACACCTAGCATCAGCGTGTGGACGAGGTCTTTAGCTTCTCAACATCTTCTAGATTTATATCATACATACCATATCCCATGGTTACTTTAGATAATGCAAAAATTCATCACTTCACAAATATAGTTTGAGATCGCTCACCTTGGAGGATGTCCTGTCTGGGCTCGGATAAGCATGTCGCTCAACGAAAGCAGTGAATGTGTCGCTTCACGGTCATACGCTAAGGTCAAGGCGAAGAACAGCGTTTCATTGATCTGAAAGCACTTATCTGTCTGGGCATTAGTATAAGTGTTCCAATTTGTCACATTGATGTGTTTTCTTTCGCAGAACGTAGCCAGCAGTGAAGGACTATCCTGCAGAGCCATTCCCTCCACTGTACAGAGGGGTACACAGCAGAGTCCCGAAATTGGGGATAGCTGTGACCAGGTACAATAGTCCTTTATGCGCTGGACAGATCGTAATTTGTCTCATCAACTTCTGTATCACAGGATCGACGAGAACCCATGTAGATTGACCTGTTGACTTTGTTCCACGGGTCTCCAAGTAGGGTTCCGGGTTGAGAAAAAACATGGAGATACGAGATATGCGCCCATCATGGTTGCAGCACACAGATGGCTGGGGCACAAAGTACTACCAATCATGCACCAAAAAGCGGTAGACATGAATCTGATCACAAATGTTCTGCAGAATGTATCCTTGATCAAGACACAATGGTACGAGAACGAGACAATAGTGTGATGAACAAGTAGCAGAAAAGCAATGATCTGCAAGGCAAGAAATGATGATGACCGAGACGATGGGAGGACGCACGGGAAGGAACGTCAAAGAGACGAGAACTCGAGATGAATGATTACATTGGTGGCTGGGCGGACAAAGTAGATTGCTCGCAGAAGTCTTGCGGGTTCGGCAGGTCGCGCTTGTTGGGAGAGAAATGTTGAAGAGGTCCAACACATGCTGGAACGAGTGGGAGTGGAGTGAGGATTCACATGGATGGTGGAGGGGGTTGACGACTACTGCAAGCCACGCCGAGTGGTGGGGAATTGGTTCTCGAAGGCGCACCTGCCAGAAGCGTGCAGATTCGATCATGGAGCCATTGAAGCAAGTCGCAGATGCAAAAGGAACAGAGAATTCATTCGTCGGGGAAGCGGTGGCTGTCATGTTTCCTTTATGGGCCCTTAGGCTTTGCGGGCAGCTTTCGGGAAGGCGGGCGGGAGAGTGCTGCGTGCATGAAATTTTGGATGGTGCGTGCATATCACGAACTTGTGCTCTATCACGACTTTTCCCACTCTCACTCACCGCCGCGCGCACCAAGTCCTTTTTAACTGAACCCCTCCCCCCCTCGCCCACCATGTCAGCAAAGCCCGTCTCGTTCGACTCACACCCGCCTCACGGCCACCCTGAAAACCAGGGTCCCAGCACCCAGAACGTCGACCGCGCATCCACTGCCTCGCACCCTCCCAGCGTCAAGCCCGACCCCACCACCACGGCACCTCACCCCAAGTTGAACCCCCATGGCGCCAAAGGAAGCGAGCCCTCCTCCTCTTCCTCCGGTCCCGCCGAACTCTCCGATCTTAAAGTAAGACTGAGAAATGCTCTGCGACAATACCCCGACTTCCCCTCCAAGGGCATCCTCTTCGAGGACATTATGCCCATCTTCTCGTCACCAAAGCTGCACGCCGACCTCGTCAAGGCTCTCGAGCTCGAGGTCCGCGCAAAGTTTGACAAGACCCCCGACGTCATTGTCGGTCTCGAGTCGCGCGGTTTCCTGTTCGGCCCTTCGCTTGCTCTGCGTCTGGATGCTGGCTTTGTGCCCGTCAGAAAGCAGGGCAAGCTTCCCGGCAAGCTCGAGACCGAGGGCTACGAGAAGGAGTACGGCACCGATTTCTTCCAGATCCAGAGCGACGCCATCGCCAAGGGCCAGACTGTTCTTGTTGTCGACGACATTATGGCCACTGGTATGTTCTACTACCGTTGATCTTCGTATCCTCATCTCAGACTAACACAATCGCAGNGTGGCTCCGCAATGGCTGCTGGAAACCTCGTTAAGAAGATTGGCGGTGACATCATGGGCTACCTCTTCCTCATGGAGCTCGAGTTCTTGCACGGAAGAGACAAGCTCAACGCCCCCGTCGTTACTCTGCTCAGTGGCCAGGACGCCGAGAGCCGCGAGAAGGAGCTTCCTCTTGGTCAGACCAAGGAGTCTGCCGAGGAGGCAAACCAGAGCGTACAAGACGCCGGAGGTGCTGCTGCCAGCAAGCAGCCATAGAGAAAGAGAGAGAGAAAACCGAAAAACACAACCTCACCTTCATATTTCATCGTCATTTTCGGACCTAGGTAGGTAGACTGCTTGGGGCTGGCCAGTCGCGCATTTGTAAAGAGATTCTCGATACCCAAAGACAGCTTTATATATATGGAGTCGTACAAACAAACATCGCATTTGCATACTTTCTGTTCAGAAAGCTGATCGGTCTTCAATTGCTCTTCTGTGAAGAATCAAAACATTACTCGAAGCAGTTTATGTTGCTTGACACCTTGCCCGAGATCGGCCAAGTTGCCCCACCAGAAGAACCCCTCTGTCAGCAAGCGGAGCTCAGACCCAAAACCGTCCATACAAACCGACGTAGGGTCTTGACACGGCATGCTTCTTTTACGACGCTATCTCTTGCAATCTTCCAGATTAATCCCTCTCTCTTCCGTATATACTCATATCTCAAGAACCTCTCTCAAATCCTTTCGCACATCAACCATCAACATGTCGGATATGAAGAAGATCTTTACCTCCAACTCCATGGCTCGTGAGTACATCTAGCCAGATGTCTTGTTTTGCTTATCGAGAACAATTGACTGACAAGTACTACAGCTGTTGGCCCTTACGTATGTGCATTCCAATCGCCACCTTCGAGAAGTACAAAAGCAGTAGTCTAACACACTCTCACAGAGCCAAGCAGTCCAAGTCGGCAACCACATCTTCGTCTCTGGTCAAATCCCCGCCGACAAGAACGGCAACTTGGTCGAAGGCAGCATTGCCGACAAGACAAAGGCATCTTGCGAGGGTATGAAGGCTATTCTTGAAGAAGCTGGTAGCAGTATGAGTAAAGTCATCAAGGTGTGTTTGCTCTCCTCCCCATCTTGTTCGCCTTACTCAAGATCAATCCCCTCACTGTCTTGTACATGGTAACTGATAATACCTACCCAACAGACCACCGTCTTCCTCACCGACATGAAGGACTTTGCAGAAATGAACGGCATGTATGAGCAGTACTTCTCACACAAGCCTGCTCGCAGCTGTGTGGCAGTTAAGGAGCTTCCCAAGGGTGTCCCCGTCGAGATTGAGGCTATTGCTCTCTCATAGATATGACCAAAGAATTGATCGGCTATGTATACCCGAATTGGAAGTCGAATACATTCTCTTGCAATTAAACACTTTTGGATTTCGTCGTCTTCATACGTATTATTAGATTCATGGATTTTGTACAGCGGTATAGGCATGGAGGTCTTGTATAGTAAAGAATCGTTTTGTAGTAACATTGCATCTCCACTGAGAAGGATATGGATTGTAGTCGTTCGTTGTCTCATTAGCTAGATGCTTGTACAGTCTTGTTTTAGCTCATTGGTTGCCATGCAGCCGTGTCTATGGAATGCAGTGTGCTCCTGGGTTCAAGGGCTACTCTCTCGCAGCACTGATCTAGCCACGGCTTGTGGTAGCTTCTAGTCCTACGCCCTGATGCAGAAACCCCTGTCGGGCGAGGCTCGTTGGTGCTGGCGATCTGTCACCTCCTGGGCAGATATGTTCCAAACCATGATGATGCCATTGGTGAGCAGCATTCTGGTCGTATAGCAATGGGAAGCTCTGTATATAGGCGAAGCGGTAGAGGATTGAGTTGGTGTTAGTCGTTGACCATTTACCACTCAAGCAGCCCAGGTGAACTTGTCAGCCTTGGGGGTAAGAAGCTGGTCATCAGGCACCAGATCGTTCAAGCCGTAGACATCCTCGAACTTGGGCAATTCGACATTCCAGCCGTCTGCATCGGGCGCAACCTCGTCTTCCAGATCCAAACCCAAGCCCTCATCGACGTCATCGCCAACAGGTCTAGCGACAGTCTTCTGACCCTTGAACTTGAAGGCCACGATCGAGTTGTCCTTCAAGCCCGCACCCAGCATACAATCCTTATGACTTGCGCCTTTTGCCATTGCTTTTCCCTTGCCTTTGCCCTTGGGTGTGACGTCTCCTCCTCCGAGTAGATCGACATCAAAGTCTTCCACCGGAGCGTTCGCTTCAATGCTTTGCCATCCTGAAGCGCCGGGGTTTGAGAGGTCGCGAGGTTTGGCGAATTCAATATCGTCTGGTGAGTCGGGTAGTGTTGCGCCGTTTAGCTGACCAGAGGGATTTGCGGTTTTGAGAGCGTGTAGGAGCTCGACTTTGATGCTGGAGAGGGTTTGAAGTTGGTAGACGTATAGAACGATGGTTGTACGGGCGTTCTTGAACTTGATGGTCCAGACATCGGGCGTGGGATCGTAGACGGGCATTGTGAGGTCGCGCAGATCTTTGACTGGTGTGGTTTGTTGCGAGAACACGAGTTCGATAGTGAGATTGAGGATGTGGCAAGATATTCAGGTGTGTTTGGGTGAAAGTGGGAAAGGAAGGAATGAGCAATAAGTGGAAGGCGCATTCGAGAGGTCGCGTTTGGACAGATGGGGCAAGTTTTGGCGAACCTTCAATGCACCTCCGAGAGCTGTTTCCTCTTGCAACCAACTCTGTCAATCTGCACATCACAAACCATGTCAGTAGAGAAGGAGGCTGCCCTCAACACGGCAGTGCCGACTCCCACCCTCCCCGAGGAGCCCACGATAGCAGCGACAGCGTCGACGCGCCCACCACCCAATGACCGTCTAAGCATAGCCTTCAACTGGCGACTACCGCTCACCACCGTCCTCGCTTCCTTTGCTGGCTTTGGTCTTGGTCTCACTCACGGCGGTCAACTCGCTGGTCTCCGTTTCCGCGCCGAGAATGCCCACCGTCTCCCTACCTCTCAAGTCGGTTGGTACCTCTACCACAAGTCCAAAAATTACCACATCATGCTGGGCGGCATCAAAGAAGGCTTTCGCATGGGTGCTCGCCTTTCCTTCTGGACTGCCATCTTCTTCGTCTTCGAGGAGGCTGTCGACAGATTCAGAGGTGCTTTTGTGAGGAATCTGGTTGGCTTCAAAGAGCGCAGAAGAGAAGAAAGACAAAAGAGATTGATGCGTGATGATGTCTATGAGACCCCGGCCGAACAAGCTCTTGGTCTGGAACACTTGCACAACGAAAGAGGTGTTTGGGTACAGAGAGACTTCATGAGCACTGTCGTTGCTGCTATGGGCACTGCTGGCGGCTTCAGCGCCTGGAATCGCTTCCCTGTCCAAACCGCTGCAAGGACTGCTACCATGGGCTTGAAGTTTGGTCTTGTCTTTGGCCTCATGCAAGATGCTCTCAGCGTCGCTAGAGGAAGAAGAGTCGGCTATGTCGAGTTCGTCAGGAGACAGCTCTTTGGCGTAAGAGAAGGGTCGCAAAAGAAGGTTCTAGCCTCACCCATCTGAACGCATCGTCAACCTTGAGACACACTACCAAAAATTTCAATGCTGTAAGAGGAGAGACTGCTCTTGAGTCTTCGTACGACAGGCTTCTCTCTCGTCGGTTCATAAAACAGGCCGAGGAACAACCATGCAGTCACACGAGACCAAAACCGTGTGACGTACGGTCAGAAAATCAACCGTTACAACTCTGAGAGTCAACATCTGGCCGCCCAAGGTCTTGGACACTTTCGGACCACAAGACCTGGAAGCATCCTCGGCCAGGATGCAGGCAGTATTTCTAGCACGCTTGCACATCAGGCATCCTTTCGGCACGATGTCTCACACCATACCGGCTAGTCTACATCCAGGCACTGAGATCATGCAGTCCTCAGCAAGCGAAGCAAGTTCTTTCATAGCGCGAGGGTGGCGCAGCATAGCACACTGTCTGAAAGTCGCAGACATATCGGAATGATCTGGCCATCGAACGAAGATTATGCGAAAATGAATAATCGACCTTTGACCGCCGAGCTGCTTGACGACCGTCAGTGGCATATACATATCACTGTCAGGCCACAGTATTCAACAGTACATCTTCTGGAAGATTCGCATCATGAGGGGGAAAACCGTGTATCAGCTTTGGATAGCGAATGAGATAGACGGCAGCCATCAGTATTTTGCATAATACCTGGCCTTCTTATCCTGGCCCGCTTCTTCCCAGACACAAAAGCAAGTTTGCAGGATTACGCCTACCTTTTTGAGAATTCGAGATGTGTATAAAGTCTTTGCACTTGATTACCTTTGTATGTAACGTGGAATCGAGATCACCACTGTCATCATCATCTCCTTCTGTGTCTTCGTATAGCACGTCGCTGTAGCGAGACCGGACCTTTATGTTACGAAACATTGCGGAATCGAAGAAGAACCACAAGATGAAGGTGAACATATCGCCTTTGCTCGACTTCCAAAACTATGTGTATATTACTGACCATGACCTGAACGTGAGCATACATCACGGGTACATTTCTGTGCTCTTATTGTCACTGCACCTGAAACACTGTCGAGTCAACATTTCGTGAAGGATTGATATAAATTTGATTAAAGTAACTGCTAGGAGTGATGGAACTATCTGCATTTGGAGAGTGGTTAATCAGCATCATGGTTTCGTTCTTCGATGCTCTTTCCGATACTATCGTCTCGTAGGTAAAATCCAAATCCTGCAAATCTCATAAAGCAAACACTGTAAAGCAAACGTCGTAAAGTTCATCAAGCAGATATCGTAGGATCATTCCTCGTCCTCTTCGTCCACGAATAGAGGAGAAGCTTCGGTACCCCTTGCCTCCAGACGAGCTCGCTCTGCAGCCGCTCTCTTCTCTTCTTTCTTCTGCATGTGGTATACCACCACTCTGAGGAATCTCCTGGGTCGATGGCAGGGATTCTGAGGTGCAGTGTTCTTGGACAGCTCGTTCATTAGATCGAATCGGAAGTCTTCAGGCAAAGCTTCGAATCTGGCACGCTGCTTATCAGGGCGTGGGTCTCTGCCAGCAATCGGGTTGTCCAAGCCATTGTGGCATTGATAAGCCACAAGAGCAGAAAGGAAACTGCGTAGAGCAGCCTCTGGATTCTTCGTCTCGGTATATGTTTTTGTGGTTTGGGCGTGGCGTACGATCAACTCTGTCTCCTTGCCAATCTCACAAGCTTGGGAGAGGATAAGATCGCAGAGCAGATAAGCACGTAGCTTACGTGCTGTAAGGTAGCACACAATGACATCGTGCATGATATCTCCTTCATTGTCGTTGATCGCAATCAGGGCAGGCTTCTCATGATCCATCGCCCAGTTGGCATAAACCTGAACACAACAGATGTCCAGCGAGTCCAGATTCACATAGTTGCGGCTTTCGTGCATAACATGCATCCATCGTTGCGAGAATGACGACGAACAGATTTCGAGGATCCGTGGGAAGACATTGTATTGTTCGCCATTGCAGACAAGTACCGAGGGGATATCTTTCTTTACCGACCTGGATCTTGTTAGTCGTCGAACAAGGCGAGGATTGTGTAGTTGCAGACTNGACTCGGGCTTGTCATGGAAAAAGTCGTAGTTTGAGAGGTCTGTGCGAGCCTTTTTGATCTTCTCCTTCTGATAGTGCTCATCTTCTTCGTCTTTGTTCTTCCTCTTTACCATCTTTGCGATCTCCTGAGGCTGTGTCGCAATAAGGGTTCGAGAGAACACGAGTCTGGTAAGGAGGGTGATTGGAGGAGGCTCAAGGAATCGAGAGATCGTATGAGGGTATAAATGATGGTAGATCGTGGTCGTGTACGATAGATCGTAAATGCGAGGCCGTAGGAGTATGTATGTTGTAGGAGCGAGATCGCGGGTGAAGAATGATTTCGATGGTCGAGATGAGTTGGAAAAAGGCGATCCAAGCAGGATATATAGACCGTTGACCCGATCGAGTCGAAGTTGTTGCCTGAAGATTAAGAAACAAGCTCCACGGGTGAAGGTGAAAGTGAAAGAGGAGGTGAAGATGGAAGATGTAGATTGCGAAGAATGTCTGAGTCGAAAAGTCTCGAAAAATATCAAGACGCGTCCGAGGAAGACGAGTATCTAGGAAGTTGAGTTTGCATGTATAGAGGAGTGTGTTATTGGACGTTGGAGTGTATGTCGAAATGATATCGGACTTGAAACAAGATGGGTAAGTGGACAACGGTGGTTCAGCGAGTGAGATGTGAAGATGGTGGCGCGTGAGGGATGGTAAGGCAACAAGCGACGGATCTTGTCGTGTCTAATAGGCACTCCTTCCTTTGGATGTGTCAAAGGTGTACCAAACTAAGCGAAATTTGGAGACAGCGTTTTTCTAGGATATGGTGTCACGCCAGCAGAGGGAAAGATAGCGAATAAGTAGCATAAATCTCACATTGCAACACTTAGCTATGATGATCGTCGCGCCACTCAACACCGTCACTGACGCCAGCCTGTTGAGCTGTACTTTCCTCTCTGGCTTTGATGGAAGCTCGATCGACCTCGGACACAGCAGGACTTACCACGACTGCATCATCCTCGTAGTCGTCCTCGAAGGCGGCCGGGTCAGCCAGACGCGTGTGCTCAGCTTCGTGAGTGCCATCGTCCGCAGAGACAGAAATGCCCCTCGGACCCCAAGCGCGATGGTTGTTGCTAGCAGGACGGATGATACCCTCTTCCTGACCAGCCAGACCAGCATCGTCGTCATCGTCTTGCTCGGTGTTTCCTCTTCTTCCAATGACCTTGCTGATCAACCAACCTCTGCTGATGTCGTCGCCATCCACAACACCGCCATATCGCAGCTTGACGCGCTGTCTTGTCCAGTAGACCCAAGCAAAATCGAAGTAGAACAGAGTCTGGATGACGCCGAAGGTAAAGCTGATGGGGAAGATGGAATCATGGCGGTCTTCGGTGAAACTGCGAAGGATCCAGTTCAGGATATAGAAGGCGCGATATGAGCCGAGAGTAGCGAGGTAGAAACTGTCGATAACAGTGGGGACCGAGGTCTGGCGGAGAAGAAGCAGCTGCGGCAGGATGCAGAGCGATTCGAGGATGAGCGTGAAAGTGTACGGAATCNNTGGTCCAAGTGTCAACATGGCTGGTTATAATACTTGGATCGTTGGAATGCTGACCTCAAACCAGCCTTTTGAGCTAAAGGGCGTCTTCTGCATGAAGATGGCGGCGACAACAGGTGCGCACACGACCGATCCTAGCACGCTCCAGAGTCCCATCTTCCATGCCTTTTCGCGTTCTCTTGTACGAGCGTAGACCCTGGTCATGAGGAACACGATGTATAGGGATGTAGAGATGTAGAAGACCTTGAGACTANNCGACTGGTCAGTAACAGGCCGCATTATTCATTCACAAGATGAACGAGTTGAATTTACGAACGAGAAATTCCAAACCCCGAGGAAACCATGGAAGTTGCTGAACAGGTCCAGGTATCGTACAATGAAGACGACGCAGTATAGCGCTTGCGTGATGAGGGACACACCTNNAGATGGCCATAGTCAGAAGGACGCTTGAGCAGCAGTGACAAGAAGGTACGCACCCTCAGCACTCTTGTTTGTGTGGATAGACCATATCAAGATGCACTTGGACACGGTATGGCTGACGTCGCCGAGGACTCTGAAGGGATTGAGCGCTACCATGACTTGAAGCGCTGGAGAGATGACTTGGGTACCTCACGAAGGCATCTGCTCAGACTATTCTTTTGAGCCGTCCGTTCCAAAAGTGTCTGCCTATTGTCAGTGTCTTGGTTGGAGCTTGCTGCTCTCACGACCGAGGACGAGTGCCGAAGGGGTCCATTGTCCGGGGTCGCCTCGCCTAATCTTGCCCTCCGGCTATCCGAAAGCTATACCGAGCATGTCACTGATAATCTAACTCGATCTATAGAGTCGTCGCAGTCCAGTAGAAGAGAGCCCGGTTGGTGACATGTTCTTCATGAGTCGTGGCTGAGGGAGCAATTGCTCAATCGTGTTGATGGGCCAACAGATGAAGAGGTCGTGTGCTCTAAAATTTCATGTCTCGTGGCCAACATTAACTGTTAGGTATACATAGCTGAATACATCTAACTATATCTTTTGAAGTCTGCCTATCAGACATACTTATACGGATATCTTCTAGACCATCTGTACTTGCAACTGACAGCATGCGCTTTCTCTTTATGTTCCAACATAGCTTCCCAGGTCGCCAGACATTCCCAGCAGAACTTTTGTTGGCAGTTTTCCATCTGTCCATCATCAGTTCATGAGACCGGTTGCAAAGAGTGAGCAGATGCTTGAATCGTGATCCTTACCTTACACTTAATCTGATCGCAGCCATCGTTCTTTTCAATCAAGACCTGGCAACTCGGGCATTTTTTCCAGACAGTCTTCATCTGTTGTTCGTTCATGAATCTCGCGGTCTCGCGTTCCTCTTGATCGCGGATCTTGGAGTCGGCTTGATCCTTGAGGCGCACATCGTATTGCCTGCAGCTTTCGCCGGAATGCCAGCCTGTTTTGTGCTGGAGGCACTGCTCATAGTTGCAAGAGTAGCATTTCATGTATCCCAAGTTGCCGCCGACATGTTCTTGAACCACTGTACAACCAGTACGCAGACACCAGTGGAAGTCCCGCAAGCTATCCACGACGGTCAGCGTGGCGAATCTGTCGTATCTGGCAAAATTCTCGAAGTTACAGGCACGACGGACATCCTCGTGGTTCAGACGTGTGGTACATTGCGGACAATCGATCGCTGCTCGTGCGTTTGCATCTAATCTTGTAGCGACCCACTGTTGTAGACATGGAGAGCAGACTTGTGCAGTGTGTGTACATTCGTTCGATGGAGGCTTGGCTGGGAAGTCCAGTGGATGGAACGACTCGCAACACACTGTACACTCTCTGAGCGCAGGTTGCGATTCTGCAGCATGCCTACTATCCTCCTCTTGCTGTAACTGCAAGGCCATGCTGTGATCGCGTGCTAGTTGCGCCGCGAGTTGTTCTTCCTCTTCCGACTGCCATCTTTGGAGTGTTTCCATGGCCACCACATGATCTCTAGTATGCTCTGCGACGCCAATTGAAGAGTGAATGCGGGACTGGAGAGGAGACTGCTTTTCTGTAGGAAGCCTAGGGTTGTAACACGTCGGCGAAGAAGCAGCCTGCGGCATGAGGCCCGGGACCGGACCAATTGGTGTGAGGCCTGTACTGGCTGCAGCGATGGCACCTGGAGGCAAGGAAGAGAGAGTAGTTGGATTCTCTTGAACTTGGTCAGGACAATTACAGCTTCGTGGGCTTCTGTCGTGTGTTTTGGGGGAAACGCTTCTAGACCCGAAAGAGTGTGTCCTGTCTTGTAGAGGCTCGAAGTTAGGTGGAACGTGATGCCTGGCAAACTGAGGCATCTCTCCTCTTCGTCGGCGACCAAGGTGTAAACCACGTCTGCCCACGTCCGTACCATGGACGTCCCTAACAGGGGTTACTGGTCCAGATTGATGATGGCCCATATATGTGGATGATGTTCGATTTATTCTAATGAGACTTGTGAAGAAGTGATGAATCCTGACAAGCTTCCATACAACATTGGGAGGTGTTGATTTGCGCATGGCCAGGATATATACTGCGAGGATGTTGAATCTCGTATGAGCCAAGAGGACATATCTAGAATGATGAGCATTTTTGCTCAAGATGTAGGGTGAAGTGAAGCATAGCTATAACCTGATGAATCACGAGCCAGGAGAGCATGGCTGAAGCTTCAGAGGGTATGAACCTTTTCGACAACCATTGATGCTTCGGCATAGATTGGCAAAAGGACCATGATGTACAAGGAAGACTCTATAGATAATCAGCAAAAGTCACGGCGCTACCTAGGCTCAATGAGAGCACAGTGTCAGCCTGACGGGCGTCTATAGAGGAGGCCGTGAACGGTTCAAAGTGTGATTCACAGAGAGAAGACGGCAGATCGGCAAGCACGAGCCAGCTAAACCCCAGGTTTTGATAAAGAACGGCCGCGTTCCATGCCGACAGAAGTGGAGACAGATGAGACAGTACCCTTCCAGAGATAGCAGAGACGAGGCCTGTTCAGGCTCGCCATCCGGGCGACACTGGAGATGATGATGGTTGAGTTTGGTTGCTTGGAGACGAACAGTTGAAGATAAGATGGGTTGGTTGCCGAATTGGACAAAGAGTTCGGCGACGCGCAGCGTTCGCTAACAGAATGACGATTCTGGTTGCTGTGTCGACGGTGTGCAGGTGTTGGATGACAACAATCGAACCCGCCAAATGCACCCACGTTTCTCCATCCTGGACACCATCTACCTCGTTGCCATACAATACTGTAGCCAGAACATCGCGTGATTCGAACATCGAAACTACTTCTGAAAGTCACCCACCACATTCACTGAGCACCTCGACCAACACAAACAGGCGCTATGCCGGGGACACCAGGTTCCGAGATGGCACCCAGCGTGTCGCTCTCATGTAAGTTCGTCTGCAGTCAGACACGCAGTAAGCAAGACTGACTCTGTCTCCAGTCGCGAACAACTTCTGGGGCAAGGAAGACGCCGGCGTCGACCCTTTGCTCGAGCGCATGCACAATGCCAAAATCACTAGCGACGAGCTCAAGTCCTTCTACACTCAACGAGCCGCCATCGAAGAGGAATACTCCCGCAAGATTCTGAACCTCGCCCGGAAACCCCTAGGCTCCTCCGAGGCTGGCACCTTGCGCATGTCCATGGATGTTGTCCGTGGAGAACTGGAGGCCATGGGCAAATCACATCAACACATCGCACAACAGATGAAGGGCGAACTTGAAGAGCCACTCTCGACATTCTCCGGCGGCATCAAGGAGCGTCGCAAGATCATTCAGAACGGTATCGAGAAACTGCTCAAAACCAAGACGCAACAAACACACACCGTCAACAAGGCCCGCGACCGCTACGAACAAGACTGTCTGAAGATCAAGGGCTATCTTGCTCAAGGCCACATGGTCATGGGTCAGGAGGAGCGTAAGAACAAGGCCAAGCTGGAAAAGACACAGATCCAGATGTCGGCCACCAGCAGCGAGTACGAGCAAGCTGTAAAAGTGCTGGAAGAGACAACCGCCCGCTGGAACCGCGAATGGAAGGCCGCTTGCGACAAGTTCCAGGACCTCGAGGAGGAACGCCTTGACTTCACAAAGAGCAGTCTGTGGAGCTTTGCTAATATCTCCTCCACTGTCTGTGTCAGTGACGACGCCTCTTGCGAGAAAATCCGCCTGTCTCTGGAAGACTGCGATGTCGAGAAAGACATTGCCGCTTTCATCAAGGACAACGGCACAGGCCAGGAGATCCCCGACCCGCCCAAGTACATCAACTTCTGTCGTGGCGATATCAACGACAATGCTTCCGACGTTTCGGATGACGCCAACTATTCGGTCGCTCAATTCCAAAGGACCATGAACCCAGCCTTCCGTTCGTCTTCGCCGCAGCCTTCGACCTACTCATCCCACCATGACCCTGCTTCGGCTCTGGCTCAGGAGATGGCTCTCGCCTCATCGGTCAATTCTGAAAGATCTCAGAGATCCTCAAGATCCCAGCAATCTGCGACTGTTGCTCAGCTACCGCGCCGATCCAGCCAACAGGCTGCACCCGTCAACGCTTACCAAGATTTCCCCAAGGTACCTCACAATGAGTATCCTATGGATGGCATGACTCAGTTCTGCAGACTTGGTCCTCCATCTGATCGCAGTTCCATTCCCAGTCCCACTCGGCCCGAAGATGACTCGCATAGTGAAATCTCCAATGCAAACTCTTTCTCGAGCATCGAGCCTCCTACCTCCCCCATGAAGCAGCTCAATGACTCCACAGTCTCTACCAGCAGTCAACAGGAGGATAAGACGCTACAGAAGAGACGAAGTGGCTTCTTCCAAAACCACAGCCCATTCGGACGTCGCAAGAGCAAGCACGAAAACGCTGCTCCTGCCTCAATCTCGACCGGTCCGGCCCAGAGAAACACCTGGGCACCCGCTGCTAGGCCTCAGACTGCGTCTGCATCGTCACCAGCTCGTCCTTTCGGACGAGAAGCCAAGAATGTTGGATTCGGCAATGACCCTATGCCCAGTCCTGACCCAGAACCCGTGGATCCTCGTGCCAACTTCCAGCTGAACATCGGCAACAATGTCTTCGATGTCGCAACTCCTGACGCTCGCAAGAGATCAGTCGCAGCAGAGGAGCCTACTGGAGAGCTTGATCCTATTGCACAAGCTCTGGCCGAATTGAAAGGCGTCACCAAGCAAGCCTCAACTCGTGTCTCGGCAGATCGCTATGCTGGTATCCCTACACCCGCCCCAGGCGCTGGTAGAGCGTCCCCATCACCTCTTCTTGCAAATTCTGATGCCCGCGCCGCTCAACGCGGCACTCCACCACCATCGTATGACCAGCCGATGAGACGACTGGGTGCACCACAGCCGGCTTTCACTAGCAAGCAGATGCAGCAGACAACAGCCAGCTACATGACCCAGAAGAGAGATATGTTCAATGCTCCTCCTCGCAACACGCCCTCTCAGATGGGATCTCGTCCAGCTAGCAGGGGTGGAGATCCAAGAGCCTCGGGTGATATGATGCGCTCAGCCTCACCAGCACCTTTGCGTACAAGCTCACCAGCACCTCCACGTGCCACAAGCCCTCGTCCCAGTACAGGGTACGATCGCAGATCTCAACCTGTTCCCCAAGACTACCGTTCAACCTCGCCGAATCCGTATGGTGGAGCTCCTCCCGGTAGTATGTCAAGACCACGTGCACAGTCCACTAGCCCGATAAAGCAACAGCAACGTCCTGGCTACAATCCGGCATACGTATCCCACGGCAACTCTCCAGTCTCTACCATGCCACGATCTGCTAGTCCTAACCCGCAATTCCGCGGCTCGGCTGGACCGGGCAGCAGACCCTCAAGTAGCCGTGGCGACCCTGCAGCCATGGCAATGCAGTTGGCTCCAGCAGGCGACCAAGGGTATCCTCCATCATCTCGCGGAGCACAGGGTGCACCTTTGAGACCGACCAGCGCATATTACGGAGCAGAGGGTGGTTGGGCGGCGGCATCGTCACCTCGTGGAGGCGCTCCTCAGCAGCAACAACAGCAAGCACCGCTACCACAGCAGCAGCAGTTGAGTACACGTGTACGCAGCCAGAGCTCTGCTGGACAGAGACAATTCACAAAGGACGGAAGACCCATTCTTCAATTCTGTAAGCTTACATTCAAAATCAGCAACATGACCGAAGACTAACACATGTCGATAGCTCGAGCAATGTATATGTATCAGGCAGCTATCCCCGAGGAGTTGACCTTTGCAAAGGGAGATATCCTGGCAGTCCTGAGATTGCAAGATGACGGTTGGTGGGAAGCCGAGGTGGCCGGCAAGGATGGCAGACGAGGACTTGTTCCTAGCAACTACCTAGTTGCTGCTTGAGGATTCTTTCGTTTGTCATTGGAAACCTACACTCGTTGATTTTCCTTTATACCCTTTCTGATGGAGAGAGTTTTGTTCAGCCTGCAGTAGTTGTTTCCGTAGCTCACGCCAGAAATCGATGATTCGGTTGTGCATTCAGATAAAGCTTCAAAGGTGTGTGATCACTTCCAGTGTGGCTACTAGAACAGAGTAGGCATACGTGTCTCTGATCACGAACGATGTAGATGTATTGAGAAGCTGTAAAAGTTCCTGTAATCGAAGTGAAGAGAATCGAAAGATGATGGCCAGGGTGGTAGGCATGACTTGAGGTCGGTGCAGTCGGCCTTGGCGCGCGACATGCCGCCAAGCGTTGTAACTGGTTGCTGTCTGCTGGCGACACATAGTTCACGACCCGATCGACCATCTTCAATCACCTTCTCTTCGACAGCGAGCAGCAGAGACTAATGGGCGGGTAGTCGTCACTAATGAGCTTCCCCTCGTCGAACCACACGCAAAATCTTTCCGACAAACAGTCTTCGCAAGCCCAGCAGTCGACCTCACGCGCCTCGAGGCCAGCACGCCGCGGCCTTCCTCCCATCTCAACCCAGCCCCCGTCTGCGGCCAACTCGCCTGCGACGCGCCATATTCTTAGTCGCAACTCGTCCGCCTCGTCGACGTCGTCTGTGCTGTCGCCCACCCAGCAGCAGCAGCAGCGCTCAATCTCGAGTGGGGTCACCTCTACACCTACTTCAGCGACACTGCCACCAGCTCCCCAGTCAGCTGGAAGGAGATTCGCAAGAGCCTCTCAGCAGCCGCAGTCCACCTCGGCCTCGCCAATCTCGGCTCAATCGTCGGGCGCGCCGTCCGGACAGTTGACCAGCTTGGTCATTACCCAGCTGAACATTCTGCTGAGTACCCTAAAGGACGATAAGAAGTGGGATATCCAGGCCGAAAAGATCCAGAAGGTAAGCATCGCATTGGCGGAGCTTGTCTTGTGCCTCATGACTGACTCGATGGTAGNNTTGGTGGATGTGCACGGAATGGACGTGTCGACAACATATTTCCGGAGGCTGTTGCAGAGCAATGCTCCTCTGATCTTCTCGGCAAACCAAAATGCACAGCGCTCAGCATCAGACAGCGGGAGCTACCCGCTGCTCGTCAGCGAGATGCAGAAACTGACGCGCCTGCCTTCGCAAGCAGCAAAGATTGCCGATGCTCTCGACACCAACACCGATGGCGACCTCTTCAAAGACTTCGACCTATCGACCTTCATGGATCACTTCAGACTAGATCCCACCGCAAAGGTCACCTTGGCGCTAGCCTGCAAGCTGGTCTCGAAGCAAGACATCAAGACAAAGGGTATCTCATCTGACACATCTCCGCTTACCTCCCCTCCTTCAAGCTTCGCCGCTAACACAACTTTCANNGCCGATGCCATACTGAGCAACAACTACTCGCCCTTTCTAGAAGCCATCGCAAACCCCACTGCCGACGACATCAGCTCTTCCTTCCTGTCCAGCATCCTCTTCCGTCTGATCCTCGACNCCCCACGGCAATGGAACAAGGATGCTCAGGAACACCTGCTTGGCAGCTTGAATGAACGCTTCGTAAAGCTTCGCACCTACCCCTCGAGCGAAGTCAGCGCATTTATTGCCTTCATGGACCTGATTCCTACCAACACCGCCTTCGTCCGCCCTGTACAGAGGGACGGTCCCCGGGCCACATCCTCAGTCGACAGCTGCAAAGATGTTCTGTCCAGAGTCGACCAAATTTCGCCGCAGTCGATTGCTGTGGCACTGGCGTATATGCTCCTCTCTGACGAGTCTTACGATATCGGCGTCTTCGTTTCCGCCGTCCGCCAGCACCCCCAGGCTCAAAACCTTGACTGGTATGCCGTTGTGAAGGCATTCGACATGGCTCTTATGCGCATCACCAAATCGCAGTTCCTGGCTCTTTACAACTCTTTGCTCCCCATTGCTCGCGAGACCGACACCTTCGACATTCAGTGTCTGTGGGGCGGTTCATGGCTCTCGACTAATGCTCAGCTGTCTTTCGTTACCGCCTTCCTCTCGTGCTCGCCCCAGGAACTTGACGCCTCTCAGATCCNNCCCCGTCTGCGTGCCGCATTCTCAATGGACGAATTTGCTGATGCCTCAGATGAAGTCAAGGCTTATGCACAANAGGCTGTCAGCCACCCTATGGTGTCCTTGGAAGCTACAAAGTTCCTCTTCCATGTTATCTTCCAATCGCAGGATGCATACAACCAGGCGCAGAACCTTGGAATCCCCGAAATCGTTATTAACGCAAACACGGATATCTTTGTGTGTGCCGCGTCCGCTTGTGAGAAACCGTGGGCAGCTCTTCAGGAAATGGCGCTTAACCAGCTCTTCCGTCCTTTCTTCCACAAATCTCTCCCTAACTACGACTTTGTTCTGCACGCCCTCTGGAAGCACGACAAATCCTGGCTGGCCAGCAAACTGGTCGAAGCTTACAATGCTGACCCAACCTTACTGGCCGTCATCTTTGAGCACGCTCGTCAACATGCATGGACGGACACTCTCCTTCTCATCACGAATGAGTTTGGACTGGATCTTGCTGCATATGGCCATGGCCAGGGAGAAGTCGATCTGGAAGTCTGGGCCCAGGGTCATCTTGAGATCTCGCCCCAGCAGCTTGCTGGGGCAGTTGTTACATTCCTGCGAATAAAAGCTGAGGATGAACAATCAGTTCAACGCGACCACCCCCATCAGGTTGTGCCTCTGAAGGTCAAGACCGTCTACGCTTTGCTCAACGTCATCCATGGACATCTGAGTGACGAGGAGATTGGCGCCATTCAACGTGTCTGTCTTCAGGTTTACCCTCGTCTGATCAACTATGGCTATAAGTTTGACCATGTGATCGATGCTAATGGTGAAAATGGCAACTCCCTGTCAGAAGAGGCCGATGCCAAGATGCAAGAGCAATATAAGATGATGTACAGCAACGAGGTGGATCCCAGAGGCATGATAGAGCGTCTTCAACATCTTAAGGAGTCCGAAGACCCTGCGGATCAGGATTTGTTCGCTTGCATGATTCACGGACTCTTTGATGAGTACAACTGCTTCGGTGAATACCCCCTGGAAGCCCTGGCTACAACCGCTGTGCTGTTTGGTGGTATCATCAACTTCGGTGTACTCTCTTCCCGCGTCACACTTGGTGTTGCCTTGTTCATGGTCTTGGATGCTGTTGCAGAATATTCTCCAGACGATTCCATGTATAAGTTTGGTCTTCAAGCTTTACTTCATTTCATCAACCGCCTTGAGGAATGGCCTAGCTTCTGCAACCGTCTCACCGCAATCCCTCATCTGCGCGGAACAGACGTGTGGACTAAGGCTGAGGAGGTTGTGCGTCGTCAGCCTGGCCTTGACCTGCGTAGCAGTGGAGATTTGCAGCCAGAGCTTTCCCTTCCGAACGGCAATTTGGATGATTTCGTCCTTGAGTCACAGTATCCTCCTTTCCACAGTATCCATGTCGAGACCCCGCTCAGACCCGAACTCTATGAAGAGCCTGACGAGGAAACCTCGGACAAAGTCATGTTTGTTCTCAACAATGTTTCAAAGCACAACATCGAGGAGAAGTTCCAGGACTTGGAATCTGCTCTTGAGGAACGTCACCATCAGTGGTTCGCTAACTACCTTGTTGAGGATCTTGCGAAAGCGCAGCCCAACTTCCAGAGTCTCTACCTGCAGATCTTGACGATGTTCGATGAGAAAATTCTGTATGCAGAAGTGTTGCGAGAGACCTACAGCAGTGTGTCCAGAATCCTGAATGCCGAAGCAACCATGAACAACTCCCAAGATCGTACTAACCTGAAGAACCTTGCTACTTGGTTGGGTATGCTTACTCTGGCCCGCGACCAGCCTATTCTTCACCGCAACCTCTCCTTCAAGGATCTCCTGATCGAAGCCCACCAGACCCAGCGCCTGCTTATCGCTATTCCATTCACCTGCAAGGTTCTGTCTCAGGCCAAGGACTCGAAGGTGTTCAGACCTCCACAGCCGTGGTTGATGGAACTGATCAGCTTTTTGGTTGAGCTTTACGACTATGCTGAACTCAAACTCAACCTCAAATTCGAGATCGAAGTTTTGTGCAAGGACTTAGGCCTCGACCATAAGTCAGTTGAGCCAGCTTCCATCATTCGAACACTGCCCCTTCACCTCGAAGGTGAGCTTCTACAACAGTACCCGACTGACACCATGGACGGATTTGGTGACATGCACCTCATGTCTCTATCTAAAAGAGCTCCCAGCGAGCGCTTCTCGTCCCAGGATGTCCTCAAGTCTCTTCCAGATCTTGGTGCTATGCTCAACTACCCTCCTTCCTCTGGCAGCATCTCTCACGCGCAGCTCAAGAACATCTTCCTCGAAGCTGCTCAGCGTGCCATTACTGAGATTATTGCTCCGGTCGTGGAACGTTCAGTCACAATTGCTGCCATCTCAACATCGCAGCTCGTCGAGAAAGATTTCGCTATGGAATCTGACCCGGACCGTCTCTCGTCGTGCGCTCACAACGTAGTCAAGGCACTTTCGGGTAGCCTCGCACTTGTCACCTGCAAGGAGCCTCTCCGTATGAGTATTTCTAACAACATTCGCATACTGGCAGCTCAGAACTTGCGTGAGCCTCTCCCAGAGGGCTCCATTCTCATGTTCGTCAACGACAACCTTGATACAGTTTGCAAGCTTGTGGAAGATGCTGCGGAGTCACAATCTATGGCAGAGATTGATGCACAGATCCAAGAATCCATGGAGCGTCGCAAGAGACACAATGAACAACGCCCGAGTGAACCCTTCAACTTCCCCGCCGTCAGCCGATGGGCCTTCTTTATCCCTGATCCATACCGCCAAGAACCCGGTGGCTTGAATCCACAACAGCTAGCCATCTACGAGGACTTTGGCCGTCAAATGCGCTTGCCTGCTGCTCCTCACGCCAATGCAGTGTCACAGGATAACACTCGCCAACTGCAGGAGCTCACCGATAATTATCTGACTAGTCTCCCGACCCCTGCAGAGGCCCCAGCTATTCCCAGACAAGGACAACAGCAGCAGCGTGTCGTCCCCGCACAGGGCCAGACTAACGGTTACATGAGCACCGACGTCCTCATCGCACATGTCTTCGAGGCTCTGGCTGACCTCCAGCGTGTCGCCCATGAAGCACCTGAAGAGCATATCGGCGAGATCGGACCTAGTTCGCCCGTCCGCGAGGCATACGCACATCTGATGCGCATGATTGAAAGCTCTCCCGACAAGGAGCAATTGGCTCTCGCCACTGTGCAGAGAGCAACATTGTTCGCCTACACTAAGAGTGAGACTCGTCTCGAGATTGAGGTCTTTGTTGAAGTCTTGAACCACCTTTGTCTGATCTCCGTTACCACGGCTCGCAATTTGACTATCTATTTGCAATCAATCAATGATGACAAGGTCTACAACGGTCCTGTCACTGTATGTTTGCTCAAGACTGGCCTGCTCGATATTCATCACGTCGATCTTCAAACATCTCAGGCGATCATACAAAAGAAGGCTGTTGCTGTGGAGTTCCTTGGTGCCCTCATTGATGAGCTGATCCTTAGCGAGCATCCGGCTGCTCTTCGTGCAGACTTCGTCCTCTCCTTTGGTGCACTCGGCCAGTGGCTATCAGAGGATCCCAGCGTAGAGCTGGGCAAGGATATTATCAAGAAACTTCAGGATGTGTCCAATGGTGCGCCTCCGCCAAGCCCTCCTGCTTCAGAGAAGCAAGATCAGCTCGAATACGTCTTCGAGGAGTGGGTACGCCTCCAGAGACCTGAGGTTCCTGAACGCTATATGGTGGCGTTTATCCAGCAACTGCAGAGTCGTAGTCTGCTCAGCAACCAGGAAGAATTCTCTGCATTCTTGCGTGTATGCATCGAGATGTCGATTGACTGCTTCGAGCGTGAGGCACTCACCTATGGCAGCCTCGACCATGCTTACATCCATATCGACGCTCTCGCCAAGCTGATTGCTTCACTTGTTGCGTACCAGAGTGAGGGCGAAGGCGTCCTCTCGGGCAGCAAGACCGATTATCTCAAGGCAATCCTTGGCCTGCTCGTTCTTGTCATGAACCATCACCAGGCATCCCGTGCCGTCGATCGCTTCAATGACAGAATCTTCTTCAGACTCATGTCTAGTCTGTTGTGCGAACTCTCGTCGTTCAGAGCACACCTCGGTGATGACCACCAAGACCTTATCCTTGTTTTCGGCAAAGCTTTCTTGGCATTGCAGCCCAGATTCTTCCCCATGTTCACCTTCTCTTGGTTGGCACTTATCAGCCACCGCATGTTTGTGCCCGAGGTCATGAGATCGGCGGACAGAAAGGGTTGGGACATCTACCTTCAGATTCTCCAAGTCTTGTTCAGCTTCCTTGGTGACTTGGTCAGCACGCAAGAAATCTCGATTCATGCCGCAGAATTCTATCGTGGCGTCCTGCGTGTTCTCCTGATTTTGCAGCATGATTTCCCGGAATTCCTCACCGAGAACCACATGCGCCTCAACAGCAGCGTGCCTGCTGGTTTGCTCCAGTTGCAGAATGTCATCAACTGTGCATACCCTTCGTCCTTCCAGGAGTTGCCTGACCCTTTCACACCAGGTCTTAAGATGAACCGCCTCGAACAAGTCCGCCAGTTGCCAGACCTTCGTGGCGGGCTTGAAAGTGTCTTGTCCGAAGCCGGCATCGACACTGCTGTTGAAAACATGCTTCAGGGCAAAGAAATCAAGGATGATGACATCAAGACCGTCATTGATGGCATTGACAACGAAGGCAAGCCTGATGCTCTCACTGTCAATGCATTGATTCTGCAGATTGGCAACACTGCCACCGCAGGATCTTCAGTCTTTTCACCCTCGGCCACTCCCAGCAAGGTGATTGAGCGTCTGCTGCACGAGTCGCGTCATGAAGTACGCTACCAACTTCTGAACGCAATCACCAACCAGATTCGCTACCCCAACGCCCACACGCACTATTTCTCGACGGCACTGCTCCACCTCTTCACAGTCAGCTCTGAAGACCTTCAACAGCAAGTCGCCAGAGTTTTGGTCGAACGTGTCATGTCTAGCAGACCTCACCCTTGGGGATTGCTCGTGACTGTGTTGGAACTTGTCAAGAACAACTCTTACAACATCTGGGAACTTGGCTGGATGAAGGCAGCACCCGAAGTTGAGAGAATGATGCTGAACGTTGCACACAGCTCAGGCCTTGCACAGAGTCCACGTGCCATGACCTAGATTTCGGGGGAATCTGATCACCACGTTTCGAGCATTGGACAAGCAGCCACAATACAACGCGGTTTTACAGAGACACATCGATCCACGGATTTGCTTTGGGGAAAGCAGATTTGAATGCTTCAGGATGATCTTGGGTCAGCATAACCAGCGACATGATTTTACACACAAACACACACATGGTTCACGGCGCTCGCTCAGCTCAGCCTTCTCAAGCTTTCTTTCTCTTTATATTCTATCTTCTGTGTATAATATTGGGGGTTACACTCGATTCAAAAACAAACGGCGTGGTAGTTATTTCTTGGCTTGGGGAGTCGATTTGAATTGCAAAAAGAGCATTAGAAGGCGGACAAGGGGGAGTAGGCGCTCGTTTATTTCAACAAGACAGAGAAGATGGAAGAGTGGTTTGGATGGAACAAACTACGACGATGACAATGATTGAAATGCCAGATTCACATGTTCAAAAAAGCCAGAAGTTCGATGCAAGTGTGAGGTTGTTTGCCAATGTTGTGATGTTTCTGGTGCTTTGCTCCTTTCCGTGTACAAAAGTCTGTGACCTTACCTTGCCTGCTCCCGCTGCAACATGGAGGCACATTTGGACTGTAGAAAGACACCGTAGTTTCCAACGTCGAAGGTATAGCCAAAGAGAGGTGATCAATCATGTCTCTCCGCGAGTGCTGCCCTGCTTCTTAAGACTATTGCGCATCTCTATAGGTAATTATACGCGTTACATACTTCAGTACATGGGGAGGCTGGATAGAGATGAGCGAACAGGCACCTCGGATAAGTGTGAGGCTGAGACGCCAAGCATGACGACAGTCGGGGGATGGAAAGACGATGGGAATAAGAGGCAAAGTGGTGCGTACTCTAGCAGCAGTGCATTTGCAATCGAACCATTGTTGTTGTGACATTTGAGCTCTCTACCAGACCCTTTTGCTTGCGTATCTCCTGATCTCACCAGTCATCACAACAAGTCGTCTTAGGCAGCGTGTGGATATCCCATTCGCACGGTTCCCAAAGCTTCATCGACGTAACGCAACGCAACGCCAGCTTCGGTAATTTGGCAATCGCATCTAGCCCCTCATCCACCGTCCACGTCGTCGTGTCTCGTTGACCCATCCCTCTCAAACAACCCACACCACAACCTCTACGCAACCCACATTACATCATGGCAGAAGGCTCAGCTGTTCCCACTGCCAGCAAGGGCTCTTGGGGTTCTTTCCTCAAGGTACAACAACATCCCCTTGTGTTGCGCCTCTGTCACAACTTGGTCCACTGACGCGACAACACAGNNTCGATAGCCTCTTTTAATGGCGACCTTTCGTCTCTTACCGCTCCTGCCTTCATCTTGTCGACAACTTCGCTCACCGAGTTCTCGGCATACTGGGCTGAAATGCCCTCCGTCCTGGTCGCTCCCGCCTCGGAACAGGACAAGCAGAGACGCTGCATGCTCGTCTTGAAGTGGTTCTTGAGCACTCTTAAGCAACAATACACCTCGCGCAACGAGAAGCTCGGTAGCGAGAAGAAGCCCNTCAACCCCTTCTTGGGTGAGCTGTTCTTGGGCAAGTGGGTTGATCAGGCCGGCACCACCGAGCTCGTCAGTGAGCAAGTCAGGTGTGTAAAACCCTGCCGCGAAAAGTCGTCTCTATTCTGACCACAACCCTNNAGCCACCACCCTCCAGTCACTGCATACAGCATTTGGAACAAGCAACACGGTGTCCGCCTCCAGGGATACAACGCCCAGAAGGCCTCTTTCGGCAGAACCATCAACGTCAAGCAGATCGGTCACGCCGTCCTCCACATTGATGAGTACGACGAGGACTACCTCATCACTCTCCCTGCTCTCCACATTGAGGGTCTGATCACCGGTTCGCCATACGTCGAGCTCGAGAAGAACACCCACATCGTTTCCTCCACTGGTTACACCTGCAAGATCGACTACAGCGGCAAGGGTTGGGTCAGCGGCAAGAAGAACTCCTTCACCGCCACAATGTATCCCAACGGTCGCGAGAAGGACGTCATCTACAACGCCGAGGGCCAATGGAGCGGTAGCTTTGTCATCAAGGATGCCCACAAGAAGGTCGTCGACTCATACGACGCCTCAAAGATGCGAAAGACCNCCCTCACCGTCGCTCCCATCGAACAGCAGGACCCTCTCGAGTCGCGCCGCGCCTGGTACAAGGTTGCTGAGGCCATCAATCGTGGTGATATGGACACCACTTCGGCCGAGAAGTCGCTCATCGAGAACCAGCAGCGCGAGTTGCGCAAGACAGAAAAGGAGCAGGGTTCTGAGTGGCAGCGCAGATTCTTCAACCGCGTGTCTAACAGCCCACGCTTCGACGCCATGATCCATCAAGTCCCCGGCGGCAGTCTCGAGGCCGACAAGACAAACGGTGTCTGGGAGTTTGACCCCGCCAGAGCCATGGCAGCCAACCCTGCTTACCAAATCTAAGGAGAGCCACTTGGATACGGGTATAAATAGAGCAGATGGCCAAGAGGCCGCTGCAGCTGGCAAGCAGCGAGACTGCCGAGCGGGAGAAGAGTGAGGTATTTGGGCATCTGTTCTTTGTTACGTGGCTATTCGGGAAGCTATTGGGGTGTTTTTCTTCTTTTGTTCCTTTCTGCCTCCCTTCTTCGCTTGCAATACCGAAGAAGCATTCTCCTAAACAGAATCATATCATGGTTGAACCAAAACACAAAACTACTGACGCCCATCCCTCTTCTGATTCTTCATTGAATGTCCCAACTGGAAGCTGATTCTTGACAGAGCTGGTCTCTCCGAAGTTCAAGGCGGCATAGATCTCTTGTTATCGTTGTTCCTTTGGGTCGGCAAGGTTCTCTATATCAGCCATGGGCTTGGCGTGCATGAGAGTGTGAGGATCTGTTAGTGGCGCATGATCAGGGCCGCAAAGAACATCCTCCTCTTATCAGTCTTACACTCTAGATGCTTCGTGTGTCCCGATAATTTTTGTACGACCCAATGATCCGCAGGCGACTCATTGTATGCTGCGACGGCACCCAGAACGATGGCATCAATACTTCTAAACCCCTGACCAATGTCGCCAGAATAGCACGCTGCATCCATGATGAGGATGGGAGAACCACGGTCAACGCACATGACGCTCAGATACCTATACAACAGATCGTTTATTACAAGGCTGGAGTTGGCACAGGCACCAGTCAGGTCACAAATGCGTACGATTCTGTCATGGGTAAAGGTACGCCAACAAGCCACAATGCACTGCTACAATTGGTGGTAACCAGGGGTGGTGTGCAGNGTATCGAAAACAACATACGCGAGGCATACCACTTCCTTTGTCTAAACTACAGGAACAACATGGATGAGATAATCCTTATCGGCTTCTCAAGGGGAGCTTTTACTGTCCGTGCACTAGCTTTCCTGATCGATCGAGTTGGTTTGCTGAAGAAAGAGGGTATAGGTTTCTTGCGTGACGTCTTCGAAGCCTGGTCGAAGCAGCCTTGCAATAGTGCTGATGGAAGCGATCCGCTTAAGACAATCATGGCAAAGATCACATGGTTGGAGTTGCAACACTACCCAGTTCGGATCAACGCGTGTGCGGTATGGGATACAGTAGCTGCGCTCAGACGTGGTCGGTTAGAGTGCGTGGATGAAACCATACCGAGATGCGTCGAGCAGGCCATCCACGCCCTTGCCCTGAACGAAGAAAGAAGCCAATTTGAACCTCTGCTGTTCCGTCGAAGTCAGGACCAATTCCTCAAGCAGTGTTGGTTCTTAGGCTCTCACTCCGACGTGGGAGGAGGCAATGAGAAGCTTGGACTTGCCAATATTAGTTTAGCCTGGATGATGGCTCAGCTCAAGGACCTGGTCTATTTCGATCCTGCGATCATCAAGAGAATGACTTCTTACCACATGGAACGCTCGAGTGAGGCCATCAAAACGCGAATCTTGAACGGATCTGCCAGTAGCCAGTCGGCGATGTATGAACTCGATGTCACAGTACCCGTTCGAGAGTTCCAAGCCAAAAGCGATGTTCATGTGGGTACTTTTGCAAGGATACAGAGAATGGTTGGCTGGACGTACCGTAGGCCATTCAGCTCTGCATCCCTAACAGAAGAGACACTGCACTGGACCGTGCCAATACTGCTAGAGAAACAGTGCGTGAGCACATGCGTACCTCTGCGGAAATTTGGTTATGCGATGCAAACCTCTCGCATCTCAGAGACCGAAGGAGGAACATCTCGAGACAACTCGGATCTGCCAGAAGTGGACGAGAACGCCGTGCGACACAGACACGAACCACGCACGCTGTTCGAGAAGAGTGTGCTGGCTAACTGGATCGTCGAGGAGAGTTTGCAAGCTGTGTACAGAATTCAGAGTTCCAGTCAGCAAGAGAGCAAGTCCAAGAACAACGCAGTCGACACAATACCCATATACGCCGTGCTTTGGGAGCCGAGATTATGGAGGATAGAAGACTCCATTGATCTTGGCAGTGACATACACCTGACTTTTCGACACGGAAGCCAGGTGAAAGTTGAGACACCAAAGCACGAAATAACTATCGAGAGCTGGAAGCACAAGGTAGAGGAATACAAGAGTTGGGCTATGGGAACTTCGCCAGCTGCTGGGTCATCTATGATCTCAGGATCAGTGGCGCAATATGGAAAGTGTGGATTTGAGGTTTATCAAGTCAGCACTTCTGGTGATTGCAGCGTCGAGCATCCCAGCACGTGCAAGGTTCTTACTGGCAGAATCATGGTACCGATCGCCGAAGCTCGACTGCTGTCAGACACGACACGTACAGACGGCCACGAGACAACTCCAGAGAGTTTCTGCTCAGCTTCCGATGCCTGGTCTGATGAACTGATAGCCACATTAGACGGAATATACTCGACCATGAGGCAGGAAGATGATGTTTGATAGCCGAAATAGCCAAGTTTTCTGATTGATAGCATTATACATCCGTAGCTGAAAATGGTTGCAGATCACACTCGCTGCGATTGTGCTCAAATGTTACGTCCACCAGTAACACTGATGGTCTGGCCACTAACGTACGAGAAGTAAGGGCTGACAACACCGAGGATTGCGCCAGCAGCTTCAGTAGCAGTGCCAGGTCTACCCAGAGGGATGTCCTTGAATGCGCCGGCCCCTTCTTCTCTACCCTTCTTTTGTGCACCGGGGATACCCAAAGCAATCTTTTCACCATCAGGTGTAGTCACAAANGCACCCTCCTCCTTTGCAGCTGTCAATCTTGTAGCAATGTGGCCAAAAGCTACAGTGTTGCAGCGCACACCGAACGCTGGACCCCACTCTTTGGCGATTGTCTTTGTCAAGCCGGTGACCGCTGCTTTTGCGGCTGCGTAGTTTGCTTGTCCTGCGTTGCCGTGTAGGCCGGAGGTTGAGGAGATATTGATGATGTTTCTGGGGGCTTTGTCTTTGACGCGGAAGTAAGGGGCGGCGTTGCGGATGAGTTTGAAGGGGGCCGAGACGTGGAGGGACATTATGGTGTCCCATTGTTTGTCTGTCGTNCTGTGTTTGTGGTGTTAGAGACGGAGAAGTAGGGCGAGGGAAGAGGCAAAGCATACCTTGTGGATTACACCATCCCATGTGAAGCCTGCGTTGTTGACAATGATGTGGATCTTTCCTTCGCCAAACTCGGCAGTCTTTTCGACAAGAGTCTTGAGGTAGGCGTCATCTAGCATATCGCCAGCGACGGCCAATGCCTTGCCTCCACTGCTGTTGATCGAGTTGGCTACAGTGGCAGCCTTCTCACCATCAATGTCTGAGATGACGACTCTGGCTCCCTCATTGGCGAACAGACGTGCTGTTTCTGCTCCAATGCCCTGACCTGCTCCAGTCACAATGGCGACTTGACCGGCGAGGAGACCTCGGGGGTAGTTGAGATGGGAAGCGATTTGGGAGATGCGGTCGTTGGGTGCCATGATTGCTGCTTTGTATGGTTTGGTCTGGCGAGCAGATGCGAGGACGAGGTACGTGATATACTGTCTTCAAGTGAGGAGACCTACCTGTTGAACATGCCGAGGCTAATTCGGCAGGTCCTTCTTCAGGTCCCTGGACAACGTCCGACGCAAGTATCACTACAGAGAGGTTCGAATGGCATCTGACGGGAGTTTGACTCAGTCATCCCGGTGCACATGACCAATCCTGCTTCTTGTTGGAGAATGTCAGTTGGTCTCAAGACTGAAGATGTCCCTGGGAAAGACCGAGGCCGGAGAAAAACGTGGGGAGAGCTGTCATGACGTTGGCCATTGTTCTTTCCAAACCACAACCATCTACTCTGACGGACTGAAGACGAGGTTCACTGCCATTGCAACAATAGAGAAGAAAATACAGTCCCACCGGCATCCGAGGTCGAGTGATAGTCGAACATTACTACAAAGAAGAACAAGTAGATTGTTTTCTCACGTCGATTTCGAAGCACGGATATTCTGGGGGCGCGCCATCACCCACAACTTCTCTTCGCCTTCTAGAATCGCGACTTTGAGGAAATCGCAACTGACATCGACTTCCGCATACACCAAAATCTCGTCACTCACCCTTCAAGATGGCAAGTCAAGATGGTAACAAGGAAGTCGCGGATCTCTTCAGCGAGTCGTATGCCAAATCCCAGGATGAACAAGACCCGCTATCTTCTTTCCGGGGCCAATTCATCATCCCAACAATCTCAGACCTGCATTCCAAGACCCTTACGCCTTCAACCCAAGATCAACCACAACAATGCACCTACCTCTGTGGCAACTCGCTGGGTCTCCAACCACGCTTGACATCTCAATATCAACAAAACTACCTTCAGACCTGGGCAACAAAGGGAGTCTATGGCCACTTTACTGAAATCGAGGACTCAAAATTGCCGCCTTGGTTACATGTTGATGACGATGTGATTGGTGATGTTTGTGACATCGTGGGAGCAAAGAATAACGAAGTTGCTGTTATGCAGACTTTGACGGCAAATCTGCATTTCGCCATGGCGAGCTTCTATCGTCCTACTGAGAAGAGGTGGAAGATTATCATCGAGGGAAAGGCGTTTCCCAGCGATCATGTGAGTCTCATTCTTTTTCACATTTTACCCCTTTGTGCCATGTGTCGCGAAGATAAGATTAAGAATTTTGCTAATCACCGAATCTAATATCAGTATGCGGCGGAATCACAACTCTTACACCACAACAAGGATCCTGCAACCTCGATGATCCTCCTCGAACCCGAAGACTCAAACAACCCTATCCTCAGCACCCAACAAATCCTTACCACAATCGACGAACACGCAGATTCTACAGCCCTCCTTCTACTGCCAGGAATCCAATTCTACACTGGTCAATTCTTCGACATCCCCACCATTACCGCTCATGCACAGAAAAAGGGCATAGTCGTGGGATGGGATCTTGCCCACGCAGCAGGAAACATGCCCNTCAAACTCCACGACTGGAATGTCGACTTCGCAGCCTGGTGCAGCTACAAATATCTCAACTGTGGTCCCGGAAGCATTGGTGGACTTTTCGTCCACGAGCGCCACTCCGAGGTTTCTACTGCGTCAGCCTCCTCACGACCAGAGTATACACCTAGACTTAGTGGTTGGTGGGGTAGCGACAAGAGCAGCCGCTTCGCCATGGACAATGTCTTCACCCCGATCGCAGGAGCAGGCGGCTGGCAGCTCTCCAACCCATCAGTCGCAGATATGACAGCTCTCCGTGCATCTCTAGACATCTTTAACAAAACCTCACTCGATGCCATCAGAACCAAATCAGTCGCCCTCACCGGATACCTTGAGAAGCTCCTTCTTGCAAGCACGGGAATCAAAGACTGCTTCTCCATTATCACGCCTTCTGACCCTGAACAAAGAGGCGCGCAGTTATCAGTCCGTCTATCCTCTGGCCTTCTAGACAACGTTATGCACGTACTGGAAAAGAAGGGTGTGGTTGTTGATGAGAGACGACCGGATGTTATCCGCGTGGCTCCTGCGCCTCTCTACAATTCTTGGTCTGATGTGTTAAAGTTTGTCCATGTCTTTCAAGAAGCCTGCAAAGAGGCATTGGAAAAGAAGAGCAAGGAGACAAACGGGTCGGTCATGGTGGAAGGCGGCAAGGATGACAAGGGCTGGAGTGAGGTAAAATAAATGCTCATGCTCCTACAAATCTATTCACACCAGCCTTATCGGCATTGTTCTTATCGGCATTGTTCTTGTCATAGCATACCCCTCATCCTTCTACATTTTCATATATCCGGTACTCCAATAGGAAGAGTATCTGTAAAAATGATGTTTGACTATGAATGCACAGTGGCCAATCACTGGAGCTCGATTACAACATGAGACGCCTCCACACCGAAGGATTCCATCCTCATCCATGTTCTGGCTCGAGATCGACATGCATATACACAAGCTATTTCCAAACATATCTCTCTGGGCGAGGCTCAGCTTGCACCAACATCGCGACCACACGCACCCTCTCTCGCCCTCTCGGGCTCTTTATAAACAACCCGGGAGGTTTGGAAGACACCAACCAGGTAATGCGACATATATACTATATGGACAACAATAACGAACCTGCCAGTTTGGCGGCGGACTGCACCATCAAGACCAAATACGTCGAGGTCTCCATCTTCTGTTCAATAGGCACATGTACAGCAGTAAAGATGAGAAAATCACGCAGACCATGCACGCCGGAATACTGGACAGCATCCGATGGCATTGCCTCCGCGTTCCGCTCGTTTAGCACACCTTTTGTCATAGCTCTCGCCTTAGGCCATTCTGTGATGGCAACCCCGTATTAGACATTCATTGTTGATCCGCAGAATTCAATCAATACATCGCTCTCTATGCCACCTATCACGGTAGTGTATAATGCTACCTTTGCCTTACGGCTGGGCCAGCTCTTCAACACCTACTGGATGGCAATATCAAGTCTGACTGCGGTGCCAAAAGGACTTCGAAATGCAAACCTTACTGCAGATACAGCACCTATAAGAACGTTATTGTCAAATACGACAACTACGGAGACACGGACAACATCAGTCTTGGAATGTAACATTGTCTGGTTCCTGGTTCTCCTGTTGTCATCAGCCATCACAGCCGTTATAGGTGCTTGCGGCCTGATAGCAGTTGTTTGCTGCTGTGGACCAGATATCGTATTCAACATCTCATCACTTGTCAAAGACAGTCCATTCTTTGATCAAAACTCTGTCGCAACTACGCTTGGTAGCTCAGACAGGGCTTGGCTAATGAAAGGTTGGTATGCCAAATATGGAGATGTTGTGAGCGAAGATCAAGTTGGGTATATTGCTATTGGCAACGGCAATGTAGCGAACCTGCAGAGAGGGCGCTTGTATCGGTGGTTATCTATCCACCCCATGCCAGCATCATCCCTTGTCGTTGTCGTCATCGTACTGCATGACAGCATCCATAATTCATGCTTTGTTGATCATTATCTCTCATGTATCGCATGCGATCTTTGACATAAAATCAGTGAGCGGCTCTAATATCTTTCGAAAAGATCGATACCTATGGAGAGACTCGAGTCACCTCCAGCGAATTCTGATGTAACGATAGGATACTAGTCTCGTCTTGCACGCTCTGCAGCGTCACCTTCAGCAAGCCATTGACATGCAATGATTAGTTGCTGCACATTGATCCATTGCTTAATCAGCATCGGGAATAGAGACAGCCACACTAGTACCGTTGGCACAGAACTTTGAATCTTGTTTGCCCTGNNTGCAAAAATATGTGTTAGCACTCAAACCAGCTGTGAGACAGTAAGAGGCTTCTCTTACCGAGCAACTTCCATTGCTCCTGCGGACCATGGCTGGCTTTGGACGATTGCCCTCATCTGAGACTCTACCAGCGAAGTATCTTGATCAGCAAAAGTGAGGAGATACAAGGCGATAAAGAACAGCTCATTCATCAAACAGAGCGTAAACAAAACAATCTGATTATGTCGTCAGCTCGACTATCAGAACTGATAGCAGCAGTCTCCAGATTCACCNTTGTTCGAATAGTACAGATGCAGTAACCAGCTCCTCTCAGCATCTACTTTCTTGTGGCTTTGCTCACTGCCACCCATACTGAGTGTAGCATACATATGCACATAATGGCTCGCCAGATCAAGACTTATGAGCAATTGGAACAGCATAGCCCATCTAGGCATTGCAGTAGCCAGAAACACAAGCATGCAAGTGGTCGTACATCGATCGGTCACCATATCGAGCACAGCACCGAATTTAGTGCCTTGATCCAATTTTCGAGCTGCATAGCCATCGAGTGCGTCGAGAAGACATGATGTTGCGTAGATAGCACTACAGCGGCGAGGGTGAATTGGCATGAAGTAGAGAGACACTACAGCGAGGATTATTCGTGCATAGCCTNNAGAGTCACCTTCAGTATTTGGATGCTTTATCTTCAGCTCTGACATACCTATAAGATTTGGGATGAACAAAAAGATGTTCTCTTTCGTGTTGCCGGCTGGTCTTGGCTGTGGTCTACCCACTGTCTGGTCAGATGAGTCGACCTGCATATCGGTGACTCTCTGTCGTAGAGCATAGCGATCCATTGATATCGATGAGTTTTCGTAAAAGTCATTCACCAAGGAAACAACGGTCGGAAGTGCAGATGACAGGATTGTTGTTGCCTAGCCAAGACGTCATGTCTAGCTCGGCCGTAAGACACGATATTCCGGGTCTTGGTATTCGTGCCTTTTCAAGTGTTTTGTTGATTTTGCAGAATACTAGAAGTTACCCGAGTACAGAAGAAATTGATATATGTTTGCACAGTTCCAGACTCGAGAAATTTGGTTAGGTGCTCAGATATGATTCTTTTTGTTTCCGGGGCAGATTTGGTAAGTAGCCTTCCGAACGTTGATATGGATCTTGTACCCAAAGGAGAGAGAACCTCTCTGCTCGATATACTACTTTTGACTGAACTCAAGTTTCCCTTGATGTCGGCATCTTGGTCATCGGCAAGATATCCGCCTCTTTAGTCTTCTTCTCGTTAACCTTCGCATATGCATACACCAGGCCACTAACAAATCCAAGCGCAATAGCAGTACAGCCGCCGAGAGTAACAGGATTGCCAAAGAATAATAGACCACTGATCGCCAATGGCAGCTTGTTCAAAGCGCCGACCATGGAATATGTAGTGGAACCAGTGACGCGTACGCACCACGCGGATGTGTATGAGATGAAGACTGAAGATAGTCCAGAAATGATCATGGCGCTGATCACCCAAGTGCGGTTGTCGGCAGGGAAATTCAATGCGACGTTGGCAGAAGACCAGTCTTCGAACAGAAGCGAAAACACCAAGAGAATTGGAATACTCAAAAGGTTGTTGTAGTACATNGGCTGCAGATTGGGTCAGTCGATGTTGATGACTCCTTCTATGATGTACTTACTATCAAAGTCCTTGAAATTGGTCACCTTGATGCGGACCTTCATTGCCAGAACAAAGACAGCGTTGCAGATACAGTTTAAGCCCATCCAGACGTAGCCTGCATTGAACATCGAGAAGAAGCCGCCATCGCTTGCGGTTCCAGTAGGTTGAGCCGGAGTCTTGACATCTGCATATGCGGCAATGCCGGAACTAAGGACCATCAGGCCGAATGACACTAGAGCCATGCGTGTCACTGAGCCTCCGAAGCAGAGAACTTCGCCGTAGGCAATGCAGATAATTGTCAAGTTCTTAAAGATGGTGTAGACCGGAATGGTGAGATACGCCAGCGCCTTCGAGCCTGTATAGATCATGCCAACCAGGAGTGCAGAGATAGGAAACCATTTCTTGGCTTGGTCAATGTTGAACTCGCGGTATGTGATGAGACCACCACGCTTGCAGCTTTCGATGGTGGCAAGACAAATGACACTCTGTACATATTCAGTATCATATAACAGTCATCGTCATGAACTACAACGTACCTGAACGCAGAGAAGGAAGAAGTTCAAATTGAAGTCACGCCCTCCCAAAACGTACTTATTGGTCACAGTCATCAAAATTGAGCTTCCGCAGTAAGACAAAATAGCGACCATAGGTGAATTGGTCAAGCTAGTATGCGTCTTCGTAGACTCCATTGGTATCTCGCGTGACGCATCTAGGCCATTGTCATATTTCTCCTCTTCTTCGTCGTTGGAGACTTTCGCGTAAGCCTGGTTTGCAGCCATTGTGGAAGAGTTCGAGTTCGAGACGTGTCGAACACGAAGAGACCAGAGCTACCAAATGGTTTTTTTATGGTAGAATTTGTCGAAAGGGATGAGTAACGTTGTTCGCGATAACAAGATTGCGCAAAACTCTTGTCAGGGGTTGAGCTGGTGCTCTGCAACTGCTCGCTTCGGGAGGATGTGGCTGAGCCTCCTTGCCGCGTAAACAAATCGTCCTCCTTATCTAATCAATCTAATCGATAATCTGATATCCGGGTCGCCTTTTCCGTCACCATATTCGAACCTTTGTGTATATACCATTCATGACTCCAGGAAGGCACGATTCGGGCACTGATACCAGGTGAGAAAGGCCGAGGATCTTGGGCTGCATTGCACTTCGATCTGTTGCAGAATATGATAATCGTCCTCGCTTCCAACACCTCAGCGAGTTGCTTGTCGGCATCTGCTCCAGAAGTCATTGGTGGAACTCGTCGCAGTCCGTAACCCTGCATCACAGATATAGTTCCTGAGGCAGCGCGAATACAATAAACGATGCTCATGCATGCAGAACCATCAAGGCGAAGGTTGACTGCGGTGAATAGATTTGCCGTTTCGCGACAACCCCACACTCTCGTTTCATGACCAACACCCAGGGCTGCTCTTCTTCCTCCCCTTCTTTCTTTCACCTTGACGCTCCACTCTAGAGTTCATGCCGTCTTTTGCCTGTTGTAATGATGAACTTACGCCTCGCGCTGGTTTGGGTCTCGAAAACAGTCCTCGTATGGTGCAGCAATACGAGTCTGTGCATAATATGCGTATGTCGAGGCCCTAAACGAGGTACATTACACATGTATACCTGCGCAAGCCCCGGACTCCAACCTGCATGTTCATTTGTATAGTTCTTGAATTGTCGGTTAAGTAGCTTTGATTGTTTCGCATGGAAGATCTCAAAATCATAGGGATCATGGAGGTATAAGTAGCCTCTTGATATTCTGTCTGTCCTCTGTTATCCTGAATTCTCCTCAGTCGCTTCTTGTTGTGTTGACAGTCACTATGCAATACAGCTTGTCCTCTAGTCTTTTGGTCTTTTCGCTGGTTGGATCGGTCTTGGGTACACCACTCTTGCCTCGATACACCAATTCGACAGGGTCTGCAATTGTTTGCAATGGCACGTTCACTCCCATTCCAGCTCAGACTTGGGTGGACGGGATGAATCCTGGATGGAACCTAGGAAATACTCTGGACGCCACCCCTGATGAAGGAAGCTGGAACAATCCTCCAGTTGTACCCTCTACGTTCGACGATGTANAAAAAGCCGGGTTCAAGGGCATTCGACTGCCAGGTAAGATAGCCACGTGATGATTTCTTTCGAATGTGAAGCATCTAACAACCACAGTGACCTGGGCGTACCACTTTGATACCGAGGCACCAGACTATACAGTCAATCCCGACTGGCTTCAACGAGTATCCGATGTTGTCGACATGGTTATCGAGCGTGATATGTACATTCTCGTCAACGCCCATCATGACTCCTGGACCTGGGCCGATGTTACTCAAGCGAATGCGAACTACACTCAAATCGAAGGGAAGTTTTACCGTCTGTGGTACCAGATCGGGGCCAAGCTAGCATGCAAATCAAGCCTGTTAGCTTACGAACCCATCAACGAACCTGTAGGGACTACCGCAGCACATGCAGCTGAACTGAGAAAGCTCGAGGATTTGTTCTTGCAAGCCATCACAGATGCTGGTGGCTTCAATCCGAAACGCGTCGTCACTCTCAATGGGCCCCAAGAGAACAGTGATTTGACCTCACAATACTTTGTCCGCCCTACAAACATTACCAACCCCTGGTGCATTCAGTACCACTACTACTCGCCTTATCCATTCATCTTCTCTGCATGGGGAGGCACAATTTGGGGCTCAGATGCCGACAAAGCCGCTCTCGAAGCAGACCTTGCCAACATCCGCAACAATTTCACTGACGTGCCTCTGATTATCGGTGAATGGGCTGCATCTCCAGTGGCAACTGAGACAGCAGCCCGTTGGAAGTATTTTGACTTCTTCGTCCGCACAGCAGCGAAACACAACACCACCACCGTGCTTTGGGACAATGGAGCTGATTTCTTGGATCGTGCAAGTCATGTCTGGCGGGATCAGGTTGCTGTCGACATATACATGTCTGCCCTTGCGGGTGAGGCCAACGCGCTGCCGGACAGCACGACAGACCCCAACGCGATAACGCAGTTCACCAGTGCTGACCTTTTCGTTCGTGTGGGTCAGAATGTCACTTCTCAGAAACTACCCTACCTTATTCCATCCAACACCACATTGGTCTCGATCTCTGGAGCTAATGGCACAACACTAACTAGAGGAGCCGATTACTCAATCTCCGGCGGTGACATTACCTTCTCATCTTCTTTCCTGCGTACTTACTTCACTCCTTTCACCAAGCCTGGCTCCATCACAAATTTGACGCTTGACTTCTCGCCCGGTGTTAATTTGACTCTGAATCTTGTACTTTGGGACATACCCACTATCAATAGCACTTCCAGCTCCATATCAGCAGCAAATGGTTCAAGCATCTCCATCCCTGTTCAATGGAAAGGCATCAACAAACCTGCAACCGTCAAGGCAGTGACCGCCAACGGAACCTACCTAGTTGACGACTTTACAAAGTACTACGGACCTTTGCAAAATGCCAGAACTGTAAGTTTCCCTGCTCATGCTCATGATACAAGTACAGATTCTGACATGCAATTTTAGACCTACAATTCTCAGTGGAACTGGGATTCGAACAATTTGATTATTACAGCTGCTGCTGTCAGTGCTGTGCAAGCTCTGGGTGAGGATGTCATCTTCACCTTCGAGTTCTATCCTAGAGTACCTGGAAATGCTGTCAACTATACATTGACAGTTTAAGGATCGCAGTCAGATACGAGGGGTGGTACAGGTAAATGTTAGCATCCAATTTTGAGTACTTCCGGCAAGACTTCAAGCGAAAAAAATATCTAGGCTGCCAAAATGACCTCGAGAAGAACTTCTTGCAGTACAGTAAAAAGCCCATTGTTCGGGGTACAGAGGACTTTGGCAAAGGGAAGCTCTCCATCAGGGAATCGAACCCTGGTCTCCCGCGCTTGACGAGATGTAACTCTTGACAAGCGGAAATCATGACCACTAGACCAATGAAGACGAACCAGCTGAGCTGGTATTGGTTGATGGTGGACATTCTGAGCTCTACGCAATATAATCTATGACGGCGAGCCGTCTGATTCTCCCGAATTACGCCAGCGTCGTGCAAGATGGACAAGCAGTGTAGACGCAGACGTTGCAACCTCCACGCGCACACATGACTGTCTCAAGGCAAGCAGTCAACCGATGCACTGCGCGACACGATTTCAGTGAATGGGCGGTCATCAACCATGTCAATAAGAAGGTCAATGTTCTCGAAGCCGATCAAACAACAGCTCCGAGGAGTGGATACCGACGGACAAGCCTCCGATTGTTGGAATCGCCGTTGTTGATGTCATAACAAGATATTTGAGATGTTAGCTCGAAATGGGGTCGTCAACGGCGTCCTCTTTCGACACAGCATCCCTGACAGCAGAGCTGAAAGAAGGACGAGGCGGCTCCCGACTCAACGGCGTGGCTGCCAGACCTCGTCATTGCTGGCCAGTGACAATTTCGTTTCACAAACTGCACGCGGCAGTCGCAATTGTATCTCTCGTTCATGCGCGTTGTTTCTGCACCCGGCCTGCAGGTGCTGCTGCGACTTTGCGAGCGTCTAACGCTGCGGTAATGCGACAAGAGGTTGAGGTACCATTCTTACTCCTCCTGCTATCCATCTCTCCAACCAATGTCGGCGTCTCTACACGTCCCAAGGCTCGCCGACGTGGGCATCCTTGACCTCTTACGGAACGATGATCGCCCAACTTTTGTCCTTGGACCATCGGCTACGAATACCAAATTCCAACACCACCAAGATATTGTGTTTAAGAACAACGCCTTCGATACATTCCTAGTCGAACATACACAGCCAAACGTCTTCGAAAGTTGGTCTCAGACGTTGATCACTGGCCCAAAAGAGTATGGCAGGACATGGACATTTGCTGGAAGAGCGTGGAAAAGTACACTGCTTAGTGGTATTTGGCTGGTGATTTACTGTGCCCAAGCGGCCTCCACGGACGCAGAACCGCAATCTGGACTCGGCGACCTGCCACAGCAGAATGGTCGTGCGAGCACGCGAGGAATACCGTCATGGGATATTCTTTCACCACCACCAGAGACGTCTGCCGAACTGTTGGATTGGACCAAGTTTGACGTGCCGAACCTCTCTCCTCACATTCAATACATCAAAGACTTTGACTGGTCTTCGACCTCAATAGGCCCTATTGATAGATGGCCTAGTCGCTTGAGTTCAATGGTTCTCAGTATATGCACGAACCCCGATCCACGAGCTGTCGTATGGGGCGAAAAGCTCACCATGATATATAATGCAGCTTGCGCTTCCTTACTTGGCGAAAAGCACCCTTACGCTATGGGAAAGAGTTGTTCTGAGATACAGGCAGAGATATGGCCCCAAATGTCGAAGCTTTTCCAGCCCGCACTTTTGGAGGGCAAAGCGATCAAGTCTACCAAAGAGCTTTCCTTCCAAGAAAGAAACGGCATTCTGGAGGAGACCTACTGGAACTTCGTCATCTTCCCCATCATTGGCTCAGACGGATACGCCCATGGAGCAATACATTCTTTGATAGAGTTGAGCTGGCATGTCATCAATGAACGCAGAGGGGGTGTGGTCGAGAAACTGAAGGAGCGGGTCTCCACCAGCGCAACCATATCTCAGATCTGGGATCGATGCTTGGAATCCCTCGAGACGTACCCAGAGGACATTCCTTATGCACTGATATACTCAAATAGCGACGATGACAGCATATCTTCAGCTTCCAGCTCTTGGGCAAACTCTCTGAGGAATTACCAGCTCCATGGATCGCTCGGTATTAACCAGAACAATACGGCCATACCCAAGACATTTGATTTGACGGATAGAAAATCAGTCTATGGGTTGGCTAGAGCTTGTCGAAGCACCATGCTTGGTGGGAAGACTGTGATTCTGCGCCGTCATGACAACACGCTACCGGCCGATCTTGCAACAGCAATAGCCGGCCGAGGCTGGGAAGACCCGGTCGAAGCGGTCTGCGTGATGCCAATCGCTGTAAATGCCGCTGGTGCCCTAGCGTTCTTTATACTTGGACTCAACNCCCGAAGGCCGTTCAACGAAGACTCTCTTCAGTTTGCGCATAATCTTCGCGATGTGCTCACGAAATCTAGCTCTCTTCTCAACCAGGCCAGGTTTGAAGAGATACACGACAACCTTTCGACACAATTAAAGATCAGCACGTTAAGGGCAGCACGCAACGAGGAGAAGTTCACGCGAATGGCTGAGTCGGCACCCATCGGTATATGTACCTTCCGCCCCGACGGCAAGCCTCTTTACTGTAACGATGAGTATCTCAGTCTTGTTGGTGTGTCCCGAGAGTACGACTGGAAGGCGCTCTGGGATACACAAGCAACATGGCAAGAACATGTCCACTCCGACGATATACACGGGATTGCAGTAGCCTGGAAGTCGTTGTTGGACAAGGAGAAGACATCAGTGGCTGTCGAGTACAGAGTTACAAGGCCCTGGCGCTCTGTGGACAAAGCTACTGGCCAAACCCTGACTGGAGAAACATGGCTCATGAACAACGCCGCGGCAGAGTATGATGAGAATGGCGATGTGGTGTATATCCATGCCTGGCTGCATGAAACCTCTTTTCGACATTACACGGAGACATTGCTATCCAGTCGTCTCCAAGAAGCACTGGAAACAAAGCGTGCCTCCGAAAACTTCATCGACATGGTCTCTCACGAACTCCGCAACCCGCTTTCAGCAATTCTGCAGTCAGCAGACGGCATAATCACTGGCCTTGACGACCAGGAAGCACGGAGGAAGAAGGGCACTGAAATGCTCGATGGAGTCCTTGAAGCTGCCCAGACTATTATCTTGTGTGCTCAACATCAAAAATGCATTGTCGACGACATCTTGTGCCTCTCGAAGCTCGATTCGAATCTCTTGGTTATCACCCCGGACAAAGTCTCGCCACCACAATTGATCGGAAAAGTTCTCAAGATGTATGAGGCTGAGCTGGCGAGAGCGTCGGTCAAGGGTAAGTTAGAAATTGAACAGAGCTACCATGACATTATGAACTCTCGCAACGCCATGCTGGATCCGAGTCGCTTGCTTCAGGTAATTATAAACCTGCTCACGAACGCAATCAAGTTCACTCAGTTCTCCGAAAACCGAGGACTCAAGATATACCTTGGTGCCTCATATACGAGACCGACTGGAGCCCGTCACAAGCTAGCTTTCATCAAACCTCGTAATGCTCGACACGAACACTCGACAGCTTTGTCCACGGAATGGGGCCAGGGCAAAGACATATATTTACAGATTGCTGTACAGGATACCGGCCGAGGCCTTAGCGAAGAGGAGATGAGTCTTCTGTTCCAACGCTTTTCCCAAGCTAGTCCCAAGACTTATAAACAGTACGGAGGAAGCGGTCTTGGATTGTTCATTAGCAGAGAACTGTGTGAGCTGCAAGGAGGTCAGATCGGTGTTAGTAGTCCTGGTCTAGGACACGGGACTACCTTTGCCTTCTATGTACGCGCTCGCCGATGCCCGCAAGACGCGACTTCTGTTCCCGAGTCACCCGTTGCCTTGCAACATGTCTGGAACACACCTGTCACTGGCTCGACAGCTATGCCTCAACCTGCCGGTTCCAATGGCGCTGGGACTATTCCATCACTTCCGATACGCACGGCATCAGCCGCGAAACTCAACTCTCAGCCGAAATTTGCCACACCTGATAGACCGCTGCATGTTCTCGTTGTCGAAGACAACTTGATTAACCAACGAGTCATGTCTCAACAACTTAGAAAGCAGGGCTGTATCGTCCACATTGCTAACCATGGACTCGAAGCACTGACTTTCCTTGCAACCTCCGCCTACTCTTCAGCAAACCCTTCGACGCCTTTGGACGTGGTGCTTATGGATCAAGAGATGCCTGTAATGGACGGCATAACTTGCGTACGAGAGATTCGAACTCGACAAAAGATCCAAGAGTTCAACGGACATGTGCCTGTCATTGCTGTCACGGCAAACGCAAGAAGCGAGCAGATCACAGTCATGATGCAAGCTGGCATGGACTCGGTGGTAACGAAGCCCTTCCGCATCCCTGAGCTTGTACCGCAGATGAGGAAATTGGTTGAGAGAACGAACCCATCCTCGGCGACAGATGGCAACGAGAACGCCAATGCAGAACGACCCGCGATGTCGCCCGAGCCTCAGGACTCAGGCAACGTAAAAGTAGCTCCAGAGCGCCCCACGATATCCACAAAGCTATCTTCGAGCTGGGACAAGGTCAAGAGCGACCAAGCAACATATGATCTCTGGTAGAGGCTCTTGAGTACCGAGCATCCCTCTTACTATTCTATTCACACTTATTTTGAACATAGATACTTCTCCATATCACGATATAACGATTGCTGGGTTCTTGGCTGGTAAGATTTTGGTTGCATCATAAAAAGGTAGTTCAGATGGTGCCGATTTTCTGGTTTGTGATTTTGGGTCTTCTTGTGTTGAATAAATGTATAGCAGCTACTTTCTTCTTCCTTATGAATATAGAACAACATCCATACTATAAACGTCCTACCTAAACTTGCTCCCTTGGTTGCGCGACTCATCGTAGAGGGCTTGATTTGATCGTAAGGTGGTAGTTGTTGCGAACTTTCACTGCCATGTCATCCAAAGAACATATTTGTCTAACATCGCTCAACGAAAGTGCACCTGGAAGCCAAGGTCAGTAAGCAGTCAAAGTTTTCACATAGCTAAATTGTATTAAACAGGATTCCATGTCAACGACGAAGAGACAAAGATCAAAGAGAGTGTCCTCTGTCCAAAGGTCGAGGCAAGGTTGCCCCTGCGGCCAAGTTGATCCGAATCTTATCTAATCATGCCCACGATCATGTCCCGCTTCCGCCCCGTTCCGAAAAGCAGATCTCACTCGCGTCACATCGTGATGATACTGAGTCTTTGTAACAACGCAAACAATCCTGCACGAGAGAGTATCTTGGGAGCAACATGCATAGCCAAGTTTGAACAGTTCGGACGAGGGCTTCTGCGAAACCGCTGTTGGCCGCTCAAAAGCAGGGTACGGTATTCTGAGCACCGGACATGTGGCAACCTCGCTCCTCCCCTTGGTATCATCCATTCGTTGTCGGTCAAGGTGCAAGTGCGATTGACGATGCGTGACTCAAAAGTTTTTTCCCTTCCAAATCTGGCCGGCGATAGGTTTCCTGATTCATCTGGGGTCCCGATGTTTCTGTGGCGGTTGGCGACAGGCTGTTAGGCGAAAGACTGCTCATCTCAAGAAAGAGCGACCACAAAATCGTGTGCAAACCTGCTCCTTGAGGCAAATACCATTCTCAAAGTAGTACAGTATCTCTGGGATGATGAAACAAACTTGCTGGTCTAGTTGGGCTGCCGCACTCAAATCGAGTGAATTGCTACTAATTGACTCCCACGTGTAGTTACCACGTGTAGTTCTTGATTTTGTTGTTTACACTGCTACTTCGAGCAAGTGACGGGAATGTTTAGAAAGTGAGTCAGTCAAGTTCAGAGCCTCAGAGGAAAGAGGTCGACGGTTCTTGCATGTTCTTAATCACACTCGCGTCTCTAAATTATTTGTCGCACTCGAGTACACTCCAATCTTCTTACAAAACACACCACACGCCGCATACGCTGAACTACAACATAATGTCGCCCATCATCAACACAAGCTTCTTGGTAATCTCGGTGGAGTAGGCATTAGGGTTGGGGTTTGGACTCTGTAGAACACCAGATGTGGTAGCGGGCACCTTCTGGGATGCTCTTTGTGCAACGAAAGTCTTCCACAGCTCGGCAACAGTGGTTGTCTGAACATTTGGGCGAGCATTCTCATTGCCGCCAAACTTGGGTATGTTCAGAACGGTGACGGCGGCATCCCCAACGTTGTAGCTTGTATTCGCGGCGAGAAGACCCTCAGCCCGCTTAGCGGCCTTCTTGGCCTTTTTGCTCAAGGGAAGCTGAGGAACTGATCCAGAGTTCGGCATTGACAGAGTGGGCATGGCTGAGAACATGGATGCTTGGCTACCGCAGCCAGAGGGTGTAGTCTGGCTACGAAGGATGACATTCGGCTTTGGTTTTGGTACTGTCTTCGTATTGAGCTTGCCGAACTGCATGGCGGTTGTGATACCATTCAGATCTGCCGACAGTCTCATCTCATGCTCTGCATCACGCCTTGCCAGCCACTCCTGTGGACTCGGCTTGAGTTGATCGATCAGGGCCTGCAAAGCCTCGTCGAGGGTTCTACCATAGCCAGCGACACAAGGGTGGTCTTAGGGTTGCACATAGGCCCACCACAGGTTGTGCGCAAAGTTGATTGGTGGCTTGCAGCAAGTCTCCTTGTCGAAGGTTATCTGCGGCTTTCCTTCTTCGGGTTTTGCCCATTTGTGATTGTAGGCATCTGCGATGAAATCTGTCAGCAAATTTGAACCATGAATAGAGATGATGGGTTTGGTACTGTTGATACGACCCACGAGACTGGAGATTCCATCGGTCGTGTTCATGTTGGACACTGATAGGAAGTCAAGTCCGAGCTCAGCGACGTAGTGATGTGATGGTAGTTGGGAAAGGCGCCAGTGCGATGAAGTGATGGGTCGTTGGTGCGCACGACTGACGTGTACTGCGATGGGGATGTTTGGGATGCCGAAACAGACGAACCTGTCCAGGCACCGAGGGTCTGGAAAGTGGATGTGACTTGGCGCGTGGTCTAGACAGGCAGTCGCGATGCTGGTCGGGATCGCTTATATCACATGCCAAGGCGAGAGAAGGCTAAAGGTCGTTGTTTCCTCCTAAAATCATCCCTTAACCAAGCAAAGACATGTGATCGTGATGATGCGGAGCAAACAAAGACAGAACGTCTTTCATCCAGGGGGTTCACTCAGCGGTTGAGAAGTCCAAGTCAGAGCCCAAATCACACTTGCCAGCAGATTATGTATATGTCAAGCCGCTTCGAAGTCATTGGACACAGTGGACGGAAAGAGCGAGACGTGCAACAAGAAAGAGATTCGTCAATGATAGTGTTTGCTCTACCCAGAGATCCATAACGCCACGCTAGCCAGTATAGAAAAACAAAGATTCACACACCTATTAGGCTATCTCTAGTCCGCAATATTCTTATTTGCTTTCCTGTCCTTCTCCAAGACTTCCTTCAATGATCCGTTCTCCTTTGCGATATCGACAATCATCTCCAGAGCCTTCAACTCCTTCTCATTCATCGCGTACAAATCATCGCTTTTGAGACAACACATGTTATTTGCACCAATGGCCCATTCAGCCCACTCTCCGTCTTTTNNTCTCTTTTCGGCCATGAAGAACTCGAAGACTGATATGTCGGAGCTGGCGTCGTGTTTGTTGTTCTGGATCCAGCCATTGAACCACAAAGGCCTGCCGTCGCGAGACAAATGCAAAAGTTGTGGGGAACAGAGGATGATGTTCTGACCAGGAAGGTCGAGCATGCCAGGACCAGTGAGATTGGTACGTTTTTTCTCCAACGCAGTGTCGAACCAGCTGTCACGTTTGGTCAAATGGCGACGAGAGAGGGTTCGACCAGGATCAGACTCTTCAGCGGCAGCAGCAGGCGTTTCTGGTAGGGTTGTGGGCTCTGCGGCGGGAGGGTTGTCGCCAGATTGGTTGTTGTCCTCTACTGGTAGATAATGGCCTTCTTCAGTAGGAAGTCGAGCCGCTCTTGCAGCCTCTGCTGCTTTGATGGCCTTCATCACATCGTCAGCGTCTGGAGCGGGAGAGAGAAACTCNGACTTTTGTTTCTGTGCTTGAATCCGTGGGCTCTGGAGTGACTTGTTCCGTTTTGGCTTCCTCGGCCTGGTTCGACTGAGATTCTTGCAAGACTCTCAGGTTTGCTTCGAATTCTTCGCTGTCAGTCTTATGCAAGGGCTCTCCAGTCGCTGTCTCCTCTGCAGGCGCGTTCTCTTCCTCCTCCTTTTGACGCCGAAATTCTCAGCCTCGTGTTTGTCTTCAGGCTTGTCTTCGGGCTTGTCTTCGGGCTTGTCTTCAGGCTTGTCTTCGGGCTTGTCTTCAGGCTTGTCTTCGGGCTTGTCTTCGGGCTTGTCTTCGGGCTTGTCGTCGGGCTTTTCCTCAGGTTTGTCCTCGGGCTTGTCGATAGGTTCCGTGTTGCTCACAGTGCCCATGTTACCGGTGCCACCTTGATGGAAGTGGTAATCAGTATCGCCAGCGAGCTCGAAACCAATCCACCAAGTCTCCTTATCACCCCACCAGAAGCTGTAAGTTCCCTGCCCAGCATCGGTATCATCACGGTCTGGTCCGTTCAATCTTGCAGTCAAGAAGACACTTAANAAGTGTCTCCATTTATCAACCACCACTACGCCAGATTCTTGGTTTTCGCCAGTCTCGCCTTTCCACCATCTGCTCTCTCTGGCCTTGCTGGAGACAGGCTTAGGCAAAATCTTGCGTAGGAAAGATCTTTTGTCTTGAGGAAAGACTGTACGGTCGGAAAAGAAAAGGGCACCCGTATCGACATATCCAGGCTCGCTGAACAGAAGCTCAGGATTGTTGAAGAACAAGACGTCCGCATCGAGCAAGATGACCTCACGGAAAGAGCTCAGGAACGCCGCGAACGCTTTGCCGGCCCAACCCTGAAGTGCCCAGCCTTGATCGTTGACCATCTTTTTGATGTCGCGAGTAATGACGTCCGGGATAGTTTCGAGCTCTGTGCGTGTGTCTTCGCTCAAGTCGGAGTCGCCAAGATACATGATCTCGACCGGCAGAGTGCAGCCCATTGCACGAAACGAAGAGATTGCAGTCTTGATGTACGGAGCCTGCGAGGTGCTGCCTGAGATCACAATGCCACGTCCAGCGTTGTACATGTGTCCATGTAGCGTCATATGGTCTGAGAAGTAAGGACTGGTCCAAGGAAATAGGATTGTGGACATGTTCGACAGGAAAGAGCGATAGGTTTCATACTGTCGCATAGCCTCAAGTCGTGATCCGGAGGTGAAATGAGAGAGATCTTTGGAGTCTCGGATGTGGCGCAGAATATCGTCCCGTACAAAGGCCGTATCAGACAGACTGTCTGTCACGACGTGCAATGCTTCCCAGGCATCAAAGTACTTCTTGAACATGCGTACCCGTACACCGGTTTCGTGAAGCTTCTTCTCGCCACCAGTCTTGATAGGCTGCGTCAATGCGTTGTAGTAGACCTCATCCGGACACAGATTTAACACTGTACGAAGAGCTGTATCGATGTCGTAAGGCTCGTTTGTGTGGATGGTATAGTATTGCGGCTTTTTCGTCGCCCATAATGATCCTTTGACCCCCTCTTTAGGTTTTGTCGTCGACTTGTAGGGTATCGTTGACATTGTAGTGGTGGAACTTGTGTTAGTGGCAATGCTTGAAGTGACATAGTTCCAGTCCGAACGCGTAGCTACGCTTGCGTATAGAAGAACACAAAACACAGCACACCCAGTGAATGCAAGTCCTTTGACAATCTTAAGGCATCTAGAAGGACTGCTGACATAATTCGCAAACGAATCAGGGTCGAGCTTTTCGAAGCGCGGGCTTAGAAGTCCTGTCATTGGGTCGAGTGTGTCCAGTCCTCTCATTCTAGTGGTTCCCAGCCCTGTAAGTCTGGTCGGTACAGAGTGTGATATCTGTAAGGGTAGTCAAATGGGAAAGGGCGAAAACAAGATCAAAGGAGGCTGAACTTGGGATACCCGTGAGTTATACCAGGGCTGACCTGTATTCGTCATATCACTACATTTGTCGCCGGTATCTAGCTGAAGCATAACAATGGTTGCCAGCTCGTACAGCTGTGATCGTAAGACATCGTTTCTAAACCGGTTATCGAGGGCTGCCACAGCCGCTGTTGGTTTCGACAAGTCGAACTCAAATCGATACCGAAAGTCGGATTGGTTACGAACGGTGGCAGGGCATTCCTATCATAGCCCTGCACATCAGACGCGTATCGAGTCTGAATAATCAAAGACAGCTCATCCAATAACGGGCAGTCCAATGTGCACTCTCCGTGTTTGGGACAAGTCATGATTACTATCAGCTGGCTCAGCTCAAATGAAAGCTGTTTCTGGAAGGAATCGATAGCTGACGGAGGCGTCGTCGGAGCTGCCGCGTGGCTAATCTCGAGCCTAGACTTTCAACAGTCCGGACCGCACACTTCACAGCACACAACCACCGTTGCGCATAGTGAGTCTTGTTGATCCTATCTCTGGGGCATCTGGACTCGTACTTGTTCGACGTTGGTTTCGATTTGAGCGTTGTGGAGATGTCGCTTGAGGCGTCAAGCATCTTGAGCCCATGGGCTTGCCAGCTGTTGCCAAGAGTCGTGTCTGACCCCCAGCGGTTCTCAGGTTGGCACCTTTTTGCACGTTCTCCCCAGTGGCAGAAAATTATATCGAGTACTTGCTCAGGCTGTTTTGTTAATCGTCTGTTCTCTTGAGCAGAGCTTGTTCCATTGTATCCTAGATGATGGGAGTGCGGCCACACTAAACGAACGGTCACTCTCTGCGATCAGCATGGACACGGCTCTCCTCTCTGTACTTTGCAAAGTCTACGTGAGCGAGCGGCATGTGTGTCTCGGACAATCATGCCTCGTTACTGTACCTATGTTTTGACGCCGCCAATGAGGCAAAGCCAACGGGCACGTTCTGGGTCTACTTGAACGAGCAAGCATACACCCCAGTAGACGCTCGCCTCAACAAAGCCTCATCCTGAACGTGATGGCGTGCAATTCGAATCAGGATTGACGTTTTCCTGGTTTGTTTGATCGATTCGAAAGCGTGCCGTTTGTTTTTTGATGGAGCGTGTACGCGACGCCTTGACTTGGTCGATCAGCTATCCCGTCCTTCGTCAACTTCGGTTGGCATCCTATCAACATCAATACACTCAGTTCTGAACCTGTTTCGCTGATTGGTTGGCAATCAGAAGCGCGCCCAGCTCGGCGAAGCTTGTTTCTTCTCTCTCCACCTTCGTTCATACCATACAACACACGTTCTTAGTCAATCTAGAAGACTGATGCTCACACGGCACGGACTTTCCGAGCCCACCAGAGCTGCCAGATCATCTTCCAACAAGAAAAAAGAGGCCACGCTGGGGACCAACGCTCCTCTCATGCTATTGGTGGATCTACTCCAGCCTGCAGATCATACCCCATCTCCACCCACCCCCAGAAAATCTCCGCATGGCAGACAGAGCAATTTTGCCTTGATATGCAGTAAAGAAGGCGTCTGGGGGTAGAATGCGGAGTCGACAATGTAGCCCAGAAGATCTTCCGGGGAGTAATGATGTATGAGGTATAAAAACAAGCATTACCAAGTCTTGTAAGTCATCATCCTTCGACTATCCAAGATGGTTGCCTCCAAGACCATTCTACCTGTGCTCTCTCTGGGTCTGCTTGGTACAAGCCAAGCATACAGCCGAGGTGAATGCCAATATCCAACTCAGAATCCACTCCAAGGTTGTCCACAAGGGACCCTACTCGTCGGTCCCAATGCAAAGTTCACCAGCATCCAATCCGCCGTGCTTTCTATACCAAACAACACTGTACCTTACTATATCCTCGTTCTCCCCGGCAACTACACTGAACAAGTCAACGTCACCCGTCCAGGCCCTTTGACTCTACTCGCTCAGACCAAGTTCCCCAACGACAATACCAAGAACACAGTCAATGTGATCTGGCACAACGCTACAGGAACTGCCAGCACAGGAAGCTACGACAATGCATATACATCTACACTCACGGTAGCGCCGACTTTCAACAGTAGTCTTACTGGCAGTGGGCCAACTGGCAACCATGTACCTGACGGCACACCATTTGGCAACACAGACTTCAGAGCTTACAACCTCAACTTCATCAATGATTACTTGCCATACTCTGCTGGACCTAGTTTGGCTCTGAGTGTCAGCTATGCAAACGCCGGCTTCTACTACTGTGGCTTTTACAGCTACCAAGATACTGTAAGCTCTATTCCTAGTCATCTTATCATCTTTCACTAATCATAATTGTCAGNNGTATATATCGGCAAACTCGGCAGCACATATATGTACAACAGCACCATAGCCGGCCAAACCGACTTCCTCTACGGCTTCGGCACTTTGTGGATCCAATCTTCCCTCCTCAGTCTCCGCAACTGCGGTGGTGGTATCACAGCCTGGAAAGGCACAAACACGACTTTTGTCAACCACTACGGCGCCTACATTCACGATTCTTCTGTACGTGCTGCAAACAGCTCTCTCGATATTGTGGGCAAGTGCGCTCTAGGAAGACCTTGGAACGCTGGCCACAGAAGCATTTTCGCGGATACGTACTTGGATGACTCGATTGTGCCTGGAGGTTACATCAAGTGGAGTGCAACCGATCCGAGGATATCGGCGAACACGACAATGGCCGAGTACAAGGACTTTGGGCCTGGGTGGAATGCTACCGGTAGAGCAGTGGCTAACGTCACGATTGTTATGACGGACGAGCAGTATGCTCCTTACAGCACGTTGGAGAAGGTGTTCCAGTTCCCCTTCACGGGCAAATTTGGGAACACCAAGTGGATTGATAGAAAGTCGCAGGTGCACGGGAACTGAGAATGTAAGACGGACGATCGCAGAATCGAAAGATACATTCATCATAGGGTATCATTACATGACCTTCGAAAAATGCTCAACCTCGCGACTTGTTCTTTCTCTTGCGCAAAGCTTCCTTTGAGCTGCCGTGACCAGTGCTGCTTTCCAAACTAGTGCCTAGACCGGAGTCGAGAAAATCGTCGCTCTCGTCCTCGTCATCTGCTTCCAGAGCAGTAGTCAGGAGCTGAGGGAAGGGCTCGGGCTCTGTTTCCTCCTTCTTGATGGCAGGGGAGTTGTAGCGCATAGCAGGACCTTTGCTATAGGTAGGATATGTGCGCTCTGTATCTGAAAGTCTGGCCTGCTCTTCTCCTTCCGAATCTTCTGCCTTGATGCGTTTGCTGTCCTCGGGTTCCCTCTTGACTGGAGTGTTGTCGCTTGAAGAAAAGATCCAGACACTCAAAATAGCCCAGCAGATGGCAGTAAAGAGGACCTCGGTGCCCCAGAAAGCGCCGATGAACACGGCGGCGCTGGTAATACGGTGGTTGTACATGATCCACCTGAGGCCCTGGAAACGAGCCTTGAAGACGACATTGGCCTCGTAAATCTGCATGCGTGCAGAACTTTGCACCCGAATCTGCATGGTGTCAGGCACATTCCTCCAACCTTTTGCAAACGAGACGCCTTTGAAGACAGGAATCTCGAGAGTCTCTGCTTCAAGTCGCCAGCCCAGAATCAGCCAGTGCAGCTCGGTAGCCTTACGAGCGAGATCGACGACGGGCGAGTAGTATGTCAAGATGGCAGATCTCCTCGAACTAGCGAGAACTTTGGTGGTGGTCGGGTCCTTTGCGACAGGAATGCGCGAGTCGTCAATGACGGAGCCTTTCTCACCAGGAGCAAACAGAGCAGTCTCGACCATGAAGTTGCCAATCTCAGTATTGGTCTTTGTGCGCGGTAGACGTATCTGGATCTTAACATCATACGGCTGGAGACTGACCAGCTCGGGGGCTAGATTCGCGATACCCCATGGCGGAGACTCGGGGCTATCGAACTGAAGGTGGATGGGGCGGCTGAAGCCTATGCGAGGGATGTAGGTCCAGTAGAAGGCGAGGTAGGCGGCGATTGAAACGATGAGGAGAAAGAAGCAGGTGCTAAAGAAGAGGACCGAAGTCAGGTATGCGCGCTGGGCGGGTTTGGAGACGGCGATGCGGAGCGGGAGAAGAGCTGTGTTCTGTNNCGCCTGGTCAATTGTGGTCTGCGAGAGCTATAACATGATATCAACCTTGACACGAGTCACCACGCCCTGCGGCTCGTCATCAGCATAGTCGGACATGTCGCATGATGGTTGTGGTATGGAAAGAAAGACGATGCTGACTTGGTCCGCTCCAGATTCACGACAACGTCACTGCTCTCACATGAAAGGTCTGAGCTTTTCCCTCCACTCTATTGATCCATATGATAGCAAACAACGGTCCAACGTGGAAGAACACCTAACACATCATGGCGGCTATACAGGGACTCAGAGAATAATCGCTGGTAAGCTTGTTCTTCCATGTGTTCGCATTCGACATACCAACGATTTCACGTGAAGCAAACTTCAGCCACATGGACATGCGCGTTGAGCATCCAGAAACTATAGTTCTGAAAAACGGCGACTTCTATCGCGCTGTCATAGCGGCAAGGGGTTGTGCAAACCATATCGTTAGCATACAAGAACCAAGTCCCACCGTCACCGCTGCTCTGGAGCATCTTCTCGACGTGACTGCCGAGGTTTTGAGCAATGTCCAGGATACTTCCTACGCCAACAATCAAACGTCACCAGATGAACTTTGTGAAATCGACGACAGTTCATTTTATACTAATGAACAGAGACTTCCCGAGCAAGCCTCGAGCCCATCTGTGGCGCATAATCCATCGTCCTCAGAATCAATCTGTCACGGTTGTTCAGAATCTGTTCCGAATATCAAACGTGAGAGTTCAGAATTAGTCTACTCTGAGTCCTCGGAACCAATTTGTTCTGGTTCTTCCGAGTCGATCTGTCCGGGTTCCTCAGAATCTATGGAACGTGAGATCTCTGAGCCGATATCGTTCGAGCCCGAAATTGTACAACCACAGGAAAGGCTTGCAAGCAGTTCGCTCACTCCAATTGTATCCCCACTGGTCTCTGCCTCGAGAGTCCAAACGCGTCGTACTTCCGCAATGGACGACCCGGTTGCAGAGGACTCAGAACGATGTAACACCTTACGCAGAAGTACCCGAAACCGCCAAACCTCAAAAGCATGATGGAAGCATGTTTTGTATAGACAGCTTGTCATTCTCCACAAACGCATGCAAAGAGCTACTCCTCCCCAGCCTGGTAATCTTGTCGTTGACCTTGACGCTCAAAAAGGGTAGCTCCAAAGCACAGCTTGCTCTCACCTTTTCCAAGCATCAGATTACTACGTATACTCTACGCTCAAACAAATTCACACTGCCAGCTGGAATTTCAAGCGTATCCTGCAACATCACCATCATGAAGAGAGATGGAACAAATGATGCTGCCGTCGTCCGTTAGCATGGTCGCAACAAGTTACTGGTCATGGTTCTATCAATGCCTTCAGTAGCAGCCGCTCCTCGATATCTACTCCACGTGGTCTCAGAGTAGTTGACTACTCCCAGTCGTTACGACACTAAGAGCGCCTCTCCGATCAGTCATTGTGCGACACCCGACGAGAACAGCTTCAATAGGAAGATATATTGGGTGGCCTTTGGATCTTTGGGATGATTAGTCATAGACTTCAGTATGACATCGAATGGTGTTCACTTGGCGTCACGAACACTATTTTTAAGTAAGAAGTGTGTGAGTTTCGATATATGTGCTTGGCTCGTTTATCCTTTCAGAGAGGGAAGCTCTTGCGACCTCCTGATATCTCTGCTCAAGGACATCCATTGACCAATCTGATACTCACAAATTGTCTGACATCCAAGGTCTCAAAGCACAAATCCATGATAAGCGGAGATAGCAGAATTGTACCCAATACTAATTCTCGCAAAGACGATTATCGATACGTCAACATGAGGACCAAGACCCTGATTATTGTTCGCCAACATCTCGACGGGCAATACCACGCTTGCGTAGTTGCCGAATCGAACCAATTCCCTCTACTCGCAGATATTGGAGGCAGAAGTCTGACAGTCATAGATGCTCTGAAGGCATTACTCAAAAGAAGTTGCACATGGTTGGATGAAATCCAGGCTCGCAACGAGGAGCACGAATTGCGTCACCATGGACGCTGGGTCTCTGAGACGCCGCCTGAAGCTCAGCAACATATCATCACGAGAGAGGAGATANGCAGCTTCGCCACTTCGCCAACTCATGCAGCTAAGCTGCCGAAGAGAAGAGAGAAGGGTCTACGCAGGTTTGCAGACAGGCAGCGTGCAAGATCTCCGCATACCACTCGTAGAGTGCGAGAGAGGAACAACATTGCTTAGCTTGAACAACTCAAGTAAGGTCCATTCTGAAAGTGTTCTTCGTCACATTGGTGCTACTTCCCGATACTGCATAAATCGAAACTATGCTTTGCACAAAGCGGCACAACCATGACGTTGTGCTATGTCCAGCCCCCAAACGCGTCTCACAAGGCAAGTTCGAACACCATCGCTGCAACAACCCAACTTGACATTTTTACACGCGTCGTTGACCAGGCAATTTCAGCAAACAAGTCAAGCACAATCATCGAAGTCAAACACGTGTTTCCATGCTTGCGCGCAATTCATCGCGATTTTGTCGCTATCGACTCAAACACTACCAACCACTCTACTGATCCTTGTTCATCATGGCTGAGATCTCTGGACTCAGAGAGCAGATTCTTGGTAATCCATGGTGGATCAAATCACATTCGATCACAACTGATGATTTGCAGNCGAATTACAATTTCATGGGATTCGATCAGCCCACCTCCGAAGTCGATGTTGTTGTCAGATATCTCGAGCAGAAGTACTACCAAGCCACTATTGCGGACAAGTCCTCAGGCGAGGATATCGTTGGAGAGCCTCACGAAGCAAAAAGTGTCGAGCGTGCATTGACAGCCTTACTCGCTCATACCTGTGCACACCTTGGAAACCCTCCCAATTTGATCGGTGCTGGTGCTACACAAACCCTAGGAAGTCCAGTGGCTAAGCGTAGTCGCGGAAGACCCAAGAGCATTCTCCCTTCTGCTGCCTCATCCGCTGTCAAGCCCAGGGCAAAGAAGACTGCTCCTGCTACGAAGGCAAAGGTCTCTGCGGCTGTCACTCCGAAAGCCACTCGTGGTCGTGGAAGACCCAGAAAGTCTGATGTCGTTGTGCCCACATCGACTGGTCGCCCTCGAGGCAGACCTCGCAAGAATCCTGTGTCGACTGCTCCTGCGGCCGAGGCGACGAAAGATGGTGCCGCCGCGCCCGCCAAGCGTGGCAGAGGCAGACCCAAGAAGTCTGACTCCACGCCAGCAGCAGCAGCAGCAACAACAACTGGTTCGAAGCGGAATGCAGCTGCCCTGGAAGATGACGAACCCGCCGCCAATAAGTCACACAAGACGATCAGCGACGAAGAGATGCAAGACCGTATCAGCGCGGACGAGCTTGGTGAAGTCGAAGAAGCAGGTCAGACTGCTCCGTTCACTCCTCAAGTATGGTTCCCAACTTACGTGTCAAGGATTGCTAGGGTTATCTACCACTGCATTGCAGACGGACCGGCTGGAGGATTGACCGAAGACGAGATGATGACGCGTATTGGACTGTCAGACAGCGATATCAACGCTGGTATCATGCAATTGAGCGAAAAGGGAGGTATCATTCCCGCTATTGGTGATGATTATAAGTGGACAGTGCTTGATGAGTGGGAGGATGAAGAGGAATGAGTTTGGTGACCAGCATTTGCTTTCATCTTGGCTCCAAGCGAGAATGCGTTTTTATCCTATGTTAAAGCATCTTTTGACCCCAGTTGCTTTCGGTTTCAAGCATCATACATAGTTGATGCATGAACCATCACATGTGCACAGTATTGCATAAGTTTCTCCGCTGCTCTTGCCGAATCGCGTCCACGACGCGTGTTTCAATAGCTCTTTCTTCCAACATTGATCCCGTCTCCAACCATAGAGTAATCATGTCAGAGATACAAGGCTTGAGAGAGCAAATTCTAGGTAAGAGCTTTGGAACACCTATCTGCCGTCTCTTGATCGCCATGGCCAACCACAACTCCAGCAAATTACGAGCATCTCGGTTTTGCGACACCAGCTTCCAGAGCTAATATTATAGTAGAAGCTTTTAGAGACGAAAGCTACAATGCTGTCATCACAGACAAACTTTCTCGGAAGAGACTCATCGATGCTCGTGGTGTTCAAGGCACGATAACCCAGGCCCTGGAAGCGCTGCTGATTTACACCTGCGTTATGATACAGAAGGAGCGAGAAGATCCAGTCAGATGGCGCAGGCTGGTTGCTGGGCAAAGATCAGCATCAGATGATGAAGAGCTAAACCAGTTTGAGATTGAAGAGAATCAAGACAGCATAAACCCATCATCTGCAGATCTACCTGATGGTCTTGGATAGGTGGACGATCGAGTGGTTCCCGGATCTGGCTCATCGTCCCTAGAGATGCGTGGTCGAAAGCGACCCGCCTCTGCTATGGTTTCTAACAACCGGATGCCGAGAACCATATCTGACAGATTTTGTGGCTTCAAACGTCGCCCAGAACTCAGTCAGAAACTTTGGACGAAACTTGAAGGCATGTCCCTGGATGCCAGTGTACTACTACCCCCGATTGGAGATGCGAGGATTGCTGCTGTTGCCTGTGGGTCACTTTCATCAGAGGTCTCTAATCCAGCAAGCAAATTGCTCTACGAATTATACACCATGCCCAGGCTGGACCCATCTGAGGGAGGAGTCCTTCTGTCACGTATCGCCTATGAGGCTGGACTGGACTGTACCTGGCTGATAGGATACGCCGAAGAGCTTGAGGACGTTGGCAAAGCATGGCGTACCAGCCCATCGACATGGATGCCAAAGGATCTTCCTGCTGGTTTGACATACCCGTCAGGCTCTCAATTTAATCAGGAAGCACTAAGAAGCCGGGGTCAGCTGGCGGTATCGACCCCGTCGGCGAGCAACAAACGAGCACGTGTTGAGAATGGGTTTCCGATCTCTCGGATGATGAACATTGTTCTCACGCCAAAGATTTGCAATGTGAGACCTCCACATGAACTAATGTATCTCATATTCTGTGTGCTCGAACCGTGGAGGCATCTCTCTGTCAGCCCGAAGTCACTAGAGCACACAAGACTCTGGAAGCCCAGAACCACTACCCAAAATGTTGTCAAACTCCTTGGATGAATTTCCCTCTTGAATCGAACACCAAAACGAAGTACGAAAAGAAGTGTCGGGCAGCTGGTTTGAACACCAGCCGCATTGTTCCAAAGATTTTCGCACACTGCCCAAGGTCTCCTCCACGCTACATCAGTTATTCATACGATATTTCTTTTTTTCTTTTTTTTCTCTGGGTTTTTCGTCCTTCCCTTGGGCCAGTGGCGGGAAGTTGAGACCTAGGTTTTATATAAAGGTTTATGATTGCATGAGTGACATGGAAGAAAAGATGAAGGCTCGCGAATGTATGATTCTGCTCATGCCTGTTGGATTCTCGATGCGAACGTGAGTATAAGCCGTGCTTCATCTTGCTATAATGGTCCTTCTGATATCGTTGCTGATTACTGCAAGCAGAATCTGACTACATTGATGCCCTGAGATTAGGTTTTGACACCATCAACGTGCTATATTCCCTCTTCGATGTCTTCGTCCTTTCCTTTGTATCAACCTGCTTGAGCTGTTTGCTCCTTCCATGAGCATCTGTGACGGGTCCTCTTTAGAATGATTCTTGTTGTCTCGCCAAAGATTGCAGGTTTACCAGTCCCAGGATCACGATGATCGTGATCCTTGTCTGGCGCAAAGAAATGTGCAAGCTATAGCATGCGGGCACATCTTATGGAAAGGCATCCTGGAGAAAGCTGCTGAATCGAGAGTAAGTATCACAAAGGATGCTTGTTTTGCTGGTAGGTTCTATCTATCATCCCTCAACTGCTTTACATAAGCGTCATAGGCTACGGGAAGTTGACCTCCCCATCAGGATGATCTGTGACTCCAAAGTGAACAATCTCAAATCCCCCTTGATTCAAAGACACAGCCACGACGGACAGTAGGTATCGATCTCTTCCAACTACCGACGGTAACTTTGAAACCCCAACTGACCCACGTTCCGAATCATCTGAATAGTACTCATCCTGGTAAAAGCCCGCGTCATCTGGATTATCAGAATCAGAGTCGTGCAAATCGTCCGAGTCCTCTGAGTTCTGAGAGTCGTCAAACTCATCCTCGCCGTCAGATTGGTTCCAGTCGTCAGAGTCGTCGCAGTCGTCGCAGTCGTCGGAGCTGTCGTAATCATCGGAGTCATTAGAGTTATCAGCATCATCGGTATAATCTTCAAGTCTGATGTTGTGTAGTGCATCTTGCCTCAAGAGTTCTAGAGCTTCATTAAGGGCCTTATACTCGCTATCCATGCTGCAGAAAAAGTAATGCTGGTGCTCGTCACCATGGCCTATCCATAATGACCATCATCTTTCTCCGCGAGAAGTGATGATTCTGGCATCAGCACGGTCTTGGTATCTGTTGCGATAGGATCCTACTACTGTTAGGCTGTGTCGTTGTTCCGTTTGGTGGAGGACAGTACGTACGAAGGATTGTTTTCTCTGCCCACGAAAGCATTTCCTTTGAATTGATGACGGAGGTGGTCTGAAAGACGATTCTGGTGAATTTAGTTTGAGATAGCAAGGTAACGACTATCCCACTTGCTTTTATACACAATGCGATAAGCACAACCTGTCTTACACAAGAATAGCATTATGAGACCTATCCAAAATGTCTTCCATGTTCTTTGTTTGAAGATGATAGCTCAGACAACACAGCTGTCTAAGACAATTCTCACAATGGCTTACAAGCCTACATGCTCAAACGCTGGGAAGTTGACTATGTTCAACAGAACCCAAACAAAAAACCCCAAACATCATCTTGGGGAAACAGTTCGACCAATCAAGGCAAGTGGTCGAACTCGCCACCTCTGGATTCTATTCACGCCAGATTCCATCGAGTGAATTACGGTTTACCGTGAGCCACAACACCAGACTCTGTCTTACGACCAGCTTGACGTGAACATAACATCATTGAGCGAGAAGTTGAGACTCCAGAACATATAAGCAAGCGGATAATCTGAATTCCAGAACTATCATGACTTTCTGTCTACACTTTTTTGTTTTTCTCCAACCACTTCTTGATGCACAGCCTCGATCGAAGCAACCTTTTCCAAGCGCGCATGAACAACATCACTCATCTCATCATCGTCAAGAAGATGTCCGACTTCTTCCAGAGTGAGTCCGCGGGTCTCTGGGAAGTACATGTAGATAACCACACACTCGATGACCAAGATGACGATGTAGACAAAGTAGAACTTCCATGCAATGCTCTCCAAGCCGATCGGATTGACGTATTGGTTCAACACCTAGATATCTCATCAGTATCGAGCTTTACATGGATGTCAGTAGATTAGACTCACCGATGCAAGAGACTGGAACGCCATAAGCAATGCCATTCCCTTGGCTCTGATGTTGAAGGGTAGAATCTCAGCAGGGTACGCAACCGTCAGACCTGGCCATGCAAAACCAGCCATACCATAAAAGAGGAAAATCATGGCTAATACTGCTTTTCCGGCTGCCTCATTGCCAGTTTGACTGTACACAGCCGAACACGCCGTCCAAATGCTAAAAGTTATCAACATACCAACAGCAGCAATCAAGAACAATTTTCTGCGTCCGAGTTTGTCGACAAGCGTGACTGAGAATAGTACCGCGATCAGGAAGTTGTAAATCTGGAGACCTCCATTGAAAAGGGCTTGATCGTAGGAATCTGTCATGCCGACGCTCTCGAGGATGTCGTGAAGGTAGTAAGATACCAGTCCGTTGCCAGAGCATTGGGAGAAGAAAGAGACGAGGGCGATGAGTGTGATGCGTCTTCTGTTGCCTTTGTTGCTGAGCATGCCTTTCCAGCCTTGAGTGGAGAATTCTTTTTCGGCGCGCAGAGTTTCGCGAATCTCGAGATATTCACTCTGTACCAAAGGGTCTTGATCGTTGCCGTTTGCGTGGTACTGTTTACAGTGTTGTCCTGTTAGCCAGAATTCTGTGTAGATGGGAAGAGATGTGGAATACTAACTTTTNGCGAGAACTTTCAGAGCTTGTTCGTGGCGGTCCTTTGAGACGAGCCATCTGGGACTTTCCGGAAGGAGCCAAATGCCTNNGGAGTTCAGCATGTCAGCAGGCCGCCGAAGTAGTATAAGAGATATTTTCCACGTACCGACCAACTGAATCAACGGCATGACTGCCTGAACAGCTGTGGGAATTCTCCAAGCCGCGCTTGTGGTATAAGTCGTTGTTCCAAAGACAGTCCAAGCGGCGACGATTGCGCCGACACACCAAAGCGTGTTGTACATTGTCGTAACCTTGCCTCGATGAGCTGGGTGGGCAAGTTCCAAGATGAGGAGCGGTGCTGAGCCTTGAGCAATATTCGATCTAGTGAAAAGCAGTCAGTGGTAATTCTGAAAGATGTGACAACAGTGGTTACTCACCCCNATACCCACTAAGAATCTACCACCAATATACATGCCTGTGTCCACTGTTGGGACGACTTGAAGGACGACACCGATCAGCAGGACAACCATGCCTACTGTGATGCCAGCTCTACGACCGAGAAGATCCGCGAGGTATGATGAGAAGAATATGGCACAGAAAGATCCAACTTGCAATATAGCGCTGAACAGGCCCAGAGTGCTGCCACTAGGATTGTTGAAATAGTTCTGCCAGGGCTCCATAGTTTGTAATCCGTTCAGCAGACTGCCATCATATCCATTTGTCGTGGCACTAAGAAATGGAATGATGATCATAGCATAGAGCTTTAGCAGGCCAGCATCTGTGTACCATGCAACAGGAGGAATTATGTCAAAGGCCGGTTGTTCGGGATTGTCGACCTCTGCCTCATGTTTCATTGCAGTGCTCTTGTCGAGGATCTTGGACGCCATGATGGATTGGAGATGTTCGTGCTGATCTGAAATGTCTATACCAAATCACTCGGCGATCGCTTTCTTGTATGATTTTACATCTTGGCTGCCAGAATGCTGTGGCTTGGAGGATTCAATTCTTGACTCTAGAGTCCATGGTCAAGCCGAGGGTACTACATTGTTGTGGCACAGATCTGCATGTGCATACCAGTAGTCTAGCGAAAGCCTTGGCAAGGTGTCGATTATGGGGACCCCATGGGCATTCACGCAGGGGGCGTTTGGGGTGCCAAGGGTTTAGACTCACCCCGATGTTACCATCTTGAGTAACTTCATGTGTAAATCTTCGTAACTGCGGTCCTTTCAAGAGTCCAATCCGATGGAAAGGAGCGCTTGGGAAGGCAGGAAACAGGAAGAGAGCGGCGTGGGACGCCGACAAAGAACGGCATGGTGCCCGACTTGGAGGGCAAGTGGGGCAGAACCCCGCCGTATCCTGCACCGCACTTGACCTTTAGCCACGAACACAACCTGTCCTCGATGTGCATTTTCCCGGTGCTGTCACCAGAAAACATGGTGAAAAGAAAGAGTCTCGCAGCTCACGCTTCACCGAAAGTTGCTGCCCATCAACCATGACTTCCAAACCCCAAATACCGTATCTTCGTGACACCCCAACGTCAAAACAACTTGTCGTCAATGGAAAGCCATTCCTCATTCTCGGCGGAGAGTTGCAGAACTCGTCATTCAGTTCTGTCGAATACATGAACACGGTATGGTCAAGTCTGGCTGCCAACAATTACAACACAGTATTGGGGAGTGTTGGCTGGGAGCAGATTGAGTCCATCGAAGGCACTTTTGACTTTGGCGTCTTGGATGTACAGATCGAAGCTGCTCGTCGCTGGGGATTACGAATCATCCTGCTGTGGTTCGGGAGTTTCAAGAATGGTAGTTTATTAGCAATGACTGGAATCTTCCTAATTGTTGCTGACCGTTGGATCTTGGTTANNGGACTTTCGTCGTACACTCCGGCATGGGTCAAGCAAGACGATAAGCGGTTCCCTCGAACAAAGCTTAGAGACTCCACAGGCAATCTCATCACCGGTGACGTCTTGTCTGTCTTTGGCAAAGAGAGCATAGCCGCAGATGCAAGAGCTTTCACGCAACTCATGCGACATCTCAACAAGATAGACGGCGACCACTCGACCGTAATAATGGTACAAGTAGAGAACGAAGTCGGTGTCCTCGGAGACTCGAGAGACTGCAGCCCAGCCGCCGAAAAGCATTTCAATGCTCCGATGCCAGCAGACATGATTCAATTCTTAAACAGCGACTGGTCAAAGAAGACACCTAAATTTCAAGCCAATTTCAAGGATATTGAGACCAAAACATTCTCTCAAGACATGTCTTGGGCAGATCTTGGTGGTCCAAAAGAGAGCGTTGATGAGCTTTTCATGGCTTATCACTACGCACACTATCTTGAGCACATCACCTCTGCTGGCAAGAAGGAATACCCACTCCCAATGTACACCAACGTATGGCAAAACTACGCCGATGAAGATGCAGACATCAATGCGCCCACCATCGCCGGCGGCGGCAACTCACCCGGCGATTACCCCTCAGGAGGCGGTGTAACCGACGTCCTCGATATCTGGCAAACCTTTGCACCTTCTCTCGATACAATCGCCCCTGACATCTATCTCAATAACTACACGGCCTCGTGTGCGAAGTACAGACACAACAACCAAGTCCTCCTCATTCCAGAGCAACGGCGCGATGATTACGGTGCCCTGCGTGTTTGGGCAGCGTTTGGTTCATACCAATGCATCGGCACAGCACCATTTGGTGTCGACACGGTACACTACACAGACAGCCCTTTCACAGCAACTTATGGCTTGTTGGCAAAAGTCTCTCGCCATATATTGACCGCGCAAGCAAAAGGCAATGCAAGCGTGGGCTTCTTCTTCGATGACATATCCGCAGATGGCAAAGATAACTCGCAACCAATCTCGGCCTCCCTCGAGTCATGGAAACTCACCATCGAACGTTCTTTTGTTTTCGGTAAGCCGTCAGCTGGCGCAGGAATGGTGATTTATCTCGAAGACAAAGACCAGTTCCTTCTGATAGGATTTGGTTTCCAAGTCTCTTTCGAGTCATCAAACCCGAAAGCACACTTCACAGGCATTCTTAAGTTTGAAGAATGTGATATTTCAGACTACGAAACAGGCGAGATGCGGACAGTACGACTTCTCAATGGCGATGAGACGAGGAGTGGCAAGTCTTGTGTCATGCCGAACGTGAACCCGGACTACGGCGGGTTCCCAATCAGCATCACCATTCCTGGGAGAACAGGGATTGCCATATGTCAACCTTATGCTTTGTTGAACTAATCAGATTGAATATTGGACCTTCTTTCAAACAAGAGTCCTCATATATTAGGGTTATCGCATCATACAGCCGTCGTAAATTAGTTGTCAGAATCAGCCTCGGAAACACAAGGCACTCCAATATCCCCCTCAATATTATTGCATACAATCTCCGCTGTGCCATTGGGACTGGTCAGCTCAATTCCCTGTAACTCGATTCCACTACAAGTAGCGCCGGGACTGCAAGTCAAGTCTGCAACCACTCTGTTGTCCTTTCCCGATGAGGAGCCGGTGAAGTTGATGAATTTGACATTGGTGATGTTGACATTTGAGGGGTAAGCAGCGCATGTTGTCTCGTTTATATTGAAGTAGCACTGGTCAAGGACAATGGGGGCGTCGGTGTTCTCAATGTGCACGTTCTCGTAAGTGATGTTGTCGATGTAGCCATACCCTACTTCTGGTCCTGCCCATGCCCTGTTGACTTTGTGAGTATACTTCTATGCGATGAAGGTTGGTTGAACTTACTTCAGTCTGGCACCGTTTTGGCCATTGAGCAAGGTGATGTTCTTCATGTAGGCGTTCGAGATATAGTCTTTGACACCAGGGTATTGGCCAATTGAGCCCATTGATACACCGTGAGTACCGTTGCACCAAAGATTCTCAACGTAGATATTGGTAGTGTTTGGCTTGGGTGAGAAGCAATCATCGCCAACATTGACGCGAGTGTTTGTCACAGTCAAACCGTCAACATTGAGCGAATCGAAGCCGTCAGTGTTCTTTGGAAGAGCCNNTAGCAAGATCAGTACTATCTCGCGAGTTTGGTAAGAGGACGCACTCACTGAAGCGTTGTTGCTAAAAGCTTCAATGTATACGTTATCGAACGAGACGTCCTTAGTACGGACCAANAAGGTCGTCCAGCAGGGACTGTTGAGGAAGGTGATACCTTCAACATCAACATTGGTGGCATTGTCGGTCAGGNNGAAGAGGATGGGGCGGTAGTATGTATTGCTAGTATCCTGTTCGAGAATCAGTGATAGGCTCATTATCATTATGACAGATCCGCGACTTACCAGAATCTCGCGGCCAGCGAAGCCATTGTACCAGGCCTGTCCGTTTCCATCCATCGTTCCCTTACCATAAATCTTGATATTCTTACCACTCCAGACCATGAAGGTGATGCTCTTCTGGAAGGGGTAGTAGAAATAGTTGCTCTGCCAATATTCGATGTCGTCGGTGAACNNTGTATTGATCGCGTCAGACAAAAAGCTATACGATTTATCGTTATTACTCACCTTCAAGGTACCATCGAGCTTGACGTACACGTCATTGAGTACAGGAAGATCAACCTTCTTGCCAATGATGTATGTCTTGCCTTCCTCAAGATGCACAAGTCCTCCATCTTGTGCTTGTTCGAGCGCCCAGACGAAGTCTGCCGAGACGTCGTCAGCTTCGTCTTCGGACGCACGAATTGTGATCTTGCGGCGATCGTCTTCGACACTATTGCCCCATCGATCTTTGCGGTTCCAGCCAAAGTATGGTCGTCCCTTGTGCGTCCAAGGTTGTGTGATAGATGCTCCGTCTGGGATATCGAAGGCGGCAGCGGAGGTGATGGCCGTAGCCGCAACCAACAGACAAGAAAAGACTCTCATAATGACAATCGAGTGAATATCTAGGCCTCGACATGTCCACGCGGGCTCGAAACTGATTAAGTAGCCAGTCCTCTGGCCCTCAATTGAGCAAGGACAAGATTGAGCAACATTTCTCCATCTTGGCTATGCAAGACCGAAAGCCAAGGCGGAGAATAGGTGATGAGAAAGAATTGAGATCCTCTGCCATCCAAGTGATGCTGACGTCGCTCGATCACATTGCTAGTAAACATGGAGTGGTCGTTGCGGGGTGACCAGCCAAGACACTGATGCATGATGCGGAGGTGGCAGGAAGACACCCATTACTGCATGGGTGATGGTTCTTCTTGCATGATCCTTGGTTCTCAAAGTTTTTCCGCCAATACAATGACATGTCTTGACTCTTGATAAGAGTCTATACCGGCTGATATTCAGTCATGTGGGGTCAATGGTATGGGGCTCCACAGATGGGGTCGGCCGGGGAAGTGGGCTGGTGATCGTCAAGGTTGTCGGCTTTCCGGCCCAAATCGTTCCGCATTTCTCATCCATTGCGGATTTGTTCGCAGGAGCCCAGTTCAACCTCAGTCGCTTGAGTTTGTCGATTGACACTTGTCTATGTTGACTCTCAGCGAGTTTTACGAGTGCTGAACGAGATACATGGTGAATTTGATCTCGCAAGAATCTCGAAGAAACATCTAGTTCTTTGTGAAGATATGGCCGAAACCATATACGATGTTATCGGCCTGAGCTCTCGCGCTATGCTCATAGTCGAATGCCTTGACAAGACCGACGAAGTGAGATGCCGCAGCAAGTAAAACCAGGACATGGAAAATCTGATGAGAACTGCCCCAGATGTCGAAAGAACCAGGCTTCAGACGCTCTGGGAAACGTGCCTGTAGCTTATCAGCACAATTCTACGACAACACTTTATAAAATGAACTTACTGCATAAATAGCAGCACCAGAGATATACAAGACTCCTTGCAACACTAGCCAAGAGAGACCCATCTGTCGCTCGAGTTGACCGACTCCAAATAAGAAGATGCCATGCAGCACTGGGATAACAGCACTTGCACCCATTGCAACGAACATGCCGGCGCGGAAGGGACGCCACTTGGGTGTCCTGAAACTGGGCATAATGGACACAATCGCACAGCCGATGCCAATGAGTGTGATCNNTATGACGGTCAATGACTATGCAATCGTGTGGGACAAGACGACACTTACCATTGACCAGTACACAGCAATATATCCTGGCTCTCTAGCAAACCCATAGAAGATGCTGGGGATAAAGCTGCCCCAGATTAGACACACGATACCGACATAGTCCAGCTGGTTTCCAATCTTGTTGACTTTGGGCGAGTGGTTGGAAATGGTGTGGTAGGTAGCACTCATGCCTAGACAAGCAATGGCGCCACCAAAGAAGCATCCGAAGACGACAACGTCCTCTGTGCTCGCTCTGTCATATCTCGGCTTGATGAGTGAATGCAAGTAGGTAGAGCAGACCAAGGAGGCAATAGCTCCGAGAAGATGAGTGTAGATGTTTACAGTCTCATTGTGGACGTAAGACAAGGAAGAGAATGAGCGATAGAAGGAATTGCTCGCTGGTCGGTAGCCGGATTGAATGTAGTGATTGTCTTGTTGCCACGAGGGTAGATCCGCCCAGAGGACAGTCAGAGCGTGGGATATCTTCTTCTCGGCCCTTATGACGATGTCGTTTTCTTCTACTTCGTTCTGTTCCTGGATGGACGTGAGGGGTGTAGGCTTCCGATGGTTCATGCTTGCATGAGATCTAGTATATCTGAGATGATTTTTGTTGATGATCGAGCGAAGAGATCACGATCTTGTAGAATTGCTGTTTGGAATGAGTGGTAGTAATGTTGGAAAGATGGTTGAAGATTCTCAACAGAAAGAGGGGCGAGTTTCAACACTGCATATCAAGAGAAAGAGAAAAACAGACTGCAGTCTCGATAGATGCTGCCTAATCGCAAATGCAAGAAGCCCAACAGTTATCCAGACAGCGACAGTGGACTGATGTATCTGGCGTTCGTGAGGAAGGTTTCGCAAGACTTGCCTCTTTGGGAGAGCCGCGACTACGTCAGCGTAAACAACAAGCAGCCCGTCCATCGCAACGACAACCTCGACAGCAAACATGTCATCCTCGAGTACACGACCGCCAGCTCGGCGAGGGCCTTCGGGTGCCTGGGGCCGACTTCGCCAACCGCAGATTGACCCTCTGGAAGTCTACGGTCTGCCCTCGAAGGGCGAGACAAGGTATACTCTTCCTGACCCCTCGTCTGTCCATGATTCAGAGGACTGACAGACATCTACAAGATTGGCAGACCTCAAGACGCAAGAGACATACTTTGAACGCATCGTGGCCCGCTACATGAAGTTCTGCGCCTCTCACCCCAGCGGCGAAACACTCGAGGCCGCCTTCCACAACCTCGACATCAACTCTGCTTCTACGCCTTCCACACCGCTCCCTCCCAATGCAGCAAAACCACAACCTCACTCTGCCACTCAACAACCTCCACAAGAAATGTCTACAATCCTCATGGCCATGCGCAAAATCCGCGAAGCCCTCGTGTCCTGCCATCGCGTCGATGCCTTCGCGCAAAGAGTCTACACCTTCCAAATCCGCGCCGCAATCCTCTGCCGGCACCTCGAGACCTACCATCCAGCACTACAATACCTACTCCACAAGATCCATCCACGGACGCCTCTGTCGCGACCCGAGTTGCAAGAGTTTGCGAGTTATCTGATTCTAGATCTTGCGTGCAGGCAAGGTGAATTTGTGGATGCCTATCGCCTGCGAAAGGGATATGGGATCAGAGATCGGAAATTGGATTCTGTGCTGAAGGCGTTGGTGCACGATGATTGGGTCTTGTTCTGGCGAACGAGGAGGGTGGTGGATGGATACCAGAGGTGTTTGATGAGTTGGGCCGAGGATGGCGTGAGGTTGCATGCCTTGAAGTGCCTGGGCAGGAGTTATATGATGGTGGACAAGGCCTTTGTGGAGAGAAGCGCTGAGAGAGGGTGGGATGAGTTGGTTGAACGGGACAAGGTCGGGTGGATCCTGAGGGATGACGGAGTGGTAGTTATCAGGAAACCCAAGGGGACTTGATGTTGCTGGAATGTCACGAAGTTATGACTGGATGCATTGCTGGCGTAAGAGTTGCATTGAAGGCGTTTGATGGGTATGGTCTTGCATGACGGGTATGAGTAGAGCAAGCGACCAGAATTGTGTATAACCTCTTTTCATCTTCCTCAATAATCATCCCCGTCACCACCGCCATCATCTCCACCAAACTCGTCATCGTCTCCACCGTCGAAGTACTGCTCTGCGTTATAATCGTCGTTATCGTCCTCGTCGTCCTCGTCGAACTGATCTGGATCTTCCTCTTCCTTGTCCTCGTCTTCCCCCTCCACTTTGTCTTCATCTCCAGCATCATCCGCATCTGCATCTTCGTCGTCGTCGAGTTCAGTGTCGAATCTGTCCAACCTCGTCCTCGTGCTCAAATTCAACACCTTTCTCCTCTGTCCCTCCGTCCCTGCGACACTCCCCGGCTCAATAATCGCCCACAGTTCCTCTGGGAAGAATGATTTTACGAACGGCCGGCTGCTGAGCTTTGGAAGTGTATTCTTCTTCTTCGTGTAGCGTTGCGAATATGTCGGCATAGACTCGAACGGATCATAATGCGCGGTCGGCGGACTCTTTTTCCAGACTTGTGTACACGCGCCGAGGAGTCTAGGATTGCGTAGAAAGGCCCATCGTGAATTCGTGCGCGCAAAGTGCGGTAGTGAGATACCAATTGGCGTTCGTGGTGGGAAGGTGGTTCGGCTATGGGAGGCTGAATTGGCTGATTTCGAGCGTCGTGTTAGTGGTGAGGAAGAGAAGAGGTGGGAGGGAGGTGGCGAACAGGAAACTTCTCGCTCGGCTTGGTGTCTAGTTTTCCTTCGAGCTCTGGGTCGTATTCCCAGGGAGAGCTTGTCCGCCCATTTTGCCTAGGTCGTTCTTTCCACCGCCGCCGCCCCAGCCGCCTCCTCTTGACATTGTTGTGGTGTGTCTTGTGTGTTCTTGGTGTTGCGTTTGACTTGTCTATGCGACTTGGTTTATGCGACTTGGTTTATGCGACTTGGTTTATGCGATACAGGTTGCGACTTGTGGTTGGATGTTCGGTATCGAGGTGAGTCGCTGGTGATGGGTCGAGAGTGTAGCGGTGGGGAGATGCGATGAGGAAGCCGATGGTTTTACAACTAGTTGTTTTCAAGTGGCTGGTAGGTATGCGATTTGATATTACTCTATGGAGGATGTCGAAAGTTCAGTCAGTATGAGTAAGTTAGCTGCCGCGGTCGCTTTCGCGGGAGCATTCAAAAGTTGCTGGTCGAAATTTTGGTTCCTGGAGTGGGGGACCCTGACTTGTGATATCCATTTCTCGACATCCTATGATAACCGCTAATGTAGACATCCAGAAAGTCTGCGTAGGTTATGCTAGAACGAGACTTTGGTTTAGTCTGTCTGTGTTATGAGTTGGGAATGGAATCTCACGACGACACTCGAGTTCACGCATTCCTAAGAGTCCAGATTCTTGTCGAAGAGGTAGGTCTTCAAAGAGGGGACGGGCAATCCTCACAAGCCGAACCAACGACATATACAGATTGTCGAAACCTCAATCGGTGGCCGTGTAGATATGCCTGCCAACGCCATTCCCTGTTCTCCCTGAAGATCATGAGGCAAATTACGAGCTATGAAGATGTATGGCTGTGTGCTGAATAGAGACTTGTGCAGAGAGAGTTGAAAGGTTCGAAATTCTCAGTGAATTACCTTTATGTTCGCGGAGTTGCAACCAATGATGGCGAAGCCATCATTAGCACCAAGCCAAACCACACACATACATTGCCGAACACTATACTAACGTCGTTGGCGCCGTAGGGTTCTGGGCTTTGGTTGGTCGGTAGATGTGAGGCGGATGATCGTCAGGAGTCGAACCGTAGTACTACATAAAGCCTCGACCCAGACCAAAACGATACTGGAACTAGCAGACCATGTGCGTCCCGTAAGCGAAGAATGAGATATACAAAAGAAAAGGATCGAGTTTACTTGTCTAAAGTAAAGTACATAATGCCGTTGAACCATTCCAACGAAGAAAATTGATATAATAAACGCCGCATATTTACACCACTGAACGCACCTCGCTCTCTGCATCGTGAATATTGTTTTTAGGACGATGAATCTGCCTTATCATCTATCGACTTCACCAAAGACCAGATCCCTACGGCGCCAACGACGTTAGTATAGTGTTCGGCAATGTATATGTGTGGTTTGGCTTGAGGTGAGAGAGGGGAGGGGAGGCGGGAGAGGGAGAAGGCGGGATAATGGGAAGCGGGATTGAACTTACATAGTACCGATGATGGCGACAGCATCGGCCAACAAGTGACCTCTTGAGATTTGATCGAAGCATCCCAAATGGGCAAATCCAGGGGCACGAATCTTGCATCTGTAGGGTCTCTCGGAACCGTCCGAGACGACGAAGACACCCATCTCACCCTTAGGGGCCTCGATGGCAGAGTAGGTCTCGCCAGGAGGAACGGTGTAACCCTTGCTGTAGAGCAAGAAGTGGTGAATAAGGGCCTCCATGTTCTCCTTCATGGCAGCACGCGGNGGTGGGGCGATCTTGTAGTCCTCGACCTTGATGGGTCCAGGGGTGATCTTGTTCAAGCACTGGAAGATGATGCGCAGCGACTGGCGGAACTCCTCCATACGGCAGAGGTAGCGGTCGTAGCAGTCACCGTTAACACCAACGGGCACATCGAACTCGACCTGGTCGTAGGCGTCATAGGGCTGGGACTTGCGGACATCCCATGGGACACCGGAGCCACGAAGCATGACACCAGTGAAAGAGTAGTTGAGAGCATCAGCGGCGGAAACAACACCAACACCCTGGGTACGGCCCTTCCAGATACGGTTGTCGGTCAAAAGCTCCTCGGTCTCGTCGATGCGGTCACCGAATTGAGTGGCCCATTGGTAGATGTCGTCAAGAATACCAACGGGAAGATCCTGAGAAACACCACCGGGACGGACGTAAGCAGCGTGGAGACGGGCACCGGATACACGCTCGTAGAACTCCNNTGTGGCAAATCATCAGTAAATGTGCCATATTCAAATATGGATTCTCGAACGCACCATGAGCTTCTCGCGCTCCTCGAAACCCCACAGGAAAGGAGTCAGAGCACCAACATCCATGGCGTGGGAGAGGATAGACATGAGGTGGTTCAAGACACGGGTGATTTCACCGAACAGAGTACGGATCCACTTGGCACGCTCGGGAACCTCGATGTTGAGCAGCTTTTCGACGGCCAGGGAGAAACATTGCTCGTTGGTCATCATGGAAACGTAGTCGAGACGATCAAAGTAAGGCAAGGCCTGGAGGTACGTCTTGTACTCGATCAACTTCTCGGTACCACGGTGCAACAGACCGACGTGGGGGTCTGCGCGGACAATCTCTTCACCGTTGAGCTCAAGAATCAAACGCAACACACCGTGGGCGGCGGGATGCTGAGGACCGAAGTTGACAGTGTAGTGGCGGATCTTGCGTTGGTTCGGGTCCTCGTCGGCATCGCTGGCCAAGTTGACGTTCGAGTTATCGGCATTCTGGGATCCAGGAACGAAGTTGGGGTCGACGGGGATGAGGCGAGTAGCATTGGGGTTGTCGATTGGAGCGGCGAAGTGACGAGGGAGAGAGGTCGACAGCGAGCGGAGGCCGGTCGAGGGGCGAGGCAGGGCCGGGCGCTGGTAGAGTCGCCTGGATGCGATACGAGCAAAGTTGGCTGCCATTGTGTCGCAATAGAAGAGGCAGACGGGGAGTGGAGAGGTTGTAGGGCGGACGCGAAAGGTGAAGGCGTGGACTCTTGAGCTGCGGGCAATCAACGACGCATCGACAGACTTTCCTTTGGTCATCAGCCCTCCGCTCCACTCCGCTCCGCTCTCAACCTTGGCATTCTTCTTGCGGTCGTGCTTCCAGAATTTCTTCGAGCTTGACTGACGCTGTTCGAGAAAAGTCGAGTCAAACAACCATGTCGGCCAGATCGTACAAGCAGCCCTCGCAAGAGNAAGTCGAGAGACGAAGAGTACGCGACTCATCCTATGTACATTTCCAGCCACTGATCTTGGTGTAGCTCGTTGGCATCAACCCCGAGACCGTCTCAAATGTCGTTTCTACCGATTTTCCTGGCCACTACCCCGGCGAGGACAATTCGTGGAACCTCGACTCCTTCAAGCAGGTACGCCTTGCCCGTTTCGAGCTCGATCGCATCCCTCTCTGACCGTCTTCAAGANAACTCCAAGTAAACTTCCACAAGAACGACCAGTACGATTCCGTCTTCTCGCTCGTCGGCATCGATGCCTCTGTCGCAAACGCATATCGTCGTATCATGCTGTCCGAAATCCCTACTCTGGCCATAGAAGACGTATTTGTTTACGACAACACTTCCATCATCCAGGACGAGGTCCTCTGTCACCGTCTTGGTCTTATTCCTTTCACTGGCTCTCGTGAAGGTCTCCGCTGGATGCAGTGGTACAAGAAGGGCCCTCCCAAGGATGATCCCGCTCAACAGCACATCTTCCAGCAGTCTGGCGAAGTCATTGACCCCAACGCTTCCGTTCCTCGCGACAACAACACCATCGTTCTCGAGCTTAACGTCACTTGCGAATGGCGTCAAGAAGGCAAGGAACTCGCAAGACAAGGAGAGCGCGACCCCAACAAGCTCTACATCAACAGCTCCGTCTACGCCCATCAATTCCAGTTCCACCCTCAAGGCCAACAATCCGAATACTTCAGCGGCCCCGATGCCATCCGCCCTGTCAACCCCGACATTCTTATCGCAAAGCTGAGACCTGGCCAAACTATTCACCTGCAATGCCACTGCATCAAGGGCATTGGAGCCGACCATGCCAAATTCTCTCCCGTCGCCACTGCTTCATACCGTCTTCTACCGTCCATCAACATTAAGGAGCCCATTCTCGGCGCAGACGCAAAGAAGTTTGCTCGCTGCTTCCCTCGTGGAGTTATTGCATTGGAGGATGACGCGGCTTCGGGCGAAAAGAAGGCTGTTGTTGCAGACCCAATGAAGGACACCGTTTCGCGAGAATGTCTTCGTCACGACGAGTTCAAGGACAAGGTGCAACTCGGCCGTATCCGCGACCACTTCATCTTCAGTGTTGAGAGCACTGGCCAGATCGACAGTGACGAGGTCTTCCTGGAGTCTGTCCGCGCACTCAAGCTCAAGTGTGAGCGCTTCAAGAGAANNAACCTGAACGACTTGATGAGGTAGCCTGAGTGCTAGCTTTGAGGAACGGGGCGTTCATGGGTCTGTAAAAAGAATGGGTTGGGTGTTTAATTTGTCGGGTTTCGCGCGCATAGCATTGGCGTTCTCATTCTGGGTGATGTATATTCACACGGTTTCAAAATATTCTTGAGTGGTCAAAAGAGCTTTAGAACGATGTATTACAATCATGTTGATTTGTTGCTCTGCTCCTGCCAAGATCATTCGATCATTCCTTAGTATCCCCGAATATTCATGTTTCTGGAGCAACCCTGGCGTCCTGGTCAAGGCCTTTCTCTACCATGCTGAACAGGTCACGATCGATCTTGAGGCTTTTGTAAATTTTCAATCAGCCATGTGTCTGTCTGTTCGACCGCACTGCTGGTGTTTTGTCACTTCAATGGCATGATTGCCATAAGAAAAGGGGATGGTGGTAAATTTCAATATATGATTCAGTAACCGTCATTCGGCCACTATGGTATCCTACGCTACAGCATGCCCATGAAGTTGGCACAGGATATCTTTCCTATCAACGTATCTCTGGCACATATCGTACACGCTGCATAGATAACTTGTGCTATCAGCGATTGTTATGAAGAAACCCCTCCTGTCACGGCTGCGGGTTGGAGGCTGAGAGACAAGGATGGCATCCGACCGTTGAGCCGGCCGTAGTATTGATAACAATAGCATGCGAGTTGCGACAATGAGAAACAGTGTCAAATGTCAATATATCGACGTATCTCTTGTCTCACAATCCAACAGACAGTTCTACCAAGTCGTAGAGGGTGGTCAGGCAGCCGCGGAGGAGATTGAAGTGCTTTTTCTTCGGATCAGGTCTTTCTTGACTCCTCGGCCAGAGCGTCCCCGGACAACAACGCTAAGGCTGCTCGTGCATGTGGCAGGTAAACACTGCGCACAACACTGCGAACCTGATCTCATCGACATCACACCCAGCGACTCCTCAGCGACACCCAGCGACTGACACGACAACACCCGAGACAGTGCCGCGACGACTGACATAGCATTCTTACACCGCCCTTACCACTCACCGATATCCTGACTGCTGCCCCGCCTCCCAACGAGCCTGGTTGCGCAAAGTCTCGCCAAATCGCAATCACTGCCCCTCAACAGTAAACACCCGGATATGACATCTTGATCTGCCCTCCACAATAAGCGCACAACAATATGAGCAACCCACCGTCCTCACCCTTCCGCCATGGCACCACTGTCGAGCAAGAACTTGCATACTACAAGGCACAATACGAACAANCTGGAAGTTGAATTGCAGGAGTTTCAACAGTCTAGTAGAGAGCTTGAGGCCGAGCTCGAGAAGGATGTCGAGGCATCCGAGAAGAGAGAGCGAAAGCTGAAAGAACGGGTCGAAAGTCTAGGCTTCGAGGTCGAAGAATGGAAGGTGCGATTGCTCGTCTTCTGCCCTTTAGGTTTGCCTACACTGACCGGCTGCTACAGACCAAGTACAAACAATCGAAGGCCGAGGGGAATTCGGCGCAAACCAAACTACAGAAAGAGATCACAACCATGCGCGAGACCAACCGCGCGCTACAGTTGAAACTTAGGGACATCGAAGTGGACAACGACGACTACGAGCGCCAGGCTCGCAACACAACTTCATCGCTAGAAGAGCTCGAAACCAAGTACAATGTCGCAATCGAGAGAGGCGTTCTCATGGAGGAGGAAATGCGCGCCGGCGAGCAGGAACGAGAAGACTTGCGCATCCAGACACAACGACTCCGTGATGAGTTGTCGGACCTTCGCATCGAGGCAGACATCACTCAAGAGAAGCTACGCCTGTCCGAATCAGGTTCCCGCCGCTACCGCGACCTGACGCCTGTACGACGCCCGTCTGCACTCCACGCCCGCTCGCCCACGTCGTCGCGCACTGCTGCCTCGTCGCCTACCGTCTCCACCCCTCCGCCAGTCAGATCCGAAATGTCTACTCTCTCAGACACTCCCACACCACCATCTCCGCCCCTTTCAGATGCATCTGGGAACCCAATGTCCAAGATGCTTCCTCCTCCAAGGAAGAACNCCCTCGTACCAGAATCGACTTCGACTCCTCGCGCCAGTCTCAACGTGAATACCGTCAGACCTGCTCGCCATTCACGTGGTCCATCATATGCGACTAGCACAACTCCTTCAGGAAAACGACGCACAACTCTGCAATCACGACCTAGCGTTGGCTCAGAAGGCGTTCCAAGATCAAGTTCCCTGTATCAGATCAAGGGCTTGATCGGCAGAATGCAGAAAATCGAAGAGAGAGTACACTCGGTTCGTTCAAAGTTGCCGCCCACGAGTGCAAATACTCCGAGAGCAGCAGTCACACCGAAAGGATCGCCTCGGATCGGCGCGCTCGCCGGTGGCTCATTCATGCCCAATAGTATTACTGTTAGAAACAGGACCAATCGCACAAGCAACAGCACAAGCTCATCCACAAGGCAGGAAGATAGCAAGTTACCTCCGCCAACACCTAGATCGACGAGCACGAGTCTACACGTGAAGCACTTGTCACTTGGCGGTCAGCGACCACATCCACTGGAAAGATCCAGTACATCCATCACATCAACATCTACAGCCACCCGAGAGTCTAGCCGCNCCAAGCAGCCGGGCCAACAACGTGGGGAGACTGGATCGTTCGCTCGACCACCCTCGCGATCGGCTAATGCACCATATGGTCAATCACAAACTTCGGTCCTCCCTTCAAGGCCTCGCACTTCGATGGGAGGAACTTTCGCATCATCACAGCGCAACCGGGTGCACCGTCAGTCTAACAGTGTGTCTGAGGCAAGAGATGCCGAAGAAGTAGTCACACCTACAATCAAGAGAACAGTAACAGCAATTGGCGGGAGTGGGATTCCAACACCAGGTTTGAAACGGCAAAGTGGAACAGGCTTCGGACACAGCGTTTCTGGCCGCCGGTCAAGCCTTGCGCCAAGTCGTCAATCAGAACACTCCTATGATGGTGCGGCGTCTGACAAGTCATCTCGAAAGCTGAGCGACTTGGGAGAAACATTCTAGTTATGATTACGATGTTGGGATTTTGCTTTCTTCATGGTGTTGCAGGTGTCAGAGAGGCTGGATATTTCATTGCTGTACATGTGGCTGCATACTGTCGATACGATCCATTCCGAATTAGAGACTTACATGAATTAATGCGTCTATCCACTCTCTCCATTCAGGCAGTGGTGGGAAATTCTCCGAAACATGCGTTCCCGAGATATCCTTTACCGTCCGTCCAAGTCAGTTGTAATCATCGAGTTAAAGCTCCGAAGCCTGCCAAGACTGATGGTCGTGGTACGGCATCTAGAACGATATGCCACGGGTACCACGAACTGCACTGCTGATCGAGAGGGAACAGCTTATCAGTATCATAGAGAGAAGACTATCAAGTAGACCGGGATTTCGACATGGCAAATGGCTCGTCATCAAAGCGAGACAAGAGATGAGCAACAGTGGACATGTTGATGGAATGTTCGGCTCTCCACGAGAGATTCTCGGACCCCGATGAGCATCGGTCGGGAAAGGGACAGAGATCAAGCCAAAATTCTCCGTACCTTGCGGTAAATTGGTGCTAAATTTAATAACCCGCACACTACGAGGGCGCTACTGTGAGCTTGTAGTTGGGGCTTATGTGGACATGCTACCATCAAATCTGAAGCAAAGAATGTCTGAGATGTCGAGTTTGAACGAAGGATGGGGTGAGAAACGTTTGACTGCTGTGATCGTCAAAGATGACAGAGCCAGCTTGTTGCGTGCCACTTCCATTGGGATGCAGGTTGTCTGCGCTGGGCCGTTGAGTTCTTGATGGGTTGGCTGAGGATCAATAGTGTTGTCCCCAGGCATGCAGTCCGAGAGCTCAACACATGCACCGTCTGCGTGTCATCAACGAATACCTCTTTGAGAGAGCGAGAGGCGTGCGGGCGGCCCCGTACTCTTGTGTTGCCGGGAGCAAGCATGGAGCTCCGGACAAAGGTGGTGAGCTAGCGCTTGTTGGCACAGCTCAACTGGCCGCCCCCTCGTGCCGAAGGTGTAGCATATAGGTAGCAAGGGTATCACACCATGTACAAGTAGAGAAGCACTCGCCCAGTCTCCCAGACCGACCTTTCGAACCCTCCTTTCCCTCGTCGTCTCCCTTTCCCCCGTCGCCTTCTCGTCGCTGGTCGAACTACCGTGGGACCAATTTCCCAGCAGCTCCAGACTAGCCTCTTTTCAGTTCTATGAAGGACGCATAGACTCGGTGACCTTCCGGACAATTGCTAATACCAACCCCAACACTCGCCCGACGCACCAACGCCGACGAAGTATTTGAAGGCCGCAAGCCGCTGATCGCCATTCACACGCGACCAGTTTCTTCTTTTTTGTTCTTTTTGTTTCTTGATACCCAAAGGTCGGAGTTCTTACTCAGAACAACTGGCCTCCGAGTCCCGAGCAGCTCAGTACCGGGCCGGCATTAGCTTCTTTCTTTCTCCGCACTCTCGGCCCTCTTTTCAAAGTCTCGCTGTGCAGTTCCGTGAATGGGCCTTCCAACCACAACCATGGCGGACGCAGTGGGAGGAGCGCCAGCGGTAAATGGCAACATGAACGGACAACCAAGTTCCTACGCCTCAAAGTTCAACTTGGCTTCACACTTCATTGGCGGCAATGAGCTCAGCCAGGCTCCCNCTTCATCAGTCAAGGATTTTGTCGCCGCAAACGACGGACACACGGTCATCACCAATGTAAGTGACAGACTTCTCCAGGGGCATCCTGGGACCTCCTGGGACCTCCAGAGGCCTCAATTCAAGCTCCAACATGCTGACAGACCGTCTGTAGNNGTCCTGATTGCAAACAACGGTATCGCCGCCGTCAAGGAGATCAGATCCGTCCGAAGATGGGCGTACGAGACCTTTGGTGACGAGCGTGCCATCCAATTCACCGTCATGGCCACCCCTGAGGACTTGGCTGCCAACGCCGACTACATCAGAATGGCAGACAAGTACGTCGAGGTATGTAACACCCCAAGACTCGAGCTCTCGGACCTACGGAATGGCGGACTGACACTGGCTCACAGGNTGCCTGGTGGTACAAACAACAACAACTACGCCAACGTCGAACTCATTGTTGATGTTGCTGAGCGTATGGGCGTTCACGCCGTCTGGGCTGGATGGTGAGTCCCCTGTAGCTATTTTCACCTCATTGAGCCACAGCTGACATACGAGTAGGNNGGTCACGCCTCCGAGAACCCCAAGCTGCCCGAGTCCCTCGCCGCATCACCAAACAAGATTGTCTTCATCGGTCCTCCTGGCTCTGCCATGAGATCGCTCGGTGACAAGATTTCCTCGACCATTGTCGCACAACACGCCGGTGTACCCTGCATCCCGTGGTCAGGAGAGGGTGTCGACCAAGTCGAGGTCGACGACAACAACATCGTCACCGTCAGGGACGAGATCTACGCCAAGGGTTGCGTGACCTCCGCCGAGGAGGGTCTCGTTGCAGCCAAGAAGATCGGTTTCCCTGTCATGGTCAAGGCCTCCGAGGGTGGTGGTGGCAAGGGTATTCGCAAGGTCGACAACGAGGAGGAGTTCGCTGCCATGTACAAGGCCGCTGCCAGCGAAATCCCTGGTTCGCCCATCTTCGTCATGAAGCTTGCCGGCAACGCCAGACATTTGGAGGTGCAGCTGCTGGCCGATCAGTACGGCAACAACATCTCGCTGTTCGGTCGTGATTGTTCGGTACAGCGTAGACACCAGAAGATTATCGAGGAGGCTCCCGTCACCATTGCCAGCTCAAAGACTTTCCAACAGATGGAGAAGGCTGCTGTGTCGCTGGGTCGTCTGGTCGGTTACGTGTCTGCTGGTACCGTCGAGTACCTTTACTCGCACTCCGACGACAAGTTCTACTTCCTCGAGTTGAACCCTCGTCTCCAAGTCGAACATCCCACCACCGAGATGGTTTCGGGTGTCAACCTTCCCGCCGCCCAGCTACAAATTGCCATGGGTCTTCCTCTGCACCGCATTCGCGACATTCGTCTCCTCTACGGTGTTGACCCCCACACCTCTACCGAGATCGATTTCGACTTCTCCAAGGAGAGCAGCACTCTCAACCAGCGCAGACCCCAGCCCAAGGGCCACACCACTGCCTGTCGTATCACTTCCGAGGACCCTGGTGAGGGCTTCAAGCCTTCCAGCGGTACCATGCACGAGTTGAACTTCAGATCCAGCGCAAACGTCTGGGGTTACTTCTCGGTCGGTGCTGCTTCCTCCATTCACAGTTTCTCCGATTCGCAATTCGGTCACATCTTCGCCTACGGCGAGAACAGACAGGCTTCGCGTAAGCAGATGGTTGTCGCCCTCAAGGAATTGAGCATTCGTGGTGACTTCAGAACCACCGTCGAGTACCTCATCAAGCTGCTCGAGACCCCTGCCTTCGAGGACAATACCATCACTACTGGATGGCTCGACGAGCTGATCTCCAAGAAGCTCACCGCCGAGCGCCCCGACCCCATCCTGGCCGTCATCTGCGGTGCCGTCACCAAGGCTCACATTGCCAGCGACATCTGCACAACCGAGTACCGTGTCAGCTTGGAGAAGGGTCAAGTCCCCTCCAAGGACGTCCTGAAGACCGTCTTCCCCATCGATTTCATCTACGATGGATCGCGTTACAAGTTCACTGTCACTCGTTCCGGCCTCGACAGCTACACACTCTTCATCAACGGCTCGAGATGTTCCGTTGGCGTGAGACCTCTTTCCGACGGTGGTCTGCTCATCCTGCTTAACGGCCGCAGTCACAATGCCTACTGGAAGGAGGAAGTCGGTGCCACTCGTCTCAGTGTCGATGGCAAGACTTGCCTGCTCGAGCAGGAGAACGACCCCACTCAGCTTCGCACTCCCTCGCCTGGTAAGCTTGTTAAGTTCACTATTCAGAACGGCGAGCACGTCAAGAAGGGTCAGGCCTTCGCTGAGGTCGAAGTCATGAAGATGTACATGCCTCTAATTGCCCAAGAAGACGGTATTGTCAACCTCATCAAGCAGCCCGGAGCCACCCTCGAGGCTGGAGATATCCTTGGTATACTCGCTCTTGACGACCCTTCCAGAGTCAAGTCGGCTCAGCCTTTCCTTGGTCAACTCCCTGAGATGGGCCCTCCCCAAGTTTTGGGCAACAAGGCTCCTCAGCGCTTTGCCTTCCTTCATAACATCCTCCAGAGCATCATGCAAGGTTTCGACAACTCGGTCATCATGCAGGACACCCTGCAGGAGCTTGTCGCTGTTCTCCGCAATCCCGAGCTGCCATATGGCGAGTGGAACGCTCAAGCATCTGCTCTCCACTCTCGTATGCCCCAGAAGCTCGATGCTCAGTTGGAACAGATTGTTGAGCGTGCACACAGCCGCGGCTCTGAGTTCCCTAGCAAGCAGCTCCAGAAGGCTTTCGTCCGCTTCCTCGAGGAGAACGTTGCTCCTAGCGATGTTGACACCCTCCGCGCTGGACTTGGCCCCATCCTTGAGGTCATGACCAAGTTCAATGACGGCCTCAAGGGTTACGAGTTCACTGTCATGTCTTCGCTCTTCCAGCAATACTACGACGTCGAGAGCCTGTTCGCTGCCAGACAGAACCGCGACGAGGAGGTCATTCTTGCTCTCAGAGACCAGAACAAGGACAGCTTGATCAAGGTTGTCCACACTGCTTTGTCGCACACCCGCGTCAACTCGAAGAACAACCTCATCATCGCCATCCTTGACTACTATCGCCCCAACAAGCCCGGTGCTGGTAATGTCGCCAAGTACCTGCGTTCTTCGCTCCGCCAGCTTGCCGAGCTCGAGTCCAGACAGACCGCCAAGGTCTCATTGAAGGCTCGCGAGCTGCTCATCCAGTGTGCTATGCCTTCGCTTGAGGAGCGTACCTCGCAGATGGAGCACATTCTCCGCTCCTCTGTTCTCGAGTCTCGCTACGGTGAGGCCGGTTGGGACCACCGTGAGCCTAGCTTCGAGATCATCAAGGAGGTTGTCGACTCGAAGTACACTGTGTTCGATGTGCTCTCTCAGTTCTTCGTCCACACTGACCCTTGGGTCTCATTGGCTGCTCTCGAGGTCTACACTCGCCGCGCTTACCGTGCCTACCAGCTCAAGACTATTGAGTACGTTACCGAGAACGACACTCCCTACGTTCTGACTTGGGACTTCTCCCTCCGCAAGGTTGGCCAGTCTGAGTTCGGTCTGCCTATCGAGTCATCACACCCCTCCACCCCTGGCACTCCTGCCGGACCTGGGGGCTTCAGCCGTGTGCACTCTATCAGCGACATGAGCTACCTCGACGCCCGTACCAAGGACGAGCCTACCCGCAAGGGTGCAGTCATCCCTGTCCAGTACATCGACGAGATCGAGGAGTACCTGTCCAAGGCCCTGGAGGTCTTCCCTCTTGCTGGCAGCCATGGTGGCAAGCAGCGTGGTTCAAACGCTGGCTTCATGGCCGATCTGTCCAGACAGCGCAAGCCTGCTGCCCCCAAGATCGACTCCACTGATGAGCTCACCGCAGTCTGCAATGTCGCTGTTAAGGACGCCGAGTCCCTCGACGACCCTGAGATCCTTGCCCGTCTCGTTCCTATCGTTAACGAGTACAAGGAGGAGCTACTCGCACGCCGCGTTCGTCGCCTGACATTCATCTGTGGTCACAAGGACGGCACCTACCCCGGATACTACACTTTCCGTGGCCCCGCCTACGAGGAAGACTCTAGCATTCGTCACATCGAGCCTGCTCTTGCCTTCCAGCTTGAGCTCGGACGTTTGTCCAAGTTCAACATCAAGCCCGTCTTTACCGAGAACCGTAACATCCACATCTATGAGGCTGTCGGCAAGGGCGTTGAGAACGACAAGCGTTACTTCACCCGCGCTGTCGTCCGTCCCGGTCGTGTTCGCGACGACATCTCGACTGTCGAGTACATGATCTCCGAAGCCGATAGACTCATGACCGACATTCTTGACGCTCTGGAGATTATTGGCAACAACAACTCCGACTTGAACCACATCTTCATCAACTTCTCTCCTGTCTTCCNNCCCCTGACTCCCAGTGAGGTTGAGGAGGCTCTTGCCGGATTCCTCGACAGATTCGGTCGTCGTGCTTGGCGCCTCCGCGTTACTGGTGTTGAGGTTCGCATCATCTGCACCGACCCCACCACTGGCGAGGCCTACCCCGTTCGCGTCCTGATCAACAACACCTCTGGTTACATCATCCAGGTTGAGCTGTACGCTGAGCGCAAGTCAGAGAAGGGCAATGACTGGTACTTCCAGAGCATTGGTGGCAGCACCAAGATCGGCTCTATGCACTTGCGTCCCGTGTCGACCCCCTACACTACCAAGGGTGCTCTGCAGCCCAAGCGTTACAAGGCTCACATCATGGGCACTCAGTACGTTTACGACTTCNCCGAGCTCTTCAGACAAGCTATCGAGAACAGCTGGAACCAAGTCACCGCTGCCCACCCTGGTCTCAAGGAGAAGCAGCCCATCTCAGGCGAGTGCATCGAGTACAACGAGCTTGTTCTTGACGACACAGACAACCTTGCTGAGGTCAACCGTGACCCTGGTACCAATACTATCGGTATGGTCGCATGGCTCATCACCGCCAAGACTCCCGAGTACCCTCGTGGCAGACGTTTCATCATCATCGCCAACGACATCACCTTCAAGATCGGTTCATTCGGTCCTTCGGAAGATAGATTCTTCCACAAGTGTACTGAGCTGGCCAGAAAGCTTGGTATCCCCAGAATCTACCTGTCTGCCAACTCCGGTGCCCGTATCGGTATGGCCGAGGAGCTCATTCCCCACTTCTCCGTTGCATGGAAGGATGCATCCAGACCTGAGGCTGGCTTCGACTACCTCTACCTGACCCCCGAGAAGAAGGCTCGCTTCGAGGATGGTGAGCTCAAGCACGTTATCACCAAGGAGACCACCGTCAACGGTGAGATCAGACACGTCATCACCACCATTGTTGGTGCTGAGGACGGTCTTGGTGTTGAGTGTTTGAAGGGCTCTGGTCTCATCGCTGGTGAGACATCAAGAGCTTACGAGGACATCTTCACCATCACCCTCGTTACCTGCCGTTCCGTCGGTATCGGTGCCTACCTCGTCCGTCTTGGTCAGCGCGCCATCCAGATTGAGGGTCAGCCCATCATTCTCACTGGTGCTCCTGCTATCAACAAGCTTCTGGGTCGTGAGGTCTACACCTCCAACTTGCAGCTTGGTGGTACCCAGATCATGTACAAGAACGGTGTTTCTCACATGACTGCTGGTGACGACTTCGAGGGTGTTTCGAAGATTGTCAAGTGGATGTCTTTCATCCCTGACAAGAAGAACAACCCTATCCCCATCTCGCCCTCGACCGACTCTTGGGACCGTGACATTACCTTCTTCCCTCCCCAGAAGCAGCCCTACGATGTCAGATGGCTCATCCATGGTAAGCAGGACGACGACGGCTTCGCCTCCGGTCTGTTCGACAAGGGCTCCTTCGAGGAGGCTCTTGGTGGCTGGGCTCGTACTGTCGTTGTTGGTCGTGCTCGCCTTGGTGGTATCCCCGTCGGTGTCATTGGTGTTGAGACTCGCTCTGTTGAGAACGTCACACCCGCTGACCCTGCCAACCCCGACTCGATCGAGCAAGTCACCAACGAGGCTGGTGGTGTTTGGTACCCCAACTCAGCCTTCAAGACTGCCCAGGCTATCAAGGACTTCAACAACGGTGAGCAATTGCCTTTGATGATTCTTGCCAACTGGAGAGGTTTCTCTGGTGGTCAGCGAGATATGTACAACGAGGTCCTCAAGTACGGTTCATACATCGTCGATGCTCTCGTCAAATACGAGCAGCCCATCTTCGTCTACATTCCTCCCTTCGGAGAGCTTCGTGGTGGTTCATGGGTAAGTTTTAATGAATATTTCTCCTGTTTGTACAAGATACTAACATACATTACAGNNGTCGTCGTCGATCCTACCATCAACCCTCAATACATGGAGATGTACGCCGACGAGGAGTCTCGTGGTGGTGTTCTCGAGCCCGAGGGTATTGTCGGTATCAAGTTCCGCAAGGAGAAGCAGCTTGATGTCATGGCCCGTCTCGACCCCACATACGGCGAGCTCAAGGCCAGATCGGCCGACAAGTCGCTGTCTGCTGAGGAGGCCCACGAGGTCAAGGCTAAGATGACTGAACGTGAGAAGCTTTTGTTGCCTGTGTACATGCAGATCTCTCTGCAGTACGCCGACTTGCACGACCGTGCAGGCCGCATGAAGGCCAAGGACACCATCCGCATGCCTCTGCAATGGCAAAACGCTCGTCGCTTCTTCTACTGGCGTCTCCGCCGTAGATTGGACGAGGAGTACGTGCTCAAGGCCATGGCTCTGTCGTCATCGAAGGAGTTGGTCTCGCGCACCAAGAATCTCCAGACCCTCGAGTCCTGGTCAGGCATTCCTCAGTTCGGCACCGAAGACCAGCAGGTCGCCGAGTGGTACGAGAAGAACCGCCAAGACATCTACTCCAAGATCGAGAACCTCAAGCAGGACTCGATCGCCTACGACGTCGCCGCCATGCTGCGCGCCAACAAGGAGGGTGGTCTCAAGGGTATTGCCCAGATGCTTAGCATGCTGCCCGTCGAGGAGAAGGAGGAGATTCTCAAGGTTTTGTCGTCGGCATAGATTTGATGACGATTCGGTGTACATGTAAATGTCCTTGTTTCATTTTCTTACAATATTCGGGAAGATGGAGTTCTTGTCTACAGCAGCATTCTCTGTTAATGATTTTTCTACATTACTTTTTTGACTCTCGTTCAAGCATGTTGTTTGCGCTTTTGCATGATCGAGTCATTTTATCATATCATCTCTACTCTACCTTTATACAGATAAAAAATAGTTAATCACATTTCGAGATTCTTTAGATCGTCCTTTTCATATTTTGATTTGGCGCACTTTCCTGTCCAAGCAGTCTAACGAACATGCTTCTTCAGGTCATGGAGGTTCGCTCCTTCTAAATCTCAGTGGCCAATCACACGCATCCACTACTATTTTGAGTCATCACAACTGCAGCCTTCCTTTCTTCAACCACCTCACCTATATATGTTGAAAATTTTCCGCATAAGACAGACACGAAACATGGAAGCCATGGAGGAACTCAAGATACATACTCTCATCCAAAGCAACTATCGGCTCTTTGACGCTTCTGGAAAACTCCCCTTTACGATTGACTTTGGACTCTGCCGCCACTCGCCTCTAGATACTGATCCTAGGGCTTTGGTGCTGGATATTTCTGGTTCGGCTTTGGATGTGCCTTATGCCCTTGACCTTGGACTGTTGACTTCGCATGGCATCAACACACTGCAAAGCGATAAACAGAGATTGAAGGAAGCAAGATTTGGCAAGGAGGTTGGAGAGAAACGATATATTACGCTCTCTTCGCCAGTGGGAAGGACGAAACACTATAAAGATTGTTTTACGATGTTTGAGTATGTAGTCGATAAGGACAGTGAACTTGCTGCTCTGCTACGAGAGGGCAAGGAATACAGGATCAAGCTTGCAACCAAGGACCTAGGCATAAATTGGTGGACTTATATTGACGATCCTTCACTCCCGCTAGACGACAAACTACTATCACGACCCTCGGAGACGCCAAAATTGGTCAACAGTAAACCCTCAGCCGGCAATGCTAGTTTCAAAGTCGTGGATCGTTTGCCTTGGCCACCGGAGATATCTGCACACCTCTGCCTCATACCAGCAAAAGACACTTCTCCATCCCTCCTCCAAATCTGCATCGCGAATCCCACCTCACAACCAACAACAATACAATTTCGAAGTACGCAACGCTACCTAGCTCCCCGAGATCTCCTGGGTGATCGCCAACCCACACAGCCACGTCTATACCGTACCCTAGAACCAGAAACACCACTCTCCTCGTTCGGTCTCGTCATCACAAACACCAGCACCAAAAAAGACTTTTACGACTNNAATAGACGACGCGCAGGATGTCTGGGCGTAACGGCAGGAAATGTTGATCCACGACCCAGAGGTAAAGACCTCTTGACTCTAGAGCCTGGACAACAGATACTCAGACACATTACTCTTGATTCTATACTCCATGGACATGATGATGGGGTCTACGTTATCGGATTGAGGGAGCAGAAACATTGGTGGCGTATAGGAGGCAAGGAAGACATTTGCGAGGAAAGTGATGATGCGAAGGTCAAGAAAGGATTGTTTAGTAGGGACATATCGCCGTTAGCGATCAAGTCTGAGGATACCGTCGAGGTGAAGGTGGTCAATGGAGAAGTGGTTAAGGAATAGTCGGGCGATGCAGATGTGGATGGAAAGGAGATATATGACGAGGACGTGGCGATCTGGTTTGGGCGACTCGATCTATAAGATCGGGAAGGAGTGATACAGTTTCTAAGATCAGCAAGGTGTGTTTGTTAAAAGAGCGATCATTAGGAAAGAGCGATAGATTATTAATTAGGAGCGATCATTGACACGGAGCGATATGATTAGGCGGGTGCGATTGTAAGGGAGGAGCGATGCAGTAATAAGTATGGGAAAGAGTGGACTCTTGCAATCAAACAAAGTCGATTGCGTTCGGATGCAGCGCTTTTTTCATGGAAGTTAGACACGACGGGAAAACTGGAGAATCGATCTCGATAGCACATCCAGTCTAAGCACAGCAGATCCCATGCAAAGGAATAACCTCGGATACCATTGCAACTAGCAAATCTACAAATATCCCAATCCCTCACCTGCGATGATCTCCAAATCGCTTCTCATACCCCAGACCTCGGCACCAGCTCTGCCGAGCACTTCAAGTCTTTTACCAGCACCCAACTCGTAGATTCTGGTTATCAAGTCTCCGTCAACAATGCCTCTAGCACCGAGCCCTTCACTCTCAACTGCACGGTAGGCTCGCGGGTTGAGACCAGCCGAGTGCTCGAGGATGCTGGATAGTGTTGTTTGCAGTGCTGAGAGACGACGGTAGGTGGCCTCGTCAAGAGGTGTCAGCAGTGCAATACCGCCAGTCTGTGTGGTGATCAGGATGTGGTTCAGTGCAGATGTCTTGGAAGATTCGCTGTCGCTGTCTGCCATATCTTCGTCTGGATTCTGCTCGGTGAAAGGAGATAGGGTAGACGGGAGTAGTGTCATCGAAGTAGGCATATGACCAAGATGGAAGGTGCTTCTATGTAGCAGGCGTTGGCCGGACAATGATTTGGGATCTACACAAGTCAGCACACTGGAATCTGAAACAATATCCCATAGCACATACGTTCAGGATCGTATTGCAATACGTGAATGTCAAGATCCGCGTCGATAATGAGAACATACAGCTGGCCCTCGAAGGGCAGGAACTCAGCCGATACGACCTCCATCTGCGAGCGTGACTTTCCGAAGAGCGAGAGCTTATACGGCTCCTCCTACGAGTGTGTTAGCGATATTCTCTAAGAGTGGTTTGCAGAATTGCTTACTCCGAAGCCACCAAACCAAAGACCCTTCCAAGCATCTGCAGCAATCCAGAGCTTACTGCTTGCCAAAGTCTTCAATGATGTGATGTAGCATTGCGCGTCGAGGAAGGCAATAGGCAAACATGATCCGTCCTCTCTCAGTCCACGGATCATAAGTTTCTGTCCTTGAGCAGTACCAACAAGACCAGCTATGCCCATCAATGCCGTGATGCCGCTCTTAGTTTCTTCTCTGCCGAAGACACGGAACTTCTTGCCTGTTTCTGGTTGACCAGGCTCTGGCACAACATCGATAATCTCGAGCGTGTAGATGCAACCCTTGGCGGCGTAGTTTTCTGCTCGCTGTGAAATGGTACCTAGAGCGACTAGCAGCCTATGCTGGTGCGTGATTTCTGAGACCTCGAGAGGCATGACCTCCATCGATGTGACCAGTTCGTACGGAGAAATTTCATAAGTGTCAATGACGCGATCTGCTCTGGCATCATACAAGTGTACGCGGCATTGCAGTGTCTTTGGTCGAAGTGTGATTTCTGCGAACAGTGTTAGCCTTGCTCTCTGTGAATGTCTGAGTAATCATACCTTCATCTGCTGCTGGGTGCCTTGGGTCGTCCTCAGGGGGATAGAAGTCGATTTCCTCTTGCGTTGTGATAACATAGATGTCGCGCTCCGAATGGTACGCGATCTTCTGGACTTCGATATGCTCAGAGAAGGGCGAGAATCTGCGGACAGACCATCCGTTGGAAGCGAATCTTGTACCAACGGGAATTTGGCCTTCACGTATTGTGCCCTGGTGTCATGGTCAGTAATGCCGGAGGGTATGGGATTCCATGACTTACAGCAGTGTCAACCCACACAAATCCAGCTTCGCACTTGCGGCTGTTGAGGCCAGAAAGTCTACGGACGCCCTTTCCTCGTAGACTGACGATGCGCGGCAGGCTCGAAGCATCTTTGACCACAAAGCTTGGCGAGCCACCTGCCATAAAGACAGCAGAATATCCACCAACATTGGGCAACAATCTGAGAGCAGCAGGCTTTTGAAGAGAGGGATCCTCGCTAAATTTGGGCATGTGCAATCCAGGCACTTTGCGAAATCTCAAATTCGTGGTGAAAGGCGAAGAAGGAGCTGCAGGATGGTGGAAGGGCTCGTATACGATCAGATCGTCGGCTGATGAGCGCAACTAGATACATCAGTAAGCACTTGATTACTAGGCCTTGGAGAACAGTCTTACAATGAGATATGGTGATTTAGCTGTTTCATCGCCCAGGTCCGCAAAGATGAGTTCGGTCAGAGTTTCCTTGCCAACATTGCGACGAGGCGCACTCTCATTTGAGACTACGGGCGACAAGACCGAGAGACTTGGAGCCTCGTAGACAGGTCGATCAAGGTTCGGAAGCTCGAAGACCTATGGGAATGACATTAGCGTACTGTGTGTTGAGGTGATGAACACGAGTTGAATCTTACTACAAGACCTCCATCTGCGTTGAGCAAGAAAGCTAATGCCTTATCACCCGTCTTCTCGGACTTGTAGACACTGCCAGACAACCATTTCGAGGCCAAAGCGGCATCACCACGCTCAAGTTCGTCGAGGTCACCACTCTTGTCCACTTGCAGGATCTGCAGACTCGAGTCTTCCCTGAGCAGTAGGAGATAGGGATCGCAGAACGACGAATGTACGACAGTGAGCTCTGCGTCGGTCTCCTCATCGATGATTGGAAAAATCTGGGAAAGACCAAGATCTATAAGCGCATTGATTAGTACACAATCTTGGGACAGACGAGTATAGTGGCAAGTGGCAAGCAATGGGCAGATGACAGTTTTGTATTGGAAAGGCTATAGTACACATGATGACATATACGACATCCTCAGTGTTGGTATCCTCGAATGACTGTGCATCTGAGATTCTCCATGAAGGCGCTGCTTCCAGGTGAGATAACCTTGAGGCCGTGTTGAATGATAGACAAATGGGGGAAATGCTTGGATATGGGCAAGATGATCTGTGAGTGGGGGATAATTTCGAGACTTACCTGCGTCATAACTCCTGACTTCATGCTTTCTCACCTGGACAATTCTTGTGCCAGAGGCCAAGACCCCAACATCCAAAGTCTCACCTTCACCCTCAAACTCGGTCCCGGTCACCTCAGTGTAGATCATACTTTCATCGCCCTGTTTGGTATCGGTAACTTCATTGTCAATCTTGAAAACTTTTGAGCTTTCAGAACCGTCCTCATCAGCATGACAAGTGATGAGATACTGGTCGAACTGCATGTCAGATGCAAGTTGTGCCTCCGGATTCTGAGTACCATCTGTAGGTTTGGGTAAGCCACGTGAAGCTGCCTGCTTTGCACATGCGGTCCAGACGGCTTGGGCATGAGGGAGTTCTGCTGTTCGAAGTGGGCTAGGGGTTAGTTCACGATTGATGAATGCAAGCTTCGACGCACGCTCCCGACCAACACTTGCGAGGAGGGATAGTTGTGGTTCGGTACCGTTTTCGGGGAGCTCAGTGGCGTATTTGCCCAGACAGACATTTTTGATAGGACCCAGACTGAACAGATTGTCGTGTACCCTGAAGGAGTAGCTGTCGGGACCGCTGACATCAGCAGTCTGGGAGGCCATCTGTTTTACGACCGGAGCTTCGTCAGCGTACAAATCGTCATCTGCGTCGTCGTCGAGGTCTTCCTCGTCCAGTGAGAGTTCGGCATCTTCGGCAATCATCTGGGCATGACTTCGTTTGCGTGATTGCGCAGTCTTCTTGGACCAGCCAATCAGAGTGGAGTCGCCGTCCTCGCTGCCCAAAAACAATCGACCACGTCCCAATGAGGCAGCGCAGTTTGCAGCAGTCTTTAACTGATGGCCGCCATGGGCAGAGTCTACCAAATGAACAGATAAACCAGAAACCGAGCGACCATCGATACGGAAAGACAATACGGCGAGACGGCCAGTGTTCAAGACGATCAGCATGTTGCCGTTAGTGTGGTCCAAGGCCTCGACCACACAATCCTCCAAACGCAAGCCAAGATCAGACTGATCAGCCATAGCGAAGTTGGAGCTCAGCTTGGCGAATTCGTTCACGGCCACAGCATTTGTCTTTCCGGCTTGATCAACATGTACCAGCTCGTTTGCGCCAACGAGAAGAGCGCCACCGACGGGCAAGGGAAGCGGGACGACGCGGAAGATGTCGAAAGGCAGGCCCGTAACGGAGAGCAAAGTCGTGGAAGCGCGTTGATCCAAGTCTAGAGTAAAGACTGTATAGTTCAAGATGTCCTTGCGCTCTTCAAGCAGACCATGACTGGGCGCCTTGTTTGACGAGACAATGCCGAATGTGGGTTCTCTATACTCGTGTAAAAAAGGCAAGATGGACAGGATGTGTAAGGGCGGGGTCGAGAGCGGTCAAGGGTAGGACGAAGGAGGCCGAGTAGGGAGTCTCGGGTTGGGCTTCGTTTCCTGTGGCGGGAGCTTTGGTGGGTGGAGGGGTATCAAGATCATCTTCTCCAGCCAGATCGTCGGCAGATTGGCGGAATGGGATAATGGCGAGGTGTTTGGTGCCAAACTTAAGAGCGGCGCATCTGCTGCTTGGATCGACGCTGAGATAGCTAGGTGTGTCGGCAAGGGATGGCCCGAAGGGAAGAGTGTTTGTCGTCTCGCGCTCGTAGTAATGGATGGATAGGGTCGAGATACGGTGGTTGAGAGGGTCCCACTCGATCAAACTGATCTTTGCATCCTGTGTAGAGACCAACAGGGCTTCAGCGCCAGTCTTTGTGTTCAGGGCCTTGACTCTCTGTAGCGAAGTGATGGTTCCTGACACGGGGTACTCGCCCAACAGAATCAGTTTGGCCGTGTTTTCGACGCGATGAAGACTTTCAGGACCTTCGATGGCGCCCGTGTCGGCATTGGGAACGAGCAATGATGGCTTGACGTCGGTCGCGATAGTCTTGAGAGTGAAGACCTGGAGCAATGAAGTCTTTGCAACGACGAGATTAGTTGCGCCGGGAGCGATGAATGGTAGGGCGACGGCGTTGGACACGGCGGTTGGCGCCACGAGTTCTGTATAGCATTGCATTATGTGTCGTCGCGCATTGCATGCAATTGTCGAGGAGATGGTCGTGTCTGGCCGAAGCTCACGCCCGAGACAACACGGAGCTGCATGTGCCAAGCCTGCTGCTACCTATATCAGCGCACGGACGGGCGAGCGGGATGGAGCGCCAAGATGACGTCTGCCTTCCAATCGTGGAGAGAGTGACAATCAGGGAAGGAACCTCTAGACTTGCGGCTGCCGTGGGAAGCTCCTTCTTCTTGTAAGCCTTCTATGCGCCTTGTGTGAAACAGCGCCGCTTCTCTGTGACTTTCCTCTGAGCTTTTGCATAGCTCCTGCCTGCCTAGCATCATGGCACTCATCCAGACTTCCCTCATCTGGGTCGCATACGCTGTCGCACTTGCAATCCTGCTAGTCGTGGCATCCATCTTCGTCTACCTTTACCAGGCCNCTCGCGAACGCTCTGCCGTCGTCTCAATCGTCTGCATTGTCACCGTACTGTCTCTCCTGGCTACCGTCCTGCTGCTGCCCGTCGATGTCGCCCTGGTATCCTCGACTACCTCGTCCAAGCTCGGCAGAAAGAAAGACTGGGCTACTCCTGATGCTGTTGACAACATCTTGTTCCAGCTCAAGATCGTCTACTACACCCTTTACAGCCTGGACGCCGTCTTGTGTCTGATCGTCGTTCCCTTCACCTACTTCTGGTACGAGGAACACGATGAAGTAGCTGCTGAGGAGGGCACCCAGACTGCCGCTGGCCGTCTCTGGGGTGCTTTCAAGTACACAACCGCCTTTATCCTGTTCGTCGTCATCATCTTCCTCGTAGGCTTCTTCATACCTGTCGCCAAGAATAGGCCGCAGAAGCATCTCGACCTCGACTTCTTCAAGGATCTCCTGGCTGAGAACCGTAAGTTCGTTCTTTCCCCTACCAGCGACCCGACCACTGACTCGTTACAGATGNGCGAGCGTGCCTTGACCTTCTGCGTTGGTCTTCTCTTGACCCTCGGAACCCTCCTCTACTGCATCTACACAGCTCCTGGCCTGGCTCTCCTTCCCCTCACTCTGATCAAGACCGCTCCTCGCGTCTCTGCTCCCACCTTGGCTGCCAACACATTTTCTCAGCTGACGCAAAACCGTGAGCGTCAAAGACAACTCGAGAACCGCAACGAGGGCCGTGACAGCGGTCTCGACACTCGTGACCGTCGTGAACTCGAAGCTCTTATCCGCGAAGAACGCACTCTTGTTCGTCGCGAGCGTCTTGCTGCCGAAGATATGGGCGAGGGTCAGAACTTCTTCATCCGTGTCTGGCTCAAGACAGAGGCCGTCTTCAGACCCCTGAAGCTTCTCGGTGGGCTTTTGCTAATCGTCATCGTCCTCATCGTCTGGGCCAGCATGCTGGTCACCGGTGTTGACAAGATCAAGAACTCGGTGTGCAAGACTGGTTGTGGTTACTTGCTTGGCCACAACAAGATCTTCCAGCCCATCAACTGGCTCTTTGTTGTTACCTCCAAGGTCTTCCCTATCGACTATGTCATCTTCCTCCTCCTGACTCTTCTCTTCTTCGCTGGGTCTGTTGTTGGTGTTGCCACTATTGGCATCCGCTTCTTGTGGGTCAGTTTGTTCAAGATTCGCAAGGGCCACACCGCTCCCCAAGCTCTTCTTATGGGTACGGTTCTGCTCACCTTGATCGTCTTCGCCATCAACTATGCTGTCGCCATGATGGTCGCTCCTCAATATGCCACCTTTGGTCCCCAGACCTACTGTGACAGACCTACTCATCATCCCGATGCTCAGCCTGACTGCAGCAACCACCACAAGGCCATCCGTTCTTGTCGCGAGGCTGCTGACAACCCTGTCGCTCGTATGGTCTGCACACCTTCAGTTGTCAGCTCCTTCCTGAACCGCATCACCATCAACTTCNCCTTCTTTGGACTCGTCGACTTCTGGGCTCAATTTGCTTTCCTCGGCATCTTCTTCATTGTCTTTGTCGTCATGCTGTTCCGCACTCCCCGTCTTGATGAGGAACAGCTTGATGATGACCTTGCTGAAGAGGAGGAGGAAGGCCTTCTTGCCAGTACCGGCCGTCGTTTCGGCGCTACTTGGTCTGATATTACCGGGCGTGCGACTGGCGTGAGAAGAGCCGACTATGGCACTCGTGGAGGCACTTCTGACGAGTGAATATAATGTGTAATGTATTTTCTGCTCCTGGCTTGCATCTCATGCCTTTGTCTTCTTGTGTTTATATGAACAGTTGCGTGCTTTGGATTTGATCTCTAGTACTGCTTGCTTGGGATGGCTTTGTTTGAGCGCGCTAGGAAATCGAAAAGTGGTGGGTAATCATGTTACCTTGCTCACCTATAACATCGTTTTCAACTCGACCACTCAAGTCTTTGTGATCCTTGTTTAATCGTGGCACTTTATGTGATTACCCTTTCTGAACTACGGATTTGCTCCAGATCAAAATTTAGTAAGGATAGTACTGAGAGGATGCGGCAGAGCTCGCAGAGGACAACTATGACGTGCTTGTAAAGTGGCAGAGTTCAAATCCAGCGCAAGTTCAGCTAAGGGACAGCCAGCGTCAGTTTTGAGCCAAAGGAGCACGAATCAACAGAAGGAGAGATTGCAAAGCTTGAGCTGGTTTAAGAGGGCAGCAGCTACGTCTCTCAGGGAGGCAGGCCATAATCCCGTCGAGCTACTGAAAGTTAGCATACAATAGTCCCCGTCAGCCATCGTGGATGTCTACATGCAGAGCAGTCAATGAAAATATCCTCAACCGACCTAAATAGCACAACAAGTCATGAATACACAAGCCTTCTGCACTCAAACCCAAATCCCCATCAAAACAAACCAGCAAAAATCAGAGTTGTACTCTGGGAAAACCACCCATGTCACTCCTTGATTACAGTCACACAGATGTCGGTCATCTGGGGGTCAATGAATCAAGACGTACAAGGTGGAGATGTGTTTCATTACGAATGGTGGGTGTATATGCCGGTACATCACTGCACCGGTGACAGTGATAAAGGAGATCGTGATAGATATATGGGTTGGGAAAGGGGGCCAGTGTTCGAATTGGAGGGTGAGCTGTTTCTGTTTTGCGTTGCTGTCTGGATGGCTTTTGTGGCTAGAATATGACAGTCTTGCGGAGTTTTCGGATCGAGAAATTGGTTGTGTTCTTCTAGATTAGTAGATGTTATGAGAGTGGTGATGTGAAGGCATAGAATTGGAGAATTATCGGCATCAGACAGTGCAACATTATCGATCAGACCGGAAGCATCGAATCAAGTACCAAATCTTGTAGTGTAGTGCTCTTAAGCAAATCAGAGAAGTGCAACATCACAGTTGTTTTCTGCGTCGATCCAATACCTTGCCCAACAGGGAGTACTCCTCGAGGTTTGCAAGTGTCAATGCCGAGGTGCAAGTATCCGCGAAGTTCCTTCCTGGACAGAAAGCTTTCCACGAAGTCGCAGTGTTAGAGAGTGTTCGAGAACAAAGCTGAGAAGATGAGTAAAATAATTGTAGTCTTTGTTGAACAACTACATTATATAATTCGCCAAATGCGATCTCGTTACGTTAATCATGACAATGGGATATCTAAAAACAGAAAAAAATCAAGCCTGGTGGTGCAAAAGGGCCAAAGATGCTTTTACATCTTCTCACCCATAACGCTCTCGTGGTGAGTAATGCTCTTCTTGCGCATGGCGGCGCTCTCAATGTCGGCAAGAGACTGGTTGCGAGAGGCTCCGCCCGTGACATCCTGCACTTCTTGGAAGGAAACGGTGGGAACGAAGCCTTCGGACTGCCAGGCTTTGGAAACCTTGCCGTAGAGCTCGTCGACCTGTTCCAGGGAGAGTCCCTTGGTCTCGTAGATGCAGAACCAAACGAAGGCTACGCAANNCTGGACGCAAGTCATTAGTATGGTTCGATGGACAGGGATGATATTGCATGGTACTTACATGCAGCAGAATGCAGCCCAGAGCCAGAAGACGTTGGTGTGGATCGCGTTCGTCATGTAGGGCGTAGCATAGGCAATGGCCCAGTTGAGGAGCCAGTTGGAGGCGGTGGTCATAGAGAGGGACTTGGCTCTGACCTTCAAAGGGAAGATCTCACCAGTAACAACCCAAGCACAGGGTCCCCAGGAAGAGGCGAAGAAGAAGATGTAGATACAAACAAAGGCCACGAGAGCGCTCTGGGCGGCATGGTTGGAGGTAGGCATGAGACCGACACCAGCAACGATAAGCTGACAGACAGCCATACCAGCAGCTCCGAAAAGCAGAAGCTTTCTTCTGCCCCACTTCTCAACCAGGTACAAGCCAGGGAAGGTGGAGGCGACGTTGATGCAAGAAGTGATCAAGCTGATGGTGAAACCATTGGCAATACCAGAGTTCTGGAAGAAGGGAGTTCCGTAGTAGAAAATGAAGTTGACACCGCTCAACTGTTGGAGGGCTTGAAGACCACAGCCGGTAGCAAGACGCTTGCCAAGATTTCCCTTGAAGCAATCGATGTAGCTGGCCTTTCCGAGAGACATTTCGTATTCGTGGTTGGCGGTGATCTCAGCCAGCTCGCCCTCGATGGCAGGGTGGTCGACAGGAAGACGTCTGAGCTTGGCAAGAGCACGAGCAGCTTTCTCGTGCTTGCCCTGCTTGATGTAGAATCTTGGAGTCTCGGGAAGAATGAGGAGGCCGCTGAACAGGATGATGGCCCAAGCGAATTGCACGGCGATAGGAATGCGGTATGATCCGGTGTCCTGGCGATTCTTGGTAGCGTTACCGACGATGGAGGCGAGCAAGAGACCGATGGTAATTGCCAGTTGGTAGGCACCNTGGGTTCAATGTAAGCAAAAGACCGTCAATGGACAATATAACTGGTACGTACCAACGATAGTTCCTCTGATCCACTTGGGTGCAGTCTCAGATTGGTAGAGAGGAATCAAGGCTGAGATACCACCGACACCGAGACCAGCGATAGTACGACCAGCAACGAAGAGGGGAATCGCAGTTGCAGCAGTCTGAAGGACAACACCAACGCTGAAGACACACAACCAAGCCATCAAACCCAACTTGCGACCAAGGAAATCACCGCTGGGGGCTGCCAGGAGGGCACCGAAGAAAGTACCAACTGAGAGCAAGGAGACAATCTCGGATGACTGGCTGGCAGTGAGGTAATGTTTGCCTGCAGCGTCGGTGTGGGTAGCGAACAATCTCAGCCAGTAATCCATTGCTAGGATATCACTGATGGTGCCNTGGTACAATTAGCATGATCTCCCGAAGGTGAATGGCAGTAGAATAGTACCTGTGTCATAACCATATAGGACACCACCAAAAGCAACGAATGCACCGACAGCAATGGCGGGCCAAACGGCACCGACCTCGCCCTCAGGCCGTCTAATGGCGAAAGGCATTGTGATGTGTAGATCGGGTCGAGAACCCTGTGTAGAGAATAGTAGCGAGAGTAGAAAAGAAGAAGTGACTGACAATGAGGGAAAGAGACGAACGACAGGTGGACGTTGGTGTTTATATAGGAGAAGGAAAAGGCAGGGACTGCCGACTCACCCCATGGGCTCGACTTCTCCGTGCATACTCTCCAGGCTCTGGATTGTGGAGACCGGTACCTTGGTGACCCGGGTTGCGGCAAAGAAAATCGATACCTGTAGAGTTAGGTTGGAGTTGGTAAGGAGGCTTGAGCATCGGCATACCGCTAAGGTACTTCTGACTTGCCGTTTCGCCTGACACTACCCGATACATGAACACGCAAGTACGTACCTCGAGCACAAAAGCTCATGCTTGATGACGGGGACTTGCCTGAGGCCTCTCCATTGCCTCTTTCTGCCTCTATTTAGACAGTCTAGATGTCGTATTGCGACTCATACGAGACTTCATAATAGGACCGTATACTAAAGAGCGAGACCGCGAACCTCTGAAGCAAAGAACAGAACACCCAAGCAGTGGACAAGCGCTCCTAAGCTCATGGCCAAGCCTTTACGACGGTCTGGGGGAGGGGCGTGCCCTAAGCTAGCAGAGTTCCAGCCACAAACTCGGCGGTTCTATGCACGAGTCGCGCCGAGTACGGAAGCCATGTCGGGTATATCACCTTCTGACGGTGGCCGTGTCGAAAAGAAGAACATACGGACTGGCGTGTACGAGTGTGTACCTCTGAAGCGCGGCGGTGAGAACCAGGCCAAGCAAAGTCTTGTGTGACAGAAGCAAGAGGTGATTGCCAATTCCAAGATCTTACGCTCGCACCAAAGTCGCGTGCTCTTGCCTGCCGATCATTCTTTCTAGGGTCAGACTAGAAACATGCGTGGGTCTTTGCGAGTGGACCTCGCACTGTGCACAGTGTTGCATACGCGTACCCATCTCGATGCATCCCCATGGCACCCCCAGAAAGATCATCGTCAAACAGGAACCACTCGAGAAACAGACTCGGCCACTTGTCAACCATTCCACTCAAACATCCTTGTATTATGCATGAGAAATTTGCCTCGAAGCCTCCTTCAAGCCTCGAGGTGTAGTTGGCTCCCTTCTCGGTCCGTAATCCTCGGCCGCAACAAGTCGCCCCGAGATGCGGCAAGCAAGCCTCCCGAACGCCCCTTCTAAAAGAGCTGACAAGAACCCGCAAGCCGTTGCAAGCTTGGTAGAAGCTTAAAGCACCGCAATGACACCGAGCTGGCATGCTCACTACTGCAGGTCTGGCACCAACAGTGCGTGCCCAGTTGGCGAAGAAGGATCACGCATTCATCTCACGTTTCCACTTCGCCCCATGGAGTGTCTCCGCTTTGATCTGAGTGGGGAAACTTGTAGCGAGGGGTGGCATTCACGAATCACGATAGATTACGGATGAGTGGTCGCGGGATGTGTAGCGGATGCCATCACTGCCGGCTCGGATACGGATTCGGTTCTCACCATCAGCTCGATCCTCACCAGTTGCATCTGTCGTGCGCGTGACAGACAGCTGACCAGGTCAACCCAATGTTCCTATCAATAAATGGAGACGGACAGTTATTAGATCTGATCAAAGTATTAAAATATGCTTAGGGTATCATGTCATGCTATGCTATGCTGTTCTATGGGTGTTTCGTTAGGTCATTAGGACGTTATGTTCTAGTCGCGCTTCTTAGGCCTGCGAGCAGTTTTCGGAAGATAGATCGATATGTCTTCGACATGTAACATCATTTCCTCGTTCTGTTTCTTGATTTCTGGTGCCAGTGAGTAAAACTCCTATACTGGTGACAGAGCCTGAGACATACCTTCTGCACTGAGATCGTGAGGATAACCGAAGTCCGGTTCTAGCTTGAAGAAGGGTGACGAAAGAGCTTCGAGGGATCCCTGCATAGATTCTGTAGGCTTATGGTAGCCTTCATCGTTACCAAGATTGACCCACTCCACGCCTAAAGCATTCTCCACCTTTCTCAACTCGAAGTCATACTGTTCGAGCAGGTCGAGGGACATCTGATCGTCCCAAACGGTTGCATGCTGAATATCGCGAAGAAGTGTACGCCTCAGCCGACTTCGACAATCCTTGAAAGGGATCCCACTGGCGCCGAGTATGTTCCAAGCTCGACGAGAGTCTCCTGCGTCAGCCATCATCTCGATGAACGAATAATCGCCTCTGAGCTTGCTTTCGCTATACAGGGATGCCACTTTGCCTGTTTTCAGGCGTAAAGCGTTCTCCTGCCACAGCAACCACTCCTTCCAGAGCTCGTCGGATGCCTTGCAGCGGGACAAGACGACAATCCATCCATATAATTGAGTCCATTCGGTCCTATCGAGGAACAGACCTAGGTGGTGTTGGTCTTCCGGAGCAGTATCTTCGAAGCCAAGGAGGACTTGTAGCAGATCACGACGTGACCATCTTCCATTACGAATCTCACCAAACCCGTTACTTCCAACACTGAATTTTGCGATGATGGCTCTGAACAAAGTCTTTGCAATCGGAAAGCCTAGTTCTCTATGTAGCTTCAGATATCTCTTCATGCCGGGCAAGCTGCGTGTGCGAGCAGCGAACTTGATGCCAACGGCCAAGAGGTGGCGTGTGATGGGTAGGTTCTCCTTTCGGAAACGGGAGATGATTGTGGTTATGGCACCGAAAATCTTAAGATCGGTTGTGTTGTCTCTGGCGCGGTAAAGAGCTCGCACGATGCAAAGATCCATATCGGCTAGATCACGAGTGGTCTCCTTGCGCTGTAACGCTACAGCAAGAACGCGCATGACATCTTGGGTTGTTTGACACCTCAAGAATTGCTCCCTCAGGAGTCTTCGGCGAAATTTGTAAGCTGTTTTCACAGCCATGTGTCTNAAGCAAGTCAGCCGGGCCTACTACCAATGTAGACATGTGAGATTTCAAAGCAGCTCGAAACTTGGAAATACATACTGGCGGAACTCGTGAGGGTCGAGCATTTGGCCATTGATAGGAAAGTCAACTTTCAGAGCCTCCTTGACTACGGAGCGTAAATGCATCTGCCGAAAGAGCGAACGCGTGTCGTTCAGAAGAAGACTTCGCAGGGTATCGACAGGAGATTTCAGGTTGAGTTGATGTTGAATCAAGTCAAGATCGACTTGGTCAACAGGCGTGTCTTGAAAGCAAGTGGCGTGGGGGCGAGAGCAGCGGCGAATGTTGAGAATGGGAGCAAACCGAGTAGGCATCTTTGTAGACAGTATCATGGCGCCGTCTTGTCGGGCTGTACAGGACAATCGCCATGCTGAAGATGAGGAAGATGTGGTCAACATGTGATGATGGATGGAGTCGGCACCGCATGCGGCTTGTGTAACGTGGGGGTGGGGGAAGGCGTTAGAGAACAGCGGGGGATATGGAAGGTGTTCTGAATCAAGATGTTGTGTACGAGGGTGTTTCTCACATGCTCTCATCGAGTTGGCAACATGGAGTCCCTGAATCAGGTAAGGCCGCTAGCTCCGTGTATATTGACGCAACTTTCAGCCCGATATCTTTTTTCTTTGCGACTGCTTGCGACATCTTTTTGCCTTCTATCAGAGCACCAAATATGTCGACGAACGAATCGCCAGCAGCGGCTTTGGAGCCAGCTCACACATTTGCGCCAAACCAAGGATACGATTATGCCAACAACGACCAAGAACAAGCTGGTGGTGTTTTACTGGACGAGGGCATTGAGGATGAACAGGACGACTACTACGATGACTTGTTCGAGGACAGCGCCGACGAGGTCAACGACTCAGAAATTACTTTTTCCAACCCTGCCGACTTCACCAAATCATACAACCGCCAGAGACGTCTGAACGACGATCAAGTCTCCTCGATCCAAAAGCCCAAGACCAATCCTGCCGGCCACAAGCCTACCGCCAATACTCGTTCGAGCGTCGATGATCAGGTCCAAAGCTTGGCCCAACATGCTTCTAAGCTGCGCCTTAACAATCTCGAGGCTGGCTTTGGCGGCGGCAAGCAAGAAAGAGGAGGCGGCAAGGACAAGAGCGACCGCGCCACCAGCGAACAAGTCTTGGATCCTAGAACACGCATGATTCTTCTGCAACTCCTGAACAAGAATGTTGTTTCCGAGATCAACGGCGTTTTGTCAACCGGAAAGGAAGCCAACGTCTACCATGCTGCAACAATCCCCGAGTCCCACGACGACTCCGAAGGTCCTGCTGCCCCTCTACACAGAGCCATCAAGGTCTACAAGACGAGTATTCTGGTCTTCAAGGACCGCGACAAGTACGTCACTGGAGACTTTAGATTCCGTGGCGGCTATAACAAGAGCGACAACCGCGCCATGGTCAAGGTCTGGGCGGAGAAGGAGTTCAGAAACTTGCGTATTCTACACGCCGCCGGTATTCCCTGCCCTGACCCTCTTTACCTCCGTCAACACGTCATGGTCATGAGCTTCCTGGGCAACAAGAAGGGATGGCCCGCACCTCGTCTGAGAGACGTCGACTTCCAATTATCCACCGAAGAGGAGAATGCCGCCAAGTGGAGAGAGATGTACATTCAGTTGCTCGGCTACATGCGCGTTATGTACCAGACCTGTCGCCTGGTCCATGGTGATTTGAGTGAATACAACCTGATGTACCACCAAGGTCGCATCTTCGTCATTGACGTTAGTCAAAGTGTTGAGCACGACCACCCGCGTTCCCTCGAGTTCCTGCGTATGGATATCAAGAACATTAGCGATTTCTTCGCTCGCAAGGGCATCGACTGTCTGCCCGAGAGAGCCATCTTCGGTTTCATCACATCTGAACAAGGCGGTGTTGAGACTTCTCAGATGGAGGACCTCATTGCCAAGATGTACGAGACCAGAGAACAACAAGGTAACCAAGATGACGAGGAAGTCGACAACCAAGTTTTCAGACAACAATACATCCCCCAGACTCTCGAGCAAGTTTACGATGTCGAGCGCGATGCTGCACGAGTGCAAAAAGGAGAAGGCGATGACCTCGTCTACAAAGCCCTTCTTGCAAACAAGACCGCCAACGGCACCGAAGACGCTGAGAATGACAGCGATGCCGAGGGCTCAGAAAGCGAAGAGTACGATTCAGAAGACCCTGACCGACCGCGTAGGAAGCGCAACGAGGGCGAGAGACCCAGAGGCAAGCGTTTCGTAGACAAAGATACCAAAAAGGAGCACAAAAAGGCAGTCAAAGAGGAGAAGCGCGAGAAGAGAAAGGAGAAGATGCCCAAGCATCTCAAGAAGAAGCTCATCAGCGGTTCTTCTCGCGGCAAGCATTAGGTGATCTGATCACATTTTCTCGTTCTTAATCCAAATGATACCACTTTTTACGACTTGCAAATTGTTTCGATCACTGGCGACTTCATGCACACAGCAAGCCAGTCAGCTCATGCACTCATTTCAAGTGGATCAGAGCAAACCGCCGGTCATTGATGTGTCGTTCAAGTATATCTGCAAAGCTTTTCGGATGGCGTTGTAAAGGGAATGGCAATATGGCTGACCGTCCATGGTTCTTAGGTGCATGAACGACATTCTCCTTGTCAATAATAATCGGAAGGGGCCGTTCTCCCAAAGGACGCGTCTGGGGAGTGGATAAAGCTAATCTCAATTTGGGGGTCATAGCCTACGACCTGCCACCCGACTCCACTTTCCACCACACTCCGCAAAATCTTTCTCTGGGGCTGCATGGCGGGTCTGGGGCTAGTGAATATGTTACCTGAGATCTGCGCGGAGTGTTCTTTATGAGGAAGTTATATAAAGACCAGCCAGTCTCCTTGAAATGGTCTTCCACTGCACGACACTTCACGTCCTCTGACAGACTGACAATATGGGTGAACACTCAAACGCGACAATTTGGCACTCGATCAAGGGCAACCCCAAGGTCTTGTTCATCGCTCTATTCGCCTCGTAAGATCGCACGCCTCACCTTCAAGGATCATCCACTCATAGTTGAGCAGACNTCGGCGGTTTCGAATATGGTTATCAGCAAGGTGTCCTGGGTAGGTCGAGCTCCTTGGTACAGTGTTGAGACCGTTCCGAGCTGACTTTCGAATATANNGGCCAGTCGTTGGTCATGACCCGATTCACTGAGAACTTTCCGACCGTTGTCAAATCTGCTGGAGCCACCGGCTGGCTTACTTCGATCCTTCAACTGGGCGGTCTTCTCGGATCTCTTACGGCCGGCGTTCTGAGCGAGCTCATCTCGAGAAAGTACACTATGTTTGTGGCCTGCTGCTGGGTCATCTTGGGCAGTTTTCTCTATGTCGGTGCTCAACCTGGCATGCCATCGCTTTTATATGCCGGCAGATTTTTCACTGGTGTCGGTGTTGGACTTTTCAGTGGTGTCGGACCGCTTTACAATGCTGAGCTCTCCGCTCCTCATATGAGAGGATTGCTCGTCTCCTTCTACCAACTGGCAACCATCCTTGGCATCATGCTTTCTTTCTGGGTTGGTTACGGCAGCAACTATATCGGTGGCACTGGCAGTGGCCAGTCGAATCTCGCATGGCGCCTCNCTTCAATCATTCAAGGCATTCCCGCTGTCTGTCTTGCTGTTGGAATCTGGTTCATGCCATTCTCGCCCAGATGGCTGGTTAAGATGGGCCGTGACGATGAAGCCAAGAACACGCTCGCATGGCTGCGCAAGCTCCCAATCGATCACGATGAAGTCGATGCCGAATACCTCGAGATCAAGGCGGAAGCACTGTTCGAGCAGAAGGCCTTTGCTCGCGACTTCNCTGTTCTCGCCGAGCAGCGCCAGAGCCGCCTCAAGCATCAACTTGCACAGTACCGTATGTGCTTCCGATCGAAGGACAACTTCAAGCGCATCTGCACCGCATGGCTCGTCATGTTCTGGCAACAGTGGTCGGGCATCGACGCGATCATATACTATGCGTCTAACGTATTCATCAGTCTCGGTCTCACTGGTGGCACGAATGCTTTGCTGGCCACTGGTGTCACTGGTGTAGTATTCCTCATCAGCACTATTCCTGCCATGGTACGTCTATCTTGATATGTCCAACCTGCGAATCGAGAAGTCTGAGCGCTGATGCGGTATACAGNNTTGATCATCGATAAAGTCGGTCGTAAACCCATGTTGCTGGTAGGCTCTGTCGTCATGGGCGTTTGCATGATTATTGTCGGTATCATCGTCGCCAAGTTCAGCCACGACTGGCCCAGTCACGTTGCCGCTGGTTGGACTGCCGTCGCTCTCATCTGGGTCTACATCGCCGGCTTTGGAGCAACTTGGGGTCCCGTGTCTTGGACGCTCGTTTCTGAGATTTTCCCCCTCTCTATTAGGAGCAAAGGGNCGCTTCAATCGGTAAGCAAATGACATGCCTCAGCCACGATTCTTTGGCAATCACTGACTCGAACTTCAATAGGCGCTTCGTCGAACTGGCTCAACAACTTCGCCATTGCGTTCTTCGTCCCTCCCATGTTGGAGGCATGGCATTGGGGTACGTACATCTTCTTCAGCGTCTTCCTCGGTGCCGCTATCCTGTGGGTGTGGTTTTTCCTTCCCGAGACAAAGAATGCCACTCTGGAAGAGATGGACCGTGTGTTCAAGAGTCAGGCCGGTGAGAGAGATGCTGCGTTGCTTGCAGAGGCCAAGCAGGAGCTCAGCATGCTTTCAATTAGGATGGAGAAGGGTGAAAAGGGGCATATGGAGGAGGTTCAAGTGGTGTGAAATCATTGCAACAGGGGGTAATAGGAATAATTAGCGACGGATAATGAACCAAAAGTTTCATCATGACACCAAGAAGAATCAAACCTCGGAATTTCGAGATAATCACCACTGCCGCCGACACGCTGTCTTGCCTCGGCAAGGTAGAATTATGAGTAGTGGCTACGCGTCAGAGTATAGCAATGCCCGAGAGGCACACTTTGCACGGCAGCGTCTTGTAATGGCGATGCTTGAATGGCCAGAGTCATGCATTCACTTTGCATGTACCTATTACAAGTCGTTCAGGGTTGATGCTTCAATAATGTAATATCGTCACGCGACGTCTTTCCGGATCTCGGCGAGCCCCCACGGCACGCGAGCACGGACCACCCGAGCGTGGCTACGCCCCCTCTTCTGGGCATAATTTCGGCAATAGACATCTTTTCTCGCGCTCTCCATGCCTAACTGGTATCCCATGCGCGACAGCTGATCAGATTCATCTCAATAAGCGTTATGGCGACTGAAGATCCGTCAATGGACCCACGGTTCCACAATCTTCACGAGGAACTCAGATCTGTGCTCTTCAATGGCTTGTCCCATCTCTCTCCTACTCAACCGCGTATCATCCAAGTCGGCGCCTCCGAAGCATCACCAAGCTTGGACTTTTCATCCGCAACAGTCAAGATACCGCAAGAACGCCTTGTACGGTACCTCCAAAACTGGATCACCGAGTGCGCGCCACAGCTGGACAAGTTTGACGAAGAGCAACACTTCCAGATTGAAGTTCCTCTTGTCGCGCAGAGGTCTCCTGCTCTACTCTATGCCATCCTGGCCTTTTCCTCGCGACAGATGGAAAGAAGAGGTATGGTGCAAGGATGCTACGACAGCCTCGAACTGTATCAAGAAAGTATAAGATTGTTGGCACCTGCACTCCAGGCCAAAGACCCAGTCACCTTGGTGACGGCATGCGTGCTTGCCGTCTTTGAATTGATGTCTAGCGAAACAGGAAACTGGAAACGCCATGTCGAAGGCTGTGCTTCGCTGTTCGAAGTCTTTGGTGTCAATGGCTTCTCGGGCGGTTTGCTGCAGGCCGTCTTCTGGTGTTATGCCAGAATGATACTGTGTGGAAGCTTTACGTCTGATGGTGCCGAACTGGTTTTGGCGCTCGAGAAGTGGGTGCCTGATCTGAATCGATCCGTAGTGACGGCAGGAGAGGGCGAAGAGTTCGTAAGGTCTCTCTTTCACGAAAAGAGTCGAGAGTACCATGATGCGCATGCCAATTGGGCAATATACCTATGCGCAAGAGTATGCGATCTAAAGTTCCGCAGGACGAGTTATCTGGAGCTTGGTCGCACAGACTTCACCGACAAGAGACCATTTTTACAACAATGGCAACAGCTTTGGCTGGATCTGCAGTTCTGGCTCGATGAGCGTCCTGCGACCATGAGACCAATTTCTCTTGTCGATGAAGACGCCGAGCTCAATTTCCCATCCATCATCTTTCCACATTGGGCAGCAATCTCAAGCAACCAGGTATACCACGCTGCCTGTATCTTGATGCTGGAGATGCAGCCACCGGGGAGTAGACTTGATCCTCAGACTTTATCACTATGGCATGCGAGGCAAGTCTGTGGCATTTCGTGTGCGAATCCACATCCAGGGAGTATGGTAAACTCGATACAGCCTCTTTATATTGCAGGTAGGTTACTCACTCACGGTAGTGAGCGACAGAAGATAGCCCAACTGCTAGATAGTATAGAGCGCGAGACTGGATGGGCGGCTCTTTGGCGGCTTAGAGATCTCGAGGTTGAGTGGGGATACGAGGGTGTAGTTGACTGGGGGCATGTTTGAAAACCTTGGAGAGGTCGTCTGGTGGGTAGTTGGATTAACAGTCTATCTTCTGCATCTGGCTTCCGATTTATTGGTTGCAAGCGGGACCAGTCTCCCACTAGCTCTGGTTAAACTACTGGTAGTGGGGCGTGCTCCAGACCCACAAGGTTGCGCGCTTTGAACCAACCCAGTACTATAAAGCTTTGAGAACCGCCAGTCAGAACAACACACCAGCTGCAAGATCAAAATCGAACCGCAACATTGCGGTAACTTCGACTATGGTCTCACCTATACCGACTATTTGTGTTCTCGGGTCCCTCAACATCGACCTTGTTTACTACATCCCCCACCACCCGCTACCTGGCGAAACACTCACATCGACTCAATCTGATGTCTCTCCTGGAGGCAAAGGCGCCAATCAAGCGGTAGCTTGCGCAAAACTATCAAGATCTCGCTCGCTAGAAGACGCAAGGATCAAAGTGGCCATGTTTGGTGCTGTCGGCGCAGATGCTCACGGCTCAACGTTGTTGAACAGCCTTCAATCGTATGGTGTCGATACCTCGGAGGTTGCACGCAGACAAGGTCACCCCGAACACTCGATGACCGGCAATGCTATCGTCATGGTGGACGAGCGCACCGGCCAGAACCGCATCATCTTGACTCCCGGCGCTAACGCCTCTCTGCGACCTGAAAGTGTCACCAATCTTGCCAACTTGAGGCCTTCCTTGTTGGTTATGCAATTGGAGATTCCTCTCGACACTGTCTTGGAGGCACTGGCAGCAGCCAAGTCGGCAGGAGTGCCAGTCCTCTTGAACCCGGCTCCGGCTATTCAACTTCCAGAAGAGACATACGATGGATTATCACATCTCATCCTGAACGAGACCGAAGTGGCTCTGCTTGCGCAAGTCGACGAGGCTGAGCTCGAAAATCCCAGTATGGTGGAGAAAACGGCTACTAAGATTATGGCAAAGGGTGTCCAAAATCTCGTCATAACGCTTGGTGCGAGAGGCGCTTACTACATGAGCAGAAATGGGCAANAAGGTCTTGTGCCAGCGCTTAAAGTCGATGTAGTGGATACAACTGCTGCCGGAGATACTTTCATCGGCATGTATTCGGTGCTTGCTGTTGAGGCCTCTTCTCGCAATCTGGAGTTTGACATTTGTGCCGCTGTCACCAAGAGCACGTTTGCTTCTGCCAAGACGGTCTCCAGGAGGGGAGCTCAGGTTTCGATACCGTGGAAGGATGAGTTGGTCTTGTAATAGACTCTGGACGAGAGAATCTGAATTCTTCCATCTTGATCCCGTGTACTTGCGCTTGTGTGCCTGTCGAAGAAGTAGCGGCGACGCTCGATTGATGGCAAAGGAAAATTGCTGCACGTTCGCAAAGCTATCGTATCTCAGAACGCATGCCGCAGGTTTGGTGGATCATCTTGTTGGATTGATTGCCAGAGTGCGCGAAGATTGGCGACATCCTTTCCAATGGGAATATGTGTTGTATTCGAGATCTCATGGAAGCATGGTAGAAGCGCTTCCTGCTGGGAGGGGTGCGACATTTCCTTGGCAATAAAAAGCAGTGCAGCAATGACTACCGGGTCCCACTGCCCATTGAAATGATTACCGACTAACATGCGTGCAATCTTTTGAACGTGCCAGCTCCGTGATCTAAAACGCTGTAGAATCGAGGTTGCGTTGGTGAGACGAGGTTTTTGTGATAGCAGAGTTACTGCTGACATATGCATGACAAGATTTGCTTGCAGAGCAGTGGCGCTTGTAAACACATCAATGGGGAAAGGTTGTTTGCGCCGGGGGTCTTCATCTGGGCTTTCGAGTACAGGCCTCATCTTGCGAGGTCGGTCCTGGAACCACGACATACAACTACTCCAGAGTTCAAACCACCGATCCCACCTGGAAACGTGAGAACCGACAGGCTGTAGACGCGATTCGTGGAAACCGGATAGCACAGGAATAAGTTCGAAGTGAACCAGTCGCATAGATAGTGCGAGGCAACAGAGACAGCCATCGTAAGAAGTGAGAGGATCATCAATGTCGCTGATCATCAAGCTTTCTGAGGGAATCATAAGATTGGCCGAAGGAGGCTTGTTCGTTACGATGGAGGCGGCAAGATCTNNGAACGCCATGCACTTCAGTAAGATTCAGATGTATTCTGGACTTGGTGATGACCTACCGACTTTCAATTGCAACCGCAAGAGCGACTTCAAAGGCTCCGGTGTGAGCTCGAATTTCCCGTCTGACAGGACAGACTCGGCCAGGCGCGCTTCACAGGTAGAGGCGATGGTGGCCCAATCCGAGGTTGGTATGTAGAACACGCTACTAACCGTGAGCAGCGCAAATCCGACTTCTGCGGTGAAAGTATCTTCACGAGTCAACTGTTCCAGAAGCCTTGAGGGTACAGTCAAGCCAGTGGACGTGGTACTTCCCAGATCAAGACTTTCGTCTCTCAATTGTACGCAGGCGGAGATGCAATCGGAAATAATCTTGCTGTCGCGAGCTAGAGTCATGATTGCCGGCCCAAACATCGACTTGCAGTTGTTGGATTCGATCCAAGGTACGAATTGATATCTGAAATGTAGCAAGGCAGGTTGTCTGTTCGTTGAACGCTGTTGCCACGAGCGCTCTTCGATCGGCTGCCGAGGTGTGACTGGTGCATAGGTCATGTTACCCGCAAAGGTGTTTGACGTCCAGGCCGTAGTCAGGTCGCTGTCAATGACACCTTGTCTAGTGGCAATTACCACCGTGGCAGTGGAGGTCATAGACTGAGGGGTAGAGGGTTCCCGAACATGGCTGAGTGATGAATCAGAACCGCCGACATGCTGATAGTTGACAGTGTCGCTACGTAATTGCGGTGCTGTCACTGATGGCGATGCCGCCGTAGTAGCACGAGAGTCATCGCCGACATCCACTTGCGACGCGCCACCATCTGCGAGAGATCTTTGTGGCCCATCAGACACAAATGTCCAATCACCGTATCTGCATGTCACACTCCTTTCAGAGCAATTCTGACAACTTGGCTTCCCNTCGTCGCCTGATTTCGCTCTCAGTAACTGCTGTAGCGCGAAGAGCAACGAAAATGTCGCGGTCTATTGATGTTGCGTTGTGGATGGAACAAGAGCGGTCTTACATTTTCTTCGCCGCTTACGACAGGTCAGACATCCCGTACGAGATCGTCGCTTGTTGTCTGGTATGTGTCGCACTGATGGCATGACCTCAAAGACAAGAAGGTAGACGCCATGGACGTGAAGTAGGCAAAGCGGAAGACAGATTTTGGAGCAGTTGTCCCCATGCATTGCGGCGAACTCCAAGGCGGTGAGCGGTGCGCTGCAAATACCTGTGATGCGAACGCCAACTTCTCACCTTCCACCCGTGGTGGGGGAACTGGACAGACATCAAACAAGCATACAATAGCTGTAAGCAACGTCTTTTGATGTGGCTGACTTTCTCTCGAAGGTCAGCAATCGTGATTTATACCAAACAAGGGTCTGGACTGAAACGAATCGAGTTCAAAATACTAGACTTGCCTGGTGATCAAGGAACCGCCGTATATGGCGAAGACTACTTTCTTAGATCCAAATAGTCCATGCCTTCAGTGGTGATGGTGGTTCGAAACTGAGTTGTGACGTATCATGGGTCGGTATGGTTTTGTGTTTAGGAAGTACAGGTTTTGCTTCGACAGTGCAATAACCAGCGCTTGTGGAGGGTGCATAACACGCTTTGAAAGAGCCTATAGATAGAAAGTCTTGTAAGGGAAGGCTGTCTTGAGCTGGACAGTCTTCGCGCCTTCCTCAGGCAACAGCGCTCTTTCTCTCTCCACTTGCATGTGACAGTGCGCTCACACAAACTCGCCCTCAAGTCCCTCCTTCTTCGTCGCAATATTCTCACCTTTCTTTGCCTTGACTCTCTGCGTCTTTACCTATACACATCATGTCTACCTCTTCGACGCCACTGAGCATCTTTGACATAACAGACGATGAAATTTCACTACCAACCACATCCCGCAAACGCAAGCATGAACCTTCAGATAAGGCCGACCCAGAAGAGCATAGTAGTGACGAAGAAGAAGTTGACGATGAGGCGGACGACGATGAGGAGGATGAGACCGATCTGGAACGCAGTACCCGCAGACAAGAACTCGAGAAACTGTTAGAGTCAATGAAGAGTACTCCGCAAGACATCAAGTGCGACTTCAGCGACAAAGAACTTGAGGAAATCATCCACACCATCAGTGCAGATGACTATGAAGGGTAAGTTGCATTTGATAAATTGATATCTCATACTGATCTTCCGACAAGCTTTGGAAGTACCAAGAGCGCATCAGAAAAAGCGAAATGTCCTACATCATCATAGCGGCGAAGAACGAGGAGATCCTAGAAACCATGGTCAAGTCTGCGCTCGCACGCACAAAGTCAGCGACACCAAAGAATGAGAATGTTGCACACGCTCTGTCCTTCTTCAACGGCCCATCCGGTGATGCAGAAGGCGAGAAGCTCCTCGCCACTGTCATCAGAACAGTCGACAACATTGATGAGATTGATGACGAGGATTTCTTCAAAGAACATGCCGAGCCGTTCATCGTCGACACCATCCTGCAATGGAGGGAGACGGAAACAAGACGAGGTCTGGGCAGATTCCTCAGAATTCAATCTTAGCACCGTTGAGGAGATGCCATCAGAGGCTCTGGCAGAGGATGTCAAGGAGTGATGGATTGTCCATTAACGCTGCTCAAAATTTGAGCTCCAGGACTTGTTGCTCATCTCGTTGCTCTCTTGTACTTCATGAATACAAATCAACACGCTTCGCTAGAGCATAAGCTCGTAATCCACAGCGTTGATCTGACTTGACGTTGTTTCGAGATGTGTGTCAAGTTTTTGCTCGGATCGAGTGTGCCTTCCGTCCCTGCTTCTGAAACCAGGGGTCAGCTCTTTCCCCAAATGCACCTTCCCAACAATCACTTTCATGTGACGCGACAGCCTGTTGCCTGATCTCTTCTTGTGCTCCACATCTTCAGCCAATTTTGATCTCAATCCCTCTTCATCTCTCCTTCAGCCTCCACCCCAGAATCAACCTCAATATCAACCTACCACTTCAGCAGCTGTCACACACCTTCTACCATGTCTTCCAGCGATGACATCGCCCAAGACGCCACCATCAGCCGTAAAAGACGCGCCAATGCCAACATGGAAGCCTCAGCACCCAAACGCCATCATCCCGACGCCGTCGATCAACTTCTCGAAACGATGAACTTCCAGCAGCAGCAAATCGAGAAGGCCACAGCCATTTGGATCAGACTCAAGGGTGGCGAAGACAAGCTAGGCGATGCAAACACCAATTTCTTGAGCGTTGTCAAGTCGGCCATGTACAGTGGAAGCCTGGCTATCAAGCTGGTGGGAAAGCAAGATGCCGATGAAGCCGATCGTGAGTAAGACATACCACTCTGACCACATCATCCACTCCGATACTGATGCAATACAGCGAGCNAGATCGAGGAAAAGTTGCGTATGATGGAAGCCTCCCTCGTCGAGAAGCAAAACGAAAACTTCGACATCCTGCAAGAGGACATTGAAGGAGACATCTACGACACAGCCACCGAAGCTGCGGACAACCTGCTCTTCTCTCCAAGATTTGCTGAAGCCATCAGCAACGCCGTTGTCCAAGACCCCAACATTGTCTGCGATGACGAGTTGGTTGAGGTCAAGAAGTTTGTCTGTCGTCAGATGAAGGTTGCAAAGGATGCCCCCGAGGACTCCCAGGACGTTCTTCGTGAGCACGAGGCTGAGATCGGTTTCGAAGGTGCGGTGTACTAGTGCTAGATGTCGTTGCTGTTGAGACAAGCCAGCGAAGAGAATGAAAAGACACATGTTGCTTTGCTTGTTAGTAGACCATACCAAGAATGCGAATTGAACTTCCTCTTCAGATCAAGTGCGATTGTACCGCTATAGAAATGCACAATATCTTCGCAATGCAGAGGAACGTCCAGAGAGAGTGGCCAATTGGCATAATCTCTCTGGATACTCTCCAGCATGTACATACATTCTTGCATTTCTATAGTCCTATATCAACGTGTCAGCCGAGACTAGAAACGAACATCGGAACCAAGACTCACTGCTTCTAATGTGTGCTAGGGACTCCAGAACAAGCTATCGAAATGCATAGTATACTACAGGTTCAGAGATGTGTCCAGAGAGAGCTGTCGATGCTCGTGCTCTCTCTGAATATTGCTCGATTCTCGATAGCTTCATGCATTTTTATAGTCCTATGTCAACATGGCAGTCTGTGTGAGATGAAGAGGACTAACCAACTCTCCGCTGTGAAGATGAGGAGAAGTATATCTATCGAAATGCATAGTATATTGCAAGCTCGGAGGTTGTCCAGAGAGAGTTGTCATTTTTCGTGCTCTCTCTGGACATCGCTTAGATCTCGATAGTATCGTGTATTTCTATAACCCTATATCCACACGTCAGTTACACAGAGATAGGGGTGAAATCACTTACTCTACTACATCTCACTGGACACCTACCACACCTCGGAATCACTCTGCGCTGTCATGGTCAAATTTTTGGGGGTACTGTTACAATTCAAGATACTCCTACACCTACTCCTACAGAGTCACTCTACGGCGGGGAACCACCACCGTGCCGTCACTCACAAGGAGCGAGGCTCCCGACGACGACGAAGACGAAAAGCCAGAGGCCAACCCCGTGGTGTCGGGGTTGTAGTCGACACCACGAGGTCCCTCGTCCTCGACAACAGAGGCAGCAGCAGAAGAACCANNCCCAGATACTCCGAGGGAGCCGAGGGGGGGCAGGGAGGGGGAAGCCAGGACGACCACGGGAGGTAGAGCNCCTGTCATTGACCAGGGGGTCCCNTGCTGGAATCCGGGNCCGGGCCCGAACAGCGAGGAGGAGGGGCTGTCGGGCTGCACGGTGGCGGCGGGAGGGGCGCGGCGGGGGCGGAGAGGGCTTCTGACGGGGATGGGGGAGGGNGTGGTGGGGGCCAGGGCGAGGATCTCCTCCTCGGTGCTCTCCTGCTTTGATATATGTTAGGCTACTGCTACTACAAACTACGGTCGGAATGCACGAACGTGAGCTTGGGGNGCAGTGGGCCATCCCGAAGCGGGAAAGACTTCCTCGGGCTTGTTGACCGGAGGGCGAGAAGAAGGGCGGGCTCTCTCCTCGGCAGCCATGCGAGCGTCGTCGCGCTCAATCTCCTCGGTCGTCATGAACATGCCATCTCTGCCACGACGCAGGATGGGAGGCTTGTCGAGAGCGGCGAGGGTGNNAGAGCTTTGAGTGTGTTAGCACCCGATTTTCGTGCGTGCAGTGATCGGAACGAAATACTTACGCTTCTTGGGAGGAGGGCTGAAAACAGATCTTCCTCTGTTCATGGTTGCTAGTGGTAGTGTTGTCTTGTATAGAGTTGCTTGGTGACACAGAAAGAACGTGTTGCGCAAAGACACGAGAGATAGAGAGAGGTGAAACTGAAAGAGTTGTTAGCAGTGGACGCAATAACGGAGGCGCCGGCGACATCATCAACGCATCGCTACGGGGCTAGCGACGGTGACCATGTGAAGCCGGGATTAGAGCAGCTCTCAACTTACCGAACGAGACTTTTGATTACCACCGACCTGTCTGTCATGATGTGCGAGACAAGTCGGCAACATGTTGATACTGTCTGCTCCCCTGTACTTCATCCTTCGTTTCCTCATAGAGACAGTGCCCCTGATCCAGCAGCTCCATCCTCCTCTCGGTCTTCCTTTGCCTTCGTATCCGATCATTCTGGTGGTTCTCGCATTTCTGGCTGTTCTTCAGGTGCCTTCAACCAGTCCAGGACGCGTTGCACACTCAAGTCCTTTTGCTCGGTTCTTTTCGATCTCTACTCGATATCCTCGTCGTCGTCATCTCTGCGGGCGCCAGGACTTCTGCTTCTGTTTCTGGACTTTCCGCCACGAGCAGGGCCACCACGCGACTGGTTGCTGCTCTTAGCAGGGGTGGGCGCACAAAGGCAAAGTCGACAGAGATGGTCTGGTCGAGCAACTTGGTACCGTTTGCTCCTTCGACGGCAGCCTTTGCTTCGTCTAGTGTGGGGAATTCGATCAAGACGTAGCCCTGTTCGATGCATCAGTATTTGGTCTTACTCCTGCCATGTTCCGGAAACACACCTTGACGTAACCGGTTCTGCGGTCCAGGTTCATGTGCAGGTTCTTGATCTCGCCGTAGTCGCCAAACAGCTCTTGAAGATCCTCTTCACTGGCCTCTTCGTGGACATTGGTGGCCATGACAATCCAGCCTTCAATGGAGCGAACGGCCACAGCTCCAGTGGAAGTGCGTGTCTCAGGTCCAGTAGGGGCGTTGCGCTTAGCTTCGGGTGACTGAGATGGAGAGGGTGAGCGGCCTTCATCTTGTGGTTGCTGCTGTTCCTGCTCGTCTTGCTGGGGCTGCTGATCGATGTCCATTTCGCTGTCGGCCATGGTCGCGAGAGAAAGTGTTCTGGTACGTGTGTGTGTGTGTGTTTTGTTGGTGACAAAGTAGGTGATGCTGGGACTGATATACTGGTCGCGTGGGACGCGTTGAACGATACAAACGGTATAATCTAGAGGGAGAAATGGGTGGGTGATTGATTGATGTCTTGCTGCAGGTACAAATGCTGTCGCGTTGCGAGAGCTCACTGACGAATTGTCGGTGCTCGGTCAATCTCGGTTCCGATATCCGAATTTCTGGCTAAATCTATCACCCTGGCCCCGAATATATCCTCCTCGCTCTCAACCTTCGTCGTCGACTCGACGTCGAATATGGTCATGTGAAGGTTGTAACATCAAGTAACATGCTATGTGATACTATTTGGGCAATTACAGTGTATCACTGGCTTAGGTTGTGAGGCCATGTACTGAAGCCTTGTTTGAACATGAACTCGAAGAGATAGCAAGCAGTATCATCCAGAGAAGAAACAGCTCATCCGATGAAGGTCATGTAGATCACATCGACGATAGTGAACAATTACTCCTATAGTGAGCCCCGACGATGCTTATTACATCTCGCCGACAGTGATTGAGAAGGGAAATTCGATTGCTGCATGAGAGAATTGGATTATGGTCGAGCACTATCAATCGTCCGACCAAAAAGCCCACCAATCAAGGCATGTCGCCAGAAACAACAGCTTTCAGTTACACATCTAACGCCTGCAAGTAATACCAGGACTCTTTATGGATGTTGAACCCATTCAGCTCGTGATCATGGGCTTTGTGTAGACATCGCTACGAGTTACATACGTATCACAGACTATCTAAGAACCAAAGGCTGATTGCACTGCTAACGTTGGTACTACCATGGAAAAGTTGCATATTCGATACCGAGTCTTCAGGAATCAGCAGCCCCAGAAGAACAAGCATCGGTGAAAGTGTAGTCGAAGATCCATCACGACTTGGCTACTGACTTTATTCGCTGGTAGGATGAGCTATCGAAATCTCAAATGCTCCAGGATCGACAACAATGGTGGTGGTGGTGGTGCTGCTCTGAGGATTGAACCAAAGCCAGGAAAATGGAGTTGCGACAAGTGTCTGGATCCAGAATGAGCCATCTGATGCTCAACAACGGTCAAACATAAACCTCTGCACGTAAGAAGAAAGGAAGTCTGTTCATCATATATTCGAAAGAGAAAACCAATATTCACCAGACTTACAATTGAAAGGAAGCTATTTATGCTGATTGCTTCCTGTTCATAATCATTGCCTTCAATTCTTCAGTGGCATAACAATGAGACGCTGTTAGTAATACTGGCTCTCTCAAGTCATCGTCTTCCGTCGCCAAGCAAAGAGAGCAACACTTAGCTGCTGAGCAGTCGCTTCTTTCCGAGACCGTTCCAAGGCGCTGCTTTGCCCACCTTTGTTTTTCATCCATCAGGAAAGTCTTTGAAGACGCAATTGGTGCATCGGAGCCTAACCCTGTGCATCGATCACATCGTCGGGACCTCGGACAATGCCAGTGACATTTGCCTCGACGGGTGCCAGGTAAGTTTCGCCACCTTTGTCTGGAGTAAAGGCATACCTGGGCATTTGGGCCATTTTNTCTTCAGGAGACACTTCTTGATCAGAGTAGACCAGACGTGTGGCCTTCTTAGACTTCTTGCCGGCGCTCTCGGTTTCTTTTTCTGGAGCTGGAGTAGGCGTGGGTTGTTGTGAAGGAGCAGACTTTGCGGATTGTTGAGCCGCAACGCCTGAGATAAGTTCGTCCACGCTTGTTGCGTTAGCACCAGACTCTTGCGGAGGAGCAACAGGGCCACCCATGTTTCCACTGTGCATCTCGGCGAGTTGCTCTCTGCTGACATGAGGCGCATTGAAGGTAGGGCGCTGCGGAAGGCCTGGGGCTGAAGGAAGGCTATTCTGGCGGGTCGGCAATTCCTGTGCAGGCGGACTCATGGGCGGAGCATGGCGGGAGTTCTGGTATTGAGATGGACTTGCAGAGTGTGGAGGATAGGCATACTGAGCAGGAGGAACAAAAGGCGCAGGAGGGCCTTGACCGCCATAGGGCTGTGAGGGTGAATATGATGGCTGGGATCCAAACTGACCTGGCGGGAAGGGCCCTGGAGGTGCTCCATACGGCGATTCGCCATAGTTGAAGGGCGGAGGTTGTTGACCATACCCAGCAGGGGCTTGGCCGTAGGATTGGGGAGGGTAAGCGGTAGGCGGTGGGCTGGCGGCTTGTGGTGCCGAAGGAGGGGGNAAGCTTGACTGGTATTGAGGAGGAGTGGCAACGTCGGCCTTATCGGCGTGTAAGCATTCAGAATAGCAGTTCGACATGACGGTCCAACTTACAGGCGTGTCAGGAGCGCTCCCCAGACCCGACCTCTCAGCCGCCTTTCTTGCCTTGTGTTCAGCCAAGCGTGCCTTCAACTCGGCTGGTGACTCGAGCTTCGGCTTCTTCGTACCTGCAGCTCCTTGTATCGACGAACCAGGAACAGGATTGCCTGTAGCAGCGCGTCGATCAGCCTCGGCGGCGAAGAACTCGTGGCTAACACGCTGGTTGTGTTGCTGCATAACATCGTCGGGAATGCCTTCCATGCCGAAGATCTCAATGTCGGGAGCGGAGCGATTGGGCAGAGCATTCTCCACCGTAGTCAGATTCTCCTTGTGTACTTGGTTCATGTGAACGGACAAACCTNNGCTCGAAGTCAGTTGAAGCCTCCCTCTAGTCAATCGCGTCAACTTACCTCCAGCTGTGTTGAGTCTGCGTCCACATCTGTCGCACTTGTAATGCTTTGCCTTTTGATGTGAGATTAGAATCTTCAGATCATCAAAGTCGCGCTCGCAGTAGTAACACCAAGGACGCGCGAGAACCTCCTCGATATCGGGATGACCGCGCTTCTTCTTGCCCATTGTGTATGTGAGGTAAAGAGAGTTGAGAGGAAGAGGAGGCAATGGGTGAATACGTGATATGGTCGAAGGAGCAGCTATCGATGACCGCGTTCAAGGAAGTGACGATGCTTGAAGCTGCAGAACGGCATGTCCCGTGTCCTGCTTGTCGCGTTACTTCCTTCTCCGCTCAGCAGCAAATTTCCTTCTGTTGCGCTTCACATGCATGGCATGCTATGGCAGTTACTCGAGACTTGAATGTGCTGTCATCTGCTTGTCCATGCTCGTAGGCTCATGGTAAGTAACTGTGTCGGTAGAACACGCAACACCCCAAACCCAGCCACTTGCTCCATCATCAGGACAGTGTCGAGGTCTTTCTGCTCCGGTGGGAAGAGCGGTCTGTCTGTTTCGCGTCTTGCGTCCAGGCAATGCCGTGGGATGGTATAGGGGAGGTGGAAAGGCTTGTACTTTCTGCTGAAACGTTGCAAGACGAAATCTTGGTTGCCTCATAGTTCATACTTTCACCGTCCTCGAGACGTCTTCAGTGGGAAGTATGACTCCTTGTGTACCCACATTTTGATGTGTATATATCGTTATTCAACTGTCACGACATGATCACTACAAAACCTTTTCTTCGTGTTCAACAACTCGAGAAAAACCAGAAGGCACATTTGATATGATGGCAGAAAAATGGCACATATTGAAAGAAGAGAAAATCAATGGGGGTATCAACATGATCGAAATTGTTAAACTTTTGCAGGTTGATGAAACAGATGGTAGAGAGACAGGCGAGGTCGAATTGAAGGAATGCTGCGCTGTGCTGTGTCGCCGCAAAGAAAAACGCAGTACCGCATGCATATAAGCTCAACCATGAGTTACATTTCCATGGCCGTAGCCAGATCCTCAACGCCGGCCCAGTCCCCAAAGCTTTTAAAGTTGCCTTGTTACACCATCTTTTTGTTCATCAACCGCTGTGGAGGGAGAGTAATTTACTCGTCATCCTCCTCCTGCTCGGCCTCGAGGGTGGACATGGCGATACGGTCCAAATCACGCTGGCCGGACTGGGTGATGCGGCGGCCACCCTTGTCCTCATCGATCTCAAGGACACCGATCTTCTCGAGAGACTGGCAGACCTTGCGGTCAACGGAGCCGGAGGCGTCAACGTGACGGCTGGGGCGGGAACCGCGGTTCTTGGGGGAACCGTGGACCTTGCGCAGACGGCCGATACCGACGGTCTTGCGCATGTAGATGTGACGGGCGACGGCAGCGGCGCGGACGTAGTACCAGTCAACGTTCTGGGGAGGAAGCTCCTTGGCGGTACCAGTCTTGACAGTGTCGACCCAACCCTGATAGCGGACAAGAGTTAGTTGGACTCTATGGGCCCCGATATTTCGCGGGATTCAAGTTGACCCAGTCGGTGGACTTACGGGAACGGCGAGCTTTCCCTGTCTCTTCAAGAAGGAAGCGTCTGTTGTGTGTTAGCACATGGCTCTCAAAAAGTAGAAGATTGGAGAAGGAGGGAGTATGTCGCATTGAGATGGTGATCGTCGGGCATTTCTGCAGTTTCGAAACGCCTTCCAACCATTGCCACTTTCCACACTGCGCAATGCCAGAACGATCGGTCGACAGCGCAGCGTGGTTGTTGGCAAGCGCTCTGATGTTGTGTTTGACAAAACGACTTCCATCTCTTATGCGAAAACTCCTCTCCGGCTCCAGGGGCGTAGACTAACAGTTCTGGATGAACTTGTCGGCGGGGACATCGCGAACGGAGACACCGGGCATTTTGGCGGTTGTGAAGGGGGTTGTCGACGGTGGTAAGGTCTGTAGGCGTGCGAAAAGGTCGTCTCGGTCGGAGGAGAAGGTCAGGCGTCGCGGGCGTGCTGAGGATTTTGCGATCCTCGTGTGCCGAATTTTTGCGGAGCTAGCCGTGACGCCAAGACTTTCGACCTTCCCGCTTGACTTGCTCCTCACTCTCGAGCAAGGAAGCACCACTGGCATCGGAGAAAGAAACTGAAAATTAAGTCGATTGATTGAGTCTTCATTAAAGTATGCTATGTTTGCATACTGGACTGATACCAGCTGACCGTAGCCAGAGGTGAGGCGTGCGGAAATCATGGGCTAAACCAAGCCAGAACCACTGAGCCCCCATGTACGCCTCCCACCGCCCAGAGAATCGAAAATGAGCGCTAGAATATCTACGAAAGTGTTGGTCTTCTCTCCATACTGACCATGTAGCGCACGTAAAGCTCGTTCACGAAATGCTCGTGTCTAATGCCTGGAGCTCTCTTCTCTGCAAACTCTTCCAGAGCATCCTGTAGTCTCCACCCCAATTTCTCTACCATGTAGCTGACCAAGAAGAAGCCGGTTCTGTTGAAGCCATAGTGACAGTGTACAGCAATCACTGCACCCTCCGGTTCCTCTGGCTTCTTAAGCTGCTCTCTCAACGTATCTATCAGAGCGATGAATGCTGCGACCTCTTCCACTGTTGGCGGCAGCTTGCTGACTGTAGGAAACTTGTGGTATTCTATGCCACCTTCTTCCAGTCCCTTGGGATCGTAGACAGGACTCTCATGACTGATATCGACGACCATGCGGACACCATGCTTGATGCCGCTCTTGGTACCCCATCGCTTCACGTACACAGTTGGTGTGTGTTCTTCGTCAATCTCGCGCAGTGTCTTCTGTGCTCTGAAGATACCGGCAATGGGCTCAGAGACAGGGTTGATGGCTTGCCACTTCTGGAGATTCTTCACATCCCACTTGCCTTCTGTGCTCAGGTGTTGCAACTGCCAGCCGAGAGAGAGACGATGATCGATATGTGTGGCGGCGAAGGACTGGATCAAGCCTGAAAGGATGCGCACAGTCGAGGTAGCGTACAGCAAGGCATGAGAAGCAGGTTGAGGCAGTACCGTTGTCTTGAGAACGAACTTCGGCTTCTTCGGGAGACCTGATGTCGCACTGTCTGATCGAGTTTCGGATACCAGGTCCTGATTGGTTGCAGCGGGGACGAAACTTCTGCCGTTCTCTTCGATTGGAGTGTTGTCGATGATAGGGATCTCGCCAGCAGAACTGGGCAGGGAGTTATCCTTGGTGACTGTATGCTCTCGTGGCACCTGTCGTCCTAGCCATTTGGCAATCAATTCGACGTTCTCGGGCGGCGTTACGTGGTCCTGCTCTCCACCGATACAGAATGTAGGAATACGAAGACCAGACCAAATAGCCTCACCAGGCAATCCTCCAACGGCCTCGTCATTCTGATACCTTGGCATCGATCCAAGAGCCATTGCCATGAACACTTCAGATTTACTTTGCTCGTTGAATCGTAGTTGAAGTCGTTTGGTCTCCGAGTCTGCCTCTTTGCCTGCGTAGCGAGCAACACTGGCACTCTCAGCACCTCCTCGTCTGTCCCACCAACGGAAGATCTCGAACAGAGGAATAGGCATGTAACGCATATGCTGTAGACGTGATACTTGGCTGGCTGTCAGGGTCTCAGCACGAGGGCAGATGGCGATGAAACCAACGATATGCTCCGAGATGAGGTCGGACAACGGCGATGTCGATGATGCCAGCAGTGTTGATAGAGAACATCCCATGCTGTGACCTATCAGAACCGCCTTCTGATCATTTTCGGCGTCTCTGTGTTGGGTAATAGCCTCGGCGATCAAGGCTGCCAGAGCTTCTGACTTGTATGCTTCTCGTGTTTGAGGAAGAAAGTCAGACAAGCCACATCCGGGAAGGTCGATAGCAAGGCATGGCGCAGCGTTGATCAGTCCAGTTAAGAGTGGTGCAAATTGAGCAGCACTTCCTCCAAGACCATGAACAAAAACAAGAAGCGGTAGTGGTGTAGGCTTAGTCGGGAGCTTGTCGGCTTGTGGATGAGGATGATAGAATGTCCTGATTGATGGGTATACAAATCCAGCGGCAGTGTAAGATCTTTGAGAAGAGTGTTTTCTTAGTAGTCCAGGTTCGGAGGCTGAGGGATCTAANTGGGTCGTATAAGTCTGCTGTTTGCTCAAACTCCTTCATAGTAAACGGAGGAAACAATGGATGTGATGGAAAGATAGATCAGGATGGAGAGAGAGGGAGAGTGCATCGAAATGAAAGGAGTTATGTACAGCCAACTCACCTCTGGCATCAACATCACGTTTTGCACTAGCGAGTCGAGACAGGTAATATACTGACGCAGTTGCCAACACCATCGTGCCTCCGAATACCACGAGGGTAGACATCTGTGTCCGACGCGCTGACAGGAACGGGTCCCGAAACCTTGTCGAAAAGTATGGTTATGCGGTTGGAGAAATGTGGATGCGTTTTGGTAAAGGGAAATGATGCGATGACGCAGAAGTCGAAGATTTTGGTCGACGCGAAGAAAATCGCAAGGGCGACGGAAGTATCTGGAACGACGCACGGCGTACAAAGGCGCAACGAATGTTTCAGTTGATTCAGTTAGCACTAGTGAGTTGTCTTTGAATATGGAGTTGGACGAAGAGGTCCAAGACGAAGCGATACAGGTAGGATTGGCGAAGGAAGATGCGGCCAATGATCGCGCGCGGTCGGAAATGTGGGCGGAACCACTGGTCGACCACCCTTCTTTGTTTGGTATCACGAAAAATACCATGTATCATCCCCGTTATATCGCTCTCTTTCTAGAACACATCACACCGATGCTGTTTCCATGTCCCCGGATAGAGCGTGTCCAGATCTGAGTGGTGGTCTCGATTTGGCCGCTTATTGGGCCACGAGAAGACCGGCTCTCATGGATCATCCCTAGGCACCATCGGTAGGACCATCCGTATAACCTTATATGCACGTGTGTCAATTCTGGGGTGTCCGTGATCAAGTCGTTGCTAAGACCAACTTCAAATCGCTCATCAGGCTCAGGATGAGCTGTTCATTCGGGTACCCTCGATGGCCCCAGCCTTCTCAACTTTCCTTTTCATTAGTCGCATCATACTAGCATGCGTAGGCGAAGTGCGCGTACAGTCCAAGGCCATACTGATTTCAGAACTTACTAGTCATTCTGTTGATACCAAGACTGTCAAAGTCAGTATTGCTGTATGCGTTTTGTTTTGATAAGAATAATGGACCATGGCGCTTGAGAGGCTTGAGATTGACAGAAGAGCCTCACATCGGTTCTTCGGTGGATTTCTTCACCGAGTGCCCTCGGATCTAACCGAGCGGCCGGCTTCGGCTCTAGCTTGTGGGGTGCGCGGGGCACCAGAGGTGAGAAGGCCGATGATCCACTTGACGAATGCGTGTGGAAAAAAGGTCAAGACGACTACATACTCTAAGACCACACTTTCCTCCAAAACCAAACTGTCCTCTACATTGTATTACTCGCCATGGATCCCGCAAACCTCGAAGCACAGTTTCAGCCAGAAGAACCACGTTTCTTGAGCTTCCCACATCTTCCCGATGATGCCAGATATGAGGATGGAACGCCAATTCTGAACAAATACTCTTCCACTTTGACCAGAGGTCATAATTTCCCTGGTGCACAGGCCATGCTCTATGCAGCAGGTGTGCCAAACGAGAAGGTGTTGAAGACAGCTCCTCAGGTTGGCATCGCATCTGTTTGGTGGGAGGGGAACCCTTGCANNAGTAAGGGCATTGATATGCCATTGTTTAAACGCATACTGACAACGACGAAGCAATCATTGTAGGCAACATTCATGACAAGCACAAATGAAAGGAATCTAACACGGGTGTCAGTACACGATCTGGGAAAGACTGTGAAGCAAGCTGTAGAGAAGCAGGGTATGCTAGGATGGCAGTACGGTACCATTGGAGTGTCAGATGGCATTACAATGTGAGTTGCTCGAATCTTTATCCTAGTAAAAAGCTAACAGGAAAAAGGGNGTGGCGAAGGCATGCGATTTTCTCTACAGTCTCGTGAGATTATTGCAGACAGTATCGAGACTATCACATGTGCCCAGTTCCACGATGCCAATATCTCCATCCCTGGATGTGACAAGAACATGCCAGGTGTTGTAGTAAGTGCTGATACAGCCGTGAGCAGATACTTGAGGCTGACCTGTGGCTCAGNNATGGCAATGGCAAGACATAACCGACCATCTGTGATGATCTACGGAGGCACTATCAACCCTGGGTATTCCAAGACACTCCGAAAGACGATCAACATCACAACATGCTATGGTACGAAATCAACTCTCCCTTGAAGTGTCTCTATGCTAACACAATCAGAGGCACATGGCGCTTACAACTTCGACACCCTCAAGAACCCAGACGACCCTTCGATCACCAAGGATGAAATTCTGACTGACATCGAGAGAAACGCATGTCCTGGTTCTGGAGCTTGTGGTGGCATGTTTACGGCAAACACTATGGCCATGGCAATCGAGACTCTTGGTTTAACTCTTCCTGGGTCTTCAAGTACGCCTGCCACTTCGCCAGCCAAGATGCGAGAGTGCCAGAAGGCAGCAGAAGCGATCAAGATCTGCATGGAGAAGAACATCCGTCCCCTTGACTTGCTCACTAAGAAGTCATTTGAAAATGCTCTGGTTATGATGATGGCACTGGGAGGTAGCACAAACGGAGTGCTCCATCTTCTCGCTATGGCTGGTACGGCAGGTGTCGATCTTTCCCTCGATGACTTCCAGAGAGTGTCCAATCGCATTCCATTCATTGCAAACATGGCACCTTCAGGCAAGTATCTGATGGCCGATCTATATGATATTGGTGGTATCCCCTCTGTCATGAAGCTGCTCATTGCAGGAGGTCTTCTTGACGGTAGCGTCCCTACAATCACAGGCAAGACACTGGCCGAGAACGTCGCTTCATTCGATTCTCTACCTCAGGGTCAAGAAATCATCCGCAGCCTGGACAACCCCATTAAGCCCACAGGTCACATCGAGATTCTCCGCGGCAACCTCGCACCCGAAGGTGCCGTGGCCAAAATCACAGGAAAGGAAGGCATGAGCTTCACCGGCAAGGCCCGTGTCTTCAACAAGGAGCACGAACTCGATGATGCCTTGAACAAGGGTCAGATCCCTCGTGGGGAGAACTTGGTCATTGTCGTCCGCTACGAGGGTCCCAAGGGTGGTCCGGGTATGCCTGAGCAGCTCAAGGCCAGTGCAGCCATCATGGGTGCCAAGCTCACCAACGTTGCTTTGATCACGGATGGAAGGTACAGTGGCGCATCACACGGCTTCATCGTCGGTCATATTTGTCCCGAAGCTGCTGTTGGTGGACCTATTGCTGTTGTTGAAGATGGCGATATGATTACTATTGACGCCACAAACAATACGCTCTCTATGAATGTTTCAGATGAGGAGATCCAGCAGAGATTGAAGGTGTGGAAGAAGCCCAGGTCGAACGTCACTCGTGGTGTGCTGGCCAAGTATCAACGCTTGGTCGGTGATGCCAGTCATGGTAAGTTATTGTTATCATTCCTGCCGGCCTCTCTTACTGACAATAACCCCCAGGTGCAATGACAGATTTGTTCTAGTTGTATATAGTGTCGAACGAAAACGTTCATATACTCATGCATCAGGAACGGTACTGTAAACAGAAACAAAAACCATAAAAGCAACACAAAACAACAAAAATCTCCGATGCACGTTAATTGGACGGAAAACATCTCGTGGTGCAAGTTATTTCCCCCGATCTGACATGCATACATGCATCAAGTGCATGATGTATACCAAAAGAAGCCAGACCTATATTTGTCTTTTGGTTAAAAGAAGGGGGCTTGCGCGTCTCAAGACACCTGACCCAAGAACCCGGGACCGGAGATTTTGTCTTCAGCCTTTTGTGTCACTTTGAGTACTGCATATGGGCAACGGTGGTAGGGCAAGAGCTATAGTATGTCTCTATATATCAAAACAAAAAATGTCTATATAGTGAAGCGCAATATGTTCCAGAAGCAAATGCTAACAAAGCGAGTGGTCTGAGTATCTCGGATGAATATGCAATAAGAAGTATGAGCAAGAAGCGAGTGGTAGGGGTATCTTGGAAACAAAAACAAGCAGCCCATACAAGGAGAAGAAAAGAAGGGACCATCTGTATAACAGAAGGCCAACGAATGAGAAGAAAAGCGAGCGATTGTTGGGTATCTTCGAAGGGACAGAAAACAAGAAAACAATCCAAAGTACAATGCAGGAACCACAAAAAGCAAAGGAATAAAACAAGAAACCAGAAACTCCGGACATATGCAAATGCAGATGCAAGGTCGGAAAATCCACGACGGAGCCGTCATGATGCAGAAAGTATGTAGACGTTGTGCGATGCTTTTTCGTTTTTGAATACCAGAAAGAAGATTCCGAATAACACGTTTAGAGAGAAAGAGCATATCCATAATTTGTAAAACCTTCAGCCATGGTGACGTAATTGGGTGTCGGAGTGTGTTGCTGAGACGAAGGCGTATGCTGCTGAGGCGTCTGGCCCCTGGTGTGCAGATGCTGAGGCGCGATATCCGCCCATTTGCGGGCGCAGTGTCTTGAAGGCCATTTCTCTTCGACGCCAAATTCGAGCATCTAGAATAACTTGTGAGAAATATGATCAAAGCCATAAACATGATGGTGACTTACCTTTGCACTGATTATGTCCCACTTGCACTTCTCCCAGTACTCGTGCGCCTGTCTCAATGCCTCAATGTCGCGCTCTTCCCAGTTTCGGAATCGCTGTCTCAGGCGAAGGTACCGCATCTGCAGTGTAGCAACGGTGATTGACTGACCCAGCTGGTTGCTGAAACGGGCAGCAATGTCCTTCCAAGGTAGGGCTTCGTCCTCTTTCAATGTGATCAGAAGACGCTCTTCGTCGTTGAGATGTTCAAGCGAGGGTGTGCGCTTGCGGCGCTTGGAGTTTGAGCGGAGCATGGCCTCCTCATCTTCCTGTTCTTGACGGCGTTTCGAAACAAGGCCGGCAGGGTTGGGTGCGATTGACGGGTAGTAGCGTTGGGTGTCTGCTGAGCTGCGCCTCTGTGGTGGGCTGGGAGTGGTGAACTCTGCTGCAGGAGTCTGATAAGTCGCTGTGGGAATGGCAGTGGTAGCTGGGATCATCTGAGGCTCGGTCATCGGGTAACGGATGCCGAGAGGGTTCTCTGGCCACATAATCTCATTTGACGAAGGTCCGAAAGTGCTGGGGCTGCTGCGAGGTCTCTCAATTAGGTTGTTCGCATGGCCTGGTGGAAGAATGGCCAGGTCGTTGTATGTCGGTGGTGTTGGCCATTGAGCTGTGCCAGTAGAGTATCCAGTCAAGTCATATTGGTTGAATGCAGGGAACGGTGTCATGAATGGAGTGTTGTAGGTAAGCTAGGAGGATGAGTAAATGTTCCTACATGCTGAGGAGTTGTCTGGACTTACTGGTGTCGGTGCATACCATGATGTTGGATAGCTATCAGTGCACACATTCTTCTCACTCGATGTTGTAGACTCGAATTGGTCCATGATGAGGATGATGAGTTGTTGTTGTTATAAGTAGAGATTTGCTGGCTTGATGAACTAGGTGGGAAAGGAGCAACAGACACTAGTGTCGGAGGATGCAGAGAGATACTTGAATGTTGGTGGATGATGCTGATGCTGTGTCTGTGTAGTGGTACCTGCCTGAGTAACGACGGACGGGCATGTTGGTCGTTTTGTAGGATCGGTGGCAGACTCAACGTTAGTATGCCGAAAGACCACGGACTGAGCCTCCATGTCTGAGCCTCTGCCGAACTGGTGGAGGTGAGATATTTTGAGAACACACGACTCCCAGGACAATGTCTCTGGAGGATCAATAAACTACCTGTGCAGCCTGTTGGGAGAGACACAAGCACCATTCACCTTTGCAAAGGACTGGTACTGAGAGGCACGCAGACTTTCCATACACGCCCAGTGCATAAGCGCGCCATGTATCTAAATTGAAATCGGTGGACCTCCCGTGGTAGCGGGACGTGCTCGGGAGCAACCGCAGCACGAAGCTGGCGCAGGACACGCGCGCTGTCAGAAGTCATTGGTCGTCATGATCTGACATTGATAGTCGGACGGGAGAGCTGCGTAGGCTTATGCGTAGTCTTTTGCATATTTCAAACGTTGTAGACCACTTGGTACAGTTTGTTCTTGTCAGAGCATAGTGAGTGGTACAGTAACTCGTCGACCTCTATCTCGATTTTGGTGGAGGAGGCAGGTAGTCTTGGATCCAGAAATAGAATCAAGGTAGAAATGCTTGCAAATCCGGTTTGACTGACATATTACTCGAGTAGGCTTCCAAGCGCGTTTACCGATCTTGCAGACATCTCGGATGCAATCGCGTGCGATGATGTGCGGTGGGAAGGAGATGAACTGGCCTGGGGTGTATGTTCGATAACACGCATTCTGGAGTGTTTCATGGCAATTGATTGGTCTACTCACGACTAAGCAACGTGCGGCTGATCGACTGACAGGTCATGGATGTGCAGGAGGGTGGAAGAGTAAAAATAAACTACAATATGCGGGGGCATGGCCGCTAATTAGTCGTGTATATTGCTCTCAAAATAGATTGCATTGGAAGGAATGTCGACTAATACTCCGTTCCTGGTTGCATGGCTGTGTGTTTCAAGAATGGCGGTTAATATATTACTCTCACCACCTCTACATTCTAATGAGACATATGTGTTATGCTTATGCTGAAACAAGGCTGATCCTCGGCCTGGATGCCTCTATTGCTCAAAGAAGTATCCGATACGACGGGTGTCGCAGGGGGCAGAAAGAACATGAATGCCTGACCGGTTGACCCTTGAATCAAGTACCACCTGAGTAAAAGCGGTCTGACGGCCCGCCTACGTATGTATTGCTGCGTGTGGAATTTGGAATCTCAATACTCGAAGAAAGCTTGTTAGATGGGAAGGAATATGTTATAGCAGGTGAGTGTACCAAAAGAGGCAGGTGCTGTCTCGGTGGTTGGGAAGCCCTCTAACTTACTGCCACCAGGTTTTCCATGGAATCATTTATTTACAGCCCTAATCACCAGATAATTTCACCTCCAAGATTTGAGTTACTCTGCAGCCGAACTGCTCAAATCGCGTCTTGACTTGCGCAAGCACGAACGAAGCTTTGCAGATTTAGCGCTGTAGAGACGACGCCAAGTCGGCCTGAACCTCAGGCCTTTACTTTTCCTTCTGATGTGGAGAATGCGCAGTCCATCCGTCGAGGCGCAGTATACCGGTATGCTCATATCATCCTCAAAGCAAGGCATGATGCTAGAAAAACCGTCGCGGGCTGTGCTGACCATTTTCTCCACTCTCAGGGCGAAGTCGTGGATCGAATGTGTATTTTTTCCGTCTATCGTCTCATCGTCATTTCGTTTGTCATGATGCTCTCTCTATATCTCAATGTCTTCATGCATTCCTGGTCTTCCTTCGACCCCGTTAGCCGGCTCTTCTACGTCAATGTCTTCTCCGCCTTCGACATCGTCCATATCCTCGATTGGGAAGGTGAGGATAGCGGCAATGCCACCGAGGCCTTCTAAGCGCTTGCCGCTTTCGTGCATACTGCTCAGGACTCTGACGTCGCCTCCGTGTTCCTGGCTGACCTTATCAACCAGAGATACCCAGCGCCGTCTAACGGCGACGTCTTGAGCTCTAAAGAGGGCATTTGAGATGAGTAAGGCACCGCCGCCTCTTCCTACAGCACCCTTCTCGACAGCAGACTCGACCTCTTTCGGACCGTACCACGCACGGCCGTCGTCTTTTCTCAGTAGGTCAAAGAACTTGTCCATGAGGGCTGTCTCTTTTGCGAAACGAGTGTCGCTCAGCTTGGCAGTGACTGCAGGAGAAGCCATGACCTCGGCGAGCGAGTGCAGGTGTCCACTGGCAGAGTGTGCGACAATAGTCTTTGCAGCCAGAGCTGATAGGTTCTTGTCGGCTTTTGTAGAAGCAGTGGTCTTAATGTATTGCTGGAAAGCGCCCGCGGTGAAGCCAGGACTTGCCAACAATAATGGTTTCAGGTCGGCCATGTTGAGTTGGCGGAGGAGCGACTCGAGGATGGTGGAGTAGAAGCGTTGAGTAGCCTTGTCGTGGTCTGCGCTAGGTTTGCCAGGACGCTTCTTAGGCAAGGCAGTTTCGACTCGTTGGCGCAAGATAGTCTGGTGGTTTGTGACGAGACAGATGTTGGCAAGACCCTCTTGCATGACGACGGCCCATAGCTCGGCCTTTTGTGTTTGGTCAATCGACTCTTTCAAGATCTCCAGAGCAATACTGTCCCAGCCATCTGCCTTTTCGAGAGTAAAGTTGCGTTGCAGCTCGAGGTCGAGGGTGTGGTAGGAGCCGCGCTTGACCCATTCATTTTCTTCGGCGACGGTACCGCTGACATGGAGCTGGGCGGCTTGCGGATCAAAGTCCAGAGAGGTGACACGAAGCGTCAAGGTGGTTTGGACTCTTTTGGATGTGCTGGACCCCGTCATGGACTCGGTGGTTACGCGGCGGATGGCCGAGGCGCGAAGAAGGTCGGTCGGTCGGATGAGATTGTATGCGTGCCACATGTCCTCGGGCTCCTCAGGCAGGAGCGTCGCACTGCCCGAACCATCTTTCTTCTCGATACTCTGTTTGATTAGCCTCATTTTGTGTACGTGTGATTGTGTTGGAAGAATCGAAGTTTAGAAGAAAGCGCCGCTTGATTTCTTGGAGCGACCGATGACGAAGGTGGATTCTGTGACTCGTCTTCCGCCCAGCTGCTTTGCTATTATTTAACCACCTCGACTCTCGCAGGATGGTTCCCTAAACCAAATATATGCTCTGGAAACAAACATGCTCAGTTCGCTTGGCTTCTACATTGATACAAAGATGCTTGACGTGATAAGGTTGTGGTCATAATAGTGCGGTGCTATTGGTCAAGCTTGAAAATGCGGCTCGAAGAGCGAGGCCGGAGAGCTTTCGACTCACTTTCTTCATCCTCCTCAACATTTTCTCTTTGTACTTGTAAACTGACAAGATTATCGTCATCTTCTCACAAGATCAATTGTACTCGTTTCCACACGTCTTAACGTGCATCACGCCTGCACACTTCTAAAGTACGGACTACAACAGTCATGATGTCGAACAGCAGGCAATTATCCAATGATCAAGGCCGAGGTACTAGGTAACGTAGAGCATGAACCGGTGTTCAATCGACCCTTTCGAGAGTCGGTTGTTCTGAGAGACACGGTTGAACTTGATTTCAGGATAATACCTGCGAAAGAATCATGCTTTATCATCATCTTCTCCCTGTCTGTCTTGAAGGCTGACGCCGTTACAGGTATCTCGCCATGGACGAACGATCTCAGATGAGAAGGTCAGCCAAGGATGTCGAGAAAGACGGCCCTTCCTTAATGCCCACCGAGCTCGATGATACCTCTACTCTCGCCGGCGGTACTTCTGGGTTGAGACGCCAGATCAAGAACCTCGAGCACAGCTTGGCTCATTATAACCTCGAAGCTCGTGGCATCCATCGCGTCATGCCCAATGAACGCCACAGTTTGAAGAACTTGGGATACTCTCAAGTTGGTCTGCTGTGGTTCAGCGTCAATCTTGCTGCCAACAACATCACCCTTGGGATGCTTGGTCCGGCTGTCTACTATCTCTCCTTCCTGGACTGCTCCCTGTGTGCTGTCTTCGGTATGCTTGTTGGATGCCTACCAGTGGCATATATCGCTACTTTTGGACCCGTGAGTGGCAACAGAAGTATGGTCTTTGCTCGCTACACCATGGGCTGGTATCCGGCGAAACTGGTTGTTGTTCTCAACATCATCGTCCTGCTCGGTTACTGCTTGATTGATGCTGTAGTGGCAGGCCAAATTCTCTCTGCTGTCTCACCGCATGGATCCCTGTCTGTCATCGTTGGTATCGTAATCGTTGCTGTCCTGACCTGGGCTGTCACCATCTTCGGCTACAGCGTCTTTCACTTTTACGAGCGTTATGCATGGCTTCCTCAACTCGTCGTTCTGTCTTTGCTCGCTGGTGTTGCTGGACCCAAGTTCGATCTTGAGACGCCCTCGAGCGGCGATCATCTGACCATTATTGGCAATCGCTTATCATTCTTCAGTTTGTGCCTTTCTGCTGCGATTACCTATGCAGGTGGTGCAGCGGATTTCTTCGTCTACTATCCAGAAGAGACACCTCGCTGGAAGATCTTCTCCGTTACCATGTGCGGTCTGGCCTTGTCCTTCACCTTCGCTTTCATTGTCGGCATTGGACTGGGTTCTGGCATTGCCACGAACGCCGCTTGGGGCGATGCATACAAGGTCTCTCAAGGTGCTCTGATCGTTGAGGGATTTGCTCCACTGGGAAGTTTCGGCAAATTCTGTGGCGTCATTGTCGCTCTCGGTCTGATCGCCAATATGATCGCTCCTACCTACAGCGCAGGTATGGACTTCCAAGTCCTCGGTCAGTGGATGACCATTGTTCCTCGTATCGTTTGGAACACATTGGGTGTTGTCATCTATACTGTATGCGCCATCGCTGGTCGTGAGAGTCTCGCAGCCATCTTCACCAACTTCCTCGCGCTCATGGGATATTGGGTATCAATCTGGATTGCCATCAGTCTTGAGGAACATTTCATCTTCCGTAATTGGAAAGGTCTTGGGTTCAACTGGAGCTCTTGGAATGATAAGAGCAAGCTACCTATTGGCATTGCCGCCATCATTGCCTTCCTTGTTGGCTGGGCCGGAGGTGAGTGTCAAATTGTGTCTTCTTCTCAACGCACAATCTGATTCATGATAGCAATTCTCTGTATGGCTCAGGTCTGGTATATTGGTCCTCTGGCTAAGCAGGTTGGAGAATATGGCGCCGACGTAAGTGGAACGAAGTTGATTGACAGGGAGTATGCTGATTCGATCTAGATGGGCAACTATGTCGGATTCGCTTGGGCAGCTCTGGTCTATCCTCCTCTTAGATTGCTCGAGCTGAAAAGGTTCGGTCGTTGAGGAATTGGAAGTTCCCAAGCGGAGCGCAAACATGCTGACCGCTACTGGTGAGGGAGTTGCTCAGGATGCTAAACGCTGGAGAAGTAGATGAAGAATACAAGAGGGCGGACCAGAAATAGGATGAAATCGTTCAGGAGGTTTGCAAATGACTTGTGATCTTAACGACAAGACAGAGCCGAGAGATTCTAAATAAAACTACAGTCCAGTAAATTTTACCAGTCTGGTTGTACACAAAAATGTCTCATGTAGATGCACAGTGCTGCTCACGTTGATCGGAATATCTTATCAGAAGGCGAACAGTCACTTTCCGCATCTCAAGCCATCCATGGACACACCTTGAGGTCTTCTTCGTTCGCGCAACACAAGATCTACCACCACAACAGCACCGATCACTTCTGCTTCAACGCAGACAAGCAACCGTCTATCGTCATCAACCACAAGCACAAAAGCCATGGCCTCTACAGACACTCTCCAAGCCATGCAAGCTCTGCGCGCTCAGGTCCTGGGTAAGAACATCTATAGACACGCAGACTGAATACACAATTAAGACGTTACGATACAGACAATTTCTCTATCGCCATGCCCAACGAACTCAAGACTAAGATCGTTCTCGCCCATCGCACTGACACTTGGTGGTGCATCGTCTACGGCAACGACAACAAGCCTATTCGGAAGACTGGCAAGGGCTGCGACACTGCTGAGCTGGCTCTGCGCAAAATGTTGGTTTCGTCAAGCGATCTGGTGTATGACAAGTTCCACAAGGACGGATTTATGCTTGATGCTTGAGAGAAAGGCTCAGTGGTTTGATCAGAAGTTCTTCTGTTGTTCATGAGTTGTGGCAAGAAGCAAGGGATGAATGCCGAAATCTTTGTTTCTGTTCATTGGTCAGGCCTGGGGTGTGACTTCCTCTGCGAGGTGGAATGTTGTGAAGCCCCGTAGAAAGAATGCAGTCGAGGGCGACTTCCTGATGAAGCACTTTAATCTCCCAGGAAATCTTCATTCCCAGCTCAGGCTCGTTACTTCGATTCAATCAGCTCGCCTGACTCAAAACTTCATACAATGCGTTATGGCAGCTTCTTGACCCAATCTCCAGACAACCAATACGTGCTGCGAATCACCACCTGTCGACAATGCCCAGACAACCAGCATGACTGTCGTTCTCGAAACACAGTGTCCAAGATCATGTGGCTGCGGCTTTTCTTTGTAAGATATTGCAAGATACTTCCGTTTGCAGCTCACTGTGCAAATCCAGGTCGATGCTTTGACAGGTGGAACAAACAGACAGCCATACTATAGTCCTCACATCAACAAACGACCATCCTTCCTTCTATGACTCAACACTTACGGGACGTGCTTAAACAATATCGGAGAGCAATCAAGCATCATGTGTTTCCAGGAGACTTTCGACATTGAAGGCATGCGTGCCCAGATATCAGGTACTCTCCACCCTTTACACATTCTCTAGAAAACACAACTAACAGCGCGAAAGCAAACATGGAGTTCATCGCTGGAAATGAACGATCCCAAGATCCTTACCGTCTATGCTGAAGGAGGATATCGAGCCATCGCCCTCGACTTCGAATCCGGAACCGTGTGCGCCACAGATCAGCAAGACTTTTACGATTCTGCAACAGAGGCTTTGCAAACTTTACTCCATCAAACCAGCTTCATGGTTATGCAGAAATTCCGTGAAGATGTCAACAAGAATGTGGGTCTGACCGGCTCTTCATCAAAGGAACATGATATCTCTCAAGGGCCTTCTTGTGGACCTGGTTCTGCTTCAACCGCTGATGGCCTCTTTGGCGCCAGAGCAAATGAAGGTCTGTTTGGCCGCAATAAGAATCAAGATGGAGGACTATTTGGGAGCAACAATACAAATGGCCAAGGTTTATCCATGTTCGGAAGTAACCATATAAATGGTCAAGGTTCTTCTGGTATGTTCGGGCACAACACGAATATACAAGGCCCTTCCAATGGACCTCGTACCGTTCCCGCTGGCGGTCTGTTTGGGAACAACTCAAACGGCCAGGGCTTGTTCAGACACAACGGAAATGGAAATGGGAACCGAAATGGTATCTTCGGAACCTTCGACTCCAATCCTGATGCTTCAAACCCTCCTGTTCGACAGGCTCTTTTTGCACAACACCCGGGATACAACACTACAGTGACAGTAAACTTGAACGGTTCCGCCATCTCTGATACCAAACCATCAAGCCAGGGCATATTCGGATCTTACTCTATTGTCTCGGACAGCACCCAGGGTGACTATCAGCATTTCGGAAACCCGAATGTTGCCAGAAAACGTTTGTTTGAAGACTTTCCTCAGGCACAAAACAACCAGAACAGTGCTTCTACAAGCAACACCTTCAAAGACGATGGCCAGCCAGAGCCTATACCAAGAGAGTCGTTCCCAAGCTCGGCTTGTGAGGCTCATACTCAGGGTGGATTGTTCGGGTCTTCTGCTCAAGATCCTGAGCAACATACTTTTGGAAGCAGTTCTGCCTTCAAGGCTGCAATGGCAGATATAGCTGCGGGTAGAAATCCTGAAGTGCCTCCTAGTGGCATATTTGGAGCAACCCCTACACCTACCACTTTATTTGGTATGCCTGCACGAAGAATGTCCAATGGTGGTCTCTATGCTGGTTTCGGATCCTTTGAAGCAAAACCATTTCGCGGCACTCCTTTTGGTGCTCCTGTAGGTCTTTCTTCTGCAACAGTAGAGGATGCACCTTTCCCTCCAGGTACCAACGACGCCGGAAACAGCAACTCAAATAAGGGTAAGGCTGTGGACAGATCTGCTCCCTCGACTCCAACGGCCAACGTCTCAAACCCAGTAAGCTCAAACCCAGACATTCAAGCCTCTGCTCGCGCTGCTAAGAAGAATGTAGTGTCGAGTGGGGGTGGTCTCATGGATTCTAAGTATGCTGCACCTGCTGAATCTGCTGAGCATAATCCTGCTGGCACTGAAGCTGTTTCCGAGTCTTCCGCCAAAGATTCTGAAACTCTTGGGTTTGCCGCTGCCATAAGAGCTGCGGCAGGGCAACCAGGACCTGTGGTAGTGCCAAAGGCATCCTTGTTTTCTTCAGAGCCCGTCTCTTTCAACGTCAAAGTTCCAATAACAGCCAACGCAGAACTACTACCAGCTCCAGTGTCTATGTTGGGCCCTGGCCTGACCTCTACATCTGCTTCGACTGCGGCGCCTGTGAGTGTTGGTATTCCTGCTTCTGCTCCAGTGCCAGCTCCGGTCTCCTTGTTCGGGTCTGCTTCGCGTTCCTTGTTCGGTTCAGCTGCCGCGCCTGTGGATAAGCCTGTCAAAGAAGCTAAGGAGATCGAGGTTCCCGTGCCTGCTCCCAGGACCCAAGCTCCTGCTGCTCAAGAAGCTCCTTTCCAGAAGAAGACTATCAAGAAGAGCGGAGACCTCTTCGATTCCCAATACGCGTCTTGAAGATCGTCAGATGATGTTTACCATGTACATGAAGGCTTTTTTATTTGCTGTAGTTAGACCTTGTTTGAGCTTGCGTATTCTTCTTTTTAGTCGTATAGAAATGCCATTGTCGTCTTCTTGTCGTTGTAGCCATGTCTGTTTCGCTGGAGCCATCATGCATTACCAATTCTCATGCTTCCATCACCTCCCCTTCCCATCTCTCTTCTTATTTCTCCCTCAAAGCTCAAACACCCTTCTTATACTCTTCTCTAAGCACCCACTTGCCTCTTCCCCTAGACCCCTTCTCCAAGACCGCAATAACCTTCAGCATCTCCTTGAACTCTGCCGTCCTCTGCGCGCTACCACAGAACCGATTGAAATGATCAATCAAGTTTTGCGTGTAGACTTTGCCTCCATGCGCTAATAGGTAATCCCTGATCAGCGCCAGGAACTCTCTGCCTTTTGGCTGCGATTGCGTTGAAGGTGTTGCTGCTCGCGAGGTAGAGGTCGAGGGAGTGGAAGGACGCGAAGAAGTGATGCCTTGACGAGCAGAAAGATGGCTGAGGATGCTTGTGCTTGAGGGCCCACCTCTACTCATCCCACCTCTGCCCCTTGACGCACCGAATCCGCCGCGACGAGAGGGAGTGGAAGGACGACCTGCAGTACCGAATGTGCCTGTCCAAGACACACTCCCAGCAGGCAAATTCCTGGCAATTTCTCCTGCCTTCTTGAGCTCGGCTGCTGCGATTGCGGCGACACGCTTGGCTTCTTTGGCGATGATCTCAGGGTCCGCGGTGACTTTGCGGGTGCCAGAGTTTCCGGAGATGATGTCGTCGTGGGAGAGGGCGGAGGTGACACCTGAACGGGCAAAGATGGCACCGAGCATGCGTTCGTCTCTGGTATTTGTTCCGTTTTCTGTGCCGTCATCTGTGGCGGGTGTGGGCTTTTCTTCTTCGCCTTGGAAATCTTCGGCGTGGGAGACGCCGATGATGGATTGCATTTCTTTTTCTTTTGCGGCTTTTTCGGCTGCGGTCGTTGTTGAGGCTTGCTCTTGTTCTTGAGCTTTGGGGTCTGAGATATCGGCTTTTGGGCCTGAGAGTTGGACTTCTGTGCCTTTGAAGATACTGCCTGTTTCAGTCTGTCCATCTGCAGTTGCCTCGCCCAACGTGAACAGATCGTGTAGATCTCTCAATTGGAATGTCTGTCTCTGTTTGGGATCTCTCAGAATCTTGTTGGTCAGGAATTGCTTGAAGATTTGTCGGTGGTAGATCTTCTCTTCGATAGTGCCCGCGGTCATTAAACGGTAGATTTCGACTTCGCGCTTCTGACCAAGTCGCCAGGCTCGTTCTCGGGCTTGGACATCAGTAGATGGGTTCCAATCGGGATCATAGATGATGACTCGGTCTGCGCCAGTAAGGTTCACACCTAGACCACCAACTTTCGTTGTGAGGAGGAAGACATGTAAGTCAGGATTCTTGTTGAACTTGTCGACAAGTGTTTGTCTATCCTTGATGGATGTATTACCATCCATGCGGAGATAATTGATGCCACCCATTTCTCTGACGAATCTTTCAAGAATATCGAGCATAATGCGATGTTGGGCGAACAACAAAGTCTTGTGGCCGTTTTTCTTCCAAATTTCGAGCAGAGCCTTGACAACTTGCATCTTTCCAGACTTGTTGGCATTACCATAGTTGTAGTCTGCTTTGATGGACAGGGTTTTGTGCTCAGTCAAGTCGGGATGATTGCAAATCTTGCGCAGAATGTCAATACCATAGAGCGCCTGTCGCTTGCCAGCCAAGATAGCAGTCATGTCACCAGAATTTAAGAAGTACTCATAGGCGTCACGCTGAGGTTTGGTCAACTTGCAGAACAAGACTCTTTCGCTCTTCTTGGGCAGATCGGATGCCACATCGACCTTGAATCGCTGGAGGAGGTAAGGACTGATCGTGTCTTTCAATGTTTCTGCACATTTCATGGCAGTCTCGACTTGCAGGTTGGATGCGTTCGCATACCCACCTTGTTTGATTGGAGTCTCGAATTGCTGCTTGAAGCTGACCAGGGTACCGAGTCTCATGGGGAAGACAAAGTCGAAGAGAGACCAGAGTTCGGTCAAGTTATTCTGCATGGGCGTACCAGAAAGGATGATTCTGTTATGTGTGCGGATCTCTTTACTGTAGATTGTGATTGCCGTGTTAGGGTTTCTGATCTTGTGGCCTTCGTCTAGAACGCAGTATTCCCACTCCATAGGGATGAGGTGCTCAGCGTAGGTCTGCAAGCCAGAGTACGTTGTCACCAAAACGTGACCATCTCTCTGAACCTTGTCAACAATACGCTTGGCAGATTTATTGCCTTTCGAAGGCTTGATCGGGTTGCCATCAAAGTCGAAGTTGTCCAGATCGTCCTCCAGCCTGTCTTCTCGCTTCACATCCAGCATACCACTTCCAGAAGTATGGAGAATGGATACTCGCAGTGGTGGCCACCATCGATGAAACTCGTTCACCCATTGCTTCATGACTGTTGCGGGACAGACAATGAGGATGGGTTTCGTGACCTTCTTCGAGTAGTGCAGACCAGCAATGAAGGAGATGATCTGAATGGTCTTGCCCAGACCCATTTCGTCTCCGATGATACCACCGACTTGTTGTGAGTAGAGCTCCCACAGCCATTGCACACCGGTCTTTTGGTAGTCAAAGAGTGATGGGTAGATGTCGCCAGGTATCCGGTAGCCGCCTTCAAACTCTGCATCTGTCTGAGTTGGATGTGGCAGGTGCCATTCGTGCTCACCTTCCTGGTTCGGCTTGTCCTCTTCATCTTCATCTTGTTCCATATCGACGTCGATTGCTTCTCCTCCAGACTTGGCTGAACCTTGGTGTTTCCGGCGAGCAGCACTTCGTCTTCTGATCCAGCTCTGTAATCTGGCCTGGTATACCTTCTCATTGCCGTCATCGATTCCAGCAAGATCTTCTTGGGCGTCGGCTGCTTGTTGTGATTTCTTGGTGACCTTCTTCGCTCCCTTCTTGCGCTTGTTGGTTCCAGATGTACCCAAGGAGAAGTCGCCATCGACATCCTCATCTTCTGGCTCCTCATCATCGTTCGACTCTCCAACAGCAGCAAGCTCCTTGTCATCCAGGTCCGGTATGTATTCATCCTCTTCCTCTTGTGCGGACTCCAGCTCGACGTCCTCGTCCTTTTCTGCAAGACCCTTACCTTTGGCTTTTGATTGCAGTCTTCGTCTCTTGGTAGGTCGCTCCTCAGGAAACTCTTCTTCCTCTTCGGGCTCGCTCTTTTCGTCCTCGGCAAATCCAGGCATCCTCAGATTACGATGTGACCGTTGAGCGTCGGCTTGAGGTTCCTGATCAGCCATTTCTTCATCCTCTTCCTCTTCAGCATCAAACATGACTTCAGCGAGGCTTGACGAAGTTCGCAACAACTGCCTGCCCATCTTTGAAAAGGGCGTGATTTTTCCTGTCCTGATCAAGAAGTCCCTCTGACTCTCACCAGGCAACTTCTGATTACCCGCCTCTCCCAGCAAAGTATCTCCCTCCGCAGCAGCCTCATTCTTCCTATCATCGATTCTCTTCTGAATCTGATCTAGATCCGTTTGTAGACCTTCAATCTGAGTCTTGTAATTCGCAATCTCGGCACGATATCTGTTCTTGGTTGCTTGATTGCCGAACTCGGTCAACTTCTTCTCCAAGCGGTGGACTTGGCCGTCGAGACGGGCTTTGTCGGCTTTTGTGCGCTCGAGACGTTTGTTGTCGCGTTCGTCTGCTTGTTCGATGAGGAGGGCGTCGGCTTGACGGCCAATGTCCCGCTCCAGGTCGTCTTGGTCGCGGATGCCGGCTGCGAGGGAGGCGATGCGGGTGGCTTCGTCGGCGTCATCGTCGTAGGGTCGGTCGGCTGGTTCAGTGGTGCTATCATTGGCTTCCATGTTAGATTGTTGGTCGGGCTGGGTTGATTCTGTGACAGCGGTTTGGTCTTCGTTGGGTTGTGTTTCTGGCTCCTCTGGCTTCACTTCTGAGTCGTCCATGTTTGCGCCGGAAGTTGTGTGCGGAGAAGAAGGAGAAGGAGGACAAGCAAAGAGGGACAAGCTGCGACAGGGAAGTGCTGGCTTCTGAGAGAGATGAATGTCAGATGTGAAAGTAGAAGTGAGTAGATAGAGTTTCCAAAAGAGAAGGAACGGTGATGCGCGCATGGCTGCCTCAAAATGCTACGTCATGAGCGAGTCATGCACTATTGGTATACAATGCTCATGAGTCGAGCATTATCGTTTTCCATGGAATCACGATAGAAAGTCTTTTGCAAGTTTGTGCTTGTGGAAGCAAGTGTCAGATTTATCTTGTGTATCCCATAACTTTTGTCATCCAACTCTTTTCGTATCTGCGTAATATTCAAAGTCTAGATCTCTCCTGGCGTCAGTTAAGAAGACGAAGGACCTTGAGAAGGTCGCCAGTAACACCCATGGCAGTAACCTCACCACCAGCGCCAGCGCCTTGGATGATGAGAGGGTTGGAACCGTATCTCTTGGTGTAGAAGTTGATGATGTTGTCGCTGCCCTTAAGGGCGGCAATGGGGTGGCTTGCGTCGAACTTTTCGAGGCCGACCTTGACGCTCTGGCTGGCAACATCAATGCTACCAACGAAACGGACAACCTTGCCCTCGTTGGCGGCTTCTTGCTTGAGCTTCTCCATCTGGTCGTCGAACTCGGGAAGGCGAGACATGAACTCGTCACCACTGCTGCACGACTCCAGCTCCTTGGGAATCAAGCTCTGGACGGGGAAGCTGGTGGGGTTCTGAACCTTGAGGCCGGTAAGACGAGCGAGGATGGTCAGCTTGCGGGCAACATCCAGACCGTTCAAGTCGTCTCTCGGGTCGGGCTCGGTGTAGCCCAGGTCCTTTGCCTTCTTGACCTCGGCAGCGAAAGAGCCACCACCGCCACCGACGGGCATGAAGCTGTTGAACAAGAAGCTCATGGTACCGGAGAAGACACCCTCGATCTTTGTAACCTCATCACCAGTCTCGACAAGCTCTTTCAGGGTGGAGAGGACGGGAAGACCAGCACCAACGGTACTCTCGTGGAAGACGTAACCACCGTTGCCAGAGCCGTTAGAGGCAGCGGCGAACATGTCGTCCCAGAGTTCATAGTTGTCGGAGAAGCCCTTNTTGTTGGGAGTGACGATGCTGATGCCCCTGCGCAAGAAGGTAGGGTATTGCTGTGCGATGTCGAGGGAGCTGGTGTTGTCGACGAGAATGACCTTCTCGGGAGCGGTTGCAAGGTACTCGACGAGAGCAGAGGCTTCGAGGATGGGTTGCTTGGAGTCATTGAGGTCTTGTTCGATGGTGTCGAGGTTCAATGGGCGGAAGCTCTCGCTGAAGAGGACCTTCTTGGAGCGCGAGACGAAGATGAGGTCAAGGTAGGTGGGCGATCTTGCCTGGGACATGCGGGTCCTCAGGGCCTGGAATTGGTTCAGGAAGCATTTTCCAACACCGCCGACACCNTGTGCATTGTTAGAAGTGTAGGTGGGGGGTGGGGGTGGAGGGGCAGATTCTGGGTGCAGCATACCAATGACGGCAACGTAGACTTGACGGGGAGTGGGCATTTCGGACAGAGGACGAATCACGTATTCAGCGTCTTGACTGTTGTGATGAAGAGGAAGGAGCTTTTCGAGGACCATGTGGGATTCCTGCGGCTGGTCGACTAGTTCTCGGTGGTGCAGCGGTCTCGGAGCAGCAACCGCCTGAACCGTCTGCACCGTCTGAACCTTCTTGACCCCACACAGCTCGAGAAGGCGCGATACGATCGTCATCTTTATCTTCTGCTCCTTCCAAAATGTCGCACCGAAACACATCAACAAAAGATGCGCCCCTGTACGGCGCGCCCAAGCCTGTAAAGAAGCACAAGTCGTCACGCGAGATATCCTCCTCAAACACGCTCGCCTTTACTTCGCAGCTGCAGTCCCTGATCTCAGCCGGCCCCAACTCCTCCGCCAATAACACCCGCCCATCCACATCACGCCCACGTCCCAAGAAGGAAGACATCTTTGCCTCACACAACCGCAATGTGAAGAAAAGAGCTGCCAGAGATCTCGATGATGACTCACCTGCCTTCGACCAAAAGCACAGCACATCCTCCGAAGCCTTAGATTCTTCAGCATGGCACCGCTCGAAGCGAAAGATGGAGGAGAAGGCACGCCTCTACGCTGCAATGAAACGAGGCGACGTCGGCGATGAGAACGAAACACATCTTGTAGACTTTGATCGCAAGTGGGCCGACCAGCAAAACAAACAGCTATCCGATCAATCCTCTTCCGACGAAGACTCGGACAGCGACAAAGAGATGGTAGAATGGGAAGACGAGTTCGGCCGCACACGTACAGGCACCGCCGCTCAACGCGCCCGCGAACAACGACTCGCCCAGCTAGGTTCGGAAGCCGCTTTGCGCTCGCGACCAGACGTGCCTACCAACCTCATCGTGGGCGATACAGTCCAAGCAGCTGCCTTCAACCCAGACGAGCCTGTCGCTCAACAAATGGCCGATCTGGCCGCCAAACGCGATAGGTCACTCACTCCACCGCCAGACACTCACTTTGATGCTTCCAAGGAGATCAGACAAAAGGGTGTCGGTTTCATGCAATTCAGTCTCGATGACCAGGAACGCAGGAGACAATTCGAGAATCTGGAAATGGAAAGAGCTGAGACAGAAAGAGTGCGTGCTGAGCGTGAAAAGAGGATCAAAGACCGCAAAGAAGAAATCGAGAGACGAAGAAACGCCATCAGACAGAAACGAGGCAAGATAGAAGCCGATGACTTTCTGACTGGCTTGGGTCAAGAATTGGGTGCTCAGCCTGCAAAAGAAGAAGAAAAGGACGGACCAGCGACCAAGGACTAATAGGCCAGTCAGAGACATGATTATCACGAATTTATGAACATATCCTTTTACGGGTATCTAGCTTCCAGCTGGCACACCCCCTCCATCAATTGTTCTGAATCTGTATCTCGTCACGGCTCTTCAAGACGAAGGATACTGGTTGTGAATTTCAACCGCCATAAGTACCTTGCAGCTATCAGAATGCAGGATATCGCTGGGCGATAAGATGGTGTCCTATGAGAACAATCATTCCAAAGGACTCTTTCCGAACACAACTTTAGCTTTGGAAGCAATCGTGCATTTTCATAAACACATCTCTGGAAGTGACTTGTATTGGGAAGCAAGGATAGTTATAAGTAATGATTATTGTAATAGAGACTATCCATAGTTCTGGGTACTCCTAATTTATAAGGATGACAAAAACAGCGGAAAGAATCAATTTGGGTATAGAACAGCCTTTGGTCCCGAACAGGAAAAAACACTAAAAGATAGAGTGGAGCAGAAGAGAAAGGATAGACGGGGCAAATGGACAAAAGATAGTCCAAGTGTCTGGAGAAAGTTGCGATCGAAGCTCGCAGCTGCACTGATGGCGGTGAGAAAGGTGTGGAGTGTTGCTCTGGTACAGCGGTGAGCAATATGTTGCTCTCGCTTGTTGGCTGGCCAGGCATGATTGTTGTGGAGCATGTGGTATGCTGTCGACGTCCAGACAGATGTGGAGCTGTGCTGCAGATTCTGCTGGAGAGTGATTGGCTTGGTGGAGTGGAGTTGTCCTATGAGGCAGTGGTTGTGTGGTCAGAGATGACCATGGTTGGTGAGAGGAGGCGAAAACAAGGCAGCAAGAGTGATCTCTCAACCCTTGAAAATGTTCTTACTCAAACGCATGCCCTTCTTCATCTTCTTGCCAAGCAGACTACCAGATCTTCTGATACTGCCAGATCTGCGGAGCCCACCTTGCTCGGGCATAGAAGCTTCGGGTGCAATGCCTTCAACCTCTTGTACAATGCTTTGCTTGCGCTCAGGATGTGCCATGAGGTAAACATCCATGCGCCAGTTCATCATACGTGCCTTTTCGCCTCTGACGGAAACCTCTGTCTCAGTGTTCTCATCCTGTATGAAGCGGCTGCTAGACTCTCTCGACAAAGAAGTAGTAGAGTCGGTTGCACTGCTCTGGCGTCTGTGTCGTTCTGCAGCAATGGGCATGGCACCGATACCAGAAGTTCCTATGCTTCCACTGCGAGAGCGAGAAATACTGCCACCAAACAAGCGATGGGTGCTGTCGTCGAGGATACCAGAGTCAGAAGCCGAGTCATCACACCAAGGACAGGAATCCAGTCTGGTCTCCCAGCCCTCAAGGGCGAGTTTTGAAGAGCAGTTGGAGAGGTTTGTTGTGCTGGTGCAGGGTTTCACGAGGGTGTACCAGCGGTGCGAGCATGGTTGCGTCGAGACGTTGAGGTTGGCCACACACATTGTGGCTTGTTGTGTGTTTGATGTAGTATTGATTTTGTTGTACAGTGGCAGTCAAATCCAAACTCGCTTATAGTCTGTAATAAAGTCGAGTAGGTCCCAAAGCAATGAAGAGATCAAGTGAGGGATGTTTTGTTCTTATCAAATCTCAAAGCTGAAACGGATGTCCTCGGTTGTTCGATGTCAGAAATGACATGCGCCAGTGCGATCAACACAAAAGATAGGCGGGCTTGTATCTCTGACTCGGGCTGTGCTAAAGCTTGGTGGTGGATAGCCTCGGAGTATGGGATGCGATCAGCAGTAATGGAGTGACCCTTGTGAATCTGGTCTGGACAACCGACGATCTCTTTTTGCGGGGAAAGGGATAGTCGATGAGATAGGTCGAAGGGAAAGCCCAGTGTTGATCTTTTCTATTATCTCTCAGTCTTGTAGTATTGTACGTGGAGCCGAAGAGTTCAAGGTGGAGAGGATGTTGGTCACGAGGATTGGTGGGTGACAACGGACGAGAGGCTGACTTGCTTGCGATATTTGAAGCAGGTGAAATGAACGGCCAAGGTTTCGATAGGAAGATGTTGTTGTCTGTGGTCCAGAGGAGATAAATAGATATTCCAGTTGAAGGTTCTCGTCCGAGCTGAGTCACAACAATAGATACGATTGCCTTGGGTGGAGCCGAGTCGAAAACAGAAATAAACTGTTTCCAAGACACGTGGGAAGAGTGTTGTGAGAGATGGCGAATTATCAAACAAGTCCAAGTGTTTGGTCGAAGGGAGGACGCTGCTTATTATATCTTGTTGAACATCCCTTTTCACGGTCTGTCTCTGACACACCTCTTTCCATTCCCATCCACCCCTTGATCGATGCTTCGTTTCCAGCAGCCCAACTTTCTCTTTGTTTGACACCGATGTTTTCTTGCTTGTTCCGCTACTTCCCCAGAGTAAGCTAAAAACGACAGGGATCTTCGGCCCGCTTCTTAGTACGCGCAGCAGCACCGGTGGCAGGCTGCAAAGAAAACATGACAAAAATGGGAGGAAGGGCTTGGGAGGCTGAAATTCAGAGATTGGATGCGGGAACTTTACGCGGCAGTCACGTTCTTTGCTCTTTCTTTTGTCATCTGATGTCTTTTTTGCTGTGCTGTCCTTCTTCACATCCCTGCAGTCAGAGAGCAAACCCTTTTGGAAGAAGGTCGACGCGACCATGACAAGTACCCATCTGCTGACTGTGCGAGCAATTCAACAAGATTTCTATAATGTTTAATCAGCTCTCATCACAAAACGACGTATTATGTGATACACATCAGCCATGATGAAACCTCGACACGTCAAATGCATATGCGTCCATCCACCTAACCAACCGCGTACCCAGAAGACCATCAATGTACGAGAGAACCTTCTTCGTCCAGTGCAGGCAGCAATCTCGACTGATCAAGCCACGCGAAACAGTCCGTGAACGTCTTCCGGCCGCCCGCGCCGCGCTTGGGGCTTCTCTAGCCTGGCGTAGCTATACCGGTGCCTTGGTTAGATGACCGCCGCCCGGTAGTACAAGCAGATACGCAAGCCACAATATCGCGTATCGACATCTATTGCTCCCTGCAATTCTTCACCGCGTCTTCAGAAAGGCATGCATGCGTCGGACGTTGACTGCCTGTCAATCAAGCTTTGCAACCACGTGTGCGTGTACTCAGGACTACACGTATCAAAGCGGTGAAGACATGAGGGGTGGAATAGACAGGAAGTAAGCCAGGGGTACGAGATGCGACCAATCGATCTAACCGACCAGATTGTTGGAATGAGGTCGAATTAGGGTACGTCGGAACACTATTTCCTTCTTCCAGCCCATACGTTCAACACCTCATCTCGCGCCATCCACACGTCTACCTCCAGGCTAGATAACGAGCCTTGGGCGACCTGCATGGGAGACACAAGTCCCGTTCACCCGTCATAAACGACCACACATACATACGCCTCTTCGTCGTTTCCCTCTCCCAATCATCCAGCGCACGGTGGCAGATGATCTGAGATAAAGAAGCGCCAACGCAGGAAGCCAGGGGCTCGGTTGGCGGTAATCTCTTTTCCTGCCAGCATTCCACATCGTCTATCGCTGTCAGATGCAAGGAAAACCGACGAGAGGGCTAGCCCTGATAACCGTTCCTGTCGAATGAGCCTCGACACGTTTTTGTCTAGTGTGGCGTGTGTGCGACAGATGGTTTGTGGTCACACGACAATCATCATCTTGTTTCAGGGCCGCAAACAGATGGGAGACGCCCTCGGGACCAAGGGAAAAAGTGACCCTGACCATCAAAGAAGTGACGGCCCACAACCAAAACGCAATAGATACGCCTTTGCCGAAACCAAGAACGCCGCCTGAAGCCACAGGGAAGAACTCACGATATGTCTGACCATCCCAATCAATACAGCAGTATAATCTACTTTACCGTGAGTATGATATCGACAAGGCAACAATAGCACCAAACTCACATGTTTCTTGCTGCCCAACTCCCATCCAATATCGCGATCATAAATTTCTGTAACACTTCACATCAGCGTTTCCATAGCAGCAAAGCTTTTGCACCACCATTGAATAAACTACCAGAAGGCATCACTCACTGTTGCCTAACACCGTTCGGACCGAAAGAAAGAGGCATCTGTGTGTTTTGCAAAAGGTAAGAATAACCACGCTTCGGCTGTCCGCGGGTTTCGTGCCAAGGCGTGGATTGCTCATCAGACTTGGCTTTGTACGTGTACGAGTCTTACGAAGATTGCTTGTATCTTTGGTGGGTTTGGACATGGAGACTAGACTTCTGTGGCTTCGTCATACGGCTATCTGGTGATTTGTGTAAGATCGCGAGTCGCAGGGCGTGGTGATGGTTTCGAGATTCGCTGTTGCTATCTTTAGCTTTGACGGTCGGTATGGTAGGTCGTGCGACCCTGGTCTCTGTACTCATCATGACATATCTCTCTATCATATTGTTGGGGCATACTCGAGTAGGCTTGTTATCAAGATGAATCGAGTGGTCTAGCTCCGCCCAGACCTTCCATAGCAGAACACTTCTTCCTCCGAATAGATGAGTTCAATCGCCACCGCAGTCGGACTAGAAACCTGACCATAGGACGATCCATGGAATTGGGACGTCCTTCCCTCTCTGTGAGCCATTCTTCATTTCCTGTGGACATGCCTCTAGATGTGATGATGTAGTTGGTGAGAAGATCACATTCAGATACCTCTCATGATGCAAGTAATTCTAGACTTCTTGACCTTTTTACGCGCGTTGGATGACCCCACATCCGCTCGACCATCAATGTCGATCTTCTCATGAGATCGTCAGGGGGTCATGGATGGATTATCAGGTCCAGTGTTGACGACTCTTCGATCTGGTGTTGCGTAATACGAATGAGGTCAGTCTGAACACTAGGCGGGAGGTACCATACAGCCTGTGAATGCTTTAGTGCGGGGGATCAAGATAGTGTTTGATAGATCGATGCTTGACAAAGGTCATGGGCTGTAAGTGTGTAGTTTCTTGCTGCGAAGATGCAAGTGTGTATCCTTGTGCAAGCATGAGGTTGAACTTGGATATCCAGCGTGTACTCAGAATAGGCACAGATATTGTCTCAAGCACCAAACCAGTCCTTGATCCTGCCAAAGATGCCGCTCGCAGGCTTGGTCGATGATGTCTCTTCTAAGTTGATGCCAAATTCAGGGTTCAAAGGAATGTTAGCGTCGATAGCCTTGTGGAGCTGCTTGTGATCTTCCTCGAATGCGTCCATAGCTTCTCGTTCCACACGCTCCAGCTCAGCTCGTTTTGCTGTCACCTCCTTGAGTGTATTCAGCAGTTTTCTCTCGGCCTTCATCTTTTCAGTGCTGATGTTGCGATACTGGGCTCTGAGATAAAGCCTGAGCGCTGAAAACTGCTTGGCTGCTTCTGGGTCACCCAACAACTCCGCAAGCCGACATGTATCAACAGCCCAGAAACGCAAGGCATTGATATCGTGTCTCGATCTGTGAACGGCTGCATGACGCAACCGAATCATAGAATGCCCCAGACTTTGTACGGTTTTGCTGCCAGCACCTTTCAGGGTAGCCTTTGAATCAGACAATCTGAGTGTTCTCAGTATGGATATGTATTGATTCAGTTCCAATTCATGAGGACTCTTGATTCCCCACTGTGTCGGCGTTCCTTCCAAGACCTCCGGATACTTGCGCTGCAGATACTGGAAACAGACTCGCTCAGCCGAGGTCTGTAGACCGCGCAAGATTTTGATTTGGGTAGGATATGGCAGCCAGTAAGCGTGAGTCACGGGAACTGGAATAGTTGAAAGTTGACTGATCTCTGGTTTGATACCATCCGGACGTCTACGTTTCATGAGGTTAGGATAATCTTTCATCAGTACGGCCCACGAGAGTGGCCTTGATCCGAGCCCATCTGAAGCGGTCGGCTCATCCAAGAGACTGACGTCGTCTGTCTCGAAGTCATTATACGTTACCTGAGATGTTGAAGAATCGTGAATTGGCCTGTCATCTGTATCACCACTGTTTTGGAGGCCATCGTACATTTCAATCTCGGCCGTGGTCACTTCTTGGTCTTTGGTCGGGTTCGATGGCGCGTCGATGGTTGACTCAGCTGGTTCTCCCGAGAAAACCTTGCGTATCCTTAGCACTCTCTCGTCCTTCTTCTGCATCTTCGAAAGCGTCCTGGTTGGAGCCGTCGGATCTGGCAGGTCTAGATCTGGAGAAAGCGATAGCCTGTCCGCGGTGGTCTCTGTAGAAGGTTCTAGCACAGCTTCTGTTGTGACATCTTTCGAAGTCTCGACAATAGCCTGTCTTGTACTCTCTGTGGAAGCTTCGGAAACAGCCCGTTTTATGCTCTCTGTTGGGATTTCGATAACAGTCTGTTTCATACTCTTTGTCGGAGCTTTGACAACATCCTGTTTAATGCTCTCTGTCGGAATTTCGGTAACAGCCTCGGTTGTGATCGGTGTTGGAGGAACAAGAGCATCTTGATGCTGTTTCATTCCATGCGTTGACGACAGATCTTCCTTGTAGCCACCAACTGGTGGCTCAGAAGCGACCGTCCGGGCATCTGTTCGGTTCTCCTCCGAAACATCGCTCTTGAACAAGCAATTGATAATTCTACCCCCAACGAAGGTGCCATGCATGGCGTTCAGAGCCTTGGTAGCGGCTTCTATATCAACGAACTCGACATGCGCACTAGTGGGAACGTAGCGTCTGACGTTGACAGGGTAGAATTTCGCAAGTCTCTCGAATAGCTGTTTCATACTGACGTTTGGCCTGATTCCACGAACAGTCAAAACTTTGCTGGGCTTACCAAAGTCTTCGCTAGAAGCGATTTTTGACTCATCCGGGGAGGTCAAGTCTGAGATCTCTTCTTGTTCAAGAATTGGCTCTGGAGCCTCTGGAGTCTCTAGAATCTCTAGAGTCTGTGGAATTTTGAAGTCTCTGAGGTCTCTGAGGTCTCTGAAATCTCTGGAGGTTTTGGGACCTCTGAAGTCCTTGGAGTCTCTGGAGGCTCTGGTCCAAGCATCCGTAAGCCAGTGAGATTTAGCTCCGTATCTTGGTCCGAAACAGACTCGAGCTCTTGTAATGATGGAAGCCGTATGTTTTCGATCTCTCGTGTGTCCGAGGGTTTTATGTGCGTACTGTCGATGTCGCCCAATATTTTCAAAGTCTCCTGAGTCGGGAAAAATTTCATCTTCCAAAGATCTGGTATCATGTTTCGGCTGGTGGTTGTCTCAGGCTCATTCAGATTTGGAAGCTTCAGAGATTCCCACGGACTTGGTGGTTGAAGCTCTTTTGACGCTTCTGTGACATCTTGGATTTTCGGATGATTGACTTTTGAACTGCCTGGAGTGTAGTCGTTTTGTATTTTCACAGCAGCCGGTACACCGACCTCGTCAGCGTCTGATGGCTTGACACTAGAGATCCCCTGGGTGTCTATGGACCGCTGTGTTATCAAGTCTGAGTCTTCGTTCGATGGTGCACTAATCTCATCTGAGGCAGTGCCGTTTGCCGGAGAGTATAAGTGTGCGTGTTCTGGAACCAATCTACAAGCTTCTACCGAAGCTTCATGATACCTCGGGAACTTTCCATAGTCGACAAGAAAGAGTCCTCGAAAGGCCAGGTTGTATGCAATATCAACAAATGTGTCAAAACCATGCTGTAGTATTACTTCCCTGACCTCAGGATCGACACGATCGATCTTCCGGATTTTCCTCTCGAATATGGAACTGGGCTCCAAAGGAAGGTAACAGATACCCTTGAGATGAGGCATCAAGATTCTGTACGTCTTTTCAAGATCCCTGTCCAGGAAGCGTGTTCTTGCTATGGATGGATCTTTGTTCGACAATACATCAATTTCGTCCTTTGTTGGGGAGAATCGGTGTGCATATTTTGGAACCAGTCTGCAAGCTTCTACAGAAGCCTGTCGATACGTCGGAAATCTGTGATGTTTGACAAGAAAGAGTCCTCGAACAGCCAGGTTGTACGCAATACTAACAACATTATCATTACTGCGCTTTAGCACTCCTTCCTTCTCGAGCCGCTCAATTTTGCGTTTGAAACCTTTAGCGGGGTTTTTATCAGTGTAAAGACCGCTGTTTGTGTAGTGAGGTTTCAAAATTTGGTACATCTCCTCAAGATCTTTCTCCGAAAAGCGTTCGGACGCACTCGTGGCCGGAATCGCTTTGGAGGCTGTCTATTCCTCCAAGATCTTAGGTGGACCTGCATTCACATCGAGTTGACCAGTTGGCTGCAGAGATTGAACAGATTTGGGAGCTTTGATCTGCTCAAACTTAGGTGATACTGCGGATGTCGCAGATGTAGACTTCAATGTTCTTTGATGCTCTTCCAAGAGTAGATCAAACTGGGTAACGGCAGCATCGAAGGTTGTGGTCGGTAGGCTGGCCTTTGAGGTGGTGGACTGAAGTAATCTCAGCTTCAATGCGTCGTCTCTACCAGATCCAGGAGACTGCTGCGAGTCATCTTCATTCTCTACAGATTCTAGTCTCGCTAATCTCGCTGCTTCACGACAGGCAGTTGCATAGGTCAAAGTCGACCCTTGATCAAGGTCCAGGACACCCTTGGTGACGAGAAATTCTGCTACAGAAAGAATCTTGTCATATCTGTATGAGGACATCAATTTCTTCATATGCAGATTCGATCGTGCTTGCTTGAGTTTGACATCAATGTTTTCCACGGTCGTTCCCTTGACCGTGCCTGGGATCACATATTTCAATTTGTCGTATATCGTTCGATTCCGTGCGAGATTCTCTTTGATGAGTTGAGAACCTGTCAGGATCGTTGGCTCTTGCGTTTTAGAAAGTGTCAGGCCTCTGGTTTTCCGCGAGACATCCCGTACCGACGGCATTGAGTCCGATGTATGCGTTGCGATTCCAGTATCCAGACGTGGCAACGAGGAAAAAAAACAGCGTCACCAAAAGCTGAGATGCGGCACGTCAACCATAGATGAACTTCTTGCCGCGGCGAGAATCAGCCGGTCGCTGAATGACTATTAATAATGCATGATAAAGAGTGCAGGGTTGTAAATAATGGAACAAAGTTGAAGTCAAGCAATGGCAAATACAAAAAATAGCAGGCGTGGCAAAACAAACTTTCTGTTTGGCAGGGAGGATGGATGCAAGAGCCGCACCCGCGTTCTACGAATTTCACAACAGGAAACCACGTTCATTCATGAGCTGCCAGAGCAATCGTTCGGAAATCATCTCGAATGAGTGTCAGAGATAAGTATATAAATAATAGGTTATATGCACAGCAAATAACAGAAACAAAAGATACGTCAGATTCTGCTTCTTCCAAAAGACGCCGACCCAATGCAGATGATCACCCATACAAAGCCTTCCGAAACTCCCAAATACATGATATTAATGACCGTCGCGTCGCCAGCTTAGATTATGTCAAAGCCTCAAACGAGAATTGTGTAGGTAGCAATGGTGATAAAGACAGTGCCGAGGATGAAGGCTAGGGGTTGTCTCTCTAGCGAGCTAGCAGCACTCTTGCAAGTTATGCAGGTGTAAATCTCGGTGTCGTTGCCCGAGGTGTTTTGGTAGGGTTGTGCAGTGTACATGCCGAAGCGATGACCGCTGTAGACNGGAAGACCACCATAGACGGCAGTGGCACTGACGGCAGGCATGGCAGCATCCATAATGATAAGAGTGTAGGTTTCGGTGAGTAGCGGTACAGTGGCAGTGGCCTGGTAGTCGCCAGTGTCCCACGTAACGGCACCGGTAGAGCCATTGACTGTTTGGTTGACAGCGAGGGTGTACATGTTGTTGTTGGCAGCGCAGGAGGCCATGATGTCGAGCGCGGTGGGGGTGACGGACAGAGAAGTCATGTTCCAAGCAAATGTGATGTACTGGCCGACCTTGTAGTATGACGAGGACGAGTAGACATTGGGAGTGATCATGGCGATACCGCCGTAGCCGGCCGAGACACCATAGGTCTTTGACTTTGAGGATTTTGTAGTGGCTGTACCCTTGCTGCTTCCGCTGCTACCGCCAGTCGATTTGCCAGTAGTCGAGGCGTCTGAAGAGTCACCCGACTTGGAAGCACCTGATGAGGCGGCAGCACTCTTATCGGAGCCGGTAGTGGAAGCATCGCTGTTGTCGGTCGACGAGTCCTTATTGGAGGAATTCGCTGTCGACTTTGCTGTCGACTCTGCGGACGAGTCGTTTGTGGACTTAGCGCTCGAGGCATCTGATGTTTTGGAGGCGACTGTAGTGGATTCTGCTNNGCTATTTGAAGTCAGAGGGTGGCAAGTTCAGGCTTCAGGACGTGACTGCAACGCACCCGAGTTGTCCTGTCGTGGGAAGACAAAGTCGTTGATGTCGCGAATGGCTTTGAGGTGGAAGGATTCCGACCATGGTGCTGACGCCGAGCTGAGAGCTGAGAAGAGAGCGATTGAGGAGAGAAGCTGTGCCGGACGCATGTTGGGCAGTTGTTGAGATGTGAAGTCGGCCTGACAGGGGCTCGTTGTTGTCGTGTTTTGGGGACCAAGTGGCGGTGTCAATGTCTTGCTTGACCAGAGGGTCGTATGAATTCGCAAGCGAGTGGATGGCTGCAACACTAAGGATACAGCTGGTGAGAAGGATGAGTGCTCGGGGAGATGTCTTTTGTCGAGAGGTGGGAAAAAATGAGGCCGGTCAGTCAAGACCTCGTTCACCCACAACCACGCCCGCCCACTGTTTGAAGATGCGGGAGCCGCTGACTCTTGGCACCCGCCCCTGCCATTTCTATTTTGGGATGCCGCAGACTTTATCTCCATCGCATCGTACTTGAGTATCACACAAGTTTCTTCTTCAACTCGTACCCAAGATGCTTTCACTCCTGTCCAAGCGTGTACTCTGGCCTCCTAGTTCCTTAGAACTTTTCACGACTGTTCTCTGTGTGCCATGTTCGTGCTGTATCTCTTAGGATCTACAGCAGCCAGGATCGGGAAACCAGGATCAAATTCTAAGACGAATACAACAAGTCCCGCAGGAACCGATATCAATCTGATTCTAATTTTCGGGAAGGCAGCAGAGCTGAGAATGAAGGAGCCANNTACAGAAACCCTCGCTTTGTCATGTATTATCGAATCGACAGCTGGCTTCGCAAACATCCCAACGTGTGCGAGGAGCTACCCTGGACAACTGATCGACCTGTCATCTATACAGAGAGGACCGAGCATTTTTGCTCTGGCTGTGCCATGATAAAGATCAACGGTCGGAAGTTATGGTGGAGGTCTATCACCGTTCAAGAGAGCTGCTTGTGTCATGGTTGTCACAGAATTACCGACCATGTTATGTCCAAAGGCTATGAAGACATCAGAACTTGGAAAGATCTTACAAGACGAAAAGAACAGCTCGATCAATCGAACTCTCAAGAAGGACACATCTGAAGCATCTTCAATTCAATGGGAACTATGACCGGTTCATCTGCGCTACAGGCTTTGCAGCACGGTCGTTTTGAATCATTTCGTGTCATGTCATTATGCTCGCTCTGGTCCAACATGGGCCTGCCTCGACTAGAAATGTCTTGAAGTTCTGACTCAAGCGAGAGCAGCTCTCCTCCCAGAAGTACAAGATCTTGACACTTCACCGCACAGTCGAGATCAATCAATGTCACACCCTCGTCTCGGATCAGGATATTGTGCTTGTTGACATCGCCATACTTGATACCCAGCTTGTGCAACCTGTCCAACGCTGCTCGACACAGAGGCAAATCTTCCAGTTCTGCATGCCGCGCGTTGGCGATGTGTTCCATGACAGATCCAATGGTTCTGCCTTTTTCCGTCAAATGCGCAAGGAAAGCAGGACCGATGTCAGTATCCTTGATCCATTCATATGCTTGCGTTTCTTGCTCGAGTTGTGGCATCTCCCACGAAAACCTGGCGAGCTTCACCACGACTCTGCCGTCAATCTGAGAGCAAGTGGCTTCTTGTACATTGAAGCGAAGCTTGCGTCCCAGCCGTAAGTCCATCCAATCGATGCGAAACGGGTGCCAGAGGTGCGAGATACTGGGCAACTAGATGAGTTCGGCGCGAGAAAAGAATGGCATTCCAGTCGTTGGGTCGGAAGCTATGTGCGCGCAATTCCACTGGCCTTGTGGTAGAGGAGGCAATGCGGCTGCCAACCAAGGCGAAAAGCACATCGTGTGATGATCGTAGACGCCTGGATCCACAGTGAGATACTTGATATGTTTCTAGTCGACTAATATCCGCAAGTCGCTGACTTCCTCAGCATCCGCACTGGCGTCGAGTAGCTTGACTTCTGACATGAGTGCAATATTGTTGGTGGTCGATAGACGCAGTGAGGAATGATTTTGAGATGAAGAACAAGCGGTAGACGCATCCTATGGCTTGTTTGTTGTCACCGCGGCAGTAACCGTGGGCGCTTATTAGCTCCGCTCGAAATTAATAGTGACTGCTCGTATCCCAATAACCTGGTGCTCCGCGTACGGTTTGGAGTCTCGAGTGGTCGGTACATCGGGTATAGACGCGGGTGCATGAGTGGCCGTAGGATCATCTCTCGCCTAGGAGGTGGTAAAGAGAAAGGAGGTTGGCTTGTTGTGACCGTACCGAAGCCATTGTTACGGTCCCAATGAACGTCTCATAGACCAGTAATTGACCAACAGTGGCGTGTAAAGCATTGTTGGGTCGTTTTCACAGTAACATAAGGCTTGCATTCGGGCTGCAGGCATCCCCTGGTTCTCGGACGTCAACACGCATGACCACAGAAGCACAATCTCAATCACGCTTCGATGACTTTCAAATGGCTTCGAAAGTCGACCGTAACACGCCATCAAGAACCCACAGTAAAACCACCAGTGCTCAAGCGACCCGAGATCTGAAACACGGCATCGAATTGCGCAAAAACGTGGAGAAGAAAGGGCTTCGTACGCCCCCAACGTCGAGGTGGCATTGCTTGTCTGGAAGCCATCCCTTGCACTTCAAACTCAGATATATTACTTTAGGACGATCGTTTACCTCACGCGTTCCTGGCATCAGGGATTGCGCTTGGAGTTGAAGCGCCTGCCGTCGCCGCATGCTGTGAAGCTTGTGAAACGATTTAACCACAGAGATGATGCTGATCTACAGGGTTGACATGGAGTCAACAGTTACAGCTATATTGTAGGTGACGACAGTATTCGGCAGGGTTATACCGGCAAGGTTCTGCGTCTTGTATTCGATGCCTATAAGAACTCGTAGGTCTCTTGTTTGACTCAACTCTCTCTTCTCCATTCAGCCTACTTCATCACTCCCTTTCAAACACCATTTTGAGTGTCTAGAAAAGACCTGTCAAGTACCATCTACATCACAGCTCTTCCTTAAAACAAAGACGAACATCCAAAGATGTACACTTCCATCACTCTTCTCGCTGCCTCCGCCGGCCTCGCCACAGCAGCAACATCCTACAAGGCTTCCTTCACCCAGTACGGCTCCACAGACACTTGGGGCTCAGGCAATTGTGAGTTCAAGCCCAAGGAACAGATATCATGATTAGTGCTGGCGCTTTGGCTCAGTTTGTACGAAGAGCGTGTGTGATATCAGTGGGTGTTGATGAAACACCCTCTAAGCCGATCTCTCGCAATTCTGAGTGCATTCGTCTAGCACCGTCATGGTGTTGTTGCCCTCCAACCTCTCGAGATCATGCTAATCGTACTTTCATTCTAGGCAACGTCGCTACCACAGCCTGCGGTTTCTACACCTCTGTATGTCATCCTCCTCTCACCTTTCCCATCTACCATTTCTAACAACCAATCCAGCCCGGCTACTCAGCTGCAGTATCCCAAAACGAATTTGGTGTCGGCACTGGCGCAGGCGCCGGCCCAGCCTGCGGAACTTGCTGGAAACTGACCGCCTCGACCGACTCCTCTGGCAACACAAAAGACCTTTGGTGGTCCCATCGTGGTCCAAGTCACAAACCTGTGTCCTGCAGAGAGCAACCCTCTATGTGCTCAGAATGGTCTGAGTGGCACAAACCAATACGGTGCCAACCTCAACTTTGATCTCTGCATTGATTCGGGGGCCAGTGCTGCGTTGTTTGGCAGCAGTGGTGTTGGGTTGGCGGTAGGCAGTGCTGAGCAGGTTGATTGTGGACAGTGGAGTGGCGAGGTTGTTTACTAGAGTCAATAGTTGTTGAGGTGGTTGTAACAGCTGGATCTGTGTAGCTACTCAAACCTATCAACAATCAATCTTTTTATCCTATGAACACGAGATGAGTTGGTGATGGATCTGAAAGCAATAGGTATCTTTTGTTGGGTGCTTGTTCGATCGCTTTCTAAGAGGAAGATGTGTCCCAAGATGAGTTCCTGAAATTTGACTTGAGTTGGACTCAGGGCGTCAGTACGAACTATCAAGGAAGGAGCAAAGACGAGTTGAAATTTCGAAAAAGAAAGGGACCTCGCTACTGCAACGTTACTGCCTGTGGTAAGCACTTGAAACTTCTGCGTCAGGTCTTCCTGGCACTATCACATTCTGAGTTTCTTCAACTGCCACAGAACGCCCCACCCACCGAATACCGATGCTAGCCCCGTGAATATAATCAGTGGCCCATAACTTGATTGCACTCCGTATCCGCTGCTAGCCTCTTTACTAGTGCCAGCTTTGAGCAGTGGTACACCGACCAAACCACCGGCGACATATCCAATGCCTCTTGCACCGTTCAGCAGACCATAGACCATACCTGAATCGATAGCCTCGTTCGACTGTCTCGCTTCGCCCTCAAGGTCGTTGATCAGGCCTCCCCACGTGGCACTATATCCTCCAGCAAAGAAGCCGAAAGTGATGGAAAAGAGGACCAGCGTTGCCAGGTTGCCTTGTGTTGTCAAACCCCAAAAGAGAAAGACACTCAATGACGAGCTTAGTCCTGAGATACACGTGACAGTTGTGGCAGAGAGTGTAAAATGCTTGTTTTCGCTCAAGTAACCAAAGAATGAAGAGGATGCAATACCAGGAATGTTGAACAGCGTGAGCAAAAGAGTGGCCGAAGTTTGTGAGAGTTTAGCAACTTCGCTGGCGTACGTGTTGAGATATGTCTGTGGTATTCCGTAACCAGCGGACTGCAGGACGATGGCCACGCAGTGGATGTAGATCGTCCGGTGATGCAAGAAGTTCCAGGGTATCTTGCGTATTCGAGGAGTGTCTGCTGTTCTGCTTGCATCTTGCTCATCTTCTGCGCTCTGATTAACATTACTCGTCGCTACAGCCAAAGCCGAAGGGTGAGTTGGGATTAGAAGAATTGTGAAGACACTCGCGCCAGCGACCAAGACTGCCCAGATCCTCAATGTGAAGCGGAAGCCATGCTGATTCAAAAGCGCTGAGAACAGGAATGGACACACTGAGCCGACAATATTCTTGCAGGATAGTGTGATGCCATAGGCCAACGCCCGATGACTCGTCTTGTACCACTCGCCTAACGACAGAGTCATGGGGCTGAATACCAGAGCAGACCCAAAGGCTGCAAGTACGCCTTGTGTTACCACCAGATGCCAGACATTGCTGCTAAAACTTGATAACAAGAAGCTCAAGCAAGCAATGATAGTACCGAGCAGAGCTGCAGTCTGGCGAAAGCGTGCCCAGCGCTTGGTGAAAAGGGCAAACAGGAAAGGCATCGAGAGATACATGACTCCATTGGAAGTCATACCGATAATTCCAGTCAAATCACGGCTTCCTTGTAAGGTCCAGTACTTGATGTAGTATTCTCGGAAGACGCCGTAGCTCATTGCAAAGCCNTGAGGCATGTTGAGGTCAGAATATGCGAAGAACGTGAGTTCTTACGAAACGCTCCAATCGTGCCTGTAGAGTCTTGAGACGTCCATGAAGAAAGACTCACCCCAGATAGGAAACTGTAACAAGGCAGACCCAATGAGAACGTATGCCTTCTTCTTATTTGAACCGACTCCTCTGTACGAGCCATGCTCGACGCCAACCGAGCTATCATTGTGTCGAGCATGGTCGGCCTCTGTTTCATCTTGTGAAGTTGAGCTTGGCTGAGCTCGCAGCGCAATCGCTTGGTCGCGCGTGTCGGCTTGCATCATGATACGGAAGCAATTCCACTACTACAATAAATATACCGGGGTGAACTTTTCATCGTTGGGTTTTGCGCAAGAGATGAAGCGAAAAGTCATGCGACACAGATACTGTATACATCTGATGACTCATGGACTGGCCAATAGGAATCCTCCTCAATGCCCGATTCTGAACCTACAAAACGACGTCCACTCCGCCCTCCGCTTTCTTGAAGCTGCTCTCCTCCCACATGCCAAAGACCGTCACATCTCAACCATAGTCATACATAACCAACTTCAGAACAAGTGACGTGGCAATGGAGGTGCTACAAGATAATGACTTTCTGGGAAAATATTGGGCAGCTCAACAACGACAGTGTGATAGGCTTTGATACCCGGAGAGCGAGTGGTTCTGTGCTCCGGGCAAGATTGTGTACCCTCTACAACAATACTCCTTGCGAACATCGTGTTATTGAAATTCCCTCTCTAGCAACTCTTTGGGACTGTGAGCCTGCGAGCTCAAATCTCGAAACCCTACTACCCACGATAGTGTTGATGAGCATCCTCAACCCAGGAGAGGCTCCAGACGCGCCTTGCCAGGACCGGTAGGCACCAGACGACAGAAGCCAGGAGGGGANACACACAGGTACTCAGGGATGCCAAAGTCGATGACCAAAATGGCCTTGTTGCGTTGGAGATCAGGCAGAGGGTTGACTTCAATCTCGGGGATGGAGNNTATGCCCTCCTTCTTCTCGGCCTCTTGGATGTTCATGGTCTTGATGACATTTTTGCGGTACTCAGGAATGTCCGGTGGAGAGTTTGCAGTCTGTACGAGGTAAGTCAGTTGACAGCATAGTTCAGGCAATTCAAGGGAGACTCACGGATGCACTGGTGTTGGTGGTGGAAGACATGGTGAATCGACCGAGTAGAGCGAGATACTGCTGACAGTTGAGAAGCTCGCAAGAGAGAGAGAGGAAGGGTGCGACGGTTTGATGTTGCAGGGGACCTCGTGATATTCTCCAGCTTACTTACAAGCGGTCTGCAGCTGTATATGATACTGTCACCGCTGGATGACGTGTTTCATATCTGCACATATCCGCTCTGCTGCCTAGAAATTGACGACGATGTATGCATTCGTAGTCTATCAGGTATGCTCCCGGTCGGGTTTCTTGACCTGCACATTGCTAATCTCGTGGTTTCATGGATATTGACCATCGTTCTTTTGCTAGCAGCTGACCATACTGCTGTGCAGAATCTTAAGATCGTTACGAATGACCATGTCTCGTCAAGCACATGAGCAGGGTATGAGAGACAGAGAGCAAGCAGGTCAACGTTCCAAGCCCAGCATACGCAGCATGCCGATATGATCTGCGCTTGTGTAACAAGTTCATATCAGCCACCTCCAGTTTTTGACATGTCAAATTGGACAAACGGAGTCAGAATTTAGCTTGGCCTCACAAAGCACAGAGTCAAAAAGTCCGATACGAATTATGCATTAATACTCTGCAATTTCCAAAACATACCCAGTACCGTCTTACCCGCAAGTATACTCCAGCATGATCGCCTAGATAACACCAGGCATACCTCTCTTGACACCCGGCTCGCCCAGGCCTGGAACAACCATGGGAGCACTCTTCTCCGTTGATGTTCTGAACACAGGGAAGAACTTGGCAATCCCACTCTTGGGTCCATACGCCTCTTCAATCAAATATACCGCAACACGCCACCAAGCAAGTAAGGCGGAGAGCATCCAGAAGTATGCGGCCACCTTGATGCCGATGCCTACACCGGTTCCGTATGCGAAGAGACAGCAGGCAATTGTTGTGCCGATGGCGAGGGCGAAGAGGAGGGTTGCGAGGATAACGTCACGGGCGGTGGCTGCGATTGCCNNTATTAAAGAGTCAGAACTGTATGTGTGAAATAGTAGGAGAGGGGAAAGATGGCAACTTACACCAACCCAGGTAAACGCAGCCAGTACCACAAACCAAGATGCCAGTTCAGGAAGATGAGCATGAATATCTCCAGCAGGCAAAGCACCAGTAGTATTCAACAAAAACATCAATCCCTCACTCATCCAAAACGCGCCCCACNNCTGTCTCAATATCAGCATTCATGCCTCCCAATCTCCTCTTCTCAGTACTCACATGGTGTTAATCACACTAACTAACGTATCCCTAGCATGAAACCCGAACAGCCCAGCAATGAACTGACTCAAGCCACCCCAAAAAGCCACAAAGGGAAAGAAAATCGTCGGCGAGGAATCATTGCCCCACCAGCCAGCAATCCAAGATGCAGTTATCCATGTACTGCCTGCGAAACCAGCTAATCCCAGGGCCGCGGGAGGTGCGATTGGTGTCAAGCAAATGCGTACTTCGGGTTCGCGATTTATAAACGAGTCCACTTTCTGGACGTCGTGCGAGTTGAGAGCCATGGTAATTTCGAGATCAGAAAGGCGATATATCCGGTTATCTAGGAAATTGGACAGGTCCTTGAGATTAGAAGAAAGAGGAAGAAAAGATCAAGGAAGGACAAGAGCAGGGTCTAAGTCTTGTTTATTAATGGACACACAAGGTTTCTAACACTCATCATGGCCTACCACCATCGAGTCCATCGAGCATCATGTTGCTTGTTCTGTTGTGCTCACCCGCGGATCCCCAGAAAATCAGCGTGGGATGTGTTGATATACTTTCCTAAAAGGGTAGTCGCGATGGTCGATCTTTGCGGCTCGGTGACCTCACAACTATGTCATTGATATGAGAGATATCGATTTTTCTTCTGACTATCTTTTCTCATCGTTCGTCGATTGCTTATCTTTGTGCATCTTGATGATGAATGTCGTTTAACCCTGGGAAGGAATTGCAATAGAAATACCGTTCGAAAGGTAACGTGGTAGAAATGCTTATGGTGCACAGCATGAATTTCAAGGCAAAGTACGACTTCAAGCAATGGATATGAATGCTTTTATTCACATGAGAACTCTAACAGTACAAACGTGCTAGCTCACTATCACAAAGCTGTTCTCCGATGTAGCTGATGGAGGTTCATGTCTTACAACACCACGATGATCTTCCTCTCCATCTCTACTGGCCACACTAGAATGCGGCGAGTTTGGTACACCCGGAGCAGCCTCACCAGGTGCCAGTCCCGGCATCTTGTCAAGATCAAGATAGGTCCTATAGCCCAACTTTCTCTTTCGCCTCAATCTCTTGATGCCATATCTTTGCACCTCGTCCCACATCTCGTTGGTAAACATTTTGCGGATGTGCTTCATCTCGATAAGGTATTTGGTCTCCCACTTGATGCCCCATTTAGTTGGATCGGTTGGATCTCCGCGAGTAATTGCGGAAGGGTACCAATCCCAGATACCAGGGAAGGGTGAAGTGATCAGGCCATAGGGCATGATGGCGCTGTAAGGAGTACCCAGCATTTGGATGGCACCACCAAAGACATGGGTTTCCCAGCAGGCGCCCAACTCGTTGATGCGACCATCACGGAAGTATGGCTCTTGGGGATTTTTCCATTCTGGCTTTTTGGGTGCTGCGTAGTGCTGCATGTATATAGGGCTGGAAGTGATCCAAAGGCAATGCATCACTTCATGGACAAGGATGGTACCGAGCACGAATTGGGCACGCAGAACCGCAGATTCATCGTGGTTGCCAGGGTTCCATGCCACCGAGTATCTGCTCGCTTTGAGCTTGCCTCGAAACACATCCAGAAATTGATTACTCAATGTTACTTTAGTAGAGCTTGCACTGTGGAAATATGTCAGAAACAATGTTAAAAAGACCTAAGTGTTAATGAACATACCCNNAATCACAATCATAGAGCCTGTGTCTCCAGCTTGAGTCATTCCAGGACATCCATACGGCAAATGTTGCGAGAACTCAAAAGAGATGCAATCTTTCAGCATCCACAAAGTATGCCAGACCTCTTCCGAGGTCCAGTCACGCAGAGGTTCAGTATTGAAAGTGTGCAATGGCTGCCCAAATCTGTTGATCAAATCTTGGTCGTTGATTTGCGCCAACGGCTTCTTCAGAAACCCTTTGACATAATCCAATATCTGAAATTCGTCCAAAAGCCTACTTGCCAACTTGATGGATGGGATCAAGAGATTGTAGTCATCTTGAGAGACATTTTTCCATCTTCGCGGAAGCAAAATAGGGTGTATTGTAGAGATGATAGGATTCCATCCACGCAACTGCCGTATATAGGCACCAGTGACATGTTGTTCGGCTTTCTTCTCAAAGTCGGGATTGATAGGGAAGTCTGAATCTGGTAGATTGATGTAGCCTTTATGGTTGAGTTCTTCAAGGTCGATGGCCTTTAGGGTCGGGATGTCATCCATCCTGATCCTAGGATCAAGAATGGACGCAACAATGTTTTTCAGGCCTTTAAGCATTGTGTAGTGTCGTGAGCAAATAAAATTCTTCGAGTTTCGAGATGATCATTCTGCGCAGGTAGAGCGATGGATTTTGTTCATGTTGGGCGAAGCGCGCCGGATGCGGCGAGAACAAAGCCAATAAATTCAATTGCAAAATACATGAGCGATAGAAGCTCATGCCGAGACTTTTAAACAAAGAGAATTTGAGAACATGAAAGGGAACTCATTCGTTGTTTGTGTAGATTTTCCCATAGCATTACTGGGACACCTTCTACCACATGTGGTGATCATGGCAATTAGTCAAGATCGGCTGACGAATGGGTCACCTCTCCAGTATCATGGCGAACCTCAACAATGCTCATGGTCTTCTTACCATCACGACTTTGACCTTTGACTGCAAGCACGGTACCACTGCGAGTGATATTCCCGGCAGTGACATTGGCAAAAATGCCTTGTGCAACGCTGTCTGCAGCTTGAAGAGCAGCAGCCTGCGTGTCGAATGTTCCATTCACACTCAAATCCTTGACAGAAGCTCCACCATGCGGAGGTCGAACATTGCCCATCATGTCCATAGCCATCTCGGCTATGACGATGGTCCAGAACGGGCCTGGTAGCTTGGCAGCCATGACCTCATTGCGCTCTTTGATAATGCGAATGGTCTTGGTCTGGTTCGCATTGCCATTGATGGGTGAGCTGATATGCTCAATACCGCTGAAGAAAAGGTCGTTCTCGATGGCTTCTCTCAAGGCATCCCGTCGAGATGGACATTGATCGCCGAAGTTATACATGATCTGCGGGATGAGAGTCTCGGGTGGGTAGTAGGGACCAGACACAGAGACGTCGTAGAGGTGCGGGGTCGATGTCTTCAAATAGTAGATGAAGCTGCTATCATCTTCGGTCTGAAGAATATCGTCATTGTTGCGGAAGAAGTCACCCATATTCACAAGCATCCTTGTACGATCGCGTAGAGGTTGAGCGGCGGACCCGCTGAGCTGCTGTCGGTATCCTGCCTTGTGGTCGGGCCAGTCAATCTTCTGGCACTCACGCGAGCAATACTGAATGCTGCGGCACTGGCCACACTGTTGCAGCGCATGTCAGAGATGCTCTTTTGTGATGTGGCATCGCGCACAAGACGAGTTGGTAGAGTAGGACATGGTGTGGAGAGTGGGGAGTGGAGGTGCTTAGGGTTTAGGGTTCTCGCTGTGAGCTGGAATAACAGAAGCGATGGCTGTGGAGCTTGAGCGCGGTACTGGCGCGTATGCAAGGAGCAGCTAGTTATCTCCAATTAAAGCCGCCAGCTCGTTCTTTCTTTCTGTAGAAGACGGCTGCTCGCCCTCGAGCCTCGAAAGGAAGTAGCACATGAAGACAGGAATGGATATTGGCAGCATAAAAAGTCGATTGTGTCCCCGATTGGTAAATGATGTTGCGCCTATCCTTTATTCCTGCTGTCCCTGTCCATATGCCATGTCCATAACGCCCTGCTGTATGCACAACCATCTCCAGCAATGCCAGTGTGTGTCTCATGTCCTTAGCAGACGATGGGTCGTATCTGGAACCAAGCTCTTCATGGATCCATGCAATTCTGATTCCATGTCTCTGGTCCTTGACTGATTCCCTCCTTCAGGGTCCTTGACTGATCGCAAGTCCTACTTGCAGTACTTTGCGACAAAGTCCTTTGCATTCTTCTCAAAGACGTCCGGGTTGTTCTTGTACTCGTCGGCAATTCTACTTTCGACGGCATCATCAGGTTGGGGCGCAGCGAGAATTTGGCGGACGAGGATCAGAACGTCGCGAATCTTGTTTGGAGGCTTCCACTGGTCGGAACGGAGCATGCCCAGGCACATGCTGCCCTTGTCATCGTTGGACACGTTTGGGTGGTAGATCTTGGTCTTGAACGAGACGGTGGGCGGCTTGAAGGGGTATTCCTTGGGAAGCGAGACTTCGATCTTGAACTTGCCGTTCNNTGCGCGCAGGTCAGCATTGTGAGTCATCGAGGAGTGAACAGTGTTACACACGGCGTAGACAGAGTCTTCAGGGCCCTGCATGATGACCTCCCAGAGAAAGACGTTGCCTTCTTCGGCGAGCTGCACTTGCGTGCCCGGCACGGGGTTGGTCGACACTTGGCCCAGTTCCTGAAAGTCGCGTTAGTCATGAAGGCGTGCGCAATGGGCGGTAAGTCATACGGTGACGATTCTCTTGTTGGCCATGATGAATGAGATGTGATGTGCAGAGAAGAAGAGAAACAGCACGGCAGGCGAAGAAAGATGGATCAAGGTGTTTCAAGTGACGCGGGGTTCCATTGGGTCTGGATTGGATTGTGGGGCCTTCCACTTTCAGCTCTCACCAACGAAGTCACTCTCACCTTCTCCTTTCATCCTTCCTCGATCTCACTACTGCACTTTTCAACATTTGCCTGCGTCTGTGACTTTTAGAACAACACCAAAAACCCGCCTACCAGGCAACACACGCATTGTAGATCTCTCCTCGTCAATACCTGCACGATAATGGCGGCTGCTGCCTGATACACCACACGCGCCCAATCGGCTGCGTGCAACTCGAGCCTCGCGCCAGGGGTGCGTGACAACCTCGATGATAAGTAGTCATCTCCACTCTCCAATTCTCCTCTTTTCCTTCTACGCACGCCAAAAGGTCGCCGACAACCCACCCCTCCAAGCTGCTCGCACACGTAACGCTTCTCTTTCTTAGGAAAGAGACAGTGTCACTGCCTGCGAAAGCTTGTCCGAGTGCGCGCCTGTTTCCTCGATAGCTCCCTCATGCTCCGCGCGTCAATCTTCATTCGTTCATAAGTCTTCTCCTCCCTCTGCTCATCCTCTCGTCGTGACAATCTTCTCCAACATGCTGAAGAGATCTTTTGGTTACAAGGATCGTGCCGGCAAGGCAACGAAGCCTGTCAAGAGATCCTTCCGTGATGATGCGAAGCTGAAGTTGATGGAGCAGCTTGCTCAGCCGTCCAGTCCGCCTAGCGCTGTGTACGTGAATCGCTTTTCTTGTTTCCATCTTCTGCTCCCTTGAAATCCTTCGAGTCACCTCGATCTCCATTCGTTGATTCGTATATACAGCCAAGCCTCTCCCAGGCTCAACAGCGCCATAGTCACCATCGTGGTGGGCAAGGATCAACGCCTGTTCGCCGCCCATGAAGACGTCCTCAACACCTCGCCCTTCTTGCAATCGGCAGGCAAGGAGGCCCTCTACACATCAACCTCGTCCTCATCCCGCCGCATCCTCCTCCCCGACGAAGAAGCAGAAATCTTTTCCGCCGTCCTCGAGTTCATGTACAAAGGTGACTACTTCCCGCGTCTACTCCACGACCGCAGAAGAAACACCTGGGTACTTGAATCCGTAGACGAGTGTTCCTCCCTCTCCCCCAAATCCCAGGGCAGGGATAATGCGACTACCGTCACCACTTTCAGTTCGAGAGTCAATGGCTTGATCTTGAGGGATACTGCCATCTACTGCCTGGCAGAGCGATTCGGTCTCGAAGAGCTCAAGAAGCTGTCTTTGCGCAAGCAAGGATTGCAGTCGGGTATCGAGGTCGCAACTATCCTTCGCAGTGCAAGATTTGCCTATGACAACACTCCCGAGACTGATTCTCGGTTGCGTGCGCACTATCTTGCTCTGATCATCCGCAGTCGCGACACCTTCAAGCGCAGTGGAACCATGCAAGTGGAGATGGAGAGTGGTGGACTTATGTTCTTTGATTTGTTCGTTGCCATGGCGAACCACATTAATGATTTGACAGAGTTGAAGGGGCAAGTTTGAGAAATCTCTTCTGTTGTCTTGCTTCTTGACACTCTGATTGTCTTCTTGAGGCCTGTGTTGTTAACGCTTGCACTCTCCTTGCAGCACTCGCGCTTCTCCTCGTGTCATCTGAACCTTTGCCATGGCATCTCAATTGCGGATCATCTTCCGAAGTCGACAAATTGGATCTCTCCTCTCAACATCAGAAAACCAGAAACCCAGCAGAAAAGATTACATCGTTCCTCGATAATTCGACTTCATGCCCAGATTGAACAAAAACTCATCTCTTATTTCTCAACGCCAAATTGTGACCATCGGTGAATATATTTTTCGCAGTGGAAGGCTCCGCTCAATCCATGGACAACCTCCACCTCACGTTTCACGATTGCATGACAGAAACCCTCGAACACAAAACAAAAACATGGGAATACGTTCTATCTTTCTGGATTTGATGAAGGGGTTGATGACTTTGGCTGTGGTAATGGTGGAAGTTGTTGATGGAATCGAAGCGAAGTTCATATATCTCTTCTGGGAAATAGCAGAACATGCTGTTCACACTCCTTCGTCGAAGTCCTTTTCGTCTCTGGGCGAACAAGGGAAAGACCAATATCTGTTGTGTCGGGGTTTGTACCTTCACACAGCGATCTGCCTTTCGTTTTCGGACTCCCAGATTATATCTATGCTGTTCCGGACAATGTACATAGTATCCGCAAGCTTTGTATGGCTTATGTAGCAGCGGTATATCAGAGCAAACAAGGCAATTGTCTTGTTTTCTGCCAAATGTGTTGTTTCGATGTATTACGATTTAAGTTTTTGTTGGCATTGACTTCTTTGATCAGGAAAAGTGAATAGCAATGGTGGCTCTCAATGGACAGTTCAGCGGAGCTTGAAAGTATTGTGTATATGAGAGAACGACTGCACCAGACACAAACCTTTCCACGGGCGAAGACAGACATCGTAGTCAGGCAAATCCATGCCAACCATCTCCTACACAAGGTCTCCTCTTGTCACTCGCACACTGAGACTCATCACGACAGTCCTACGTTGATCTATGTTTAGGAGGCGATGAACATCAAGAAGTATTCCGACGTTGACCGGATTGTCGTCGTATACGGTGTAGGCAGAAAGAATTCAAGGACACAACACAACGTCCTGGCCTTGCCCTTTTATGTACCCTTAGCCTTCCTAGTAACAGGAGGAGTGGGAAGAATCGAGGTCTTCGATGATCAGAGTTGAGTTATTGCAATGTTTTAAGGTGGTCTTATACTGTGATTGGTTGAGTGAAAGAGCGGATGATGTTGAAGGTGGAGTTGGTCAGAGTTGGAGTGAAGTGTGATGTTGACAGAAATAGTTGAATCTCGGATTATCGTTGGAAATGGTCCATTTTCGCTGGAAATGTTGACAGGAATACAAGAACCCGCAGGTCGTGAATGTCTCTACGCAACCTCAACCAACTCGTCCTCATCATCAATCTCCTGCACCTTTGGCGGCTGCGGTGGCTCCTCACCCTCACCCTCCTCATCTCTGGCAATAATCTGCACAACACGATCACAAGCCTCCTGTACATCCGGACTCTCAGTATGCAAATGCAACTCCCTCATCACCGCATACACATTCTTTTCCCGCAANAAGTCTCTGCCTTCTCTGTTTGTGGTGAGCAAGAGCAAAGTCTCGAGGTGAATGATCTGGATGTCGGTTTCGGTCTCGCGGGTCTTGTCTGGAGGCAGTAGTTGCAGTTCTTCGGGCATGGTGTCCATGTCTTTGTCTTCGTATTCTTCGGGTCCCATGAGTGGGAGAAGGAGGTAAGGTAGGATATTAAGGCCGCCATTGGTTTCGTCTGTTGAGAGCATTTTGGCGTGGACGTCTGATTCGAAAGCGGCGTTCTTGATTGTGGAGGCCACACCTCTGCGGCGAATGGTTGACTTGTGCTCGGTAAAGACGATGAGTTTTGTTAGGGGAATGATGTTGTCGTCTTCTTCGCGCGGAGTCAGGAAATGCTTGCGACCCTCCTCGTATTTCGAAATGTCGGCAAAGACGTAGCAGAGATAGTCGAAGTTTGCCTTTTCGTTGTAACTGCCCTCTTGACCCTTGACGAACAGATCCAGCAATTGATCGATGGCGAACGGAGATGTAGAGAGCGGTTTGGGGATATCGCGTTTGAGTGTAAGCAGCGTCTTGAGGTGTTCATGTTTTGTGAGGTTGGCAAGTAGCATGGCCATTTCGTCTGCATTTTCCTCTTTGGCGTTTGTGATGCGCGAGTACAGAACCTCGAGGAACTGGTCGTCTTCGGCGAGGTAGTTGAGCACTTGCTCATCGGAGGAAATGTTTACGAGGATTGTGAGGACGTTCTTTGCGATGGGCGGGTAATCGCGGACGAGCAGTTTCATGTCTTTGACGGGTGTGAGGTCTTGGTATTTGAAGAGAGAAGGCTGTGCTGTTGAGAAGCCGACGAGGTTTTCGACCGCTGGAGTCTTCATGTCAGACGTGTCTCCTTGCTGTCATGTATGTTCGAGGGCTGGTATACCAATCTGGCGGATCTGAGTGTTTCCATGGTGGAGGAATTCGACGAGCTGGGAGAACGGTCAGTGACAGTTTCAAGGTAGAAGTTTGCGAATTACACACCTCTTCGAGTTCATTAGGCATATTGGCGGTGTTGTGTTGTGTTGTGCTTGACTTGTATGAACTGAATGCGACAACTTTTTCTGTGCCCAATGACGAAGTCGAAAGCTCTAGAATTCTTATCTCCTATCGACGAGTCTTGGCACATCTCGGTCTCGGTGTCCTATCACCTTCTCCGGTCTTCCCTCTCGTACAATTAGAATACCTATCGGGCAGCTCTGAAGCACCGCAGCAAGATCAAACAAGAACTCTCGGCCATGCACGTACCTGTGAACATAATCACCCACCTATACACTCCACCTCCTACCCCTCCTCCCACATCAACCAAAACACCTCCAATAGGCCCCGCAAGTACATTCCCTAAACCCTTCTGGAAGTTCCAAAGTCCAAACACCACAGGTGCCGTTCCGACATCATCCGTCACCGAACTGGTCAACCTTGCCCAAATCGCTGTGAACCCTGCCGCGAAGAATCCATACAAGATCCCAAACACGATTAGCACTGGAAGAGAAGATGCCACTTTCCAGATCCCGAGCACCGCAATCGCTGCCATTGCCGTCGACGAGAATGCCAGAACATTTATCGACATCTTTCTGTCCGAGAGCATGCCAAACGTGAACTGACTACACACTTGGCAAATACTCATCACTGTCAGCAGTATCGCTCCGCTATGAGGCTTGAGAGACAGCGAAGATGCAAACGAAGGCAAGTACAACCCAGGAAAGAAGTATCCAAACCCTTGCAACGTGTTCGCAACCGAATATATCCAAAACATTGGTTGGCGAAGAAATTCCCAGTTGATTTTTCTGCTCGCAGTGTTTCTCGATACTGGCAAACGTCCTCTGAACAATGGTATCAAAGGGCCTGTAAGCACTGTCAATGCAACCGCCACTGCTCTCAAAGTAACCCTGAATCCATATGTGTCGAGCAAAGCTTGAAGCACAAATGGCATAAAACCTCCAGAGAGTCCGGATGCGGCGCAAAGGATACCATAAGCCATGCCTCTCTTTGCAATCCAGTATTCATCCACCATCGAAAGAATGGGATAATAGAAGATCAAAAACCCCAAGCCATACGCCACTCCTTGGGATGCGATTAATGCTTCAAGAGAAGTGGCAAAGGAGCCTAGTGCGAGACCGAGGATGCAAATGGGCCCTNNAGTGGTAGTCAGTACATGCCTTCAATTCCCAGGAGTGTGCTAAAGTGCAAGTCAAGAGAAAGGAAGACACAAACATCCAATCCATATCATATACCGGCGATACCGTGGAAAGCGTTGAATAATCAACATCATCATCGGAGCGCCTAGATAGCCCAAGCCAGAAGCTACGGTGCCCACCACAGGGATGTACGAATTATCCGCAAACTCGGGCGTTCTGGAGTAATGGTCTTGGAAAACACCAAAGGAGAGGGGAAAGCCCCAGAGTAGGGTTTCGAAGACGAATGCCGCCAGGAGAAGTCTCCATGCTGCGACGCCTCCATCCGTTGGAGCGAGATGTTGTTCTAAGGTGTTTGTGATGGGTTGCTCCGCGTCTTGTGCTGGTAAACTAGGTATTGTATCGTTATTAGATGCTGGCTGAACCACAGCTGGCCGGGCCAGCCTTAGCTGTGTCAATTCTGTTTCGTTCATCGTACATAGGACTTGGTCAATATGCAGTACTAGGGACTCGAATATCAAGAACTTGCGAGCTTTCCACACTTGAACTCGGTTGTGCTTGTTCATTCCCACGCAGGCACATGTTTGCCGAGGTTGTCTTGCTTGAGCACCGTAGTGGGGGAGTGACTTGGCTTCTTGTTGACTTCATTGCCTGGTCATCCCAAGCCAACAGTAGGATGGCTATACGGAACATGATAGAATCTCATTGGAGCATAGAGTGCAGCATGCATTGAATAGACACACAAGACCAGGGTGACCATATTTTCGAACCATCAAGATTCATATCTGCACCACGCAGTCGATCTACTACTGACGAGATCGAAAGGTTATGACAGTCAAGCTGTAATGAGCTCATATGCTCAGTGAGACATTGCAGATATCCAGCCATGAGGTACCACATCAACTTGTCGTGTTTTGTGTCTTAGAAATTGAGGCCACCCCAAATTCCATTCTTGAAGAAGTCAATGGGACAGCGAGGATAGGGCTAACCGTACAAAACACAAACACTCGGAGGCGAATTTAATCAGGTATTCGCTCACAATTCTCTCTCTCCCGGATACTGTAGGATTAATGAACAAGTAAGCAGAGACCAGCATGGCACCCGATTCATTGTCGCAGGCGACGATAAACCAAAGAAGCCCAGCTTTCGCAGTTTCCGTGGCCTGATTTGGTAGTGCATCCGACTGTTTGCAGCATCACCGATCACAAAGTGCAAAAACTATCTCTTCTCTATGGATATTGAGAGGAAGAATGAAGAAAGCAAAAGAAGAGCTCTCCCGGACAGGCTTGAACTGTCAACCTCTCGATAGCTGATTTGCAAAGTTGCGAATCTAACAGTCGAACGCGCTAGCCAATTGCGCCACGGAAGATGTGAAAGCTAAGCTTTCTGTGGCTGTTGGATGTGAATTCGATTGCTGATTAACAATATATAGCTAGAACATTGTCCAGACAAAACCAAAAATGCATGCGACGTCGTCAGATCCACCAGAGCGATTGATTACTGGATGCGACAATAGCTACTTGTTTTCGCTGAACATTTTCGACACGACTTTTCTTTCCAAAACCGTTGCTATAGAGTCTCTGTTCTCACCACCGTGATGAGCATCTATGGAGCATCAACCATATCAATATCACCAGTCTGTGCTTCTTGAGCCTTTCTACGAGCCTCTTCCTGAGTCTTCTTGTGCTTGCCTCTTATGACAATGCCATCATCATCCGCATCCTCTGTGTCGCTTGAGTCGACATCATCAGCCATAATCGCGGCTTCTATTGTGGCAGCTCTGCGCTCCTTCTCAGACCGATACACAACTAGTGATTTTGGACTCAGGCCTTGTTCCAGTGGATCGGGCACCTCGGAAAACTTGCGGTATCTCCTAACTCCTTTCCTCTTCTCCGGACGGCAACGAGAGAGCCCGTATCTGGCGACTTCTTCATTCCAAAAGTCTTTTGTGAACATTTTCTTGCAGAAATCCATTTGCACTGGATATCGGGTATCCCAGATTACTGACCAATCTCGAGCTTGGCCTCTTGGGTACGGTGTCGTGCACGAGGTACCTGGGTATCGTACAATGTTCAGACCGTAGGGTGCCGAACCGTGTATGATTGCTCCGCTTGGCTCGACCCAACCTGAGAATATCATGTTCTCGAGGTCGTAGCCAAGCTCGTTATAGGGATGGTCGCGTAGAAACGGTTCGGGACCATTCTCGTCTCCTGGTTCTGACAAGTGCNNTTTCTGCCACCTGCCCACAAAGTGGGCAAATTCATGTACGATGGTCACTGCGAGTAGGTATCTGGTACGCATTCTGGCTGATGGCTCATCGGTACCGGGCGACCAGGGCTGCGACCATCTCTGGGCTCCCCATCCGGGATCCTCGCGGAGTATTTGCACATACTCTTCGTTGATGCAGACCACGCAGACTTCATTGTTCTTGCTCCATTTCGTCCAACCATGACTATCCATCTTGGTAAATCCCAGCACAACCTCCTTTTTCAGAGCCATCATCGCGAACAAGGCCTTCTCATAATCCTCCTTTACTTGGGTCACAGTGTTGTCGTAATCCCACCGCTGAAACTCCTTGCCGTGAGTCTTTTGGAGAATAGAATCGTCCAGTTTCGTATAGTTGCCCATCAAGCCGGCGAAAAATGGTGTGATTGCTGGATCGTCCAAGAACCGCGAGGCCAGCTCTACAGAAGGCAAAATGGCATGCCAGTCTTCGTCATCAAGAGTCTCGTCCCATTGGCTGCGTTGCAGACACGGGTGGATATGAAATGGTTCCGTCTGTCCTAGGTGCCCTTTCTGTCTGTCCAGGTTTCTCATAATAGCTCCGTGTCCATAGGCCTTTTGNAGTTCACTGTATGTTGGTTTTACGGTACAGTTGACATAGCCTTCGTCGTTGAGGGCTTTCAGCGTGTACTTTGAGATCAAGCTTCCCAGTGGAATTGCATCTGGACCAGCGGTAAATGGACGTAGTTGCCCAGCTGGAGGCAATGTCAAAGCTGAATGGACAACCTGAGGAGGACGTTTAGTTCTTGCCATAGTTGTTAGATTTCATCTGCAAAACCGAGATTGTCTTGATGATATCGTGTACTCGGTCATTCGGATCTCGCGCTTTGGTGGGTATAAAGACATGGTTGCCGGATCCGGCGTTCACAAGCTCGGGGAAACCAAAAGAATAGAGACCAAAGCCAATATGATATCACGAATGGAAGATTGTTGAACAAAGCCATTCAAAGGATTGAGTCGGGACGAATCATACCACAATCACTTACTGCTGGATGCTTCTCCAAGTAAAACTCATGTCGTGCAGTACGGTGTCCTCGGCCCGAGCAAACGTGTATCGAAGCCAATATTAGTACGAAGTTGCGACCAACAGATGATGTTGTGCTCCATGGTCTCGAAAGATGCAGCCAAATCTAGTTGCCAGCATGAGTGATAACGAGGGAAGAAGGTGCTGCCCCTCCTTGCCCTCATCAAGTCGCCTAGATGCAGCGCCAAGACTTCTGCATCGACCTCGTTCTTCCCTCTGGACGAACACCGACTCTCTACACAAACATACCCAATCACAAATTTAGTCTTGGAGATACAACATCACGCATTTCGAGCAGTCACCAGTCACCGGTATCAGCATCCCTGGGTCGATTCAATATATTGTATACGCGCCGAGACACGAGTCCCATCACCAGCGCTTCGACACGACTTTTGTGCAGGGCGCTAAATCAAGAAACCAAAAGTGGCAACGCATGGCACTGGACCTTGTTCCAACCATCCAATGGATGATCGTCTGCGATGAAAGCTGTTTGTGCGGTGCATTTGAGTCGTCCGTAAATATGCTTCGCTGGGACCACGCAGCCGCTATCGATTCGCCAGCGGCTACAATATTTCGACCGTCTTGCTGGCAAGTAACTATAAGTTGCATAAGGTAGGTCCAACAAACATTGACAGGTGTTTGTAACATTTAATTCTTTATACTTCTTGGTTTTACTGTAGCAGGTTCTACAATCTTATTCGCAATTATGGCCTCCGAGACCTTGTCACTCTTTCCCTCGCCTGTCTGCTCGATCCCTTCAAAGTCTTGTCTGAGGCAAGCCGAGGACATTCACATGAGACGAAACACACCCTCGCCCATACTAAGCTCGAAGCCATATCCTTCAGGAAAACTTCGAGGACTTGCTCTGCAGTTTACTCCTCAAGTCTATAAGCCCTCGTCCGTTCAGTCACCAGAATCAGTCGCAAGGCCATCTTTTTCGAGCCCTGTATCGAGTCGCTCTCCAGACGATAGCATGTTGAGCTCTTCCACGCCGTCAGAGGCAGCTGCGAGCACTCGAAGAAGGCCAGCCGTTGCTATTCGCAAGATATCAATTGATACCACCTCTAGCGACACACGCTCCGACTTCTCAGGACCAACGCTTGTGCGTTCAAATAGTTGCTCCTCAGCCCAACCGAAAGTCGTGTCGCCTCCTATCAAATCGATGTTCCCAGAGTACGACCCAAGTCTACCACTTTCACAACAGCGATACTACCCAACAGCAAATCTGCCTCGACCAAGTCTTGAGCGTAGTGCAAACTATCATCGTCAGACTCTTGCAGACATGCCATCACCTACTTCGCCAACGCCTGCTGCAGGTCTCTCGCAACTGCAAGCTTTATGGAATGCTGCTAGTGGTCAGAACGGGGTCTTCCACTCTGAGAAGATCAAGTTAACAATGCACCGAGATGAAATCGGTGTTGGCACGACAGCGACTGAAGTGCGATTTGGGTCACGGGAAGGTCGTACACTCTACTCTGTGTCTCCTTCGGATGCGTCGAGCGAGCTTACGGTTCGTCGGCATCATCCAGCTAGAACTGGCATTGTGCCTGTCGCTCAATTGGACGTAGCAGCCCTTCAGAAGGACGCAAAGAACGAAACGACCATTTTCCCACAACAAGCAGCACTCAACGCACTGGAAGCAGTAGCCACGACGCATAGAGCCAATGCTATCGCACAGTATGATCCTCGAGCATCATCACCACAAGCTGCACAACTAGCGTTCGATGCAGTGGCCGAAGCCAAAGCGCACGAGTCTTGTCAACTTGTCAAGATCTCTCAAGGCGTCAATGCATATGGCATTGAAGAACACAGCTATGAGCTACGACATGCACGCGCCGGAACCTTCACCATCTCGATTGATGGCGCATTCGACTTTGCGACACGAAGCAATACAAAGATCTGCCTGTACCAGCCAACGAGTGCGGAGAAACCACTGGCCAAGCCTCCTAAGCTTGTTTGCCTTGACCTCAGTACAGAGACGCTGGAAGTCGACGTGGCCTCGTTCCGAAGACTACAGAGCAAGTATATGATTGACAACACGATATGTGCCGTTCTGGCTGTTGGGTTTGCGGAAAGCACACTGGCCGAGATCAAAGCAAAGGCAGAGACGTTTGCAGCACCGCCGCAAAGTTCCAAGAAGAGCATTGAAGTTCAGAAGAAAGTAAAGACCAGCCGCTGGCGGCGATGCAAGAAGAATGGCAAGAAGGATGTCGCGGTTGGANAAGGGAAGCTGCCAAGCGTGACCCGGGGTATATTGTTTTTGCTTGGGTTCTCGTTTGAGGCGATAGTATGGCTGCTTGGATTGGGAGTCAAGGCGCTGAGCAAAGTTATCGTTTGTGCCAGCGGGATTGTTAGCAAGAAGTGAGATGGTAGTTAGATTGAATACGGATGAATACGAAACATGATACGTTGAAGTGGAGCAGGATTCTGAATGCGACGGGAGCTGACGCACCCCCTTCCCCATCTTGGCCCCAAGGCTGATAAGTGATGAGGTGCCACTTCGAGTAACGATGCTCTTCTGCCAGCACAAGACGACGAAAGAGCCGGGGTGAATGGATTGGATCGCAACCAACAGAATGATCTCATAATAATACCAGCAGCACTCGTTCGCATCCTCGTCACAGGCAAACTCGCCGCAAGTCGAACCTCTCCCCCATATCGCCGACGCCATGAGCGGCGAGGACCCTTACAAGAAATATGCCCATCTCCCTATTCCTTCGTATGAAGAGGCCACATCTTCGCGACCCTCGTCTTCGAACACTGTCAACGAGACAAGCGACGAAACAGAACGACAAGGTCTGTTAGGGAGACAGCCCAATCAACCAGCCCGCAATGGCGCATACCGAGCACCCACCGCCGAGTCACCACGCCCGAGCGAAGACAGCGATTTGTACCTGCCAGAGGTGAATGGCGAAAGCGATGACGATGATGAAGAAGCGNCCGTACGGCGAGACATGGAAGAGATGGAAATACTCGAGCCCGAATCTGCCACAAGTCGGCGGCGAGGTCAATTGTTCGGCAAACTATCCCAGACTTGGAGCAACCTACCCTCGTTCCGCCGCTTTTCAATGCCCAAATTCTCGTCGCTACGCCAGCGCCTCCCTACGATACCCGAGGAGTTTCGTCTCAGCTTGCCGGTCATTGCTCGTCTGTTTGGTCTCTTCACTATTGCCGCTTTGATATACATCCTCTTCGCTCTCGACGTCATACCCAATGCTGGCCACATGGCCCAGCACTACGATCCTGAAAGCGTGCGCGCTAGGGTACAAGAGCAGGCTTCATTGTCTCCGAATCGCATTGCCGAATACCTCGAGTACATCACCTCGTACGACCACGTCGCCGGCACCGAAGGTGACTTCTTCTTGGCCGAATGGGTTCAGGATAACTGGCTTGCTCAACACCTGGACGATGTCAGGATGCACGAGTTTNTTGTCTACATGAACTATCCCGAACCAGCCGGTCGCAATGTCGAGATTGTGTCCCCGCCAGACAGGAGGTGGACTGCTTTGCTCGAAGAAGAGTCGGTCTTCAAAGATTCGGGCAGGGAGAAACAACAGACACTCAACTGGCACGGCTATTCCAAGAATGGAAATGTCACTGGTCATCTTGTCTATGCCAATGGAGGCTCACGTGAGGACTTCCAACGTCTAAAAGATATGGGTGTGGATTTGAAAGGAGCTATCGTTTTGGTCAGGTATTACCATACAGAGGCAGACCGCGGGATGAAGGTCAAGGCTGCCGAGATGGCTGGAGCTGCCGGATGCCTCATCTACTCGGATCCCAAAGAGGATGGTTTCTTGAAAGGCACCGTCATGCCTGATGGTCCTTGGAGACCGCGCGACTCTGTCCAAAGAGGATCTGTTGCTCTTTCCAGTCTGGTTATCGGAGATCCTCTCACACCTGGCCATGCCTCACATGAGGATACCAAACACCAGGATATCAACGGTAACATCACTGGACTACCTCAAATACCTAGTTTACCCTTGGCGTGGAGAGACGCACAGCATCTGTTACAAGCGCTTAGAGGACATGGTCAAAAGGTTCCTTCTAGCGATTGGGAAGGCGGCGTGCCTGATGTTGAATGGTGGACTGGCGACACCAACTCCCCAGTGGTCCGCCTTGTCAACAACAACTTCCATACCGCCAAACAACGCATCTGGAACGTACATGGCTTAGTCCAGGGCATGGAGACACCAGGCAAGAAACTCATCGTCGGTTCCCACCGCGATGCTTGGTGCTTCGGCAGTGTCGACTCAGGAAGTTCTCAAGCCGTTCTTATGGAGGTCGTCACCATCTTCGGTGACCTCATCAAACTCGGCTGGCGGCCGCTCCGCTCCATCGAATTTGTTTCGTGGGATGCCGAAGAATACAATTTCGTAGGTTCTACCGAGTTTGTCGAAGACAACATGGATTACCTCCGCAAGAATGGTGTCGGATATCTGAACGTAGACGTTGGAGTCTCAGGCCCGAACTTTAGAGTCGCTGGATCGCCACTGTACAAGAAAGCTCTCATGCACGTCCTCGACCGTGTCACCGATCCATACAAGAATGTCACCCTACGCCAGCTCTACGACGAGCGAAACCAAAAGATTGATGGCTTAGGTGCAGGCTCTGACTACGTGCCTTTCCAATACATGTCTGGCACCTCATCACTCGACTTCGGCTTCGAGAGCGACGAAGGCGAACAAGGATACCCGTACCACTCTTGCTACGAAACGTTCGAGTGGATGACCAAATACGGAGACCCAGAGTTCCAGTACCACAAAACACTCGCCACAGTCTGGGCCCTCTTGATCCTGGAAATCGCAGATCGACCCATCATCCCCTTTGACCTTAACGACTATGCCGGCGCGATGACTCCCATCATTGACGAGTTGGAAAAGGACGCCAAAGACACGGCTTCAATGCTCAAAACTGATCTCAACAGTACGCCGCTTAGTGTGCAGCCACTGAGAGAAGCAGTAGATGTCTTTGTGGCCAAAGCAAAGGAGTTCCACGAGTTTGACGACATGTGGGCGAGTAAAGTGCTTGCCGGCAGTGGGGGTTTTGAAACCAATGCATATGCTCTCAAGCGTATTGAACACAACTCACGGGTCACGAACTTCGAGACTGAACTTCTTGATTTGCCTACTACTGGAGAGGCGGGTCCTTATGGTGTAAGTATTTGATCCCTTTTCTGTTGCGAGTGCCAATGCTGACGATGAGCCCAACACAGGNTCCCTGGTAGAGAACAGTATAAACACGTCATCTTTGGTCCACAGCTCTGGGATGGGTATGCGGCTGCTTATTTCCCTGCTGTCAGAGATGCAATGCAAGAAGGGAGATGGCTAGATGCGCAAGCGCAGCTTCTACGTGCGGCTAGGATATTGAGACAGGCTGCTGAGAAGTTGGTTGCGTAATTGGAGTAAAAGTCTCTTTTTCTTCTCTCTTTCTTCTGTGCATACTCTTTTTCTTCGCGCTTGGTGTAGCATCGTGGCATTTTCGGAAGAGAGTGTTGTTCTCTCGAATAGAATGGTATGGATTACATCGTTTCCTCTTTCCTTGATTCGAAAGTCTCTTCCACTTGAGAGAGTAAGGAGCGATCCAGAAGCAATAATCTCGTGGAGATAGGGTAACTACCTAAAGGCAGAAGCCTGAGGCGCTCCTTTCTCCCAAATGTTCTCATGGCTCCTGAGGTTTACATTGTAGATCATCGACCACATCAACCAGCTCTTCCCTTACAGGACATGACTCACCACTCTCCAGGGCATCCAGACCTATGGTAGTACTCATGATACGGACTATCCCACAACCCTCTAGAGTCTCTCCATCTTCTGGTTCCAGGTACTCAGAGAGAGCATCTGGAACCAGGAGCGGTGTGCCGTCATGCGTCGCACGATGTGGAAAGAGGAAGATAATACAAAGGAAGCTGTGTTTCATATAGTATTGGGGAAGTTGTATTGGTGGTTGGTTCTATCAGTGAAGTGGGTGTGATTGCCTTGCCATCTTCGATCACTGTGGTCGTTGTTTTTTGTTGTGTTGCTGGTTTAGTGTGGAAAGTCCCAGACTAGAAGGTAGAACGGGACTGCTAAGTAGTGAATGGTATCTGTTTTGCCGATATGTGCGAGATTTGTGTTTGATGTTTGTCCTTTTCTGTAATCTGTTGTTTGAGTTTCCAAGATTTTGAAGTGAAGAACAGGGATAGTTGGACCGTACGTATGACATGTTCTCATTATGTTTGTGAGCAGGTAACTCATTGAGATTATATGTAATCATCGTCCATCAACGCTTCCCTTCTCATCATGGCAGCCCTCAGCTGATCAGAACCATTGACCTTGGCTACTATCCTAGCGATGGTATGCAGGCCAACTGGCCTAACATGCACAACCGTGAGCGTCAGCAACCCTAATGTCGGAGTGAGATTAGCAACGCACAATACGGCTACGAGGTCAAAGTCCGGTTGTTCTGCAATGAGTTTCTCTGCCTCGAATCGTGTGTGCTCGCCTTGATGGTCGGTCTACAGAATCAAATTCGATGTGCAGTCGTGATGTTTGGAAATGGACACGACGATTGTCCCAAACTACCTTGCTGTCAACCTCGAGCCCACTGGACCTTGCAGCCTCTCCTGCAACAGCATCATCCGACTTCTGATTGTGCAGGAACAAGTTGCAGCACCACAGGGAGCAATGCAGGATATTGGCATAGCTAGGTGGAGAGATCGACTTCTGGACATGGCTTTGTAATCCAATGTTGTAATTTTCTCGGAGACTCGAAAGGGCGAAGTTGGAAAGGGAGCTCATATTCAAAGAGAGAAACGAAAGTTGGATTGTGTTATCAGGCTCTATCATCTGGCCCTGTCCCTCTTTCTACTTGATCCTCCAAGTTCTGACTAGACTTGTCCGGTCTTTGATGTGCAAGTAGTGATTCCGTTGAACTTCGAGGTGTTCTGAGGTCTGATGAGAGAGGTCTGGTTTGCTGCACAAGAAACGTGAGTACGTATCGCCATGCGATTCATGGACGGGAAGCTACTCACAGTATCCGACATCTTCGAAGTCACTGCAAGTTGACTTTTCGGACTTCAAGAGTCGAGACAGTATTTCTCAAAGACATCACAAGAGGTGACCTTGAGCAGGAAGCGCAAAGCTTCGACAACAGTGTCCGAGTCTTCTCCAGTGCCACTAACGAGTCCGCCTTCGGGTCTCCAGACGATTGCGCTCCATCCAGGGTCGCCGTAGTGAGTGGCGATGATGGGATCAGTCAGATCAAAATCGGACACACGCAAGTTGTCTGGAAAGACATATCAATACTGTGAGTATGACTTGTTACAATGGAGATGCTTACCGAGGATCTGAGCGCGCAGACCCAAGATGGCGGACTCATCGGATT